ACTTGGATTGTTTTCTCGCTTTCTTTTGTTATCTGAAACTTGTTAGGGCGGTCCTCTCGTCCGCCGCTACTACTATATCGTGTCCCGCGGTTCCCTCGAAAGTAGTCGTTTTCGACTTCTTTTTCTTTGCGAGGATAGCGGTTCGACGGATACTAGCCTTATAACGCTTTACTAGAATGGGAATAGTCGAACTTACTCTACTTATAGAGTTCACGCTAGGTCTGTAATTTCTACTCGAGCTGTTCATAAAAGGTATCTAGATTAGTATTAGATCCGGGTTCCTCTATACTCACCCTGAATCTTAGGTCGAGCTTATTCTAGGCCTATGCTATGATAAGTGCTTTAGATTTCAAATTTGCTTCTTTATAAGCCCTAAGTACTTTTATAACATAGTTAGTCGTGCTCTAGCCTCCATGTAAGTTCTCGGGGCTATATAATATGCCTTAGAGTCTCTTTAAGGCGGCACTTGGAGGTGTAGAGAATCTCTTTTCGAGTTTCTTAACCTAGCACTTAAGTCCATCTCCGCTGGTAAGACTTGACTTTGTAGCGTCGCTTAATTAAGAGCTATACCAAATTTGCGCCGTGCCTCTAAGACACTTATAGAGATTGTAACGAATGATTTTCGTAGGGCATGTCTACTAGTAGTTCCTTATTACGTCGATGAACGGCTGAACGGATCTATAATAGACCTTTCTATTCTTATTATAAACATCTTCCGTTCTCGAAGGATCTGTGCTCGGATCGAAGAATCTAATGTCCTCCGTCCTAAACTTCGTGTCTCTTAGATTTAAGCTATCGTTATCTTTATAGTCTCTAGTTTCCGTAGTTCGCCGGCGACGATGCGGGGGTATATATGATCTACGATGGTGGCCACGAGCTCTGTTATCGTCTCCCTATGGATCGTCGTCCGAGCCTTTGCTTAGATTATTATCGTTCCTTAAAACTCTTACTATAGGCTAAGCTTACCTATAGTAGTCGTTTCTAGACGGACGGTCTCTGGAAAGTTCTTCTTTATCTCTTCCCTAAGGCCTTTCCTAAGAGGGCGCGACTTAGCTGGCTCTGCTTTGTTCTGCTAGAGGATTTACCCTCTCACGATTGTCAAGTACCGCTGAAACTATTATCGTAATTTGCGCGATCATTTCTGCGCTTAGCATATTAGGCTAGGCTTGCTGAGCTATAACGGGAACTGGAATTGGAGCCGGAATTGGAGGCTCGAGGCTTTGAGGCGTTCCGACTTGCTCTCCGCTTCTCTCTATGCCTTGGCTTAAGCTTCCTCTCTAGTGAGGATTCTCTAGTACTATAATCGCCTCGTAAGGATTAGAGATTATCGTCTCGCGAGAATTGGAGTTCTCTAGTCTCACGGGTTCGTTATGAAACTCGAAGTCTTGTAGTCTTACGGGCCTTTTCTTTAGCGCGGCTAGAACTTTAATTAATAACGGAGGGGACGAGGAAGGTAAATTTACTTCTCTTAGCTATACGAAGTTTCTAAAGTTACTAAAATATTCAGATTAACGGAAATTTGCCGCTAGCCTTTCGACCTTTGTGGCTTTGGTAGTCGCTAGACGTATTCCGTGATCTTTGTTTACGAGATAGTTCTAGTTAGGAGGATATCTATCTTTCTAAGGCTGTTTACCCCTAGACCGTAAATGATTTCGATTTCTTAAGACTTCTAGGTATGCGTGGGCAATACCTCGAAGTAAGATAAGGGTATAGGGGTTTAATTCATGTAGTGGGCTATCTTTAAAGTAATGAATGAGTTAATGAGCTGTTTTAATAACTTACTCTAATAGCTTAGGAATCGGTTCCTTCTATAATACCAGTGAGGGAGCTAGTATGTCTTATGTGTTCCTAAGCGTGCCGAGAATGTCGGCCGCGGGAGGCGCGGACGTGAGCTTCTCTAGTACACTTAGGTAATCGGGAATGTTTAGTGGGAACCTACTCTAACCTTAGTAGCTCGCGGAAACCGAGGCTTCGCGTGCTGATCGTCTCGTCTAATTAGTACTAACCTATTCCTATGAAGTAGGGTTCGACTAGCACTAAGTGTGACCGGTCGTGGTATAGTGTCGTGTTCCTTGCTTAACGGGAACTAGGGAATTATAGGGAGCTCGATCCTTTTAATGCACGACTCGTTTAGGAACACTAGTGCTTATACTACCTTTTGGTAATCCTCTGGAACGAGTCTCATGGAATTTGGTGTGGTTGGAATAAGGTGAGGCCTTTGATGCGGATACTTATTCCTGTTTTCCTCTAGTGGCAAATCCTTTGTTTACCATTCCCTTGGCTCCTTCCTTAGGACTTTCGGTTATAATTTTATACTCTTACGAGTCTTAATGATGGTAACGGTGACGAACGTTACCTGGTGCCTGGTGTTCTTTTATTCTTACCGATTGTCTCTCCGTACTTATGAACTTCTTTTACTAAATTTTACGGAAGCGTCTTTCGTTCGCTAAGTCGGGATATTAATATCTTTTGATTCGGCTTCGGAGAACTAGTACGTTAGGGCGTTAGTGTCTTATATTCGACTAGTGCTATCTTTCTTTCGAAAATGATTAGCTGGTGGTATGCTTTTAGCTACTAAGATATTAAGGATAGAGATGTCAAGTCTTGGTTAAGTATTAAATTGATTACTAGCTACTTCATGGAATCTACGGCTATGTATATGGGACTGCTAGTCCGTGGTTCTTGCCGTTATCCATCTCCTTGTCACTTTCCGTGACATTAGATAATATAAAGTAAATAACTATATATCCGGCCACGCTATGCTAAGTTACGTATATATTACAAACGCGTATTTAAGGAATAATAAGGATATAAACGAGCTTAATCTAGTAGGTACCTTATTATTCTAGCTTCTATCTCTATCGTCTAACCTCTACCTCCGTCTTCCTTACGCCTTATAATATACTATATATATACTATATAATTAGTCCGTAAATTATAAATACTATATTAACTACGCACGCTAACTATATATAATTAATATATTAAATTCAATTCTATAATAAAGTAACTATCTAAACATAGTAATTACTATAGTACTACTTTATATCTTAAACCTAGATATATAAATAAAGCGTAAAGCTATGGAGGTATATATAAGGTAGCTATATATAGAAGTATATATAGCTACTCTACTTATAGACTATAGGCGTTAAACTAAGAATAAGCTTAGCGTAAAAAGAGTATATAAGATTATTAATAAGGTAGCGGGTAAATTTCTAGTAGTATAGAAAAGAGTAGTAGAGTATATAGAGATAAAGACGCTATACTATATCTATAACTAGGTACGCACTATAGTATAGAAAACCATATATTATAGAAAAACTATCTCCGAGTATAAGAAGAGATATATAATTATAGCTCTATATCCCATGACCTTATAATCCCCGCCTATTACAACCTTATAACCTCTATATAATAAATTACTAGCTAGAGCCATAGGGGGATACGTAGACTCTAGTACGAGTGGCGTAAGAAATAGCATAGCACGTAGAAGAGGTGCCTATAATACGATAGGTAGCCTTAGATAGTAACCTAAGGCCGAGATAGATACCTATAGGGAGAGCTAATCATAGGTACTTAGAATAGGTATTCTAAGTAGTCTACTAGGTAATTAGAAATAGAATATTAGTATTCTAAGTAACGCACTAAACGCTTAGAATGAGTATTCTAATTAGAGGACCTTAGTAGAACTATATAGACCCTTTAGACCTAATCTCTAGAGATAGTTCTATAGTAATTAATTTAAACTTACATTAATATAATTACTACTTTACTCGCCTACTAGCTAGTTACTATTTATACCCTATTAATACTTACTATGAACCTACTTACACTCCTCTAAGCCTTCTAAGTATCTTTACCTTTAGAAAAGCCGGGATACTCTATGGAACGGACTACTTTAGGGATAAGCCGCATCCTCATTAGGGAAGGTTTATTATATATAGTTACTATCACTAGATAATTAGTTCCTAATTGAACTCTATATACCATAGATTCTTTTATTTAATATAATTTGATTTACATTCTATGAAACCTCTCGTAGACCAAGTTTCAGTTCTATTTACAATAGAAATATCTTTATTATTATAGATACTTAACTAAAATAGTAGTAATAGAGAGAAGACCTAGTATTAGGTAATAGATCCTCTAAGATACGAGTATAGTTTATGTATAATCTTAAGCTTAATGTATAATCTTATTGGCATTTGGACTATTATAATACAAATAATTAAGTATAGGCCTTGAATAAAGCAAAGACGTAAGATAAGTTAAGTTATTAAGTCATGCCTTAAACTATTTATCTATAGTTACTTTATTTCTATATCTAAATCTACTTCGACTTATATAAATACTCTAATAGTTCTACTTCATATGAGCTAACTTATCTTATATTTAAGCACCTTGAAATGAGCTAGGCTGTTTTGATAGGCACATCGAAGTTCTTAGACATGAGAGTTTAACATACCATTAAGGCCTGTCCACCACCTGACAGTTACGAGAGCACTATAGTAGAGATGCTTTCATGTTGTACGACGATTCGAGGTGTGTATAGGAGGTGCCTCCTTAGTCTACAGCCGTTTATAGGGTGGTGCCCAATACCTTTAGCAGTTCAGGGAGCTTTGTGAATCATCATAGCATGACTGTCTCGTTGGTTAAAAGAGGAGAAGGCACATATAGAGCTTGAAATCTGTCAGGACAATGATAGTATATGATGAATTTGTGGCACATGGTCTGCGAGAGTAGCGATGACTAGCCAGTCTAGGGCGTCGAAGTCCTTAGTGTACTAGATTAGCGAACAATACATCACTCGATGACGTCCGGATTTGAAGTTACGCTTCTCATGCTATGAATCAGCGCGTAGCTAGATTACAACTAAAGCTAACAGATCTCTACAGCCGTAAATAAAGCTATGCGAGTTCAGCGTCACAGATCTCTCCTATACCTCCTATGCTAACCAGTTTCACTGTATATTGAATAATGTGGAGTCGTCGACATGTCTATCTCGTGTACCAACCGTTGTAGTTCATGTATTCGAGACTTAACTGCACGAAAGTTTAGTCAAAGTATGTATGAAGCGCAACTCGAGAATTCCACTTACGTATGAACTATTAATAGATTTAATGTCCCCAAGGCCAAGATTTGCAGAGTCGTTGATTAGTTCAGTCCTTAGTAGGTCGATTGCGCGGGCTACTCCGTCTTCTCCATAACAGTTGGCGTACATGAAAGGCCGAGCCAACCCAACTGCCTTGACACCGAGAGCCAGGAGTTTTAGGACGTCTGTCCCGTAGCGTACACCACCGTCCGCCCATACGTCAATCTGATCGAAGATCTCTGGCGCTTGCTTGTGAATCTCTAGGGCTACTTCAAAACCCGATGGAGAGAAGTCAAGCTGACGACCTCCATGGTTGGACAGATATATGGCAGAAGCGCCTGAGCTGACGGCCATACGCGCATCTTCTACTGTCGTAATACCTTTCAGGACAATGGGAAGGGACGTCATGTTGAGAATCTTGGAAAACCGCTCCCATGTTAGCAGAGTGAGACCAGTATCTGCCGAGCCAACACCATATCGCTCAGCACGAGAACGTGCACCATCTCCGGGGGAGTCGATAGTAAGAATGATGGCTTTTTGGCCGGCATTCTCAATCCTTCGTAGACTGCTCTGTACATTCGTGTCGTTATTGTCAATATAAAGCTTGTGCTTTGGGTTAGTGGTATACTACTGTTGAGTGAACAAAGTTACCAACCTGCTGGAATGTTGTATATTCATTACCCGGACTTTTGAAGGCGACGATGTCTTCTAAAGGCAGAGTAGCCCCGAAAGATGGCTTTTGATTGTGAGATGTTGCCACAATAGCGCCTAGATGACTAAGGACTTACAATGTATAGCACATTAGCTGCTTCACCTGCCCGGAGGAGCCCCTTCTCAGCGTCGGGATTGCCGTATCCTGCGCGACCTGCAGGGGCTATGAAAAATGGAGCCGAGAAATTGTAGCCAAGTATGGAGGTCCTTTATTGTCAATATCCTAGATGTAAACTTCGAGATTCAGACGTACGGTAAAGATTCCTCGACGTGCGTTATATCCACGAGAGATCTAGGTCTCAATCGGATGCGCCCAAAAGCCTCGAGGTTGTTTCTATAAGACCATTCTCCCGCAGCTCCATTGCGATAGTACGAGTAATTTCGAAGAGACATATAGCTACGAGCTGAAGCGTCGAAGTCTGCTAAAGAGAATATCTCGTTTAACGGCGTCAGACCTCCACCCCCTGGTATGAATGGGTCGAATCTAACTCAAAATTATTAGTCGGTTGTACATTTAGCTCAGAAAGATTTTACGAGCTGACCCTGTATCCGGTTCATTGAGAAACAGTCTTGCTGCAAGAGCTGCTGTAGCAAAAATGATATATATAAGCGTGAACATCCTGTTCAGTTGAGTGCTGGTTATGATGGGGGAAGTGAACCTATCGAGGTATTTATACACTGGGACACGGCCGAGTGATTGATCCAAGGCAGATGTGGCGACTAAACCTAGAACTGCCCCCTTAGTCTTAACAAAACCATTGTCGGAGGAGGTATTCTCTCTAGTATCGCGTGAAGCCACCAATTGTTGACTAGTCAGACCGCCAGAAAAACCCACGAGGCTATTCAATCAGATTAAACGCATGTGACCATGAAAGCATACTTCCCACTATTGATTGCAGAGAAGGATTCGATGATAAAGCAGGATGCTTACAAAGGCTTGCGTGGTTGGAAGTTTCATTGTCGTGAGCTCGGCATGATGCCGGACTTCCCATGAGAATTCGCGCAGAGGCGGATCGATCCTTCACGGTCGCCTAGCTCTTTCAAGCAAAGAATAGATGAGTGAAATATAGTATGCACGATGAATTCGATGGTAGTGGCGATTTGAATTATAGCCCTGGCATCTTCTTGTTGTCCAGCACGGTATACAAGAGATGTGGACTTATTCTGATAAGAGATATACTTCTCGATATAACGATAGGGTTTCTCTGCCCTATTGAAATAGCAGCTTTGTTTATGTAAAACCATGAGATTAATGAATTATCTTGTTTTAAGTATTTATTATTATACTAAGTTATAAAATAGATATAGTGTGGATGTTAAGAGAAAGGCCTTTAATAATTAGTGATAATTAAGGACTTGCCTAGGTAGTCTTAATATGGTAGTAGCTATTTAACGTTTAGAGGGTTAGCTTATATAAGAACCAATTAATTATATAATAATCTTACTATGACTCGTCATAACGCGATTCAACTCTAGTCATTACCCAGTGGCTGATTACACATTATTAAGCATGAAAATCACAATATTAGATAGGCCAGGTCACGTGATACTTTATGTAGCGGCGTCTCCCTAATAATATAGGTATACTAGTATATAATAGATAGTAGAGATAAAAGAAATAAGGGAAATAGACTACATTGACATAGTCTATCTTTCTAATATCAATAGCTTAATAGATACTACTTTAGCACAGGTACACTCGTTCCAGGCTTACTAAGAATGGCGCAGGCGCATTTTTCCTGCCTAAAAAAAACGTACCTAGTATTATCTTAAGGGAATAACGCACCATTCTATGGGCAATATAGGTCCTCTAACAAGTATTTGAAACCCTAGGCTACAGTTCTAGCGTTATACAAATATTAGAGATTTCCACGTATCTCTCAAATCGTATTGTCACCTGACGAGCAATCGGATAAGGCATGCTATTTCCCACTTCTGTCTTTCCACGATATCAGATGAGCGTGTAAAACAGGTCTACTTACAGATTGTCGTGGGACAAATAAAGATAGCATGGCACACTACCCCAAAGCGGTCATCGAAGGCATCTTCGCAGTCACAAAGCCACCAGGAATCTCCACTGGTCAATTTCTGTTAGAGCTCCAGTCCATCTTCGCTGGATCAGAATTATTCAAGCACACATTAGAGGAAACGCGTCGAAAGCGTGCTGAAGAAGAGCTTCACCAGCCTCCAGGTCAGAAGCAGAAAGATGAAGAAAGAGATGGTCGATACTTCAAAATGGGTCACGGCGGCACCCTTGACCCTCTTGCATCTGGCATCATCATCGTTGGGATTGGTCGAGGAACAAAATACTTGGCAGAATATCTTGGTTGTGACAAGACGTACGAGACAGTAGTTGCATTCGGGAAGAGTACAGATACGTACGATACTGATGGAACCGTCACCGGGACAGCGAACTGTTCGCATGTCACGGCTGAACTTGTCAATCGTGAATTGCCTCATTTCCTTGGCACTTTTCAACAGACTCCTCCGATCTATAGTGCGTTGAAAGTAAATGGCATAAAGGCATGCGAGTACATTCGAGCTGGCAAGGAGCTACCTATTAAACTAGCGAGTCGATCGGTGCATGTCGACGATTGCATACTCCTCAGCTTCACGGGGTCTCGCGAGCATGCACTCGTCTTGCCCGAAGATGCTCTACTAACCATGGCACCTACTGCTCGCATTAGACTAAGTGTCTCTTCCGGGTTCTATGTGCGTAGTTTTGCACATGATTTAGGGATCGCATGCGACTCTGCTGCTTGTATGACGTCTTTGAAAAGAACGAGACAAGCAGAATTCGTTGTGGATGCTGCTGACGGCGTAAAAGGTGCTCGATTAGCAATCACACATCAAGAACTGCGCTCAGGAGAACAATCATGGTGTTCTAAGCTGGAGACCCAACTCCGCCGTTGGATGACCGATCATCCTGTATCAATCAAAAAACATCACAACGGTCGGGGTGCCTGTCAAGAAGCCACAAGTGAGGGCTGCGCAGCTGCAAGACACCGGCAGAAGTTTCGCGGCGAGTTGATGGCCCTAACAAAGACGGATCGGATTAAGCAAGCAGGGGGCAAAAGGAAAGGCAAATACAATCAACCAAAACTTAAGGAGACGTCCATGACCTTTCATCACGTTTGTTCAAACACAGCTCTGGCCTCAATCCAACCCGGATGAAATGGAGAATGGTCCTCAGTCAAACAATTCCCGGATACGAGATCCCGGAGACCTATATTGGGATTACGAAATTACTAGACCGGTATGTCCCTGCATGCTAAAAGTCTTCACTCCGGCTTCCTTTTTACGGATGTAACATCTGCCTCAAGAAAATTATGACTCGTATGTTCTCCACGCTATCTAACCACTAAGACGTGGGTTCGCAGATAGAGTGGATACCGTGGGAAGTGGATGGAACGCAGCATGTCTTCTATCGATAGAGTATCATTGGCTGCAGCATTTCTATGCTATGAAATTATTGTCGTATAGCGCACTTCCGGATTTGCGCGGACGATGTCTTTTCTTAAATTCTTTATCACGCCCCACAAGGCTGAAACGCGAATTGGAATCCTGACACTGACATGCTAGCCAAGGTCAACGTCATATTTTTGTACCTGTGATAGTCTAGGCTTTGTGAAGCGTCGAAAGAATTGTGTATAGTATAAGTTTCCTGTATTTCCATTGTTTTTTTGGCCCGGAACACCTTTCTCCCTTTCGTTTTCTTAAAAATGGTGTCTGGGACACTACTCGCGGTCTTTGCCCTTATCTGCTCCCCTTGTCTTGCTGCGGTGCACTATTGGGTTGATTACGATTGCTATGCCATGCCAATGGCCACTGAAGCAATAGCTGAAGCAATACTAATGGCGCAACGGAGCTACGATCGGCTCAGCAATGCTGCCAACGATCCCGACATCCAAATTCTCTTCTCACGCATCTATCACACCACTATAAATGACCGAAGAGCTGTCGAGCATGTGCGCCGAATTATGTATGGCATCGCAAACATAAAAGAGGTCCTTAGTCGGGAAGAGAGTAATACAATCATCTACTGCGATAATGACGCTCGCTGGCAACCAGTGCCGGGCCAAGCAACATTCCCTGGTGGTACTCAGGAGTGGTTCGATGTGAACGACCCTCATTTTCGATTCGTAGGCAGACCATCATGTAAGGATGGTTCTACTAGTGCCGTCACATACAAAGCTCCTAACCATCACCCCCTGTTTTCCACGGGCCTCGCCCAAGTGACGATCTGCAACATAGGGGTGAGCAGAACTAGGTCAACCATAGCACACCATGACTATTTCGATTGGTCATTGGGGAGCCTAATGTACAATCCGGAGTGGAGTTCGATGAACCCGTACGATACTGCCAGTGTTACCGTTCTACACGAGTTCACCCATCTTCCTGATTTTGGAAGTAGGTTTAATATCTTATACACCTATGTTACTGGTAGGTATCTTGCTAACAAATCTAAATAGTTCTTGATGTGCCCCCAGACCCATATTGGTGGCACAATATAATTAGAAAACCTACGGGGCAGGCGCTGATGAATGCGGATAACTATGGTAAATACGCCGGTTTGCTTAATTGACCTTTATTAATGTTCATATAGCATTCTTTGGTCTACTGGCTCATTTGGGAGACTATGGCTTCAAGCTTAGTGATCGTGAATGGAAGGCAGGAGTTATAACGCGATCGACATACAGACCAGGTGGTCGACCCCGCTGACCGGAACGTGGCATATTGGCTACGAATCTTAATTGAAGGATTAGTGAAAGATGCCATGTCACATACAGTCTGGGACTACTCTGACTACAGTATCAAAGCATCCGGTACAGGTAATAATGGCTTGAAAACCATAGTACAACAAACAAGGCCCGACAGGAGTGACTCGGTTTGCTCTCTTAAATTACCAATCTCGATCGTATTCAGCCTGGCCTGGCCTTGAGCTTCTTCCACTTCTATGCAATCACCTTACTAGTGCAACTTCCAATACCACAGACGCCATTCGAGTGGAAGGCCACGTACCTGCTTACAGTGGATTACAGTCGCATTGCTTCGAAACCTTTTGGGGGGGGGGGGGGGGGGGTGTTAAGTACTCATTCTTGAATTCTTGAGTCATTGAGGCTACATATAGACGATGAATGATGGGTTGAAGTGCAGAACATGGTAGACTACTTTCTCGTCCTTCTAATAAGGCCTCCATGTAGATTATATATACACCTCCATAGGGGTTACCCCTAGTCTTTACTACCTTTGATTCCGTTGACATAAGTATCTATCATCATACATACTATCGAAGATCTTTATATCGATACTTAAGAATCTAGAAGTAAATATACCTCATGTTAAGGTCGCCCTAAAACACCTGCTGAGTCGTGGGTCTGTATTGATTCGCCGCGTTCATTCGACAAAATGCGAAGGAGTTCATCGAGATGCGGCATGTGCTTCGTCTCAGTACCAGAGCGTTGGCAGCCAAGGTTCTGATAATATAAACAGCTGTAAAACCAGCACGGGTCGATAGAGCCATTCCATAACACAATCTCGATTATGCTTGAGTCATACGCGTATGGACGTCGTTGATGACGCTCTCAAGGGGTCGTTGACAGGACTACGAAGAGGATATGGCACGATTAAGTCGAGTTCAGAAATGATTAGATCGTGGTCCGAGTATAAATTCCATATGTAGTCGTCTCCTGCTAGTCACTTTTCTACAGGAAGATGCAATTCCATTACGTTTGCTGACCTCGCTCCACCTTCCGATAATCCACATGACCGATGATCAACATTTTCGACTACATGGTAGCGGTTCTTACGAATTTTTCGCTTTCCACACCTTCTTATCGTCAGTGCCAGCGATGGGAGTTCCCATAACTTCTAATGTTGTTGGTTCGTGGCAAAGTCATTCGAGAAGGCATGTAGATCACGTCACTCCGAGGGTAGTAATAGAGCCTTAGCATTCCTTTCACGTGCCTGTGAGTGCAGCTACGCGTTGCGCATGTTCAGTCACACAGCATGAGATGATAATCACTCGTCCGTAATACTCTTTGGTAGCGTTAGCAGCGGCATCAAAAATGTTCCAGGGTCTATCAAGAATTTCTAGGTACCGCTTCACAAACAGGTGATCAAAGGAATCTTCTGAAGGGTGTATCTGATGACACACTCAGGATGTCATACATCCACTCCAAGCCCAGTAACAAGCTTTGCATGAGTCTCGGGCCTCTGGACGTCTACGGCTGTGGCAGCTTAGCAGTTGAAGGCAAAGCCCGACCGTTGAAAACAGCAAAGAGATGGATTAGCTTGTATAATGTTGACTGCAGGCGTTGACCCCATTATCACATCTATTGTAGAGGATAGGGACCAACCTAATGATTCATAGGTTGTATGTGTGTCTTGGTCACACGCGATTTCTTGCTTACATGGACCTGTACAACCGATACGATGGAATGGATCTGGAGTTCTTTACATGAGTTGGTGGAGACTATGACCATGTCATCTCTGTTAGGCCAATTAATAAGACGGCTGGGTCTTATGTCACAGATGAAGCTATACCTGTTCTGCACTACCAGTCATGCGGACGGAGATCTAGGTCGCAACACCAATGATTGCATCCGCACATATGAAAGGCAACGTTGAGGTCTATTTGTTCTATTTCTCATGCGTTTACGCATTTTATCATCTTCCTTGTCTGTATCATTGTCTTGCTAACTCTTAGGCCTGAGGTAGGTCACATGGATGTTATTATTGAGCTGTGTCATATTTCATGGTGTCTGAAATGAACGGGACTGGATCCTCCTCTAATCAAGTGCGTCTCGGTGAGCTCTGTCGTAAACAACTAAACGGGGCATCAAAACTCTAGTCTGTGGTACTGACAGAACGAGTGGAAAGGTTTGAGGGGTCGCGGTTTCTGTTTTGGTACCGGCGTAATGGCCAGTAAAACGTTTGAGAATGTTGAGATTGCTCCGGACCCTTCGCCAGTTGTAGATTAGGTTTGACCCTCGGAGCATTATGACCAATCGCTCTCGCGAGATGTAACTTGGAAGTTGTGGAGTCGTCGTGGACCGAGTGCATGGACGGAGACCGGGCTAGTAAGACCTTGCTTGCGCCTTCTTGAATATTGTTCTCGAAGGATAATGAAGTCAATCTAATCTACCACGTGGTATGTCCGGTGTCAGAACGATTTTCACGGATCCTGGTGCAGAAACGACTTCAACTATGCCGAGGCAAAACTGACTGTGACTAGGTAGTGAGTGGATGGGAAATTAAGCGTATTGAAGAGGTCAAGTGAGACGATGAGGATTGGGAGTTGAGTCACCTGAGAGCTCTAGATGTTGTCAGCTTGAACACCGTAAAAGCGGAAAGTAGTCAACCTTGTACCTAAGGCCTGATCACTGAGTCGTTCCGGAATAGTCCACAGGAGCATAAGGGCAGCCGGAGGGAAGCAGAGCGAACGGACTCATGCAAGAAGGAGCCATCTGGCGGGTTCTGTGTTTGAGGACCATCAAAAGTGCCTGATGCTGCAATGGTAAGGGATCCTTGGGACTCGTGCTTTTGCGTTAGAGATACCGGACGCCTTACCACAACACAGCAGCTGCGCTAATGGGGGAGTGAGCATCCATCCCAGGCGGTAGATGGAGGGAGGTTCACCGCCGCAAGTACCTACCCACCGTCTGGGGACACTTCACTGCCTGAAATATGCCTGAAATGTCCTCGACTACCCAGAATTTGCTAGTCACAGGATTGGAGCCCTTCCTATTTGACCTTCTTAGCCTGTGTTGTCCAGTATCATATCTGAGTTTGCATATAAAAACATTTTTTTATTTTCACACTAGAACTTTTTGTTAGGCACGTATTTTCGTTCGATTTCATGGTACACAATGAACGTAAAGTGTACTAACATAACTTGGGTATCTTGAGTTGTATATCTATCATCCATCTAGACAGGATATTCGCGCTTTGCCACCAATTTTGCGAGCTTCTTAGCAAATGTGAATGACGATTCTATTTTTAAGGGTTTGTCTCCATGATGAGGGCACATTCCTGTTACATTAGGCGCAGGATTAGCACACTTCAAGCAGAAATAGTGCCCGCACTTGGTCCGGACAGGCTCCCGGTAAGGTCCATTACAAATCCTGCAGGGCTCTTTGCTCGCCTTGACCTCTGGGTCCTCCACTGACTCTTTGCAGTTCGTTGTCTCAAGGAGTCTTCGATTCGCACTAGCAACAATTGTACCACCTTCTCGCTCTTCTTTAGTCTTTTTATCCCAATCGGCGTCTAGTGTGTGACCAGCGGCGTAATTTTCACGTTGATGCAGATACTTGCACGAATCTCCGAATCCACAGAAACCGGTCTTCTTGTAGTCTTTGCACACGTCGGGTGCAAAGTCTGTTATGATAATTGTGCGGACGTTCTTGGCTGCCTTTATTGGCCCAGCGAACTTCGCAGGCGCTTTTGTGTGGCTTGGTACGAGTGGGTTCGGATTTGCGTCTGTTGTCTTCGTACCACTTGATGTACTGGACGTGATGTTCTTGTGATTCGGGTTTCTGAAGCCATCGTCCTCGTACCAATCTGAGTGTTTAGTCGCATCGTTGTTTGCTGTGATGGCAGAAGTTCGCTCGGACTTGAAATTCGATGTGCCTTCTGTGAAGATACTGTGGACTTTCGTATCGGATGTAGTAGAGGATATTAGGTTCTTGCCAACTTTGTGACGCTTGATACGAAGATCGTCACCACTGTCTGCGTCGTCTATTGTGGTTTGAGCAATCTCAACTGGAGATGCTGGGCGTTTACGCGCATTGGTCCTCGCACCGCGCTTCTTGAACGTGACAGAAGTGTTTAGCTCGACCGCTGCTGTGTCCGAGGACATGACGTGGTATGTTAGCTGAAGTTTGTATCGAAGGCGCGTAGAGAGTTCGCAGATTATAGGTTTCGGGGTTGGTGGCGAGCTGGGCCAGGCAGTAAATGTTGGATGGAAATTTGGAGTTGTAGATAGGCAGGGCCAAGGTAACTAAGCACGGAGTGCGATGCGACAGTATCGTGTGAAGTATGTGTTTAGCCGGGAAAGTCGTTCTATTGAGGACGAACGTGAGATCGTAACATCGATAATTCTACGGCCTTTGGTCCCTAATTAGTACCTACCTAGGTAAGGCAGCAATATTAGTAATCAGAAGATTTGACAACCATAACCGTTGACACATTTCTCGTTTCAATCATTTCGCAGGCAGGTTGTCAACTAATAGATGGCTGCCTTGGACCAAATATTCAGCTTGCTGAAGACTAAGAATGACACCTCAAAATTTGTCGGGTTGTCGCTATTGAAAAGCCTGCTCGATAGTCAGGACAGCTTGCGCAACGATCCAGGTGTTCTTACACAATGCTGGAAAGCCATTTCGACGCGCTGGCTTCACCGTGTCCTCATTATGAAAACTAATCGTGAGAAGCGCACTGATAATGAAGAACGGAGCATGCGACAGATAGCGGTTGGAGTAGTTGAAGCATTCGCCAGCCTTCTGCCACTAGAAGCTATGGACGAGCCAGAACCTAGGGACCTCATACTTGGGCTTACTACGACATTGCGATACACACCTTCTGCTATGTGGGCTTCGATTTTCCATGCTATGAATAGCCTTACCAGGTGGGAAGCTGCAGCAAAGACCATACTGGGCATGTTAGGTGGCGGGTGCAACACATTTCTAAGCGCATGGCACAATGACCAGCTTGCTGACAAGGTCGTCCGGAGTGCTTTTATCACTACGGGAAAGGCGGCTTGGTCCGAATGGTATGGAACGATGAGTCTATTTGCCAAATCAAACTCGAGTCAGGCTTTCATGAGATCTCAAATACCTTTCAAGGCTTTGCAAATCATCGATGAGGTGTTAGATGATGTGCATGCATATTCTGATACCGATTGGTCAATCGCACCACAGAAAGAGCCGTTTGTGGAGGACACAATTCATCTTATTCGTAAGACGATAGAAGAACGACCGAACCGTAAGACATTGAACAGTGCAACACGAATACTGCAGAAGCTCTTCTATCTTTCTGCTGAAATCGAACCTTTCTTTCCTAGATCTTCGGAAGTCCAAAGGATCGACCGTCCGTTCTCATATACATATATCATTCTTCTCATTGTTGATATTAAAGCAACTATACCTGGTTTGATGGAAAGTTTAGCATCGGAATCTTACCCGCAGACCGCCTTACAGCTTGCAGCAAACTACGATGTACTTGGAAAATTCATATTTTCCCTCCTGCAAACCATGGAACGAGACAATGAGACCTCGCAATCGGTTTTCATTGACATATCACCTGATTTACTCCTTAAACTACGCAAAGAGATCGCCGAAACCATGTCACTCACGATTGAATTCTTTCGTGACCGGTGGGATGCGTCTGTAGCTGGAACTGCGGGATTGCATTCTTCAGCCCGAGCAGCACCAACTCAAGGATCGATTCTGTCCCAAGGCCACTTGAGTCTCACCTGGGATAATCCCATATTTCTTCTAACTGAAGATCCAATAATTATAGCTGGTCTCCGAACACTCGGTATCTGGCTTCGAGAGGACGATAACGATCAGCTTCGAAAAGAAGCTACTGGACTTGTCGATATTCTCGTGGCTCTGTATGAAATTGAACAAGGCCCAAAGGAAGCTATACTTGTCGCGTGCGAGGGCATCGTCGCCACGGACGATGGAGTGCAACAATTCCTGGAACTCGATGGGGCAAACATATTGTTCGCAGACCTCATTGCTGTTCTCAACGGTATCAAGACGAGGACACAGTCCGACTCCCCATCAGTGCTAAGCATGGTCAGGGTGCTCCTGCCTGTAGTGGAGTCGGTCCAAGTCTCACAATCTATAGAGAGCTGGCTTTATCTTTTGAGGGCCCTGATAAGTTATGGTGACGACGTTGAAGTACAAAGTCACGATACAGTCACTATATTCTTGGCACTGGGTCAATTAATTGGCGCATTACTGGCGAAAGCACCAAGCCGTTTGGTCACGAGATACAACAGTGAGGTTTTGAAGCTTATTGTGGTTGTAAGTCGGCTTCAGCAACAAGCTAATGGTCTAGATGCGGATACTCAGGCCGGCATATCAGAAGTCCTGGACGGACTGCGGGAGGCGCTGGACGCTTGAACTCATACCCAGGCTATGAATGTACGCGAGTTAGATCCTGTGACAGCAGCAGCCTCCTGCATTGAATGCTTGCGAATGGCTTCAGCACGAAGCGGCAAAGTTGGCGTGCCTGCTTTTTCACCTCCAAGTTCCGTTCACGTTTGACCCTGCGACTCCTTGGCCAAGCTTACTGGAGACCATTGTGGCCTCTCTAATTGCTCTGGACACGCCGCCTCTGACACCAGCTTCCTCCATAGCCATAATTCCACCAATAGTGCAGCCACCAGGTGTGCAAACTTTGTCCTTCAATATAGCAGGATGTTCTCCGTTCAGCACCAAAGCAGCAGTTCCACGCATAGTCTGCGCCGCCATCATCTGGGCTTCAGCCCGGGGAATACCCATAGCAACTGCACCATCAGCCATAGCCTCGAGCATGACAGCCACAAAAGCAGGCCCGGAGCCAACCAAGGCAGTCGCCGCGTCCATGACACTAGCCGGAAGGTGAGCTACGCGTCCTATCCTCGAGAAGATCCAAGTAGCCAGTGTCAACTGAGTCTCTGGGAGCGGGGGATTCCGTGCCGCAATCACCGTTGTGCTTTCTCGGACCATAGAAGCCGTGTTCGGCATGACCTTTACGATATGACACTTATATTGAGCCGACGCATCGTTGTCATACAAGAACTCCTCGATCTGCTCCGCCGTGACACCAGCCAGGATACTGATCAGAAGCTTACCAGCTAACGCCTCCTTCATGCCCTCCGCGCCCAGCACGTCCTTGAATGCCCAGGGTTTGCAGGCTAGCAAGATAATATCAGCCTCCTTTGTGCCCCTGAGGTTTTCGTTTGTGAGAGTCGTGAGGGGAAGCTTGTAGTGTCCTAGGGCGTTCTGAACTTGAGTTTCGGCTTCTTTGCGCATGTCGCAAGCGATGAATTTGCCAGGTAGGTGGGAGGGTGTATCGTCTTGTGGGATCTCTTTGCCAGAGCGAAGCTCGATGAGCGAGGCCATGATTCCGCCCATAATAGCGCATCCCATTACACCTGAATATATTAGCTGTATATTCCCCATATAGACATTTCAGACGCTCACCAGACCCAAGAGTCGTGAAGGTTAGATCGTTGTTCGTCATCATAGGCTTCTGTTACCTGAGGAGAACGTAATTGTTTTGCTCGTATAAGGCTAGGACCCAAGAATTCAATTCAATTCGAGAGGAAGGGTTTGTTCCGAACAAGGCGACTTATGCTGCGATCTAATTACCTATGGAATGTACGTGGGCGTGCCCCGCAGTAGGCCGAAGCTGCCCGCTTGACTGCGACATAGGAGCGAGACCGTTGCCCTTCCATGTAATAATATATTGATCGAAACAGATTCAGGCCTTCAGGTAAGGTGAAATGCCTATTGTCGAAAATGCTCGGATTATAACCTAGAAAAGGTACAATACCCTTTCCGGAAGTGTGCAACAGGATCACCACCCGTACCAAAACTCTCGGGCATATCACCGCCGCGTTGGACAGCTCTCCGGTGTCGAACTTGCGCGCCTTCAACTCCGCGCCAAATCCTCCCATTCTACCTCTCCAACTATGGCCGACCCCTTCGAAGTACGCATGCAGTTCACGAAACAACTCCAGCGTCTCAACGCGACCGAGATGTCCGCCAAGAAAGCCGCGAATTATGCCATCCGCTACAAAGACATGGACGAAGACTTGCACTCCTGCATCCTTGAACAGCTCGACTACCGCGACGAAATGAACCGTGCAAACATGAACAACAGGGCTAATATCATGTATTTCATCAAAGAATTATGCGACTCGGCCACGAAAGAAGGGCATTTGGAGTTTGTGAGAATGACGCAGCGCGATATACTCAAAATTATTGATGCAGTGGCGCCAAGTGATGGATCGGGCGCCGCGAACGTGAAGGTTGTGAGGAAGGTACTTAATGTGCTACAGGATATCAAGGTGTTGCTGCCGCAGACGGTGCTGGAGCTGGAGGACCTGATGAAGGAGAGGGATGTTAGTGCAGCGCATCCGGCTTTCGATGAGAATCCTATGATTGGCGTTCAGACGGGAGACGAAGTAGCGAATAGTAGATTGAATGGCAGTCGCCTTGACAAAAGACAGATCGAACAGAGGATCGAGGAGGATCGAGAGAGGCATAAGCGGTTGAGAGAAACGATCTGGGCTGTTAGTGGGGAAGACAATGCTGAGTTCGACAAGCTCTGGGAAGAAACAAGTGATATTTGCGAAGATGATTTTATAATGGCTCGAGAGGAAGCTGAAGAGCGACGACAGGCAGCAGCATTTGCATGATATATGCTTGGACGTGGACGGGTGCAATCAATTTTTCACGATAAAGGCATGTATGGCGTTGATTGGATGTGATCAATGGGAAGTCTGCGATGTATAGCATTTTCAGGAGTTTCTTGACCTTTACAATACCAACTTCAATCTGAGCAGAGGGGCTGTCTCAAATAGAGGTTTTATGCCTCCACCTACACAGATCTTATCATTATAAATACAAGTGTTAGAAGGACGCGGCTTTCTACAAAGTGTTTGTCCATTTTATTCCATGGTGACAACCGCACCAACAGCTTTCAACGCCTCAATGATCTTGTCACATTCCTCTTTGGCTACATTCTCTTTCATAGTCTTTGGAGCGCTTTCCACGAACTTCTTGCTATCTACCAAACTTAGTCCGAGCAAGCTCTTGATCTCTTTGATAACCTTTGGTTTCGCTCCAGCGTCAAATGATACTAATTTCAAGGTGAACACCGTCTTCTCAGCTGCAGCAGGAGCTGATTCTTGTGCTTCTTCGACCGGCGCAGCGGCAGGGGCAGCAGCAGCGAAACCGCCCATAGGCATATCGGGTATGTTTAAGCGCGTCTGTTAGAAATGACTATTAGCGATGCCGAATTAAGCGTAGATACAAGGTTAGTACCTTTAGGGTTGATACAAGATCTGCAGTCTCTAAGAGAGTCAATTGACTGATCTGGTCAACGATTGTTGCGATCTTTGTATTAGTAGGTGATGCGGCCGAGGTGGTCTGCCACCTTTGAGCCTGCTGACATTGGGCCAGAGCGGCTGGCGATGTGAATGAGAGTGAGGAAGGGAACCCAGACCTCCGGACGGCACGCCGAAGTGCAGTCTGGCAGACAAGAGACATCGTGGTCAATGTTGAGGATTGAGTCGTCGGAGAGTGCTCACGCGGAGCTTGCAACACCGAAATCTTGGAGTAATGGGATTGAGATTTAGCAAACACGTGATCGCGCTTTGACTAGCGTTCATGCGGTGCTAGGGCGGTCGAGGAACTTTTTTCGAACACTTCGCGTGTGGACAATGCACACTAACATAGAACGTCATGAATTTGTAGATTCGAAGCTCCAACAAATCATGGAGCTCTCATATCCAGGCTCTCTTTCCTCGGAGACCCTTGCGACACTAGCATTGAAAGCTCTTGAGCCCCAGCAAACCGATCACATCTTTGCCCGATACGAGCACTTGTTCCCAGAACTATGCTCACGATGGCTCGCTCATGATACCACCTCGACTACGAAAATAGCAGCATTTGCGCGGATATTACCTTTCGCACCTCACCTTTCCGAACTCGCAGAATCTCAATTCTCGCAGGCACTTTTCGAAGGACTCCTAGACATACTCCCTTCGGAGCTTGAAGAAGCAATTGCTCCAGCGATACCCGAGTCGCAATTATGTGAACACTTACTAGGAGTCTTTCGACTGCTCGCGTTTGATAATTGTACCTTCGCGCGGTATTTACAGCCTGCTCGGCTCCAGGTACTCCTCTCAAATCCAAGCCGACCCGTTCGTTACCTGACCGTTCGGATACTCTGTCTTTATCTGTATGCGGCAGATGCTTCAACTCAAGAAATGGTGTTACGATATGTCGGGAAAGAGGTCATTGAAGGCGAGTGGGAAGGTCTTCGGATCGACTATTGGTTCCTGAGCTTGTGGGAGGAGCAGCGACACAAAGGGATTGCGCATGCTCGGTCGAAGAAACAACGCGAAGATGATAGTGTGGTGTCAGTCGCAGGGAACTCTCTTTCCGATCAATGTTGCGATATCGATGGCGTCCTATTACCACGTCTCTCTGCGACTAATGGTCCTGCATCTCCAAGTACCCTTGTACGAACATTATCGACAGTAGCAAATCTTAGAAAACTTGCGCGCACTTTGACCATTTCAAATGCTGTTCTTTTGACCGGACTTCCTGGCTCGGGAAAAACGCTACTTGTCCGACACCTTGCAACACAATTAGGTAAACTGAATTCCATGGTCACTTTGCATCTAAATGAACAGAGTGATGCCAAACTTCTGATTGGCATGTATACCACTGGTGCAGACCCTGGTTCCTTCGAATGGACACCGGGTATACTCACGACTGCAGTGAGAGAAGGCCGCTGGATTTTGATTGAAGATCTCGATCGAGCCCCAAATGAGATTCTCAGTACTTTCCTGCCCCTCATCGAAAGAGGAGAACTACTCATTCCAAGCCGTGGCGAGAGGATCGTCGCTCCCCGCGGGTTCAAGATCATTGCTACTATGCGCAGCAATAAAAACATGAAAGGTGAAGAAGTTACCTCCAAAGCTATTATCGGATCGAGACTCTGGTCTACGGTACGAGTGGAATCACTATCTCTTAACGAGCTCAGGACTATTGTTACTACAAGATTTCCGAAGTTGCAGGGCCACGTCGAAGCAATCATCAGCATCTACACAAAAATCAGCACAGAACGCTTGGAAGTCGCGCATACTGATCAGCTCGCAAGATCACGAGCTGTCACACCTCGGGATCTTTTCAAATGGTGTCGACGTATGTCATTGTCGCTCACGGACGGAGCACGTGTTACTGCCCAACAAAAAGATGGCATGTTTCTGGAAGCATTCGATTCATTCGCTGGCAGTTTTCAAGAACAGCAAAGTCGACTAAGCCTTATGACATGCGTAGCTAAAGAGCTGCACATAGATTCCCAGAGACGAGACCATCTACTACTACATCGAGAGATCTCGCATCATCTTGGTAACTCCAGTTTTCAAGTTGGCAGGGTCACTCTTGATCGGAGAAAAGGGTTCAAGATCACGGTGAAGGGTGAAATGACTCCTTTCTCAACAAATGGTCATACATTACGTCTACTCGAGAAATTAGGACGAGCAGTTGAGTGCAAAGAGCCCCTGCTACTCGTCGGAGAGACAGGCACGGGCAAAACAACATGTATTCAATACATGGCAAGTCAGCTAGGCCGGAAACTAGTCGTCTTCAATTTGTGCCAGCAAAGTGAGAGTGGCGATCTTCTCGGTGGTTTTAAGCCCGTTAATATTCGCAGCCTCTTTATCCCCTTAAAAGATGAATTTGACGAGTTGTTCGGGATGACCTTCTCACGCAGAACAAATAATGGAAAGTTCATGGACATTTTGGCCAAGCGAATGGCTAAAGGTAAATGGACTGCTGTTTGTGCCCAATGGCGCGATGCCTTGCGCATGGTCAATACATATCGCGAAAAGATAGGATGTGATCGAGAAGAGCAGCCATCCAAGAAACGCAGATTAGATTGTGGTACTTCGGCTTTTCCGGAATCTCGCTGGAATAAATTCTCATCCAATCTTACCTTACTCGAATCGAGAATATCAAAAGGCTCGGGAGCTTTTGCTTTCGCTTTTCAGGAGGGCAACATCGTAAGAGCTGTACGAAACGGAGACTGGATCTTACTCGACGAAATCAACCTGGCTTCGCCCGACACGCTTGAGGCTTTGGCAGATCTCTTCGAGTCAGATACGGAACCCTCTGTTCTACTCACGGAGACGGGTAATGCACAGCGCGTAGTGGCTCATCCGGATTTTCGGATTTTCGCTGCCATGAATCCCGCTACTGACGTGGGAAAGAAGGATCTTCCACCTGGAATACGATCGCGCTTCACCGAGCTATACGTGGACAGTCCAGATGCCGACGACAAGAGCCTGCGCAGCGTTGTAGAGACGTATCTTGGGACTAATGAGCCCAACTCAAAGCGCATTGTTGCCGATGTTACTTCGCTATACAGAGAAATACAAGATCTCGTCAGAAAGAACCTCCTGGTCGATGGTGCGGACCAGAAGCCGCATTTCAGCCTACGAACGTTGACTAGGACGCTGACCTACGCGCGAGATATGACCGGTCGTTGTAAACGTGAACGAGCACTATATGAAGGCTTTCATATGAGCTTCTGCACACTTCTTGATGGTAAGTCAGAGAGTCTCGTAGCGCCATTGATCGAAAAGCACCTACTTCGTCAACACGGGAATGCTCGATCAGAACTTCAACGGTCGTTACAAGCCCCCATCGATCATCGACATTACTTGCAATTAGGCCATCATTGGCTGCCTCGAGGGCCCATTCCGGAAGCACAGCAACCTCACTACATCATCACGCCCTTTGTCCAGCGAAATCTGAACAATTTGATCAGGGCAACCTCAACCAACAAGTATCCGATTTTAATCCAAGGACCGACATCCTCCGGCAAGACCAGTATGATTGAGTATTTGGCAAAACGAACTGGGAACCAATTTGTCCGGATTAACAACCACGAGCACACAGACTTGCAGGAGTATCTAGGGACATATGTGTCTTCAGAAGGTGGTCTCCGCTTTGAAGAGGGAATTTTGGTCAAGGCTTTGCGCGAAGGCCATTGGATGGTCCTTGATGAACTGAATCTGGCGCCAACAGATGTTCTTGAGGCCCTCAATCGGCTACTGGACGATAATCGCGAATTGCTTCTACCGGAGACTCAAGAAGTCGTCCGACCGCACGAAAACTTTATGCTATTTGCAACCCAGAATCCGGCAGGACTATATGGCGGGCGAAAAGTGTTATCGCGTGCTTTTCGAAACCGGTTTTTGGAACTTCACTTCGACGACATACCGGTAGAGGAGCTCACAGAGATTCTCCATAGACGAACGCATGTCCCGGAGTCGTGGTGTAAGCGGATCGTAGCTGTCTACAAGGAGCTCTCTCTACTTCGTCAAGAAGAACGTATATTCGAGCAAAAGAGTTTCGCTACCCTTCGAGACCTCTTTCGTTGGGCATTGCGTGAGGCGGAAACAATCCAAGACCTGGCCACCAACGGGTATATGCTTTTGGCCGAGCGTGTCAGGAAAATTGAAGAGAGAACAGCGGTGAAAGAAATCATAGAGAAAGTTATGAGCAAGAATGGTGCACGCGTACAGATCAATGAAATTACATTATATGGTTCTGTAGACGATTTACCACAAAAGTTTCCGCGGGTCGACGGCGTAGTTTGGACCCAGTCCATGCGCCGTTTGTACACACTGCTTGCTCAAGCTTTACGAAACCATGAACCTGTTCTACTTGTTGGTGAGACCGGATGCGGCAAGACGACTGTTTGCCAAATCTTTGCAAATGCTTGCGAGAAACAACTTCATATTGTCAACGCACATCAGAATACTGAGACTAGTGATCTCATAGGATCACAACGTCCGGTGCGAAACCGAGCCGCAATCGAAGAAGCTCTCCTGGAATTGTTAGCACAAGCTTTGACACCAATCACTGGTCAGCTGGACAACACTCTCGGTACTATGTTACATAGGTACAATACTCTGTCTTCACAAGAGCGCGCCATGGTCGAACCGAAGATTCAGAAGGAAATCGCGCATCTATCTACCAAGTCTGCTGCTCTATTCGAATGGGTCGATGGATCTCTTGTTACTGCTATGAAAAGTGGCCAGTTTTTCCTGCTCGATGAGATCTCACTAGCCGACGACTCGGTGCTAGAGCGCCTCAACAGCGTTCTCGAATCCGAAAGGACGCTGTTGCTTGCGGAGAAAGGTACTAATGAGTCCTTGATTGTAGCAAGTCACGACTTCCAGTTCATGGCCACAATGAATCCAGGAGGTGACTACGGCAAGAAAGAGCTCTCACCAGCTTTACGCAATCGTTTTACAGAAATCTGGGTACCTCCGTTGTCGGACACAGAAGATATTCTGCAAATTATCAAAATGAAGCTGGCATCTGCTGCTGTGGCACATGCGAGTGCGCTTGTGTCCTTCGCACAGTGGTTTGCTAATAAGTACACTACATCCGCGACGTCGACTGTGTCCATACGTGACATGCTCTCCTGGGCCTCGTTCATCAACAACACTATAACAACTTGTTCTCTACCACTGCTCGTTGCTATTGTCCATGGTGCGGCACTGGTTTACATTGATACCCTCGGCGCTAATCCATCTGCGATGCTGGCAATGTCTGCTGTTTCGATTGAGGATGAGAGGAGAACCTGTTTCTTGAAGTTGGGATCTTTACTCGACACAGATTTTGATGATTCCATCTATGACGCATCAACAATTAGCGACGACGAACAACTGATGACCTTTGGAGCTTTTAGCTTAGCCAAGAGAACCTGCGTGAATATGGACTCAACCTTTGGGTTCAACGCGCCAACGACAAGGAAAAACGCCATGAGGATCGCTCGTGCACTGCAGCTATCGAAACCCGTTCTTCTCGAAGGTAATCCAGGTGTTGGAAAAACAACGCTGATTGTGGCCATGGCTAGATCGGTCGGTGTACCTTTGACAAGGATCAACCTATCTGAGCAAACAGACCTCGTCGATCTTTTTGGTACCGATGTTCCCGTCGAGGGCGAAGCTGCTGGAAAGTTCGCATGGCAGGATGCGCCGTTCTTAAAGGCGATGAAAGAGGGCACATGGGTTTTGCTCGATGAGATGAACTTAGCTTCCCAGTCCATTTTAGAAGGTCTTAACGCCTGTCTTGACCACAGAGGAGAAGTGTACATCTCGGAGCTCGATCAGACTTTTAAACGCCATGCAAACTTTCGTCTGTTTGCTGCCCAGAACCCTCATCATCAAGGTGGTGGTCGGAAAGGTCTACCTGCCTCTTTTGTCAATCGATTTACCGTAGTATATGCTGATGTGCTCACTGGCATAGACCTGAAATTAATTAGCAAGCAGACCTTCCCTCATGCCAATGAAGAGAAGATGAGTCTCCTGATCACATTTGTGTCAGAACTCGAAAAGGAAGTTGCTGTTTATCGCAGCTTCGGTACGCAAGGCAGCCCCTGGGAATTCAATATCCGTGATACGCTGCGCTGGATGCATCTCATTACAACAAAAATCGGACTACTTGGCACTGGATCTGTCCGCGACTACCTCGACACTGTCTTTACTCTTCGGTTCCGATCATCTACAGATCGCGAGTCTTTACTAGCACTGTATAAAAAGACTGGATTAGGTCGAGTTTCCCCCCGATCATTCTATCACAATCTCAGTTGCATGACATATCAAGTCGGACTAGGTACCACCACCCGAAAAAAGATTGATATACCGCATTCGACTTGTTTTCAGATGGCTGTAGACGTTGACAAGCTGCCAGTTCTAGAATCCCTGATGATCAGCGTTCAACAGAGATGGCCTGTGATTCTCGTTGGTCAGACTGGTAGCGGCAAGTCCTTTCTTTTGAATCATCTTGCTTCTACAGCTGGTGCAAGATTAATAACCTTCCCGATGACCCCAGACATCGATGCAATGGATCTCGTCGGAGGCTACGAACAGGTAGATCGCTCCAGAACTGTTAATCGTCTTCGGGATCAAGTTTCTCGGGTCGTTCGAGGCTTGTTGATAGAAGTCTTAGTCAGCTCGCCAGTGAAGTCGGAGCTTTTACCGCATTTCTTGCGTCTCTGTCGATGCTCATCAGAAGTGACTCTTAAAGAAGTCTTGCAGTCACTGTCCCTCATTGGCGACGAAATCACAGAGCCTCAAATACGAAATCTTTATACTGAAGTCGAACTTGCAATCGAGACCTCTTCGACACCAGAGGGTCCGCAGTTCAAGTGGGTTGATGGTGTCCTCATAGACGCTATTGAACAGGGCCACTGGCTCGTCCTTGACAATGCAAACTTCTGTAGTAGTTCTGTCCTAGACCGGCTCAACTCACTCCTTGAGCCTGATGGCTACCTGATAATCAACGAACACAGTTCTGATAGCGGCGAGGCTCGAATTGTGAAGCCACATCCTGATTTCCGGATCTTCATGACTGTTGACCCAAAATATGGCGAACTATCTCGGGCCATGCGGAATCGTGCTATTGAACTTTTCATTCTATCGCATCAGAAGCCGTGCAATGACGGAGGTCTTGCACATGCGCCTCATTACAGGAATGATTCATCAGTGTACCGCTTTCGCCATGCAATTGCGGCTTTGGAATCAGTCAACAATACTGCAAACATGATCGATATTGCAATGGGTCATTTGTCTCTCGATGACATGTCACGGGCTGGTAGCTTTGGTGAGCAACTTACCATCGGTCTTGTTCGGACCACGTTGTCCTCTGGCAGTGGATTCTTCGGTGATGAACATGAAGACTTATCTATAGGTGTTCTGGCACCCGTTACGTCTCCGTCAATCTCGAACGAATCATCGTCGAGAAATTCGAGCAGCAAGGATATTCTTTGTCTTTCCAAAGCGTGGTCCATGATGACTTTCACGGATAGCCCATATGTGTCCAGCATATTGCCCAAGGTTCGGGCATATTATGAGAGCGTGCAGCGCAACTTGAATGTGTCGGTTCTTGATCTACATGCGCAAGTGGGTGATCTTATTAACAAGTTGCCGCCTGTACTAACGAAGACTAGTCCATACATCCAATGAACAACGAGCTACTATGTCGTATTGATTCAGATACAATGGAGCAGGCAGAATTCATCGACCATTCACTCGTTCTATGTGGAGATATTGTGGCTATGAAACGCCAGCTCCAAGCACTACCAACTAGGATTTGGCATGGGGCCTTGAAACTACTGATGAAGAACATTCACATTTTTGTGTCGTCTATTCCCAACCACGCCGCGAGATACATTGAGACTGCACTTCGGATTGGAGACCTAAACATTGTATGTTACCTTTCCTTCAATCAAAGATAGTGTTTCTGATACTAGTCATCAAGGACTTGAGTTTCGTCCGTTCTCTCGTACTCGTTTGGTGGTCCATCACGGAGACAATTGAGCACAATAGGCCAGATATGACGAGGATCAACGTGTTGTTCTCTATGCTCCGACATCTATCTCAATCCCAGCCTAGTCAAAACATGCCACACCGGGAGCTCCAGGCGGCGCTCCTGTCCGAGCTTTCTAACTTCGACCAGAGCAGCAAACTTACATCTGGATTCAGCATGGAGCGCCTGTGGCAGTCGTTTAGACCGGCCACGCCGACTTCTTCTGAATTACTCACAAGCACTCTCAAGCTAGAGAAAGTCGCGGAACAGTACGATTACGCTTCATATCGCTCGTCTGGTGAGCTGTTTGAGCTCGCTAGAACTCGTGCGTCTCTCTCACAGGCAATGGATCTTGTCGCTACACAAGGAACAAACCCAGAAGGTCTACTGATGGTAAGAATAGAACACTCATCAAATGTTTGTCTTACTAATAATACGTAAGGGCGTTACTGGGCTTTTGAACTCTTTGCAAACCATGGATTCCGATACTGATATTCAAGAAACACCTTCCTTTCGAGGCTTCTTTTACCTTATCAGTCAGAAACTTCGAATTGCGGACGGTGAACAAGATGAGACTGCCATCAGGCTTGCTGTGACATCTATGCTTGCCCAACAGCCAACAAAACCTAATCGTTCCGGTCATTCCATTGCTGTCAAGCTCCAGCGTCTGATTGACTATGCTGATCTAAGTGACCATACTTCTCCAATCCCGGCTCTCACTGACAGCTCATATGAAACATTGATCGTTGCTTTGTAGGTTCTCTCATTCGAAAGATACTCATGTAATCTAACAAGCTACAGGGAGCAAAAAGAGTTCACTAATCTGGCAGGAATGGCCCGTACTAGGAGAGAGATTGCTGTCTTATGTGATGTGCTCATCTCCAAGTCGTCGATATTGATGAAAGACCAAGTCGCTGTTTTGGACTCCTACTTAGGGGACATCTCCCAAGCCTTGCTGGCTGCACACTCGGACTATTTTGAGTGTAATTCGTTAGAGCTGCTGGCCAATGTTCTTGAACCCCAATTGAAAAGACTTGCATCTGTCTTGCAAGAAGCCGATCGCTATCTCAAGGGTCAATACGACACCCCTGCAGCCCGATCCCGTGCTTCAGCAGAGATATGGGTCAAGATCGCCTTTGAGGCGCTTTTGCTTTTCACGCCGAACATCACCTTTGACCCGGCGCTCAAGCCCATGATCGAACGAGACTTCTACTTTCATCGACAGCAGAGTCTCCAACGAGCCAGACAGGCACTCGTCGAATTTGAATCTCTATGCACGGGCCAGATTTCAACACTCCGCATCCGCCACATCGAGCGCCAATTGTCCGATCTTGGTAAGGAACCGGTAGCTGTACCGATCATTCGACCAAATCACCCAGAATCAGACAATCTTCAGGGAGAGTTCAACAACCTCCTGGTTGTTCTCCGACGAATTGAGACAAATGGCCTTGAAACCCTGGCGACAGCTGATGACAACTTGCTCCAAAACTTGTCACAGATTAGCCACCGACTTACTCGCGGGTTCCGTCATTACGATGATCTCACCACACCAGTTGTTGGTTTCCTGTCCTGTCTCAAGATTGGTATCACTTTATTCCAGGTGTCTTCTCGAGACCAGTCCAGTACAGAAACGGATCCGATCAACCACGTTTGGAATATGACGCCTTTCATTACTTCTCGAAGAAGACTGCTGGATGCCGAACTTGTCCAAACAGCATCCATGATTAGCTTACATTGTATGCTGGAAGCACTACAAGTTGAAGGCGCTATCGAACAAAGCTTTCGGCGATCTTCGGCTACAAATGAACTGATAGAGCACATTTTCGATCGTCTATATTTAGCTTGGAAGGAGCTCCTTCGCAAAGAACAAGAGAAGAACGCTGCAGATACAAGTCTTTATACTTATCGTGACAAAGAGAAAGATGTTGAAGAGGAGGAGACTGACCCAGACCTGTTCCCAGACTATGAGCAGGGTGGTGTAGTCCATGACCCGCCTCCGCTGGACCCAATCGAGTCTCCCCGCGGGTCCGCGAGTAGACTTGCTAGCATACATGCCGCTCTATTCGTAAAGAACAGAGACACCCAAAGTTCCATTCGAGCTATGATCTCCAACATCTCGACCATGATCGCACATACTCGGAATGTTCCTACTACCAGAATGAACACACCACAAAACATGATGCCACTCATCCTGCTGGGATTGGACAAACGATCCTGTGAGCTGGAACAGGGCGAGCCAGATTTTAAGGGGTATAACTTCTATCATGACCACAATGTCATTGAAGCTACAAAATTTCATTCACTTCTTGGGAAGATTGTGAAACGGTTTCGTCTGATAAAGAGTGTCTGGCCCGAGCACGCAACTTTGTCAGAGGTCATCGAGCATTGTCGAGAAGCCCTATCATTTAAACATATTGACCCGCTGGCTAAGATGATTACCAAAGCAGAAAAGATACACAGCGTGATGAACGAGTGGCAAAAGATCACAAGTAGAGAATTCAGTGCTGACTCATTGTACGATGGGCTCACTTCCCTTATTGTGGGCTGGAGGCGACTTGAACTTCGAACATGGGCGAGACTATTCGACCAAGAGCAGGACAAGTGTGTCGACGAAGCAAGAAGTTGGTGGTTCATCGCGTATGAAACCATAATCGTATCAACAAGGTCCTTGGACGCTTCCGATGCCTCAGTTGTAAAAACATTTACCACCTCTCTGCTGAAGACTCTCGAAAACTACATGAGAACCACCTCAATTGGAGAGTATGCTCATCGCCTAAGCTTGCTCAGACAATTACAGCTTCACTTGGTAGCTTTGTCTAGCAGCCATACGACATCCTCGACTGTTGCGATAGCGCTGGGCAACTTTATAGGATTTTATTCGCGCTTCGAGAAACCGATTCAAGAATGCATTCAAGTCCTGCGAAAACCTCTAGAGAAAGAGATCAACAAGGCAATACAACTTGCAAGCTGGAAAGACATCAACATTGATGCCCTGCGCCAAAGCGCGAAGCGTTCTCATCAGAAGCTGTCAAAGGTAGTACGAAAGTTCCGCGCGATTCTTAGACAACCGGCTTCATCAATCATAATCAGTGATATCTCACAAGATCCTCCTCTCAAGGGCTTGCCATTGAAGCAGTCCGAAATTCTCAAATCCGAGGATAAAGCAGCATTGAAAATTGTACTAAGATCAGTACCAGAATGGAATGATCGAGCTCCACGCTTCAAATTTGTGGCTTCAACAGTAGCTAAGATGCAGGCTCGAACTACTATAGGAGACTCGGGGGCTGTGGCCTGTAGCAAACTGGAAGCCTTTTTGGATGACATCGATACGACCTCGGCCCGATTGCGTAAAGAAACACCTGCCACTCTTACCAAGGAGAATACTGACAATGTTAAACATCTCAAGACACAAAAGCGCAGAGCTTTTGTAGATGTGTTGAAAGACCTTAGGAAGATGGGTTTCAGTTCCAATGTCGGCGGTAATATCTTGCTGCAACAAGAAAGCACTGCTATCATCTTATCACAGCTAGGCTCGTTCCCTGACTCGTTCCGCGACGTCACTGGCGGTGCCGAATATTACCTGCATAAAGTTTTGCAGACTATGCCTAAAGTTAGAGATATTACCAGAGAGCACTCTGGTGATGTTACTCCAGCTGAAGTAGCTCGTAGCAAATCACTCCTGGAAAGTATCATGCAGATGTCGATTCAACAGCGCAAATCAATATCTGATGCTTCTCATGTCCACTTTCGTTTCAATGAAGCTCTTCATCAGCTCGAGAATCTCTGGCGTCCAGACGAATACAAAGTCCGAGCTGAGACCATAGGATGTATATCTTTTGTTGAGCTCCACAGAAACTTTTGCTGGTTCTCAACAATGCTTGAAACCGCAAACTCATTCATCGATATACAGTCCAAACTGAGTACAATAGATCTCGCTCCAGTCACTCACGGCATCAGTGACTTTAGTGGGAAAGCGAAGACACTAATTACTCAATGCGAGGCTAGCGCGAAACTTCCGGCTCCTCTTACAACGACGCTCAACGATAGCATTGCACTTGAGATCCAACAATTGTTCGACGATGTCAAAAGCTCATTTGCCATATGGAGTAGTGAGTACCCAGCTACGCAATCTATACTCGATAAGGTACTTCCATATACGAATTTGGATTACGTCAATCCAAACATTGTTGAGAGCTTGGAAAGTTCGATGGATGTAAGCGATGCCCAAAGTGCTATACTTGACACTGCAGATGCCATGCTGGCCGCTGTCGAAGAAGTAGAAAGTGGTCTCCCAGCTCTATCACTCGCTACTGACAATGAGAATTGGCTTGTTAATCACAATAAGGCCTTCGCGAACATCACGAAATCACTGCGTTTACAGCAAGTCTGCAATCGTATCGAAGGCATAATCAGGCTAACATATACCCGCTTTACTGTACATGCAGCTCCGGACAACTCAGTCACGATTATTGCCGCATTGACATCATCTATTCTTCCTGTGTTCCGACAATACAGTAACTCTTGTTCAGAGCTGTTGACCAAATACACTGATTTCCACACTATCACGACTCAGATGCTGTATCATCTTAGTAAATCTTTTATCCAGGTTGGCACTCAGGGTTTCTGTACCCCATCAGAGATGTCTGATGAGAAGAGCGGACAAAACGAGAAACTTGAAGCTGGTACTGGTCTTGGTGAAGGCGAGGGCGCGGAAGATATCAGCAAAGATATTGGTGATGATGAGGATTTAGCTGATTTGGCCCAGGAGCCCGGCGATAAGAACGAAAAAGATGATGACATCGAGGACGAAAAGGACGCTGTCGACATGGCAGACCAAGAAATGGAGGGCGAGATTGGTGATGTCGAAGAGAAGGCCACTGACGACAGTGAGACTAGCGATAAGGGGGACGATGATATAGAGGATGACGTGGGCGACGTTGATGACCTTGGACCATCAACAGTCGATGAGAAGATGTGGGATGAGAGTGGCAACGACAATGATAAGGAAAAGGCCGGCGAGGACGCAAATGGTTCGGAAAACAAGGACGAGCAGGTCGCAGCTAGCGACGACAAAAATAAGGGGGAAGAATTCAAAGACGAGGCTGAAGATCAAGATGAGTCTGAGGCGGAGGATGGCAACGAAGAGTTAGAAGCAATTGGTCAAGATGAGGTCGAGCAGATGGATCCTCATATGCAAGAGACCGAAAAGCTTGACCTTCCAGACGATCTAAATATGGATGACAACAAATCTGATACTGCCTCGGACAGACTGGGCGAATTTGACGACTTCGACGATACTGAGGAGCAACCAGATGCAGAATGCCAAAATGACCTCCCGGAAGTAGACGACGACATGGAAGATGGCGAGTCTATGGATGGAAACAATGAGGATCCGACTGTCACTCCGGAGGAAACCGAAGAGGAGCTCACCAACGAACAAGACAAGACTGATTTCGAAGAAGTCGAAGACGAGCAAGAAGGCCCTAAACAACACCAGGACGATGTCCATGACTTGCCAGATAAAGACAACGAGCATGCTGCTCACGAGTCTGCCGACCTTGGATCCGGTCAAGATGCAATGGACATGGAGCATGACCAACAGAATCCATCGACTGGCGCTGCAGCAAATCAAAATGAAGGTACTTCGGGAGATACTACCGAGCCTGAAAGTCAGCAGCCGACCGAAGCGGGTACCGAGCAGCGTGCCGACATTACTGACGGCGCAGGGCGAGGCGAAGACGAGGAAAGCGCGGAAAGTCGTGCATTCAAGAAGATTGGCGACACAATAGAGCGCTGGTACAAGCAACAACGCGAAATTCTTGATCCTTCCTTTCAGTGCCAAGAAAGTTCAGACCAGGATAAGGAAGTCGACATGACTGACGCGGACTTCGAGCATCTACCTGACGACGAGGCTAAGGCCGATGCTCAGGCGCTCGGAGCTGCCACCGAGGAGCAAGCCAAAGCAATCAATGAGGATCTCGCACTACCTTCAGATAACGTTCAGGAGGAAAAGAAGGACGAATATGCCATGGACGTCGATGATGAAGAAGAAGAAGAAGAAGACGAACTAACACCGCAGGACGCTAACCAGAGGGACAAGAATGATCTTACTCAAGACAGAGAAAGCGATGGCAAACCTCATACTTTTATTGGTGAGTCAAACCAGCCCAGAGACCGCTTTGACGACGACATGCAAATCGAGGATGAAAACCCCGACGAAGACGCAGATGACATCGAACCAATCGAATATCAACTCTCAACCACCCACCTCGATTCCTCAAACACCTTTCGCACGGCTCAAGAAGCCCGCGTCCTCTGGTCGCACCACGAGAACTCCACCCGCCCCCTGTCGCAGTCCCTCACTGAGCAGCTTCGCCTTATCCTCTCCCCTACCACAGCTACTAAACTTCGCGGCGACTTTCGCACTGGCAAACGTCTCAACCTCAAGCGGATCATCCCCTATATCGCGTCCTCATATAAACGCGACAAGATCTGGCTGCGCCGCTCTCTCCCGTCAAAACGCGCATACCAGATCATGCTTGCGCTTGACGACTCCCAATCCATGGCGGAGCGCCGTACAACGGACCTTGCATTCGAAACCCTGGCACTGGTGAGCCGTGCACTGAATATGCTGGAAGCAGGCGAGTTAGCTGTCGTCAGCTTCGGAAGCGAAGTGCGCATTGCACATCCTTTTGAGCGCGCGTGGAGCAGCGAAGCTGGTGCAGACGTGCTCCGACAATTCGGCTTCCAGCAAAAGGGTACAGATGTCAAAAAGCTGGTAAAGCAGAGCATTGACATCTTCCGCGATGCTCGCCTGCGTGCCTCTGGAGCCGGCGCCGATTTGTGGCAGTTGGGCATTGTCATTTCTGATGGCTATCATGACAATCATGCGGAAATTCAGCGCCTCGTAAGGCAAGCTCAGGAGGAGCGCATCATGATTGTGTTTGTCATTGTTGATGCTGTAAGGAAGGCGCAGGGTGCGAGTGCGGCTTCGGGTGCGGGCGACGAGGTCAAGGATAGTGTGTTAGACCTGCGTAGTCCGGAGTTTACAGATGATGGCAAGGTCGTGTGGAAGAGGTACATGGACACTTTTGCATTCAGGTGGTATGTTGTTGTAAGAGACGTGGCTGAGTTGCCGGGAGTGCTGAGTATGGCACTAAGGCAGTGGTTCAAGGAGGTTGTCGATTCGTCATGATAGACTATACTTTGTGAGATGAGGCCGTTAGGAGTTTGTAGAAGGGCATAAAAGTTTATTTGCTTCTTTAAGTATGGTTCTAATTGAGAAATTCCAATCCTTACGGATCTCCGTGAACAGACATCGCCGTGCGCACGACGTTCCTATCCCAGTGTCCGAGGATATTACAATAATATCACAAATATCGCTTTGGCCTCGGTCCTCGCCGGCTATGCTGAATAATGGACATGATCCAGGACAACGGTATACGAATGAGCAGGTCGATCTAGCCTTTTCACCATCCATATCGAACCTGCCGTGAAGCAGCGATTAGAGGTATCTGACAGCCCGAGGATGACACTATTGCTCCTTGGACTAGCCTATAGAAGCAATTTTTGAAACATCCAACAGGCATTCAGTTCAATGTTCTCATCCTCTTGCGTTTTGTGGTAGCGTCATCAATCTCTGTTCGCCTTGAGCCCCTCTGTATAATCGGGACTAATAACTTCATTAGGCTCACCTGAGCTCAATACTGAGGTTACAAAGTGTTGTATTTGACACTGCCTGATATATATTAATGCCTCAGTCAAGGGCGACAACATGAATCCCGTGGGCAGGATCATTATCATTGAATATCGTTCCTGAGAAGTAATTATTTTCAAATTACAAGTCCGTTCGTGTTCTGGATCTTGAATGTGTGTGATTTACATGCAGAGAAGTGAGAAGCTGTTTTCGAGCGCGAAATAGTCAGTTTCATATGTATCTTCCATTGGCCAGTGTGCGAGTGTGGATATCTCCTCCTCCGGAGATGTCCAAAAATGATCGCGACTGGAGTGGACCAGAAAGACAAGGACAAGCTCTTGTGATCTTGAATCTAATCATGCTATGTTGAGTTGGGTCGTTGCCATTATGATCTGGGACAAAGAGAACTTGGAGGACAAGAACCGGTTCAAAGCAACGGATCATGGTTCATTATCTAGATTATAGGTCAAGGCAGCGACAACATCACATACTGGCCGATCAATCCAATGTTCTCGACATGAGAAGCAGCATTGTGGGAAGGCAGAAAATAATTGCCTTGTAGTCAACTCTGTGATAGACACGTTCTCATAAGTCCAAGTCATTTTTTTCTTTGGGATCTTTCCGGATTGATTCTTCCGCCCAGTCAAGTCCATCTCTCCAGGCCTTGCCTGCACCCACTGGTTCGTCCATAGTTCTCAATATCTGGCAGAGTTCGCCAACTGTTTCTCTTCCAACATGTTTCAACCACCAAAACCAATGCTCATCCGCCACCAGATGTACAGCCCAGTGCAATATTACAAAGAGGGCTAGCCTGTCCTGAGCAAGAAATGCGTCCAGGAATCCTTGTCCCATAAACATCGGCAAGGCTAGAGTCCATCCATGGATCACGACGGCACCATCTTCAATAAGCAGGAGCGTGGCTAGCTGGTCCATGGAGCCGCGATACACGGTGGAGTCCATCCAATCGGGCACTTCTGCATCTGCAACTGCCTTGACGCTTTGCCAGATAGCCTTGCGTGGAGGTTTAAGTCCAGTCTGGCTAACGGACTTTAGAGCAGAAAATCCTGCGAGAATGATGGGCTCTACGGGCGTGTCTTTCCACCATTCCGGGTCCATTCGCACGATACGTCCAGCGCCTTGCATAAGACTGAACGTAGTGGCAAGCCGAGTGAAGATGTTTGGTGTCTTTTGGGCCATGTCTTCTTGCGTTACAGGCTCGTGTTCAGCCGGAACAGCTTGTGGAAGAGCCATGTTGATAATGAAGACGTGGCATGCGAAGATGTATGCACAGTGATATGTCCTTGGGCTAAGTTTATCGATCTCAGACCGGAACAAAACTATCGCTTTATCGTAGTATTCCAACGCCGCCTGTATATAGAGTTTGCGGTCACCAGGATCGCTTGAATGGTGTAGAGAAGGAATATCCTCCCATCGATCGCCGTCCCAACCCCGAACAGCAATATCTAAAGCAGTAAGTGAGTAAATACTGTTCAGCAGGTAGTGCTCTGAGAGTGCGGCACGTGGGATCTCTATCCGGTGGTAGTGTGCATCTCCTTCCATTTGCAAAACACATCGATACGTCGTCGACGTCCATCTATGCATAAGTTCTAATTCGAGCAGATGGCGGGCCTGTAATCTCTGGAATTCGTGCTCTGTTGATTGACCTGGAGGAGACTTTCTGACGCGACCGATTGAAGTTTTGGCACTTGCATCGACAGTAGAATTATAAGCGCATGAAGCTTCTCTCTCCCGCGAGATACAGTTCGCGCAGGGAGGACCTTGCTCATCGCACTTTTATTAAGATCAGTACATGTAGGCTAGCCTTGGTACGGTGTTGAGGTACTTTGATGTGTTTAGTCTTACAATTGCTGCATCCTCTACGGGACTTGCTATGGTACGCCCTCTTCTTCATGCTCGTAGAAGCTGACGTGTAACTTCTTCTACCGTTGAAGGAATTGAATCAACAGCGACTGACTTGTGTATACTGCTACACGTCTGAAAATGCTGCTACTACTCGTTGACTAGACACATGCTGTTCAGTCGCTATTGTCGTCTCTGGACCGATGGTTGGACTCGATCAGATCTAGCCTGAATTGTTTGTGATCAAGGTCATGTTCATGTAAATTGTGCTATATTGCCACGATGGATTGTAAATAAGCAATGGCACTCGAAGTACCTAGCACTCAAAGTACTAGGCATTATCTGCGGCCTGCCTGGCTGAGTGTAGAAAAGACCGGCCCCATGAAGCTAGCTCCATATGATGCAAAATATGCCTTAAGGCACCAAGTCACTTCTGTTCTTTTAAGCCAACCGCGGTAGCAACAGTTGGGGTCCTATCATGGCGATGTTGATTGACGATTGACGTATATTACAAGGTCGCAGGGCTACGTACGACTGTGAAGCTTGACCATAGTAATTGATAACGGGGGTGGCATTATCTTCTCCTGGCTGCCCATATATTGTGAAAACAGAAACAGATGCAGTGCCTCATAGCCTGATCTCAACGTCGTGCAGTATAGTCTGGAAGACAAAGTTATGTTTCGCTATGGGATTTCGGCAATTGAGCGGTGGGCGAGAGAAAGACATGGATGGATGGCCCGATGCTGATGCCGTTGCCTGCTCCACCTCTTCCGCCACAGATTGGCGAGACAAGTGATGATGTCGCGGGAATCCACATCTTACGACTTTCACATGACTTGATCTTTCGGTGGCCTGTCAGGCACTGGACATTGCCCGATAGGGTAAAGCCCCGCCAGCACGGCGGATGGTGGTTCGATGTAAACGCAGCTCGATTTTCAGGGTGTACGTCGCACGGACTTTTTCACGCCATCATCTCCATCCCTCCTAAGATAGTCAAAACCTCTTCCGCCGCCGCGCGGAGCCATCTGCTCGCATATACCCGATTGCGCTGCTCTACATTCTTGTCGCATCAACCTCGAAAGGCTGCCACGCCTTGATTAGTATACTTCCCACATACAACTATTACGACTATCACGATGCCTATGATACTCGACTCCCCAAGTCCTTCACCACCCGCGACGCCTGCCGTCAAGTCAATCATTACGAACGAATCGACCGACCCCCGCAAAATTCGGCGGGAACGGCACCATGAAGCAGATATAGTGATAGTTGGCGCTGGAATAATAGGAACGGCTGCTGCTGTGGCATTTGGCAAGCAAGGTAGAAGCGTTATCTTACTAGAGAGAGACCTAAGGCAACCGAATCGAATTGTTGGAGAATTGCTACAACCTGGGGGAGTAAAAGCTTTAGAGAAACTTGGTCTAAGAGGTACATATCCACAGGACTGGTCGTGCGTTCTTTCTTTGGAAAACTGGTTACTGACTACACCACAGACTGTCTCGAAGGTATCGACGCCACCGTTTGCAAAGGCTACGAAGTACGCTACTATGGCGCGCCTGTACACATTCCATATACGAATCCTGGTGGCACAGAGCTGCCAGAAGGTCGAAGTTTTCACCATGGAAGATTCATTCAGAAGTTGAGAGAGGCAGCCATGCGTACACCAAATGTGACAGTCGTTGAGACCACCGCGAACGATTTTGTCAAGGATGACTACACAGGACAGATCCTTGGTGTGGAATGTTCAACAAATGGAGAGAAAGATTACGTGAGTTGTCAAGAAGTTATCCCTTGCTCTTGACTAAACGTCAGCAGTATTTTGGACACCTCACACTAGCATGCGACGGCTACGCCTCGAAATTCAGAAAGACACACCACACGCGGACACCAAAACAGCGCTCGAAGTTCTTCGGCATGGAACTGATTGACTGCGACCTACCGAGAACCCAGCATGGCTTGGTCAATCTTTCAGATTCGCCCCCTGTACTCCTGTATCAGATCGGAACTCACGAGACAAGGGTGCTAATTGACGTACCAGAAGGCTACGAGAAGGCATCTGTAAAGAATGGAGGTGTCAAGGGATACATCAAGAACATTGTTCTGCCTAGCCTGCCGAAGAGTGTCCAACCAAGTTTCAAAGCAGCTCTCGAAGCGGGCGGTCTACGAAGCATGCCTAACTCCTTCCTTCCCGCTGCAACAAACTGCACCCCTGGCATGGCCATTATCGGCGATGCATTAAATATGCGACATCCTTTGACCGGTGGCGGTATGACTGTCGCGTTCAAAGATGTCGTCCTACTCAGCGATATGCTATCCCCCGAAATTGTACCTGAGCTGTCGGATACCAAAGCTGTTCTACACCAATTCAAGTGGTTCCACTGGCAGCGCAAAGGCGGCAGCTCCGTCATCAACATCCTCGCTATGGCGCTGTACAGCCTCTTCGCGGCAAACGACCCAACTCTCGCCACACTTCAACGTGGCTGCTTCCACTACTTTCTCCGCGGCGGCGCCTGCGTGGACGGGCCTGTCGGTCTCCTCGCCGGTCTCATCCCCAACCCTATGGTCCTCTTCTACCATTTTTTCTCGGTCGCACTATACGGCATCTGGATCCGCATCGGCGAAGGCTTCTCACGAAAAAGACTTGCTGCTGACGGGATTAACGTTGCAGGCGACAAGGAGACTGGCGAGTGGATCGTAGGCATATTTCAGACGCTCGGCTGGATACTAATAGGAGGGCCACTGTATGTCTTTATAAGAGCTGCGGGCGTGATTGGCGAGTTTGTGCTTGGCGAGGTTGGCTACTAGAAGGGATGCACACGTTCGCTTTTGTTGTTGTATGAGTATTTTATTCAGAGCACGGCGTTGCATTCATGATACCTAACGTTTTAGCGTTTAGCAGTTTTTTAATGCATTGGGTGGATAGACACAATTGTGGCAGCCCGGCGTGGCGTGGCGTGGCGCGGTGGTGTACAGACTGGATACAGTACATACATATAGACGAACAGACAGACGCATATTCTAATACCACGCACTCGATCGTGATAATGCATCGCTGTAAACATGTTATCACAGTACAATGTTCTCCTGTCAGCACAATATACCATGCACAATCCGCCGTCGCCATCATACATATCTCCACAGTCCACACGCAGCACCGACCGCCAAGCCCGTCACAGCTCTCTTTGCCCTGGTAACTCTGGATTACCTAGGTGCCTTACCTATCCATTCCAACCTAGGTAGGTTCCCAATAGTCGGCACTGATTGGCGCCAAATGCCCCCACTGTCTGTAATTTCCCACTCCAGCGGGGCCAGCAGATGTCGTCGTTTGTCCGAGCTCGCGCGCTTATGAACTTGCTGGTTTGCACGAATCAGAGCGCAGGATGGCGTGGGTTGGTAATTGGGGTGTTGAGGGTGAGGGATAATAGGGGAGTTGATGATAATGTGGAGGATTGGGTGTGATGTCGACCGGGATGTGGAGAGTGATGGGAATGGGGATGGGGATGGATATGATATAATAATGTGGATGAGATATGTGATACTTAGCTGGGTATGTTTATTGTCCACAGTAGGTTGATCAAGCTTTGAGCCTCTGTGACGATGGGCATGGGCATGGATCTCCTGGATCCTGGCGAGCGAGAGGGAGAGAGAGGGAGGTGGAGAGCTTGCCCTGGTCTCCCGTTTGGTGAGTGAGGTATTAGCCCGGTACATACTGTAGCTCGTATTGTTAGGTGGTGGCCCAACTGCTGGCCGGTACGTTACCAAGGTAATAGACTGCTAATATGCCTGGTAATGGCTTAGCTATCAATCAAGACTGTTCTAGTCTGACTCTGGCGCTCGCTCTGGCTGCATCGCCAACGAAGTGAGAGTGAGTGAGTGTGCTTGCTTTGGGCCTTTTGGCGTTGAATCCCCCCCGGTCCTCATCTCCTCGTGACTTTTCTTCTTCGATTCCGGACCATTATATTCTCCAGCTTGTCTATCTATCTACTGATTATTGTCTATCTACTTCCTTGCTGCCGGTACATACCCGTCATCCCGTACATTCGTTGTACGCATTGCACCGTTTCAGCTCCAGCTTCACTGCAACTGTTCTTGACCTTCTCCAAGGCCGCTGCCGCTCAATCTCGCTTACACTTCTGCCCCCGGCCTCGCTGGCTGTTCCGCCTGCCAGACCTAACCTTCCTTCAACTTACCTCACCATCAACCCTCCACCATCCACCGCTCACCTTCAGCCTGTCATCCTCATCGCGCGCATCTTCGTTAGGACGAGCTCCGAGTCAAGCCTTGTCGCTGCTGTCTCGTGTCAAGCTCGCGCGCTCCCACTCCTCCGAGCTCCCTCGCCATACACTCGCGACCCATCGCATAAGGCTCACCCGGCCATTATCGCCTCCGCCAACTCATCTCAGTACGTTTGAGCTGTGTCGCCTCAAGCCCTCTGTCTCAACGTCCTTCCAATTGTCTTCGGCCTCCCTTGAGGGCCTCATTGCCCCACATGAGCCAAGAAGCTCCTCCAGCTGTTGGAGATCACTCGGATCGGTTAACTGCCACAGGCAAAGTTCCCATCGACTCTGGCACGCCTCAACCCAACGGTCCTCGCAAGTCCCGTATGTCAACATTCTATACTCTCTTACCATCTTCCATCTACGTTTAAGCTTCTGCCGTCAATTGGTACTGATCAATTAATCGCAGGCTCATCAGCGTCGAATCGTTCACATTCTGCGAGCTCAGCCAAGCGGCCTTCGTCGCGTAAGTCATCCAAGAGTAACCTGAAGTCTGGGCGTGGTGGATCTACAGAAGACCAACCTGGTCGCAAACGCTCTCTCCTAAACATCCCAAGATCTTCACAATCTCAGAATAAGGACGAGGCCGGGACTACGAGTACTGCGCTAAGCGGGGCGACTGTCGGTGGATCCTCAGAAAGCATTGGTCGGGCTTCGAAACGAAGCTTGACCGGGAGACGTCGAGCAGGTAGTACAACCAGCGGTGCGTCACAGGCTAGGCCGACGAGATCAGAGAAACATTCTCAAGCACAGGGGGTCGAGGCACCTGAGTCTGAAAAGGGCCAGAAGAAGGGCAAAGGTGGATTGCTAGCATTCTTGAACTGCTGTGGTGTACCAAAGAGCGGCAATCTCGTTGATCAGGACGAGCCCACAGAGCCGTCGAAGAAGGCGAGCAAGTTGCGCTCTGGCCGTAGCACTCAACCGACCCCCAAACAGGATGCGAAGGCGCCTGAGTCGAGTACCGCAGATACACAAGAAGGAGATCCCGAGAAGGCGGCTGTCGGAGGACTCGGAGGCAACGTAGACACCACAGGTCAGATTGATGGGATGTCGGAAGAGCAACAAGTATCAAATACTGCTGTCGCCGCACTACCAGCTGTCTCTGCCGAACGCACCGAACAGCCGTTGCCAGATGTGCCAATACAGCCCGGCCAATTGGACACAGGCCCACAGGTCACTGTGCAAGCGCCGACCCCTGTAGCATCTCCACACGAAGAGGCGATTGCTGACAGGTCTCCGGAACAACGTCAACTTGACATTGACATAGAAATGTCAGATGCTCCCCCATCACTACCGTTGGCACCGAACGATGTTGCAAAAGAAGGCGAGGCTGCGCAGACAGACGCAGCAACCTCTAGCACCGTGGATCTCCCTCCCCCTCCACCTCTTGACCAGAGACAAGCACAGACTGGCACCGCGCCTGTGCCTGGTACTACTCTCGAGACCACAAGCAGTGTTGAGCCGGGTAAACGATACTTACTCCCTCCAATCCGGCCCGAGTTCAAGGGCAAGAAGTGCCTCGTCCTTGACTTGGATGAGACGCTGGTTCACAGTAGTTTCAAGGTTCTCCACCAGGCTGACATGACGATCCCGGTCGAAATTGAAGGCCAATATCATAATGTATATGTCATCAAGAGACCTGGTGTTGATGCTTTCCTGAAGCGAGTTGGCGAGCTATACGAAGTGGTGGTATTCACCGCATCCGTATCAAAATACGGAGATCCTCTACTGGACAAGCTCGATATCCATGGCGTCGTTCATCATCGTCTCTTCCGTGAGAGCTGTTATAATCACCAAGGAAATTATGTGAAGGTACGTCACCGTTATTCACGCTTTATGCTGTACCGTACTAATTTTTCAAAGGATTTATCACAAGTTGGGCGTGAACTCAGAGAAACAATCATTATCGACAATTCGCCTACATCCTACATATTCCACCCCCAGCATGCTGTGCCGATCAGCAGTTGGTTTTCCGATGCTCACGATAATGAGCTGCTCGACCTCATTCCCGTACTCGAAGACCTGGCAGGCGCCCAAGTGAGTGATGTGAGCATGGTACTCGACGTATCTCTATGATGATATCCCATCATTGACCTCGAATCGGTGAAAAGCCTGGTTGCCATTTCTCCGAGTACGCACGTCTGATAATACCCATTATCTATTGTAATACGCATAGCGGAAAACCGCAACCGGCAAAGTATCAGCAACACCCAAAAGCGCAATCATTCCAACGAAAAGTCGAGACTGGCGTCGCGGGAGTATTCACCATTTCCACCTTCTCGCTATTGAGCCCCGTAGTATCGTACAGCGAAATCCAACCCGCCCTTGTTACACTAGCAGCGAATACAAGCATCATTGCATACAGACATATATCCTATTCTTCCAGGAGCTTCCGGCTTTTCCTCTTTTTCTTTTGTTTGTGGCAGGCCGAAGCTGATCTATCGGTCCCTGTCTACGTATAGCCGAACGGAAGTTTTTATGAACTCATACATTGCACAGTCGAGTCGAGTTCAGTTATCGGTCAAATCTCACTGCTTAATTCCTTTTGGTACGCCTCGCTAGTCAATTACCATCTATTGTCAGAATGTGCACAATTGAGGATCCAGCCAACAAGCCAATCATGTTACTCGGACCTTCAACGGCATCAGTTGGGAAGAGGCCGCCTAAAAGCTTTCCGTCCTCGCAAGTCCGCGTCGTCCAGCATAATTTGTATCTCCTTTGTCGTTTCTGCGTGTTAGCGAATTGGCATGTCTGATCCTCTACCAACTTAAGGGGGTTGATATGTGGACAGACGCACGGATTGTTTTCTCAGTAGACCAAGACAGGCAAAAGCATTGTAGGGCTGTACTAGCGAGAAGACTGGCTGGCTGTACGGCACGGCTGCCATGTGCGTGTGAGTCTCTCTAATATACGTATAAATTCGAGTTATGGTGTTGTGATGCGACGTGTTCTGTTCTGTATGTGAATTACTTGCTGTACTAAATGTGTGAAGAGTCTACATGTATCGGCTTGTGAACTCTCACCCGGAATATGTCTGATATGAGTCCGGTGCATAAGGCTGACTCGCTACTGTCACTTCGGCGCGATGGGTAACAGGGGACAGGGACAGGGTGGTAATGACGAAAGTGGCATGTGGGGGGCAAGGGCAGGCCCGCCTCTGGAGCTGCAGCTTGCATATGACAAACTTTCGTCCCTCGTGTAGCGCCTTTCTTCTTATGCACTCGTTCATTCGTGAGGGGCATATTAAACATTCTGTTCTGGAACGATACACTATCAGCTCTTCTGCAATTCATCATCATCGTCAACGACGACTTACAACGACCGATCCACTAGTCAATATTATTGTATCCGCCATTCTACTACCTTTTACTTGACCCGCGATCATGGTCCCTGCAGCAGACACACACGAGACCATGAAAGGTGCTGGTGTACCCACAACCTCCGACGCAGGCTCGTACCCGTCTGCTGAGACAGCACATAAACCTACAGATGCAAAAGGCTGGGATGGGAAGCTGAGGCTGAACAAAACCGACTTGAGAGGGGGAGATGGTGCGGGCTTTGTGGACCCGGAAGCAGAAAGTGAGCCGGAGGACAGTGATGAGGAGGAGGGAAACGCAGAAAGAGATGCTTCAGAGGGCAGAATAGTCAACGTGCAAGAAGGCACGCCGATGGAAGGCGAGGCGATCAATGCTGACGAAGACTTGCTAGAGGAAGAAGATCTAGAAGAGGATGATATCAACCTTGTACACTGTCGTGTGAAGTCAATACCTGCTCTAAGACTAGAACGGTTCAAGAAGATCGAGCGACTATGCCTGAGACAAAATCAGATATCCACAATCGAGTTTCCAGAGGATTTGGGAAAGACATTGACAGAGCTTGACTTATACGATAATGCAGTCGCACATATCAAAGGTCTAGACGCCCTCACAAAGCTTACTTCGTTGGATCTGAGCTTCAACAAGATCAAGCACATCAAGAGACTCGAGCACCTTATTGAGCTCCGAGATCTCTACTTCGTACAGAATAAAATCCAGACCATAGAAGGCCTATCAACGCTTACAAAACTCCGCAACCTCGAGCTGGGCGCGAATCGCATCCGCGAGATTCAAGGCCTGAAGACCTTGACTGCCCTAGAAGAACTGTGGCTCGGCAAAAACAAAATTACCCAAATTCGCGGTCTCGACACGCTCACAAACCTCACAATTCTCTCTATCCAATCAAACCGCCTTACCAGTATATCCGGTATCTCGCATCTTGCATCTCTTGAACAACTCCACATCTCGCACAACGCACTCACCTCTCTTTCTGGCATCGAAAACAACACCAACCTCCGCACACTAGACATTTCCAATAACCCAATCACATCACTCGCGGGTCTGAAGCCCCTGGTCCATCTCGAGGAGCTATGGGCCAGCTACTGCAAGATCGACGACTTCAAAGATATCGAACAAGAACTGAACCACTCTCAGGAACTGACGACGGTCTACTTTGAGGGCAATCCTGTGCAGTTGCGTGATCCGGCGCATTACCGTTTGAAAGTCAAGCTAGCGCTACCACGGATCATGCAGATTGATGCCAGTAAGTCTTTTCCCCCCGCATGGTCTAAAGGTAATCTTTTCTTACCGTGATTTATAGCAATGATACGATGAGGATGTACCGTCCAGAGTGAACATGGCATGAGTTTGACGAGTAATGCACGACGATGCATGACGCGGGCGTTTTTGACTGGCAGCGTAGAGTTTAGATGTGTGGGTGTTCATGATTAACACGTGTGTCCGTGTATGTTATACATACACACAGCATATAGCATATAGCATGTCGTATATTCTCGCCCAGCGCCACTAGTAATACATACTACCTACATAGAACTAAAAAAACATAGGTCCAGATCTAGCTAGAGCTAAGAATATTACTTTACGTCAGAGAGAGGGAGAGGACTGCTAGTACCCCTTCAAATCTTCCACCTCCTTTGATCAACTATCCCTCCAGAATCGATCGCCTATCACCCACCTCGCCCATGCGTACATGTATATAAATACGTTACTGTCAAAACGCATAGTATACGTGATTAGCACCCACATCCACCCGCAATCACCACTCCTTTGCCCCCACCCCAATAATGCCGTATTCCAAACTAACGCTCCCAATAAAGACACCCTGATTTTCTCAGAAATGCTATCTTATGAGAAAGAGGAGCGTTCAAGCAAAGACGAACGCAATAGTGGTTATTGGATGCTGTTTGTTAGCATAGAGGCGAGGACACAGATCCGAATCTGGTACTGTTGAAGGGCGAGGGATACCAGTCAGGATCCATGGATCACGCGGGCTGGAGTAAGTTGAATCTAGTGGGGAGTTAAGGAGATGCGATGGTCATCATCTGGCGAATGCAGGGAATGCGAGAGGGGATGGACGGGAGTAGATAGCAATTTCCGAACAGACGGACAGATATATATCGTGTCGTTTGGCAGCATATTGCATTTCAATATATACCCTGAGTGCGATACTGGAACGTATCATACCTGCACACACACACAGGTTAGCACGACCTGCAATCAACAGCACAGAACAGAGCACCATGCAAACTCACAGCCTTGTGTAATAACTGCCCAGACTCTTGGCGACCAGCTCCTCGACGAAGCCTTCAGCCTCGTCGCGGCTGAGATGCAAGACGAAGCGCTGCCGCAGCGCCTGCACGCTCGTCTGCACGCCGCCGGCAAAACAGGGCATCTTGCTATGCTGGCCCATCAACTCGACTAGCATGACGATCCTCTCTGCCTCCTTGCGCAGCGCCTGGAATGACTGTTTGCACAGCTCCTTGAACAGCTCAAACGCCTCGCTTCCCACGCCGCCCAGAACGTCGACGTATTCCTGCGTTAGCTTGAACGGCGCGGCCTCGAAGCCCATGCTGCCAGGGCTGTTGGACAGCATGAAGCCGAAGTCGATATGTACTATATGGCCTTCCGTGTCGACCAGGATGTTGCCGTTGTGTCGATCTTTGAGCTGTAGCACGTAGCAGATGACGCTGTACGCAGCGAGTGAGCGGGCAAATGCATCGACGGCGTCGGCGTGAGAGTCCATTTCTGCGTTCCCAAATGTCTTGACAAAATGATCATGTAGCGAGGCAATACGTTTCCGCGGGTTTGTGCCGGCTGCAATGCTGGCGAGAGTGAGGCTGCGTTTGAGCGAGTGTAGGGAGACGCCATTGGTGATGGTCTCGATGAGGCCGGACGATTCTCCCGTGACGAGGATACGCATACGTTTCACCCACACGGGAATCGCGGATTCGATCCAGATGCGCGAGCAGACCTGGATGAGTTGGCAGGCAAAGGCTTCTTGCCGCAAATCGGCGCCTGTTTTGACGATGACACTGATAAGATCCCAGTTCTTGTACCAGCCCCAGGGAGAGGTTTTGCGAATGCGTTCCTTTTTCGCAATCCAATCTTCACCGAAAGTGGCGGCACTGGGATCGTCGCGGTCGCCTTTGCGTTGGACACCGCCCGTTTTGGAGTCGTTTTCCATGCGGGCAGCGCCAGCACCAGAACTAAGGTTTGGATCAGTGGTGTCTAGGGCGTCGTCGATTTCGAGCGAAGCACCAGGAGCGAGGCGACTTGTGTCCTGCATGATGCTGTCGAAGGTAGGACTACTGTTCTCGTCTGTGAAGCTTTGTTCCTCGAGACTTTGCATACTAGCGATGATCTTTGCTTTGATTGCTGCCACTTCGCTCTTCGGACGTTTGGACCCACTAGTCTCAAGCTGAGCAAGCATCTGTGCGGCTGTTCTCATATGCGTAGCCAGTGCAGAAAAGTCAGGTTGATCAGGAGCTTGGTTGCGATTGTTTATTGGTAGTGTCATCTTACGTAGAGGGGTAGGACTGTTAGATCTGCTAATGTCTGTCGCTGAGCTTCGAGGAGTTGATACTGCCGTTGCAGACGATGTCGTATGCCCACCGCTAGATGACCTTGGTGCCAGCACTGCCTGTACAAGCGGACTTGAAGGTGCGTGTATTGTGATTTTCGATACATTCATAATGTCTTCATCTGGATCTCGCATTAGGGAGGTAGTCCCAAGATCTCCATTCGCCGGCTCCAGCACACTGTCTGGGACTTCTTCGCCGCCTTTAGCAGATATTTGAGTCGGCGACGCACTCGTGATATCAAAAAGACGCCGTTTTTGGGAAGATTTCTCTAGCAGTATCTTGCTCAAAATACGCTCGTTCGCCTCCGAGTCAGGGTCGAAGTCGAAATCTTCCCTCAATACCTCTACTAAGAGAAGATATGGCACCCTTTCCGCGCTGTTCAAACTCGTAGCTTCAGCGGGGTTAAGTCGCACGATGCGATGATGTCTGCTTTTCGCAGCAGCTCCGTCTTCCAACACAGCAGGATAGATTAGCGGAATGTCGACTTCCGCAGGTAGGTCTTGAGCGATCAAAGCCAACTCCGCACGAAGGGCGCTCAAACGCGCGGGCTTGGGCACAACAACCAACCGATTCGAGATGTCCTCCAGAGCGGTGAGGAATTGAGTCTGGCTCCGGAAGTAATTTGCCCGTAGCAACCTCCGTTTCTGCTCACGTGTAAGGTTGCTTGGACTAAGAGGTTTTGAAGCCTCAGAGCGTCGCCTTGCCGCGGAAAGATTGCTAGGGCGAGTGTCATACCCAGCCGTTGCAGGCGGTGTGGGTAGAGCTGGCGATACACCAGGACGAAAATCGGGGAGAGACGACGTTGAAAGTCTGGCCTCCTTTCCTATAGCGAGAAGAGATGGTCGCGTGCCCGCAGCGCGTGGTCTCTGTGACTTTCTCAGAGCATCGCTCGAGGGAGATAATGGCTTTTGACTCGGTACGGACGTCGGTCCTCCTCGACTGGGTTGTCGTGCATCCTCTGGGTCTGAATGGCCCTGGGCTGGTCTGGGTCTTCGCTGCCGCGCAGGTCCTCCACCAACTGTCTGACTTCTGTTCAACTTCTGCGCCTGGATTCCATCTGATATAATATCGTCATCCAGCGGCCGCGGCTTGCGGGCTTGAGCGACGGCCAGGGGTCCAGCATGTCTGGATAAGAGAGGCGATGCGGCAGACGCAATTATGATACTTGACAGAACTGAGACTGGTAATATGTTCTCTTTTATCTTTTCTCTCTTGATGGGCTCTGCACCACCAAATACTATACGTTGCACTTTGTTGTATATTCTTCGACATGTCCTGAAGGAGTTCGAATTTGGGTCCGGAGAGAGGTCGTGAAGGTAGGTTTGGAATAGCCAGAAGGTCTACAAGTCAGCCGAGAATGTATACATGGCATAGAGACCTTCTTACAAGTAGGGCGCCATTTACGGATTCCTCGCACAGGTCATATATAAACTCCTCCAATGCCATCGACTCATTTTCTACACTAATGAGCAGGTGGCATACTGCGTCTCCATTAGCAGCCAGAAGGCCCTCTTTTGCGCGGACTACCTACACTGAGGCAAGAAGAACTCTATCTCGGCCCATGAGAACTGTCGCAGCTTGGAGCAGAGGTGGTAGTGAATTCCGACGTGATCTGCATACCGGGACAAGTACGCGACCGACAGACTCGGGTCATTGTTGAAGTGGTCCGACTCAATGAATCGTTCTAGCAAATTCCAACTCATGAGGATCGTGTCATGGGGACGAGGCTCATTGAGTTAGTCGTCCACGCTTGATTCGCAATATCATGGCGGTGTGGGGCAAAGGCAGAGGCAGTAGGCTAAGAGCGACAAGTTGAGGACTAACTTGAGAGCTCCCTGCACTTAAACTTGAGGTTCGGGCATTCGGCTCATCCATCCGAGCATCCATGGATTGTTTCCTGTCACCCGTGACATGTAGAGCGAGTGCGTGCGTTTACAACTTTTAAAAAAACTTCAGTCTGCGGGATGTTTTGCATGCCCAGACTATGCGAAAGCTGAATTTCACGATGTATTATAACCACGGAGTCGTGAACGGCTATCTCCGGGCACCATTTTTCATTGACTAGCCACAAGCTCACCCAAGAGCACGCGATGGGATCGGCTCCGACTGGTCTGGTTCTCAACTTCCCTATAAATAGACACCATCTAGGTCCTATCTCCCCTTCATTATTCGCAATAATACATCCTCCCGCCAAAACTCGGCCCAGGTAGAACTGATAGCCTGCCGTACAGAATGCTAATGCACGAATCCCTTAATCAACACCGGCGTACAAATCAACGACTATGTTAACTGCTGCTACCAGGATCTCAGCAGCGATCAACACAATGACGATCCACTCCAACAACTCGCCCTGCAATATCAGTTAGTCTAGGTCTGTAGCTAGTGGGATGGTGGAATTACGTGGGTTGCGGTTAGCTGGTCTTTCAACACTGCCAACAGGTCTGCAATGACATCTAGTCGCTCCGTGAGGAGTCCAACTCTCTGGTCCATTTCCAGATAACTTCGTACTGCTTGATATACAGGATCCAGTTGTGGCTCTGCCCACATCAGCTCGGGCGCATCCAAAACAGAACCTTGGAGGTGTATGCTGATTCTCAGGATGAACAATTCGCCAATCTGCATGTTTATTTGCTTCCGAGTCAAATCGACTTTTCCGGACATTGCTATTTGCGCCGGTATGTCTTTCGTTGACTCGATCGTATTATCAACAAGATCTTCGTATAAAGACGTCTATCGTATATTAGTTCTCTAGAACAAACAAAACAACTGTCAGGTACTTGCCTTGACACTCTGCGCGAGCGCATGACTGATGGCTAGCTTTGTCATGTAGTTCTTCTTCTCGCGTAGACTGATGAAGTCATTGTAAATCCTGGCTTGGTATTCGCGAGTATAGTAAAAGTTGAAATCTTCCGTCTGGACGTCGTCTTTAGCTAATTTTTCAATTTCAAACTTGGAAATCTCCTTCAAGAATCGATGCTCCTGATGCATGCTCATGCCCCAAATAACGACAGTCCCGTAGTTGAACAAAAATACCTCAGGTATGTGTACATTAGTGTCAAAGTCCGCTGGGTTAGGCCGAGATTCGGGCAAACTTTGGTAATCGGGGATGACATCTTGAACTGAAGAACTCTCTCCGGCGTGCGAGCTGGGTTCTTCGGAGCTTTGGCCATGTAAGTTGATGAGATCATCCCTTCGTTGCTCGTTGTGCGTCTCGACTTCGATCGCGCTATCCGAGTATCTTCTTTCCCGCTCCTGTATTGACATCAAGTGATGCTCTGGCCCAGGCTCTGTAAATTTGTCCATCCCGTGCTTGTCATATGTGTACGGGGAATATATACATTCGTCGAACAGCTTGGGCACTGCACCTCTTAATCTAGCCTTCCCTTTCAGAAAGCGCATAAGATCTTCCATTCGATACGATGATGCTGTGCAGTACGCTGTAACCCTAGGTAGCTTCTCTCGATCCTCTTTACCGAGTCGCGCCGCATCTCTCCTCGATGTGGGGTCTTTCAATCTTGTAAACTGTGCATAAACGTCTCGTCCACTCTCTTCATCCCCATCTTCGCCTTGTTCTGGATCAGGTAAGAGCTTCAATTTTTGAGCAGTTCTTGTGGTTCGTTGCGGTCCAATTTTCGGCGCTGGTATTGAAGGTAGAGTGCCAGCAGTACTATTACGTCTTCTTAGCTTGCTATTGAGCGCTGACAGAACGGGCTGTTTTCCTCCGTGATGAGCCGTCACTGGAGGTAAAGGATGTATGGTAGAGGGTCGAACAGCAGACGACGTAGGAGGGCTACTAGCGAGCACGGTAGGATTAAAAGTCACGTTGCGTTGCGGTCTCGTGAAAGGTTTCGGGGCTGCTGTCCGTTGTGACGATTTCTGTGCCTGACTATCAGAATGCAAAAGGGGTGTTGATTCAGCTGTTGCGGAAGCCATTGCGGCGCTATCTATTGAGTGGATGTGATCCCGAAAGCATGTATTCAGAGCTGCATGGCCATCGCAAGCTGTCCGGTCGGAGTGTTTCAATGAATGCTAATTAGCGTGGTCGAATGCAGTGCATTGTCTGTTGAACTGGAGGTGGGAGTGAGAGATTTGAAAGGACCGTTTGCATGTGCTCAATAGGTGGTCTATGCAAAGCCAGGATGTAGCTCGGAGACGTCACTCACACTACAACAGTAGACCCCGCTCGGACCATTGAGATGCAAGCCACGAACCACTGACCCACGTGTTCTGCAAAATGATTATGCACGGGATTTTCGCAGACAACTATAGTATGTTTCGAAATCCCAATGATACGTCCACCTCAACATGATCAAATATGTATGTGTACACCTCAAGTAGATTCATAAGAGCTCGAGATGGCCTAGATGTCGCAAAACTCATGCTTTCTTCCGCCAACGCCTTAAGCCCAACGCCTCAAGAAGTATTACTTTTTAAGCATCCGTGACAGCTCCATGGCTCGCATCCTTGACCAACTTCGCATATTTGAAGAGCGTCCCCTTCGAGTACTTGAGTGGAGGTGGCGTCCATGCTTGCCTCCGTGCTTCCATGTCTGCATCGCTAACAGCCACGTTCAACTCGCGCGACTCAGCATCAATAGTAATCTCATCGCCGTCTTGAACCAGTCCAATAGGTCCACCTTCTTGGGCCTCAGGGACAATGTGGCCGATCAAGAAGCCATGGCTACCTCCGCTGAACCGTCCATCCGTGAGAAGTGCAACATCTTTCCCGAGGCCATAACCCATAATTGCTGAGCTGGGTTTCAGCATCTCTGGCATACCTGGTCCGCCCTTTGGTCCTTCATAGCGAATGACCACGACTGTCTTCTCTCCCTTTTTGATGGCGCCATTTTCGAGAGCGGTAATAAAGTCGGTCTCGGCGTCATAGACCTTGGCCTTCCCTGTGAATTTCAGTCCCTCCTTGCCAGTGATTTTGCCTACACAACCACCAGGGGCTAGATTTCCGCGGAGGATCTGGATGTGACCAGTACTCTTGAGCGGGTTGTTAACTGGCCGGATGATGTCTTGGTCTGCTGGGAAGTCTGGTGCGCTGGACACATTTTCTTTCAGTGTCTTTCCAGTGGCTGTAACTCCGCTGCCACTGATTAAACCTTCCTTAAGCAAAAACTTGAGGAGTGATGGGGTTCCACCGATTCTTCCGATATCTGCCATGACGTACTTTCCAGATGGCTTGAGATCTGCCAGCAGCGGAATACGATCGCTAACACTCTGGAAATCGTCGATCGTGAGCTTGATACCGACGGAGTCTGCTATGGCAATCAGGTGGAGAACAGCATTCGTTGAGCCTCCAGTGATGTTGATGAGGACCATAGCGTCTTCCAGCGCAGTCCTTGTGATGATATCCTTTGGTCTGATGTCCTCTTTCAAGAGGTTTCTGATAGCAGCACCAGCATCAAGACATTCTTGCTCTTTAGCTTTTGAAATCGCCGTATTTGACGAGGATCCAGGTAAGGTCAAGCCGAGGGTCTCAATAGCAGTAGCCATAGTGTTGGCGGTATACATTCCTCCACATGCGCCCTGGCCGGGGCAGGCGTTACGTGTGATGTCGTATCTCGTCTCTTCTGTGATATCTCCGGCAATATACTGGCCATATGACTGGAATGCATTAACGATGTCGATGTCTTGGTTGTTCATTGTACGTGCGCAACCAGGCATAATGCTTCCACCATATACCATCATCGATGGCCTGTTTACTCTTCCCATGGCCATGATGACACCAGGCATGTTCTTGTCGCATCCTGGGATAGATATGTTGGCATCATACCATTGTCCGCCCATCACGGTCTCGATTGAGTCTGCAATGAGATCTCTTGACTGTAGAGAATATCGCATTCCTTTTGTTCCCATGGATATGCCGTCACTAACACCAATGGTATTGAACTGCATGCCTAGGAGTCCAGCTTTGACAACACCCTCCTTGACCTTGTTGTTCAAGTCAAGCAGATGCATGTTACAAGGGTTACCAGTAAACCAAACGGAAGATATTCCAACCTGGGCCTTGTTCATGTCTTCATCGCTGAGTCCAGTGGCGTACAGCATTGCCTGAGATGCACCCTGTGACTTCGGCTGGGTAATTGTACTGCTGACTTTGTTTAAGTTTTCGCCTTTCTGCCGTGGCATCGACGTTGATATGGCCCTGCATCTGCGCAGCCTGATTAGCTCTACCTCGATTGACGGTGACTGATTGACAAACGTTGTTGCCGGCCAATTGGCCCTTGAGCTCCACCTGGAGCTGGTTAAAGCTCCTCGACATCGTGGAAGAAGCATCTTGTCTGCGTTGGACAAATGTCGAGAGCTGGAATTCTGGTTCAAATGGTGAGCATGAAAGCTATCGAAATATTCTCGTCCGAGACTCCGAACGATTGCCGAAACCGGCCACGCTAGTCTAGTCCCCTGTCCTCCAGAATGCTGGAAGCTACTAATTGGCAGCTTCGTATTGGTCAGCTTCTCAAACTTAGATTCCTGTATCAAGTTTATCATTTCGGAGACACGAGATGCTCCCCGTCGCGTCGTCTTGTAGCATTACGAAACTCTGACATGTCATTTGAGGTTCCAGGACAGCGTGGTAGAAGAGATGTCCCTGCTGACTGATCTTCCTGCCGAGCTCTGCTTGCGTATTTTATCATACTTGAGACATGATGAGCTTACCCAGCTCATCCGAATTAACAAGCCTTTCCATCGCCTTGTCGAGCCCCTGTTATGGACACACATAGAGCTGCATCCTCCTCGCTGGCATCAATTATATGACATCAAACAACCTGCGCCGGACATAGCGCCCGAGGAAAGACCTTACCATCATTGTCTGCCCGAGGATGAGAAGGACCATCTCTTTCGGCTCAATAATCGCTACGCGACGAAATCATTTGTGTTTTTCTTGCTATTGGGTCGATTATTCAGAACGGATAGGAATCGCTTAAATGAGTTGTGTTGTCAAGTACGAAGCCTTTGTTCTCCTATTGATCCCATTGAGTGGCGAGACAGCTACATTTCGGATACATCATCACAGGCGGATCTTGAAGACGCAAACCAGGTGGCTTCTTTAAAAGATCTTCCTGACTTGTGGAATTTTTTTCCGTATTTCACGCGTCTGGATAGACTAGAATTGGCAACTTATGGCCGCGAGCCGAGATCCTTCCATGCCTTCAACGACATGCCACCACTGGCGGGACTACGGAACGTTACGCTCATTGGGTATGTTCCAGCGTACTTTGCGCAATATATTCTCCGCAGCGGCACTTCTATTGAACGGCTCACCCTGGGCTTGCTCGATACTCCAATTGGCAGTACGCTGTATACACCAATCAAGAACCCCGCATCTGGATGGAAGAAGAGAAATGAGCCTTCCGAAGAGGAGGAAAGTGACAAAGAAATACGATGGTACACTGAAGACGACGACAGCGACTCGGATGAGGACCTAGATGGCGAAGCGGTCGCTCCTCGTCCATTACTCTGGATTCCTAAAGCAATACCGCCACTTGAAAATCTCAGCTATCTACATCTGCTGGCACCATCTGAGTCAGTTTCTCCTGATCAATGGAGAGATATTGTATGGTCCAAGGCCAGGGAAACCGCCTGTTTTGACGAGTGGGTGCGTCTTCTTCTTGCCGCTCACCAGAGCATAAAGAATCTTGTTATCGAACAACGACCTGCTGAATACGACAGGGATGATACCTTGGCGAGTAGCTCTGAGTACATGAAAAACAAAGACGTACAAAGCGAGATCAGACTAATAACAGCCCTACGAAATTTAGAAGGAGTGACATTCCCAACACTGAAGACAGTCGACTTCTATGGCTTTAAGGCATATGAAAATTTGGCTGTTAGGGAGCCCGCTCTTAATTTACGTATCAATGGCCTTCAAGCCAATTACCACTTGGGGACGATTTGTAAGTTTAATATTGAATACGGAGAGACTGACGAGGATGGCGACGGTATGGGAGCAGATTACTACGAAGATGACCAGTATGATTCATGGTAATGGACCACAGCACGACACTATGAAACAGTCCTAGGTAATCTATTACTAGGTGTAAGGAGCACAATATGAAATTTAAGCACTTGTACAATTGTATCTTGTGGTATAATGACAGCCTAGAGGCACGTGTCCCATATGTACGTACATAGGAATTTAAGGGGACGGGAAGGATGCCAGGCAATGAAAAGTATGGAAATACTTTACAAGCTGGGTCGAAAGTTCACGCGGATTTAAACAGTACGCGGTAAGTGACACAGGTGTAAGAAGAACGGGTCGATTGGCTAGGAAGCTGGGTGGTCCTATGACGAATCGTTGACATGTAGGGCGTGCATGTACACACAGGTGGGTCATAGCAGTGGTGGTTGGTTGTTATGCATGATGGACGAACACTGGTTTAGAGCATCGCCGCAACGGATTGTACAGCACTTAAGAGGTCGCACGACGAAGTCGAGGACTGTAATTACTTTAATATAGCCAGTAGATGCGATGTAAACTTTCAGCGATATGAAGATGATCAAGGGCACCGCTATCTCGTTTACTGATAGGAACAAAGGTAATGTGGACGTACGCTCCGGCTGGCGGGTGCGGCACAGTTCACATCGCAGAGGTCTGCATGGATGATCGACTTGAGCTTAATAATGGTAGGCTCCATTATCGACCGGGTACATAGGATCATTGTTGTCCATAAATATTGGTTTGTGCCAGCTTGGCACATCCACAAGCATTTTTCAAGACTGTTCAATTCTTCCCGTAGTGTATCCCTGATATCTCGGTCCGACTGTCCGACATGTTGAGACAAGCAGAGAGCATGGAAAGAACACCAGATACAGAACAGAGCGATGACATAGACGACTATGGCCGTCGACGACCAGAAATATTCAGTAGTTTTGCCAAGGAGTTGGGACTCTGCTTTGCGATTATGTCGTCTCAAGTAATGGCAGTAAGTAAGCCTGATTTGGTATATTTTTTGACTGAATCATGATACTGAGGAATCGAAAGGAGTATTTTATTTCGGGATTCAATGTCATCGTGCCGACTCTGACGAAAGACCTGAGTATACCTATTGCAGAGTCTATTTGGCCAGCAAGCGCGTTTGCTCTTACTGCTGGAAGCTCTCTCTTGATCTTTGGACGCTTGGCTGATATCTACGGCGGCTATGTTGTCTTCATCGGCGGACTCGTGTGGAGCTTCATCTGGTCGCTAGTTGCTGGATTCTCCCAGAACAGACTCATGTTGATCTTCGCACGCGCTCTACAAGGTTTCGGACCTGCTGCCTTCCTCTCGTCTGGAGTCATGATTCTCGGCTCGAGCTATCGACCAGGACCACGCAAGAATTTGGTGTTCAGTATCTATGGCGGCTGTGCCCCTGTTGGATTCTTCTCCGGCATCTTCTTCTCGGGCCTAAGCGCCCAATATCTGAATTGGCGCTGGTACTTTTGGATTGGTACCATTCTGACAGGAGTATCACTGTTGTTGGGGTTGTTTTTCATACAATCAGACTTTCATGCCAGACAGAAAGCAAACAGCATGGCGGAAGTGAAGATGGACTGGGCTGGCGGTGTGTTCTTGTTCTCTGGTCTCATATTGGTGGTTTTCGCAGTCAATGACGGTGCCCATGCGCCACAGAACTGGGGAACGTCGTACATTATCGTATGCTTTATCGTGGGTATCTTTGTCCTCGGCGTCACGGTCTATACTGAAGGCTGGTACGCTGAGCAGCCTCTGCTTCCCTCGAGCTTATTTAAGGTGCCTCAGATGAAAGCATTGATAACTGCTCTGTTCTTCTCATACGGGGTCCTGGGTACTTGGCTGCTCTACACAACGTTTTATACTTCATCGATCATGGGCGTTAGACCGATGCAGCTAGTCGCTTGGTTCTTACCTTTCGCAATCGGAGGTTTGGTTCTGTCGGCTTTTGGAGGACTCATCCTCCACAAGGCACCTGGTAAAGTCTTCCTCGCCATTTCGGGCGCAGCGTGGGTGTTGGCACCGTTGTTATTAGCTATTGCTCCACCAGGTGCATCGTACTGGGCGTTCATCTTTCCTGCTATGATATGCGGTACTATAGGCATCGACATCACCTACAACGTTGCCAATGTATTTATAACAACAAAGTTGGCTGAGAGAGAACAGGGACTTGCTGGGGCTGTTTGTAACAGCATCTTATTTCTGGGCGTCAGCTTCTTCCTAGGCTTTGCAGACTTGACTGCCCAGCAGACCGAAGCATACGGCCTCCGCAAAAGCTACCAGGCTGTCTTCTGGTACGCAGTATGTTGTGCAGCAGTTGCCCTTGTCCTCATATTGACATTTGTCAACGTGGAAGCCGCGAGGACTGAAGAACGAGCAGATGACCAACTGGAGTCAGGGTCCATAAGAGAGTCCTGAGCTCTCTATGGTATTGGCAGTATACATGTGGAGCTCGTAGAGCCCCTGGCCAATCATGGATAATGTGCAGTATAACCTAGATAGCTCTCCAAATCTCCAGGACTGGCAAGCATACATTACTCGCAATCGGATGTGACAGAGTAGTTGATTCGCAAGGTCCAGTCCAGCGATCTGGAAATTCGGATCGAGACTGGCAATTCGTCTGGCTACAGTGCTGGTGCACGCAAAATTTAATCTACGCCGAAGGCAGTGGCCCGGGTGTCAAGACATCGCGAGAGAAATAAGATCCTGATTAGATACCGCTCTGCCTGGCTATTAGCAGTAGTCTTGCTGTGCGAGTGCTGCACATGCACTTCACAGGACTGTTGCGAACATGTGAGAGTACGTCAAGTATGCGGACCTCATTGCAACGCCCACCAAAAAGTCGCTGGTTTTGGACTCGAATGTATCAAATCCAGCAAGTTCACTTTACCTCAAGACATCTTCTTCATGGACTTGGCTCTGGGATGCGACGGTGGCCATACGGATACCAAAGCCTGCTAGCCGTATTGAAAGGCGGTATTCAGGCTGAGGAAGCAAGATCCAGTCCGTGGATCTATTCCGATCTTCACTACTGCTGTGTAGACATGTTAGCTCTAATCCATGTATACAAGGGTTCCGATCACACGAGTAGCGAAGAGGAGCTAATACTGAATAAAAGTAAGCAACGCTCATTCATTTTATTGTGTCTCAAGACGTGAGTGATGTCGAACTTCAGCTAATCGACGGATAGTGACATATTTATCGGTAAGTACCTTCGGGGATGATGCAGGAAATTTAATAGAATACAAGAACGCGTAACATAATCCGAACGCGTTGTAGAGCGCGACGGAGTCCGTCATTGATCATTGGCCAAGATGTACCACATAGATAAGCTGCTTGAATGCTACAGGCTGCCTTCCGATCTTTGTATCTTGACAAGCTTAGTTCTACATACTCCATAAGTCATTTAGGGTTCTGGATCATCCGTCAGTTCCGCAGTCCATGGCACAGCCCTCATCGATTCGCATACCGCCGCCGATCACGACAGTAGAAGCACGTCGACCTCCATCCGCGAAACGACACACTGTGGAGCCATGGGCTCACCTCGTTGCTGGCGCGTAAGTCTCCCTATCATCATATTTATCGCCAGGTAACATTCTTACCGGAACAGGAGCGGAGGGGTAGCCACAGCAATTGTTACTTCTCCATTTGATGTCTTGAGAACTAGACTCCAGTCTGCCAGTTTTTACCACCTTCCTGTCCCTGTCGAACAAAATAGCCTCACGACAGCGCCATCTTCTTATACACGCGTCTTCCGGTCTACCCTCAATCACGTTCGCGAACTCCGTCACATTACACGCTCAATACACGCCAACGAAGGCTGGCTTGGCTTCTTCCGAGGACTTGGGCCTAGCCTTGCAGGCGTCGTCCCTGCAACTGCGGTCAAGTTCTACGTATATGGAAATTTCAAAACGCTTGGCTGTCACTGCTTCGGGTTTGCAGAGGATGCTGCGATTAACCATGCGCAGGCCGCCGTAGGTGCTGGGATAGCTACGGCATCCGCTACAAATCCGATATGGCTGATCAAAACTCGTCTTCAACTAGATAAGTCACACGGGAAAGCAGAAAGTGGGGTACGACGATACAAGAATAGCATAGACTGCGTTCAGCAAGTAATACGGCAAGAGGGTATCAGGGGTCTTTACAAAGGACTCAGTGCGAGCTACCTCGGCAGCATCGAGACAGCACTGCACTTGGTTCTCTATGAAAAGCTCAAAGTACAGATTCGACGATTTTTGGACAATGATCACGCAGCATACGGTGCAAATTGGCATGAATTTACAAGCTGGGCAAGTACTAGCGGAGCCGCAGGCTCTGCAAAGCTCGTTGTAACTTTAATCACATATCCCCACGAGGTATAGTATTATCCGTAGATGCTCTGCAACTTGCAAATTGACTGCTTCTTAGGTTGTCAGAACAAGACTAAGGGAAGCCCCCACAGATCCTAGGGCTCCGAAGTACTCAGGACTCATCCAATGCTTTCGCTCAATCGGACACCACGAAGGAATGGCCGGTTTGTACGGAGGCCTTTTGCCACACCTGCTGAGATCCATACCAGCGGCTATAGTGACGCTAGGGGTGTATGAGTTCGTACTGAGGCTAAGCGGAACTTGCGCTGTGGAAGATAACTGATTATGAAACATGGTTGGTATTTCTTATTTTGAACTTGATTCCCACGACTAGTTAGATCTGTATAACGTATCACTCTTCTCAGTGTCTATTATCATCACTCAGCTAGACCAGGCAAATTACCTACCTATACACGCTCACCGGCTTCAGATTCCGGTTGAACAGAATCACGATCGAAGCGTTGACTCCCGGGAGATATATTTACGAAGAGCAGACGGGGGTGTTACTAACAGAGATAATGTGAGTGATCAAACTACTTCGGATAGGACATTTTCAACCCTGCTCTTGCTTGTGGAACACACTGCCAGTGTGGCTGGTGGCGAACCAGCAACCTGATTACTGGCACAGGTAGCAAGGCAAGATTCTAGCAGTACTTGCTGCGATATTGAAGGAGGCCTGATTCATAAATTTTCAGTCCCGCCATCTGATTTAAGTCCGAGGTCCAGATCCCTGTATTTTGTTTTTCGACGTACATCTATAGCCCGTATCGACAACTGAATCCTATTATTATGCACGATCTGCAAGAAAATGGTTCTACCAGTTCGTAAGCCTCTCCTTTATTCATACTATACAGAGAGCTACGTAGCTACAGTACTCTCGTCGTCTGGTATGGCACAAGTAGAGAAGCTCGAATATGTAGCGGCTAGAATCTGCTTTATCACCATTAATTTGGTGAGCATTGAATCACACCTTTGGTTCGACCGTAGATGCCTGTTTCGCGTAGCACAAATTGCTACCGATATACATCACTCCTTGGCTCAAGAACACCATTGAGGGAAATTGCGAAGTTTGACGATGGAACACATCGGGGCATGAGCCACACACAGCCACAACACGTGCAAGCTAGGCTCGCAATGCAGCCCGCGCTAGCCCTCCACATTGTGGCGCGGGGGTAACAGCCAGCTGTTGTGGAGTTTCAGCACGCGCAGGCGAGCTCGCCCTTGAACATTGAACTTCATAATACCTCCTCTAGCCTTCTTCTCCTTTCCTACGTACCTTACCACTCGTCGGTCGCTTATACCAAGATTATATTCGTATCCCCCCAAAAACACGACATCACTGCAGTTCCTATGGCTGGCCGATTCGTTCGCTCTTCGAAATATCGTAAGGCCGCCCTCCGCATTATGTTGTTACTGAATGCTGACTATCATACCCAGGGCACGTTTTCGGTCGACCGACGAAGAAAGTTCGCTACGAGCTGTCCTCTTTATGAGATCAACGCACTCACAGTGAGCCCCTAGGAACAATGCTATGACAATTTGCGCATCAGCAAGAATGCGTGGGACACAAACCTCGTCAAGGTTGGCGCATAGACAATGTGGCCTCACCAGTTTGCTAAACCATATATAGGCCAACCCAAAATACCTGGCTGTCAATTGGGAAGCTAGTGGCGGAGGCGCTTTCGCTGTGGTCCCCTTGGAAGAGGTTGGAAAGGCGCCAGACGTGATTCCACTCTTCCGTGGCCACACCGCCGCAGTACTGGACACAGACTGGCAAGTAGCCCGACTCTCAAGTGTCGCAGTTCCTCATACGAAGCAGGAGTCCTTTTAACGATTCGCTCATCGCTTCTGGATCAGACGACGGAAAGGTGAAGCCACTAAGGTCATATCAACTGGTCAGAGCTGACTGAACTAGGTCTTTATCTGGCAAGTACCAGATAACTTCTCCCTCCACACAGAAGCCGAAGAACCACCAGATGTCTCTCCTGTGGCCAAATTCATCGGACACTCTAGGCATGTTACTCCTGCGTCTTTCACCTGGACTAAAGCTAACAGTCCCCCAGAAAAGTTGGCCACGTGCTCTTCAACCCTTCCGCCGAAAATGTTCTCGCGAGTGCCTCCGGTGATTATACAATCAAACTCTGGGATGTTGAGACTGGCGCCTCAAAATTACAGCTCAAGCACAATGATGTCGTCCAATCTCTTTCGTGGAATGCATCAGGCTCACTCCTCGTAACGACAAGCCGTGACAAGAAACTTCGCATCTGGGATGTTCGTCAGGAGAGGGCTGCTCAAGAAACACAAGGTCATCCGGGAGCTAAGAACAGCCGTGCAGTCTGGATGGGAGAGCATGATCGCATCGCGACTACTGGTTTCTCGCGTATGAGCGATCGCCAACTTGGCTTATGGGACTCCAGAGCACCGAGAGAGCCTATTAACGGTTTCCAGATGCTGGACTCAATCTCTGGAGTCTGTATGCCTTTTTGGGATGATGGGACACAGTGTTTGTACCTCGCGGGCAAAGGGTTTGTCACACTTTAACCGCACAATATCACAACGCTAATTCGAACAGTGACGGAAACATTCGCTACTACGAATACCAGAACGACAAATTCGAGTACCTCTCCGAATACAAATCTGGTGACCCTCAGCGAGGTGTAGCCTTCATGCCTAAACGCGGTGTCAATGTAAGCAAGCTTTTTATTGGGTACGGGGTCTCGCTAATGGCTGTAAAGCTCCATGATAACGAAGTAATGCGATGCTTCAAGACTGTCAGTGACAGCTACGTAGAGCCTGTATCATTTATCGTACCGCGCCGAGCTGAAGTCTTTCAAGAAGACGTCTACCCTCCTACTGTCGGTCTAAAGCCAGCCATGTCCTCTGCAGAATGGCTCAATGGAAAGGAAGGCCTCCCTCCCAAGATCTCTCTCGAGAACGTGTACGATGGTTCTGAGCCCACGGAGGTCCCGTCTACGTACAAGCCCCCGAGTGCTGCGCCGAAGGAGAATGCTCCCGTCAAAGCCGAGCAAAGTAAACCTATTGTATCTCCTGAACCTGTAGCTACTCCAGCTGTTCAACGAGGACCGCCTCCATCTGTCAAGGATAACGAGAAGTCAATCGCTAGTATGGCGTCCAAATTCGCAGACGAGGAAGACGGAGACTCGGACGACGAGACGTCAAGCTTTGAAGAAGTCCCTAAGCCGATCGAAAGACCGGCTACTACTCGTTTAGACAAGACCAGCGGACCTACTATCACCAAGGCAACTCGGGAACCAGTGCAAGATTCTAGGGCAGTGCCAATACCAGCGCCTGTGGCTCAAACAGCAATTGAATCAAAGCCAACTACCACCGCTGCAGGTGCGGCCGAAGGTCTTAGAGGCGCACTGTCGGACATCAAATCGATGATTGAACAACAAAACCGTTCGATCGCTGCCTTAACTGGAGAAGTGAAGTCGCTCTCTACCGAGGTCACCAACTTGAAAGCGCGGCAAAGCAACCAGCGAAGCGATGGCGAGAAAGATGAGCGGATCCGCGAACTTGAACTTGAGATCGAAGAACTTCGATCATAATGTCTTCATGCTATCATGATACCATGGCGCCGGCCGGACTCAGATTTGTGGCTTCTGCGTCGTTTTCACTATTAGCGGCATGGTCGTTGAAAAGTCATTGGGTTGGATAGCTTGCAGCCAGGGTTTGTTGACCAGGCCTTATGATTGATGTCACGTACGTCTGATGATACGAAAGTTCCACTGCCGAGTACACTTCCTTCACATAGACTTGACCTCACGATTTATACTTATCATGCAGTTCGACATCAACTACCGCTGTTTCACAGCATAAAATCCTCAAATAAACTTCACTCTTTCAACTGTATTGTCATAACAATAAAACAAGCCATTAGGTGAACAGTCGTTCAGGCACTTTGTTCATGGTATATGCCGGTTAGGGTTTCGCCAGGCGATCTACGCATATTTCTAACCCCTCTCTTTTCTCGTCTTTGCCAGGTCTTGAAATTCGATGCCCAATCATTGATCATGGCTTGGTACATGAGTACGGAAGACCCGTATGATGATACAGAGCTAGAGGATGTTGGGGATGTTCAATCTCGTAAATCTACTGGCTTCACCGTTCGTAACATTGCTTATTCCAAATAGCACTCAACTCTTTGACGTCACAATTTATCCTAGGACCCGAGAGCCCTCAGCGTCTGGCCGAACAGTCCGACTTTCGTCGATATCGAAAGCGAGCTTACAATGCGATTCACAAGCCTGCCAACGAAGATGGAAATGAGAAAGCCGAGAAGATCTCGGGAACAATCAAGAATAAAATGCTACCTTCGAAGCAGAAAACAGCCAGGCCAGCTTGGTTGGAGTCAAGTATCGTTAATCTGGAATATAGAGCGGCATCCAGCTCAGACACCGATCATACGATACAGCACACTTCGAAAAGGGCAAGATGGTCAGCCAGTGCGAGGAATGGTCAAGATCTGAATAGAAGTGGCACAGTCAACACTTTGATAGACTCAGTGGATCTCACTCTGGAGCACACTCGCAGAGCTGATGGAAAGCTTACTGCCTCTTTCGACGAAAATGTGAAGGCAGCGCCTGGAGAGATCAAAAGTCTTCAATCAGCTATCGATCTAACTACTCATCATACATACACCAAAACGACGACGACAATTTGCCACTTCACCGACTCAAACAAAAGCTCTGCCAAACCAAGGCTCCGCCAACGTAAGAAACCAGCAAAGCAATTGGAGCTCAAAAGAATGACTGTCAAGAAGACGTTCCAAGGTCACCGGTCACTCAACAATCTTACGTGCAACTCTAGTGTCAACAATTTGGACGGTGGGTCAGAATCGCCCATACTCATCGTAAGCGACTCTGACTAGGTCTCCGACAGTCCTTCAGGAGGGAGTGAATTATTCGGCCACTTGACTTGACGCATGGAGATCTGGACGGCCACCAGTAGACACTTATCTAGATACCGCTTATCTTTCGGATAGACGTCTGGTCGCATGGTGTTGTCCAAGCGTCATTGCATATAATGGAATCGGACTGCTTTATGACTTATGCTCACTCCGCTGCCATGCTTCCAAATCATTCTCACGACCTGTATTCTTACTCATAATCTCATGCGTCCATTTCATCATTTGGAGTCCGACCGAGCATCCCTAATTAGGTACCTGATCATAAGTCTGGTGGCATTGCACTTTGGAGTGACGCCTTATGTCTTCGGTTACAGCGTAAATGACGTTCTTGTCCACACTGAAAGCAACCCTATTCTACCCAATCAGGCTTCTATCGTTCCCTTCTGTGCTGCAAGCTTTTAATTGAGACTACACACTACGTAGCGTACAGTGTTTAATCAGCAAAAATCATCGCTCAGCTCCTTCTCAGCCCCCATCAAGTCTGCCCTGCGAACAGCCACATGAGCTCTGGTTGGCCAGTATAGCTCCGCACCTGCAGCCAGCGGGTGGACGTTTTGTACACGCTTATGTGGGATGACAGAAATACTTATACGCTAGACTGATACAGGACAAGTATTATTACCGCGCAAAGAAAGACTGTGTCATGGTTCGCGTTCGAGGATCCGGAGTCGCGGTTGCAGGATGCAACCCCTGTACGTTCCACAGCATTGTCCTCCAATAACAGAAAGTGATTTGTCGTTCGCAAGTGGTGGAGGACCAGGAGTTTAGGCGATGTCCCGTAACATTGAGCTGAGGCTGCGCAGGCAACTCTCAATTCACCGCATCTCATTCGGCGGCGCCGGTGAGTCGTATTGAGGACTTTGTCAGATGGAGGCCGCTTCTCATCAGGCTGCGACCTCATGTAGGTATATCTATCTGGCCTCGTCCACTTGCGCAGTATTCCCTATGGCCGTTCCGCTCTATTCACCGCATCACCACACATCGATTTAAACTCACGGATACCCTACGCTAGACATCCCGACCGACGGATAGACCCATAGGGAACCCACCTTGAAGCACACGGCAACCCTAACGGGCAACAACAGATTCATTCACTTCCCGTCCCCACCATGCGCTCTCTATTCCTCCTCCCGGGCGCTCTCCTTCCACTCGCACTCGCCACCCCTGACTTCTCAGATTGGCGAAAGCCAGGCACAAACGACTACCGCGCACCATGCCCAGCCCTCAATAGTCTCGCCAACCACGGCATCCTCCCCAGAGACGGCCGCAACCTTTCCGTACCTATGCTCGTCAGTGCCATGAGTGAGGTCTTTAACCTCTCCACCGAAGTCGGCACGCTGGTATCCATCCGCGCGATCGATACCTCTTCCACACCTGGTACTGGCACATTCTCGCTCAAGGACCTGCAGAAGCATAACATGATCGAACACGACGCCTCGCTGTCGCGTGCGGACGACGCCTTAAGTGGCGATAGCCATAGCTTCAACCAGCAGGTCTTTGACAGCTGGTTCCGATTCTTCGATGGCATGGACGCCCTAACACTCCCGGCGCTGGCTATGGCGCGGTATAGTCGCGTGGTAACGGAGCGGTATCGCAATCCGGCGTTTGTGTATGGTGCCATTCAGCAGTTCTCGGGGTATGCGGAGAGTATTCTGATTCTGAATGGGATGGTGGATGAGAAGGGGGTGTGTCGAAAGGATTATACCAGGATTCTTTTTGGTGAGTTTATGATGCCCCTTAGTTTCGATACTTGTGGGAAGTTGATGCTGACTGTTGTGTAGAAGAGGAACGATTACCATATAATGAGGGCTGGAGGCCGCCGAAGAAGTCGCTGAATGCGTTTGTGTTCTCGTTGAACATGCTACAGATGGCGCTTGCGACACCGGAGAAGACGTATGATGCAGCAGCCGCGGAGTTGGCGAATCTGCATCTTGGTACAGGATCACATGCCGGCGCGTTTGACTCTGCGTTCCACCATCAGGTCCCGATTCACCAGGGGTTTTAGGTGGTCTTATAGCTTCATGGCTGCATCGTAGATTAACTCGTGCTCTATATTGTAAAATATCATGTAAAAATGGTTCTAAAGACAAAGATGCTCGGCTATTTTGACACGTTGTAGGGAGGCTTGCATATCATGTGCTTTGTTGTTCATTACTGAGATCAAAGGTAACAAACGTAAAGTCGTACTGGCGATTGGACGGATCGAATGATTAGCCGTTTGGTATACACAACATCATATCCTGAAGTCGACGTATGCATGAAATTAAGGTATCATGTCATTTGCCTGGGAAAGGCCTAGAGAGACATAAGAACAGATATTGGGATCAATAATAATACTAAGCTCATGATTGACGGTCATCTAGCAATAGATACCAAGCTGTTCCCTATTAAACGCTACTCACATGACAGAACAATCGTCTAGAGTATGGGACAGATTGATCCGCCATAAAAAGTGTTTGAACAGCGGTGTGTACTGTACGATCTGAACTTTTCTTAAAGCGACTCCTCGTACATAGAGTCTCTTCAAATTAAAATCTCGTGTCATGTAGTATGGTAGACTGAGGCTGGAAACGAACAGTCTCGCTCAGGTATCGGGGGCCTCATTAAGACCTGATGCTAATTGTTCAGGGGCCTCCATTGTAATAGATGTTAGACGGACTGTGAGCAAACATTAGTACCGGGGCTACACTTCTCAAGTCGATGGTATACAATAACTTTAGTCACTGGGTAGCACCTTCGTAGGAGGACATGTTCGACTGCTATAAGAGTAGAAGTATATCAAATCGAAATCACTACTGACAATGATAGCTCGAGCCAGTATAGTTCGGAGCGTGCATGATATACGTCAGCAGATTTTGTCACCATCCCACTGTGGTTGGGTAAATTGAGGATCAGAACACGTACATACAAGTGCTGGGTGTCTAGCATAACGTTCTCGAATTTCTTGGTTCTTGTTTTTCGAGGCTGAGCCCACGCAAGGCAAGAGCCGTGATATGTAGGTCAGGTCATGACCAATGTAAGCGTGGTACAGAGTAGCTGAGACAGAAAGAGGCTGATGAAGCCTTGGCAAGATTCAATTGGCTCTTGTCATGGCACGAAATCTGTGACCGGTCCTACGGATGTAATATTTATCTTTCCCCCCGACGATCTTCTACAGTGGACCTTTCTGCAACTGACGAATGCTTCATTCGGTATAGCCTACCAGAACCGTGGGTCGACCATGTATATTGTATGGTGCTAGCATTGAGCTGGCAATCTGTTCTATATCGGCACTGGGTCCGCGTTCCCCCGATGCAGGTGAAATGCTTCAACCACGTGGCCTGGACGGCTTCTGCTTGACCCGCTTCCGCTGCACTCATCCTGCCACCCATGTCCGTGGAATGTTCCAACGGGATGACTTCATGCCACGGTGGCTAACGTATACCCGATTGGTCCTATCAACCACGATGGCATCTGTAGAAGCGTATGATTGCACTCCATATCTGCACCCTTCACTTCGAACCTTCTCCTGTATCTAGTGTATCTTTCATGAATGCACTCCTATCTTGCCTGCAACCGCTCATGCGGAGATAGGGTAAAGATCCTATTGGATGAATAGCCAATCTGTGTTGTCGTTCTGCTGTGCTAACGTTGGACCATTGCAGGCAACAATAACATTGTACTTGATGATCACACTCACCTGCTCTTCGCTTCAAAATCGATATGGCTCGCGCATATAAGACTGATGTTCTTTCGGCTGAGATCCTACTTCTCATCTTTGGGTACACCTTTCAACCTCTACTTTTTAACAAGGCTAGCATTCACTCACTATGTTACTTCTAAACAATGCTTCATACAAATTGGCGACACCTACTTTTTCCACCATGTATGGGGCTGAGCTCAGTATACAGGAGTAGCACTCGAAGCAATTGTCCCAGCTCTTTAGCAACTACTCAATGCCACCATCGCAAGGATTATGAAGACTATACTGTTTCTGCTCCTGTCTGTCACCAGTCTGAGGGAACGCCGTTGACTGCAGCTAATTTGGCCGCACACAACAAACTCTACGACGAACGCCAACTGAGTACCGCCGCCCACAAGTAGCAATAGCGTGTTTCGGGAACAGCATTACTGGAAAGAAGATTCCGCTGGTAGAACCAGAGTCTTGGTCTATAGTGATCAAGACAGTGTGCAGAATAGTTAAGATCAGAGTAACATCCATGGGTTTGATTCCGGACACGTGTCTCCTGGCTAGGTGATTCAATGTATGCTGGTGGTTTTACATGAACGAAGTCAGATTATTCTTCTCTTCATCGGGAACGCACAAGACTGGCTGTTCAATACGCCAGTGGTTTTTACGTCAATTGAGACAGTTATATCGCAATTCAGCATGCTCTTCATCACATTCTTGGTTTATCCCATGCGCCGTTTTATAGCTCCGACCAGATTTTGCAATCCATGCAGGCGCTCATTTCTTGTTTCGCCAAGGTAGAGTGAAGCTACTGGCCAGGCATGGACGTGACCATGCTCCTCGCTTACATCTAGCTCCACATCACCGTTGTACAATAAGGTGATCAGATCCCTCAATTCTGGACCCAGGACTTCTTCAGATCCATATTGAAAATACCATCCCTTCTTGGGACTTGCTCGCATCCACCAGTCCAAATCTTTGCAATTACCAGGCGAGACCATGGGATCGCTGATGGAAACCTGGGTACCTGCATACTGCCTACCGTACAACTCAAGGCTGTCAGAGTTGAGATAGTCACTTCTCGTGTTGCGATTCTTTGGGCTCACGAGCGTAACCCACGGCGATATTAAGGTTGCAAGAGCAGGGAGACGGCTTTTGTAGTCGGAATGTTCCCCCATGTACAGCAACATACTTAGTATAAGTGTACCGCCGGCGGAGTCGCCCCCAACACAGATCCTAGAAGATTCACCTACAATGCTCAAGACATATTCGTAGCCAGAGAATGCTTGTTGCACTTGTGTTGGATAGCAAGCATCAGGAACTAAGGTGTAGTCGAGTGCAAACAAGGCTGGATTCTCGTAGCCCGCATTTTTCAGAAGAGTCACCCACGCGACCAGGAATTCGATCTATAACAGCATGAGTGAGTCTCATGTTTACAAATTGTCATTCGAAGCTCACGTAGAAATAGCAAGATCCCATGGAGAAGCCACCACCTATGCTAGACTTAGTGATTGAAAGGTGAATCAGTCATCCCGGCCTCACCATGACAATAATATATCACGACGTCTGGCTTCTTGGTCTGATCATGAGCGAGCCATATTCCACTCAGACCGGGCTACTCAAGTTAGCAGATTGGCATGCAAGTTAGCGAGCGACGCACGCGTTTCACTTCCACCCAAGGAATTGGACATTTTCTCAGTCCGTGCCTGAACATTCGAAACCGAACAAAAGGCAGAGCGACTGGCTTCGAGAAGAACACGCGGCCAATGTACGCTGGCATATACGCAAATGCATAGCGCACGCACCGGATGACTATGTCCTGAAATAGCGATGCTCGTTGAACGAAGGGACTCTGCTGTTCACGGCGTGTGAAGAACCTCTCTACCACGAGTTGACAAGGCATCTTGAGAACTAGAGGACTAGGTTAGTTGAAGCACGAGTACCGAGAAACAAAGTCAATACAGACGCAAGAAAGGTAGAGCGTTCAGACCCCATCCTATCGTGGTGAGCAGCCCGACTTGGATGATCAATTGGGGCGCTAAAAAGACGAGGAATGCGAGACAATCCAGATAGGATATCTGATTGAGTATCATATTACCAGTACCACTCTCCTGGGCCTAACAGAAACACACAGTGAGATATTAGAGGTTAAGAGACTTTCGCTCGTCAGCGTTCAATGACGCGCCTTGAAGGCACTAGTCCGTTTTGAGTTATTCGACGGATATTTTAGTTTTGACAGTGCAAGGTCCAGTGGACTGCAACAGAGGATATACCGAATATTCTATGTACGAAGCGCCTTTACACTAATTATATATCGTAGTAGAAGAGCTTGATGAAATGTTATGGATCTAGTGCTCACATTCCCGATTGGGATAAGCGTGTTCCGTCACTAATTAGCGCCGCGCGGGTGCCTCGAATTCGGCCGCCATCTTTTCACGAAGTCGCAGCTCTATTAACACTGCTCGCACAACTGGAACTATCTGCGCTCTCTCATACGTTTGGTTGTAAACCCGTGCTTGCATGTAGGAGAGAATGGGCAATACGACTTAATATCACACTACTGGATTTGACGCTCGCGTCGTTTTACTTGGAAGCCTGAAAACCAGCAAACAACGATATCTCCAAAGAATCTGCGCCGCCCTCGCGTCTCGACCATACAACATGGTGAAGGCCTGTTCTTGAAGCGCAGATCATAGAAGTCCTTTACCGCAATGTCTGCGGTACAGACTCTGGAAGGGATGCGAGAGCTCGCCAGGTGAGTCACCTTAAGATCTGGCCAGAACCTCTGCTAAGTTCAACAGCTCTCTAGCTCAAGATGACATTCCCGTTAAGCTTCGTTGCGCAACTTGCAATAAGCTTGTTATCAGCGCGTTCCGTCTTCCTTGCTGCGACCAGTCTATCTGCGAAACATGTGAGGACTTTGTGCTACATGCCCCGCCCAGCACCGTCATTGACGCGATTACAGGCCAAACTTCGTTACCAGAATCATGTCCCGTCTGCGACCACAGCCCACTATCAGCTGAGGATTGCAAGCCGAACAAAAGTCTCAGACTTACCGTGAAAGCTTTTTTGAAGGCAGAGGAAAAGAAGCGGGACAAGGATCGGGGAACTCCTCAGGCAAAACACACTGATACATCTGTTCCGAATACGGCTGATGCGACATCAACACATCCCTCGCAACATAATCCAGCACCGGGCGAAGACGTACCTGGGAAGTCGATCGAAGAGGAAGCGTTGACTAATGGGGAAGATATCAGCGCGAACATCAAGAATGTAGCGGACGTGAGAGAAGATGGTGGGAGCGCCTTGTCAAAAGGTCGTAGGGAGGTAGGTATCAGTACCTAATTTCTCTCTCATGTACAGTATTAATTCATCCAGGAACCTGAGGCAGCGGCTTCCACGAAACAAGTGTCGACGAACGAGGAAGAGCAAAGCATTGAAGATAGCAGTGCGGGTGGTGGCGAAAGCAAAAGGACCGAAGAAGCCAACGAAGATACCACAGCTGAAGAGCAGAAGAATAGCTGGAGTATGAACGCGGGGACCACCCAGCAGATTCAAGGCAATAATACTGCTTTTGGGATGAGCACAGCCCAAGGAGGTTTCTCGAATATGGGGTGGAATGGCACTAATGGTTTTAACCCCATGATGCAAATGGGTGCCAGTATGCCAAGTGCTGGATGGAACAACTTCAATATGATGGGTACGCAGCTTCCTGACTTCGCATATAATTCTCAGCTAATAAACTTTAGGTATGCCCGGAATGGGCATGGACGCAATGGCCATGTCCCAAGGGATGTTCGGTGGCTTTGGCGGACAAAACATGGGCATGAACGGAATGAACGGCATGAACATGGGTATGGGTTTTGGTGGCGGATTCAACAGTGGGTGGAATGGACAGATGAGCAGTGGTGACTTTGGCGCAAATGCTGGCTACTATCCCGGAAGTGGATATAATCAACAGTCACACCAGCAGAGCAATTATGCTCATCAGATGCATCACCAGCAGTTTCCCAAAAATAATTACCAAAATCGTTTCAATGGACAGGGAGGCCCCCAGACTCGTGGGTTTGGAAGAGGTCAAACAGGAAACTATGGTAACCAGAGCAATTCCGATGCCCAGGCCCAGATAGCCGACATCCCTCAAGGCCAGACCACGACTGACGCAAACTCAAAGCATGATGGGAATATGGATCACCAGACATCTCGGTCTGTTGAACCGTCTCAATCTGCCACTGTTCTAGGAGACAGTGAAAAACAGCATGATGAGCGTCAAGACCAGGATGAGACCCAACCCGCGGGCGACACTAACAGAGTTGATGATTCTACAGTGGAAGTAGGGAATGGTGAGCCTACTACTAATGATGATCCAGCTCCTGTGCAGCAAGACGAACAATCCGCAGCTGTAGACGTCGCTCAAAACGTGCCAGTGTCTGAGGACCCTGCTGGTCAGATGCAAGTGCAACAAGATCAACCTATAGCTACGTATGAGGGTGGTGCAGACTCATATGGAATGGATGTCAGTGTTATGCCTATGGCTGGTCATCTTGATGCCAATGGCGCATACTCTTACATTCAAGGACATCAAGGCGGTCACATGCCTGAATTTTCCACCGGCGGTCGAGGTGGCGCACGTGGGTACTACCGCGGCGGATTCGCAAATCGAGGAGGTCGTTATATGGCCAATGGCTCATACGGACAGCATAATGCATCATTGGCGGTCTCAAATGGTGATGTGACAGTATTGGCTGGAGGTACTGAACCTCCAGGAGTTGGCGTTGTTGGCGCTCCCACCGGGCCCAAGGCCATGAGAGTAGGGTTACCAAACACTGGCATAAGTGGTCGTATAGCGGCTTCATCAAACAATAGATCTGCATCCATGAGCGGTTCTATTGAGCCACCTCGAGAACGTGATCGAAGGTAAGAGCAGCTCTTAAATTCCTGGTACGGAACCAACCATTGACATGGCGCAGCTATACCCCAAAACGTACTACGAACGACGAGGATCGTGGAAGATCCAGATCCCCATCACGCGAGCGACAGCGTACTCAGTCTAGATCTCCCGCTCGATCGCAACACCATCGCCGACGCAACCGGTCTCACTCGACGTCCACGGAATCTGACTCTCGCAAAAGACGTAAACATCGTTCGTCAAGAAGATATGACGAGATCGAAGATCAAGACCATGATAGAAGTGGAGACTCTCATCGTGGCCAAAAATCTCGGCCCTCCTCCGTAGATTCAAAGTATAAGAGTCGTCGTGACAAGGATAAGCATCGGTCTCGTCGTCACCGGTACAGAAGCCGTTCAAGATCCCCCCTGGACGACTATGATGCGCGTCGTCGTACCAATAGTGATGACGCCACAGAATCATCAGATAGGAGGAAAGAACGCTCTGAAAGACACAGGCGTGATCGTACACGATCCCGCGATCGCGAACGAAGAAGACGTCGTGATCGTTCACAAGATCACGAGGATGACGATCGTCACCATAGATCTTCCCGTCGGAGTCGCAAGGATCGTGAAAGAGATCGTGATCATGATCGTGACCGTGATCGTGAAGATGGCTATGAACGCGAAAGGGAGCGCAACAACTCTCGCCGGGAATCTCGCATCGACGTTCAGTCGATTGCTATCAAACCTCCGACCAGTTCTACTGTTCTCGAAGAGCCTGAGTTGAAGATTCAAGGTCGCAGCCGCATGAAGCTCGCTCCGATAGACACCACCGATATGCCACCCCCAACAGGTCCCAAATCACGGACGCCGTCGACCTTTGCCCCGCCCACCGGACCAGCAGCTGAACGCACCAAACGTCGTAATTCGAACTCTGCTCCACGCAGTTCTGCCACACCTGTCACACCCTCCGATAAGTCGGCTCCAAACACTCCAGCCATTGATCAGCACCAAGAAGAGCGAGAGCGTAGGAACCGGGAGCGTTTATTGAAGGAAAAGCAGCGCAGGGAAAGCTTACATCCTAGCATTAGAGGTACTGCCGATAAGAAGCGAAGTAGAGAAGAGACCGAGGAGAAGGTCTTCGCCCCTCCTACCGGACCAAGTGCGCAGCGAGCTAAGAAACAGAAAAGTAGCCGAAGAGGGGAATGGAAATACGACGACGATGAAGAGGATCGGGCGGGTAGAGTTGAGAGGGAAAGGGAGGCTGCAAGGTGGGGATGAGGACAGAGGATACCCCTGAAAACTGTATTATCTTGGTGTAATGATACTTGCGTCGATATATCGCATGAAGGATACCTGGAATCCATGGCTGTCTCAGTCGTCGACACATGTTGCTGCCTTAGGCTGCAATACTTTTGCTTCATAACGTGACCCATCGGTCTCGACAAATCATCTTCAAATGGCATTACTTCATTTCTGTAGCAGATGGTTTGTGGCAATCATTGCATAGTTCCGTTGCTTGCACTACCTCGTCATCATGGGATTACCCATTTGCGCGATCGGCCCAGTCCACGCCTGGAAGCTGTTCCATTACGGGACACCGGATGATGACCGACCGTCATCTACTTTCGTGTTGTTTCAGATCCCTTAACTGCACCCCATCTTGCTATATCAGTGGCTGCTCCTCTGTATTCCTCCCTTCCATTGTTATCATGATCATGGGTGACACATATCAAGTGGTCCTCGCTCTGCTCCCGGTCGAGATTTTATCTGCCGTCTTCCGCCAGCTGGACCCCTCTGCTTTAATTGCAGTGAGCCAGACATGTCAACGGTTTCGAGAAATCATCAAGCCCTCGCGTAAGCATTTTGCAGAGCGACTACTAGCCCTTGAACTGGAACAGCAGCATGGTGGTGTTGTGTTCTCATTTCGGGCGCGCGACAATTTCCTTGACCCAGACTGGAATGATGATTCCTGGAACGACATGCGTTGGACTTGTACTCATTGTTTGAGACTGTTAAGCCACGCATCATTCGACAATCACTCGATACTGCGCCTACGGAATCGGAAACCTATGCCTGGCACAGAAGCTGCGGCAAAGTTCTCTGGTATCACGAGCTGGGAGCCTGTGGAACGCAGAGCTTTAACTCACAGACAACAACGTCAGAGAGAAATCATCATCGCGACGTTGAAGAAGTGGGATTCGAGAAGGCGGCGAGAATATCACGATTCTATAACGTCAAATCATGATGACGGAGTAGCCATCGCGCATGAACAAGTCGAAGCTGGATCTCATCGCCATCTACGTAAGTGCAACGAATGTCGTTTTCAGCACGGCTATCTTAAACGGACTGCATTCATCAAGCAGCGCTGGCCGCGAGGCAATGATCCTGACTCCTTGTGCTGGGCGTACAGCTGGAACAAAGGCACGGCGGAAGTGCCGATTGTAAAGAGCCGACGTCTTAACTTCACGACACCACTAGATCGTTATTTTCCGGGAGTTGCAAATTATCTGGAAACAGCACGTCCGGCATTCAATCTCCCACTCCAGCGCATATATCGAGAGAATGCTGCGTATCAGCCAAATACCATGCATATGGTTCGTTGTCCTGGTTGCACGCAATGGCAAGAGTTGCGTGCTTTTCGCTGGAAGCCTCAGGGTTGGGGCTACGGCGAATATATCGGTATCGGTATATACACGAGCGAGGAAGGCGTGGAAGAACATTTCGAACATGTCAAACAGATGAGATGCAATCGCTGCATTTTGAGAGAGCATGGCGAAGCAAGACTCGCAGAAGAGCTGCAGACACAATTCAATTCACTAATAGTGATACAGCAACAGGCCGTCCAGGAGATCTTCTCGGGTGGCTGGGTCCAGCTCAAGATTGCCATAGAAGCGACTGGAAACCTCATACGTCATGAAGATCGCGGACCGTTAAAACAGCTTGTCAAGAGTCTGGAGGCCCTTGATTCTAAGTGGGCGAGACTTCAACCGGACGCGCATTGGACGCCCATTGATGTGGATGCTGACGTTATTGAGGATCATATAGCAGCCATGAATATAAGGAGGCTAGAATGTATACGCCTCATCAATGATATGCCAAAGGTTGTTGATTTCTGTAAGGACGGCTACGGTCATTTTGAGCTGTGGTGTGAGCATTGGGATCAAGCAGTAGAGTATTGGAAGTGGACAAAGGCTTGGAAAGAGCAGGTTCAGAGGGAGCCAGAAGTCTTGGTCAAATGGGAACTTGAGAGAGATCCGAGGCGACTATCTTAGAGAGTAATTATTACTTGGATAATGGCATTGGATAGATCTACAAGACTCTGACGATGTGTCTCTGCGGCGCGTGATTGGCTCAACATGTGTACCACGGGTTAACGCGGGGCATGAAGAGGTTTTCTGCGTTTGCCTATAGCACCAAACAACAACTCTTTAGCTTGCGTGATGGCATTAGAATTGACTCCACAACCTATTGACCTGACAGGTCACGCCGTGTTCGAAACCACTTGGCCTACGAAGACCGTTCAATGTGATTGTGACTCCAGTAGACTTGCTCGCACATGGGCAGATCTCAAGAAAGGTATTCAAAACGGCTGCCCAAGATGTGAGATTATCTACAAAGCATGCTTGGCTGTACTAGTTCGCTTGAGTGCGACGCCGAGAGGCGTCAACATGGCCGACTATGCTGTTTCCGACTACAATGGAGACTCAGGTTGTATATTCCTGAGGGAAGGTGTGGGATCATCGAGCGATATTCCCACCAACACCTTTGCTATTCAGTTCTTTTATCCACCAACCTCACAACCTTGTCCTTGGGACTTTGTGAAGCCTGGTCGAGAAATCGCCGACGCCCGACAAGATATCGCTCAGGACCTTGTGGGTGGTTGGATGTCCAAGTGTGTTAACGAACATACGACCTGCCATAGACCCGTTTCCTCGTTACCGACACGAGTCATCGATGTCGGCAAAACGTCTGAAGATAAAGTGTCTCTTCACATATCGTCTGGATGCATGGGCCAGTATGCAGCCTTGAGTCACTGTTGGGGCACACATATGCCTTTGCAGACGACTAGAAAGAACCTGGAGGAACATTGTTCCTCTATAGCAATGACCAGGCTCCCCCAGACCTTTAGAGACTCTGTAGAACTCTGCAGGATGCTAAATATCCGGTTCTTATGGATCGATAGTCTGTGCATCATACAAGACGACCCTGACGATTGGGAAGCCGAAGTCTCTCGGATGGGAAAAGTGTACTATGACGCACATCTAGTGTTGGCAGCCTCACAAGCGAAGGACTCCTCTGGTGGACTGTTCAACAAATTAGGAGAATCCGTGCATCAATCTATGCACGTTGGCACGGTACACGACTCTTCTGGAGCCGAGAGTAAGATCCACGTCAATGTAACCCCCATTGGCAACAATATTATGTTGCATTGGCACAGTATGGCACTCTTAAACTCGCCATTGGCATGCAGGGCATGGGCACTGCAAGAACATATTCTAGCAAGCAAGATTGTACACTTTACACGCACAGAAATATACTGGGAATGCAGTTCTACCGTCGCTTGTGAATGCATGATCATGGATCATTCCCAAGCTGAGAGTGAGTGCATCCGCCGAGAAAGAATTTTCAGGCCACACAGTACCAAGGAAGAATATCTGGAAGGTCCTTTCAGTCATAGTATTCCAGAAAGTTCCAGTCTTTTGTGGTTAGAGTTACTTTCAAAGTACTTCTCGCGACATACCACTTACGAATCGGATCGATTACCGGCTATAGCTGGGCTCGCATCGTACTTGAAATCACACGGGGCTAGCGAGTACATTGGCGGACTCTGGAAGAAAGACCTGGCTCGGTCACTATTATGGACAGCTATACCGACAGTCCGACGTGATCCTCGTCGTGTCAATGGATCCCCAACGTGGTCCCCGTTTTGTGCAGATCTGAGTAAAAACACACAGAAACAAACGACGATTAGTTTCGGATGGAGCGGTGGCCACGACATCTATCCTTTTGAGCTCAAATACTTCATTCATGACATCGATGTGCACTGTACCCCGTCTCGTCCTGACCCTTTCGGCAGGATCAGCTCCGGCATGCTTCGACTTCGAGGTAAAACACTCCCGATTCGCTCCCTTGATCACGGTGATCGTGTGACATTTGCACGACTTGGACATAATGACACATCAATGGTTGTGTATTGGGATGTTGACCCGCATGAGGTAGACAAAGACCGCTTATATTTCCTATTAGTCGCACAGCGCACAGATCGACCCGAGACACGAGGCTTGTTACTCCAGAGTTGTATTGGTGAGGAGTTGACGTATCAGAGGGTTGCGATCGCATGCCAGAATCCAGACGGAGCTGAAGAGATGGCGGCAGCGTTTGACGGAGTCAATGAGACAGAGCTTACCATTATCTGAGACCGATATTGTAGGAAAACGCAAGAGGAGACTGAGTGGGCACCTGGTAGTCGATGGTACTTCGATGGTACCACCAAGGTACCACTTGAAGAGGAGCTTGAGGCAGAGAGGAAGTGTTCAATATCGGGTCACAATCCCCTTCTGGGTAGTGAAAACCTGTTCAGCAATAGACACACATACTGATGACACACATGTGAGCTACATAGCTGATGTATTTCGAATTATATACGTTTCATATGCAAAAAGCTGGAATACCAAACAAAGATCAAAATCCCACGAAACAAAAGAAACAACAAAAACAGCTTAACGAACATCACCAGGATCTCAAGATCTCCCACGTAATCTAGAACTCCATATCGAATCATGCAGATCAGTACTCGTCCATACTAACGGCCCTTCCGAAACGTCTCCCAAGTCCACTTCATCCTCTCCACCTGCCCCTTCGTAAACTCGTTCAAGCACTCATCCTCGGAGAAACTCATGAAGTTCCTCACCGGATCGAGACCATGCTCTCCAGGGCACGTATCAGCCCCTACGGCACACCCACCATTGGAGAGAAGTCTCATCGAAGGCGTATCGTCAATGCCATCGCCTTCTCCATCACAACCGTGGGAGTACGTATGCTCCAGCCCGAGCCAGTGGCCCACTCCGTGCGTCGCCGTCTTGCCTTGGCTACGGTCCCCATTGGGGTCAATGCCGGGCAATGCTTCATTGGAGATGACGACGCCGTCTAGGTAGCATTCAACGGAGCCGACGGGGTGCTTGTCGGTATCATGGGGCATGGTAGATGTCTGTGCAGGGTTTAGCTAGGAGACTTTTAGAGGATTTGGTACAGGGGCAAAGCGTACGCCGATGGTTCCATTGCCAATGTGGACAGTGTAGATGTTCAGTGTGCTCCAGCCTCCCTTTCGCAGCTGTCTTTTGATACTATAGTCTGCGTTAGGGGTAAGGTAGGGGTATGGCAGGAGCCAACGATCAATTTCTTTCAAATTGAATCGGAAGCCGTATGGGTTGAAGTCGTTGTTGAGCTGGGCGAGCTGCTTCTTGTAGACGTCATCCTGAGAACTGGGTCAGTACTTGGGTCTTCTCCTCGTCGTGGTATACTGGACTTACGCGATAATTCCCCTTCTCCTCGGCAGCACCGTCGGCTAGGACGTGGAAATAGACGTCGATGGTTATGGTCTCATTGGTCCCGTTACCCCGCGGAAACAATGCATGATTGTCCCTCCGAACGGAGTCAACTGTCTTCGACCGTTTGAGGATATTCGCAAAGGACTCTGGAACTTCCGTGCTGCAACCTTCGGAAAGATCCGACCGCCGACGTCCAGGAGCTGCGTATACGCATTGGAGGAAGAAGAGTAGGAAGCTGAAGAAGAACATGTTGTATTTTACTGAGGTCAGGTCAAAGTGATGGACAAAAGATCGTATGATGCAAGAGTGTAAATGTGATATTGAATACTATCAGAAAGCTCTTCCTCCAGAGCTTCTTATATATCACCATCATGACCACTCTAGAGCGCATCTCATGGCATTCGCTTCTTTCCAATCGACTCAAACGCCCTGACAGAGCAGTAAACATTGATCCACTGACCACAAAGCCTGTGCCATGCGGACCATACTGTGCTGGCGCAGGTGGTGTCGCAAAAACGGACGACATCCCAGAATAGACATGGAGAAGCGGATCTACTCAGTAATCGTGGGGAAGATCGTGCACAGCCACGTTCGCCAGCAATCGCGTGTTCAACGCAATGGATGTCCCACTGTGCTATGGCGCCGCATCAGCATGAGGCATACATGCACGTAATTGGAACGAGCGTCTTTCATGACGCTAACCCGTAGCTAGACCTGTAACTTAAAGTTTGTGATGGATGGTCGTGCCGCGCTGCTTGCCGTAGTAAAAGTGCGGGCGGCACAGTCGTCTGCCTCCTTTTAGAAGCCAATGCCCGGATTAGTCGTATCGCAGAAGGTTTTGTCTCTTTACGTTTTCTTGATGCTAGAAATAATGAGAGCCTACCTATATTTGAAGAAGGGTTCCAAGAAGAATCATGTGCTACGCCGACTAGATGTTAATACGCTAAGGGGCGTTGGTATGAGGACTCAGTCTCATCTACTCACCTCGCGAACGAGATGTATGTCTTGTGACACTTTCTAGATGACAAGAAACTGTCGATAGTATCGTTTGACCCAGACAACCCTTCTATCGATCTCTTTGCCCTCAACTGTTCCTTAACATATGTATACTGTTGTTAGGAGTATGTAGTCGATCTGGAGTCTAAGAAAGATCTTTACAGTGCCCAAGAAGATCTTCGAACTCCCATACTGAAACAATAGAGGACTTCGGTGCCATAATAAAAGGGGAGCAGACACACCTGAAACACAGAATACAGACCGTGTCCGACATACGTCATGAATATTCCTCTACTTGTCCAGATACAGCTACAACTCACTCACGCGTCTTACTCACATAAACCGCACTAAACGCCCTATATACTAGTCTCGCCTCAACCTCTACCATCTGTGCAACGCCCCTCCTCAACTCTGCCGAGACCTATCGCACCAATCCGCCCCACTCACTCTTCCATAGAACGCCCTCCGTTCTGTGTTTATAGCAACCACCACGTCTCTCGCCGCAGATCGGCTTCCATCTTCTCACCATCACGGACTCATACAGAGGCACGGACTAGCATAGCCGCTCGCTTCAAGCGCTTGCGCAGCCCGTCAGCCGGAAGAGAATGTGATTCTCACCTTCAGTTTCTATTTTATCTTCTCATAACGCAAGATACAAGTACACAGCTTCCTTAGGCGGAGGCTTTCGGCTAAGTGCGTAGATTATGCCTTCCGCAGTGGGACTGCGAGCGCCTAACGAACGAGTATGGTCCACAGCGTTGTTAATGCTGCGCGTGTGGACAGGGGTTGCGGCATTTAGACGATTTGAGAATCTGAATATCGAACGAGGAGTTAATAAAAGACTTAATTAGGCGTAAGGGCGTGTGCCGAAGTAGGTCATTCTGAAGAGCATTGTGGAGAGGACGCTTGAGGTATCTGGTGACGCGAGGATCCCTCACATAGAAGCACCGTTCATGTTGCCATAGTGTGTTCGTGTTGCCGTAGTGTGTCTGTCCGTTGACCATCTGTGTCCTATTTCTGGTGGACTATTAGAGACCCGCCTGGTCGATCGTACAAACTAAAAATCGAGTTGGTTGGACATCATCATCAGGCGTGGTGGAAGGCGCGGTCGTACGTCCAGCTAGTCATGATGGTGATAGCTTGTTCTAATTTTGTACATGACCTTCACATGACTCCATATGAGACGCGCAGAGTTGTTGAAGCGGGCTTAGAGTCAAGAGAGATTGATTTGAGCGAGAAGGCTGACAAGCCCAGGGTGGAACGAAAATGCGTAGCCGGCGTCGACGTACGATGATACGTCTCAAGGTGACGTACATTTTTGGTGGCTGATCAACTCTTGTGGCGTGTTACAGGAACTCTCTTACTTGATCCTCTTTGTGCTTCTACTCACAAGCAAAGAGCCCTTGCAACCTACTACGGCCGCGTATTGAGCAGTCCGCACAGATTGTTAACGAAGGAGAGTTGTGGCAGTGACTTAGCGTCCGAAAATGTATCAATGTCTCGAAAGGGTGAATCCACCGGCCAGAAGTTTGGAATATGAATCGCGGTATGATGAACTTTATGGCTTCTTAGGGCCAACTGTTAAAGATTTAGCACGGCTAATCTTCGAGAGAGAACTGCAGAACTATTCGCTGAAGCACCGCCTCAGACACAGCTTACAGCTCCACTAGAAGACCATCCCTAAAGATGGCTTTAATGGATCAAGCTGGGTCACGGAATCCGTTCATGGCTGAGGATCGCATAGCGTCGGTCACCCCAAAGGCTTCGGATAAGTCCGTAGCTTGACCTCAAGCTCAATGTGGTGCTCCGCATACGCCCTTTGTACCGAATACGGCTGGACCCAGCTATGTGAAAGCCCCGTCTCATATCCAAGTGGTAGCTCAAGTAGGCGAATTTCTTTGAGGCACGGAACGTGAGAAGTCTTATGGGCGGCGATCTCTTCGACCCATTCATACTCTTCCACTGGTTGGGAATCTCGACCATAGAAATCTTCAGCCCCAGAAAAGTCGTCGTAAAACATTCCAGTGCTATGCGGGAATTGAAGCTGAGAGAAAAGTAAGCTAGGTGTTCGTGGTCCGCTCTTTCTCATATACATACTGTGAGAGATTCGAGATGAGGTGGCAACAGAGCCCAGAATCCCCTTTTCTCCCTTCCACGGGGCACGCGTAGTGAACAGTGTGATGATGCGGATGGCACTGCAAAGTACACGGTTTCGAAGCCGAAGAAACAAATGGACGTGACACTAAGGCGTCTCAATCGACTGAAATCCTGAAAATTCATCGAGTACGACTCTCGATGATTCCAGTTCCCCACAGTCTCGCTAATCGTCAACGTCTCAAGAGTATCTCGAACCTGAGCTATTGCCACGTATATCAGTGAAGGTCTCCACTCCCGTGATCGCCTTGGTCGAGCTGTCTCATAAGCCACAGGCTCGTGCCAGAACGCGTTATCGACAATCAAATGCTTCAAGTAGGGCGTGCGTGAAATGAGCGCATGCAAGACGTTTACAGCCAGCCGAGTACGTCTGATGGTAAGGCTCGGAAGGTGGGTGCTGTCCTGCATGTTACGGCAAGCTTGTGGCACATGAGTGGCCGAGAAGTCATGCATTATCAAAGATTGGATCGTCCCGGTGGTCATGAGTCTCAGAAACCCACTCATATCCGTGATCCCGCCTGTGATCTGAAACGTATCTAACATCGGTGCTGGATTAACCGCAAGGAAGTCCGGCATGTAGGCTTTTTGAACGCCCGGTCGGGGCGTGGACCACATGTACGTACTTTCCAGTGTGACAAATCTGATATTGGGCAGTTGAGCGAGTAGGTCGTTGACAGCAGTCCAGCCCTCTGCAAATACATCGGCAAGCCGACAATGTACACTGCGGACCAGTCGATATAGTTGAGGCCGCCATGCAAGCGTGCGAATGAAGCTATTGACGTCCGAAAATCGAGCAGCGTCTCGCACTCGTTTATCGCTATCTGGGACATCGAAGTATAACCAACAATGCCGATACAGTAAGTCCTGTGCTATTAGATGCACCCTAGTAGATACTTTGCAGAGGGCACACAGAGTCTTCGTATTTGCGAGATCTGGACTCTCGTCGTCTGAGGCTTCGAAATGCCGAAATATACGAAACAGAAGTTCATTTGAGAGACAACTCAGGCTGATGTGCTTCCGATCCGCATGGTTATCCATCACCTTTAGTGCTGATGTCTGGTTATGGGCCGCCATTGCGTCCGCGAGATGTCTGTAGATTTCGAGTCGATGTTGATCCTATCATGTCATGCTTCAACCCGAGCACCAGAAGTATCGAGGCCAAGATTTTATTAGAGACTATCGAATTGGCTATGCATCGGAGAATTCGAGATGTCGAGAAAGTGTACAATGCCTAATTGAGTGCACAGCCCTGCCACAGCCACAGGCCGATCCATCATCAGGCAGAATAGTCAGGCAACAAGGCATCCATTCAGGCACAACAAAACGTGTTCCACTATACTACAATGTACGTCCTAAGTCGTTGATGATGCTACCCAGTAGTAGTAGTATAGCTTGAGTAGATTACATATACTCCGAAACCAGCCACCCTATCCCTGAACCCAAGAATGCAAGCACAGCAAACTACCCAAAACCGCCCATTCAGTAAGCGCCCTCCTGAAATCTCTCCACAGCACGTTTGATTTCCTTCACAATCTCCTGAGCCTCTCCCGCACTGCTGGCCTCGAAATCGTATCTCTTCGTTTCGCGCTCCTTGTACACGACCACGCGGAACATCCTCGGATGACGCCGGCTCACTTTGCTACCGACAACGCTGGAGAATGGCACGACGGTTGTCTTGCCCTGCGGTTCAAAGAGTGCCTTGTTTCCACCGCCACCGCCAGTCTCGGATGGCATGATGTGCATGTATTCGCCGTCGAGTGCCAGGATGCGCGATGAGGAGGACGAGAATGACATCGGTTGCTTGCGAGTTACAGCATAGCGCTTGTACGTGCTGATGCCACCACCAGTCAATGCGTCTTGCTTCTGTGCCAAGGGGTGGATCATGTCGCCGCCCATACGCGCACCCTTCTTGCCTTTCTTCGGTGTTCCGCCGGTGCTGATCAGCAACGGCGCATTAGGTGACGATGAACCAGGAGAGCCAGACAGCCCGAAAGCGCCGTCTGTAACAAATCTGCGGCGCACGAGATCGAGTTCGTTGCGATCGCCAAGGGCCTCAACGGTCCTATCGGTCGGGGCAACAGTTTGGGTGCCACTGACTTTGAGTACGAATAAGGCTTTATCGATAGCCAGCCTGTGGCAGACCTTTTCGAATACTTCTGCGATATACGTATCGGTTGTAGCTTCAATATTGACCCTACGGACATTGAATTGGTCGTCATGGAAGCTGATAGTTATGGATTTTTGGGCGCCCATGCGCGGCGTGGCATGTGACACAGGAGTAGCGGGAGCGTCTAGGGGATTCATGGCGTTCTTGTACGTGGTAGTCGGGTTGAAGCCGAGACCTAGAACTGGGTTGCGGAATGGGCGAGCGATCCCAGTGGCAGGCCCGTGCTCCATCCCTGGCGTGGTCGGCGCTGTAGATACCTGCGAAATGGCAGCTGAGGGAGCAGTAGATGCCATAGATGATGCGGAGGATCCTTCCATAGCTTCATGAGCCTCCTTGGTGTACATCGGAGTTGCTTTCTCATTGTCCTGGAACTCGCTTTCAGAGGCTTGAACGAGAGCAAATTCGTCCCAGGGCTTGTCCCTTGCTCGCCGGTTCGGTGGGCGATTGTTGTTGGATGTGAAGTCCGCAATCGGCTTCGTTCTTGTGATTGGAGGGAAGTCTTCTTCTACCTCTCCATCTTCATACATTCGAAATACCCAGTGATTGACATTCATTTTCTCTGATGGTATTGTAGGCTCAATTCCTGCCTCGGTATATTTATATAGAGCCAGTCCTATGGCATCACCTGCTGAGATAGGTCGACCGTCTTCGGCAGCTTTGCGCAACGGCATCTCAATCGGTTTTGAAGATTTTGAAAACGGAACATGGATCTTGATCCAAAGTGGATTCGGGTTACCTTCGCCTGACAGCGTCGCGAATCTCTGGAAAGGGCTCTCTGGTTTCTTATCTTTTGCTTTGAAAGCCTGTGTGAGTGCACTGACAGGCTGAATCATACTGATGGGTCGTGGCGGTGGTAGAGCTTGCAGTAACGCAGGCCCCGATCGACTTTTCTTCGGAGATGGATTCGATGGGCCAGTAGGTATACTACTTAACCCTAGTCGTAGTGACGGCTGTGAGGTGACTCCATGACCGTCTCCCAACGATAGGTTACTGTCGACAGAGCCAGCGAACGATGACAACGAACTAGCGTCTGATTCACCGCCTGCCTCAATCTCAGCTTGAATCTCTTCTAGGTGTACCTCGCTCTCCCTCTCATCCTCGGCGATTCGTTGCGAAAGCATGTTGGCCGCCGCTGCTTTGCTTGGGCGATGTGGTCGCACAGTCCGACGCTGGAATGCTGACGCATCGAATTCGTTTTCCGACGACATCTCGCTGCTCGTAACGGTGTCTCTCCGGGCCCTTTCTTTGACAGCCTCCAACGCCCCTAGCGAGCCACGCCTAAGCGCACTCTCCGGTGGTCTTGACGGCGACGTAATCATCAGAGATGGTCCGTCCTTACTCCGCAACGGAGATGAGCCTGCTCTATTTCGTACGGGCATCTTTTGAAACTTGATCTGTGTTACTGGTCGTTGTGCGCCATCCTCATCGTCGCTTTCGTCGCTCAAGTCACTGCTGTCATCCTCCTCGAGCTGTTCTCTTCGTCGTCGCCGCCTCGCATTGATCGACGGCCCCACAGTCTCATTGCTTCCATGTCCACCTGTTACTAAACCCCCCTCTTCATCATCGTCACCAAACCCTGTTGGCGCGGACAGACCAGCGGAGCGGGGAGCTTGGAAGTAATCGGAAGTGACAGCGGTAGGTATGGGTGGGGAGTAGGTGCGTTTGATGTCGGAGGCATGCGCGTTCCATCCAGCGACGCGGAAGGCTGGATTGTTCAAGACAGACGAGTTGACGGTGATTAGACGCTCGCCAACGCCATCTTTGATGTGTGAGAGGTAGGACGTGCGGAGTTGGTAGAGGACGAAGCTGGCACGCGTTAGCAATCAGTCGTTCATGGTGAGAGGTAGCATTACTCTTCGTTCTGTAGCAAGGACATGGTCAGCTCATCGTCACAGGGCGTGAAGTGTAGACCGAAGGACCTCGACGACTTTCAATTCGACGACGCTGCGGAACTGGAAGCCTGAGGCGTCATGGATCCATGGATGGATCCGTATCCTTGCGGAGACACACTGATCGGCGCGCGAAAAGTGGAGCCCGCCAGTCAGTGCCTTTCTCCCCACGCTACTGCCGGACGATTCTTAGCGCCATAACATTTCAACGTCATGCCAAAACACTCCAAGTTGATCATCTTCATACATTGACCTTCCTCAACATGGCGCTCGTTGCATACTCAGACTCTGAAGGCTCAGACAGCGAAGGTCCATCGCCACCTCCAAAGCAGGCACCAAAGCCTGCGCCGTCCGCGAAATCCGGTTTCACCAAGCTCGTCGACCGCTCGAATCCTACAAAGATCAAGGTCAGTCTGCCAAGCGCAGCGCCAAAACAGAAGGACGACAATGACGCGAGTACAAATCGACCGATCAAGCGAGCCAGGACAGAGGGTTCTGGCTTCAACGCCATGCTCCCTGCACCAAAACGGACAGGCGTCATCAAAGGCAATACAGCAGGAAGTGCATCAAGTGGAAAAAGAGGGCTAGGAAGAGGTCTCGGTGCCGGAGTCAGCCTGAAGACCGGCGCAGAGCCAGCATTCAGCCGTGTACGAGCAGAGCCAGAGCCAGATCTATTCAAGACCACCGCATCCGAGGACGAAGTCCGCCCTGCCGCCTTCCACGAAACACAAGCAGAGACACCCGTCCAAGCACAAACAGCCGCCAGCGAAGCACCAAAGCCAAGACCAATGCTCTTCAAACCCCTCTCCGTCATGAACAAGCAAAAGAAAAAACCCCTCGCAAACAAATCCCCCGCACCAGCACTCTCCAGACCTCCCCCCGAATCCGCCGCTTCCAACCAAACACAACCCACAACCGCACCTCCGAAACCAAAACCCTCCCTCTTCTCCTTCTCCGCCTCCGAGGACCAAATCCAAATCCCCCAACCCACAACCTACGCACCCATCCTCCACCACGCCCCCGCTCCAGCGCCCCAAATAGACCCCACCCCCTCCCCCTCCACAGACCCCCCAGCCAACACCGACTCCACAAACACCCTCGCCCTCCTCGCCTCCGATCTCAACCTCCCCGCCTCAGCACGCCGCCAACTCCTCGGCCGCCACGCCAAAGATCCCAGCGCCGCAATCCCGGCCAACGCCATCAAAACCTTCAGCATGGACGCGCAGTACGCCGAGAACGAGGCCGCGATTGCCGCGGGCGAGACCGTGGGCAAGGCGCCTGTGCGCGCGGTTGCTGGCGGGAAGCATAGTTTGAAACAGCTGGTGGCGAATGCGAATGGGCAGGCGGAGGCGCTGGAGGAGCAGTTTGCGGAAGGGAGGAGGAATCGCAAGGAGGCCGGGTCGAAGTATGGGTGGTGAATTGGGGTTTTATTGGGAGAGGAGGGGCTATGGGACTGGCCTGGGATGGTCTTAGCAGAGCCCGGTATTTGTGGATGTATCTGAAGAGCGTCTGATGTGGACTAAGTGTGGCTTTGGGAGAACAAGCTTCATGCATACAATACACATCGCACACATTGTTTTATCTCCAAGAAACCCATTTTCTACCCCTTTATATGCTTATCTACGTTACGTAATATCCGAGCGGACGTTCCGCTCAAGATGACGTGGTATCTACCAACGCTGATATAGAGTCCCCCCCAGTGCGGCTCGAAAGCCCTCCGGACTTTTATGTAAGTCTATCCTCATTACGCCTTTGTTGCATACCGTCAACCCAAGCCCCCTAAATGGATGGCCTTTTTTTCCCTTTACTCTCCCATTTCCGTCATCACGAACAGAACCCGCTCGCCCTGTCCCGCACTCTCGCCTCGTGCTAGTGCCTGTTCTTCCTCTTCCGCCTTCTTCCTCTGCTCAAGCACATGCTTGACCCAGCTCAGATTCTTGGCCTTTGACTTCGTCTTCTTCGCTGCCGTCATCTTGCCGCCGCCCATCTCGTTCTCCTTGCCCTTCACGCCATCTCCTTCATCGCTAGCACCACTACGAACGTCATCACCACCTACTGCCTTCGAAGCTGCAATCGGCTCGCGTCCGCCGCCGGCGATGATCATCTCCATGGCGGCCTTTGTGTATTGGAATTCTGGGTTATCGTCACCTAGGGCGACGCGCGCTTCTTCGATGGCTTTGCCGGCGTGCATGATGGCGAGCTTGCGCAGGCCCATCTTGGCGCAGATGCGGGCTTGGTAGTTGCGGCTGGGCAGGTCAGCAGCGATGTTGAGGTTAAGGTCAAGGTTTAGGGGGAGGGGAAAAGGAACTGAAGCACGAATGAAAGGACAGAAAGGGAACTAGAGCACGAATGGGAGGACACTCACGCTTGTGCTAGATGAGAGCCCCAGAGGCCGTCCTCGGTCATGAGACGAATGAGCTCGTTGCCGCGCTTCATAATGTCATGGCCGTCGAGGTTGCGACCGTCAAGGTGGTCGTCACGCAGGTAGTACTGCAGGTAGATAGTATTGTTGTTCATGATCTTGCGGCGCTCATCCAACCTAAGGCCGTCGTCAGTCTTCTCGCAAGCCTTGCAATCGCAATGCATGTCCGTTCGCTGGAAGCAGCGTATGTTGCGTTCCTTGGCCCCGTAAAGACTGTTGGTGTACGCGATGGTGATCTCCTCGCCTGCCTTGATGTTGCGGACTGCATGCACTGTCATCGCGCCGAGGCTACTATTGTACAGGTTGTTGGCGTTGGGCGTACAGTCGTTGTTCAGCCGGGCTGCGCTGAGACATACTGCGATGAACGGCTTGGGGTCGTCAACGCTTACGCTTTGGTCGCGTAAGACGAAGTGGTTCATTAGAACAATTGCACAAATATCACGACGCTCGTCTTGGGCTTCAAGAATGGCAAGTTCCTTCTTTACATTGGCGAGGGCGGTAGAGCGCTGGGCGGATGTCATGCGGAGGATGTCGGCCTCCCTGGGGCATCTTGCGTTGGCGGCAGGAAACGTCAATATTGGAATATCGCGTGGGTAAGGACTTCGATATTTGTGACGTATTTCCCGTGCAATCTCAGCCGAAGAGTCGGAATCGATGTCAGAGACAGTTGTGTCGTCCTTGATAGTTTCGGCGTCAGAGTCCTCTAGATTGATGACTTGAACACCTTGAGGAATCTGGAAGTCGGTGTGCGAGGTTGTAGTAGTAACAGTAGGGTCTATTCCAGGCGCAACGAAGGTATCGGCTTCGGCATCAGCGATCTCGTCAATACCCATGTCTGCCAATCGACGGCTGTTGGTCTCGGTCTCGGTCTCGGTCTCGGGATCAGTGATCTCACGGATTTGAACACTGTCATCGTATAAAAGAGATTCGAGCCTGGCCTTGGCTTCTTCAAAATTCGATATGGTCACTTTACGAATCAGGTGCATGATATCATGATGCTCGGCGCGAAAATGCTTCTCAAGAGTCAAGAGCTGAGCTTGGTCGAAAGCATCAAGCTTATCATAAGCATCCATGACCTCGTCTTCGCCACACTCTGAACCTTCGATGCGTATTATCGGGGTATCAGTCATGATTCGAGTTCCTCTTGGAAGGTCCTGAGTTGCAAAGACGCCAAGTCCACGGTTTGGGGTTTTCTTGATCTCGAATAGACGAGGAGTTGATATAGGTGTGCTAAGGACTGCCGTTTGCGACGAGTCTATGGCCTTTTTCTTTTTGTTTCTGCTCTTGTTATTGCGTTTCTTCTTCGTTGCACCATTGCTGGCCGGTATAATATGTGCTGGTGAAGAAGGCGTCAAAGAGGTTGATGCAGTGCATGCGCTGGACGCACACGAGTCGTCAGCGCTGGCGACACTGTTCTGTCTTCTTTGAGAGTCTGTAGCCATATTGATTTGTTCTCAACGTTCAATACCAAAGATTTGACGGCAGGACAGTAGCGATACAAATGCAGGTAGCAACAGTTTCACCGGTAATTCCCACGTGAACCAGGAAAGATAAAAGGTTTCGTGGAGAGGGACTTTGAGAATAGGGCTGTCAATAGGGTGGACAGAATGTATAACAAACGTGAACGTTGAGCATGTAGAGTCAACTTCGAAGGATTTCCTGATGTCGTTGTCGGGTACAACGAAAGCTAGGCTTTGTACGAGTGGCAAAGTTGGTGTGAAGTGAAAATAATGCCGACGACACTCAAGACGTCAAAGACAGCAAAAAGGTCATATGAGTGAGCCAAGTGTGTGGCTAAACAAACAGTTTGTGAGTGAGTGAGAGAATGAGAGAAAGGAAAAGTGTAGAAGAGTGTGGAACTTTGACGTTAAAGTTCTGGTGCAATGGATGGGCAAGTTGCAGAATGCAAACAGTGGCACAGCTCAGGGTCTTGGTCTTTGTGTAACCAACCTAGCGCCACTTTTGTAGTTTATATTAAATAGACCTTCACTCTTGATTCCGATTCTTTTCATGCACAGTCGATGAAGTTTAGACAAACTCTCTTCAATTTGGTGCAGGCAATTTAGGTCATCGCCTCGGACTGTGTAAAATCCCAAACCCGCAAATTTCACTATCAAATGGTCGTAAGTCATTCATGAGACATCTTGTCCCATGTACCGCTAATTTAGCAGGACAAACAGCTTAAGCAATCTATGTTGGGAGGTAAGCGACGGCAACCAGTGCTACGGTAATACCAGCTATGGTACTGAGGGAGATCCTGGTGGATGGGAAAGTCAGTCTAATTATACGCTGCGAAGGACAGAAAAATGCTTCAAAGTTTCAAATTACAATTGCGAGAGTCTTGACACTGTGATCATGAGAGAGGTCCCTTACGTAGCGTTGCGTCTGCTGCCAAATATCTGCGACAGCCATCTGCCAATAGGTCCTATGCAACCGCCCAATACGACGCGCCAAAATGCAGCAAGAAATCCTTCTTGGCTGTTCTGCTGAGGTATCTGCGCCGACCGAACGGACGATGGCGTAGCTGCTCGATCGTGCGATTGGGGAGACGTTGAGCGAGTTGTACGTCTCACCCTTCGGTGCATGGAGTGACTTTCGTCAGTGCACCCTTCATGAGCACCTGTAGTGGTGGCGAGCTCTGTCGTCGACACCGGCGACTTTGATACTTCTTTTTCCAAAGTGACTTTGTCTGGTGCAGACAACTCATCTTCCGAGACGATAACAACGTCCACTGGGGTCTCAGGTGGAGTTGCCAGAGCTACCTTCAAGTCAGCGCAGAACAATTAGCACAGAGGACAGAAGCTTAGTTACCAATTTCTCGAACCTCTGATGTCTTGAGCTTGAGATCAGGGTCTGAGAGTGATAGAGGTACCGAATCAAGCGGTTCTTCGTCTTCGACTGCCACGTCTTCAGATATCGGCTCTAGTGGAGATGGTGCTTCTGCGGAGTAATTTGAGACTCTAGGTGAAGCTCCTGGCCGTATTGGCGATGGAGAAGTATTCTCATCGACAGGGGAGTCATCTCTACTTAGCCGTCGCTTTGTCTCCTGCAGTTTTCCAACAATTTCGGCCTTGTCAGTTGGGAACTCCTCGACGGGCGTGTCATCTGGGTCTTCAGCGATCCTTTGCAATGAGGTCCCAGACTTGCTGCGACCGGACATCTGGCTCATGGACCGACTGCCCTGTTCATCGGGGACACATTCATGCGAAAATAGCGGCATGCCATCATCAACCCTTACCGGATCAGGGTTGCGTGCTGTGTCTCTGATATTCTCATTCACATCTTCGACGGAGCTGCCCGGGGTAAATGGCGATTCGGGTACTTCGATATGGGTGCTGTGACGGCGAAATGCGGTCGGATCTTGATGGTCTGGAATCGTTTCATGCCGAAATAATGGAATTGGCTCTTCCTCATCGTAATCCGCCACATCAGCCTGTGATACGTCGCCAGTCGCAATGGTTTCATGTCGGAAGAGAGGTGCAGGCTCAACCTCGTCTTCCACTTCGCTTTTGGTCGCTATCGTCTCGTGTCGAAACAGAGGTGCAGGCTCGTCTTCCTCGTTGTTGCTGTCTCCATCTATAGATCTCTGTGAATCGTCTTCGGAGGAATTTCGCGACGTGTCAGACTCTTCTCCCTTGAGTGGCAATATTATTGTTTGGTCAGGTTGGGCGTCCGCAGCTCTTAGTTCATGCGCAACTCGTTGGCTGAGACTAGCTCTTCTACCGAAATCGTCGCCATACCGAGGCGAATCATCTGTCCGCTCAACAACGAGGGTGGGCACCGAGAATCTTCTTGGCGGATCTGCGTGCGAGTCTGGCAGGGATTCTTTGGGTGCATGTATTTCTGTATCGGGATCGGCATCACTTTCGCGTTTTCCTGAATCCTCGTTAAGTTTCGCACTCGCAATATCCCCATACTCGGGTCGAGCTATGTCAGGGGCCATCTCGACTACAGTAAATGGGATTGGAGCTCTTTCAGCTACTGGGGTTTGTTTAGATGGGTCCGTAGTAGATGGAGAGGTACCTTCATCCGTCAGATCGCTTGACTCTACAGACGCCTTGTCCTCCTCATCCTGTGAGAAGAACTCTGTACTCGGGCTGGTAACGGATTTCCGGGATGACGATTCGTCGACAACTGGCGGCTTTGGTCCTGTTCGAAACACTCGTAGAATGTTATTCCTGTTGCCACAGGTGTCCGTGGCTGTGCCACACTCAGTTCATGCCATGACTAATGAGCTGAAATGGCACTCACCTGTCTCCACCTTCTCGTTTAACATCCACCAGTCACCGTTACCAAGTCGGTATTTGTACTGGTATTCACCTGTCTCCACGTCATCGAAGGTCTTGATAAAGACAGGATCACCGTTCGGTGCGTCTTCGGCCTGGTCCATTTCGATAGCAGTCCATGGTGGACGAGTGAAGGAACCAGCAACATAGATTGGCGGTTTGGCACCCGGAGAGGTGAAAGTCAAAGTGACAGGACGAGACATGCTGACGAGCTGGATGTCGTTGGCATTGGCAGCGAGCAATCTAAGATTATGAGGGTCGCTGTTGCGACGCCAAGGAGCAGGAGTAGGTATGCGAGCACCGCTCTCAGCTAGAGGAATGTCATCAGCACTGGAAGCAGTGTCACGCTCATCAAAGCTCTTTGCGGTGGACAGCTTGCGGGCAGGCTTGGACGACCTGCGCCGGTAGAGAGAGAAACCGAAAGGCATAGGAATGAGGATCAGAGGAGGTGTAGATGGTGTATGATGAGGGAGTTGTAAGGGGTGTAGGTGTAAGTGTATGACTTACTTCAGAGATCAGACTGTTTGCTCTAGCGACTGTCGAGAAGTGTCGGTCCAGGGCTCTCTGACAGGTGCGTTGTGGGCAGCGGCGATGTATCAGGACGAGGAAGTTGAGGAATGCGAAGCTGCCCCAAGCTGCGTGCGTGAGAGGAAGTTGCTCATGCTCTTTTCCAGGTTCTTTATGGTGTCAAGGAGTGACGTCGAAGAAGTGGGACTTGAGATGAAGAGGAGGAGGAGAAGAAGAAGAAGTGAAGAGTGGGAAGAGTGGGTGTGGTGTGGTGTGGTGGGATCGTAAGCTTGTAGCCAGGTAGGGGTCAGTCAGGCTATGGATGTGAAAGTTGGCAGCAAGCGTGCAGTGAGGCGAGGGGCATATTCTTTGTGTCTGGAATTGATGTCCATCAAACACAAGGATGCATGCACACGACTCACGGACAGCTTGACGGACAGCCTGTCGGACACGTTAATTATGCTACACCGGACAATTGCAGTGGTGAGAGAACATACATGTTAGTTAGTATAGTATGGACGAGGTGCGGAAATGAAACAATGATTGACCGGACATTGTTTTGCGCGAGTTTGAGTTTGTGAATGAGATATGTCATAATCTATGTGTAATGGGTGATAGCAGTGAAGTCTGAGTATGGTCTACCTAGAGATGTAGTACTACTACTACTACTACTCTATGTAAGTGGATCTTAGGTTCTTTATAGACATGTACTTAGACCCAGCTGGCTATAGTGAGGTGGAGTGGGTGGAGCGGGTGGATCAGGCGGAACTGTCAGCCAAAAACGCCACAATCAGAAGACTGTCCCTAAGCCCCTTGAATAATTACCCGTCTGATTCTGATGCTCATCATTGTAGCTGAGGATGCCATTGCGAGTAGATATTTACATGTACCTATCCATCTGACCGGCCATTCTGGACATACTGTAGAGCAGTGCAGATGGCCCGGGATGCAAGTCTCGGGCGCGCAGGCGGCCTGTAATTACCACTTGTTACTTTACATAGTGTTATATAGGTCTAGTCCGGGCAATTTTGAGCCTTGTGGCCTTACAAACAAGGCCACAACGACGTCATTCATCTGCGGAGCACTTGAGTCGTTGCATGGATTACATAATCCAAATTGTTCCCCGTCAGAACGACCTCCATCAGTGCTTTGTTGCTTCCAATAACTACGATCACTATCCAACCACTACGCCTGGTCACCGCGTTTACCGTCCAACCACAGCAAACATGCCGTTTGAAATGGCGATTCCATTCTCATCCGCCGCGAATCGTGTGCGACGCTTCATGAGGCAATCTGGGCGCTAACTTTGGCTTCATTTGTTAGTCTTGGGCTATGGCCGTCATCCATCACTATGAGGTCATGTTTATTTCCTTTGTCGGGAGTAGAACACTTAGTATCATGTACGACATGTCTCTCAGCTACCGGCCATATTTGCTCGCTCACACGAACATCGCATCGCCAATATGAGCGCAATGGTCCATCACCCCGCAGAGTCCGCTGAGGCCCTGCCGTCGCTAGCAGCGTCTTCCGACGTCAGCAGCACTGCGCCGGTTGAGAAAGAGAAGGATCACACTGCAGCGGATGACACGCTTTCCCGAAGACCAACTGAGACGCTCTCGCAGCGCAACACAAGTTCAAACAACGAGCCCAGAGCCGCACCGCCAATTTCCAACCCGAACCGAGACTTGGAGAAACAGAACACAGCAGCCTCAAGCATTCGGCGGAAGAGGACAAGGGGTGAGCAGTTTCCTGATCCAGAGGACGAGAGCAAGCCCAAGGACCCAAATCTCGTCGACTGGGACGGCCCTGATGACCCTGGCAATCCGCAAAACTGGCCAGCCGCGAAGAGATGGGCTATAACGTGTATGCTTGGCTTGACAACCTTTGTCATCACCTTCGCGAGTAGCGTCTTTAGCAGTGCCACTGAAGCTACTGCAATGCAATTCGGGGTGTCCATGGAGGTGATGACATTGGGCACCAGCTTGTTTGTATTGGGCTTTGCGTTTGGTAGGTCTTATCAACCCTACTACCAAGATCATTACATCTAATTTATGGATGATCAGGACCTATAATATGGGGGCCACTCTCAGAACTTTACGGACGGAAATACCCTCTCTACTTCGGCATCTTCGTATTCGCAATCTTTCAGATTCCTGTCGCAGTGGCCCAGAATCTGCAGACTATCTTCATCTGTAGATTCTTCGGGGGCTTGTTTGGTTCCGCACCGCTCGCCATCATCGGTGGTACACTCGCAGACATGTTTCCACCGGTAGAACGGGGCATAGCAATCTGTATATTCGCAGGTGCAACCTTTATCGGACCAGTAGCGGGTAAGTTTGATCCGACATTAGTTTGCTCGTCACACACGGCAATCAAACTAAATGTTCAATAGGACCTATCGTTGGCGGCTTTGTAACCATGAGCCACCTTGGCTGGCGATGGACAGAGTATATTACGGCAATCATGGGTTTCTTCTTCGGAGCCCTAGGCTTCGTTCTTGTGCCAGAAACATATGCTGCCGTGATTCTGCAGCAGAGAGCAAAGAAGAGGCGATTCGAGACGAGAAACTGGGCCTTGCATGCGAAACTCGATGAATCGCCTGTCAATCCCAAGGAAATCGTTCAGAAATACCTTCTCAGACCATTCGCAATGTTAATCATGGAGCCCATCTTGTTCCTTGTGACACTTTACATGGCCTTTGTGTACGGTATCCTATACCTGCTGTTCAGCGCCTATCCGATTGCATTCCAGGAACAACGCGGCTGGAATCTTGGCGTTGGCGCGCTACCGTTTCTCAGTATTACCGTCGGGGTTATCATTGGTAGTCTTATCATCACGTACATCACCAAGACTCGATTTGCGCGTAAGCTCGAAGAGAACAACGGACAGGTTGTACCCGAGGAGCGTCTCATCCCAATGATGATTGGCGGAGCGTTCTTTCCAGCCGGCCTTTTCTGGTTCGCCTGGACATCTAATCCAAACATTCTCTGGGTGCCTCAAGTCATGTCGGGTGCATTAATAGGGGCTGGTATATTGATGTGAGAGCTTCCCCCGACAGTAATATGATTCAAGGTGCTAACGAAAGACAGGATCTTCATGCAAGGTTTGAACTACATCATCGATTGCTACGTCGTAAACGCCAACTCAGCCATCGCTGCAAACACCTTCCTGCGCTCGTTTTTCGGTGCCGGCTTTCCATTGTTTGCAACGGCAATGTACCATACCCTCGGCGTAGACTGGGCTACCAGTCTTCTCGGCTTCTTGGCTGTTGCGCTATTCCCGGTACCTATCTTATTCTACGTGTACGGAGCGAGGATTCGACAAACGTCTTCGTACAGTCCAACGTAATATGACGTATCATTGTATACTAGCCGTATATATGTCGCGATGCATGCAATAATTGGTCTGGGAGTTGAGGACCTTGGAATGTGATGATAGATTTATCTGGATGCATTTAATATCTGGGGATAACGTCATAAGAGTTGATGTAATTATATGAGTATAGAACAATGAGCTTACTTTGTTCGAGGTGGGTCTCGCTAATCTCACTGTTCTTACAGCAATCACAATGCGTCGGTCTATTGAGCAGGATGTATAAAGCATGCTGTTGCCTACGCGTAACCTATTCACCTGACATTTAACATTCCAGTGTACTCCTCATGACTCGTGGGTGGCTTGTAGTCGTGGTCGTGACCTGTACAAGAACTACGGACAATGACGTAGCGCGTCTGGGGTCGAAGCAGGGAAACAGACCTTGTCAACACTTCCATGAATGCACCGCCCTCATCGCCCACTAACAGTCCTCTCAAGATAAATACCCAACGGTTCCACTAATCACTACATCCACCTCCCACTTCTCCAGCACCATTCCAGCTACAAACTCCCCAACTCCAAATATCCCCCCTCAACCCCACCCACCACCCAAAACCCCCTACACCCCAAACAAAACTCAACCACAATGCCCCTCTTCACCCGCAAAGCCCCCCGTTCTCCCCCACCACCCCCTTCTCCCCAGCGCAAATCCCTCTTCGCCTCCCGCCACCGCTCAAACGACTCCAACACTACCACTACCACCCACAGCACAACAACCACCGCCTCGCCCTCCTCCCCAAGCACAACCAGCCGCGTAAGCAACCTCCTGCACCGCGACCGCCACGAAGACAAAAGCATCGCCGCCGCCCGCCACCGCGTCTTCGAGGCCGAGCGCGCGGAGAAGGAGGCTGATCGGGCACTGTTGGCTGCGCGGGCGGCGGTGCGGAGTGCGCGCGAGGAGGTGCGGAGGTTGGAGGGGGAGGCTGCTGAGGAGTGAGTCTTTTCTTCTTTGGTTCTTTTTTTTTCTCCTTGGGGCGGGATGTGTGGAGCGATGGAGGTTCGTTGAGGATGTGATGGGATTGCTGACAGTATGTGGTGTGGCAGGGCGAGACTTGCGCGGATTAAGCAGCAGCAAGCGGCGAATATATCGAGGCGGGCGAGGCCGCTTGGTCGTGAGTTTTGAGTGTTTTCTGTGCGGGTGCTGTTGCTGATTGGTGTGTAGGGCATGATGTTGTTGGTTAGGGCGTTGTGATGCTTTTCGTGCAAGCGTTTATAATGCTGGGAGGGGGGGGGGGGGAAGGGGGCAATGCTTGCGATCGATGGATGTTGATGGATGATGATGAATGATTGTGACAATGTATTATGTGCACCTGCCCTCAAACTATTTCCTCAGGACTATCATTGTGTCGTTTCGTCTGCTTGTATGTATGATATGATATACCCCTGGCGTCGTCGGAGCAGGTTAAGCAGCTGGACTCTCAGCATGGCGTGGTATGGCGAGGATGTATCTTCTTCCATGTCATGTCGTGACATTCCACAACGAAGCTCTATATTGCTGCATGTTCTATGAAGATAAATGTCCTGGCCTTCTATTCCATAGCGCTCGATCTGATTATATTGGTGTCAACACCTATGGCTGTGTAGCGCCCGTCATCCATCTTTTTCAAAGCACGCCTAGTGCTTCACTCCTTCGACGCAAGCTAGAGCGCGGACTAATGTTTCCTGGGCATTACGCACTGTGTGAAGTCTGACAAGTCGCTCTCCAACTGAACTTGAACCTTATAGATACGAGGCATTTTATTCTAGAAAGGAAAAAAGAGCGAATTGTACCAACTTGATTTTCTCCAAGATTCAAGTGTACGTTCGAAGTCTATCTTTTCATTCCTCTATATCGCTTTCTAGAAGCTCACTCTCCTTCCTGTATATACAATGACGAACCAGTGACCTAGCAGTCTAGCATCGCTCTGACGGCCCAGTAGGATATCCTTCTTAATTATTCTCCAACCAATCCTACCTACTCTGCCTGCCTACGTGCAGCAACATCACAAAGACCCGCAAGCCGCACCAACAGCATCGTATCAGGATCCCCAATCTCTATATCTTCAAGCAACAGGTTCACGGCCGTCACCTCAGGCCGACTGAACCCTTCACCGACGGAATCAACCGCCGTGACGGTCCCACGTCGAACCCGGTCAAACCCCTTACCGCGGGCATCGATCATCGGATCGGCACCCAGGGACAGCAGGAAGTCGACCAAGTCTTCGATTGCGGCGCAGTAGGATTTCTCGTCCGCGGCGTGCTGGTTTACCCGCTGAGAGGGCAATTGGTGGGTGTAGCGCCGGTTGACGAGCAGGCATAGCTGGTGGAGGATGGGCGCTTCGCTGCCGTCGTCGTTCAGATTCCCGCCGCGGGACACGAGGTGTTCCGCTGTGACGTATATGATGTGGTCTCTCTGTTGGGGCTGTGTGCCCATTTGGTACACGGTGCTGAACAGGAGTTCGGTGCAGGACATCGGCCTCTGCACCGCCGAGGCATTCTCGAAATAGTCGTCGAGGATGAGGTCGAGGAAGGCCTTCCAGGCGTTTACGATGCGGAGTCGCAGTGTAGGGTTATCGGGAAGACGCCAGCAGTGAAATGATCGTCCTAATGCTTCGTTTCTGAGGGAAAAAAGGTCTTCTACATGGTTTCGTGCATCTCCAAGCTCGACTAGCCTGGTTATCACGTCGAAGAACATACGGTTACGCAGTATCGCAGGCGTCCATTTCCCGATCATCATCTGCGCAAGACATGGCGAGTACATTTCTGCGTACATTGCGCTGCTGGGGCGTCGCGGTGGCGGCTCAGCAGGCCTGATTGTCGCTCCGCGGTCAAAGAGGTAGGTCGCTACGTCCTTTACAGAGCACACCGCATTCTCATCCCATGAATGGTCCATGACGAGGTACGCTGCCACAAGCTGCAGATAGTTGCATTGACCGGGCATGTCGGTGGGAAGTCTCATTCGCAAGTGAGCGCCCGTATTGATGTCAGCGCCAGCATCAAGACAGGTTTCCACCCATTTCAGGCTCGCATGACTTGATGCCGCATAGCAGGCTGCAAATATAGGGATATGCAGAGCCTCGGCGGATTCGACTATGTTATGTAGCGAACTGTGGATATCAGCTCCCCGTGCGAGGAGCAGGTCGAAGAGAGGTCTCGAGTCAGCCAGTATTGCAGCAGACAGCGGCGACGCATATCGGCGACGCTCGGAGCCGAGAAAGTACACTGAAGCAATAGCATTAACACAAGCTCCGTGATCAATGAGCCAAGTAGCATCTTGCACTGCATTCGGCCCATTGCTAACAATCTTCTCGACCAGTGTCGGCGTCAGACAATGCTCGCGGAGCATGAGGAATGTCGAACCAAGTCCAGCGTCCACAAAGCGCTGGCATATATCCCACCGTTTCGGAGATCGTAGCTTCCACAGTAAATCATGGGCGTGCTCATACCCGAGACATTCGATCTGTACTCCGAGGCTGATCAAGCATTTTACTGCTTCAAGACTGCAGTGGGTGATGGCAATCGATATCGTGGGCTGTGCTCTTCCGTAGCTCTCGTTACGTTTTTCAGGGTACAGGTAGCTGACGTCTGCGCCGTATTTAACGGCTCTCTGTATGACGATTGGGTTGTCTTGCTCGCACGCCCAGCGCATTGCACACCGACGGGCGGCGTCCGTAGCGTATAGTTTCGGCTCGATACGTTCCCTTTGTACTTTGTTACACTGTAGTAGTCTTGAGAGAGTGGTGGCATCAAGATAGCCGATGATCATATTATAGAGCTCTCCAGGGAGGGTCTCGATTCGAGACTGCATCGTGTATGATAGCGGGTGTGAGACAGTAGAACAAGTCGCTTACTGCAGAGTATCGAGAGAGTGGGAGTTATATACCTAGTTTACTTCTGCATGTGCGAACATTCCAGACATTGTGTAACGTACTTTGTTGTCATAGAACAAAGCGAGGTGTCAGCTTAAGGCGCCCGTTCGGAAAACGCGCCAAGTAGACACATACTCACGTGTGTAGCATGCAAGCACAATTTCGAGCGAAATCAGGTTTTTCCATGGCATCATAGCATCAACCGTATACCATCCTTGGCATTAAGCATGCTTCTCTCCCTTTTTCGCCTTGGCCAGTTTCCTCCTCTCCCTCGACTGCAGCAGGCTATGTCTTATAGATAGAATAGTATTTATGGCGAAGATGGCAACGAAAAGGAGACCGATGATGCCCACAATGGCTGCAACAAGAACGATGGAAAACACCACAAACCCGTAAGATGCCCGCTGAAAAGCGACGTTATCCTGCAGCGGTGGTACCGAAACTCCGACTTGCATGGCCGACAGCACGAGTGAAAAATATACAAATATAACGAGCATCCAGCCAAAATTGCGTTGGAAGAAGACGACGTAGCGATTATAGCCGTAGAGGTATCCACGAATGAAATGGGTGTGGAAGAAACGGATGCGGTATATGGTGTTGATGCGGGAGAGACGCAGTTCACCGTAGTGGTATCTCATGTCGCATTGCTTGAGGGAGTTGGCATCGAGGTGGCCGTCCGCAAGCAAGTCAGCAACAAAAGCCTTCCACCAGTGCCAATTGACATCTTTCGGGACAAGGTGCTCGTCTTTGGCGATCTTCATGTCGAGTTCAGAGCGGATGAGCCACACATATGACATGAGAAGACCACAGGCTCGTTTATGCAAGGCGCGGTCGTCTTCGCTTTGCCCAGTGGGCGGACCACAGAGGTACTTCTTCCAGAAATCGTAGCTCAGGAGGTAGGCCGGCAGAGGCTTGACAAACATGCGATTTGAGACTCTCAGGACGTGCATATCCGTCTGCTCGGTGCGCAAGATACGTATGTCAAGCATGACGTATCGATGCAGCTGCCTGGCATTCAGCGGTCGACCTGCCATCCATAGTATACCGTGGATGGCATTCAGCCGACTCGTGTCTAGATCCTGAACCAAGAAGTCATTGATCTGGCTCCGCACTTCGAACACTTGCTTGTTGGCGTCATAGGCTATGGTCGGGAGAGAGTCGAGTATATCTACAGGCTGCTTCGGCGACGTAGGAGACCTCACAGTCGTGTCTATGCGGGTGGTAGACGGAGGTCTCGGAGACGCGCCTTGACGGCCAAGTATACCGAGGCCATTAGGGCTGTTCTCTCTTCCATGATTGCTCACACCATAGTATTCATTCTCTTCCGCGCCAGCAGTGACCTGGACAATCTCGGGCGGACCAGGTCTGTGGGTGATGCAGAGGGTATCGGAGGTCGGGATCAATTCGACATGCTTGGAGAAAGGAGGCGTAAGTGGAGTGTCATCGTTGGCAATCTGTTGGTGGTCAGTTCACTTGCGTAGTTTCCGACGGACACGCTAGGAAGCCAATGAATTGACAACCTTAACCATATCGCTTACGGGAGCGCTCTTTGCGTCCGAGGCCGAGGAAGCGTTAGGGGTCATGGACGGGTCAAGAGGAACATCAACAAAGGGCATTGGCGGACAAGAGAGGAAGAGAGACAGAGAGGAGGCTCTGCATCTTCAGCCTTATAAAGGGAACAATCAGCTCGCGTGACGGCGAAGAGGACAAGGAGACAAGGAGACAAGGAGACAAAGAGACAAAGACACGAGGCTGAAAAGAAGTTGTAATGCGGTCTGGTGCTCTCTGTCCAACAGCTCTGCACACGCGTAATCGACGTCTGATCCCGGGAGGAATCTCCAGCCGAGGTTGCAGCCTCAAGTTTCAGGCTGTCACTTGTCATCTGCCCCTGCCCCACTGAGAGATCTAAGTGAAGATCATCGATCGTCAATGCAAACTACTGTATATCTCCACCTCATGTGTTCTTACTTATAATTAGTACATCAGCACATCTTCAGCATCACAACACAGCCAGTACAATCTAAGCTTTGGAACGTTGCTCTATAAATTGACGCTCTCCGCGGCATGATCCCGTGGCGCCTCATTACCCCTGGATCGAGATGGCATAGTGGCTCACTCCGGTGGTTAGACCTGTAAGAACTAGGAACGCCACGCTCTCCAACAACTAGGTTGCGAAACACGAAGGATCCAATATTGCTTATGCTAGTCAGACTACACACGAGCAATAAGTACCTTTTCCATGCCGTCTTCTCCAATGTTGCTGCTTTCCTCTTCATCGTCCATACCAAGTCGATCGAACGTCCAGTCACTCGCTTCCACGCACTTTCGTTAATAAACATCTCACTTCAACCAAGTCATTCGTTCATTCACTATTACACACTCCACAGTACCCTCATAATCACCCCTCCAACAAACGCAATAAAAGTCAAACACCGACAATGCGCTCCACCTTCGCCCTCGCCCTCGGCGCCCTCCTCTCCACCGCCCTCGCAAAGACCGACCTCGACGGCTGCACCTCCTCCGCAACAGTCAAGTACGGCGGCGCGTCCTTGATCTGGTACGTCCCCGACACGGGCGAGATCTGCGACTTCCTCGACTGCGGCGGCGGCCGCGCTCCGCCCAAGCACTCCGTCCCCGGCTGCGCCGCCTACACGGGCACGGACTCGTACACGCCAGAGTATCTCCCGGGCTGGGGCCCGAACGGCCAGATTGCGCCGTCCACGACGGCAGAGGCGGCGCAGAGCACTGGCGGCGGGGCTCGCAACTCGGAGGTGCTGCCGACTGGCGCCGGGGAGACGGCGGATGTCAGGCCGACGGAGGGGAGCAGTGTGGAGAGCTTGCCGTCGGCTACTGGGAACCCGGAGCCGTCGGTTGTTTCGGAGAGGCCTAGTACGCTGATTACGGCGGCGCCGAGCCCGACTGTTGTCTCGCAGACGCCGTCGTCTGTGGCGACTCCTCCTGCGTCGACGGGTGGGGCTGCAGTGGTTGGCAAGAATGTCGTTGGAGTTCTGGTTGGTGCTGCTGCTGCTGCTGCTGCTATGCTCTAGGCGCCCTATGGCAGCGACCATAATACAGAAGACTCGGTAATTTATGATATGTGAAGACGATGTATAGATAATGCTTTAGACTATACACGATACCGTAATTTGACTGCGCATTCATTGTACCTGTAATGCCACTATATGCTAGCGTTTATTTTCAGTCGAGGCACTCCGTCGTAGAAATGCGTGGTGCGGACGTGAATAGGGAGCCCTTTCCCAACTTTGTCGGTCACAAGGTCAGGAAAGTCCAAATAGATCCCTTCAGCGTGCGATTTCAAACGTCGGTAAGTGAGCATATAAGCCTTACGGTTTCTTCGGTCCCGCTGGGTTTTGTCCATCTGCGATTGCAATGTCGATCTCAGCTGATCAATCTAGTCATGCTTCCGGCGATTCTCAGCTTGAATGTCTGTCACGAGCAACTCCATTCGTGATTTAGTATCTAGCGCATGCTCTAACTCTTGGACTGGACGTGGGTATGTGATGATCATCTCTTCATTCTTTCATGCGTTTTGACAAGTGTGTCTTCTACAAATTTCTGTCTTCGGCCGTGGGCTCTACCCCAAGTTCCGACAGCTGGCGCCTCATAGCTTCAATTTCGCGTGCTTGTTCCTGTTGGCGAGCATGACTTTCAGACAACTCATGCTTCAAGCTCTCATTCTGGCGGGCGAATGTCTCGACCGTTTTTTCCTTCTCTGCCAGTTTGTCTTTCATCAGTTTCTCTTGTAGCTCCCATTTTCTGTCGATTTTCGGCGAAAGAGCTGTATCATGTAAATCAAGTTTGGTTCTATACAATTTTTTTTCTAGAGCCCAGCCAAATGCCATCTCGACGGACTCGAACAACAATTCCCATGAACCGATGGTTGCGCCCAATTGCGATTCCCCGCCCGTGATCTTGTCCTGATACTTTTTTTTCTTCACGAGCTGCTCTCTTGGATCACAACAGGGTCTATGCCACATTGCGGGTGTACCGAAAGAAGGATAGCGCTCAAGCATACTTATATATCGCACAACTTTCTTAGCGCTTAGTCGTCGACTTGGATCCAGTTCAAGCATACGAGAAATCAAAATCCGAAAATACAGAAGTTCAATTCTTTCCTCAACATTACCCCCTATGAGATTGATCCAGGAGTTACGGTTATGGAGATTTGCGTGATACGATTGATTTTGAGCTGGTCGCAAAGCTTTCAGATCTTCCAAGCATGCGCCAGAGGACAAACAGTGCAACTCGAGGAACAAACATCCAAGGGAGAAGATATCTGCAGCCCGGCCAGATGGTTCGTACGCGGCCACTTCAGGGGCAAAGTACTTGGGTGTGCCGCGTTCGCCGTTCTCTGTGTCACTAGACGAGAGCAAAGAGAAGTCCGTCGACATATCGAAATCAGTCAGCCAGAGCCCATTTTTCGTGATCAGCACATTGGCCGGCTTTATATCCTTGTGGCGGATGTTCTGCGAATGTAAGAATTCCACTGCACATGCTATGCAGCCAACAAGCGTGAGAAGCTTTTTGTGGTGACCGCGCTGCCTCTGATCCGTGCACGTAGCTTCGGGCATTTCTAAACCCAGGGCCTCCAGTCGTTCGTGTATCGTTTCCCTCCGCCCCTCCCAAGCTGCAAGCCGGTCCGGGTGATGGAGGAGCTCTATGTCCAAGAAGAGCGTGTCGAGGTCGCAAGTGGCTACCGGCCAAAGTAATACGCCAAGCGTATTGCCTTGAGTATATGTGCCAATTAGCTTGATGATGTGGTCATGGGACAATCGCTTCAATATATCAATCTCTTTTCGCTGCTCTGGACCCCATTTTCCTCGGCGTATGCGTCGTTTCCAAGCCAGCGCGACGCCTTTGCACTTGGTTTCGTACACATGTCCATTCCGTCCAACACCCAACTCGCGCCCGGCAACCAATGGTAGTGATTCGTCTCGCCGAAAATCCACGTGACTGCCTCGTCCAGACCAGTCTTCCCAAACAGAACTTATCGTGGACGATGATGGTGCCTCGTGGACTATTGGTTCTACTTGGGATGATGGCAGGTTCGTTTGATCGAATTCGATGGGAATACATTCACTAGTTGGCTCGGATGATGATGCTGTAAGCGAGCGCGGATCCGAACTCGTCGATCTATCGATGTTTGCCAGGTGTGGTTCTAAGGTTATCGAACTTCCAAGGGACGACGATCGCGGCTCCGAAGCATTTGATGCAACTGGAATCAAGCTTTGGGGTGGTGTTTTGGTGTTTCCGGGGATCGATGAGTGCACTCCTTGTATTTCCGTAAGCTCAGACTGTCTGCGTGTCGGCTCATCCAATCCGAGAGACACCTCCCCCAACTGGACGAGGTTGGTAGGCATGACAGGCTGTTATCTGCTCACAGTCAGTTTCGAAACCTTCATTGAGTCATTTCCGTCTTCGCTGGGAGGTAAAGAAGAGACCTTTTGAAAAGCTTGCAATGTTCTGTCACAAGGCTGAGCTGAGCTTAAGTCGCGCCTTCACGGTGCTTAAAGTAGATAGACAGTCGACAGTTGATGCTGTCAACTGAGAAATGCTTCGCTGATGTATTCGTCAAAGTCCGATAGGTGTGTAGACATCATAGAAGCAGAATTTTATCTATCGACGAGGAGTGTTGGGAAGCACCTCGAGTTGCATATGGTCCTCGAGCCTTGATTGGTTCTCGCTGCATTGCCGTGCGAGGCTGATTCGACAGGAGGCTATGCCAGTGCTACCAGATGTCATTACGGTTTTGGCGCAACACTGCTCAACGAACTTATAGATTGGACGATAAGAGTCACGGTGTGAAGGACATACGCTTCATCCAATGCTGCGGAGAAAGAAAGGGCACCGTCATACTAAGCGATGGTAGAGCACCAAATAATGTAAATGAAGGCATGACCTCCACGAGGCTCAGCAATTTTGGCTGGAAATGAGGTTGACATGAGTGTGCCGGCAGTGTTGTAAGTGTGGCTGAAAATGAGATTTAAGAAGGCTGTTGGTTCGATGCGATTTGTTGTATACACCAATTGAATGATGTTGCTGCCTGACTGCGGCCTGAGGCTGAACCTACTGTATATGTAATATCAGAATTAATAAACAGCAATCTGCCAACTCCGCCATGCCCGACCGCCGAGACAGTTTAAATCGGGAATGTCACTCACTATACTTGACATGGATAGTGTTGCCGAGAATAACGGAGTCGGATCTGTGGGACTGCAGGCTGGATGCAGTAGCGCACGTCTTGGTGCCAAAGAATAGGCCTGGGCAAACCGCGTCGCGGAGCCTTTTCACTTGCCATAGTGCGACATTCGTCATCCAGTCCTCCACACCTTTCAAATACAACTCCCCGCCCGCTACCCTGCTTCGTCTCACCATATCTCCAAACATCGTCTCCCTCACTATCAATCAGACAAGTAGGCTGTATCACCGACACCGAGCGACACCATTTTAGTGGGGATACGCTGTACACCAGGGTCATAAACTCCAGAAGCCACGGGATATCGAGTCTCACCGACTGCGGCGCATCTATTTAAACGGGCTGCTGTCCCATCCAGCTGCGATGGCCTCTGTCAAAGTTCCTCACTACCGCAAGCCCCGCTACCACATTCCACAAAACGTATTTGCCTCCCAAAACAGGACCACATCCTACGATCACACCTTGACATCGCCTACCACATCACATATGGGTCCACGAACAAGAGAAGAGCTTCTGGCTGCAGGTGTCATGGACCCGGCTTTGGAAGCTGTAAGCTGTTCGAGTCTTATTCGAGGCACCGCACCGTCTAACAGGATGCCAGGAACTCACCAAGAATCCGCTCCCCCCAAAGCCTAATACAACAGACATGAAGATTCAACGTGAACATCGTGCGCAAATACTACGCGATCGCCAGCACCTGAGGCCCATCCCCGGTCCCATCCCAGAGGTCAGGGAAGTCGACCGTCAGATTGAAATGAGCGACGGAGAATACATCACTATCCGAATCTACACACACACCCAACGCCCTCGTGCGTATGGCCCTCTCTACGTCGCATTTCACGAAGGTGGCTGGTCCATGGGCGATCTCAGCGACGAAGAAACAAACTGCCGCGCCTTCACCAAAGAGTTCAACGCTGTCTGCATAAACGTCGACTACCGCCTCGCCCCTGAACACCCCTTTCCGCGACCGGTACTCGACTGCTGGGACGCACTAAAATGGGTACGTACAGACACCTCCACCTAACACTATTCCTAGTCACTGACTTAAATACCCTATAGGTCGCGGAAAACTACGAGTCCCTAGGCGCAGATCCGCATGCAGGCTTCATCATCGGCGGCGCTTCAGCCGGCGGAAACATCGCGGCTGTCTTGGCACACTTGGCGCGCGACGAACACCTCACACCACGGCTCACAGGGCAATTCCTGTGTGTCCCCGTGCTAGCCGATCCGCGTACGCTGCCTGCGCAGTACAAGCCAGAGTTTCTGAGTCGCGAGCTGTGTACCCAGGACCCGGTGTTACAGTTTGACGAGGCGACTCAGCGCACGCTTGGCGGAGCATATAAGCCGGATGTCGAGAGTCCGCTGTACACACCCTTTAATGACCCGCGTGGTGGGCACCGGGGTTTGCCGAAGACGTACCTGCAGGTCTGCGGCCTGGATCCGTTGCGAGACGAGGGCCTGCTCTACGAGCGTGTGCTGAGGGAGGAGGCGGATGTCAAGACGAAGCTGGACTTGTACAAGGGCTACGGACATATGTTCTGGACCAACTTCCCACAGCTGGAGATGAGCAAGCAGGTCTTGAAGGATTCTGTTGAAGGCCTGCGATGGCTGCTGAATGACGATGACGACGATGTGGACGGCCTGCACTGATTACTTGGTACCTTGGAGATATACCCAACGCGCATAGCAGATGCAGCGATATGTTTTTTTACGAGAGCAGAAGATGTCACGACTCTCTTGTCATTGTAGTAGCGTATGCTAGCAGCATTGAATACCATCACTCCTCTGTCCACATCCTGCATGCGTCTATTCTTGCTCCCCTTGTGAGCTGTTCCTCCCCTACAGCAGTAATTCGTCAAGGTTTAATCACCGCACTCGAGGTCTACACCACGCGCACCACACCTAACAACTACATCTACTATCACACCCCATCTTCCAACCTGTCAAATTCAAAAAGCTAAAGAACAACGATAATGGATCATTGCCGCGCCGGAAGCCAGCAGTTCGGAACTCGCGTGTGCACAAACACACGTTGCAGCGCCGCGCAATACGATTGGTCAAGGGATCAAGGTTGGCCCTCCTAGCAGCCGCAGCCCTCTTGTGAGCCAGAGCCAGAGCCACAGCCCAGAGCCAGAGCCAGCGGCTGAACCTTGACGGGCGGGCTGGCTGGCTGGCGGGTGGGTACGACTATGTGGAGTGGAGTTTGGGAGTGGGCTTGTTGGCGTAGCCGGGCAGTTAGGATGCGGCGCATTGGCGTAGCGCGTTTGTATAGGTAGGGTGTATATGTATATATAGTGAGTGAGTGCGATAGTGTAACGCGTGAGGTGTCACGCGAGCTGTCTATACGGATATCTACTGGGATGGTTGATGCTGTGTTCACTCGGATGGATGTGTGATACTCGTGTTTTATGCATGTTGAGGTTGTTGAGGATGCGATGAGTATGTGTGTTATGTATAATTGGTGTGGATGCTGGACTGGGATCTATCTTGCTCCGTCTGCGATATTGGAAACAGAGTGAGACGTTCATTACAGTGTAGTGTGAGGCGTAGAGAAATGTGCTGTGTATTGTGGGTCGAGGAAGGTCACGTGCAGCCAAGGATGAAGCTTGGGAACATTTAGTATGTATAAGTTTGAATTAGGGCGAGTAATTGATTAATAGCTTCTATTCCATTGCTGCATCGAGTAATTCATCACGCGACCACTTCAGTCTGGCGTCTGCTAATAACTTGGTACACTATGAACGCTTCTTTCGTTGCCTTTTGCTTTTATACATCCCATCTTTGTGCAAGACAAAGAGTCGTGAAGTGAGAGATATTGCCAAGGCGATACGCGCCGTCTCCCAATGAGATGGCCGCATCTTGCATCCTTCAACCTTGTCCTTCATGTATTAGTTTTCGGGGCGGCGTGGCGTGATGAGACGAATCGACGGCATCTTCTTTCTTGAGTTTTCCTATCTACAACTTACAGTACCTGCATCCTCACTTCTCTCTCGGAGCTCTTCTCCTTCTCGAGCATATTGATCCGCCGCCGCCGCCGCCATCACTGTCAGCACGATAGCTGCACCCCTCTTTACATCGCATCACGCATAATCTCTCGATCGACGCACCCCCCGAGCACATCCATCAGTGCAAGGCATCACAGTGTCCCGAACCTTGACCGCCATCTGTAACCTCTCTCGACTGTTGTTCAACCGTTCACAGCTGCTCCTTCACCTCCTCATTCGTGCCTTCCCCTTCACCAGCATGCTTCCCACATATAAAACTCCCGATGGCAGCTCCCAGAGCGACCGGTCCCGCGGACCGTACCAGAACACATTCGCTCCAGCTCCAGCTCCAGCTCCTCCTCCTACTCCCTCCTATCCACAATCCACACACAGACCCCTCATCGACAGCATCACAAACGAGTGGCGCAAAGACCCGCACGCCTACGACTCCTCCTCCCTCGACGCGGAAGAAAAGCAGTGGATCTGGGAAAAGTCGGCCTGGTCGGAACGTACGCGTGTGTTGCGCAAGCTCAGTCCGAAGCGTGTACCGAGGAGAATTCAGAGATATATGTGCATCTACTGTATACTGGTCCTGGTGGCGTGGGCGAGTTGGGAGACGACGTTTCGGGCGAGTTGGCATGAATGGAAGGAGTTACGGTGGGGCTTCGACCCGAACAACGCAGACGTGGTTGGCAGTAATAAGGCCGTTGACTTTGACGGGCTGATCAAGGTGAAGAAGCTGGATAGTCATTTGGTGCCGGGAGAGCATGAAGGGACAGGGGCGAGGAAGAGATTGGTTGTTGTAGGGGATGTTCATGGGTGTAAGGAAGAGCGTGAGTCTCCGTCGAATCCCACACAGGGTGTCTGGACATGCTGTAGCGAATGCTGACCATCTGTAGTCGTCAAACTGCTCGCCAAAGTCTCCTTCGACCGCACCACCGACCACCTAATCTTCACCGGCGACCTCATCTCCAAGGGACCAGACTCTGTCGGCGTCGTACAACTCGCACGCGACCTCGGTGCCTCTTCTGTCCGTGGCAACCACGAAGACAAAGTCCTGCTTGCACTCAAGGCTCACGAGGACTCAATCACATCGTCTACCAGTAGCCACCCAAATTACGACATCCCCGAAGACCCCGACGACCCGTCCCACAACTCCAAGGCGCTCGCCCTCGCCAAAACATTCAGCAAATCTGAGATCGCATGGCTCCAGGAGTGCCCGGTCATCCTCAACATCGGCCCAATTCCCGGCATGGGCGATGTCAGCGTCGTCCACGCCGGTCTCGCCGTTTCCACACATCTCGAGCACATCTCCCTGGAATCACAGGACCCGTACTTGTGCATGAACATGCGCACAGTGAACCTCAAAACTCGTCTTCCCACGCCTGCGCACGACGGCGTATGCTGGGCGAAGATATGGAACTACGCCCAGAAGCAACGGAAGCTGGAGGAGCGCCAGACGGTCATCTACGGCCACGACTCGCAACGGGGCCTGGGCTTGAAGAAGTATACCAAGGGCCTGGACACGGACTGTGTCAAGGGCGGCAAGTTGACGGCGCTGGTCATCACCGCGGGCAAGAAGGGCGGTTATGTCAGGCAGGACACGTACAGTGTGCACTGTGGCACGTATTGGGGCAAGGCGGAATGAGAGGGACTAAATAGTCGACATCGGACTTTTATGTTTTAACAAAAGTTGTAGCGGAATTAGCTTGGTGCAAAAAACGGTCATGTTAACGGTCTTAGAAGCGAACTGCAAGAGAAGAGCATTGGTCTGGGCATCTTATCGATGACAAAACAAACAGGAAGCGAGGCGTTCTGGCGTCGGATGTGTTTTATCAACCTGTCTGGTCACACAAGTCCGGAAGGTAATGGTATGATGACCTAAAGGGAATAGGAATTTATGCCATGAATGGAATCTTGAAGGAAGGGCATGCATGCATATATAGATATTCATTCGCATTTTAAGTATTATTAGCATTAGCATTGTTGGCATTTTCAAAGTAATTCTGGTGCCGAAGGTTACGCTATGTACGCTTTGTGTCGTGCATTTATTGAGTGCTTTGTGGTATGATTGGTTGAACGGGTAGATGGATGGACGGATGGATGGATGGATGGATGTATGGGTGAAAAGGTGCATTGGCGTGTATATAGACAGACAGGCAGACAGACAGACAGACAGACAGACAGACAGACAGACAGACATGCATGGGGGAAGAGTGAAGGGGGGGAAGTCGAGGGAGAAAACTCAAGCCACGGGGATATATATAATTGGCGTCGTAAGACTCGGGGTATAATATCCTTTTCTTCTTATAAGTTCATCGGGACAAATACACTACTGTCAAGAGTAAAGTGCATCCATCCATGTCCTAGTGCGTATTGTGTTGTCAGCACTGTAGTCATATATTATACGATGTGTGCCATGATCATACATGCACGCCCCCATCACCTCTGCTAATTACTGCCTACCTACTTGTGCGCCATCATCATAGCTTCTACAGTCCTCCTAATAGCGTATCATCATGAAGCCGTGACACTGTGTGTATCAGATAGAGAGTAGACGTATCATTTCCTTAAACCTAACTAGTGTAACTGACTATATTAGGTCATTCATGGCTTTTGTATATATAAGCGTTAGCTGGGTTGTGTACAGAGGAGGAGGGCATGTGTTTGATGCTGAGAGGAAAAGTGCTAGGTAGATGTTCAGGCTTTGTCGTCGACTGGAGGGAAGGAAATGGGAGAGATGGCTGCTTGATTTAATCCATCTGAGATTGCTTAATCGTACATCTCATGTCACCATTAGTCAGTCACGAGAGCGGTCCCTGTGCCATGGGAAAAGGGCCTGCGATAATCGAATAGCAATTGATTCGACTCGAGAGAAGACATGCTTCCTGATGGAGGTCTGCTGATGATTGAATGGTAGACACTTCACGATAAGTGTTGGACACTCAGCTCATAGGATTCCTAGACTGTTCAGGGGATACCTTTTGACCTCTTGCAGTGACTCACCGCCGGTTGGGTTCTCCAGCATATGCTCCTTTCGAAACATGCGGTGCGATCCGAATACTTTGAAGTCGCTGTGATGGTATCATGAGCAGTGCCAGTACGAGTGTGGCAGAGGCCTTCTGCGCTGGTAGGTTTTGAGTGCTTTGGTGGTTGCGTGTCTGAAGGGTATGTACGTATGTATGTAGACGCACTTTATGAGAACACTTCATGACCTTGGCAATTCCATACTTTGTGTAGGTAGGGGACGGTCCTTATCATCTCTGCCTGGATCTTATTTCATCGTCTATTCTGATGATCATAATTTTACCCTGTAGAGCGCGAGGCTCGTCATGGCGTGAATACTACTGTGGGAGGCAATCCTGGCTTTAGTACACTACATGTCTGGCGTGGTTGAAGGTGGAGGCCGGTGTTGACGTAGAGGTACTGTGACATAGATAAGATTGCGGATACTCATATCAACGGATACATTATGCCTTTCGAAGACCCGAGAGTTCATGCGCAAGCACGTCATTCCAAGCATAATCATCTAACGCAGGTATTTTGGCATTCCCTTGCGGACACTACTACAGCACACTCTCCCAAGAAGTGAGGAAACTACTCTGAAAATACGCCCTTGATATCGATCAATCGAAAGAAAGAAAAAGGGTATATTGATGCTGCGGGACTTTTTCCTTACAGAAAAATGCAAAACAAAGACAAAAAACGTCGAGCTAAAAAACCAGACAGAGAAGATTGATTTCAGGCGAACCGGACTTCTTGGAAGAGGCTGGCTCGAATTTGCAGGAGGGCAACGAGCTCGAGGATGAACTCTTGCAGGATGACAATGTTTGTGAGTATATGGTTCAGGCTGGCTTCTTTTATGATCTCCTGCTCTTCATCGTCATCGTCATCGTCATCGTCGTCATTACCGGCCTCTGATGGCGACTCTAGTGTATGTTTTGCCCCTTTTTCCTGAGTCTCGAGATTCTCGATAGTCTCGCTTGGAGTCCCGGCATCCTCCGGGCTTGTAGACCTTTTGTCTTGGCCGTCGGTACTAGATTGGGGCCCTTGAATCGAAGTGTACTGTAATGTAGTAGGGGAGCCAGTAGGTCCGACCTTCACTCGTGTCTGGTCATTGGGACTCCGCACCACTTCAACGGAAATCCTCTTTCTAGTGATTTTGAACCGCACTTCTCGTCTCCCATCCAATACCCCAGCCACATTCTCACTGACGTCAGTCATCAGCCCACTCATCATGGTGGATTCGCCCGGCTGCCGTGCCTTGGCAGTAGGAGCAGGGCTTATCGCGCGTGAGCGATCTCCGCTGCCAGGTGTAGGACTGCTCACAAGTGTGCGACCACCGAGACGTGAAGGCGCAGGTGATGCAGTTGCAGATGGTAAGCGCTGTGGCGTCGCAAGATTTTCCTTTCTGCCGCGCGGCGAATGTGACCGGGATGGCGTGGCGGGTGCATCGCGGACGTGCTTTGGAATCTGAGCATTCCATGGCCCAGGTTGGAGCTCGGCAGAGGGACGACTGGACGAGGCGTGAGACATGGACGGCGTTGGTTGTCCGGCCATGGCGTCCATGATCTCCTCGTCGACGTGAAATGTCTGCTTACGGTTCTCGATGTGGTAATCAAGATCGGGTATATGCAGTCGAAGCTGGTCAATTTGAGCCTGTAGACCTTGGAGTGATTTAAGAAGGGGTGGCGTAAATTTCGCCTTGTACTGGGGAGTTTGTCGAGCGATATATATGTTTCGAAGAGCTTCGTCTATGACGTCTTCTGGCCTGTCATGCTCTTCCTCTTCTTCGTCAAACTCATACTTTGAAGGGTCAACTGCAAGCCAGTTCTCGAGTCTCAATTGAGCACATGAGCCGAGACTCGTAATGGCCTCTACCAGGGCCAGATTTGTTTCAACGTCGTTCAGCAGGAACTTGTCAACAACTCGGAGCAAAGAGACGAGCAGTGGGTCGTCGGGGATGAGGTAGTGTAGTCCGACCTGCGGGGGCACTGTGACGGAGAAATGCTCCGTGATCGGGGTCGCGTTGTCGAGAGAAATCTGTCGCAGCGAGCAAGGATGCGACTCTAGCATAGTTTGCATGTCTTTCAAATGTGTCGCATACGCTTCATCAACACCACTTTCACCGCCACACGCAATGGCTACCGATAGATACATTTCCATTTCAGCGTTTAAAGCCCCTATAGTTCTCTGCGGCTCTTTCAACTGTATATCGATGGTTTTTACTAGCGTGCCAACCGCGTAGTGGTGATTCTTGCTTAGTATGACCGTCACGAGTCTCAAGGCTGCGACTACAGTCTGTGGATTTGAAGATTGCGTACTGGTCAGTATCAAGTCTACAAGGTTAAATAAAGATGGGTTCATTTGATCATCCTCGTGGGCTGGCTGGCTCATGGCCATAAGTGACATCCGTCGTTTTGCTGCCAAAGGTGATCTTGGAGACCTTATTTTCGTGTCGAAAGGATCTGAGAGAGCAAGGAGGTAGTGGAGAATCATATGAATGAGCTCTGGATGGTCGAGAGCGTGTAATATACGTCCAAGATAGGTCAACACTGCGACTGAAGAACCCCCGTCTACGTCAGAAGATTCCAGTAGAGAGGGGTACCTGACAAGGATCAGCGAGAGTCAAAGGAGTATTCAAGCCCGGAAAACGAACAGGAGTTGTTGTAGAAATAGAATTTGGAAGTGATCGATCAGAGTCTGTCGAACGTCGATCGATCTACAGTGTTCCAGTACGTCTTGCCAGAAGGCCAAGAACGACAGAAATGTGTCCATGTGGAGCTTGAAGTCTGACGACCATACACTCTCAGCTTCAGATGACGACTGAAGATCAATGTAGTCTGACAAAGAGAGAATGATGGGTAGATTTGTTTTTGGATGTAGTATTGACAATTTTCTGTACCTGTCAGATCGGACTATGGTGTAAGGACTAGAGACATACCTGCTAAGCTGACTGTATAAAGCTCCAAGGCTACTAGCCATTAGAGTCGACAGATCACTCTCGACAATCCATTTTTCGAGCTCGCGAGACTTTGAAGCAGACTCAAAGATGTAAAGTAAGCCGGTCCTTGCAAAATCTCCTATTCGGCCTTCGTGGTGGACATGATCAATCAATTGGTAACAGAGTGGAAAGTCATCCTTCTGTGTCACACCGGCGAAGTCAATCTCTTTTTGATCCAGCTTGGCCACTTCATCTCCCTTCTCCTTGGACGTGAACCACACTGGGAGAATTTCCGGTTGGAGACGAATCTTGGCTGCGATACCAAACAGCAGTTCCACAATCTCTGATTCAACATCCTCACCAATAATGACTGTTCCAGATGTAGAAGTTCTGCCGATAAAGTTCATGAGAGAGCGTGAGAAGTTCTCATTCTCTAGGAAGTCCTCCTCTTCGCTGTCAATGAGGGCAGCGAACAGAGCGACAGCTTCTCTGACTATGCCTTCGTTTTGCGCGGTCGCTGCAATACGTGCGACAGCAGTGTAGATCTGCGAGGATGCAGCGAAAGACAGACATAGGTGAGGAGACGGCGATCGGCTTTCGTCGTTGAGTATATGCGTTAAGCGTTGGAAGGAGATACGGATGTTTTCTGCGGCGATGGGAGCGGAGTGCAGGGCGGATGACTTATGCCAGGTTTGCTGTTCAACAGATCGATTAGTCTTGAATTTATCACGACGTTTTCATGCTCCACGACTGACCAGAACTTGATTGTACACCTTTTTGAAGCGTGCGAGACGCTGTTGGGGGTTGTTAGATGCCGCCTGTTTCTTCGGAGTCGACACGCCGCCGATGAGGCGCGTGAACTGTTGTTCAACTGTTAGGAATCAATGCAGATGTTCGTAGTAAACTCACAAAATCCATTATTGGGCCTGAGACATGCTGGACCTGCTGTGATCTTTTGGACACTATGCGTACCGGTTATGCAGTTGTCCTTGACGATGTCTCGGGAGTCCGCACCGATAATAGCGTCCCGGAGCGCGTCGCGACCGCCAAGGAGAGCCAGCATGAATGACGAAACGAGCGCTACCCATTCGTGTGTTGACTTTTACATTTAAAGTACATGGACTGTAACAAAGATCTAATGTATTGTTCACATACAATTCTCATACTGCGCAGAACTGCAACCCCAACATGGTATCTTGATGCAAGCCCACCTGGCACCTCTTCATGCAACGCTCCCCGGAACTCCTCGACCAAAGGCACGCATGCTCACTACCTCAACTGTACACGCCTCGCTAGTTCAATGTTTCTCTGCAAGCTTGAGATGCCACTGCATCACTTTCTGGAAGATACCTTTTCCTCCAGTCTCGATGACGTCTCCGTGGCACGGAATGATCCGGTCAAAGTCCCAACCATTGATCTTGGCCATGCTCTTCGCATAACCTGTTCTATCACCTGCGCTGATGCCATACCATATTAGGCGCTTCTGCGCGAGAGCAGTTCCATTCGTATTAGTTAGATATGTCCAGATCTTGGTGAGGATACCCGTAGTCGCTGACTCGCTGGTTCTACTCATCTGCTCCGTGGCTGGCATATTGAAGATCAGGTCGGCCTCAATCAGTGTCTTGGACGGCTTGTGGTTGAATACCAGTTCCTTGTTCGCATGTGCTGGGACGTATTCATAGTCAAATTCAGCATCGAACTATATGCACGTGAGATTCTGCTTCTAGCCGTGAGATCCCAATCTTACCTCGGTATCAATCTTGACAGAGTCCTTGTCTTTTGATGTGAAAGTTACAGCGAATGGAATATCTTCATTCTCTTGCTTTGCGCGCTTCTCTCGTAAACCCTCCATTCCAATGACCTTGGCCCCGGGATAAAATTGTGCCCATGGTCCAAGGAAGATGTGATGCTGCGATTCCGTCAGATGGATATACGTTCATGACGATTCACAGATCTCTACCTCCAAGTCGGGGGCGACGATGTACTTGACCCTGCCTCCGAGGCTTGACACCTTTTCCTTGACCTCGGGAGTTAAAGCAGTGGGAGAGAATACTGCCAAAGAGCCACTCTGTAGGCGAACTATCCTACATCAGCGCCTGAGTTCATTAAACTGACACATGCGCTTACCGAGTGTGCCTCTACCGCCAATCTTTATCTTTCCGAAACGTAGAAACGGAGTAGACAAAGTGGTGATCACGTTTGGGATGACATCGCGAATGACCATCACTCGGGATGGATCGGAAGGGATTAGCTTATCAGTCATTTTAGATGTTGCAGTACTAAGATGGGGATGTGACTGTGGGTAGTGATCAAATGATAAAGAGCTCAAAAAAAGGATGCGGATGTCTCATTATATTTAGATGTTTACTACCTAGGTAGTATAGACGTCACTAGGTAGCGGGCACTACTTAGTGGCGCCGAGATTTTTTAATTTGAATGCGCCCGGGCACCGGCTGCCAATGACGAAGTCTTCGCCAGGTTAAAGTTACTGTTGCAAATACTATTCCTGGCAGGTCGCAATCGCGCAGCAGTGAATTCAAGTAGGCAAGGTCACCAATCGAACCATGCGCGTCAATGCATTTGTCATGGGAATGTGGACAAAATACGCTGACCTGCGTTTCCGTCATCAAGCCCAGCCTGGAGCTCGGATCCCGGTCCTTGCGTTTCGATTGACTAGGGTTTTGATTACTACGACGGACGTCAGGGCGACTCTAGATTCTCACCGAAGTCAGGCCTTGACCAAGTCTGTGCCCCTTGCAAGTTGCCTATACCCATCTATATTCGGGTCGGACATTGGGACTTCGTCCTGTGCTCCGGCATGTCCTTGGGTATGGCAATCGTGCAAACCAAGCCGTACTGTAGTCTCGTCTCACCCGAAGTAGGGTATTGGCATCCGCCGTCTTATCTCTCTGCCCTACAAATTTGGTTGTTTTCATGTTCATAATAGGTGGCACGGAGTATCGAGTCGTTCAACTGCGCGCCGGAAATATTCCCAGTTGGCAGCTCACCGTTCATTCTCTGCGCTCAGTTCCGCAATGAGACCTCCCGCGTCTCTCTCTTTTGCATCTTTTTCTAGCTGTTCATGAATCGTGTTTGTGAGTTCTTTCACCTTTCCAAACGCCATGCTCGTACAATTCATCAACAGCAGTGGGTCGATAGGGACTCCACCATACTGTGCAATGTGACATAACTCTCCATGTCTATTCATCGATATGATCACCTGGCCCTCGCGAACCTGCTCTTCTGCCAATGAAGCATCAACAAGTAGTACATCGCCGGAGTGATAATGTGATATCGTTATACACAGAGGGTGGTGTAGCATCGCCAGCGGTACAGGCTCTCTCTCCCTGATGCTGTAGACTGTCACATTCTCGCCTTCAACTGAAACGTCCGGTCGACGGAAGTGTTGAAGTGCGGCCACGAGCGCAATACATGATGCATCTATCAAACTTCCATCATGGTCGACCACATGTATATCTGCTCGAATAGAGAAACATTTTGCGCCAGCGATTATACAGAGCGATTCGGTATCAAGAGCAGAGCTTCGACGTATGGATTTTTCGAGGATGCGCGAGAGGAGCACTTCGGCGTCGTTCTGTCTAGATCGAAGTTAGCATACCCCAAGCATCATGAGCAGGTAGCTTACCGTCCGACTTCGACCGCAGGCGATGCCATAGGTGAGAATTCAGTGCTGATGGTGAAGATGCCATCAAACCTTCGGTCAACATATGGAGCTGTCACTTCAGCCGAAATACGGGCGATGACTCTATACACGTCAAACTATGGCCACATCTTGGACCTGTGTCTGGTCGTACCTTGTCTTGCCGAGCTTAACATCTGCGACGCCATACTCTTGTCCGAAAGAGAGTTCCAAAGATCTGAACGCGTCGAATTTACGTCCGTCAAGTCGGACTTGCTCGCTCAATGCTTTTAGTATAAAGTCGCGCTCGTTGAGCGAAACTTCGGTCTCACGGGGCATTGTGGAATATGGTCAACAGTTTCCGGCGTTGTACTTGCACGGTACAAAAAATTCGAGATTCGCCGGGGAAGCTCGAAGCGCGGGGCGGAGATCTATAGATGGATTCGGGTAGTGAAGGGTCAAAGCTCCCTAGCGAATTGAAGCTTACCTCCTCTATGAATTGAAATACCTTCCGACAACATACTTAATGCTATGCGTACATACGTAGGTTGCAGGCTCCCAACACTACCTTAATTCGTCTTCACGCATAGGGTGAAATGGTCCTTATCTCACGCTACCAATGCTACCGGGACACTCCACAGAAGAATGCACCCATCGTTCAGGCAAAGGGCCATACTGCAATTAATGTACATATCTATGTTGTACATCCCGAAATGAAACGCTCCATTGCTCCACTAGAAGACTTGAATTGAGCGCCAAGTATTGTTGTTTCACCTTGAGCTAGAAAGTAGCTAGTCACTATGGCACGGAGATGCCAAGTGCAATTTGTGAAGATGACAAGACAACGTAGTCGAGGCCCTAAAAGTCTTCTCGCGAGACTGTAGTATAAGCCGAGCTGTTGGTTCGCTGTCAAGGGCCCTGCATTGGACGATGCGCCAATGAGTGTTTGATATGACTTAATCAAGGGACCTATTTTCAGCAAGTATGGCATGTAGGATTCCGACCTATGGCGAGGATTCTGTATGAGAATCGGGCGAATGAGGAAACCATCGTGCCACTGAGTGTTCTAAGTGCTCACCGTACTGGAGAGCTTCCACGATTGACTATGGCAATTCTTGATTTGATAGTGGTACTGTCGGTATTGGAGTGATGTGCCGATATATTGATGAACCTGTTATAGATTGCCCCATCAATGCCAGTATAATAGAATGTATATTTTTACAAACGCCCCTTTGCACTTCCGTTTTGCTTTCGAGGGTCAGTCATGCGCCATCGCTGCTAGCTCCCAGTATGCTGTAACGCCGACCCAAATAACCATGTTCCCTTTCCCTAGTAGACTCATGATGAAAGTTTCCGGAAATTGAAGTATAATCATCGATTGACGGCTGTGAAGCCTCCAAGTGCTCCTGCCTCTCGAGGCGCTTCCGCGTCCGCCATCTCCTCATCTCGGGCGACGCGTCTTTCTCCATTCGCATCAGTCCTGACATCTGAGCCGGTCGTTCCAGCTGCATACCCTCGACCACTGTGGCCCCTGTCACCTCCGTTTTCCATTGCTGTCGACACACTGCGACGCTCGTCGTATAAGGTTCCTGGTGCGGCTGGTGATGGCTCGTATTGATTTGTTGGCGGGATGGGTCTTGAACCATTCACCGCCGCTGCAAATTCGCTGGTCGGTGGGTAGAATACCTCCGAGCGCATGCGACCCGACGGATCAGGAGTTGAGTGCGCAGAGGACAGTGGCACATGAGGCGCAAGGGCATGGGCATGCGAGTGATGTGAGGACGATGGCGGAGGCGACGCAGCGCCCTGTTGGCTTGACGGCGGAGCACCGGTGGGAGTCGTCTTGCGGTGCGAGCGCTTTGAACGGAGAGGCTTGTCTTGCGGCTTGGAGGCGGTTAGTCGGTTGTCTCGTGGTAGCGGTAGGTCTGGTGGTTGTGGAGGCGCGAGGCTACTCACAGTGGGAGGCGGGCTGGTGCTGTTGTCTGAGTGATCGACATTGTAGTCCATTCGTTGCTGGAGCTGCTCGAGGAGGAACGCGCGCTCGAGGCGCATCTTCAGGACGGAGCGGTTCAGCCGCTTGATGCGGAGGCGCGTGGCATCGTTATGCTCTTCAATCTCGTTGATACGTCTGCGGAGCTCGATACATTTGCGGTAGTAGGCTTTCTCGACCGAGGGTGGGAGCGCGCCTTGGAATGGTTAGAAATGGCTCGTACTTTGAGTCTGGCGCTCCTAATCACAGTGGGTAGTGTCCGAACGACTTACCGGATGAAGGCATATTGGGTTTGCAATTCAAGAGCGAAGATAGTGTGACGAGAGAACTTCAAGAGATGACGGGCTAATGGGCGTCGTAGTCAGAGATGAAGTCGAACAGGACCAGGCGTTGTGGTTATTTCATTAACTCCAACCCACGTCCGCTGGTGAGGTGATGTTGGTGAACTCCAGTCGGACGCTGCCTCTAACCTACTTAGTAGTGCGCGTATGGCAATATTAGTAATCAGCTCTGGAAAACAGTTACACGACACCATTTTGCCAACTCCTCAACACCTTCGCTAAGATATAAATGCTAGTGTTTCTTTCTTAGCCTTGCTTTGAAACAACTCTGTTCTCAACGTTCTAGGTCATTATTACTTGCAAGAACATAGTTCTCCGGTGCTCTCGGACTTGAAAACAATACTGAACGACAGGCATCCTTACTGACGTTTCCGGTCATTCTTCCGACACTACAGCATGTCCAACGAAGATCAACGAGAGCCTGTACCCGGGGATTCCAAATGGCTGTGCTTACCGCGTCATCGTCCTGATTCAAAGATACTGGAATTTCCGTACGCCATTGGGAAATGCCTCGAAGTTCAATCGCATGTGGCCCCGGAGCCACTCGAAGCTCCGTATGCTGGTCGACGTCCTGATCCACCGTCCGGGTCTCATGAGATGACGCAGTTGGAATTTTGTCTTGCTAGCCCACCACTTGAAGGCTATTTGGGTCAAGAGACCATGTCTTTAACAATAACGGGAGCTTTAGCAGTATCTGGGACAGCAAGCCTTGAGGAGAGCGAGGTGCATGAAGGTACCGGACCCTCCGACTATGGAACTATCCGTCGAGGTGCCCAAATATTGCTCGTCAATAATGCTATGGTCGCCAAAATCTACGATCCACTTTACTACGATGCAGGTGATAGAGGCGATAGGAAGGACGTCACGGCTATTGCAGATCGGGACTATACTCGTGAAGTGGCTGCATATCAAGAGCTGGAGCCATTCTGGGGCGCCCTGGTACCCACTTACTATGGATCTTGGACTTTCGAAATACCGACACAGACTCCCACCGGGATCTTACAGCGGTCTGTACGTCTCATACTCATTGAGCATATCCAAGGCAGACGGCTTCTGGATATGAATCCCCACGACCTCACAGAAAAGGCGCGCACCAATGTTATGCGCAAGGTCATCAAAGTTGAGTCCGTCTTCAACTTCAATTCTGGTGTTAGCCATCGCGATATAGCGCCTCGAAATTTCATTTGCGTTGGAGACGACCTTGAAGGCCCAGATTTACGTATTGTAGTGCTTGATTTCAATAATTCCGTAGTACACCGCCTCGAATTACCAATCTCTCCAGTCACAAGATGGCCCTACATTGGAAACGAGTTCCTAGGCGGTTGGCTTCCAGACGAATTTGATGAACTACAAAAATGGCTATGGCATCAATTTGCGACTTGTCAATCATATCAACCACCTCCGGCAGGGCTTATAGCACAGGACCTGGATGAGCAAAATCCTGAAATGCAATTATAGATACCGATACACACTTTTCTGTCCTGCCAATCAAGTTGATACCGTCAAGCCCACCACTTGTTCCTATTCGTTTCACCTTGTGGGACCTTTCTTTCGCTACCACTATAGTGCTTCGGGCCATAGCCGATGTAGTCGCCCTTTCTGGCGCGATGATCCTTGCTGTCTACTTCCAATTTCCTGGGCATAGTTTCAGACCTCTTTTGTTGTGAAGATCGTTCATTATATCTCCCACTCTCTTGAAGCGCGCTTGGGTACACTCTTCTAAGATGTGCATTGTCGACTTGTTTCTGGACACCATACCCTGCATCCGTGGTCATTTGCTGGTACATGTCAGGCATTGGAGCTGCTCGTCTAGTAGACGTAAACTGCTGGTTCGACTGTGTATACTGTCCCCCCTGTGACGGTCCGCCACGGGTATGATGACGACCCGAGCGCCTCAAGTCGGCGACGCACGAGGTGTCATGTTGCTGAGCACCTGCAGTGGCTTGTGTTTGTTCCGGGGCGGGGACGGGAACTGGTCCGGAGAACGTCTGGGGTGCGATCGTTTCTCCGCCTTTTCCCAGGCCTTTCTCAGCACATGCGCGGACGAGCCAGCCTAGCAGTGCTTTGCGTTGGGTGACGTCAGGTGCTTGCTCCGTTCCGATGTATGTGCCAGAAGCAATGTCGCCAACACCTCCTGCACTGAGGGCGTTGAAGTAATATAGAAAAAGGTCGTTATAATCGTATAGCGCGACGTATTTGGTTCCGAACCTAACGCCATAGGCAGCAGCCTGTTTGGACAGTGTACGCGAATGGGAGAAAAGAAGCGTGCCAGAAGGATTTTGCGAGCGATCCTGTGCTCGAATTTGTTCCATCCGCCTTCCAATACTACGAGCATCGTTCGAGGTCTGGGACTGTTGCCATTGCGAATACTGCATGACTCCTCTTTTTTTCAGCTCCAGAACAGCTACGATCGTTGATTTTTTTGTTTGAGGATCCGAATATTTCCATACGAGATCAGCACGAACGCTTTCACCATCTGAATTCTCTACATGTTCCGCATGGAAAGAAATGGTCTGGTTAAAGATCTTTTCGAGAGCTTTGTTAATGGGATTGGTCAGGTATAACGTCGTCGCCCGGACTACATCCGCTTCGTTATGGATTTCAAATGGGCGCTCAATCGCAGGGAGGTAGTATGCACGCAATGCTTCTTTGATTTCTGGAAGATTCAGAACGTCCCGTGCGAATTGAACCCAGATTCCGGCGTCTACCTCGATCCAGAATTTTGGAGGGTCTGTTCGATCAGATGTGCCATTGCGAGTAAGTGCAGAAGGTGCCCTCTGCCTTGAAGCAGGCAATTTCAAGTCCGTCATTGCTTCATTGAAAGAACTAAAAATCGTAGACTGGCTGGTGGTTGGCATTTTGAGGTAATTGAGCCTACAACGAGTTTCGTACTACCTCTATAGGGCTACTGCATGTTAGCTCACACCGCCACGGAATATCTGTGTTCGCTACAACAGGAACTGCATGTACTCGAGGCCAGCATCAACCCGTGGTAAAGTCAAACCAATGGAAAAACAAACCAGACTTACTCAGAATCTCGATTCCAGCAAATAGCAAGCTCGAAAATGTGGTTCGTTAGGCTGAAGAATTGGTGCGAGTGCCTCTGGGTAAAGCCTGGTACCGTATGAGAAGGATAGCGATAGTGTTTGTGATATGTTTGATACTCGTGTCCCTGAAGGATATCGAGAGTGAAGTGGCTCAAGGATGAAAATGCCAGTATGATGAGAATGTCGCTTGAGTAACAAGGTGGATGCAATTTCTACCCGCCAGTCACTCTTTGTGTTCGCATAGACCACCAGGGCTGGCAAAAGGGAGACGGTAACAAGTTTCTGGAAATGTATTATCGATGATCCAGTCGGGGGGGCTCGGTAGAAGAGAAAATAAATGTAGGATAGCGTATGGGGATTTGTGTCTTTGCAAGGCAGTCTAAATACTTTCCACGAACATCATACAAGTATTAGAGTAACATGGTAGGCGTCATCTGAAACTATTCGCATACAGAAACGCCGCCAAGCCGCCAGCAGGACGCACATGAGGTGTTCCATACAGCGACCGTCCGCAGTGTAGCTCATCGTAGAGGTCTTGTGAATGGTGTATTTAGCGCTACAATAAGGCGGCAAGATAGAGTTGCTGCATTAACTAATTATAGACGATTTGTTTAAGCGCTGAATATATTTCAACATGCATTAGCGTGAATGTGAATCCATTAGTCCCAGGCTACTACCTAACTCAAGGCTGCCACTGATCCCCACTGAAAATTCTGTGCCACAACAACGAATGTGAGGTTGCGCCAGATCAAGTTCTTGGTGGGATGAGACTGATAGCCCAGACTTTGGCTTTCTTGTAAACGCGATCCTTCCGCCTCCGCTGCGGTCGTTTTGATATTTGACATCCCTTTATCTTTCGCGACTCGAGCGTCTAGACTCAGAAAGGTCCAGCATAAGCAAACCTGTGATTCACCACAAGCGCTGAACCTGCACGCGATGATAGGCCGCAACTCAAAGGATTGTTTCGCCTAGATCCTTTGGGACGCGCTCGGAGCCTGATTCTTGAGACAGACCAGAGGTGGGTTTGTGCAAGGGAATTCAAGGCAAGCGCAAGCGAGTTTTCAAAAGGCCCATGTAATTACTGTAAGCGCAATCCATTGCATGAATCATTCTAGGCCCTCGGGCGCTTAGGGCCTCCTTGATTGTCCGCCTTGCAAGGACCCATATCTGCTTAAGATAAGCAGGTATATTGCGGCTAGCATGGAGAAGACACATAGAATAGTCGTACTCTACAGACATGGAGATAGTCAAGAAATCATGTTTTGTTTAGGTTAGTCTTTCGAGGTTCATCTGACACTGGTGTCTGATACGTGACCTGGTACTTTATACCAAATGGCCGCCCTGGTCGACTTCCAGAAGAATGGAGAAGGCAATATGCAGCATCAAGTATGTTCATCTAGAATGTGTATAGTAGAGCACAATGTAGGACTTTAATCCGCTTGTATGGTCTTATGTATGCACGTTCTACTTCAATGATGTGCAAGACGGAGTCGGCGGCACAGTGGCAGCCTAGTGGGATAAGGATTCCATTCCACACCTAATGTGGTTAGACTGAAGTCTTGTCCATGCCCGCACGTCACGTGTACATTCCGCGCCCACTGAAACTTGCAATCCTCTACTTAGTGACAACCATATCCTATCCTCAGATAAAAGCAATCATTTGTCCCTCGCCTCAGCAGCAGACAGCCTTTAACCATGGGTCATTCGAATGGACGTTTCGTTGGCGACAATCCGCCACCGTATAAGCCAGATCCCAACAAGCCCTCGAATCCTTATGTCTTAGGATACAAATTCGAGGTACACTCACATATCGCGCCGAGCCCTCTGGGGTCACCATACACGAATGATACGATTTTACCCCCTGCTGATATGCACGAGTCGACTCAACTGGAGTATTGCTTATCACATCCGCCTCGTGCGGGATCACTGTCGGACAAGTCAATGTGCTTAGAGATCACCAAGGCTATAAGACTTACCGAGAGCGAAGATATTCAGAGTGGGGCTCAAATCGTTGTTGTCAATCAAACCATGGTCGCAAAGATCTATGATCCTCTTTACTACATCCCAGACGATTTCGCTATCAAATTTGACGCCGTTGCTATGGCAGATTCAGACTACACTCGTGAAGCACTGGCCTATCAAGAACTCAAAGAGTTCCACGGAAACTATGTACCTCACTATTACGGCTCTTGGTCCTGCTATATATCTACGGAGTCACCTACAGGCAAAACGGTGCAACGTCCTGTTAGACTCATCTTGATGGAATACATCCAAGGCGTTAGCCTCCACGAGCTACTCCCTACGGAACTCTCCAATGAACAGCGCTCAAATATAATGGTCAAGGTCATTGAGTTAGAAGCTATGATAGAACATCGTGGCGGTGTATCTCAAAAAGACATAGCTCCAAGAAATTTCATTTGCACAGGCCACGACTATGTTGATCCGAACCTTCGAATTGTACTCATTGACTTTAATGTCTCAGTTGTCAGGAGACTAGCACTCCCGGTATCACCTATCTACAGGTGGACAGCTAACGCTGGTGACTTTGCCTATGACTGGCTTCCGAGGGCAAGGAACGATCGCCGGGCCTGGCTATTAGACCACTTTAAAGGATCGCATCTATTCCAAGAAGCGTCCTAGGTACTGATCTATGAGAGACGTAATAGTCAAACTCTGCGCATGGCCTCGAAGAGAAGTTGAGACCTTTAAAGAACAGCCGGCATGCTTCACGCTCACAGAAGACACGCCTTTGGATGAACTTAAAAGGCATAACATGGTGACATTATTGCCTAATCATCTGGCACGAATTTAAACAACGACACATACTAGCCAGATACTTCTGATGAATTCCATGGTTGCTATTGTAATGCGCTACAAATTGCCAATATGTCTCTCTTTCCAGGTTCACACTACCTCTGATATCATTGCCACCACTTCTTCTTGGTTGATAGGAGCAGAAGTTCGGCCTCATCTGGACATGTTTCGAGATTATTTTCCATTACCTCTTTGATGTCCCTGAGATGATCACTTGCGGACTGTTGCGTGCGTTTGACAAAGTGTTGTCGGATCCACCGAGTCCAGCGGCCGCGCAAGCGCACAAAAGCCATCCAAGGACGACTTTCCTGAAGGGCCGTGCCGAAGAATCTCCCCCAATATATGTCCCAGCAACCCAATCGCCTATGTTTTCACGATTGAAGTCAGCTTCCGCAAAGTAGCCGAGAAACAGGGTTTCCCAGTCGAATAGTGCCGCATATTTCGTTTTATGTCTTAGCACATATGCAGATATCTGTTTCATCATCTTTTCGGCATTATCGACGAAGAAGGTATCTTTATCCTCGTTAAGTTTCTTGTCCATGGTCTTTGAAGTAGCATATGCATCGGACCAGTGCTCGTACACCAACATGCCTCGTTTTTTAAGCTCCAGAATTGCAATGACCTTCTTTACACCAGGTATGGGGTAGTAAAACCAGGTCAAGTCCATTCGAAGTGTTGCACTCCCTACTGTATTGCTCAATTCCGCGGCGAAGCGAACTTTGCCACCAAAGATGTTTTCCAAGGCTTTGTTGATGGGATGAGTGAGGTACAGAACAGTCGCACGTGACACATCCGCTTCGACGGGCATTTCGAATGGAACCTCTGTCGCGGCCACCTGAGAAGTAATCAGAGCTGAGCGGTGGCGACCTAAAGGCTCGTTGGTAGCATCGGACCAACTGTCTGCTGGTACAGTAACCCATATCTTAGGGGGTATGGTATTCTTCGTAGTGTTGCCACTGTCGCCACATCTGGGATTATCATGAGGTCCAAGAGCTAGATCGGGCAGCTTGTGGTCGAAAGATTCGGCAATTGTGAGAGGGGCCATCGTACTTCAGAGTGTCGAGGAGTAGTTGTTGCTAGGATGCTGGAGTCGGACAGACAGTGCTAGGGTGAGTGGGATAGGTGATACCGGGATAGGCAGGATAGGCAGTGCTAGGATAGGCAGTGCTAAGATAGATAGGATAGGTAGTGTTACGATGGGTAATACCAGAATGGGTAGGATAGGTGGTGCTAGGATGAAAGTGTTACGATGGAAAGTGCTATGACAGGTAGTCCTAGGAAGACTTTCAAACCGATGTTGAAAGGGGAAGGTTTATGAAGAAAGATTGGTGTCAATGTGCTTGATGAAGCTCGACTTGTCCGCACAACAAGATGAATATATATAGAGCGTGAGCGTGGCAGGCTAACGAAAGTATTACAAATTCACTGACAATGCACTGACAGCAAAACTGATCGAGCCACTCATGACCAGTCAATAAGCGTTCATGACGATCATGATCATAAGCAGCGTCTCCAGCCCACAACGCAGCCTAGGAGCCAAATGGTGCAGGAGGCGTAGTTCGCCTACGTGTCCAACATATTGTTTGTTGCCCAGTAGCATCGATACTTCCACATCCCACTTCCGTGAATGGTGAGATTTTGTGGTGCCTATCTCATGTCGCTGCCTACGTTTAGCCGCTGGATGGTGTTGAAGCGCCGTGCTACCGCATCGGGTTAGCTCAGATGTCAACTCGATACACTATGTTTCGGGTTGGCGCCGAGATCATCTCAGGTTCCGGCTACATTGTCCAGGGCCATAATAAGTCAACAGGGGGTCGCAAAACTCACCGATCACCGATGTGTCTCCGGGGGCAGGCTACATCACTAGAATAAAGCTAAAGAACGATATTCAATGAAGAGATTAGTAGCTATAGCTATAAATATACCCTCTATAATCTATAATTTAGGTATTAATATTATATTAGTAAGTTAGAATCATTATTTTAAGTGTTATACTACTCTAGACAACTAATATATATTACCTTACTTTCTATTATTCTGCTATCCTGTGATCGGTGAGTCTTGCGACCCCCTGTCGAGTAAGAACTACATAGGGCTCGAGACGCTGCCCAATTACTATGACCATTATGAGCGCTTATTACTGAGTAGTCACGAGTAGCTAGTTTATTTTTGCTATTAGTGCGTTATTCGTACGTGGTCAGTGAAGACGTACTGTACCTATTAGAGTACTATTACCTTCCTAGTACTAATACCTATCCTAGCACTACCTATCCTAGTACTATCTATCCTACCCATTCTGGTACTATCCATCGTAACACTACCTATCTTATCTATCTTAGCACTGCCTATCCTATCTATTATAGTACTATTCATCTTCCCCTATCGTATCTAATCTAGTACTAATTATCTGAGAACTACCTATTCTATTTATCCTAGCACTGTCTATACCAGTACTGAATCTCATCGATTACCATTGAGTCGCGGATCGCATTACCCAACCATATTCTGGGTCACAGGGCTCAGCCGCCCTATTGCTTTTGTTCGTATTCTGAAGCTCAAAACGGAGCGAGAGGCACGAGGTAAAGCGAGAAAGATTCATGTAGAGTTGGAAACCATAGAAACGCTGAAATTCTATTGGGCACACGGCCTAGCCCAAGCCCTCGAAAAGCCCGGCCTAGGGTCTGGAAGGCCTTGATCGGCCGAACTATGACTTAGAGGGGCAAGTCCACCGCCCAAGTATCCACTGCCAAGTCATCGTAGATTTTTCGTTCTGGCGACGCTGCCGACGCCAGATAAAAAGCGTGGCGATGCCCTACACGACAAACCTCTGGCCATTCATCTCCGGCTCTCTTCATCCTACAACTGAGCGGGCGACTTCTGGAGTTTTGCGCTCGTTTCACAGCTAGAAAGCTCCAACCTTATCGACTACTGGTAGTACCCGGCGAACTGCTGCAACAATCTTCTTGTGGATCACATCATGGCACCGTTCTGGTCCAGAAATCATACTGCCCAGGAGGTACAAACAGCCCCAGTCGATGCCACGTCTGTGCAACCTAAGACAAACGAGTACTATCAGCCAAACGAGGATCAGAGCTCTGGAACCGGACACGATCTGACTGGACATGGGCAAGCTACGTTTGCCGAGCATGGCAATTTGACTGAAGACACGCCAAGAAAGCAGTGGTTTTCGTATGTCAGGACAAAAGACTTCTGGCTCGTTCTACTTCTCGGGTATGCTACTTTTTACTGCGTTGAAAGATATACCATCGCTGATCAAGTTGCAGCCAAGTGTTGGCGTTGTGTATTACTAGCACCAATACGTTCTCGTCGCTTCTAGCAGGCAAGGGGACTTCGATTCCTGCATTCCAGACGTTTTTCAATTATGTATTGCTGAACATCGTTTACACCAGCTACACATGGTACAAGTATGGCTTCAAGAAGTGGGGCAAGATGGTTCTCAAGGACGGATGGCGATGTAAGTCCTCCACTCGGCATATCCGAGCATCCTCCGCTCATCATTCCCAGACTTCATCCTCGCATTTCTTGACGTAGAAGGCAACTACTTCGTGGTACTCGCGTATCGGTACACGACTATTCTCTCCGCCCAACTAATCAACTTTTGGGCCATCGTCATGGTCGTCATCATCTCTCTTATTTTCCTCAAGGTCCGCTACCACGTCGCTCAGTACGCCGGCATCATCGTGTGTATTGGTGGCATGGGAATTCTGATTGGCTCCGATCACATCACTGGCTCCAACGGTGGTACAGCGCAGAACCAACTCAAGGGCGACCTCTTCGCGCTTGCAGGCGCGACTTTCTACGGTGTAAGCAATGTCTTCGAGGAGTTCCTCGTCAGCAAGAAACCCATGTACGAAGTCATCGGCCAGCTGGCATTCTGGGGCATGTTGATCAACGGCACGCAAGCCGGCATCTTCGACCGTGCATCGTTCCGCACCGCTGTCTGGGACGGCGACGTTGGTGGCTACCTAGTCGGATACACGCTCATTCTCGCACTGTTCTACTCGCTTGCGCCATTGATGTTCCGTCTCTCATCAGCCGCATTCTTCAACATTTCGCTGCTCACGGCAAACTTCTGGGGCGTGTGCATTGGCATCGAGGTGTTTGGGCTGAGCATCCACTGGATGTACCCGATTGCCTTTGTTCTAATCCTGCTAGGACTGTTTGTGTATTTTATGACTGAGAGCGTGCTGGGCGAGGCGAAGAAGCCGTGGCTGGGCGAGAACCAGGAGGACGGCGTGAGTGGGCTGGGCACGGCGAAGAGAAGGGTGGAGAACCCCGAGGTGCTTGTTTGAAGAAGCCTGTCATCGTCCCGGTCATGTTACCCAGGAACTGTGAACCGGCGTTTTGGCTTGGTGCTTGACAATAATGACTCTTGATTGGAATGAACAATAATTAGAACCGTTCACCTGGTGTGTTCTCGTCCGTCCACGTGGGGACAGGCGTACCCCTGCATGACCGGCTCCGCATTGTTCTAGTAACGGCCATCGTACATTATGCAGACCCACAGTGCCGCGCGCTCTATAGGCTTAGCAAGTATCTGCAAGTGGCGCTTAGGTCCACGCGTATTAGGCGATAGCCGCGATAGTGCGTATCAGATAAGCGCGAGCGTTCGGGATGGCCCGCTTTCCACGTGGTTCACTTTGCACTAGTAGAGGTATAGCTTCTTAGCGTCTTGCTTTATTAGACGACACTTGAGATTTATCTATAATCATTTCTATACATAGAAGTATAGTTATGATAGAAAGTGTTATAGTGCTAGTATTATCTATTATAATATACTCTATATCTATCTTATTATTGTGACGCAACGAAAGAGTTCGTCGGTTGGGTGGTCGACCCAGTAGTTAGCTACATGCGCTCCTGTCGACTCCGAAGTATTTATACATACACACACACGGTGCTACATCAGACTTATCGTACACAGTATATACAGCCTCTTTACTGGCCCTCCACATTATACATACATCTATATCAATGCTTTGCCGGTATACATAGCCTCCCTGACCTCGCTAACAACATCCGCCCGATCGCCCTTTCCAAGCAACACAATCGCTCTCCCTCTCCTTCCCATCCTACCCAGCCGTCCAATTCGATGGATGAAATCCACGCTCGTATGCGGTACATCATACAGAATCACGTGTCTGCACGCCAACGTGTCGATGCCTCGACTCCCCAAATCCGTACACACCAGCACCTTCGTATTCGCCAGTTTGCCCCTGCTCGCCTCCGCCTTCACATTCGAAGGCACGAAGTTCGATTTTGGTTTCATGCCTGAGGCATGCGCCGGAGTCGAATCTCGCGTCGCAGCACGGAACGGCGCGAGGATGTCGGCGGTTCGGGCCTGGCTGTCGCGGTTCAATGCGGTTGCGTCTATGCCCTTTGTGCACAGGAATTCTGCCAGTTCCGTGGCTTGTTCGCGCTCGTTGACGAAGACAATGATGCGTTTGGTGTCGACGGAGTCAGTTGTGTAAGCGGTGTCATGTTCAAGGGCCGACCGGCCAATCTGCCAGATGGCGTCGGCGCAGGCAACATCTTTCTTGCCGCGGTAGGGTTCATGGGTGACATTCATGACGCCGAGCTGGACACGGCGAGGGATGGCGTGGAGGTTCGGCGTTACGAGGCGGTTCATTTTGGGGAATCGTTTGGCGACGTAGAGTTCGAGTTTGCGGGTGATGGTCGCAGAGCAGAGAATGAGCTGTCGGAGAGAAGGTGCCGATCGCTCGATGACTGAGGAGGTCAGAGGTGAGAATGAGGTGTCGAGTAGCGAATCAGCTTCGTCGATGATGAGGTGAGATACGCGCGAAAGGATGTTGGGGGACTCTTCGGCGATGCTGGCAAGAAGGTGGGGCGTCGAGATGATCATATCAATGCCTTTGTCAGAAAAGATGCGGTTGCGGATGACAGTAGGAGTGTAGGCTGAAGATATGAGTGCGGTGCGAAATTTGACGACGTGTGAGAGGGATTTAGCCACTGCGCCTACTTGATCGACGAGCTCCGAGGTCGGGACAAGGACTATAACTTTGGGGCGAGCTGTGTCATGAACTGACGAAGAGAGAGGCGGAGGGTCCAACTCGTATATGCCCTTCTTCGACTTCTCTGCTTCCAATTGCTTCTTTGCCTCTGCGTCTCTCTGCGCCTGTTCTCGTTCTACTGCTTCAGCGCGCTTCATCGCATCGATTGCCGGAAGCAGATACGCTAGTGTCTTCCCAGACCCCGTCTCCGCAGCTATTAGGAACTGTTCCATCTTGTAGTCATCGTCTTTTTCTACGGCTAGCCGTGCGCCCTTCTTTGCTTTTGGCTTCTTGGCCTTCTGATCTATGCCCAGAAGGGCGGGAATGGCAACTCGCTGTACGGGTGACGGGACAGCATCTGGCCTTTCAGGAAATAGCTCTGGTACGATTGCATCTCGAAGTTCCGGTAGCAGTTCAAATTGATCAAACGTATTGATGTCTGCGATCCTATTCTTGATGGATGCCCTTTCACCATATGGCATTACGTCTAATGCGCGCTGCATCTTAAGCGCCTTGAATGGCTCAACATAGCTTCTATGTCTGTCGCCATCTCTCTTGAAGGGATTGTGGACTGGTGTTGGCCTCATAGGCTCCGATTCCTCATTTTCATCTCTGCGTCTTCCGTTGCGAGCTGGCGGAAAAACGGGGGGCTTTGTTCGGTTCAGATGTTCGAAACCACCGGATGTCCTGGGCGGGGGTCGACGAGGTTCCGGAGGAGCGGGAGTTTGTCGCGGAGACAGCCTGAAGGGGTTTTCTGATACTCGAGATGACAGTTCCATACGAGAGGGTTTGCGTTTCTGCAGCCGTGCTATGCTACGCGTCTGCTGCCATTGTGTTGCTGTTTGAGGGCGGACGGGACTGCAAGTACAGAAAGGACATGTGGGCAAGGAAAGTCGTGAGCGCAGCATATTGGAGAAGACCGCCGTAATGGGGTAACGGATATCACAGTCGAAGTCGAAGAGATATCAACACATGGCGAAGAAGACTGTCGTGCACATGTCAGAAGGGCCTACGTGCTAGCAAATTTACGGGCTGTGGCTGAACACTGTGGCGCTATACCGTGCCGTCGGAAAGCCCAGGCCAGCGGGGCGGAGCGGAGATGCTCCGCTTAAGTCCCACCGAGTATCAATTCAGATAATAGTACTCGATCTCCGACACAACAACAACACGCCAAGAGGAAACTTGCTCATATATATCAGCTCTGCTTCTCCTAGCGAAGAGCCAGGTTGTCCATGTTCCACTCGGTACGTTCACTTGAGAATTCGTGATATCAACCTGTATTTTCGTCTACTTATAAGCCATAGGCCGAACGAGATAGCTGTGGAGGCATCCATTGTTGACCCGGATGTGGTATTGCTATAATGTATGTATCCGACAAATGATAGACTATTAGTATACAATAATGCCGTATGGGCGGGGTACAGTAGGGATGTCTGCGCAAAAGCCAAGGGATTGTGTGGTGAGACTCGAACGTCGTTACTCGGCCAACCCTTAGCGCCGCGCGACTCGTCTTGGAACCCGGCATCACATCACAAAGCCTAACAACCCATTCCTCGACCTGCTGCACTCACTCGTTAACTGCTGCCCGCATATACTGAAGCTGTCAATCATTCGTGCGCTGGCATATGCCGCCGTGCAACTACATTTCTCTCATCTATCCAGTTACAAGCCAATCGTTCGCATCGTCCCAATCGCAGCACTGAATCTCTCCGAAGGTGTGCATTCTTGGGTGCACATTCCAAAGCTGACACTCGGTCGACCTTGCATCGCCATTGTTAGTCAATCTGGGTCACTTGTATAATGTCATCTGAGACGGTAAGAATTGGTCTGCATCATCATGGTGTTCTCTAAGCTGACCGCGGCTTTTCTCACTCAGGTGTCTCCGTTGCGCATCAGTAAAACAACACCGATGTCTTCACCTAGCAAATCCAGTGGGCAGCGACCGCTCTCTGAGATTGGTTCTACATCTCAAAGAAGGAACTCTCCAAGCTTCAATCAAGCTACGAAGGTACGGTGGTCGTCGCATTGGGAAGCTGTCGCTTGACTAACACACTCCAGAAGATGATGTTTACCAACGCTGAGTCTTCTCCGTACGACCCTACAGCCATTACTAGCTCCACTCGGTTGTTTTGGAAAGAGCGAGACCCAGCTTCTCCCAGTGGGCGCTTCAACGCCGAGAACTCGTTCTCTTTCGATCGCGAGTCTTCGCCGTCACCGAAACGCAGTTCCATCGAGAACCTCAAGAAAGCCTCTCGGGTAAAGAACAGCAGTATGTTTGCGCGTGAACAAAAGACGGAATACGATCCGACTGCGATTCCCCAGGTCGAGCGCCCCCTGGCTGCGGGTCGCCCTCTGAGTACACAAGTTCATGGCAATGCATATGGTGGGCGTGGCCTTGAAGGCTTTCGTGAAGGAAACAGTGATATCAAGGGACACCAAAGAGGCAACTCACAAAGCCGAATTCCAATGTTAAGCCCTACAAAGTCTCCTGGCAGACTTCCGATGGCTGAATATACAACGTCTTCTTCACCACCACCAAAAGAGAGACAATCCCCCGTCAAATCTTCTCTAAGCAATGGCAGGCCTAGTGCTGTAGCTAAGGCATATGACATAGAGGGGTCGATCTGGTCGGAAGACGATGATACCGCGAAGATCAGTCCCGCCAGGGCTTTACGGCGGCATGCCAAAAGTGTTACCTTCGAGCAAGCACCTCCACAGATCAATGAGTATGAAATGATTACTCCAGAGCCATCCTCGGTCGCATCAGGATCGCGAGAAGGAAGCTACGATTCTTTTGGAGAGTACGACGAGGATGACAGCTTCGAGCAGGCTGGATCCATCATGAATGAAGACAGTTTCGATGCATCTCTGGAAGACACAGATAAGACACCCGTAGTTTTGCCCGAAGATTGGCGCCATATGAGCCCAGATGCAGCAAATACCTCGCTTGCAGATACTTTCGAGGATCCCTTCGAGGGCAGGGATCTTAGCCCAATGCCGTCCGCACAGCCCAATGGCACATCATCAACACCAAATCGGAATGGCTCAGGCAACTCGGAAGGATCCCGTCCCTTGCCTGCTCTGCCCAAATCAGTGAGAGAATCTATTGGGCGCGGGAGACGCGAATCCGCAATTGGCCTTCCAGAGTCTGCCGACAGCTCACAACGATCACTGCCATCTCCTCCGAGAGCCTCTGTTACTAAAGCGGAGATTTTGGGTATGCGTGACAATGCGCTATCTCTTGAAGAGCGATTCAGACTCATGGATGTCCAAAACTCCCCAGATCAAAACAACTCCAGGTTGTCATATGGAAGCCAGTCCCCACAAAAGACACCAAAGGCGAAGAAGCAATCCGACATTGTGATTCACGAAGATTCAATCTTAGGGGATATTCCTGATCTCGGAAACTTCCAAGCCCCCAAGATCTCCAGAGAGTCAATCTTGCGCAAAGTCAAAAGCCAGAAGTTTGAGCATCCAGAAGAAGAATATGACGATGATCACGAAAGAAGTTATGGAGACCTCGCGGATCTTGATCCAGACGTTCCAATTCCATCTAGAGAGGCGTCTTCGAATTTCGATGAATACGTAGGCGATTTCCAGGTCAAGACTGAGCAGGAAGACATTAGTCACTACTCGATTCCTGATATGTATAGCCCCGAGCGCGACCTTTCTCGCTTGGATGATTATGATATGGATGAGTCCGTGATTCGACATGACGTCGAAGGTAGCTCATTGAATGAAGAGGATGAAGGAAGCGTGTACTCGTCTCAATCAAACGCAGTATCCACCCAAAAGCCTGCTTCAGACAGCACATCTGAAGACGAGGGACCTCCAACACCAAAGCCTGGAATGCTGGGTTCTCCAAAGTCAGACGGAACAGACCGCTCAAAAATAACGGGTCTGCCAGACTTTAGTGCATTTTCTAACACTGACTTCGATGTTCAATTGCGCGGGTTAATGAAAGGTTCGCCCAATCCACACAAAGTTTCGATTACAGATCCACCGAAGCTCGAGGCGGCCCGTCAATTCCTGCAGCGGTCGATCACGCCTGAAGATGGCCAAGTAGGTGTGGATTCGATCACAATCGAGGAGCGATCCGCTACACCGGATTCTGTCATACATCACGATTTAGATATCGAGCCAGCCGAGCGTGTATCCCCCGTCATTCCAGAGCCTGAAGCTACTATTAAGGCATCGGGAGGAACGCTCAAAATACGTCCGTCTCTGACTCCAGCCGATGCCGCTGCTATGGCCGCAACACGACGTCAGGTCAGCGGTGAGGTACCTCCTCCAATTCCCGATCGAAGTCCGAGGAGATCACTAGGACCTGCAGAGATGAGTGAAGAGTTGAATGCGCCAGATGAGAATGGACTGAGTCGAATTGAAAGCCTGAGGAAGATGAAATTGGATCTCTCCATCCATGACACTTCGGAAGATCTAAGCTTCGATATGGACAAAGAGTTCGACCGAGTTGTTGAAGCACAGAAGGTACATAAACTATTTCCTTTACCGTCTTACGCCACTTTCCCAACAACCACAGAATGTGTGTCTGGCGGCAAGCATGTTTGCGGACGCCCATTTGGCTTTGAGCATTCAGGAACTAACGTATACACCCGCAAACAGAAAGGATATGTGACGAGAGAAAACGCAAAGCTTGTCGTCGCCAACAACCGCGATGTCAGCAACGAGACCAAAGTCCTGCTGACCTCAGGTTCAAAGTCTGCGGGAAGCAGCCCAAGAAAAGCAAGCCACGAGCGTGCAAAGACTTGGACCACAGAGCCATGGAATGGAAAGGTTAGACGCAAGAGCATCCGTTCGACTTCTGGAAGCCAGAATCGGTCCACGGCTGGTCCTGCACCCCCCTTGCCAGGCCAAGAGAGTGCGGTAAATGCTGGTCTTGACACCCTTATGGAAAATCAAGCCTCCTTGGACGCATTCGAAGATGAACAGGAGCGTGGTCGTCTTTTCGTCAAGGTGGTGGGAGTCAAGGATCTTAATCTACCTTTACCTCGAAGTAAGTATCGACGAACCACTCATTGATCCTAATATCTGACCATATATGCAGAGGAGAAGACTTGGTTCCAACTAACGCTCGATAATGGCCTCCATTGCGTCACCACATCCTGGCTAGAACTGAGTCGGAATGCACCTATAGGACAAGAATTTGAACTTACTGTGCAAGATGACTTGGAATTCAACCTAGCGCTGCAAACAAAGCTCCAAGCGCCACCGAAGCCCGCTGGTACTGTATCGCCAACTAAAACTCATGTGCACAAGAAAACAGCCTCCTTGAGCAGATTTCTTGCATCACCCAAGAAGCGAAAGGAGATGGAGCGCAAGCAACAAGAGGAGAGTGATCGAGCTGCGCAGGAAGCCCAAGCAGCAAGACGCAACCAAGAGCCGACCGCTTGGGATCTTCTCCACGATCGTGTTTGTGCAGACGGTACTTTCGGCAGGTCGTATGTGTCGCTGAAGAATCATGAACGGCAAGCATATGGACGTCCGACAATGGTCGACATCCCTTGCTTCAACGAGTGGACTGTTGAAGATGCTGTGGCCGCTAGCAGTGCCAGGAGTAAGCATGGTGGTGTTGTCACCAGACCTCCATACAGGATTGGCAAACTTACTCTTCAACTATTGTTTGTGCCTAGACCAAAGAAGGCTACAGATGACGACATGCCAAAGTCCATGAACGCATGTATTCGTGAGCTCCAAGAAGCTGAACAGCTCAAAGACCGTTCGTATGAGGGTCACCTAAGTCAGCAAGGCGGTGATTGTCCGGTAAGTTTTGTGATTTGCATGGCATAGGCTACTCTTCCTGACATCCGATACAGTACTGGCGTCGGCGATTCTTCAAGCTTCATGGGTCAAAGCTCACGGCGTACCATGAATCCACCAGGCAGCCCCGGGCAACTATCAACCTTGCCAAGGCAACAAAACTCGTTGATGACCGATCGAAGTTGACACAGCCTACCGAGACCAAGTCTGGCGGTCGTCGCAAGTCTGCATTCAGCGAGGAGGAAGAAGGATATATGTTCGTAGAGGAGGGGTTCCGTATCCGGTTTGCAAATGGGGAGACTATCGACTTCTACGCCGATAGCGCCGAGCAAAAGGAAGGCTGGATGAAGATTCTCCACGATACCGTCGGCAAGGAATCCGCGGGTAGGTCCCGAGCGTGGACCGAACTCGTGCTCGAAAAGGAGCGAAAGGAACGCGAGAAGCATACATTCCAGGGTGTGCCTCACGGCCCTGCAGCGCAGATGCAAAAGGCTCAGGCCATCAAGGAGGCAGCTCAGGAGCGAGAGATGCGTCGTCCAAGCTCGGCTGGCAAGGCTATGCCGGCATCAAAGACAGCCCCAAACAGCCCTCAAAAGGCTGCACGCGAATGTGGCCAGAACCTTCGTGATAAGGGCGACCTTCCGCCACCGCCTGTTGAGAAGGACCACAAACCTCACCCGACGACAGGCACTCCGAGAGCACGAACCAATCTGGACCGGAGAGGACAAGTGAAGTCGATGATGTTTTAGACGATACAACATCACATCACGACTCTTGATAGCAAACGACAGAGTATAGGTTCACGATGGCGCGCGATTTTTACCTTGGCTTTTTTCCACAACAAAATTCATTCCCTTTGTCCTACCTACCTTTCGGCGATTGCACATATTGCTTTCAAACACCATGGACTAAGCATACTTTCAATGTCTCTTCCGATCGCTGTGCGTGGATAGACGAATGAGTGGCTTCTAACCATTTTTGGCTGTATACTGGCGTATCGGGCGTGGAGGGGGGTCTCTTTCGGTGTTGTATTGTTTTTTTCGGTCATGGATTATGAAGGGTGCTGGGTGCGGGTGTGGGTGTGGACGTGTGCGAGCGAGGTGTAATGATTGTTACCAGGTATTGAATATAACATGTTTCAAAAAATGATGAAGTGCCTTAAAGGGTGGAAGACTGAGACTACACTACCATCGGATCACCTGAGCCGCCGTCATTGTTTTGACAGCATAGGCTGTAGTTCTCGTTGGCTCGCTTTAGGTGAATCAGGAGTATGTCAAGCGAATGAAAGCTATCCGCCATGATTCATCCTAGGCTAGGTATGTAGGTGTATGTGGTTGGTGTTGTTCCCAACTTCTCCCTGTGGAAGAAGAAGTATGGAGTGAACGAGACGGAAGTCACGCCAAACAAACAATGTACTGTACAATCTAGACGTGCTGTACTCGTTCCGCAGTCGGGACGGCAAGATGGTCAAAAAATGTTCTTACATCCGAATTTTCTTGACTCTTAGCTCCTTTCTGTTGTAGTTAGGTGCCTTAGACATGACCGTGAGCCGTGAACCGTGACGGAGTGGCCGTGAACCGTGACCGTGACCGTGAACCCGTCTCTGAAACGCTACTCGGACACTACCGAGGCTTTGCGGGGACAGGGGCTGGGCTGGGCTGGGCTGGGCTGGCGGTGGGCTGACGGCTCGCTACATATTGGGTATGGGAACAACAACATCTTGTATTCACTTACCCTGCGACCTGGTTACCTAAACTAGGTAGTTAGCTCGATGTCGGCTCGGACAGTCAGTCAGTCAGTCCATCAGTCAGTCAGTCAGTCAGCCCGTTATCACAGTGCCAAGTGTCTTGACATGCTACTGCAGCAGCAGTCCGACTACGAATCTCGGTCTTGTAATTATACCTGCGACGACGAGTGTGTTACATGTTGGCGGGTGGGTTTCGCTCGGAGCAGGCAGTCCGTGCTGGCTGGTCATCCATTCATTCATTCATATCCATGTGCGTAGGAAGAACGTGCCACTGTGTCCTGCTTTTGTGTTTTGTCTGGAGTGACATTCCTTTTGGAGCTTGGGCGCGTGTATGATATATAGGTTGATGGATGACCTCCCGGATGGGGAACTTGGGTATTCAACTTACCTGACTGACTGACTGACTGACTGGACCTGTATCTGTCTGTCTGTCTGTCTATTTCGGCCTCGAACTACGACTTAACTGTACTTCTGTACTTCACTCCAGATTTCTCCTCGTTAGACTACGGCCATCGCGATCCATCCGACCAGTGTGTGGCGTAGTCCAGAACATTTATCCCCCCGCTTCACCCGCCGATCCAGCACTAAGTCCATTCCAGCCTCCCAAAAGGCTCGAAGTATTTAGTCGTGGTGTTGGTGGTGGTCACGCGCATACAAAGACGCATACAAAGACGCAGACGCAGAAGCAGACAAAAAGAGTCTGTTGCGCCCGCCTCGCATAATTATTCTAAAAGAGCCCCAAGGTCCCGTTCCGAGTTGTGTTGGTTGGTGACTTGGTTCTTGGGACAGTCTGCGCTGGCGCTCTGCGGACGATCGGGTGTTTGATTCACTTATCTATCATAAGAAGAGTGAAGAATCCGGGTTTTTGCGACTGCGACTCCTTGCTACGTACAACGATACTGTCACGACAGAGCTTCGCGTCTGGACTCGCGATACTGCTCGTGTATAATCTGCAAACTCGCACGGCATATACATACATACATCCACACAATATCTCTCACAAACCACCAAACCACCAAACAAACCACCAAACAACCAAACAACCAAACACAAAAATGCGCCCCTCCACCCCCAGTCTAACCCTCACCCTCGCCCTCGCCCTTACCCTCCTCATCACCACCCTCTCCGCCGCCCTCCCACTCTACATGGCGCCCGTCAACGCCCGCCCACGCGCCCTCGGCATCGTAGATCAAAGCACGATAGCGCGCGACGGGGTCTTTTTCGCTGATGCACAGGGGAACGACAACGACAAAGACAAAAACAACAACGCGCAAGTTGTCGGGAGGACGGGGGAGGTGGACTGGCGGGCGTGGAGGCCGAGGGAGGTTTTGGCGAGGTTGAATCTGCTTGGGTAGTTGGGGAGGAAGGGAGGAGGAGAGGGGACTGTGTGATTGGGATGGCTTATGCGGAGAAGTGGTGGTTGGTTTGGGTGGTCTTGGATGGGATTGATTCATGGGATGGGATATATGGATGGATGCATGCATGCGAAACCGATGCATGCAAAACGATACGATACGATACGAGATACCCAACTTACGAATGCGACGAGATTTACGTATTATCTTTGGTGTTTAGACTGTTGTGTACTCATGCGTCACATGTTCATGCGCGCGTGTCGTGCTCTGGTACTTGACTTCAGGCACAAAGGGCTAGTTGACGTCTTGGCGTGGGAATTGTTCATCTCGATTCGATTGAGTGGACTGGAATGAACTATATCGCGCGGAGTGAGAGATGTGCCACGCACTGCTAACACAGAGTCGAGATATCAAGCCTCGTTCCGCTCTCGCGCTTTCGCCGTGCAGTGTGTGATACAATGTCCATGTCATATATCCCCCGTCTTTACGCATTCCATCAGTACATACTCCATCCACCACCCCGCAGCCACCCTACACCCCCAAGAGTCCCGCTCTCACACTCCACAACCACAACACCCCTAAAACCCATCCCCCCAAATCCCCACCACAGCCATCGCAAACGCCGTCCCAGCCAACCCAGCCCGCACAGCCTCCACCTTCCGCCACCGCACCACATCCCTCCGCACAGTCTCGCCATTAACATCCTCCTCGCCCGTCCTCCCAGCCCCCACGCCATCCTCCTCTTCTCCAACCACCACCCTCTTCCTCACCCGCAACGCAAACGTAGGCGCAAAGTCCGCCGTCAGCGTCGCGAGACCGGTCCAGAGCAGATATGGATGCTTGGCATGACGCGGCGAGACGGCGTACGCGAGAGCGAGCGATGCCCAGGCGACGTTCGAGAGGATGCGGCGGTGGAGGGTGGCGTAGCGCGTGAGGTGTGTCAGGGCGGTAGAGCAGGTTTGTGCGGTGGGCAGGGCGAGGAGGGAGGGGAGGGTGGCGGTTGTGAGGGTGTAGGATGTGCCCTGGGGGTTATGGTTGAGTTAGTTTTGTTGTGTTTGCTTTGAGTGTGGATGTGAAGGGCTTGTATGAGCGTACGGTGAGTAGGCCGAGGGATATCGTGCCGACGAATTTGAAGATTGAGACTGCTTTGGGCATTTTGGATGAGGGTGTGATGGTGGAGATAGGACAATTGACGATCGGTGTTGCGATGAGGTTTCTGCCGGGTTTGTATAGATGGGTGTGGTGTGGTGTTGTGTTGTTGTCGTCTGAGGATGCTGAGACGTTGTGCTGGCGAGAGAGTTGGGCTGAGCTTGGAATTGGAATGCAGCGTCATCTCCAGACGTCTGATTGGCTCAGCCTGATTCGCGTCTATTTACTTACCCGCGCGCTTAAACGCTGATGGATGCCTTAACACCGTCAAAGCTCCATTCCTGCCCCGCTAAGACGACATACAACAAACATAATATAATAATACACTTGCTCGCCCAAGTCGATATAGAATGCTCCACGCAGTCGTCTTACTTCGAATGAAGCCGTAAAACGAACATCGCTGGTTTGTCAAAGCCGTCCTCTCCGCGCTCTCTCCGGCCGCAACTTTGCTGTGCCTGGATCTGATTACTTTTTCGACATGCGGGACCTCGGCGCTATTCGGCATGAGGACAAGCTCGCGCATCATACAAAGCTATCCTCATCTGCTCTTCTTCGCTACTTGACACAAAAGTCTAGAACGTCTACGAATCCGCATAAACGACTATCACACACTCTTAGCTCAAACTTCATTCGCAGTGCTCCTGGCGCGTAGAATCTACTCCTCGAGCCCTCATCTCCGTCCTTCGTCGTCCCAATGCCTCTCGCGAAACACGAATACGTCTCCGATACATGGCGTGATGGCATCTTCGGTACGCGTACTCTGCCAATAGAGTAGAAAGACGATTCAATCACTGACGCCTCATAGCCAACAAAGTCGTCTTCTGCACCGGTGGCGCCGGCACCATCTGCTCTGCACAGGTCCGCGCCATGGTGCATCTGGGCGCAAATGCCTGCATCATAGGCCGCAATCCAGAGAAAACCGAACGCATGGCCAAAGACATCGCAACAGCAAGACAAGGCGCGAAGGTGATAGGTCTAGGCAACGTCGACGTGCGAAAGCTAGACAGTCTGGAGCAAGCCGTGCAAACGTGCGTGCAAGAGCTGGGCGGCATCGACTTTACAATGTAAGCCCCCCGATACACAGCACAAGATTTGACAAGACGATGATGAATGAATGAAAGGAAAGCTAAATCAAACACCACAGCGCCGGCGCAGCAGGAAACTTCCTCGCAACAATCAACCAGGCCTCCGCCAACGCATTCAAATCCGTCATCGACATCGACCTACTCGGCTCCTACAACACCCTCAAAGCCACCCTCCCCCACCTCGTCAAATCCGCCGCCGCACACAGAATCGACGGCAACACACCACCCCGAAACGGCACAGGCGGCCGCATCATCTTCGTATCCGCCACCCTGCACTACGCCGGCACACCCTTCCAAGCGCCCGCCTCCGCCGCCAAAGCCGCCATCGACGCGCTCTCCGCCTCCCTCTGCATCGAACAGGGGCCCCGCGGCATAACGAGCAATGTCATCGCGCCAGGCCCGATCGCGAATACCGAAGGCATGGACCGCCTTGCGCGGCCCGAGGATGTCCAGGCGTTGACCAGGCTTGTGCCCGTGGGTAGGATGGGCTCCGTCAAGGATATCGCGGATGCGACGGTCTTTCTCTTCGGAGACACGGGCAACTATGTGAATGGCGCGGTTGTGGTCGTGGATGGGGGCGCGTGGCGAACGGCCGGGCCGAGCGGGAATGGCATCGCCTATCCTGACGCGATGCTGTCGGATGAGGTTATCCAGGGAGTCGCGGGGCGCAAGAAGGCGAAGCTATGAATGAGTAGATTAGTACTGTTGTTGAGCACAACTGCGTTGTTGAGTATACCGAACGAACGAACGAACGAAACCATTTCAGCGGCGTTTTCCTGGTTAGGTAGGCTGATTAGTTTTTGACGTTTCTCCTGATGGGATGTTGAGTATCATGAATGACATCTTTCTGCCCCCCAAAAACCACACATCCAGTCCAGTACACGCAATAACACAACACCTCTCGCGTGTATCCCCCAGATCACCATACCCAATGAATCTCACAAGGCCACAACGACGCCCAGTATACTTACTCTTCTCTACGAGAATTGCAAAGGTGGTGGTAGCTTACCAACACGAGGGGGGGGGGGGGGGAAATCTGGATTTGGAATTGGAATTGTAATTGGGATTAGCCAGGCCAACATTCATGACCAAGAAGACATTACATCTTCGCCACAGGGAGGAAAATGCAAAACAAAGTTTAAAAAAAGGGTTGCTGGGGGGGGGGCACCTCGTTGCCGAATATAATATCGCACTCTGATGCCATCATAGCTAGCGCTCGCTCTAGACTACGCAATAACATTCATTCATTCCGCCGAAGCGAAGGGCGACCCGTCCATCCATTCATTCATCCACCCATCCATCCATCCAGCGTATCTATCCACAAGCGCAATGTTCATCTCATACATACATATAATGCGCGCTGCAACTCTAGCCATCACCACCACCACCACCACCACCACCACCCCTAATAATGCACCGTGAACCTCTCTCCCTTGCCCTCCTCCCAATTTCATGCAAATATTTTCCTCCGTTTACGCGTGTGTGTATCTCGGTTCAACAGAACAGTACCGTAAACGCTTTTGATGCTTTTCGCCCCAAATAAAAATGGATGCTCAGGATAGCAATATGCTGTGCTGTGTGCGTCATGTCATGGCCGGTTTAACGTGTGTACTACAGGTCGTTATCTCCCGCCGCTCCTGGAAGCTCCCTCTCCTGCCACTCAGCACCAATCATTCATTCAATCAATCAATATTCACATCGCCGTTGTCAACGTGGACTTCTACCACTTCTTCGTTGTCGTCATCATCAGCGGCATTGGCAGCACCGTCAAACTCCATGCTCTCGACGACGTCTTCGTCGTGGCTCGGTGACGCACCAACCAGTGTAGGTGAGCGTTCATCAGCACTCATGTCAGGCGTGACTTGGCCACCCGCTCCGCTGTTCAACAGATTTACGTTATCGTCGTCAAAGTCTTCCAACATCCGCGACTGCAAGTCGTCTGCGCCATTATCACTTCTTGGACCGGTCAACAGCATGCTGTTGTCATCATCATCATCCTTTGCCGCGTCGTCACTCTTGTGTCCAAGTGAGTCGAAGCTCCAGCCGCTAGGCTGTGTATACTCGAGTCGTTCGTAAGCCGCGGATTGTCTAACACGGATGGAGTCCTCGAATCCTTCCTCTCCGTACGTCGGCAGCAGCTCATCATCGCTATGACTCGTCGTCGCTCCGGGGGCGGAATCGTGAGCTGCTCCGGCTACGACTAATGCGCTCGACAACCCATTGGCCCCACTGCGGGACGAGTCGCGAGCGCGCAGTCCGTTTCCCGAGCTCGTATCAGCAGCAGAGGTAGAGTTTTCGGACCCATTGTCGGTTGCATTAGATTCTTCGGCCGCTTGGATCGGGTTCCATGCTTCTTGAACGAGATTCTGAAGGTAGGGTGGCCCTAGTGGTTTGTCGGAGCGCCGACGGTAGAACAGAAGGTAGGCGGCGGTGCTGATGCAAGATTCAGGCTGGCGTGAACTGACAGAGGAATCTGACCAACATTAGTTAAAGATTACAAAGTATGCTGAAGTTTAGTCTTACCATTGTACTCGTACCACCTCTTATCGTAGAAGTTCTGTGCGTATGCCGTATAATGACCACCGCCGAGACCACCGTAGTGGTTGTCAACTGCAAAGAGATCATAAACGCAGTTCTTGTCTTCCGGAAGGCCGACCCATTTCGAAATGTCGAGACCTTCGATCGGAAAGTCCACTAGCACGTCAATCTTGTCACGGAACGCTCGATTAGAGCTGAAACGTTTGAGGTGAAGGACTAAAATGTCTGGAGTCGTCCAAATAGCCAAAGTCTTCTCCGCCCGTCGTAGTTCCTTGCATCTGTTACAGTACCAGGCGTTTTCTTCAGAGAGGATCTCCGATTTGGCTGTTTCCTGAAAGCACTCGTCAAGAGTCACGCCGTGCTTCTTTCGCTTTGATCTTGTTGCTCTTTTGTGTGTGAGATCAGGATCGTCAAAAGCGAGCTTCTCTTCCCAAGTGCTCCTGCCACGCATATCATCTGCATCGTTAGTAGCACCAAATAGAGCCTCGTATGCTTCGGAGTCCCAGTCTAGAATGAGAGCTTCGCCGAGGCGAATCAAACGAGGTGGACTTTCCGGGTCCGATGGTAGATCTGATATCTCTGATCCCTGGCGCAGAAGTGGCCTATGAGCCCAGCGACCTCCTTCCTTCTTGGTACCGTCTTTCTTGCTATAAGTTTTGGCGCCGCGTTTCCCGCGCCGCTTGCCTCTATTGCCATTACTGAACTTGTGTGGTTTCCCAACTCGCGTAAAAGAATCGACGGAAGGTAGATCGGAGTCACTATCGGCACTCCTGCTGTTGAATGAAAGTTGTGGAGGTGTGCTTTGCTGCGTCTCTGTTTCTTCGGATATAGAAGAAGCTGAGCTCGCACTTCCGGTCCCCTGAGACTGTATTGACGAGCGTCGACTATCTCGTGATGAGGGAATGCGTGTTGATACAGCAGGATAATCGTCGCCTCCTTGCAAAGACGAAAATCCGGTCTGTATCATTTCCTTTCCGTTGGCTTTTGCGAACCTAAGAGTGAAGAGGCGTTGAAGTTCGGGAGGTATGAATTCACCTGGCGTGAGGACTCTCGGGAGGTGTGAATCCTCATCCTGACTTCGCACTTGTTCGGCGGACGACTCTGTCATCGTGACATCAACGATACTTCCCTCGCCTTCCACCGAGTCTGCCTTAACAGTAGGATCTGTCGTTGACGAGGCATCTTCTTCCGTGGTGAGTACAGCGTCTGAGCTATTGTTTGATCCATAGCCCAAGTTTTCGTCACTCAATATTGGATTTGTGGTCATGGTTGCAACTTTTGCAAGAACTTTGCGGTGGATTTCGTCGTAGTTAGCAGCTTCTTCGCGCGTTATGACAACGAAGAATGGCCAAAGCTGAAATGATCTGTTGTTGTAGCCTTTTGCGCTTGACGCTCTGTGAAAGACTGGGACCAGCATACGATTAGCCAGCGGAGACTCGGATTTCGGTGTATCCTCTTCCTCCGATTTGTCGATGAGGGATCCATATGAGAACTTCTTTGCCTTCTTCTTCGGAGGTGGATAATTAGTCGGCTGTGAGTCTAGTTCATAGATTACAATCTCATCACGGTCTTGAATGCCGCAATCTGAGACAGCCTCGCGATCATCGAAAGTCTTATAGATTTTGTTGCTATAAGTCTCGACACACATGAGGCGTTTGGCGTTCACCCCCGGAAAGCGCTTTGCGATGTACTCCTTGAGCCCGCGAATGGACGCGTTCTTATCCATGTCAACTTCCACGTATATTGGCTTATCGTGTAAAGGTGCGAAGACAACTGTATGTTGCCATGTTTGCTCTATAGGGAGTTGGAGAGTGAGGAGAGAATATGGATCGAACGTGATGCTGACTTTGTCACAGTGTGGGCATACCATGGTATTCTTGTAGAACCCACTGAAGAGATCCATGGCTACGGAGTCGTTACGAGCATGGTGACCTTCTCGGAACTTCTCACCAAGCTCTCTGATGAGTCTCGCATCCGTATGCGTCTTGTCGTCTGAGTCGGGGTTTTCTATGTACGGTTTCTTCTTGATGCGATTCAGATCCTCGTGGAGACCATCGACCAGAAAGCTGAGAAACTCTTGAGAGTCTTGCTGCTGGTATCCAGAAAAGGTACCGGACAAGCGACCGAGAGTATGCTTGAAGTCTCGTGGAGTGAAGGTTGAGCCGCTGGTATCAGAATATATACCTTTCAATAGCTCCGCGTACCTCTTCGCGAGCTGGCCAGCGTGTCCAAGCGGGTTGTCTGGGTTGATTTCTTGTTTATATTGCCCTTCTAAATGCTTGTCAGTCAGGTTGCACTTAGATCCTGTACTTTCATTAACTTACGCAGAAAATATAGGCTCAGTTCCTCGATGCTACGAATGCATTGTAGTGCAGAATTCATGTAGCATGTGTTTCCAAGATTGGACAGACCAACTGTACCACGAGTCTTGCCGTCTCTCCGTGTGCGTCCACGCGTCATTGTTCCTGATGGAGCTGGACTGGCATTCCTACTCGCAGTCAAAGCCTTCGCAGCGTTTCTTCCATTACTGTTTTTGGCGGTCAAGGAAACGCCGTGTTTCGCTGCGGTCGATTTGACATTATCAGAGACAAACTCGCCACCAGCGGGACCACCAATCTGCTCCTCAAGTACGAGAACCTGACTGGCTCCCAGCCCGACTGTGCTCAAAGTTGAATGGCCGTTATACTTGGGATTGGCAGTCTCATCCTTGATGTCTAGCATTTCCCGCTGTGAGCCTTCAGTCATGTTCGTGAAAGACAACAGATCAATTATAAGGTCATGCGATTGTTGGGCGGGAGCTTGGGGAGCAGGGGAGCCACTTCTGGATGTGGCCGGGGTGAGCATGCCCGAACGTCCGTGGGACTCTTCGGCCGTCGGCAGATTCTCAATGATACGCCAGACTTTAACTTTAGTCTTGAGCTCGATGCCAGCAAGCTTCTTGGCCTGAGAAAGAACCTTTTGGAAATTGGCATCATGGCTAGCGAGGAGTCTGGGCGCCTTTGCATTACTATCTTTCAGCGCTGCAGTTGTAGTGCCATATTGATCATTGCGTAATTTGCGGATAATGAAGATTGGTGGTGAAAGCTCGTATTGCAGGTTCTGCTGGTGGGAGCCTTCGGGCGTAGTGTCATGGACATAACGACGTATTGGGGGCAAGTTGTCTTTAATACCGTACCAATCAACAAGCTTATCCCATGCTTCTTTGGGAAGAATTTCGTATTCCTGGGACATGGTGACATCGGGTTTAAGCGGTACATATCTTTCGCCCATCTCGTCTACGAGGTCTTCAAAATCTCCAGCTAAGGTGATACTGGAATTGTCGATTGGTCCAACATCGCCCTCACGTGCTTCTTTCGAATAGTTCTCATCTTTAGAGGGCGCAGACGCTCGAGACATAGGTCGTTCTAGCCATGCCCTCGCAACTGCAAAGCCGACAGCCTTCTCTTGCACAGGCTGCATTGCCAAGGCACGGATCTCTTCGACCTGTTCGTCAAAAGAAGGGAGGGGCTTTTGATCCGACATTTCGCTATCTCCAGAAGAGACTTTAGGCGGAGAATCTCCATTGAAGCTAGTGGCTGATGTGCTCGAGTGGGGAGCCGGTGATGATGTTGAGTCATAGGATGTGGCCGTTTGAGGATTCGATCCATCTAACATATCGACAGAAGTAGCGCGGGCTTGTTCGATATAGGGTTCGGTGCTCGTTGCAGGTGGGTCAGGGCTGCCAGCAGCGCTGACTGGTTCCGGCTGACGGTTATTTGCCTCATCTACATCCATTCCGTCTCTTGCTGAAGGGCCAGCACTTGGATCCATTGCAGAAAACGGTCTTTTGGCGGGGGAAGAGGCTCGAGGTAATGTCCTGCCTGACTCTTGAAGATCCTGAGAAGGCTCGTATCCTCTTAACGAAGCCTTCCTTGGGTTGTCTGACACTATAGGCACAATCTCCCGTATTGGGTACCGTGTTTTGTCTTTACTTGATTCTTCGGTATCCAGTGTCAGACCGGCGTAAGCCTCGCTGGGAGACAAACTCGCAGAGTGGCCGCTATCCGGAGAGGTCCTTGCGTTCTTGGAGGCCTCACGAACTTCGTCGTGCAGATGCGGTGGTAGATATCGGGGCGGAGAGGTAGAAGTGCGGCGGTTCGAATTCGCAGTGAGGGTCGGGGAGGATCGTGGAGAAGCTAGACCAGAGCCTTCCTGCAGCAACGGCGATGAGCTGTCTCCTTGTATGTTTCCGGTCTCTGCAGGCCTGACAAGCTTGCGTTTCTTCTGAGAGGAAGCCGTGGTGAATAGTAAACGCCTACCAGGAGCTGTGAAGCTCCACAGGCAGGCAGATGAATGGAAACACGCGTGGAGAGAGCCGCAGGAGGGTCTCGCTAGCCAGGCGTACAGACGGGGGCTGCGAGCATTCCAGATCGGCTCTGTGGGCACGCGTATAAAGATACTGTAAAGAGCCGTAGAGAACTCCGGGTGAGTGAGCGTAGAGAGGATCCCGGGGTCTCAATGCTCAGTTGAAATGGAGGAGAAGACAGTGAGATAGGTGTCGTTGTTCGGAACAAGGCTGCCTGACAGCTTTTGCGAGCGAGGGAGTGATGATGGTTTTCAAAGGTCCGTGCGCGCCGCAGCAAGGGAGGAAACTTTATTCTACTTACGATGACAGTTGGACCAAACGGCGTTGGGGATTTTGAAGCTCTCTGCCTTTTGCTGATGCACGGAAATATATATGACTGTAGTGACGGTGAATTTCCTCAGGGTTGTATGTAGGTGGCTGGAAGGAAATACTACAACAACGTCCACGCGTACAGCTTCATGGCAGCCACGAAATATAAAAAGCACTCTTAGCTTTGTGTTCTTCCCGCTTACCGCATGCGGCATCATCTCATCGTTACTCTTAGGGGCTAATACCTGGTGAGTACCTTGTCTGTATTGCGTCCGGGCAGACTCCATGGTCACAAAGAACAGCTTGTGCCCCATCTTCAGGCATGTCACACAGTCAATTGTTACCAATAATCAATGCGGGTGAAGTACAATTGTCTTAAGTGAATTTCTCAATAAACATCATATTTGCCACAGAGCCAGACAGGCGTACCATACTCCTGTACGTTGTTCCCATGGTACACTTCGGTGAATAGATGCGGCCTGCGCGTGAAATGTCGATTTCACTACTGCCAGGCTGGCATGATGCTTTCATCCTCACTACTTGGCTTGCCCACCACTGTTTAACCAGGCAAATGCCGACGCACCTCCAATCGGATTGGTGGTGCGAGCTTTGGTGCCGCTTGACGTATTCTCTTTCGTAGGCATCGTCGTACTGGTTGAACGAATCTCACTGGCAGCCGGCCGTTTGGACTGAATGTCGCTGCCCTCACCAGAGGAGGTCATGCTTGTCCGGCGCTTGCCATCATCGAAGAATCGAGATTGGCCCAACGACGGTGATCCAGATTGTATAGATGGCCCAGATGCTATCCTAGACGACGTCTTGACTGGTTTCAAAACTTTGATTCCGGTCTCGCGGCGTTGATAGCTTGCGCTTGCCGTGCCTTTGCTTGCACCTGCCCAGTCCATTGATGGTGTGGCCGTGGGCTTCTCCTCTCCACGCCTCCAATCTCTCCAGATAGCAGGGGAAGCACGCGAAACAGTAGTAGAGGGCAAACTTCCGTCACTGGTCTCTTTGAGTGATTCTGTCTTTGTGCTAAGCAAGCCTGGAATGGGGCGCTGCTCGAGGCTGTGGCGACTGCTCTCGGGGGTAGTCGCTAATCCCTCATCTGATGAGCCACCTGTAAGATCTCTGTCGGCCTCCATCGCCAGCAACTGTTTGCCAGGCGTTCGATCAGTCAGGTTTCTCAAGCTGTCGGCGGAAGGGCCTATTGTTGTGTTTTTGCTACTGGCACTTGCTGTGAATCCACTGCTCACGCCAAGAGTGTTGAAAGCTTGTTCATTTTCTGGTCGAACAAGCGGAATAGACAACTTTGACCTCTCATCGTCAAACATCGTCATAGTATTTGATGAAAAGAGAACATCGGCGTTGTGTGCCCGTAGCACATCGCTACCCAGAAAGATCTGTATAGCCTTTGAGTCTGTCTCCGGTTCGGGGGAGCTAACGAGAGTAAACGTGACAGTGAATGATGGGATCTGGGGCGCCGGACTGGCTAGTCTACTCGAGACTGGATACTGAATGGCTTCGGGCAGATATACAGCAAGTCTCACCTTGCTGACTCCTTCGTCATTGACTTCGACATGATCCTGAAATCCCAAGGAATGGATGAGGCGCGAGTCCAGAAATGAGGTGTAAGAACCCGTACACACTGCAGCATAGAGCAGCGAGTCGTGCTTGAAGTTCGTCGTCAGCCAACACCTGATGATGGCGGGGACAGGTCCAAGGATAAATAGCCCTGGGGCAAGACCGGGTGTTTCAAGCGGCGATACTGTGTTCTGGTTTCCATACGACGTATCGAGTCCAAGGCTGTTTGCACGACCTGAGGTAGCTGAGTGGACAGAATGGCCTGTGGAGCTCTGTCTTCCATCAGACTTGTGCGAGTACGTCCGCTCACTCATAGCGTGTCCCCCAAGCCCGCTTCCGGTTCTAGGTATCAGATCAATCGATGAGCGTGAAGCGTGCGCCCAGCCTTGATTGGCACTTTCATCAAATCGTACGCTGTTCGCGCGTGACGTAGCACCTATACGACGCGGCTCGTCATTCGCGTCAAGGTGTAGGCTCCCAAGCAGGTTGTTCTGGTCATCGTCGAAGGTCGAAAACGGTTCATTGGGTGGATGCTGAAGAGGCACTACGGAATGTTAGCGACATTTCCACAAACTCTCGACTGTACTCATACCCTGCTGCGGAGTACCTCCGAGGACACTTGGAAACGGTGATGAGGTGCCCCATACAGATTTCAACCGCGCGTCATCATCATGGCGTCGTTCTAGTCTTGAGAGGCGGTCACCATGCTCCGACTGCACTTGCTGAAATCGAAGCATCTCGTTCTGAAAACGCCATGTGTCGTTGTGTGGATTTAATGCGTGGCTCTGCGAATCCATCACCAGGTCAAATCTTCAAGAACGTTCTGAGTATGTCTACCCCGTTCCCAAGCTGAACGACTTGTACGGCTCCTGCACACCTCCTTCGCCAGGGCCCAATGGGACGGCCGAGCCGTCCGCCAGATCTTAGAATGCGAGCCAATCTGTATATCTTTTCGCTGCCAGTGCTTTTGCCACGCTGATGTAGATGTTACTTTGGTATCGCGGACGCGGCCCAGCGCTCCCAAGGTCGTTCGAGCAAGTGTAGGTCAGAAGCGCCGAGTAAGATAGAAAAGATGTGAGGTTATGCGTCTAGAGTGTCAACAAGACCAAAAGTTGGTATGTAGTGTTGGTAGAGTCTGTAGACTTGTTGTACGCGAGTGAGGTTGGTGCTAAAGGTTTCGGGGTGAATTATCGCTCGGAGGTCTCGCAGAAGGACTTAATGGAGGCCTGTATATTTGAACTTCTGGGAGCAACTAAGAACGATCAGACCGGCGAGATACAAAGGTTGATCAGAATGTGGGAAGTGGAGACGTAGACGTTGTAAGAAGGTATTGAGTGAATGATTCCCATCATTATGTTAGGTCCGTCCAATGGCTCATTTGGACTAGCGACATTTTACCTGACTAGTGTAGATCCACAAACCTTGCCGAGCATTAGTAGTACGCAATACACAGTGAACGCGATCACGTGAACAGTATTTGAACCAAAGACAGCATATAAGCGTAGCATCTCGGATTAACCATCATTGATACAGTTTCTTGTTGAAACACAAGATTATTTTCGCCTGTTGCTCATAATAACTATGGATATATACATCCACGCGATTTACCCCCGTGGTATACCGTAATACGCCATAACATGCACTTGCGAAATTCAGAATAGAAACATGCAAGTATGTAAGAATGGACGCCTTGTAAATGTGATGCGAGAATGACAATGAGATCTCAATCCTGCCCATGCGTGGCGAGGTACGTAGATCGTTGAAATGATCACGTCAATCAGGGTCTTTCGTCGACCTTTTCGAAATCCTTCATATATTTGACAAAAGTTTTCTTGTGAACCTAGAAGGTAGGGTGTTAGATTGTGAAGACCGTACCAGCGTTTGCGTGGAGCACTCACTAAGCCATAGTATCGTCCATCCTTCAGAACACAGATGTATCTCAGACCAAGCTTCACGAAACACTCATAAACGAGGTCCATTGGAGAATGTACATCGAGCGCAATGGGAGCCTGGTTAATCAGTTAGATTTTAGCTCTTTACACTGAAGCTCGTACTGACCGGATCAACATAATGAGTGAAGTCTGTAGGATCGACTTCCTCCTCAGACAATTCCTCCTCGTGATTGGGATTATTCCACCCAACCCTTGTGCTCATGAGGCATAGACTATTTTCTTCGTTTGGAAGTTTATCGAGTGCAAATTCGAGATCTGGGGCCGGGATCAGTCCGACAAGAATGCCGTCCCTGACAATTGTCAAGCCTCCGTCGAGCTCCCCGGCGCTTTGCAGGATTTCTAGTCGGTCACGCAATTCTGATGCTAGTATCAATGGGGATGTGCTGATGTCGATAACACGGTCCTTGCCAACTGTGGACGTGATATCACCCAACTCTGTCGTAAAGATCGGACGAACCTTGTTGTCGAGAAAGGGATACGAATTCATGTCCATTAGAAGGTCATATATAGACAACGGCTCCAGTGCATCTGCGGTCCACTTTGCTGTAAGGATTGCGATGCTGAATGGCAGAACGTGATCAAGACTACCTGTCAATTCAAATAAGATGACAGCCAGGGTTACAGTCAGCCGGGTGACACCAGTCATGGTAGCACCAGCCGCGATCATCGCGTAGACTCCGGGGACAACGCACTGTTCAGGTGCGGTGTCGAGGCTACACTGGCCGAATAGTCCGGTATGCGAGTAATTCAGCGCCAGGTATTGTACCATGTGGCCTGTAATCCGACCAAGGATTCCACCAACGACCATGGAGGGTACGTAGATGCCCGCAGGGACCTTTATTCCAAATGTGACGACAGTCAGGAAGGCCTTGATTACGAAAGCTATCGATAAATACCAAATGATAGTCGGTATCTGCTCTTTGGTTGGGCACAGACCAGTTCCTGTGTCGGTGAAAGTATCACATGGACTTGCCAGCTCAAAAAGCAGTTCAGCGACAGGTAGTTTTGTGTACCGATTCCAGAAGCTCAGTAGCCCCGTTATCAAGGCGACGATGAACACCTCCAGCAGCGGGTATTGTTTGATGAGAGGAATCCGGCGAAAGGTGCGGGCCCAAAAGCGGCAAGCCTTGATGAAGAGTGCTCCTAATAGCCCGCCTAGAGCACCAATAAAGACAAAAGCGACCATTTCAAAAGCATGCCAGTCGGTCAGATATCGCACCTCGAACAAAACAATCTTGCCAGTCCCGTACGGATTCAGGAATTTCAAAGACAAGGCGGCAGCCTACAAGAATTGAGTCATCGTCGAGAGGAATGCAATGAAAGACTTACGATGCAGCAGAAGAATGTACGAAACAGAGTCTTCGGAGGAAAGTAGTAGCTGACTTCTTCCAGACTGAAAAGCACGCCTCCAATTGGGGATCCAAAGGCGACGGCAACTCCTGCTGCCGCACTGGCGCTCAGAACTTCCCTTCTTTTCCCGTCGTTGTAGTTGTACTTTGGGAAGAAGCGGCAGAGGATATTACCAATACACGTGGCAATGTGTACGTACGGACCCTCTTTTCCAAGACTGAGCCCAGACGCCACAGCCAATATCAAGCCTACACTCTTCAGAACAAGTGTCCTGAGACCTAGGTAGCCGTGCAAGACGAACCCACTCAGTATCACTTTGACCTCAGCAACTCCGCTACCAGCGGCGGCGTAGTACACCATCGGAGGGTTTTCCGGAGAATCTAACTGATCTGTTGAACTTCCATCTTTCTGGCAATCTCCAGTCTGGCCGGGTATGAGAGCCCCCAGATTTTCATCCAGAGTAGACAATGAGACGGCCGAGGGAATAACAGTCTTCGTCTTTAAAGTGATGATACAAGACAAACATGAAAAGACAATACATCCAAGAATGAAGGCAAGATAGCCAACTTGGGACTCATCGAATTGATTTAAGTCAGCCGGGCCAGACCAATGCAGCCATGCATCGCATATTGAAGCGCCCTGGCAGCACTTCTTCTTGCTGTAGTACCAGGCAGTCGCACAGTGGCCGGATTTGTAGTCGAATAGTGTGCTCTCTGTAACGTTGACAAAATATGCAAAGATTGCAGTCAGAATACCGATCAGCAATACCAGAAGCCAGCCGAGGCCGCCATCAGTCCAGGCCAATATTCGACCACGGAAGTCTTTTCGGCTGCGTAGTGCTTTTACTCGGTAGGCGTCGGCGATGCTGTCATGGACCCAATCGGTGGACGTGAATTGATCGTACCAGACCCTGTGGTCTTTCCAAAAAGACCTCGGCTCGTGTATGCTGCTGTCTGTGAATATGAGCAAGCGTTAGCATGATGCCTGACAAGCTCCGACGATGGTAATGCTGTCTATTCTATACGTACCAAGACCAAAACGCCTGTCCGCGCCCCCGAGTGCGTTGACTAAACGCATACTAAACGATCCTCTGCGACTGTGTCTAGGATTCCTGAACTGATTTTGTCTGTCTCCAAACCCTCTAGGCGAGCCCGGTGTGGTGTCGGGGATACTGGCCGGCATACTGGCGTAGGACCGGGTATCAGTCCTACTCAGTAGACCTGTGCCTTCGTCTGCCATATCGTTGAAGCCTCGATCAGTCTGGCTGCGCAGTAAGGACCGTCTGGATAGCTGTGGAGATATAGGCGCGTATGAGGGTGAGGCCGGATCATTGTTACTACTGCTGCCGCTGGAGGAGGGTTCTTGAGACCCAGGTAAGTGAAGGGTGCTATGCGGAGGTCGTGGAGGCATGAGGCGCGTCGTCTGACGTTGAAGGGAAAGGCTGAGGCCTGTTTGATGTCAGCAACGATCAAGTGTATGCAGATAGCATGCGAAACAGCACGCTCATTAATTAGTGGGTCTATGTCACACGCTGAGAGCCACGTACCAAAACCCCATAGTCCACCCTAATTTGCTGGATGGTCTGGAGACGGTCCGATTTGACACTCAGGCCAACTGTAGGTATATTTGGTATTATGAAGAGGACAAGGGGGGCCAAGATTTGTACTGTCTATCACCTGGACCCGATGCGGCGGGGTGGTCGCTCGGAGGTGTTTGAGGCGCGGCCCTACCTTAGTTACGTTAGGAGGTGAGCATTAGGACCGTGACCCGGTCGCGTGTCCCTTGATGACGTTGTCGGCGTGGATTTGGTATAGTAGATCTATTCTTTGGTTGAAGATGGGCTATTCTCTTCATTGATAAAAGGCATTTGCCCTCTCAAAGATAAGCAGAACAACATCTGTTATCCTAAGCATCAGCATATCAACCCACTACAATGCAATACCGCTCATAATGCCTGTAGCTGCATGTCCGATCGATATGGGTGCAGCCACAATCGATCCATACTCTAGCCAATCCATCCAATGGATGCATGCATTCGGCAATAAAACGGCCTGTCCCGCAAGGGTCTCACGCGCTGTTCATGCTTAGCAATCCGGTAGTTCTATCCGATACGACATAGTTCATTACTATGATCTATCAGCCTTCCTGTTCAGCTGTACACTCCGAGCCATGGCTTCATCACCACAAGTTTGGACGGCAAGGATGGACGTTCTGGGAATTGAATTTGGCGAGAAAACAAGGGTGAATGCCGCACAAAGCAGTTTTGAGAGTTCAAATCGTGGTAACTGCAGTCATGAGTTTCGGCGTGCCCCAGGGATACACCCATAAGGTAGGCAGTAGATGAATCGATCCAATTCAATTCAAGATTCTCCTCAGCTTATAAGTCAATTAAAGTAGCTATCCTTTAGATTAACTGATCGATCTTATCAGATCCAAGTCTCTAACGTCATGGGTTTAGTCAATACATAAATAGAAGTCGAGAGTTAATGTATCTACAGGGTACAGAGATCAGTATAGCAATGGTACGAAGCCGAGCTGTATCGATGTGCTAAATAACCACAGGCATGCAGACCTAACTCTGGCGCTACAACTAGTAGTGCAACAATCGGGCACTCATGTCGTCGTCGACGGGAATAGAGACCCAATGTCAGACTATCATTTCAATCATTGTTGTCCATCACATCCACAATCTAACCCTTTGGCGACTCTTGAGTGACAAACTATATCACAGCGTACGTCCTCTGACAACCCACGTCACGATCAAGACTGCCAATCCCAATTCATGCCCTCCAAACTCCTCATATAGTCATCATACTCACTCCGCAACCTCACCTTCGCATCAACACAAAAGACCCTCTTACGATCATGTTTCGGGCCCAACACCTCCACATTCCAAGTATACTCCCCCTACGCCGCATTAGCCATTTCCGACCCGTTTCCGCAACACTACAGTACTTACTTCTGTGAACCTAAACACGTCTGTGATGATAATCCTTGTCAAGCCTTCCCTGGGCGGACATTCCATCCCTGTCTCCTTCCTGTCTACCCTTAGCATGTCCACGACATTCTCAGGCGTTACTTTCCCCATTCGATCGGCCAGAACATCACTGCAGAGATATGTCCAGTCGTAGTTCTGCTGCGCGACTCCATTGAACGTTGCTGTTGAGGACAAGGTCGACCATGTGCTGAGATTACGCTTTAATGTACCTGTGATGACCATTTGTGGCATCCAGCCGCTATGGACGTCAGTGTGGTCTGGAACTGGGGGAGAGCAGGGCGTACGATGAGGCGGAGAAGATGTGGGGATCCCAGGCGTCCACGGAGGAGATTTGGAACCAGTCTTGGGAGGTGTTCGAGGAGCAGTGGGTCCATGTGAATGGTGATCTATACTGCGACAGATCGATGGTGGTACTGGTGTGGTGGTTAAGGGGGTTGATGGAAGTGTGGAGCGGGTCACGAAGTCTGTGTTGCTATGTCCCGGACGTAGTACATTCTTCAGAGTGGAAAGAGACGGGTAGTTTAGTTCGAGCAGGATCAGGAGGAGGGCGAAACCTGCCGCTGTGGTGATCGTAGATTTATTGCGTTTGTTAAGCCTGCTTTCAACCATGCTGGTGCATTGGAGCGTGCGATGAGTCTATTCTTGATTGCTTCACCTTCGTCCGTCGACCGTGATTCATGAAACATACATATTTGAAGACAGTCTCTATGTTTACCACCACACGTGAACTTTCAAGTCCATGTCGTCCGAAAATGGTCCTTGTAGATGCATACAGCTGCTTTGCAGTTGATTTATTAGGAGAGTGAAGGCCTCAGGCATCAAGATACACACACGCTAGCTCGATGGAGGAGCAACCGAGTCCCACAATTATTTTGTCTCTAGACTTTCCATCGCTCTTTCAGCCAGTCTTCCAACAGTTCTACCACTTCACATCTTCATATTCATCCGCTACGACGCCTCCAACGAGACCCGCTCTACAACAACTCACGATAGAGCAAAGCTATATACTCAGGGTACCTCATTCTATATGCCGAATCCTTCATCCACGCTCCCGGCCGAGAACCACGTGAGACGCGCCCCTGAGCCTCGGACCAAGCCGGACACACTCTCACAGCCCCAGACTCTCCCCACATCGAACACGCGACCATGGCTCCACACGTTCCCCAGACCGGATCTCATCGAGCAGCTGACAGCCACTCTCTCGCCTGCTCGCCTATCCATCTGTTGATCCACACACCACCGCCCGCTAACCTACCGGAATGACGAACATTGCGCCCGGCCGTGTAGGCTGAAACCTGCTGGTTACGTTGATACCGGGGCCCGTCTTTGGTACAGTCCGTACCGGTGGTCTGCTTGCCTTGCGAGGATGGCGATGGCCATGGCTATGGGGGGCCTGTGGCAGTTGCGGGGAACGGGCGCTGGTCCCGCTGCCTTGCTGGTGGCATTATTCACTCATATACGCTGGCCCACGCACCCCGTTCGTTAGATGTGACGAAACGCCTACGTCTGCTTCACACTCCTAGGTCTTCCCTACGATATCTCCTGGCTCCCGAACATTCGTCGCCGTGCTCATAGGCACATACACACACACACTGAACAAACATCCGTATATCCAATCCACTACTTCGCCTCGGCATATCACCCACATGCACGACAGTACAGCTCCAATGAACGCCACAAGCATCCACGCAAATCGCCTCGCTCAGGCTGCTCAAGTCCACACCGGAGCATCATCATCATCCTCAGCAGCACCACGACCCGTCACACACGTAGCACGCTCCTCGATGGGCAAACGAATGTACACTTCCACTGTCCTCCCTTTCTTAGCCTCGGCTAGACACTAACAAGCCACGCACAGAGTACTCCCAGCCGTAGCCGCCATCGTCGTCGGTTCCGCGATTGTAGCACTAAACAGCGAATTCAAGAGCACACGACGCTCCGACCCGATGCAAGCGCAGAACAACTCGTTGATGGACTCGTACGGCGACAAGGACAGCCTGGAGGACTTGCAGAAGGCCATGGAGGCGTATGAGAAGAGGTAAAATGAAAGGCTGGGCTGAAAGGGAAGGCGCAATAGGATGTCATTCTGCTTGCTAGCTGGGATATCGCCTAAAATGGGGATTATATGAATGGATGGGCGTCGCATAGGCAGGTGGTGTTTGAGGGAGAACTCTGCTCATCCAAACATACACACACACGCGCGCCACCGGCGTCACCACTACTGCTGTTGCTATCGTGGACGGAGAAGGGATTGTTGACCAGGCTAAAAGCCACGGAATGCCAGAGAGGCAGAAAAGGCGTAAAATAGGTGCAACGTACAGGGCATTATCAGAGAGAAGCCGCTCTCCCCCTGACTCCACGAAACAAAGCGTGAGAGATCCAAAATTAAAACTTCTGCTCACCACACGCTCTTTTCAACTGTTCAACGTGCCCCTTTAATACATCCTCCCTGCTCCGCAATCCAAACCAGATGCCTCTCCGTATCAACACGGCAACATCATACATGATATCCTATCCATCAACCAGGAGAGAAAAGAACAAAGCGAAACTACGTGCAAGATACAACTAAAACCCAATGCACAAACTACACCTTTTACCTCCTACCCGTCCACCCAAAGTCCTTATACCTACCAATGCCACCAATTCCAGCGATTCGACAAAAGCCAACATTGCAATATCCTATCGTGGCTGGGAATATATCAACCATAGAGGTCGTAGACGGTGGGAATGATGTCGATGCACATGGAATCATGGTTGAAGGGGGGATTATAAGGACGATTATACGATGTAGTAGGAATATGAATGAATATAGATCTTGCAGTCCCGCAGCTTAGGAGGTACGTATATGTATGCGTGCAATAATGAAAAAGAACGGTCCTTCCGACGTGGTATTGCCTTGCTCTCTCCCCCTCTCTCCCATCTCCCCCTTCCACCCCTCAACCCCCTGCTTTCTTTCCTCTTTCCTCCTAATTCCATATCAATACATCTCCAACCCCTCAAACTCAACACACAACTCCCTACACTCCGCCCTGCGCATACTCCCACCTACCCCTCCCCTCCCCGCACCCGCACCCCCAGCACCCCCAGCAACAGGCCTACAAGCATACACACCCACCCGCACAGCCTTATCCTCCACGCCCCAGAAAAACCACGTCACCTCCCGCAACTTCCTCCACACGCCAGGCGGCGGGGGCGGCGGGGGCGGAGGCGGCGACAGCAGCGCACCACCCGGATACCCGGGCGGGGGAGCACGGGCGTCGAACGGCATCATCACGACTTGGGGCGCGCCAGGGCCGTGTGTGGGGGGGTATACCACCGGCGGGGGAAGTGTGGATGAGGGGGAGTAGATTGGAGGAGGGGGAGGGGGAGGTGGAGGGTGACAGGTTGGCTGCATGGAGTCGTCGAGGTACCAGAGCCAGAGGGCGTAGCCGATGCGTTCCATTTTGATGCGGAGGTCGGCGCGGCGGGCGAGGGCGTAGGCTTGGGGTAGGGCGGAGAGGCACCAGTCTGCGCCGTCGGAGGTGGCGACGACGGTGGAGGCGTGCGGGTGGCCGGAGGTGTATTCGAGGCCGAGTTTGACCCATTTGGGGGCGTTTGGGGAGGCGTAGGCGGGGGGTGGTGGTGGTGGTGGTGCGGAGGGGGATTGTTCGGTTTGGGGTTGTGGTATGGTGGTTGGTGTGTTCGAGGGGGTGTCTGAGGGGTGGCTTCGATGGCCTTGCGGACTGCCGGCGAATATGACCAGGCCGCCCTGATCCCATTCGAGTTCCCAGTCTGCTGAGACGGTGACTTCGGCGGCGATGAAGGGCTGGCGGAGAGAGGTGAAGAGGATGGGCGCGGTGGAGATGTTTTGCGCGGGGGGTTTGCGCCAGAGATCTGTGTTGGGAGGCGCGGAGAGGGAGAAGGAGCCCATCCAGGAGGGAATCTGTGGAGAGGGGATGTTGAGGGCGGTGAACGAGGAGCGGTCAGGAGGCATGCTGGGCGATATGTGCGCTCTGTTCAGCCAATTGGGGATGGTCTGTAGAGGCACTCAATTTCTGGTTCTTCTTCTGGGTTTCTTTGTTTGTCGTTTTTCAAGGTCTGGTGCTACGGCTTCCATTGAATTTCGAAGAGTCTTGCAGTATGAAGCGACGCCCTCGGTGTATTGATAACCTCGACCTCCTGGCGACAAACTGGAGAAGGCCTAGGGGCACTCAAGAGATCGATCGAGTCTTAACGGATTTCGTGGACAGAGTCTCGACTGTCCAAGGCATGTACAGCGAAAACAGCGAGATGCATGTACTATGTCAATATCACGCTCTCATTTGCCAAAGCGGAGTTCTTCCAAGTAACATAAGCTGACGCGCCTAGACGGGGGGCTAAAGGGTTACTCGTGCGAAGTCAAGCGATTGCTCGAGTGTGCAAGCGCGAGTGCACAAGCGAATTCTTTTTCTCGGATCTTTCGAGTGCAAGAAACTCGTTCTCGAGGTAGTACTGAGTAATTTGTACACTGGTTCGAGAGTTGCAAGACGCGTTTCAATGGGCGTTAGCAACGGCTTTGATTCGACGGAGGGACGCCCTATGCATGTCAGTACCCGCTTGTTTCTCATCACACATGCACGCTTCCGGCAAGGGTCTTGAGAAGCATGTCATCTGCGAGTGATTGTGAACTTCTTACTGGAGCTATTTGCGTAGCTGGTTGGTGTTGAGGTGGTAGATAGGGATTCAAGCGGACCTGTCGCAGATGGCACCGACCGACACAACGTATTAAGTATTAAATAACACCGGAACGTGGAAGCAGTAGACAGGTACCAAGTGGATGCTGTCGAAAGCACAATGGAAAACACGCAAACAGTCGAAGAGACACTACCAAGTGACGATTTATGTACGCCGCGTCGACCCTTGATACAGAGGAAACAAGACTGTCGTGTCAATCCGGGCCCTACAGTCTGGAGCCAATACAGAGCTCCACGATGGAACAGCTTCCCCATGAAGTGTCGTCCGGCTCCTGTGCGAACTGCTGGCATCGATAGCTGCATGCTGACTGCAGCCCTGCAGGACATGGAGCAGATGGCAGAATGGGCCCGGGCGCCCCGGACTGTGAACATGGTTGTGTCGATTGACCATCTGAAGCACAAGATTGGCGTACTGCGCCGTCCGACAACGATCCCATCAACAAAGCCGATTGATTTGGGCGAGGTAGGGTCAAGTTATGCTGCATTTGCACAAACGACCATTCACCTCTATTTCAGGGCTACCTCGACTCCTCCGCCTGTGACGGGCCGGAGCGTAATCGCTCCAAAGGTACGGGATGCCATGAACGGCAGGTTGAAGATTGCTGTGGTGTGCAGTTGGCGGCAAGATGCCAGTCATCTGAAGTCTGAATTCGACAGATGCTGATGAATGCACCAGACGCCCAGCAGCGCTACGTGGCTAGCCCTAGGGTTCCTTGAAAGCAAGTCACACTCATTCGTCTTGCAGATATGGCATTATTGACGGAGGACGGAGGGCGTAGGGGAGGAAGAAGATTGGAGACGACAGAGGGGGTTGATGGATGGATGTTCGGGTTGAGTTGCTGTGTCGTTTGGATTGTGTTCACTCCTGTCGCACGCTAGACAGAAACGGGCCTCGGGTACTTCCGTGACAGTATCTGCCTGTGTTGGTAGGTAATATACGCACTTTTCTCGAGTCCGCTGGCTGGGTACTATCAGTTGTTTTGGTCTCCAGCAATACATATTCACTTACTCTGACATACCCAGACTTCGTTGCTTGAGTGATCTCTAAGATTGTTTCAATTTCATGATGTTGTTACAAGACATCTCGCTTCGAGTGCCGTTGCAGTCCGTCTTCTCACTAAACTTTCTCCATATCCATGCCGTAATGCAGCCCAGATGCAAGTCTCCAGGGATTCCAGCTGCAGATGATGAGCTGTTCGCCCGTCCGCCCGCCCGCCCGCCAGCACGACACCAACGACACCAAAACACACCACAACACACCACAACACAACACAACACATCACATCACAGCACAACACCACCAGTCCAGGTCAAACATCTCTAAGCGAACAACACCGAATCACGAATGTAGACCACCATTCCTGTCCTGATGCCCTGTGATGCCCTGATCTCGCGATACACTGCTTGAGGGAAGCGGAGCCGTACTCTGCAGAGTCCCATGCCATGGATGCACGCACGTAGTGTGTGACGCGCCTGTGTCGGATTGTTCTGGCAAGGCCCCATCAGATGACAGCACGATAGCGCATCTCCTAATTAGCGGCGAGCAGCAGGAGTGCAAGACGGAACGATGCATGGGCTGGACTGGACTGGACGACTGGGCTGACAGCGCAAGAATGAGCTGTTCAACAGCAGCTTGAGATTCATTATTGCCATCAGATCATTGGGGAGGGTCGCTTATTCACAGTGTTGTTCTTGTCATACTGCCATAGCGGGCTGATGCACGATAAGGGAGTTGGTGGAGTATGTGTGGTAGGGCTGAACATGGTGTTTTTATTCTCAACACACGTCTTGATGTTACAGCCTTACTGAATATATCGAATGTCTCAGCCAAGTCTTTTCAAGCTGTGCACAAGTGACCACGTTTATGCGTGTGTCGTATGAAGGCATCTGGTATTGCCGTACGCTGCTACCTACAGGCAGGCTCCCACCTTCAGACCGCTTCATGCCTTTTTGTACACAAAGATGTCTCGTGCAAGGGCCGTCGAGCTGGCTACAAGGTCGAATCCAACTTCTTTCAGCACCCTGGGAAAGTCATCCGGTCGCAGCTTCAAGCTTTTAAAGCTTTCCTGGTACTGTGGGGCCTTCATCTGCGCAATGGCCTTTTCGTACGATACCCACGGCTGGGGCTCAATCACGAGGTGGCCACCGGCAGCCAGGGTTCTGGCGCACTTGTCAAAGAAGTTGCGCAGACCGTCATCTCCGTGCTTGAGATGCAGCCACTTGACAAGACTGAGCGCGAGTATGGTGTCAAACGGGCCGGCTGTCTCAGTATGATCAGACGAAGTCACCCAGTCTTCGGCGACGAAGAAGACGTTGTCATCCTTTGCATGTTTGGCTCGAACACCAGCGTCCAGGACGGCAGACAAAGGAAAATAGTCAGGAACCTTTGCGGTCTCAGCAGTTGCCGGAAGAACGCGAGAGCTGCGGTGAAGGTAGTAATATTCTGCCTTGTCGATCAAGGACGAGTCGATGTCGACGCCATGGACAGAAGCAGCATTGAAATCGATGGCTTGGCAAAAGTGAGCAATTCGATCCACGACCTGTGACTTTAGGGTTGTGAATCAAGATGTATGTACACCGTATACGTACCTAGCTGGGTGGAGACAACACCAGTATTGCAGCCAATGTCAAGGATGCGCTTGGAGGTGAAGATGTCCGGGATTAGGGAAGCAATCAGCACCAGTCTGGCATCCGGAACGTGCAACAAATTTGGAGCCGCTCCCTGATGGCGTGCGGGACCTTGGTAGGCTGAAACGAAGAATCGATAGTCAGTGGAGGGCACGAGCGTGTGTAGAGAGAGAGCATGTGAAGATTTGAAGGGATGGTGGCTGGCGCAGATAGTTACCACGATAGTTGCCGTTAGTGGTCCGCGAGGTCATGGCGGGCACTGGGATCTGGGACCTGACGGCGCTGGAAATACGGGGATGGCGATGGTAGTGGTGATTATAGTGGTGATGGTAGTGGTGGTGGTGGTGGAGTATATGGAAAAAGGAGATGGGGATGGCGTGGTGATGTGATGCAGAAAATCCCAATTGCAGGCTCAGCGCGTGACAACAGTGGATCCTAGCCAGCGTGTAAGCGACGGGTATGGCGTTGATCGCCAGCCAGGGTCCTGGTCACAGTGAATACCTACTTCTAGTTCACTATCATCTGTTATATCAATTATTGTACTAGCTGTGTACAGTGCAGTATTGTCTTGTCCTGCTGCCGATCTGGGAACAACGAGTCATCACTAGTGAGTGAATGGACAGACAAGATTGTTTCCTTGGAATTTGCTGCGAATTCATTGACGACCAGCCATAGAATAATACGGGCGTGTGGATATACTAGAGGTCTACTATAGCCATTTATGAATAGGGCGGTAAAGGGGACATGTAAGAGTGCTGCTCGGGACGGCGCGAGAGGGAAGTCCGGGAGCTGGTGCTGGCCATGGATAATCACTTGGAAGACCCGGGAAGGTTTTGGCATTCACTTGTTGTCTTCCCGTCTTGTCTCTATCGTCCGTCACCGGCTTGTTACGCTACCAATGTGTCTATCCTCTTCTCGTCTACTTTTGCATTATGCTTTGCACCGCTCCCCTTGTCATTTCCATTACTCGCTTCTCCGAGAATTCCTTCTCGCTTACTGCATTATTGTACATAGTAGGCGCTTTCACAGTCTATTCCATCCAACATATCCCGGTCTACTGGCTGAGAAAACAACCTTTTAGACTTTCCGGGTGGTGTGTGCGTGTGCGTGTGCGTGTACGTATGTGAATATCATCATACAGCCGCGCCCGCCGCTGTCCGAATGCTTCACTTTACCGTTCAGATGCGGAATCATTGCAAGGGCATGTCCATGTCTTGCTTTACGCACATGCTGATCAGTCGTTCTCGGTGTGACGTTCGGATGGACTATGTATGTATGCGGCCTATGCATGAATCTCAACTACCGAATCAACATGGCTTTCGCGACTAGCATGACGGATCCGGAAGCCAGCCAAGCCCCAACGTGTCTCAAAGTGGAAGACTAAAGGATAGAAACGTATCTTAGTTCTCATCAAGCTTTTTCTCTAGGAATTACCTGGTAGTAATTGTCTCTAGTCCTCCAGTGCCGAGATGCGTTGGCGTTGGCGTTGTGGGCGCTGCTCCAGCTCGTGCATTGCACTTCATCTCCCAGCCGCTTTTCGTGTCGTACTGGCGATCGGCCACTACGTCTGCAACCATCTCATAATGATGACGGGCTGAACGAACGCTACAAGACGCAATGCCGCTCGTGATGCGCATCGTAGCACCTTGGAACGAGCTTGATCGGACCGTCGGCCGGACGTTCTGTGCCTATGCCGTCCTGTGCTCGAGGAGAAGGATTCATCTGATCAGTTTACCCCACAGCGCACGTCCAGAGTTATCAAATGCTATGCCCGATTTACAGTGGTATGGATGTTGGAATCAGCATTATTATGATTATCGTTAGGCCACGGCACCCGGGAACCGGCCGTAACGTATCGTGCACGAGGCGACGGTTCACTGCGACGACGATCGGGCCGTACAGGCGGCGAGCGGTCGTGAATTAAAGGGCAGGATGCTTTCCATCTAAGCTCGCAGTAAGTTAGGGTAAGGGCCGCTATTGTCTTGATGCATAATCTATCAGAATGACTGGATATTAACATCTATGTGGCTTGAGACAAGGTCCATGGCGGCCGTTGTGGAGAGAGCCCGCAAACCAGGAATGCGGCGGGCACAGGGCACAGGCAGGGCACACGCGCACGCAACAGCTGCCGCCAAACGCAGACCAAGACCCATACTAACACCATCTTGAAAGAAAGACGGACCACGATCAGGGAAAAAGGAGAAAAATGGGCGGCAAAACCCGCCGAGGAGTTCTCCTGCGGCTACATTCACGGGGAGGTATTATGGATGTATGATTATGATTAAACGCGAATCTGCGGGCACCCTCCCAAAAGCGAGGCAACATACATATCTCCTGGAAAACCCATGGAACTGGAAGCAAGGCCGCTGATCGCCTTTAGCCGCGGTTCACCAGGAGTCGTGAATCATGTCAGTCAGTCTGTTGGTCTGTTTATCATTCTTAGACTGTCAATCATTCTTTCGGCGTGGAGCAAGCCGGAGCCAGAGAAAAGGTAAAAAGAAAAGCGATGGATGGGACAGTGAACTGCTGCACGGTACACGACACTATACTACATGGTACATACATTGCACATACACTACTATAATATACCACGCCATGTCTACACACCACGTCTACACACCACTACCATAATGCCAGCTGTTTATGATATAACATGCTCGCTCTAATGCTTCTAGTCCCTGCACCACCTACATAGTACACAGTCCTATCTCGCTCGCCGTCCATAGCCCGGACACTGGTTCTGTCCCCTGGATGACTCCACCTTTCTATCCACGGTTGCTTCCGCCCCGTCTGCCTGTAAGCTTTACGGAGGAGGCTGTTAGGGGAGAACGTTTTTAGGTAGGGTTTAGTGGCCTGTGAAATTCCTCTTGCATCTCCTATCTTGGCCATCCCTGACCCAATCCTGCATCTGGCTGCTGCTCTTAGTTAGAACGGCCTGAGATGCCTTTTCTACCCTGGATCCCGGATCGCTGTTGCTTTTGATTGCATCCACTGAAGCGCACCAATCTGCTCTCCCTCGCTCCACATCTGCCAGTGATACGAAGAGTACACCTGTTTGAGCAACAGAGAGTTCTGTCCTGACCTTTTTTTTTTGCCATGTCAATTCCTACCTAATACCCTCCCGTCTGCGCTCATGCCTGTGCCATCCCTCTCTACCAGGTTACCGGCCATGTGCGCACTGTCGACGTTACGTCGCTTGCTTCTGCTCCGCCCTGACTGCTGCCCTTGTGCCCGGCAAACGCTGTTACATGTACATGCTCACTAATCCACAGTACCTTCTAATTGCTCTCAAATTATCCTTTGCTCGGGATATACCGTGGGACTGTCCTCTTGCGCTCTGCATACCTCTCTGTCTCTGAAACAGTGGCTTTGTCACTCTGCTCCCCACGTCGTCCGGAGCCTGGATTTGTTTTTGTAGGCGATTTTACCTACAAGGTGGACAACATATGAGGGTAGGACCGAGTTCTTGATGCGATCTTCTACTCCGAAGCTCGGTGTAGGGTTTGGCAGGTTTCTGTGTGGGAAATGACCTAGAGTATGCGTGTGATCTGAGCGAGTGCATTATGTGTGCCATTAGGCCATGTAGGAGCAACAACTATAGACCAGCAACCCCCAACAAACCGCCGGGACCATCCTTCGTACCCCACTTGCTTTGTGTCTTTGTGCCTATATCGTCAACCCCGAAAGAATAGCTCTCGTCTACTCTGGTACCAGTCACCGCTATCTAATTACCTTCTGCTATCAAGGACGCTCGCTCTCTGAATGCCTGATATCTTCGTCTTCTTCTTCCGCTGCTGCTGCTACTGCTGCTACTGCTACTGCTGTTTCTTTCTTCTCACTGCTCCTGTATAGCAGCAGTTCGTCGTATCCGCCATTACGAGTCCACAACTCGACGCATTGTCGTCAAGGGAGGATCATTCTGCACTTGAGTTGCTCGGAATCTTCATCTGAACCCTGGATTACCTTGTCCGAGACGTGAGTATTCAACCTATCAGGCTCTTTGGCCCGTTCTTTTCCGGTCATCTTAGAAGTGCCGATCTGGAATACTTTGTTTGGTCGCCGTTTCGCTAGAGCACCCTCCGTCACCCATAAACACCGGGACCGCCACCATCCCGCTACGAGGTTTGCATCCACTCCCGCTTCACCGGCGCCATAGTGATATTCTTGTATCATCTTGCGTCCCATACCACAACGAAAGACGTTCCGCAAGCTGACACTTCCACTGCTGGGCCAGGAGACTGAGCACCTAATGCGGTCTGTTGCGTCCTTATCTAATTAATACTGCGGACGAATAAAACATACGCATGTCCCGTCCTCCTCCTTCGGCTCTGCAACCTCCGACTGCTGCCAATCCTCCCTCGACCACTTGGGCCATGACGGAAACTCAGAATCCTCCGCATTTCCAGCCAGTCTTCCACGATGATCCGTACCGCCGCACGCTGCCTCCATTATCTTCATTGACACAGGAGCCGCCTCATCCAAGGCCCGATTTGCATCTGCAAATCACCCAAGCGCAACTACCTAGCATACATCCTAGCCCGTATGCGCCGCGTGAGAGTCCTCTGCACTCACTTCGGCCCTACACTGCTCAATCCTATCCAAACGAGAGACCAGCACCTCCTAGTCACTACCAGCCGCCAGCCTTTTCATCTTCGCACTACGGAGCTGCCGTATCTCCACGCAGTGAGTATGTTCCCGTGTCGCGACAACGGACCACGAGCGACTCGCGATATCGATCGGACGACCCCCGGCATCTGCATGTAGATTCTCATTTTGTTTCGCCCGTAGAAAGGAAGGCTCCTGGTTTCCCTTCTGCCCTGCCATCACCAAGCTATTCGTCGCAGTACAATTCGGCCAACAATACGATTCGAAATTCGTTTAGTTCGCATGCAAGCTCAGCACCCTCGACTACGGGACCGCCCGCTGTTCATTCGGAGCCTCGCCCTCCTACGGCTCGACCTGCACCGCGAACAGCTACTGGACCAGCAACACGGCCAGCTCACTCTACTCCGGATCCAAGGTAAATATATATCTCGATGAGGAACAGAGTGGTTGATGCTGATCACGATGCGCGCAGTAGTTCATACGATTACAAGCTGGTGGTTCGACAGCAACCACTTGCGGCTCGCGCTTGTGGGTTTGGGGAACGTGACCGCAGGGTTATCGATCCTCCACCGATCATACAGCTTCAAGTGACTGACAAGAACACTGGAATTCCTGTGGACGACGAGCTCCGCTACGGTTTGCATGTTTTACATTGCGCACTCTGGGATCCTCAAGGCGAACGAGAGCAAACATCACTACTACAGGATCAGAAGCGGCCAACTAGAAGACTGATGGGTCAGCTCGTCGCCTCACCGTCCGTCGCGAAAGACGAGCACGACGTAGAGGGCTGTTTCTTCTGCTTTCCAGATCTTTCGTGCCGGACGCATGGACAGTACACGCTGCGATTCGTCCTCATGAGGATCGATCCTGCAAATCTTGAAGTTGGCACTTTCTTTCCGGTCTTGACTGAGGTGCTCAGTGACGTGTTCACAGTCTACACAGCCAAGGACTTCCCCGGAATGCGCTCCAGTAGCGCCTTGACGAGAGCCTTGAAACTTCAGGGGTGTAACATCCAGGTCAAGAAAGGCAACGACAAAGCGATAGCACGAAAACGAGCGCCGAATAGTAGTGACGACGATGATGGAGAGGAAGGCAAGCGACGACGCAAGGGTTGGTGAAATAGAACGGCGAGACCAAGCCTGCATACTCCATCTCACAAGAAGGTCATTTCAGGAGACATCAACCAACAATCCTGTGCCATATCTCGGCTTTCTATCTGCTCTAGGGCTTTGACCGGAGCTGTTATCCCAAGCCTACTATCCCTCGCAGCGATGCGGCCGGGGCGTGGCCGATATCGCCAGGCTACAAGAGATCGCAGGATCAATACGAGTACCCAAATAGCGACTAATTTTTTTTTTCGTCAATTCATGCGACCATGAGCGATGCCCTCTATTGTCTACACTTTCAGCTATCCGCATATGCATTTTCCTGGTGTTTGTCTTCAACAGCCGCGATTCGGCGTTATTTGCGGTTGTTACCTCAGGGACGGAAACTGGCCGTCGGGGTTTATGTGAGGGGGTATGATCTAGAGGTACGACATTAGTAATGACCCGTTGCGATCTATCGACGAGGGCATGTTCTCAAAGTCTTCACCGACATTTGAAGTAGAATGAGTGAGAATGCGAGAAGCGAGGGCCCGGACTGAGACTTCTGGAGGTTTCCGTTTCCAAACATTCATGCATTTCTCCTTACCGTGGCAGCCTGCGGAGCCATACAAACAAAGCTGGATGCATGATGAGAAACGATACACGTGCAGTATCGGACCCACGAGTCGTTCTCGACGCAGTCCCATGCATGAAACGCCGCAGAATCGTTGGACACGCGAGAGCACGAGCAATATAGAGACAGCATGACGGCGCCGACATGCCAGCAGTGACGGCTACTCGCACACGGTACCGGTCTCAAGGGCGAAATAGCATCGATTATTTAACCCTAGAGTGTTTCCCAGTTTTCTACGAATGCCTGCCTGTCCACGGGTCGTTGCTTGTGTCTCCAACAAAGCACCATTGCAGAACCAGGTTCTGTCGCCGGTTTCGCGGCCACCACAACAGGCACGCCCTCTTACCGGACCCCCCCTAGTACGAAGCTGACATCGGCGAGGTAACGACTCGCCAGACGTTGCCGTATCACAGCGATCATCGCCCGGGGGGTTTGCCGTGACACGCTGTGTTACGCCGCTACCGCTTCCAGAACAAGCTGCATCTGCAAGGTTACCAGGACCATGGACAAGGCTAGCTGCTGAGGCATCTGTTGGATCAAAGCCTCACTCACGTGGGATGCGGCTGTGCGACGTATCGTTTGACTGCTGTCTTAAGGGCCGGCCGAGATGGACCAGACGGAGCGTACGAGTACGGTGGTGTTGAATAGTAGCATGACCGGGGACTGGGACGTGACACAGTGTTTTTGAAGGAGATGATCTTCCACATACATACATACATACATCTAGATTAGTGTCATGAGACGACATGAATCGATTGCTGTGTGGCTGTATACATGACTTACTATGAAATCCAGTGCAAAACCGCCCAGATATGATATACTGGCATCGTTGTTAATGTCAGGCGCAACACAGGCCGTGAAGCAGAAGAGTAACAATGTGTATACAGATATCAAACACACAAAATTGACATGTGATTGATTGGACAGGGCTGAAGCCTGAGCGCCACACCCGTAAACGCGAAACCTCGTTAGCGCGTCACGAGCCCCACATCGAAAGTGGCTTGTCAAAAATCCTTGAAGCTCCGGCTTTTTTGGACTTCTCTCTTTCCCTCTGGCTGACGCCAGAATCGGCATATATACTCGTTGATACGCCCCAAGATGAAGTACGTTTTGGTCTCTGGAGGTACGTGTTTCTTTGCTATGCATGTCCAAGTGCGGTGAAGAAAGCTGACTGTGGCTCGTAGGTGTGATCAGTGGGGTGGGAAAGGGCATCATAGGTACGCGTGCTATATTCGCGACACCATGCACATGCACCTCGCTTCCATACACCGCTTCCATACGCAGCACTCGACATGGAGAAGACTTCATTCTTGTCCAGGCTGAAGGCTAACCTGAACGCGTCACAGCCTCGTCGACAGGCCTGCTGCTGAAGACCATTGGGCTCAAGATATGTCTGCCGATCCACTCATGAACTGGGCGAAGCTGATGAAACATGCACGTCTCGTCAATCAAGGTGGACCCTTACCTCAATGTCGACGCCGGTACCATGAACCCTAAAGAGTGAGCAATTACATGAAAGGCTCGATTGAAGCTTATAAGCCCATACTCATACAAGCGCAGACATGGCGAAGTCTTCGTTCTGGACGACGGCGGCGAAGTCGACCTCGATCTCGGCAACTATGAGCGCTATCTCAATATCACCCTGACTCGCGAGAACAACATCACCACCGGCAAGATATACAAGCATGTCATTGAGCGGGAACGAAGGGGTGACTATCTCGGCAAGACCGTACAGGTGGTTCCGCACATCACAGATGCAATCCAAGACTGGATAGAAAGAGTTGCGCGGATCCCTGTTGATGATACGGGCGAGGAGCCGGATGTCTGTATCATCGAGCTTGGTGGAACTGTTGGCGATATCGAGAGCATGCCTTTTGTCGAGGCGATGACCCAGCTGCGGCGGAGAGCTGGCAAGAACAACTTCTTGCAGATCTTCGTCTCATACGTGCCTAGCATTCATGGGGAGCAGAAGACGAAACCTACGCAGCAAGCAATCAAGGCCGTGCGAAGTGCTGGTCTCATTCCGGACCTGGTAGGTTGCTTATATTTGACTTTGACGTCCTGACGCTGACCTCTAGGTAGATTGCGTGCCGTAGCGAAGTCGGTCTGGAACAAGCTGCCATCGAGAAGATTGCTCGCTTCTGCCAAGTTGAAAACGAGCAGATCGTCGTCGTTCGCGACATGCCCACAATCTACCAAGTCCCCGTTCTTCTCGAGAAGCAGGGTCTCCTGCCCCTGATCCGCGACATCCTCCGCACCGACGAGATCAAAGTCTCGCCAACACTCGAGCAGAAGGGTGCCGGTATCTGGAAACAGTGGCGTACCCTCGTTGCCGCCCCTGACCAGTTCCTAGACCAAGTCAACATTGCCTTGGTTGGCAAATACATTGAGCTCCACGACTCGTACCTCTCGGTCATCAAGTCTCTCGAGCATTCGGCCATGCGCTGCAAACGCAAGCTGAACCTGATCTGGGTCGACTCAGAACACCTCGAGGCACCAACGCGCGACCACGACCCGGCGGCGTTCCACAAAGCCTGGCACTCCGTGTGCACAGCCAACGGCATCCTCGTCCCCGGCGGCTTCGGGCTCCGCGGCACGGAAGGCATGATCGCAGCCGCGAAATGGGCGCGCGAGAACAAAACACCGTATCTCGGCATCTGCCTCGGCATGCAAATCGCCGTCATCGAATTCGCGCGCAACATGGGCGGCATCGCCGGCGCGACCAGCGAGGAATTCGACGCCGCCGCAACAAACAAGGTCATCATGTACATGCCCGAGATCGACAAGGCCAGCATGGGCGCCACCATGCGCCTCGGCCTCAAGCCCACCCTCTTCCAGCCCGGCAGCGAATGGAGCAAGCTGCGCGCCCTCTACGCCAACAAGCCCGCCGTGCTCGAGCGCCACAGGCACAGATACGAGGTCAACCCAGCGTTTATCGCGCCCCTCGAGGCCGCTGGCCTCAGCTTCATCGGCAAGGACGACAAAGGCGAGCGCATGGAGATTGTCGAGCTGTCCGACCACCCGTACTTTGTCGGCGTGCAGTTTCACCCCGAGTACCTGAGCCGTGTCCTGGAGCCGAGCAGGCCGTATCTCGGCTTTGTGGCTGCTAGTTCGGGCTGTCTGGAGGAGGTTACCAGGGGTGTTGCTGCCGTGGCGGCTGATAGCGAGGCACCTGCCGAGGGCGGTTAATGGCGAGGCAACTGCCGAGGGCAATTTCTGAGCATGGTGCTGGGCTGGATTGCTTGGCTGGGTTGGCTTGGGGTCGCTGGCTTGACATGTGTTGACTTGAGTTTGGTCTTTGCCGGAAAAAGAGGGGCAAAGGGGGAGGGGGGGGAAAGAGTGAAAAGGGGGGGAACAATGGGAAAAAGAGAGATAAAAGGCAGCAAGCGTAGAAGTGTGTACGTACGTGTAGACGTGCAGACATGTAAATATGTGTTGTCGGGCAGTTTGTCGATGGACTAAGAATATGGCATAGAGATATATATATATGGATAGATAGAGATGAGATGGGATGGAATGGAGAGGGACAGAATCCCTCCTTTTCTCCCTTTTCTCTCTTTGCTCCCTTGTTCCTTCTCTGTTCTGAACGACTGGCTGTATATATAGATACATAGGTACGTCGCATACATGAGCGTGGCAGATGTGTGCTACATACATATATATGCCATATGTATATATATATATATACATGCTATATACGATATGCTATATACCATACTCATACTCACAACACCCCTGAAGAGGTGCACTATAAACTGAGTCTCACAAACTTCTACTGATCAGACCAGGCCAGGCCGTAGACATGGCGAGGGTACGTGCAGGATGGAGGGCGGGTCATCACGTAATGACCGAATAACACAATTTCGTTCAGATATAATTCCAAAAAAAAGTATAGCCAAGACAAGTGGCTGAGCCAGACAAGGCATGTATTTCAACAAGGGGGGGGTATATACAAGCACACCTGCGCCCATCCCAAGAACGCCCGATTTTTGTTTTTCCATATATATACACATACACCAAAGGGAGACCGTGCATCCACGACTGACTTCCCCCCAGTCATGAATTACTCGGACACAGTAATGATCTTCATACTGTTTGTGCGCCAGACATGGCCATCTGGGCCGTCGTCCTCGCGTGTTGGTGTCAGACTGGACAGGTGGGACATTTTAGTGACAGGACTCCGCGGACTCGTCGGGCTGGCGGTCATGCTCCTCCTGATGATGCTGAGTCGCGGCGCTTCTTTGGAGAAGCGGGCTTGTTTGGCGCTCGCGTACGTGACAGGCTCCAGTGCTGGGTCGGGCGAATAGGACCTGTCGTGCAGCGATGCGGACGTGTTGAAAGATGAGAATGTGGAGGCTGAGAGAGACTGGCGGTGCCGTGGGGAGAGGTGGTCGGGCGAGGGAGGGCGGTTTGCGTGTACAGATAGTCTGTTTGGCGCGGAAGAGCCTTTAATCGTAGTGTCGTCTTCGTCGTCGTCGGGTGAGAGTGGGGGAGTGAGTTCTAGCGGGAAGAAGGGATCGAATGGCGACAGCGACGCTATGCTCAGTGTTTCGAGGCAAGGGGCGGTGGAGGGAGCACGGGGGATATCGCGAACGGTGTTGTCACTGTAGTGACTGGTTGCGCTTTCCGTGCTGTCGTCGCGGGAATGACAGGTCATGTGACCATTCGGAGAGGAAGTACGTCGCATGTCTTCAGAAGATGTCAGTCGAGCTCAATTTAAAAGTAGCTACGAAATATATGGAATCATGAGTTCATACTTGAGTAGATATAGCTGTCTATGATTTGAGACTCTACACGCCGCCTTGGCGTGCGATCGTCAGTTTGTTGAGTGTTCTCTGAGTCGTGTTGTTGGGGTTGGGGTTGTGGCGGTGTATGAGAAAATGATTCGTTCTGAAAGGAGAGAGGCCTCAAAGTGGACGAGGGTGTGGGCTTGGATGGAGATTGTTCCTTGACGGATCTCTTCTCTACGGCCGACTCCAGGTCGAATTGGAAGCTTTTCGGGGTCCGCGGAGTGGTTGGTCTTCGATATCCGTCGACCTTGGGAAAAAGAGATAAACCGGGTGCAGCGCTGCGTGGTGTAGAGGGCCGCGATGTCCGCGATTCCTCGACAGACGTCGCGGCCGTGGTAGCACTGGTTGACTGTTGTGTTGTCGAGTCATCAATGGTAGGAGCGATAGTGTTTGCAGGGACGGCATGGTTGATTCTGCCATTGAGCTCGGCATCTGAAGGCTGTAGCCTCTCGCGCCCGCGGCTACTCGAAGAATCCGACGTATGGTCAGATTTAGTGGACTTGATGGAGGCTCGAGAGCGCAATTCTGTCCTCGTGCTTGGCCTCGAGGTCGGGATTACAGGCCCGTTGCCAAAGATCTCTTCGCTAGTGGGGAGGTACCAGCTTTTCGGAACGGAGGCATCCTGCTGCGAACGGAACCACATGGTCGGAGTACCCGATCGTGAACCGTTGGCGGTGGATGGTCGCGGTGGATTGGGCGATTCATCTCGTTTGCGCGGAGCCGGCTGCAGTTTGAACGAGAGTTGTGACTTGCTCCCTGGCGAAGCAGCACGTCTGGCGTGTGGTGGACGTCGCGGAGGCGAGTCCATGACGTAGGAAAGCTGAGAAAGACCCGGTGATAGGGGGGTCTCTTCTTGAGTGATCTGTGGTTTTGACTGGGCGATGCCTCCAGTGTAGCCTGCCTCGAGTGCTCTTATCCCGAACAGATCACCCTCCGACCTCAAAGCCGGAGCGGGAGCGGGAGTGGACTCGTTGGCATCGTGTTGGAGACCGGACCTCGTTCTCCGGTTACTACACGACATCAGTGTCTGCCTGCTTGAGTGTCAGTCGGCAATGAAACCGTCGTCGGAGCCAGAGCATCCTTCCCCCGCCGGTACCAGCAGCGACGGCGAGTAAGGCAACGAAGATTACTCTGCCGGGCTGTGAGTAGGACGAAGTGGAAGTCTGCTGCCTGGCAGCAGCACTCACGCATATTTCCAAGCGCTGCCCCAAGAGTCGAGCGGTGACGGTTGAGGCATTCAGTCTGGGGAAAGGGTATATAGAAATCGAAAAGGGAAACGAAAAACGCCGTGGCCGGTAAGATGCAATGCAAGAAGAGTAAGGAAAGTCGACGGGCTCTAGGTCAAGGCAGCATTAAAGGATGGAGAAGATGCTTCACGCTCGAGACTGGACCAGAGGGAGAAGACAAAGAGTGAACGACGGAGTGAAAGTGAGAGGAAGGGTGGTAAGGAAGGATGTTAAGACCGAAGATAGAAGGGACGAACGACCACAAGTGCAAGACAGGGGGGGACATGAATGGATGGATGGAGAAGGAGGCATAATTGTATTAATACCACCAACAACCACCACGCAAGGTAGGCGCGACCGACTAGAAGAAGTATAATAGTAAATAGTGCAGGCGCCAGGCATTGAAGATCGCTGGAACGGGAAAGGACGAAGTAAAGCGGGTAGATGCCAGACTTGACACTACCCACCCAATACTGCAGGTGGGGCAGCGATTAATGCACAACCAGACCCAGCACTTGGTCATCTTGGTACTTGTATCCACCGCCGGTATCCATAAATACATACGCGACCCAGACTGTCTGACTGTGATGTACTGCGAGGGAGGGAGGGAGTATATGCCTATATCTCTTTGTCCCTTTTCACAAGCCAACAGACTGACTGACTGACAGCTAGTAGTGGTATTGACAGAGATATGAATGGAATAGGAACACGCTACTTGTATATATTAACAAGCGAGCCGCGTACCTGCCGATCATTTTGGGCGTCAACAAGCCCTGTTGCCCTTGCCGGATTGGGGAGGGGCGATTGGTCACAAACACTCGCCAGTTGTGTTCCAGGTTGCCGCCGGATAAGGCGTTTACAGTGCGTGCAGGCTGCGGTCTGCAGTCTGACATATACGCCACTCAGTCTGCAGTCTGCGCTGACGTAACAGCTGCAGTTCCCCCTCTTATCGGGAGCAGGGAGCGCTTGTTGGCTTGTTGCAGCCTCAGGCCCAAATCATCCTTATCCTGACTCTCGCTTCTCGTTCTCGTTCCTAACCTTAATTAACCCCTTAACCTTTCGGTAGCTTATTGCATTATCGATTCAGATGCTTATATGTGTATGTGTAGGTTGTCGTGGCGTTGCGACAGTGCAGTCGTCCATACCGTGTCTCTATCTATTTCTATAATCTATATATATATGTACATCTCCCATCGTGGACTCCGTGTGCCATGTTGACATCAAGGTTTGTGCCACGTCCATCCACATCCACATCTACACCCACCTCTCTGTCGTCTGTCAATCGTCTGTCTGGCTTGAAAGAAAAGACTGCTGCCGGCGCATCCTGCCGGTCCTGCCACCCCGCCTGTCTAACCATCCATGAACGAAGGGGCTGGGCCATGCTCCATCAGACGTTTGTTTGGGCGACGTCGTGCCGGCAACTTTATGCTGTACACACGCATGGATCCATTTACACATTACACATTACACATTACACATTACACATTACACATTACACATTACACATTACACATTACACATTACACATTACACATTACACGTGCGAGTCCGTGCAGTTGGGGGGGAGAGGCGGCAGAATCGAGATGCCCAGAGCCGCAAAAACCCACAGGGCCAGACCAGACCAGGACCGGCACTTTTTCAATAGCTTCAACACTTCGCTTCTTCTTCGCTTCCTCGCCTCCTTTTTTAGTCCACCGCCATCTCCATTTCATCGTGTTCCTTTTTGTTCTTCAATAGCTGCAATGCCTCATTCATTTCGTCTCTTGGTTTCGGTCTCTCGTTGTGCTGCATCACCCTTTGTCGCCAGCTGTGTGTGTACTCTCGGCCTCATTTATATCCACGTCATGCCACCGCCGAGTACTACTACTACTGCCGTGTTAATAGCCCCGGCGAATACGCCGATTTGCATGGAATATTCCATTCTTCCATTTCTCCCGTCCGCTAGCGAGCACATGGCTGTCTCCACTCTCCATCTCATATTTCCGAAATTACGTCGTTAGCCAGTCTTTGTGTATGACTTCCCCCTTGGAACTCAGGCTTCATCACGTGAATCTGCGTCTCGAAGACTAGAGGGATGTCCAATATGGCTGCCAACTCTGCAACACCGTCTATGGACTGAAGAACCGATGGATTGATTGTTGAACTGTAGTCCAGAAAGGCCATGACGCCCATCACTCCCCACTCTCCATGCAACGCCCAAACTCTCAAGCTACATACATACAACACACCACCCACTTGACCTTCACTTGTGTGCTACCAAGATGGAGAAATGCCCACACATCTGCTCATACCTCTCCCAATACTCCTCCGACGCCCGCCGCCGATCCTCCTCCTCCAGCACAAGCTGCCTCCACTCAAACCTCCCCGTCATCCCCGCCCGCCGCGCCGCAACCTCGTGAATCTCCTTGCGCAGATGATACCACTCAAACACAAACGGCCGCGTGCCATGGCCCCTCATCCGCCCCAGATACCCTTCCCCGTTGGCAAGTTTGTGCGGATGCTCCCACGTTGCGCCGAAATAGCCGGGGTGCTCGGCGTTGAACCGCGCCTTGCGTGCCACTAGGCCGTCCAGATCGTCCGCCGCCCGTGGCACAGTGCCGATGAACACCCCGCCGTCCTTCAGGTTGGTGACGATGGATCGCCACATCTTTGCCATCTCGACCGTGTCTTCGGCGTAGTTGAGCAGCCAGGTGCCGACGACGATGTCGAACTGTCCTTTGCCCTCGCCCTCGCCCGCGCCCTCTTCCCCAGCATGCCCAATCTCATTTCCCTCCCAGTCCAGCCTTCCTAACCCCTTTGCGTCGCCTACCACATACCTCAGTCTCCCACCATTATCACCGTCATCATCATCACCACCTCCTCCTCCACCTCCCTGCCCCCGCCCATCCGCCCGCGCAGCCTCAATCATCCCAACACTAATATCCACACCAAGCACATACCGCGCACCCCACTCCACCAGACTGCGCGAGATAAACCCCGTCCCGCACGCGAGGTCGAGCACCGCAGCAGACGGATTCGCGTCTAGATACGGCTGCACGGCGGCGCGCACGTTGGCGCGCTCGTAGAAGGAGAAGGGCAGGACTTTGATGTCGTTGTATTTGTCGCCGATGGTGTCGTACTGGGTTGAGGCGAAGGCCATTGTTGTGTTGGTGTTTGTGGTGGTGGTGGTGAGGATTTGGGGGGTTGGGTCGTGGGTTGTGGTAGTTTGTGATGGTATGGAGGGTTTTTTTTATAGGAGTTCTGGTGTGACGTAATGTTGTGCGGGTTTGCGGAGGTAGGATACTAGGTGGTGGTAGGGTAGGTAGCAAGCAAGCAGCCGACGCGACAATCCAGGTTCAAGCCAGCCTAAGATCAATCGAAATCGCTCTTCACAAAATTCCACACGTCCAACATCCACGACCACAACGGGGAGAGAGAGAGAGGGAGAGAGAGGGAAAGCAAGGCAAAGCAAGGCGGGGGGCGAAGGGGGGGGAGATGGATGTAGCCAAGGTGCTATATATATATCTATATACACAAACCGACCGACCGACCGCCCGACCGCCGCGACCGACCGACGTGACCACGAACTCCTGGGGAAACACGAAAGAAAGAGACAAAACCACACAAACACACAATACTAAACCCGGTTCTTTTGTCATATGCATCAAACGAGAAACGAGAAACGAGGGAAAACCGAGGACAAACAGTCTTATTTTCCCGCATCATCCCCCGGCTAGTGTCTGGGGTTTTCTGGTGCCTCGGCCGAGATGGCAGAGCTAGATTGTCTCCTTTTGCTCGGCCGAGAGGGGCTTACTTAAGCGTGAGCCTACTGTATTCAAGGTTAGTACCACCCCCAGTGGACAGGATGGTAACCTGGAAGTATTAAGGTTGACCCTGGTTTTTGGGTTTGTTTATTTTGTCCATATGCCGCTTTTGTCGGGCTTTCTTCTTGACTTATCCTTGATTACTACCACTACTCTGTGGCGGAAGTGCTCCCTTTCTTGCGCGCGATTATGCTATTATCATTGTCTATGATTCATTTCTGACAGCGCAGTGCTGATTGATCTAACCTGGTCAGTTGGGTAGGGATTGAGGTATTACTAATGTGAATTTACTACTGTCTGACTGCCCAGGTCAATTCCCAGGGTTCCGTCAAGGTAGTTCGGGACTAGCCGTCTAAAGGCTCTTCTCCCCGTCTATTATGCCTGCTGTTCCGCCCGGGGAGTGATCTATCATCTACAGTATCATCTTGTCAGTCATCTCATCTCATCTCAGACCCAGACAAATACAACATACTATGAAATACCACCATTCTCTCCGTTCCCGTATACATCCCCATCATCCCCATCATCCAACATCCAACATCCACAATTCCACATCAATCTTCTCTACAACCCCAACATCTCCATCCACCGCAGCGCCATGCCATATCCAGAACCACAACCAGCACATACATCCTAACCTTTCCGCGGAGAAAGCCCACGTTTCATCTGCATCCTGACACAAAACGCAAAACATGGGCCGCGCGCGAAGTATAACTTAGAATGCCCCCTTCCCCCCCGCACGCCCAGCCCATGCAATGCAATGCAATGCATGCACGCAACTGTTAACTCCGATATAGCCGCTCACATGAGATCCATGCATGCATGCATGCCATACTGCAGGTGGATTATGTACTTTACTACCAGTAGGTGAGGTGAGGTGACACTCAGGCTGGTGTGATGTGAGTTGTGATACGTCACTTTCCTGCCTATTGTCTCTTCTGTCTTTCTTTCCTATTGAAGGTTTGTGGGGCTTCACTGGATGTTTTGGGCTTGACTGATGTACTGGGTTGTTGGTTGGTGTTTGTGGATGTGTATATTATGCTATGCATGGTAATTAGGGAAGTGTTTGCAAACAGGGCAAGAAAGGCGTGCGAGGTCGTATGTATAGATATAGACTACTTGGTATGGTATGATACGGCGCGACTCGTCCTGCTTCCTGCGCCGCAAGGCTGCATGGCGTTTCTCATACTGACTCACACTCACACATGCTGACGCACTCTCTCATACACCCTCTCTTCATCTCATTATTCTTCATGCGAGCCAGATACGCATAAGCAGTTGCGAATATCCAGTGCCTCACAACGATAAGGCGACAAGAACATACCTTCGACACGCAACTGATCCGACACATCAGATATACGCCCACAGACATCTGACACTCCATGCAAAACAAGCCGTGACCTGGAGCCCTCCACTGCGCACTCAGGGCGCCTGAAGACGACAGGGCTGGAACGAGTGGTCAGACAGATCGCCGGTTGGGATCGTGCATGGTTTCAGATCCGGCGATCGACATGATTTTGCCCTGCAGAGTTCGTCCGGTCGACGAGCCCGATGGAATTCGACGGCTGGCATCCGAGGTGGCGTGGCGCATGGATATATTCACACGCTCAACACGCCACAGTCCACAATCGCTCTGCAATCCGGACGATTCATGCACACGCATGGTCTTGGAGAGAAGCAGCCAATCTCTCGGATGATAGGCACCCGTCCAAGACAATCAATCCCAGCGCGCCGCGAACCAGTCCAGCCCGTCGATCTTCCTGCACTCGGCCTCTGCGGCATCGATGAAGCCCCCAGGCCCGGAGATATAGACCCAGGTGCTGCGTTCGTGCGTCGTAGATGGCGTGAGCGACTTCCGAATCTCCTTGCGGATCGACCGTGGCTTCTCCGGAACGGCGCTCGGGTCGGGTGCGGATGCGGATGCGGATGCGTTGCACACGTCGTGAAGAGTGCGCGCGATATCCAGTCGAGGCCGTCCGGTGCCTGTCTGGTGTGCCTCGATGGAGAGTCCGGGGCATTTGAGATCTAAAAAAAAAAAAAACCAATTTGTCAATTCCGCTCGTTTGTGTTTTCGCGGCTCGGATGCGGGCTTACCTGAGAACATGGGCATGTCGACGTAGTCGGCCTCTCGCACACTCCATGCTATCTTGCATGTCCTCCATTTCGGCGCTATGGGGGCTTGGGCGCCCATCGCACATGTATCGCTCGACTCTTTGCTTCCGCTGGGAATTGCTTGTCCTCCGACGGCGCAGTTTGATTGCGACGGGCCGTCCCATTCGGCTTTGAAGGCTGCGGCGATTGCGAGTGCGCCGCTGAGACCGGTGCCCGCAACGAGACATAGCACTGCAGTGTATCTGCTCGGCGTAGCCATTGTGAAATACGGGCCTTCGAGGCGCAGGTTCAATGGAGTGGTGCTCGACACTGAAGATCGTCGGGTTGGGTCTCTGGACTGAGACGCTGGGTTCGAGCGCTCTACGTCTCCACCATTCGCTGCCTCGCCATCATTGGCGGTAAGCGATGCGAGCTTTGCTGTCCACTGCGGATAGCTGTGTCTTTTCGCTGACCCCGGTGTCAGCGTCTCCAGCGGTGCCGAGACGCTCTTGCGGAAGAGAAACTGTATGCTCAGCGAGGACTCGCCTTCGTGTACGATCCGCTCCTGCGAGGCGAGATGCGTGATTGTCGTGAAGGGATGCAGTTCGCGGATCGACGAGTCGGAGTGGTGGACGTAGAAATGTGCGAGCGGGGAGTGGCACGCACACCCTGTGAGCCGTTTCCGTGAGAGTGGGAGCGTGAGGCTACACGATACGCATCGTTAGAAACGACTCAGCATGTGAGCAAGTGACTAGTGGTACTTACCGATACCAACCTCGCCCAAGATGCTCCAGTCTGCTATCTATCTTCCCACTCAGATCGTACAGTCTCATCCCCCAGTCCAAGAGCCACATTGACAGCCCTGGTATCGTGCAGTAGAACATTGTGCTTGCGTGGAGGCAGATGACAATGACGGCCGGGATGCTGAGCAGATGGGTAAAGTAGAAGAGATTGAAATGCTTGCGGCGTATGGGTGGAAAGCTCGTGCAGAAAATCATGATCATTATGATCCCGGAGATGCAGCCTGTAAAGATCAAAGATGCCTTCCAGATCCCCAGTGATGAGGAGTTACCAGGCCACACTTCGTTGAACACGTAGGTTGGATTCAAGACCGGGAAGACTGGCTTGATCCGCAGTCGGTGCTGGTTGAAGATGCCGACCCAGACTGCGTACAGTATTCCGTGTGTCATGACCAGGCCAAACAGCGTGTACGCTTGGATCATGTGAAAGGTGAAGGTCGTCGTCGGTGAGAGCTTGAAGAACGATCCGAGCGCCGAGTTTCTTGATACAGGCAGGAGGACCATGCCCATGGTCACATCGGCAAGATGTCCAGTCAATGCAACGGCTGCCACAACATTGTTGCCCGGTAAACCCTCGCCGCGGTCTTGAAAGTAGTCCCGGAGTCTGATCCACCACACTCCGATGAGTATTCCATAGAGTCCAAGCACCCATAGCACGATGAGTATCCCACTGATGCGTACCTGTTTACCGAGAATTGGGACCTGGAATCCGAGTTGCGTGCGAAGGAATCCATGGACCGCCGGTCTGAAGGCGCGAAATGCCAAAACAGCGACCGAAAGAGAAACCCAGGCATACCAAACGACGACATGAAGCCGGGCTTGGAAGGGAAACAGTGTCTCTCCGCACGTTCCGGCGTAGCAGTGGTGATTTGATCTGTACGTGAGACCCAGACTGAGTGCGAATGTAGCGACGAGACACCCGACCAACGGCCAAAGGCACGTCCTGGGAGTGATCCTCTTGAGCCTCATCCTAGGCGACTTCTAGGATGTAGCAGTGCGAAGGCCATCTCTGAAAAAACAGGACGTCAGCTTCTCGCGAGTATATCAACAGCGCGGCATGCACCATGGTGTTTGGGTTGATGCCGCTAGTGTCCGCCCGTTGTGCATGCCGGGTGGTGGGCGATCCGGAAAGAGGTAACCTAATCGAGACGCTGAGTGCAGCTCTCGACCAATGGAGATGGCACTTGCTGGAATACGGTCCGAAAGAGTTGACGGTGTTGCTAGATGTCCGGATGGCTACAAGGCCGTGGCATGCAGGATCTGAGGATTGTGGCCTCTGCAACGGGTATCTGCTTCTCCGTTTCAAGGACCTGCAGGTCTGCCTGCTGGCGACTAGGAGAAACATGTATAAGTATATGTCATCCTTTGAGACACACGTCCTTCTCCCAAGCCTCATCAAAACAGCCAACTATCGACTATGGTTCGTTGTTAGATCGTCTCCATCATAATGGGCGGTGCATTGGCTACTAAAAAGAAAACATGCCCAATCCCGCAGCATACATTCGTCAGGACCAGGAAAGTATCAAATGCTCTGTGTGTTTTGCTCTTACAATAATTAAGACTATGTAGTCTCTCGATTGAGAGCTCCAGTCAACCAACTAACCAATAATAATCAAGACTATCTAGTCTCTTGTTGTCTGTTGATTGAACGGCGCAGTCCCTCTATGGCCTATTTTCATTGGCTAACCAGTCGACAGCCAATAATAAGCAAGACTATTTAGTCTCTGTTGTCTCTCTCGGGAACACCACCACTCGCTCCCTGGTACATATAAGTACATATCAAGTTCTCTCAGCTTACCATTACCTCGTTGGCGCACTGGAGCGTTCGTGATCTCACGATACAATGCATCCAAGGTATCCAACAGCGAGAGTGTGATGTCTGGGTACGAAATCTGGAAAACTCATACGGCATTTCTATGGCAGTCGCTTGGCTAGATAGCATTTCAGGAGGCCCATGTGGCACCAGCTCTACGCTGTACACGTAGGTTTAGAGTAACGAACTATTGCAGATGTAGAGGCAAGCATCGCACTGACGCCATACGAAGTATAATCTTCTCGCATCTGGCGATGTGTAGGCGAAGATGTGCAAATTGAATGCACACTCGGGTCATCCAAGAAAGTGTGTTCACAGCCTCACCATAAGAATGAACGAGGCTGACTAATTAGTGCAGTTGGGCTGAGCTAGCCTGAGGCAGACTAGCAGATCGCCCGTGATCAGTCATTCGCATTCCCCACGCGCTCAGGATTCCCATATTATTTATAATTCACGTGTACTTCGGTGCCTACTCCGTTAAGTCTCCGGGCTTCTCAGTGCAGTTCAACTCACTTGCATAGCACTTATACAGAGTTTCGAAGTGCTCACTCTCTCAAACACCCGCTCAACATGTCCCTCCACAGTTCAAAGATCCAAAAGATCGAGTCACTGGTACGTTTTCCAGCGCATGCACGTACTCACGCACTGACACAAACAACACAGACTGCCGGCGAAGCCAAATGGTTGAAACTTGAGAAGTCCACCTCACTTCACGAGTCCATCGGAATATGATTCTGATCTTCTCGTAGAATAACATACACCGATCCGGAGAACAAAGAACGAGTCTGGGAGTCCGCATCTCGTAGCACACGCGCAAAAGGTTCACTTATCGATGGCGTTGGTATTACAGCCATTTTCCAGCCGTCTTCTGAGGCGCTTCCCGATAGCGCTCACCCACTCGTCAAACAAGTCCAAGCATCCGGAAAACCGTGCATTCTACTCCAGAAGCAATTCCGGCCTCCGGTCGCCGCCGTATGCATCGAAGTCCCGGCTGGCTTGGTCGACGCGAACGAGTCTGCAGAAGAAGCAGCGGCGCGCGAACTCAAAGAGGAAACGGGTTACACTGGTGACATTGTCAGCGAAGGATTTGGTGTGAGTCCGGTCATGTGGAATGACCCTGGCTTCTGTACCACCAATCTGCAGATGGTGCATGTCACGATCGATCTAAGCAGGCCGGAGAACCAGAACCCAAAGCCGGAGCTGGAAGCGAATGAGTTCATCGAGTGCTTTGCAGTCCCACTCGCAGACCTATATGCCGAGTGTATAAAGCTGGCGAAGGAAGGATACGCGATAGATGCACGTGTGGGAACGATGGCTGAAGGTATCGAAATGGCAAAAAGATGGAACTTGAAGTGACTCGATAGGCCACTTTCAGTGAATCTAAAGGCTCATAGTGTGTGTCTCTCAAATCTGGGCAGCATGATGTGTATAGCCCAAAGCCATAGACGTCTAATATCACGAAAGCGTGGAAGAGATCAGACAGGAATTTGCGTTGTGGCTACGAGTATTACACTCAGTCAGCCATAGTAAGGCTTCATACGTGATGTAGTAGTATCTGAATTCTCTCCCTTATCTAGCTGATCTCCGACCAAAGCCACATTGCTAGACAAGGTGGATCGCCCAAGCTCATCCAGTCGTCTGGATTCTGCGCCGAGTGTGTCAGATCCCATCGACTATCGCAACTCCTCTTGAAAAGCTTTGTTGTCTCTATTGTGGTGGTCCTGTTGAGCAGCGTGTGTGATGATTCATTACTTCTATATCGTGTACTTATGTATCTTGTGCTTCTGTATCGTGTCCTTCTGTATCGTGTGCTTCTGTATCGTGTGCTTCTGTATCGTGTGCTTCTGTATCGTGTCCTTCTGTATCGTGTCCTTCTGTATCGTGTCCTTCTGTATCGTGTGCTCCGGTATCATGTAGCTCCATGATGTGTGCTTCTGTCTATCACAGCTCGGTTATGTACCGTCTACTGGTTCTTCTTCGGGCCCAAGTGACTCTAGAGGCGGGCCTTCAGGGACTGATGTCTCTCTGTGACAACGAAAAATCAGCTTGTGGAATACGTTCATGAGACAACATGACTTACTCGGTAGTTGATTCGGACAGCCTGCTGCCCAGATACGCTACGTGGTTATCTGTGTTGGGTGTTTGACCAAGCATATCTGCACTGACGACTAGGCCTGTACGATGAGGAGTGTGGATACAAAGGGGGAGTTGCTGGGAAACTGTCAAAGGTCGGGAATTGAATTCGAGAATCGATGCTCAGACTGTCGCCATCCGGCTGGACGACGCCCTTTATATAGTTCTCTCATCATTGACGACGCCCCTGGTAATGAATTGCTGTTAGCACAATCGTCCCATCTCGACAGACTCTGCTAAGGAGAGGCGCTGCATACTCGAGGTGCTACCGGATGGCAGTTGTACGACTGAGCCCCATGCCAGAGGAGGCGGTCGGACATTTTGGCTCAGCGACTCCAGGTTGCCTCGCGGGTCATGGACCGTGGCAAGGATGAGTATTGCACTGTCTCGTGCGCGGGTATGCAGGCGTCTCTGTAAAGAATAAAGTATCAATGTCGAGGACTTTTGACTGTTCGTGCGATGCATCTACTAAACGAGATTCACTGATTACCCTACCCCTGCTTGACATTTTTGGTGAAATCTGGTACTAGGCTACCGCCGATAAGTCTGCAAGTACGAAACAATCAATGATAGTTTTGACATAGAGCATGGGTCGTGCATACCCACACATTTGGCTCCCGATTACTCGATCGAGAGTACCTTCAGAATGCACGATGTGGATGAGGATATGGCTGATTTGCTCTCCAACCATCGTAGCTGATTTTTTTGGTGCCAATGGGTCCAGATCTTTCCTTCTGAGATTCGGTTGCCTTTTTGGGGGCTCTGGAGGGCCTCAGCGTGGCACTGCCATTTTCAAGGGCGTGGACTTCAACAATCCTGGCAGGCCAGTCTGCCCGCCAGGTTGACGTGCCACAAATATGTGTCCATTCATTCCTTGTTTTTGTCACAACCCCGTATACTTCCGAGGGTAACAGATTGTCGTCGTCATGAAAGTCATGGTCTAGACGGCCCGACACTGCCCCCTGGGAGAATTGCTACGTAGATAAGTGCTACCTAAGAAATCATAGTCGTCTGGACTGACCAAATCTGTTGAGTGTGCCCAAGACGTTGTGGTCAAAGGAGGCGCGATCCCAGGTATTGCTTTTGCAGAGCTGTGAGCATTTGGGACGGGAATCAGTAGAATCCCATTATGTGCCACTTGGATGTATCTTTTCCTCATAGGTGACCATCAGCAGACCCACATGTCGGGTCAGTGAACGCTTGAGGCGGCTTGACATTGATGTACAGACCTGGCATTAAACGATATGTTAACTGATGGACGTGCTGTGCCACCATCAGGGACGATGTATATGCACGAAGAATCCCTACATAGCAGTACTGATATAGTGCTAAACTGCAGAGAAGTCTCGTCAGCCAAGGAAGCTGCACATGCAGCTTGAGTGCACTGAATCCGGCGGAAGATTAGGCACCACATCGCCCTCCGTAGGCCGTGTCAGCTTTGCGGAGGCGGCATGTCGCCCCCGACACATGCTGAACGGGGCGTACCGTCTGATTATACATGGAGTATCATGGGATCCATGAATCTTGCAGCTGAAACTACGTACTAGAGATCGTGGAAATCCTACCGGCCGTAGGTATGATGATCTTGAATTGATGAGAAGAATCATATGTATCAACCTAGCAGATTATAGGCGTCTGTTGTCATACTATATCCAGTACCGCAACAACTCATCATCATAGAGCCTCTCACAAAAATTTATATACTGTGTACTGTGCCAGTAGGGTGGCCGTTAAGCTCGATGATAGTCACGATGTTGTGTGAGGTTGATAGAATCCAGGTGTCAATGACAAACAAGGTGTTGACAGGCCCTAGTAAGGGGTTCCTAGATGGGAAGGGAGCTCTTTGCTTCACGGTATGGGCAGGTAGTCTGTGCTTCTCTGGACTTAAAGCCACTGTTACTTATGTGCCAGCGATGTTGCCTGAGGGCTATCACGATTCATGAGCTCCACTGATCGACACTTGATAGACCTATCACACTTCGAGCACTACCGCTTATCACAAGACCTGAGGGCAAAGTGGGCTTGCGAGTCACGACGTATGGCAACCTGTCGCTAACACTTTTGATCCACAGACGTGCGGTATCTGCGAAATGAGTTTATGGGATGTGAGTAGGTACAAAAGCGAGGACGAAAATGGGGACATGGTCAAACCTGAGGATCAAGAGAACTGCCAAGGTATGAACAGGATTCATGCGGAGCCTCTCTTCGAGTGGTCAAGGAAGAAGTTTGCCTGAAAATACCGGGACTGCCCTGCCATACGTAAGGCTGCGCTTTCGTGAGGCCGCACACTGCACCTTCGTGCGTGAGTCGAATACTCCTCCGGCTTCACCTTTCTTGCCTTATGCAAGGCACCAGTCTTCGTTGTGCGGAGAGATAGGTCGCTGCAACTCGCCGTAGTGTGGATCAAGCTCCCGTCGAGATCCCAAACACGACCCATCCTGTGTGGCTATATTGTTGGTTCACATGTGCTTGTCCCACGTTCTAAGCATCCACATGCTGTGATGATGTGTCTCAGACATCTTGCCATTGACACAATCAATGATCGCAGACCTGTGAGACGTTGTGTGGCCGGCAAGGCTCCCGTGGCATGCTGTACGGCGAACTAGAACACGAAAACCCTACCGATCCTGCGACTTGACTATACGTAAGATCCTGTGTATTTGTGTTCCATCATAAGCTCCACACTCCATTGGCCTAACCAAGAGCCCGGTTTGGCGAAGTCCACGCTGAAATGCTCCCTGTACGGACCTCGTGTCCGTACCGAAATGATCTTTCCTCTCTGGTCTTCTAGAGCATAGAGTGCTGGAGACTGCTAGATTCTTCTAGCGGTATATAATGTTGCTTGCATGACAAGACAAGGAATGCTACCAAGGACGCCATGTCGTCAGCTGTCAACGCCTTTGCCAGACCTCCATCCTCGCTCATCAGAAAGATGGCTGACAAGGCTGTGCGATGTAACATGGTATACCCAGGACACGGTGCGGGAAGCTCGCCGCCGCCGCCTCGTGGAGCAGCAATGACCTAGCTGCAATGAGGGCGCAGCGTTAACATAGCCCGTAATCCCCGATTGCCCACAACGTCGACGGCGGGAAATCATTCGCCAACGTTCAAGATTCACCAGGGCCAAACATCCAGATTGGGTTGGGGGAAGATTCATATGCATATGCAGGAAGCGATGTACCGGGCGGCACGGGCCACACGGGGGGAACAAGATTCACAATTCTAAACGTCCGGATAATGCAAGGATTGCGAGGTGAGTCAAACTCACCCTGGTGGAGGAACCGGATGCTGCGATGGATAACCCGCGACTGCAAGGCTGATTTGTCCATATGACTCGACGGACCCTGCTCCGGTACCCATGAAGATTTCCAGGGCCTTACTTTGTGTGACCGGGTCAGGAGAAAAAGGATGTTTCGTCTCTATGGAGCTCCAATCGATGCCCTCGAGCATGCATTAGAGCCGAAACAGGAGAAAGGAATGATTGGTGTATGTTCCTAACTGGAATGTAAGGAACGACAGAGTTATCATGTAAGTGATAGATTGAACTCCCTGCCAGAACACATGGACGATGATATCAGAACGAAGCTATTGCAGTTTCCTGCCGGAACACGTGGACGATGATATCAGAACGAAGCAATTACATATCCAAAGAATACTACAACCGAGATGAATAAAGCACACAGCTAGTTCTGGCCCCCATGGAATGACATCGTGTACAACATGTGGTGATTGGTCCGTCAATGTTGAGGGTGTACAAGAATCCTGTACCCCTGTCCTGAGCTCGCACACAGTGCCCTATCATGAAGCACTTTTTTCGGTATCGAATGGGTGCTCAGGCATGTCAGATGAGCCCTCTTGAGAGTCATTGGCAGATATCTTGACTGTATCAGGGGCTAATATGTGACTGTATTCAGATCGTATATATCAGTGATGGCCTTAGGTGTTGCCCTTTATACTATGTGCTGAAGAAACTTACGGAAATGTTCCTTCGGTGACGGCATTGTTAGACTTGGAAAAGACGACCATATCGAAGGGCAAGAAATTCTTGGAAGTGTGCAGATAGGCCTTGAAGCTCCAGAGCTGTGTGTGCTCTCTCAGAATCAAAATTTGGGATCAGTTGGTGGGGAGTCTTGTGTCGATATCTCAAGTCAAAGCGATGATTCCACTTATAGATGCGGACGACACGGTTATTATTCCAGCAACAGTTCACAACATAACCTACATACGAGCCGCTTCGTCTCATAGCCACTGCTCTAAGCCTCCCTTGCGAATCCTCGGATGTAGCACTCCATGGTCCACATGCATTGTTGGTCGATTTGGGCTAAATAAAAGTAAATGCCATTGACTGTCAACTCACCCGTCACTGACTAGAAAATCTTGGTCCACGTTTCTCGAAATTCGCGTGTTTGCCTCCGCATTGGTGCCGTAACCTGCGCCAATTAAAGGGGCTTGCTGTACCCACAGAAGCATCAGATATGCAGAATTGAGGCTTAGGGCATGGATCTGCTACAAAATACTGCGGTAAAAGTTGTCGACCAGGGTACCTGCAGATCCCATCAAGACAACAAGCGGAAATTGCACATGGTGGCGCTACCGGGGTGGGCCATTATGATCGGCTGTCAGCGCGAACCCTGGGCCAGTGCGAAAGCCTGCGCTTACCCTATCGACAGATCGGGTGTACGGAGATCATGGTGAATATTGATGAGCAGCTCAGAAATTCTATATCCTAGGCTTGATGAGCTGCTCATCAATATCCACCATGATCTCAGTACACTTTGGGATAGCTCAAGGGGAAAAGTTGTCCTGGTTGGCATTCGAAGATAAGGGGGTGAAAGTCGCCTGGAAAACCCTCTTGTGGCGGCACACAACTCAACACTCTTTGACGCACGGTCAAATTTTGAATACTTCGCTGCTGGTGACCACCAAAGCACCTTTAGTCTCGTGGTTCCACTATGATAACATTTTAGTCTTCCTTGATGGCAACCAGGGCAAGCGATTGGAGGCTAGTAGGCTCACTAGTACATTGTGAACTGCCGTACCACCATGTTAGGTTGTAACTGCCCATATATGTTCAATATAGCAGCGGAGTTGCGTCCGGACAGCGCTCTAGAGCTTCTGGATGTATGCGCTTCTAGCTGTGTGCCAACAATTGACTCAAGCGTCTGAGGTCAACTCGACAGTAGAGATAGTAATACGCACTCCTAAGCAGCGGCTTCTAAGCAGTACGATCCTAGAAGTAAGCTATGGTGTAAGACTGTTTTCACCATGGCTCCATTTAGTCTCATGGTTTTATCAGTCCGGGTCCTGGCATCTGCCCCGATATCCTGTCCGTCCAATCGTCACAAACCGACAGAAGATACGAAAGAATGGTTCACTGTACAGAGAATTGAAGTCACTACGTGCTTCTTTCGGACTGCTGCATATGAATACACCGCTCATGGGGCGCCCCACAGCCGCAATCAGTCGCCACGTAGCTGACATTATCCTATGAAAGACGATTTGCAGTAACAAAGGAGTTGTACCTCAGTCGCTTCGAGGATCCATCTGGGAAGGCCCACAAACTGACGCAGATCTACTGCTGACTTCAAACACGTAGTGTGAGCCTTCGTATATTTGGAATATCAATCTGGTGCCAGCTATCCCAAGCTATCCCCATTCAAGCGGGGAAATGGGCTGGGAAGTGGGATTGTACAGCCACCTCAAGAGTGCGCACAGCGTTATCCATATCCACTTCATATAAAGGTCCACCCGAAAAAGAAATGATGTGCATTCTGAACGCGACACCCGTTAGCTACCGAAGCGTTTGACAAGCAGATTTGGACTAGGATGCTGTGCGCCTTCCTCCAGATCCGATTTGTCTGGCGGTGTACAGCAAACACATGTCCACAATGGATTCCAAGGACATTGCGACGCCGTGGTCTGGTTTTTGTATAGTATGTTGTTCATCCATGTGGCTCAGTTGTCAGAAGTCGGAAAAGGGGCGCTTGCGGTGCGACGCATCATAAGCTAAGAAAGATGACAGGGTACCCCCCCAAACCCCCCTTCCCCTCCAGCTCCCTCTAACCCCCCCTTCCCCTCAAGCTCAATCTGGGCCAAGATTCTAATAGAGGACACAAGCCTAATCTGTATTATTGGGGGATTGCTAATACGATATAATCTCAATCTAATACAAGTAACGGTAATCCCTTAGTATAAATTATAAGCTTAATCCGGTCTTTTGGGGTGACTAAATGTATAGTCCTAATCTAGGCTGTCGGCTCATATCCGATTGTATATGGTGAAGTCTGGTGATGGATGAATGTTAAGTTGAACCTGCTATTTCTTCCTACTGATAGCACGAGTCATGCTGGCAGTATCTAGAATGAAAACGCTTGGGAAACTGCCGTACTGTTGACCAAGGAACCAATCGTTGTCGTGGATGGACTGGTGGATCAACAGATAGGGCCGAGGACTGAAGAGGACTAAGGTCTGCCGGAGAGCCGCTCCTGGCATGTCTACCGCAGCTTTATTCAACCACTCGGTAAACGGCGCATTATGCACCATTCCAGGTATCATCACGATCGCATTGAGGGAGCGGAGCGGCTCGAGATTCTCAAACCTGAAACGAGTGCATGTCGAGCATTGATTGGCCATACGTCGGGCTGCCGTGTGGGTCCGCAAGGAATCTGCGAAGGATATTGTGCGCAAGGTGCCCGAGCATTCTGGTATCAATCCACATCCATTGCAGACAGTACCTTGACCATTATTGTGACGGCGGCGTCTCCATGGATCTCTCTATATCCTCACCCGTCTCCCATGATAAAGCCGGCCGCATGTCCAGGTGGGCAGGTCCACCAGGGTGCGTGCAGAAGTGGCGATGACTTCTAGGATCTCGTCACGCCAGGCACTTCAAATTCTGACGCGGAGTTGGCACATGGCTTGGAGGAATACCACCAAAGTCGAGGAGGCGGTAGCCTAGTGAGAAGCACTCCGATTTCCCAGTAAGTGATGCATCCATGACAAATGCAGCTGCTAGGCCATTGCTCGCTTGATATCCGACATAGACAGGCTGCGGTGATCAACCTGATGATTTTCGTTCCCAGTACGAGCAGCTGTCCTATGGATGGTCCGTCCATTGTACAGCTGACGAATGATAGCGGTCTTCGATACGCTCGATCAGTCTGAGATGTGTGTGCTACACACCAGTTCTGCTCGATCCCGTATGGCCTGGTTGGCAACGCGTGGGACTGAAGCTCTACAAGAAAGTGGTGATTGAAGAAATAAGAGTGGGTAATTCTCACTCTATTGCGATTCGAGTAAGTGCAAGCCCTCCTCCTATGCGTGAGGCATACCGCACACGCTGGTCGCGCTATACTGTACTTTATTTTGCGAGAGCTATGCCTTGACTAAAGGTGAAGAGCGCTGCAAATCTGACCCAACTAACCGATCGCGTTTGCAAGATGCCCTTCATTTTGCGCGGTATGCCATGAACGAAGGCTCGTGATGATTGTGTATGGGCTCTCGAACAGCACACGTCCGGTAGTCAGTCGTAAGGATCCAAAACATCAAAACGATTTACATATGTTGGTTGACCTGCAGACGAAGCTGAGCAGTCAGTAAGCGGCCTATTGGATCAATTCCACGTTAGCATCTCGCGCCAGGCATATCCTCTGTTGGTGAGCACGGTCGTGGGGGCCATAAATGCCATCGCCTGTCTCGACGGACGACGAGAACTAGCCATGCAGCTGTAAAGGGCAGCACCTGATTTCTAGAAGTATGTCGAGAAGGCTCACCGCGGTTTGAAATATAGTGTTGGTTGCCTTCGAAGGAGGCAAAAACGCAGGAAAAATTAGAACGTGCTCGGTAGTGCGAGTCTCAATAATGCAGCGCCCTGCTTGCTCACCTAGAACAAGGGTTCCCCAGTATTGTCTGCCGTTGAACTTGGCTGATAGAGGTAGCCAAGGCTGCCAGAGACCGGACAGGGTCCATCTTTCGTGATCCATGGCAAACCTGGCCGCGTTGGGAAACGATGGAGTGTTTGTCCGATGAAGATATGTCATTCGATGGGATCGCTGCTGGGAGATGTCGGCGGGCTAGTGCCGAAGTTGACTTTGACATATGTCGAATTGTCCTATAGGAGTCAAGCGGCGTATGCAGCTTGCTCACGAGTGTAATAGCAACGGCCTTGATTTGAAGCAACGACTAAGCCCCTAAAGATATTCATCACAGAGCAGATCATTACTTAATACACATGGCTGCCGTACCAATGAAGTGGCATGCTTCCATAACTGAACTTGCTGGAATGATTTCATGCATCAGATAGCGAAGGCACAAACAAACATTCAGCTAGAAGGGGGTCCTTAATCTTGGTAACATATAAAAACTGAAGATCGACCCAACGTGCAGCTAATGGCATCGACCATATAGCAAACAGCTGCGGGAATTATAAGCAAACCTTGCCCTGGAAACAGCAAACCGTTTCATGATCGGGATCAAGAAGCAGTTGACGGACGTAGAAAAGCGTTATACATCATACCGAGCTGAACAAGTAGTAGCAGTCATTTCCACCAAGGTATCCTAGCAGGAGGCTCCCTGCAATAGGGGCCATTGAAACGTGCTTGAGGCTCAACATTGTTTCATGACGTGCCTGCTAAGGCTCATTTTGTGCCTTGTTGCCTTGTTGCCTAAGCTAAAACCCGATATGTCCGTCGCATTGTCCAGGCTCTCGTTGTTGCCTGAAGCTTTGTGAGGGCAACAACCTGCTCCTCCACATTCCTGTGATATCGAAGAAGCCAGAGTGAAAGTACATTAGAGGCCTCCTCCAAAAGACCAACAACATGTATGTCATACGCTTCGCCTAGCGTCCATTTACTAACCATCTCTAGGGGTACTCTGACGGCTAATGTTCCTCGCCTGGACAGCCATTGCCCTCATAAGCTACCTACATCATGTCGATTGACTGCAATGCCGATATGCTGTGCATGTCAAGATGTTCGGGCACACTCGATGACGTACTCAGTGTATATGGACGGCATAGGATTCGTACAACGAGGCACACGATGGGACAAGTACTGTTGGTTTTGTGCAGGCAAGTGACTGACCATCAACGGCACTTATTCTGTCTGTCGAGAGCTCCTTCTGACCGTCGTAGAGTACTGGAAGAACAGAGTTGCTGCTGCCGGAATCGAGCCTCCTCAATCTCGCGTACCCGAAAGACCCGATCAAGCCGACTTTCTTGAGAAATGGTTCATATTTCATAAAGGATCTATCACAATACCGACGAGCTCGGGCTCGACACACACTATCGCTATAGACATACAAGATTGGGGCCTCGTGTCTCCCGGAATACTTCCTCAGATACCTCCATCGACTGTTAACGAACTCATCACGAAGTTTGGCACCGAGTCACTCTCATTACTTCAAGAGGTCGTACCAGTAAATCTACCAGAAGAAGGGCCTACAGACACTATGCCACCTCACGTCTCGCTTGACGATGCACTCGACGGCCTCATGAATGATGGGGACTCAGAAATGCCCTCACCTAGTCAAGCTCGAGCAAATGTTGGACACTTAGACATCACTCAACTCACTCAGCCTCGAGCCAGACGTGCCAACGTTAACAACTCAACACAGTTGGGTGCGCGAAATCGGCGCTATAGGGAACACTATGGCTACACGGCTCGGCCACCGATACAACAAGGCAATACGAGGTTGCAGAGGACGGTACAGGCAGATGGAATGACCTGGAATGGAGGAGTGGCGCAGCCTGCGACCGCAGCGGCACGAGACAACTTCGCATCATTAAACCAGTCTGAGAATGTGCCGCCATCGCGCCGGAACGGCTCACCAGACTTTTACGAGTTTGACACTGCTCAGAGTGCTGCACGAGAAACGAACAGGCAACGTCGACGAGGGCGCCAAGCGGCTGTATTTGGCTCGCGCGAAGACGTTCAAAGAGACGACTACACAAGCCCAATCACCCAGATGTTCGCTAATGCAGAGCGACATCAGCGACAGCTGGACCAAGACCGTATGCACGCTGAGCAGCTCACGCGACAAGAGGCATCTGTGTCGGCACCTGGGAGCGCAACGCAACCTTCCAGAAATAATCTCGGATCCCACCTCGCGGATCTTCTCTTGGTTGACTCAAACAATAGCGAGTACTTCGAGCGCGATAACAGGTGGAACTTCCCACCTCGGCATAGACGAATGCTCGATATCACAAACAACAACGTTTACCGAAATGCATATCCAGACTTTTACCGCCAGACACCAGGAATTGTTAGCCCACCGGCAGACCCCCCGACGTACGACTCGATCTTCGACCGTGCGCACACACGACCACTCGCACATGGACCCCCATATCTTACAGGTGACTTTCATAACCCGGCACCTGTGGCTTCGCAGCTGTCTCAAACGCTCGACAATCCCGCCCGTCCAGAGCCGCTGTCAGACGAGGAAATGAACGTCTCAATCGCATGCAATGTCTGCTATGTGCAGAAAGCATCGGTAGTGTTGATTCCCTGCGGGCACATGATAATGTGTCAATGGTGTGCGGACGTAGTGGTGCCGCTGAATGGATCTGGCGACAACACGTTTGTCAGGCGGAGAGATGGGCCGAGACAGTGTCCAAAGTGCAGAAAACATGTTAGTCAGCGCCATAAGGTGCATCTTTAGAGATGACTGGTGGGTTGAGACTGGCGTGTGATGAGATGATTGAGGTATTTGAGGCCCAACATTCTTTGATAGCCACCTATATGACGTGGAAATCATGCTGTTTTGAAAGTTGAGCTTAGTCCAGGCCTCGGTGTTTTGTGCTCTGAGCTTCCGTGTGTTCCTTTCGCCTATTTGCACTTTGTAGTCTTGTGTCCAGCAGACATGGACGCGACTGTGATGCTGTGGTGCTGTGGTGCTGTGGTGCTGTGGTGCTGTGGTGCTGCGGTCCATGTCGAACCATGCCTCGTCCTGCACCCAAATCATAATTCCAACAGAAGCGTACATGATAGATAGATGAAAGCGTACATTCCTTCCAATCCAGTCGTCAATATGAAAGGAAAAGAGACAAAGACTCCAGCCTACCAGTCCGCCAAAAAAAAACAAAGCAATCACTAGTCCTTCGTTCACACTGAAAAATCCAACCCACGTGCCCGCCACGGTGAACAACAGCACACAGCTAAAACAGCAGAACAGCATCTCCCAGATTCCGTTCCGTTCCGCTTGTTCACCTGCCTGCCCACGCCACAACACTGTTCAACTGCAAGCGCCACAACACTGTTTTCCGCCGCTCCCCCCCCCTTTCTTTCTTCCCACCACTTCCCTTCCCACACCCCAACCAACATCATCATATATAATAAAGATTAACATCCAAGAGACATAACCCGGTGCGATGGTTCAATGGTTAAGAATCACCACCGAAGCAAGATCAAATTGATCATCAAATATCTGCAGGGGGCGCGGAGGCGTAGGTTCGATTCCCGGACTTGAGCCTTTTTGTTTTTCGTCTTCATGAAAATCTGTGCGGTTTTTTTTTCTTCGTTTTTGGAGAGGTTTGGCTGGGGAGAGGTAGGCTTTTGGGGGGGGTTTTAGGGGCTTGGACGGAGAGTGTAGGGATTTATGGTCTTTGTGTGTGGATGGGATGGGATGGGATGGGATGGGATATTTGGGACATACGTCGAGGATGTGATTTTCTCTTTGTCCTGGTGACGTGATGGATGAGTGTGCTGCGACGCTGTAAGATGACGAGAGGAATGAGAGAATGCAAGTCTGAGACTGTGAGACACATTCATGACATGCCTTGCTTTCCCACCATATAACCATAGCGCAAACATCATTCATACCTGCCCCTTATAAACCCCCCCTTACCCCACCAATCTAATCCGCACCAATCCACCAACCTCAAACCCGAAACTCCGTCCACCCAGGCAACACAAACGGCAGCGCCTCAGGCCTCAACTCCGGCCATCTCTCCGCAATCAAACCCACAAGCTCCTCATACAGAACCCGATACCCCTCCGGCGAGAAATGCAACCCATCATGCAGCAACCCATCCAGCACCGGCTCTCTAGCCCTCTCCAAACTCCCCGGCAGCACCACCTCACCCCCACCAACACCACCACCAGCATCCCACCCCACCCTCGCCATAACCGCACCCCACAAATCAAGCACCGCAACCCGCATCTCCAGACCTAGAGTGATGACGGCATCGGCGTATGCCTTCGTGCACGCGGCGCGACGGGCGGGGCCTGCGACGCCGGGGTCGTGGGCCATGGGGTGTTCGTTGATGGGCGGTGGGGTGATGAGGATTATGTGGGGGGCGTGGGCGGTGATGGAGGGGTGGGTGAGGATGGATCTGAGGTTTGCGGTGTAGGTTTGCAGGGGGACGTGTTGGTTGTTGGAGGCGTGCGGGAGGGAGGCGTCGTTTGCGCCGAAGAAGATTGTCTTTGGGACGGAGGGGTGTGAGTGAGTGAGTGAGTGAGTGAGTGAGTGAGTGAGTGAGTGAGTGAGGGAGGGAGTGAGTGAGGGAGGGAGTGAGTGAGGGAGGGAGTGAGTGAGTGAGTGAGTGAGTGAGTGAGAGAGGGAGTGCTTGGGAGGGAAGTAGAAGGGGGGGGGGGGAAAGGGATATGTGTATAAGACGTACGAGGAGTTTGACCTTTGCGTGGTTTGGGTGTGGGATGATTCTGGGGAGGATGGCGAGGGCTTGGGTGGTGTTGTAGCCACTGATACACATGTCAACAATGAGATTCATATCGCAGATACTCAAGGCCAGCACCAACGACTGACCTAAACCCTCTATTCACCACATCCAAGCGCCGGACATAATCTGCCATGAATCAGCACATCCACATCCACAAATCTCCAAGAAAAAAGCGTCCCTACCATCACCAAGCTGCGCCAAAAACGCGAATCCACGCTCCTGCGACCAGCCCTGCTGCGTGAGCGAGTCGCCGAACAAGATGAATTGGTCGTATAGCGCGGCCTGGTCATCACTCATGAGCTACAGGACACTTCGTAACAAGAAAATCAAAAGCATGGCAGTATGATCGTACCATGATCTATCTTCTCGTCAATGCCGGTCCCGGATGTCCAGATATCCAGATATCAGATAGCAGATAGCAGACCCTAAAAATAGCGGTACGTGGATCTCGCTATTCGCAGCGGAATGTTTCCTTTTCATGTACTTTCTGTATTCTCTATAATGAATTAGAAGGACAGAAGGCGCAGAAAAACAAGAGAAGAAGATTCTCCGTCGTGCGCGGCCAAGGCTCGGTGGATCAGGATAGTGTGGGCCGAGATTATTGTGCTACATATATGTCTGACAGGGTGTAGATTGGGGACTGGTTGATTTGTATTGAAGATGTATCAGGACATGCTCTCGATGGTCGTAAATACAAGTAGGAGGGTCCTTGTCCTACGTAGGTAAGCGATGGATATAGAATAAAAACAAACAGGGCCACCCAGCGTGGCTGATTGAAGCATACACGCAAGCATGCGAATCTCCAAGCACGACCGCGTACCCCCCATCACCACCCATCACCACAACCACAACCTCATAACCTCACCCTCTCACCCTCTCACCACCCCCAAACCATCTCACCCCCAAAACCCCCAAAAATGCCCCCCCACCGCCCCGACGCAACCGCCCTCCTCGACACGCGCGGCTACACCGGCGCCCTCATCCGCGGCGCCAACCCCGCCCACCTCATCGAAAAAGCCGTGCGCGACCGCATAACCGAAAGCTTCTACTGGAAAGAGCAATGTTTCGGGCTCAACGCCGCCACGCTCTGCGACCGCGCCGTCGAACTGGACTGCGTAGGCGGCACATACGGGGATCAGGGCCGGCCGACGCCGTTCCTGTGCTTGGCGTTCAAGATGCTGCAGATTATGCCGCCGCGGGAGATTGTGCTTGAGTTTTTGAATTTCGCTGAGGGAGATGCGGAGGATGAAGGGGATGGTGGGGATGGGGATGATGATACAGCGAGAGAAGAGAAAGAAGAAGAAGAAAACGACGCAGGAAAGAGCGCAACCCAAACGGCGCGCCGCAAAGGCCACTTCAAGTACCTCCGCGTGCTGGCGGCCTTCTACATCCGCCTGACCTGGGAGCCCGTGGACATCTACAACACGCTCGGCGCGCTGCTCGCGGACCCGCGCAAGATCCGGCGGCGGACGCGCAACGGGTTCAGTCTCACGTACGTCGACCAGCTGGTGGATGAGATGCTGAGCAAGGATCGGATGTTTGCGACGAGTCTGTGGAAGATGCCGGTGCGCTCGCAGCTGGAGGATATGGATTTGCTTGAGGCGTATGTGAGTCCGTTGCAGGGCGAGGTGGATGCGATGGACGACGACGACGACGACGACAGGTCTTTGCGGAGCGTCGGGTCTGGAGCCGTGGGATCGAGATCACCGTCTTCGTCAGGGTCACGGTCACGGTCACGGTCACAGTCAAGACCACGGTCAAGACCACAGTCAAGCCCACGGTCACAGTCGCCAGTCTGACACGTATGCAGTAATGTATTATTTCTGAAAAAAATATGCTATCAATCATCCCGCGCCGTCGCCGACCGCGTCGCCAATTCCTGCACTCGCTTTTGGTACAACACCATCTGATGCGCCAACGGATCGCCGTACATGACGGTGCGCAAGTCCTGATTCCTCGCACTAATCGCCTCTACATTCACAACGCTTAGCACTGGCCCACCACTCCCCGGCTTCGTTCTCATCACCACCAAACTCCCCGGCAGATTCATCTCCCCCGGCGGTACCCGCCACTGTATCGTACTTCCAATCTTCGGGGCCGGCTGCCTGTACAGATCGAGCAGACTGCCTAGCACGCTCCGATCCGCGCGTGGTACAGGGTCCCCTTCGTTCACAAACGTTACGAATATGCTTCTTACCCATTCCTCGCCCTCGGGCTTTGCCAAAGGAAACAGTGTACACGGGGGCGTGCCGAACGTGACACAATGGACGCGCTTGAATTTCCTCATCAGGGTGTGAAACGGCGAGATGGCGGCGGAGGATGCCAGATGGGCGTAGAGAAGAGACGCAACAGCGCCACCGGCGGAGTGGCCGGTAAGAAGTAGTGAACAGCGCGAGCGGGAGGGATCTTCGGCCAAGAGGTGGTCGAGATGTTCGGCAATCGGCTTGATCATGGATTTTGCAACGTCAAGAAACCCGGCATGGCATTTCTGTGTCGGGTCATCCTTGGGGCATATATGTCAGCACCGAGTTCATAGATCAGGGGAAAAAAAAGAAAAAAAAAAGAATAGAACATACCAAGAATCCCTTCGGGTCTACCCCCCGATCACGAAAATTCACACACCAATCCTTGAATCTTTTCGTCCCACGAATCGCCAATATGACAACCTTCTGGTCGTCCCTTGTCACGCTCTTCATGAACATAGGTTTTGCACCCGCGCTGACATACATCTTCTTCTCGGCACGTGCCTGCGGATCCGTGTATACCTTTTCGCTATACTTGGCCGCCAAATTGATCAACGGCCAACACGCAATAGGGATTTCGCATGGCGGCATGTCTGGCGGCAATCGACTGTTTTGGTACCGCCATACTTTGTCGTAGATGTGCTTGGCCGTCGAGGCGCGTGTGTTGTCTGTGACGGAGAGCGGGTTAGTTGTGTTGAGAGAGGGAGAGGAGCGGGAACGTGGTATTGCGGTGGGCACGGTGAGAGTGGCTCGACTGGACGAGGTAGATGGAAATGGAGGCACAGGCCGGGACAAGCGAGGAGATGGAGGTACAGAGGATAATGGAGAAGAAGTCCGTGATAGAGAGGGTGTGAGACACGGGGATACAGGAGCGCTATGCATATTCAAAGCAGAAGAAGGAAAAGGATAAAATAGAAATGGTGCATTTTCGGGGGTCGCTTGGTAGTCGCCAATGGTATCCAGAAAGTCTGGCGCTGATATTGTGGCATCATAGTCCTCTAAAGTGGTTGCAGTCGATACATCTCTGTCTGTATGCTTCAGAACATCTTGTACGGATTCGACCAGGCAGGTCGGCGTGCTTGGTATGCTCGGTGAATCGTCATCTTCTCCAGAACTGTAGTCAACATCTCTGGCTAGTTCATCATCCTCGAAAATGGAGACATCGAATTCCAGCACGCCTGCACAGCCACAGCGATGGGCGACACGCACGACAGAGGGCAGAAAGGCGTTGAAGATGGCACGTGACAGCCTCGAGTTGCGCGGCTTCAGTGGTGGACGCACCGTGATAAGTGGCAAGGCAGGGACTTCGGCTGTAGCATCGACATGGCGCGAGAAGTCGACCAACGATACTGACGAGAGCTGTCTCGAGGGTGCAAGGGCGTACATGGTCGCGACGCAATGTCGCTATGCATCAGTCGAGCCTTAGTCTCAGCAATGCATCATTGTGTCGAACCCGCGATATCGTCGTATTCACAAAGTTCGTCCAAGCCAGGACGAATGAAGGAGTGACCGAATGAATGAATAGACCAGGATGGATGACAGGAGTGGCCAGGAAGAGAGTGAACCGTCAGGCCATGTGGTTCGTGCAGGACAGAGAGAGCGAGAGATCGAAAGCGAAAGCGAGAGGAGGGACTAATCTCAAACTCAAACTCAAACTGTCCATGAGGAATAATGGGATAGTGCTCAGGGGGGGTTTTGTGGCCAGAGTGAACCGTGAACTGTGGAGAGTGGAGGAGGTGGAGAGTGAATGGTGGAGCGTGGTGATCCGTGATGACGCTCGGGCCACGTCAATATTATGACCAGGAGGTGGGAGGAGTGGGTCGAGCCGCGGATGTGCCGTCCGTGAGGCAGGTGCGCGTGCTTGGCGGTTAGTCCAGGTCGCGTTGCCGGTGGTGGTGGTGATAGCGACGACATAGACACCGCAGAGAGGCCAGACCAGACCGTAGACGAGAAGCTGTGAACGTCCAAGACTTTGGTAGGACCGCCAGACCCATGTCGGCCAGCGAAACAGAAAAGAAACCACAACGACGCAACGCAGTAAACAATGCAAAAGAAGAAAGAAAACAGGAAATTCCATATCTCACCTTCTCCCTCTTCCGCCACAAATTGCTCCTCGTCCATGCCAGTGATCATGTCGTCCAGCTTCGTGCTGACTGATTCGTACCACGTATCTGCCTTCTCGATAAGCCCCCCGCCCTTGTTCTCCATCACGCTGTGCTGCAAATTCAGCATTGTCGTCGACGCCTTCTTGATCGGCTTGTAGATCGAGGACAGGGCAGCGCCAGAGGGTTTGGTCTTGACGTAGTACGGCTGCGGCTGCGGCTGCAGAGGCCCGGTTTGTTGTGGTGTAAGTGGTGTCAGTGGTGCGGGAGAGGCGTACATGAGTTGTGAGAGTTGAGGTTGAGGGAATGTCGCCGCTGCTCGGGGTGTCATTGGGTGGTTTGGAGGATTGTATGGATATGACTGGTACATGGGATTTGGGTATGTCTGATCTAGACTCGCGGCGTAATGATTTTGCAACGGCGAAGGAGGTGTTGCTGTGTTCGATCGGACGGGCATGTACAGCGGGCTTGACATCCATTCTGCTTGTGGCCGCTGCTGTCTTGTACCGTCAACGTATTGATGTTGATGTTGTTGAAGAAAGGATTGGTGAAATGATGGAGGACGTGTTGCCGTGCTCGGTCGCATGGGAAGGTTGAGCGGGTTCGTCGTCCAATCGGTATGTGGCCCCTGCTGTCCCATACCGTTAATGTATTGATGCTGCTGGTGTTGATGGAAGTGCTGATGAAATGATGCGGGACGTGATGTTGGGTTTGTTCGGAAGGGAGGTTGTGGCTGGCTCGCCATCCATTCTGCCTGTATCCTCTGCTGCCGGGTGGCTTCAAGGTACTGCTGCTGCTGTTCATGGAATTGCTGATATGTTGGTGGAGGACACCACAATGGATTCAAGGGCGGCGCGGGCTGTGGTGCAGCATATGGAGGCGGTATTGAAGCCGCTGCGTCGACTGGGACATTCTGCCTCAGTGACGGTGAACTGTACTGATACTGAGGTGGACCGCGCGGAGCCTGAGCGATGTTCTGGAAATTCTTTGTCGTCGAAGACGGAGCCTGAGCGTTGTTCTGGAAACTCTTCATCGACGACGGAGTCTGAGCGCTGCCCCGGGAACCCTCTGTCGACGACGACGGCGTAGGCGACTTTCTGCCACGATTCTTGTAGCTGAAGTGAAAGAACGTCATCGTCACGTCTAGGTAGTAGGGCTGCGCAAACGTTCTTTGTTTGTCAACGACTTGCGAGGACCGGCCGGGCTAGCTTGTTTGAATTCCTTCTAGATCTCTCGCAATGGATGCTCCAGTGTTCCTGTTACTTGTCGCGTTTGCGGTGACACAGGGAGAATGGGTGATCTCAGGAGCAGAGAATCAGCCAAAAGATTCCCAACGATGCTTTCGAACAGCCAGCCCCACAAGGCTCTCCAAGAATCTCGGCAGGGTAGAAAAAGAGTGGATCAGATCATTCCACCTAATTATATAATACAACCGCGTTGGTCCCAAGCTCTTTGCCTCTGAGCTTCACCAGGTCATTGCTCTCGAACTTACATACCAAGAATGAAAAATTAGGAAAGGGAAGAAGAAGGACGGGAAAGACGAGAGAGAAGGAAAAGTAAAAAAGGAGAAAAGGAACAACAAGGCTAGGAGTTTGTGCTGAAAGAAGATGTTGACTGACCCCGGAACATGTAGCCTGACATTTTGGTCACTGTAAATGAGTTGGCCAAGCACCCCACACAAGGAATACCCAGTCGCAGACTTTCATAATCTGCACCGCCACCTCAACATCCCGACATTCTATTCGCCGCGCCCTTCAGCACGATCGATCACAGCACAATCGCGTTTATTGCCCAGCCGGGTCACTGCTTGCTGGCCTGTAGGCGGTTTTGCCCCGTCGGATTGACGGATGCTGTCGGACCTTCAATGCGATGCGATGTGATGCGATGCGATGTGATGCGATGAGTCTTAGTAAGCTGTCTTCCGACTAGCTCATCCTGGAATGTGGTGAAAGACAGTAAGTAGTAGTAGTAGTAGATATGTATCACTGGAGGAACCCGAGTAGAATGGATATGAATGTATACCAGCCAGGCTTTCACCTGGCATGACTTCTGTACTGAAAGCTAGTCGCCCAACCCACGCCGTTGTTTCTCATCGTGCGCGCTCCATCAGTCGATTTCTCGAGCGCGCATAAACCCTCGGCCATGCAAGTGACTCTCGCATAAACGTCGTAAACATTGACTTTTCACTTCATCGGCACCGTCTCTCACCGATACTGTTACCGTCCTATTGTCCCCCAGAGGTGCGACACGATGAGACCTCGCCAGTCAACTATCCAAGAGTGACCTTGCGTGTGAGATCACTGTCGAATAATAAGCGCATGGGGGACGACGATAAAGGCCATGTTATATCTTCCCAGATATGTCCAAGACGAACGGGACAGGCCTGATCAAAAGTCCCCGAAAAGGCGTTCATGTCTATCAAAGATTAGCATATTGGAGTTCACACAAGCTTCCACAAGAAACCTACGGATCGTCACCCGTCTGTCCATACGCCTCCGTTTCTTCGGGGTATTTGTCGAATTGGCTCGCGTCGCCAACACCTGCACGCACGGGTGGCACGTATGGCGCATCAATGTCCTTTTTCATGAGTCGCTCCCATGTAACCTCAGCAAACCATGGATGGTTCATCACGTCCTTGCTGCCGCCATGCAAGTTACCCAGCCGTTGAGTCAAGTCGTGCGTAATCAGCTTTTGCAGCAGATCAAGTGCATCGTGATGAATATACGGTGGGTACTTCACTCGCCCCTTGAGGATATTCTCGTAAATCTTCATCGGTGAGCCGCCATCCCAGAATGGCGTGAATCCGCACAGCATCTCAAAGATTAGGATTCCTAGTGACCACCTGAACACACAGTCAGTATGAAAAGTTTGACGATCAAGGTTTCATGCAGCGCGTACCAATCCACCGACTTGTTGTAGCCCTTCGACGCCACGACTTCTGGAGCGAGATAATCCGGGGTACCACAAAGGGTCCATGTAATGTCTGGAACCTCCTTGGCGAACCCAAAGTCAGTAATCTTCAGATGCCCATGTCGATCTAGAAGCAGATTTTCAGGCTTTAAATCTCTGTAGATTATGTCCATGGAGTGGAGATAGTCGAGCGCTAATGTGACTTCGGCGGCGTAAAACTTGGCCACAGGATTTGGAAATCGCTATGTTTCAGTCAGCCCTGGAGTGGCATTCATGGAGTTCGGGTGAAACCTACCTGTGACTTGCGTAGTAAGCTAAAAAGCTCACCACCTTCGACAAAATCCATCACCATGTACAAGTTCTTCGAGTCCTGGAAGGTGCCCCATAACGTGATCAGAAAGGGATGCTTTACTCTGCCAAGCATTCTTCTTTCGTCATTCGTGTGCTCCACCTGCTTCATCTTGACGACCTGGGCTTTCTTCAACACCTTGACAGCATAGAAACGTTGATTATGCTTCGACTGCACCAGGTGCACGCGACCAAAACTTCCCGTCCCCAGGGTACGTTGTATCTGGAAATCCACCAACGAGTATTTCCCTTTTGTTACACGAGCTTGCACTTGCGGCGGAGGTGAAATCTGCATCGCGTCGCCGTCTCTGGCTGGCGTCGCACGGTACCCCGAATCATTGTTCGGTGGATTGATCACATTCTGTATAGAAGGTTGATTTTGCTGTTGCGACGCTTCGGGTGAGGAGTAGGTTTGCGGCTGCTGCTGAGGCGTGGCGGCGGTGTTCATAGGTTCGGCGGTGTTCTGCTGCGCAGCTGTACTGTTGTTGGTATCCGAGGTGACCGCTGACGCCGAGGCTGTAGTAGACGTCGCAGGGTTAGATAAGGCGTCTGGATTCGACCTTGGCTGGCTCAATTGCGAGGGCTCCTTGGTGATGGTGGGGCTTGTGGGAGATTCAAAGTCTTTGGCAGAACCGGAGGAGTCCTTCGTCCTCTTCTTCTTCAGGAAACCTAGGGATGGCATGAACGCTACTGTAAAGCGAGGTCAAACCCAGGGCGACTGGATGCTCCCAGACCCTGACCTGACCTTCCCTAGATATGCCGCAACGAGCTTCCTGTGATGTGTGTGGATCTGCAGATCTCTGGCCAATACGGGTACGGAGCGTCTGTTCTCAAGGCGAGGCAGCGCAGACTACCACACAGACACACTGCTGTTCTTCTTCTGCTTCTTTCCTGCGAGAAGTATCGCCTTTGCCGTCTCTAGTATAATGCCGAGGAGTGTCGCGCTCTATGATGCGGAGAGCTGCGGGATGCTTTGATGGGGGCGATGCGCAGCTAGGGAGCTCTGTCGGGCCTGGAGAGCTCACAACCACCCACAGGACAGGGCAATATGGTCAACGTCAGCCGGGGGTGTATGGCTACAGCGGTAAGGATATTCCAAGAAGACAGCACGCACAGCTGCCGCGACAAACGTAAAGTGAGCAAAGAGATTCCCAACCGGCGGGCGGAAGAATGATGAACGTGTGGGACAAGCTAGGGAGAAGAGACAGGATAGTCAGGACAAGGACGGTGTAGAAGAAGGTAAGGTAAGGTAGCTTTGGGCGTATCAATTCAAGGTTTGGCGCGAATGTGAATTGGGGGAATTGGGGGAATCGGGGGAGGGATTGAGTGATTGTTGGAGAATTGGGAGGGGGGTGGAGGGATGGAAGTGGATGCTGCGGTTGTTAGCCTGAGGCCTGAGGACTTGCCTGACTGACGCCTGACGCGATGATATTGGCTTGCTGGGCGGGGCTGGTGGTGGCAGGAAATAAGGTATTCACTACATTGCCAATCCATCCTCATCCATCAATTAGGTTTTATCCATCCACTTTTTTTATCCCGACGACCAAGTACGCTAATTGTACCGTAATGGAAATGATAGTTACTTACTTCGTGAACGTGCGTCAATTGCGTATAAATCATCAATTTCAACACCATCACTTTGCAAAAGCCTGTCTGGTACTGGCTGTGAACGACTCTGATTGATATACAGTACATGGTATCTCCAATTCTACACTCATCTGCTCCAAGACGCCTTCTCCAATGCTAGAGCCCGCTAATTATGCCGCACAAGTTTGCACCCCAACCCATTATTCCCACCTCCCTCTTCTATAGTTCTTCGTCATGCTCATCACTGCGCTCCTCAGCAGGATCCTGCTCTCCCTGTGGCTGAATGATATCCATATCTCCAGCGTCTTCATCCACCGTAACCTCGGATAAGACCACATCATGCTGATCGTGCGTATTCACCGTCTCCGCAGGTTCCGACAAGATTGATCCCTTCGGTCCCTTCCAATGTTCGAGATCTAGCCCGCACACATCCATCCTCCGTTGTCTAAATACCTCATACAACCTGTCCCACACGAGCCGTGGTCCATCCTCTGCTGGCCGGTAGTTTGCTCTCTCGACATATGGGATGTCGTATTCCGGCCCAGGAATCTCCGGATCTGTAAATCTCAGGTAGGCTGTCTTGTCCAGGAAAGCCGTCGCATTGAACTCGTCGATCGGCAGCCGTAGAGACGCTGTGTCTGCGACTATCGATGGTGAGAAGTATGAGGATGGGCGCAGAAGTGCTTCATCTGCACTGAACGTTTTTCTCAGCAGCTTGATGTCCGAGATGTGCTCCTCTGCGCGAATATCCTTCAGGTTGTTCCATACCGCCAGATCAGGCTGAATGAGCAGCAGGTCCATCGAAATTTCATTTTCAGCGCCAATCGCAGACAGCTTCTTTGTCGGTGCAAAGGCCAGTAGTCCGTCTAGGGGCTCCGAATCCAACAGTAGACCCGGACTCTGCATATATAGGACTCTATCGAACTCTTTCCCAAAGGCCCATAGACTACTCAAGCTGTAATTGCTTGCTATGTTTGCGTCCACCTTTCCACTATCATCTCCCAGCGCGCCCACAGCACGTAGTCCAACGTTATATCGCCGCGCAGCCGTTCTCAGAAGCCTCCTTGTTCGTGGCAGGCTTGGCGATTCGTCCTCACTCATGTCCCTAGTCCAACTTGCTGGAAACATGAGGACTCGTCTCGCAGGACTCTTCAACCGCTTAAGTTCGGCGAAAAACATGACCGCAGTACAAACCTCCTCATGCGTTCGTACCAGCTGTACGTGTGCCAGCTTCGACCAATCCGTGCTTCCCTTGCTCGCAATCGAGAGATAGTGTTGCAACTCATTATCGATATCCTGCGACGAGCCCGGGACACGTGCAATCCTGTCCAGAGGAGTTCGAGGAATGGAGAGAGAGGCCGGAGGGGCAAGAGGTTTAGGTATCCGTGGGCGGACCGCGATCTGGAGCGATTGTACGGTTTGCTGCTGAAGGATGTAGCCAGCGAGGAAGAGTAGGCCGGTAAAGAGAACAACTGGATCACACTCAACGTCAGTATAAGATTCATGTATGCCGATGGGTCTGTCTGTACCTATCGCGCTGGAAATGGCCATTGAGACTTGCCCGCCAGTGAGCAGTACCATGATTCCGCCGGGCGCATATACGCCAGATGAGATAAGGTGGGTAGCAATCTGAGAAAGAATGTATTTACAACAGAATAAAGGCGTGGTATATCCCCTTGTAGTAAGTATGGCGAGTGAATCGGAATCGCGCAATGCAGTTAAGTGTAGTGTAGACGATTACCTGTTTTGGGAATTAGCGTCGTTGCTGCCAGGCAACCAGCCCGGATCCCGTCATAGTGAAGCCTCAGGCAGTCAGGCATTACTCTCTCGAGGATGAGACGAGACGTCCCGGTCACAGGCATTTTATGACAAAGAGTAGATTCACGCGCAGTATGCGCTAAATTGGAGAGTTGAACTCTCATGTATGCAATATCAGACAACAGTCATACTCCATGCCAATTCACTGGCCCCAAAACGCCTCTATGCAACGTGACTCGGAAAAAACAACGGATTGGACTTTGCACGCAACGCAAAGACATAGCTATCAGGTACACTTTAAAAACAAAAGGTAGCCAAAGGGCGCACTGCATCGCTTTGCAAGATGTCGTCATCATTCCTTTACTTTGGACTGTTTCTTTGCTGTACCAATGTGCGTATTGTGTACCTGTCATAGATCGATTAGTGATGCGTAAACAGAGAAGTCGACAAGTTACACGTACCTTGGTGGCAAACTTCAGACTCGTGAGCGTCTCAGACAAATGGGCCTGAAGCGGCGATATCATTACAAACATAAGAGTCTTGGAATTCCCGCCAAGAGAGTTTTGCAAAAGGTACGTCAGCTAAGAAGAGTCAGCATTGGTCTTGAAGGTTTGGTTTGAGGAGCGACTTACTTTGCTGTTCCGGTATGGAATATGCGTGCCCTCTTTACCCTGCCCTAGGGCACCAATGACATCTCCGAGACAACTCAAGCTCTTGTTGATGTTTTGCGTTTCCTTGAGTCGGTCCCCGGCGGCCTGTGAGTGTGCAAGTCGTTCGCTACCCGCAAGATCCACGAGGTTGAGCGTTCCCTCGGATCTCTCACCTGTCATACTGTTCTCTCCGATGAGCTTCAGAATGAAGACAGAATGACTACGCGAAGATCGACTGTTCGCTTTGGTGGCTGCTACAGTGCGGTTTGCAGCTGCACGTTGCATTATCTCTTCGACTCTGTCCGCAGAATCAAGCTCTACGGTTGTGATGTCTGTGATGGTCGTTGTCTTCTTCTGAAGATCGTGCCGTATTTCAAGCTTCTTCTTGTCGAGTTCTTCGGCCTTGCCAAGAAGGTCGTTCAAGTTTTCGTTGTAGACTTCGACGAATGAGCCTTCCATCTTGTATGTCCAGCCCTTCTCAGCCAGTCGCTGAGCCTCAGAGTATATCTGTGCCGTTGCGCGTGGGATCATACCGTCGACACTGGACATGGTGAACGTCTTTCCGGATCCTGTTTGGCCGTAACAAAAGATGCATACGTTGTATCCGTCCAAGGCACTCTGAACCAGCTGACTGATCTCTTCGAATATCTCAGCGTTATGCGACGCAGGTGCAAAGACTCGATCGAAGGAGAATGCATTATTGGACGTGGTCACAACTCCGAGAGCGCTGGTCTTTTCCGGTCCTTGCACTGTGACCTCCTTACAGTCCAGCTCGGCATCGGGGAATGCGATCTTAGCAGCATCTTCGGCTTCCGAATCTGAAGCTGGCCGTACTCGACACATTACACGAATGTTCCCTTTCAACTCTTGGACTTGGTTATGGAGCTTCCGACGTAAGGTTTCCTCGGTTCGTAGCTTTTCAAGAGCTACATTCATGGCTTCCTCGGCTTCTTGTTTCAGTCGGTGCAAGTCTGCGAAGGAGTTCGACTGGGCCTGATTGTCAGATTCTAAAAAGTCAATCTTTGCCTTCATTGCCCGGTTCGCTGTCTCCAATGTCATATTATTGGCAGATGCTTCTGTCAATTTGTCTTCAAGGCTTGTTCGGAGACTCTTCTCTCGCTGGAGGGCCGCAGCAGTCTCATCTCGCTCTCTGCGGACATCGTCTGCTTCCCTGGCTTTTCGTTCAAGATCTTGGCTGGTTTCTTGCAGTCGCAGTGTGCTTTGCGCAGCAAGCTCCTGGATTTCTCTGCTCCGTTTATTTCTTTCCTCTTCGAGTTCGCCGCGGATTTGGCGTTCCTGGTCATGCAAAAGCTCTTTGTGCGCTTTCTCCATATGCTCAAGCTGCTCCTCGAAATCTTTCGTCACCTTTTCTGCAACTTTCTCGGTGCGTTCCTTCTCAAGCCGCAGCTCTCGTTGGAATTTCTCATTCAGAGCTTCAACCTCACGCTCTGTTCTCCGCCGTAAATCATCCATGTCGAATGAGTGACTCCTCTTCGCGCCATTGAGTTCGTGATTCGCCGTCAGTAATTCACCCTTAAGTTCGTGCAAGCTCTCTGTGAGTTTAGTGTTGGCCGATGACAGTTCAGTCCTTGAGGTCTCCAGCTCGGCAACTATACAACATGAAAGTCAGCTCACACAACCATCTAGCAACATTCGTCGGATATTCGCGCCAATATATCAACAACCTACTTCTCGTTTTGTAGAGTCGGATCACTTCCTTCCTATCCTCTTCGCCGGCGTTGTGTTTCGATATCGTATCTTTAATATGTTCGAATTGCTTCGTCCACGTCGAGTCCATCTCGAGATCGGGTTCGAAAGCTGGCACAGGTCTGTTAGAATCTTTGGTCAAGAACACTGGCTTGAGAGGCGAAGCAGAGCGACACTTTCTCAGACTTGGCGTCTTTTTCGGTGAAGGCGATTGACCAGAAAGAGAATAATTGATAGAAGTTCGAAGACGAGGAATCTTTGACGGGGTTGCCTCAGCATTGCGAGCTTCATGCTCAGAAAGATCCTCCTCTTGAATTGACTCGTAAGAAAATGGGTCGATTTTGAGACCCTGAAAAGCGGAACGAAGAGAAATACATGACTGTGATTGCAAGAGTGCTTGGGTCGTAAGAGGTTGAGAAGGAACACTTGTTTGTCGTGGATTTTTATAGTAGATATATTCCCGGTTGTCGCTGACAGCTCGTTGTTTCGGCTGCAGGACTGGCGGGTTGAAAGATAGTGAAATCGGATATGTACCTTTGTTGGCCGGCGCGAACGATCCATTGTGCTGGGTGTAATTGCTTGACGAGCTTCCTGGTCTGAAGTTATTATGAGACGTATGAGATTGACTTCGGCTGTGTGATAAATGGTTCTGGGGTCGACTGGAGCGGAGGCTAGATGGCGGCCGCGAACCATAGCCAACACTGCTAGAAAAAGACGAGCTGCCTGAAGTCATGCGAGAAGATGCCGCCGAGACCGAACGTGAGTGAGCGGAGGGAGGTGGGCCGCGATAGCTGTTTGCAGATGATCGTATGCTGTCATTCAGACCTCTGGTACTCGGGGGTGCAATATGACTCGCTTGAACAGGGCGACCGGCGCGGTCTGCTAATGTTTCTCGTTTCGCTGGTGGCTCGGCCACTATATGGGTCAGAATGTCTTTATGACGCGACGGGTTTTTTCGAATCTTACTACCAGGGGGCTTGTGTTTCGTGCCTTGGAAATGCGGTTGCGGCGGCGGCATCTGAGACCGCGTATTTGATTCAGACGACGACATTTCCATGAGGCTCCTATTCGGGCTCAGAGGAATCTTGGTGGTTGGCTGCCGGAGCCGAGAGCCGGCGAGTCGCTATGAGTGAGGATGTCAGTACACAAGTTCGCGGGTGTGGTTCGGTTTCGACCATAGGTGATCTGGCAGGAGTGTCCGCGGCTCACCATATTCTCGTTAGTTTCCATGTTCGCAAAAGATTGAGCAGGACAATGTGAAAGGAATGCTGGGCAACAATGCGATGCAAATTAAGTATCACCTCATCATCAGTCGAAGGCCGCGTTGGGTCGTGCGTGATGGAGGGGACGCCGTGAAATGGAGCTCTGGAGAGTGTAAACACGAGGTTGTTTACTCGTGTGGCTTGGCATACTAGCTGCAAGTGTGAAGGTGTGGCTAGTGGGGTGTGGCTGTTGATAGTGGCGTCGGCGGTCTCCATCCCACGCATCTGTGGCGCAGTTTGGCAGCGATCACATGCAGGGCCAAGTTATTCCCTCCCCGGGCGTCATCTTTATATCTGCTCACTTATCTTCCCGGATCTACGTTAGCATGCGGACCTTTTTAAGCCACTCGCTTACCATCTCAAACAGGCACTCTTGAGTGCGGAATATCATGAGGTAGTGTCTTTAACACCACGTGGATGGCTTTCTAGGATCGTACCGCATTATACTTGCAAAAATGGAGAAGTTCTCACAATACCGCGACAGAGGTACGTGCCAGGGTATGAGGCAGTGGGAACATGCAGACATGCTAACACTCTTATCGAATCCAGGTTCGGGAATCGCTCCATTCTTCCCTGTGCCGACCGAGTCCTCTGGTATAGCCTTGCCCTTCCATATCTTCCTCTTCCTCGTCCGCGTGCCTCTGTTGCTTGCAACATTCATCCTCTACTACTTTGCCCTTAGCTGGCTCCCGTTGGGCTCGCTGCTCAAGAAAGGAATACTATGGGTCATGATTGGAATACCAGGCATATGGTGGATTGACCTGCAGATTGACGGAGTGAGGAGAGGGTAAGAACCATGGACTGATTATATATGGGCTGTTTGCTTACGGCTCAAGGCAACTGGGAAAAGCACCTGCAAACCGACTTCCCGGTCCTCGGACTATCATCGCATCGTCGTACACGTCCCCTCTAGACTGCCTATACTTGGCCGCTATATTCGATCCAGTCTTCACCGTGTCCTGGCCGAATACTCTCAAAGTACAGCGTATTTCCTTGGCTCAAGCCATGATACGAGCATTCTCCAGTCCAGAAATGAGTCCGCCACCCAAAGCTCGCCTTACAGACCTGGCCACGCTACTGAAGGAAAATCCCGACTCTCCAATCGTCGTCTTTCCAGAATGCACCACAACGAACGGCCGCGGAATCCTCCCTTTCAGTCCGTCTCTCCTGACCGCACCACCAAACACAAAGATCTTCCCACTTAACCTTCGCTACACACCCGGCGATGTCGCGACCCCTCTCCCTGGCACATATTTATCATTCTTGTGGAATCTCTGCTCGAAACCAACCCACTGCATCCGGACCCGTATCGCAGAGTGTGTCTACAACACATCCAAATCCCCCTCAAATGGTGTGCGCCCTCCGCAGTTGAAACCTAATTCTATTGATACTAACTTCTTTGACGGCCTTAACCTGGGCGACAAAGCAAGCAGTTCGGAAACATTAGTCGGCTCAGAGGAGCTGGGCATCGACGGGCTGAATGCAGACGAACGAAAAGTGCTGGACCGCATCGGAGAGGACCTCGCGCGGCTGGGGCGGGTGAAGAGAGTTGGGTTGGGCGTCAAGGAGAAAGAAGAGTTTGTCAAGGCGTGGACAAAGAAACGGCATTGACGTCGTGCTGGGGGGAAATGCTTGTAGATGTTCTTTTGGTGGGAGATATTTCCAGCGATTCAGCGGACTTGTAGGTAGCGTAGCATCTACGAACAATACTTATATATAAGACAAACTTTTGAAGGTCTCGAGGAATGACATATCACATGCGGACATTTGATCATTGCGACAGCCATGTAATGCTTCTATGAAGTCCATCATCCGCACGACTTGTCTTGACGTACAATTCAAAGCATGCAGTGTTCATGAACGAAAGCTACAACTCGCATGCACTTCGCGTCCAATTGCTTATAAGCATTTCAAGTCGCACCTCCGTCCCCGCACCCACGAACGAACACTCACCCCGCCATCCATATGCACACTCTTTCCATCCATCTTATAACACCAACTATCCAAAAAAAATACTCAAACATAACACTACACGAGCGATCCACACACATATTGAACTGATAGAAAGCCAAAAACTAAAACAAATAGTCCAACAGGGGATCGAACCCAGGACCTTTCGCGTGTGAAGCGAACGTCATACCACTAGACCATTGGACTTGGCAACGAGTGACAATTTCGCAAGAATGCCTATCAACTTTGAAACATATTGAAAATGTGATTCTGGGGGAATTTTTGGGGGTTTGTTTGTGTAGGAGAGATGGATGCGCGGGAAGGGAAAGGTGGAAGGAGTGGGGGTGGAGAAAGCGAGTGTGGACGGAACGTGTGGGGTTTTTGAAAGCTTGGGTTTTGGATGCTATGGATTGTGTATCATTGCAACAGACATGGCTCGACGCCTACAGGCTACAAAGTTCATATTTCCAAGAACAAGCTAGAAGCCAATTTATGTAGCAGTGCGCCTTTCCATTTCTTTCCTTTTCTTTCCTTCCCTTCCCTTCCCTTCCCTTCTCTTCCCTTTCCTTCCCTTCCCTTCCCCCAGCTCCGTACATCTCACCAACGAGCACAGCAGAAATCAATCACGATCAAGCCTAACCCCTGTTTCGGACTTCGACCTCGGCTTCAAACTCCAGCTTATCTAGTCGCGGCAGTAATAATATGTTCATACCACAGCACCTGATCTACACGCGCAACATCTTCGTTCATTATAGGTTGCGTGCCCTGGCAGGTACGTTCTCCGCGCAGGCGAGGAGGAAAGACGATGCATCAGCGGGAGCGAATAGATAAGTCCGACAAGGCAGACGAGTTGACATGTCGAGTCCTCGAGTTGCTTGCCCGTCCGTCGAGACGGCGCTATTGAACAGCCATTCTCCCAACAACGCTGCTTTTGGGGTACTTATAAGTACGTGTTTGACTGCCTTTCGAATCCGGATGTGCGGTGGTATACTTCGGCGATTGAGGCCTAGGTGCGGGCTATTAGTGGTGCCTGGCACGGTTGCCGTTGGACAGCTGCGGTGCTGCATGGAGGTACGTCTTAGCGCAGATACAAGAGCGTTGACCAGAGAAATGCGATCGGCCAGTATTGCGAGCGGGACGTTTGCCAGTGGGACAAAAAACCAATTCCGAACGCCGGAATGGTAGTGATGCGTGGAAGAGATCTCGGGCAGTTCGATAACGGCAAAAGCGAATATCGATGTGCAAGGTTCCAGTCGAGGCGCTGCAGGTTTGCTTGCGCAGACTAGCATGATACGAGGATGTCGTCCGTTCGAAGCCGCTGTGCCAATCCTACGCACATATCCAAGCATTCCTAGACCACTCTCCAGCCCAGACAGACGATGCACATCAAGAACACCATCCCCATCAAAGCTTACTCTCCCTCGACCCAGGCCCATCCTGCAACGCACCACTCATAAACGGCCCGTTCTCCTCCCCACCACGATCCCCATACAAAAGCCTCTCCCTTCCGCCCATCGTGCCCCACCACGCAACACAAGTCTGGCTGCGCTCAGGATCCATCTCGCCGCTAATCAAGACTTCCCAGAACCTGTTCCGACAGACGTCCCGCATAGCTTTGTCGCCAACTGTGTTGACGAGGTCGGCGCAGAGAGGGAGCCACTCCTCGAGAAGAGGGATGGGCAGGAACGGGAGACTGTCCAGGAGTGTCATTATCAAGATTGATTGTTCGGAGAGAGGGGGCATGGCGTTCCCTTCGTCTGCACGTTCGGGCGTGGGCGATGCGATGTCGTCGGGCAGGGGCTGTGTGGGTGCGTGGAGCGCGCGTTCGTGGATGAGCTCTAGGAGGATAGCGGGTAGGTCTGGCTGTGTTGCGGATAGAGGACTTGGTGGTGCTGTGACGCGTAGTAGCGTTTTGAAGGCAACACGGAATTGGCGGGGTGAGAGGGATTCAGGGAAGACTTTGAATAGTGCATCAACGTAGAACGGGAGGTGTTTCGCCGTGATTTGCGCTGACTGAGGGGCCGATAGCACAGCGAGCATGACGCTGTGTGCGGCTTCGAAGATAGGTAGAAGGTTGCGGTTCCCGCCGGCCGCCAGATAAGGTGTTGCGGCTGCGACCAGAAGCTCCTCGTTTGTTTGCGAAGGAAGGATGAGTGTGAAGTGCTCCGAGGTGTTGAGGAAGAAGAGGTCGAGGGTGCGGTCAAGAGGATTTTTGGGAATCTGGCCGAGTTCTAGGGGGCGGATCTCTTTAGTAAAGGAGTCTGCCACGTGGGGGTACTGGGCGAGGATGTCCATGGCCGTAAGGTAGGTGAATGTATATTGCGAGAAGGAATTAGCGCCGAGGCGTGAGGAGACAAAGTACAAGTTACGGAGAATGTGGAGGGTTTGTGTTGCCAGGACAGGGGCGACTGGTAGCTGTTAGTGCCTGTTTACTCTTCAAGTCTTATGCCCCGTGCAACATACCCGAGTCTGAAGCTAAATGACCATCACCTAGTATTCTGCCGAGTACGCTTCTGAGCACGATCGTCGTAGCGAAAAGAGACGACCGAAGTAGCTTCCACAACTGTGGGATGGTGGACTTTAAAGCATCCTCATGCAAGAATGCAGCTTCTTCGGAAGTATCAATCTGTGAAAGCTTGGTGTTTCTCCACTGCTTTAACAATATTTGGGAGAATCTAACAAAGTCTTCCATCAGAGTCTGAACAAGCCATGGGTTGTGGACATTTTCGACAGCATGAGCTATCAATCGTGATAATGGTCCCATGGCCGAAACCAGGGGTCGGGACAATGTCTTTTCGATTTGGACGAAAGACGGGGAAGAAGCCTAGAATAGTCAGAAATGAACGAATGTAGTGACATCTGATACATACCAGCCAATTGAATCTCCTTGCATTGGGCACCTCAACGACGTCCGGATCGATCGGGCCTAGGAAGTATGCCGACTGGTAACCCTCACTAGAGAAGAATGCTGCGCCCAACAACACTGGTAGTAGTTTCTGCCCATCATCAGCACTCCAAACACACTCATGCATGGCCCATCATCAGCCAAGATCGGCCCACTCACATCATAATCCAACTGCGCCCTCTCGAGATCCCCTATCAGCGGAAACGCATGATTCGTCACCAACGCAACCGTCAAGACCCCGAAATCATCCCGCTCCACCAACGATAGGTTCACAGCCCGCACCAAGGCACCCTCTATCGTTCCCCGAATGCCCTTTGCAATCTCAAAATCGTCTCCGTTGCCCAGACCTATCAAGAGTCCGCCGAGCACAAGTAGATGCTTCCATCGCGCACTCCGCTCGTCCGCACCACGCACTACTGCGCGCGCCCAGTCGTCAAGGCTTAAATGCGATATCTGACCTGGGATCGAGGTCGGTGTTTCGCCAGTTTGGATGTTGTTGTGGTGTCGGACTAGGATGCCGGCTGCCGAGTGGAAGACGGAGAGGATGCGGAGGCAGGTCTCGAGACCGGTGGGGTGCGTCCATAGAGCTGGGGCTGTCAGGAGCTGTGAGGTGAGGAGAGAGATGTTATGAGGGTTCGAAAGAGTGGCCAGGAGGTGTGCGGCGGTGGAAAGAAGTCTGGCTGAGTGTTAGTGTTTGCGCTCTCAAAGTAGCTGGAAGTGTATACCGTGGTGTGTCTTGCTGGTCGGTATAGGTCTGAAGTGACCTGAGGAGGGTCGACAAGAGCCTATCTGCAGGCATTGTGTGTTTCTGTCGACTGCACAAGAGGATGAGTAGAACAAAAACAATGCTGATGCATGATATAGATTAGAGCTTTAGGAGCATCGTGCCATGAATCAGGCCTCGGTTCGGTGACGGGCGGAGATCCGAGAAATCACCGATATCAGATCGTATCAAACCGTGCTCAAATGTTCGTTTCGAATTACATTCAACTTCAACCACAACGCGACGACGACAACCTACCTACGACGACCTCACTCTCCATCTTCCCCGTTCTCCTCCCTTGAGCCTCCTTGGGGCATCCCTCAACCGGGATCCTCCACCTCCATCCTCGCCATGATCCAGCTCAAAACCCTCCTCAACGTCCTCGACAACTCCGGCGGCGCCATCGCAGAATGCATCGCAACCCTCAAGTCAAGCAAAGCCGGCGCAACCATCGGAGACCGCATAATCGTTGTCGTGCAGGAGCAGAGGAACTACAAGGCAGACAAGCAGGGCTCGAGTAATGCGCCGCACAAGGTCAAGCGCGGAGACATCAGACACGCCGTGGTGGTGCGGACGAAGAAGAAGCTGCAGCGGCCGGATGGCAGTGTGGTGCGGTTCGATGACAATGCGTGTATTCTGATCAACAAGGCGGCGGAGCCGATTGGCTCGAGGGCTACTGGTGAGTTTGAACATTCTCTGAAGGGCATAGGGTGGAGTGGAGAAGAATTATAGAGCATGGCTCATGGGCTTGTTAGAATAAAGCTAACGTGTGAACAGGTGTCGTAGGAAGAGAGTTGGCGAAAACGCGGTGGTCTAAGATTCTTTCGCTAGCACCAATGCACGTATAATGGGAAGACATCCACGGGGATGATAGCATAGTTGTTAGGCGCGAGCAAGCAATATCAAAATCACGGCTGGTTTTGCACCGGGGTCAGAACATTTTGTATATAGAATTGTATCAACAATCTCCATCATTTTCGGGTATTTGCAGCGTAAACTAACTCCTAGCCAACCAGGGCCCATGATTTCTCCAAAGTGCAGATGTGTTTGACTCCAAACTCCAGGTTGATGCCGATTTCCCAGTGTTCCTCGAAACCCTTGACACCTTTTTACATGTGCGTTTTTAGAACCGAACCTCGTAATATGGCTATCGTTTAGCAGGCGTGGCATCTTGCCATACTTGCCCACATGTGCAACATACGTAGTATAATTTCTATGATTGTGAGCGAAAGACGCAGATCAAGGGGGTAGATATAGTATAAAAATCTCTCGTCATGACAACCATACGAAGAAATTATGAGCTCACCATTCCCGTTTCGCTGGACCGCTGCTGCGATTGGAAAAAGACAGCTTCGTTCTCGCCGCATTTGGGACAAAGCTTTTCGACTCGGGGCAGCTAGATCAGACAAAACCGGATGTTAGCCGAACATTCTGAGCAGAGTTCATCTACTACAAAGACAGTAGGCTTGATAAAGCAGTTGCTGGATGTGGACGATACAGTGATTGCAGCTCAGGTGCAGCTCGGGACGCTGCTCGCAGAGCAGACTGGCTCATCCTGCTCTTTACCAGCAGCTGGAGCCTGCGGGAGAGCAGTGGTGTCACGATCACTCATGCTCGTAGGCGTGAGCTCCCGTTCGTAACGAGGATGAGCATGAGTTGACGTAGAGCATTCTTGATCTTCAACCTCGAGGACAAGGCCACAGTCGCTCTGCTGCCCGCAGATCTCACAGAAGATCACATTGCCACACATGGTACAGATTCCACGGATAGTGGCGCCATCGTCGTTCATGAAATATTCATCGTCGGACTCAGGGTCTTCACTAACCGTTGGATCTTGACCAATATCATCCGTCAGACCAGCAGTGTCGCCAGCAGAGCTGCTGACTTCCTTGCGGGTCACCATGGGAGTGAGGGCTTCGGTGGCATATTGGCAGGTACGGCAGGCGAACATGAGCCTGGCGTTTATCTTGTCCTCTTTTGGGTAGAGCAAGTTGGAGCTGGATAGAAAGTTAGCAAATTCGGCAGATCTTGAGGAAGAAGCACGCGTTGCGCCGCGACCAATTACTCACCACTCGGAGCAGAAACGGAATGCGATCTTCTTGGACTGGTCGGCCTCATCGGGATTGCTTGTAGGCGAGTCAGACATGATGTATGCGAAGTGGTTACGGTAGCTGGAAGGAACAAGATATTTGCAGGTTGAACAGTTGGGAGCAAGCTGAGTGGTGGTGTTGCTAAGAGGTGGTTTGGCGTGGCGCGTCAAGTATTTAGTGGGGCCTTGTTTGTGCACTCAAGGGTCTATTTCTGTTATTGGTATGCGGAGAACAACAGTGAACATGCGCAGAGTGATCAGGAACAACTGTGAAATTTAACAAAAGACGCTCACCTGGCACACTATACATCTGCTACGAGTCACACACACTACTCTATGATTCAGACACAACCACAAGATAGTGACTGTTCCAATCCATGCCCCATAGGGATAAGTACAGCCTAACCTGATAGAGCATGTATGTGATATATGTCATCAGGATGGAAATTCAGCCACACCCTGGTCCTTACAGTCTGCTTGCCTCAAGATCTTGCGCATGACCATATTCCTCGCGTGCGTATATGAGTCAATCCCACAGTGTCTCCTTTGGAATTTATGCCAGCCAGGGACCGCTTGAAAGAGCCGGACTCCTCTCTCTATGTAACATTCTGGAGTAGTATTCTCCTAAGATTCAAGTGGTTCCGCAATGACGTACACCCATCAATCATTAAATAGGTGTTGCGTCTCAGATTGCCGTCCGGGCTTCACTCTCCAGTCGCAGGCTGGTCTTTGCCAACGCCAGATTGTCGACATACGAACCCCTCTGTGACATCCATTTCACCCAGGTCTATATAACCAGCTCTCACAGAGGGCTGTATGAGCTGCGTCGAAGGACGACGGCTTTAATATGATGTCGACGTCTCCAATGACCAGTTTGGCGCACAGGCCTTGGGATTGACGTACTGCCCACATGCTCGATTGAGAGATACGAAACATTCTCCAGGGCCCACTCGAGAGACAATTTATGCTTCTTGAACTCCTGTGCCCATGCAGAGTCGTATTGCTTGATGACAATCTTCATAATACTCTGTTAATGTGAAGTGGACGTTCATGTTTGTGGGGATTAGCTAAACTTAAAAGGACAAAGTTTCAGTTGGTTTCGGTTTTAGGGCAACCCCGCCAACCGCTGGAGGTGTTGACCATCCATCATCAGCTGTGCATAACGTCGGCCGCCACTTATTCTCCACAACTGCGAATCCAACACTGACATTCAACGTCGTTGGCGCATACAAACACTTTGGCGCATCTACACTCTCCCAAGGTTTCGCAGATCATCATGGTGAGCAACTTTCCAGCAGCTAGCTCCCTTGTTTCCCTTTCTACGCTGGGATCCCTTTCCATTGAGCAACGCGTATTGACCAAGTTGAAGAGCGATTCAGGTCTACCTTCCGGTTGGGAGGTCCGACACTCCAACTCGAAGAATCTGCCCTACTATTTCAACCCTGCCCAGAAAGAGTCACGATGGGAACCGCCGGCCGGGACCGATTCCGAAAAGCTCAAGTTGTACATGGCCAGCTACCACAGCACCGGAAGCAGCCAAGTTGGCAACGGCAACAGTGATGGCAAGATACGATGCGCCCACCTGCTGGTCAAGCACATGGGTAGCAGGAGACCAGCGAGCTGGAGGGAGTCGAAGATCACACGCACCAAGGAAGAGGCACGTTCTATCATCGAGGCGCACAAGGCGACAATTGCATCCGGACAGAAATCCCTCGGAGATCTGGCCATATCAGAATCAGACTGCAGCAGTGCCCGAAAGTCCGGAGACCTGTGAGTGTGCCAATTGCGGCAGCTGCCTAACTCTGTGTGTGTAGCATTACTTGGGCGCTATGGGCTGACACTATCGGGCTAGGGGATTCTTTGGGCGTGGCGATATGCAGAAGGAGTTCGAAGATGCCGCGTTCGCATTGGAGCCCGGCAAGGTCAGTGATGTGATCGAGACGGCTTCTGGACTGCACTTGATTGAACGGTAAGCAGCCCACCCCTCGCGCATTTTAATATACAGTCGCCAACAGCTCTGACTATCATTTGAACCACGTGGCACTGCATCGAACCTGACTAACCTTGGAGATCTAGACTGGAGTAAATTACGAGTAATACTCATATTGTGGCTTCAAGGCGTACGGTATGGGATGAGCTATGTGGAAAAGCGTGTTTGTAAACAGCGTCTTGTTTTAGCAGACCGCAATATGACGTGCGCAATGATATAGGTAGGATGCATGACTAAGATGATGATAAGGTAAATGTCTCGCATTACCCCAGCAGCAGTATCATTCGAGGAGTATTACTTGCATAAAGTGTGTTGGCTATGGTCACCACACCAACAGCATAAGCTCGACAGCACGTAGCCTGTCTCATCTATTCTTTGACCTGAAACCCTGCCTTGCACTGATAACATCCCTGAAGCGGTCATAAACTTGAACATTGATGCCATGGACGAGGCGACATCCGTCTGCTGTTGCGTAAAGACATGGGGGGGTTTAAAGAGGAATGAGTGAGAGCGGCACGAAGCCATCAGGAATTGCTGTGCTCTCTATAACAGCAGCAACAGGAGGCGTGATACTTGTGGCGTGTATGTGTGTGTACGTGTGTGTGTATTTGTGTATGTCTCCGAGTACTAAATTTGGACTCTTCTTCCTCCCAGCCAGGACGTTCCAGGATCAAATCTGTTACACGGATGCCTCATCAGCCTCTCTTGGCAAAAGTGCATGGTCACAACACGGCCACAAACAAAACGCGCTGCGGCCGGGACAGAAGCTCTCTTGATTAGCATCTCGTTGCGCGATGGTATTCTGCAGCTACAGCATCAACGAATCCGGCGGTTTGCGGAAGGGCGACACGAGATGACGAGCAGAAAATGTAGCACGACATGAGCCAGGAATCCCCGGCTGGTCGACGCCCACATCGCACTTCAGCAACCAGGGAGCGTTCGTTTCGAGGTCGAGCGGTCATAACGATCATCCACCATCCACCATTTACAATCCACCCCCTCCCCCCCCCTCTGCCCCCATGAATCCCAACCCGGCTCGAAGTGTATGTTGACCAGTGACGTCTTGATGTTTCGGAGGGAGCAAAGAAAGCGTGGGATTCCTAGATGTCCGTGGTACGGAAACCTCAGCGCATCTCCCCGGCCGGCGAATCGATTGGCGCAACGACCGGTCACGTGGCCCGGGAATGTTGTACGAAATCATCCTGGCCACGCATCAGCTCATCTCTCCGTGTTGCCGTCTCCACGAGTTTTTTTGTATTATTTAATTATCCACTCTTTCAGACTTCCAGTACGCGTGCAACATCCCTTCATCCTCATCTACTTGGTACCTACGTAACATCCATGTCTTCTTGTCTTGGCCAAAATCCCCGGTTTCCCATTGTTGTCCATGTCCCCCAACCAAATCCAGGCTGTGCCCCTGGCTGACTTCACCACCTGTCTTTTTTTATACAAAGGGAGGCCCGCTTCCTCTCTGTTTCTTTGCCTAGCACCATCATCCACTCATACCTGTCCACTGTTGCTTGACATATATCCATCGTCCCCAAGCAAGCCCTACACTTCTTGGCACTTCCGTGTTTGTGCTTTCCGGATCTGGCTCCGGATCTCCTTCACAACCAGTCTGTTGTCGTCGATTACAAACATCAACATCTCCAGCCACAGTTTCCTCCGAGTCCTTTACATTCCTCTATCCTCCTCTCCTCCATCCTCTTCGACTCCTTTTGCTCTATCATTCCTACTATACCCCAAAAGTGATACCCACGCCAGTCCGCTAGCCTGAACAGCTGGCGACCGATCCATACTGACCCAAAGTCCTTCCTTTCATCGAACATAACCTCAAAATCCAAGGCTCAGTCAATATGCCTCTCGAGTCGACCACTCCCAAACCGACACTGGTGCCTGCACCACGTATCTCCAACCCTTCTGCGAGTCCAGCACTCCACTCCCGCGAGCGTCATCATCCAAGACGCTCCTCAACCCGCCAGTCGTTCTCGTCAAACGTACGACGCAACTCTTCTCTCTCTAGCCAACCTTCTGACATCTGTCGGACCCTCGTTGCTCAGGACCATGACTCGTTCAGCTACGACACCGACCACCTCCGCGAGTGGTACATGTCCTCTGGCCTATGGACTCAGCTTCCCCAGTCGCTCCGTGACAGCATCACGACGCTTCAGCACGCCGGTGCCGCAGTCTCCACGTCCTTCCAACGCCTCCAGGACCTGAAAAGCCAGATGATCACCGAGATAGAGGAAGGCAAGGACGAGGACGAAGAAGACCTCCTGTCAAGCTCCAAGATGAGCGCCTTGAGCCTTGCTGAGCCCGCGTACCCGTATCACGACGATTCTGGCCTCGGACCATCTCCAGCAGAATCGTTCGCCAATATCAAGAAGAAGTTCGGATCAATCACCATCCTCGACCGTACGTGCTCTGACTCCGTGATCCGCAGCGTGCCCGCTCTGTCAATCGGCTCCTCGCCCTCGCCCCCTGTCTCAGCCGTATCCGATACATCGCTGCCTCCAACCCCCGTCTCACCCATCACCAAGGCCGGCTACGCTTTCGGCGGTGGCGCCAACCTACCCTCGCCCTCTCCACTGCCCACAAAGACGGGATCCGATGAATGCAACTCCCCTGCTCTCAGCACAGAGCGCTCCTTCCAGCTCCCAGCCAAACCCATGACCGCCTACTTCCGCGCCGAGCTCTTCCACCTCAAGTCCGAGACTCTGGTCCGACTGCGCCACGCGAGCCGCAAAGTCGACGTGGAGATCTTCGAGACGGAGGGCGCGCTCGACAAGGCGTTTCGGGAGTGGTGGGTGGCTACCAAGGAGAAGGTCGACTCGTGCGAGCGCAGGGTGGTCGAGATGACGGCGCACTTGTGATTCTGTGGCACTGCACGACGGCATGACAGCCTGGTCTGCACCTGTGGCAGCACATGCAAGCTATGCAATCTTGAAGGGACGTGGTTGCGGGCGTTCTGTGTTTGGAACGAGAGATATTATACCATGAGTGAGCAAAACGTTGAGAGCAGGACTTTTGACATGTATTTTTTTTTTGCATTGGGCTACGTTTGTCTCGTCTCGTCACGTCACAGTGGCTTGACTTGGCTTGCCTTGACTCTCTCTCTCTCTCCTAAAGACCTAAACGGATCAATTTCCTTCTTTTTTGGTTCTTGGATGGCCCGAGATAGTAAGTAAGTGGCTATGGTGGCTATGGTGGCAATGATGAAAGATTAAGAAAACGAAGCCATTACCTATATACATGTCTGTGTTTGTGTTTGTGCAAATGGCGTATTGGGGCGCTAACTTAGATTGGGATTGGATCACTCCGATATATATATTTGCTTGTGGAATGGAATGGATATTTTGGGTTTAATTACATGTTGTGTTGTGCTGTGTTGTTGTGAAGTTCTGTTTGGTTTTGCGGGGAGGGGGTTGGGTTCAGGGGGCTAGGTTTACGGGAGAGAGGGGTAAGGAGGGAGGGATGACATTGGATTATGAATTTGAGGAGTGCTTGTTTTGATTTTTTGGTGATTGTGTTTGTGAGTATGTGATCAATCTACTGGTCTTGGAGTGTGATGTTTTGGTTCTGGCGTTGATACCTTCATGCCTTGGTTGACTGAGCACGACAGTATTGGGTATTGAGGGATATCGATGGAAGGTGGGAGGATCCATTGTTGGGAATTCATTGCGGGGGTGTAAGGGACATGACTCGTGCGTACATGTACATACGTACGTGTGTGCTTTTTAATTCTTCTAATTCTCCGACCCTTCTCTGCATAATTCTCCGGTGGAAGATTCCGCGCGTTATCGATATTGGTGATACGCGTAAGTGTACGATGGGAAAAGGTGGGCAAAGGTGGGAAAGGCAGTTATGTGGTGGGTAATGCATCATGGATGAGGAAGTTCCGGGTTGTTGATTCTGATGGAACACATGTTTCTGCGTGGAGGGCGGCAGAACGGGGCAAATCATGAGAAACTCAAGGGTCTTTGATCTAGTCTAGTCTTTGTGGGGATGGATGTTTGGGTTTAGGACTTGGACTTCCCAAGCGTGGGGGTTTCTCCAGAATTTCTTGGAACATGGATGGGTTTCGATTGCGTTTGGATGGATTTTGCATGTGTGTTAGATGGAGCATGGGTGTTAATTAGATCGTGGGCATAGATCGTTGGTAAGACGTCCTATCTCGGGGAGAATAGGTAGGTGGATTGGGTGGTTCGTCGGAACCGCGCGGTTGTTCGTGGTATATCGATCGAGTCGTAGTGGGTGTCGTAGTATAGTGAATCCTCCTGGGGTTTTCGAGTAGTTTTTTGTCGAAATCGAACTTCGCATTTACTTACCTTGAGTTACTTTGCTTACTTACCACCGGAGATATAACTTCTAAACACGGTCACGGGGATTGTATGTTGCTGGTATGTAATTTGTTTACTGTTTTATACTGCACTGTACTGTGCCCGGGTGTAATGTGCTATCTGCGGAATGTGTATGTAAGGTAAGGTGATTTCCTATCTTGTCTCGACATGTCATAACAGAGGGCGATTTCCCCCCTCAATTAAAGTTGTATGTGGCAAGAAGAAGGGTTGTTTGTTCTCGGGCGGAGTTGTATGTGGCGAGTATCAGCATCCCTTGCGTCAATGGGGTGTGGGGTAAGAAGTAAGGGGACGTGAAATAGGACCGGGATGGAATAGAAGATAGAGTGTTGTTGGTAGACATGGTAGGGATGGTTGATTGGGTGTGCTGTTGTTTTATGCCATGCCATGCTACACCATGCTATGATTGCTATCCTATGTTATCCTGTTTTATCCTATGCTATCCTATACTATCCTATGTTATCCTATACCGTCCTAAGCTATCCTGTACTATCCCATGTTACGCCATGCCATGCTGCGCCCTACCGTGCCGTACTGTAACACACCACTCTATACTACGCCGTGTTACAACTCCATAACCTAGCTCCACCTCATCCATTCCGTCCGTTTACGTAAGATACGATGCTATACTGTCGTATACCACACCATGCTAATAAAGTGATTCATCAGAGTATCTCGGCTGTGATATGTTCAGAATACATGGCGTGGAAGGGCTGTAGGATGAATGGACAAATGGAGAGCCGGGAGGTCGAGAGGGTAGGTATGGGAAAGAGGAGTCCGAATGAAACAAACGGATTAGAATCAAGAATCTTATTTTATCGAGATATCCCCCACCGGCATCCCACATCAATCTGCACCCCGACTCCCCACGCCAATCCCCAGCACCCACTTACCCCCCTCATTCAACACACGCCTGACTCATAAACAGACTCCTCCCACATACCTCCCACCCCATGACCAGCAGCACAACAGGCGCCACACCGAGCACCAAATCCACAAACCCCAACAGACTGCCCCGCCCGTCCAGCGGAACCCCGAACTGCGTAAACAGCGCCGGGCTGGCAAACGGCAAGACAGCGCCTAAAGACGTTGCGGCGTGGTTTTCGTATACGTCGGCAACGTCGTTGACGAACGGCAATGTAGGTGGCGTAGATGCCATGCCGCTGCCGACGCAGGCGATTGTGAAGGCGGGCACGATGTAGTGGATGCCCAGCCGTACGAGAAGAGCCACGCTTATGGAGAGAAAGTCTACCCGGCACGGCGGAGTAGAGGCGGCTTGCTGGGAGGACGTGCCGGGCCGCTCGGTGATGCAGCGGGTGATGGAGAGATTGGGGGTATCTGAAAAGGGGCTCAGGCCGGTGGCGAGGAGGGTGGCGGCGCAGGTCTCACGTAGAAACGGGTAGAAGACGGGCAGGAGGCCAGTGTAGATGGCGAGCTGGAGCCAGTATATCCAGCGCCGCACATGAACGGTCCAAGCATGATGCCGACGACAGAGGGGGCAGCCGAAGATGGAGATGGGCGAGCTGAGTCCCGAGCAGCCTTGTCAGATGTCCGTGATGGTGCCGCCGATGATGGCTATGCCGATAGAAATTTGCGTCACCGCAATCGAAGAAGCGAGTAATTAAGAGTATGGCAGACTTCGGCACTAGGGCTGAGCGTAGGAGGAATCTCAGGAACAGGATGAGCAGCGGGAAGATGTCAGCGCCCTTCCACATCCCAAGATATCGGTGCAAAAAGAACAGTTAAGGTAATGTGGAATAGTTAATGTTGAAGCGAGTAGCTATCTTGTCATCATCGGCACCGTAAGTACTCGCCGAAAGACTGGTCAGGATGGAGATGAGGCATGTCGTCGGGGTCAAGAGCCACTTGCGGCAACGCGACCGGTTGAAAAGGTCTTCGGAGTCGTTGGGCAGGGAGGAGATATCATCGCGTGCGTGTACTTTAGGATGGAGATAATGGCCTCTTGGACTGAATGTGTTGATGTAACGCTGAGTATTGTCAGGACAACATCAGACTAATAGATAAGACAGGAGGACATAAGGCATCGAACATGACCATTGGTAGAAGGACTTCCAATACCATTCATTGTCTCTGTCTGGAGAATTTCGAGCCGCATGACAATGCCATGCTGACGACACGAGTCTTGACGACACTCCCAGATGATATGCAGGCTACGAGGAGACATCCACCAGTCCTTCGTCCAAGATCCAAGCAGGCATTAACACAACTTAAAAAGTCGTGAACACCCTCACAACAATGTGTCATCTACCGCTTAGCACCAGCATGTCCCGAGACATAGAGCGATCCGCCAAAGGGCAAGACATACATCCACTCCAATTCCAGGATAACATACAAGTCGAAGTCCACGATGGTTCAAAAGGCCCTCCGAGACCTGGGTGTAACATATGGCGGACGACACAGGTACTCAAAGTAGAAATCAACAAATTCGGCTACTGTACTCCACTGGATTCCCTTCGAGACGGTCGCTAGCGACACACTTGGGTTCCATACGAAGAGATGGCCCATGGGGCATGACAGGTGAGGAAGTGCTGGGCGTTGTGATGGATGCCATGGATGATCTATTATCGCTGTACGACGTGTTCTGCACTTGATAGGTTAGCAGATGAGCTGATAATGCTGGATCTTATAGTATGTTGATTGTTCTGAGAGTGGTTGGTTGGTCTGAAGTTCTAATGGATGCCTGCCAGGTTGGGAAAAGCGCCTGGGCATGGCAGAGTCTAATTCAACATCGCGAGCCGGTCTATCACATTCGTACGCAAAAGATGAAGATGACGCCTGATCTGATATTGCCTAGGAATGAGAAGGTTTTGATGGTTGATGTTCTGATGTTTGGTTTCAAATGCGACTAGAGCGCTTCGAGCCGACCAGGCCGTGCCCTAGACGTGGGACGAGGTTGCGTCATTGTCACGATATCGATGGATGGATCCATATTCATGCTACTTACTCACTTATTCACTCGCTTACTCACTTACTCACTCCACAATCATACGAGAGTCTGACATTATCTTCTCTCCATCCTTTGCCCCAACTACACAAATACCACCGATCCCCCGATTGAACACCCCTCAGCCCTCCACACATCTCCCACAACCACGCACAATGCCACCCCTAATCCTCGCCATAAACGCCGGCTCCTCCAGCGTCAAAGTAACCCTCTACGACTCCTCCACCCTCACATCTACAAACACCCCAAAGTCTATCGCCCAATGCACCATCGACGGCCTGACCGCCCCGCCCGCAACCCTCAAGTACCACCACCACCAGTCCGAAAAGCCCATCTCGCGCGAGGTCGAGGGCGTCACCACACAGGAGGACGCTTTCAAGGCCATCATGCAGCAGCTGGAGCAGGACGAGGGGCTGGTGGAGGTTGGGAGCAAGGCGGATTATGCGTATGTGTGTCATCGGGTTGTGCATGGGGGCGAGTTTGCGGATGCGCAGGTTGTGGACGAGGAGACGGTGCAGCGGATTGAGCGGTTGAGTGATTTGGCGCCGCTGTATGTTTATACATTTTCCTATATTCCTTCCCTACAGACTGGCACGTCCCTCTTTTCCACTATTACCCTCTCCATATCCCAATCTACATCCTAATCAACATCCACAACCCCCTAACAAACACCCCTAAAACAGCCACAACACCCCCGCCCTCACCCTAATCCGCACCTGCACAACCCTCCTCCCGCCAAAAACCCGCCAAATCGCCTTCTTCGACACAACCTTCCACACCACCCTCCCCCGCGCCATCACCACCTACCCCATAAACCGCACCATCGCCCACACCAACGCCCTCCGCAAGTACGGCTTCCACGGCCTCTCCTACGCCTCCATCCTGCGCCTCACATCCAGCCACCTGAACCTCTCCCCGGCAGCCACAAACATCATCGCCTTGCATCTCGGCTCCGGCGCGTCGGCATGTGCGATCCGTGGCGGGAAGAGCGTGGACACGAGTATGGGGCTGACGCCTGCTTCGGGTTTGCCTGGTGCGACGAGGGCAGGCAGTGTGGATCCGAGCTTGGTGTTTCATTATACGCATCGGGCGGGCCGGATGAGTCGGAGTAGTGCGCGGGATATGCATGTTACGTATGCGGAGGAGGTGCTGAATAAGGAGAGTGGGTGGGCGGCGCTGGCAGGGACGACGGATTTTGGGGTGATTAGTGCGCGGGCTATGGCTGATGGTGGTGATGGTAAGGGGGATGAGGGGGCGCGGCTGGCGTTTGACGTGTTTGTGGATCGGATATTGGGGTTTGTGGGCAGTTACTATGTTGCGCTGGGCGGGCGTGTGGATGCGCTTGTTTTTGCGGGCGGGATTGGGGAGAAGGGGGTGGAGTTGCGGAGGGCGGTGGGTCGTGGGGTGGAGTGTTTGGGGTTTGAGATTGATGAGGTGCGGAATGCCGATGTTGGGAATGCGGCGGTGGTGGATATTGGGCGGAGAACCGAGGGCGAGAAGAGAGTGCTTGTCGTGCGGACGGATGAGCAGGGGGAGATGGCGAGGGGTTGTTTGGAGTACATGGAGAAAGAGGCGAAGGAGACGAAGGAGACGAAGGAGGACGTCTAGGCTCGAATTTGCGTGTACAGAGCAGTAGACAACCATAGTATGTTAGTGATTGTTCACATACGCATGGTCTGGCTTCATCAGGTATCGCTATGGATATATCAACTTTATCCAGACATGGTGCCTCAAGAGGGCAGCACGATCAAAACTTGCAAAGCGTCTGCAGAACGTCCTTTGTGCTGGTCCCGGTCTCCTTGACAAGCTTGGCAATCGTCTTGAACCTATCGCCAAAGTCAGCAAATTCCACAACTCACTCTCCATTCGTCGCAGCATACTCAGCAATTCCCGCGTCTCCCATGCACTCGTAGATCCAGCTCTCACTCGTCGTTACCGTCGCACCGGCACTCCTCAGTCGCGCCAACGCAATCGGGACTTCCTCCCTGTTCACACTACTAACCCCGTCCGCAAGCACATAGACCTTGTGTCCAGCAGCAAGCAGATCCAGTGTCGTCTGGGTGACGCATATGTGGCTTTCGATACCTACAATCACAACCTCGTGTTTCTGCCCGGACTTGCTGTTTGGCAAAGAGGAGACGGCGGCTTGGACCTCGGGCGTCCACATGGAGAACAGCGTCTTGTCAACGTGGGCGATGGTGGGTATGCCGTCGGCATCTTTGGAGTCGAGCTTGAGGTCAGGTACGGTTTCGCCGAGACGAGCGCGGTTCTGGGTCGAGGCTACGACGGGGATATTAAGGGCTTGGCCTGGCGATTGTCAATTTGCTGCGCGGAGAATGAGGGAACAATCAGCAATTGAAAACGTACTTGCGCGCAGAACTTTCTGGGTGGTGGTCACGACCTTTGCAAACTCGTGGATGGCCGGTCGGAACTTTTCCTGTAGGTCGCAGATACTGTTGTGGGCGACGGTTAGGGCTGCGTGGACTCGGATGAAGGGAAAGAGAGGGGGGATGGTATTAGGTACAAGATGATAGGATTTACTGTTGGTGGTGGCTGTTAGCATGCATTCACTGCAGAATGGAGGGAATGGAACGCAGCACTTACGTAGTCTTCGCGACATAGTACTTTACGGCTCAATGCGGAAGTATGTGTACAGGAGAGTGAATGGACAAAGATATGGAAGGACGGGAAGGAACGAAGGGAGGATGGATGCACGTCATGCTGTTCCGGCACCAGATCCCTGCTTAGTTGTTGCCTGAGGCGTCAAAAGTGGCGCCTAAATTGCGGGGTGTCCAGTCCCCGAGTATGCAGCCCGCCAGCCACTTGCACATCACCACCATAACCACCACAACCACCACCGTATCATGACAATGATGTGCGATGGCATATCACAGCCACAGCCGAGGGAACCAGGCAGAGAGACATTTGTGGCTCTCAGTTTACTCGAGTCTTGCTGCATGTGTGTCTTGTAGTCCTTGTCCGGTCAATTCTGTCATTTTGACCTTCCTCTACGAGTCAGCATAGCGTTTCGACCTGGTGTTGATCATAATTAATTACCTGTTCGATTCAAGGGACGCAACGCGCAGGGCTACCAGACAGCAGAAATGACTGCTTGAGAGTGGCACCTAATATCCAGCTCGGAAACGCGGGAGCCATCGCCAGGGCGGCCGCTGTCTACCGCTCGGTTTAGGCCCCGCCTCGCCGCTCTTCAAACATGGCCGTATGGCTGTATGGCTGTATGGCTGTACGGACGTAATTATGGCTGTAGGAGGATTGACAAGTCGCCTGCCAACGCCATGCAGGTCCCGTAACGCGAATGCTGCTATGGCTAACACCGTATGCTCATTCATGTCCGCTGGTCAGCCGGATACGCATCGCCGTACTACACACCCAGTCAGCATCAGCATCAGCATCATCAATCATCAAAGATATGGCCTAACGGGTCGAGTGCTGCTGAGTCAATCTCGCGCTCTCAGCTGGGGATGAGCGGAGCTGGCCACAAAGGTACAGCCACCACGGTAGTATACTGGTCTGAACATCTCTCGGGAGCATCTGACAAGCATCTCTATTCCATTCAGACAGAGGACAATGATGAGCCTCCTGTTGAAGCCGTGACTGTACTGTTGAGGCCGTTGACTTGTTCATTCTGCTCGAGCTGTGAGAGCGAGCCGCTTCGATTGCTCGTGAGCAAGTACAGCAGTGTGGACGAGGCGAACGATAGCAAGCAGGTCTGTTGTATACATCATATACATATGTATATCCATCCTGGTCAGCGTGGTGCTTGGGTGGGTGGTTAGTGTATTAGTGGGTAGGTCGAGTGCCCAATAATGAAATCTGTGGGCGGTTTTGGGCGTGGGTGCGGGTTAGTTCTAGCGTGCCTGCCGCAATTGTCGACTTCCCTCTTTGCTGCGCTTCCTCCAGACCCTCATCGTACTGACTGACTGTCAACTTTGGTATCCATTGAAATCATTCTTACTGCTGCCATTCACTCGACCTCATCCCTCCTCGCCAACCATCTACTCGTCACCACTCCGCTCCACCCTTCCACCCTTCGTCTCACACATTCGTCCTCTTCTTCGCCTCTTGCAAAGGCCTTGTATCTGTCTAATTTTATCTCTCTCTTTGCGCCTTGCTCCGCTATAGGCGGCCACCGTCTTTCCAGACAAGGGGGGGCGTACCATCCTCAAATCTGCTACGATTCACGATTTGCTACAGAACGCCCATTCACGCTTCTACGCACTTGACGACTCACTCTCTTACCAGATCTTCCTCCTTCCTTTGACGTGGTGCATTCGCTTGCTCGGTGCGGCCTTTGTACTTCTGCAACGTCCCCTGTTGTCTGTCATTTTACCGATCCTCGTCAATATACGACACGCCGCCTATATAGCTCACCATTGCTTTGCAAAAGCCACACCGACTACAAAATTATATCTGGAACAGCGTCTCTCTTGCTCTGCGATTTCTTCTTGGATTTAGCGCTCATACCATTGCCTTCTGATTCTGCAGCTCGAACTTGAGCCTTCCGCCACCCGTACCTCCTCCCACTCTCCCCATCTCGACCAACAATCCTTCAAGATTCCCTACCTACTTCCAGCTTCGGTCGCCACAGTGTCTTCAAGCAGGGAAGCTGGTGCGCAAGGCAGTAAAACCGGTCAAAACTCTGCACACAAGGCGTCAAACACGCCGCGAGGGCCGCGGAAGAGGCTCGATGGGAAGGATATCGGCACTACCATCTCAGAGTGTGGCATCACTACGATGACATCAAGAGAAGGTCCAGCTATGAGTACACTGAGAAATGAGCTCCCACTGCAGCCTCTGAGACGCTCTGCGCAAGTATCGCAACCATCCAGCTCCGTCCCTACCACGCCCTTCCAACATCCTCGCGCTCGCTCAAGATCACCATCCCCGCGTGCCACTCTCGGTGGCCACTCTCCACGTTCTGTCACCTCAGAGACAAATGGCCCTCTACCTTCCTTACGAAAACCACGCGCGTCAGGATGTCGCTACGAGACAGGTGGCGTCTCTAGCCGGAGACGGATACCCTACAACATTGGCGACGCTCCTCTAGACAAGATCGAAAATGTGAAACAGCATTTGAGTCCAGATGAGGACAAGAAGCTTACTGCTGATATGAAAGAGTTGTACGATCGCTTACTTCCAACCCAGGAGAGTGAGCGGAGCAGGTCAAAATTGGTTCAAAAACTAGAGCACATTTTAAAGACTGAATGGCCTGCAGAAGACTTCAAAGTTCACGTTTTTGGGTCTTCTGGCAACATGCTCTATACCAGCGACTCAGATGGTATGTCCTTCTGAACCGGCAGGGTCGTGAAGACTGACAATTCTAGTCGACATTTGCATTCAAACCCCGATGAAGGCACTGGAGAAAATGCACTACTTGGCTGATGCCCTTGCACGACGTATGCTTGCTCGTTGTCAGTCGTCCGGCGTGGCATGGATGCTAACGAGATACCAGATGGGATGGACCGTGTGGTGTGTGTGCCGTCTGCGAAAGTCCCAATCGTCAAGATCTGGGATCCGGAGCTGCTGCTGTCATGTGATATGAATGTCAATAATACATTAGCCTTGTCAAACACGCGCATGATCAAGACGTACGTCCAGATTGATGAGCGGGTGCGACCTCTGGCGATGATCATCAAACATTGGACAAAGCAGAGAATTCTGAACGACGCTGGTATGTGACTGTCCAGCAGTGTCGTGCTTGTTCTAATTGGTGTAGCTCTCGGCGGTACCCTTAGCTCGTATACCTGGATCTGCATGATTTTGAACTTTCTACAGACGCGAGACCCACCCATTTTACCTTCACTTCATAACATAGCAGGGCATAGAAAGCTAACTAGCGATGGCACCCAATCGGAATTCGCAGACGACCTGGACGCTCTCAGAGGGTCTGGAAAGTCGAACAAAGAAACTCTGGGTCAATTACTCTTCCATTTCTTCAGACTTTATGGTCATGAACTGGATTACGAGACTTCGGTCATCTCCGTCCGGAACGGAAGGTTACTTTCGCGCAGGGAGAAGAAGTGGCACGTGGACGATCGAGTCAAAGAGGGGCGGGATAGACTTTGCGTCGAAGAACCTTTTAATGTGTCGAGAAATCTGGGCAACTCAGCGGACGATACCGCGTTTCGTGGTATTCATGAAGAGATACGACGTGCATTCGACTGTCTCGCGAACGGAGGCCGCTTAACCGAGGCCTGTGAGCAGTATGAGTATCCCACCGAAAATCCGCAATACACCGAGGAAAATGGGATATTCAAGAAGCCCAGTGCAACAAAGGCAATTCTCACCTCAACAACGCCCACTTCGACGCGAGGCGGCCGCGGTGGATCTGGCTCCAAGGCGCGTGGTGTCTCGAGTCGACAAGGTACGCACATGTATGGCCGAAGGGCGTCAAGCGCTGCAAGTTTCGGCAACAATCGCCCTCCATTCTTACAAAGTCCATCGCTAGGTCCACAGGAATACGTGAATGATCTTCACAAACAGCTCTATCACCAATATCAGCTCCTGGAGCAACAAAAGGCACAGCTGTACGCGCAGACACACGCAGGCGCGCATCATGCTCAGCTGCAAGCACATCTACAAGCTCAGGCACAGGCTCATGCGCAGATCATGGCTCAATCTCAGGGGCGAACTCATAGTGTCAGTGGATCACCCCAAATGTCCGGCTACACGTCTGGGATGACAAGCCCAAGGATGTCGGACAATGGTCCCGCGACAGCGCCTCTGTTCCATGGATACTTATACCACTATCCGCGAACCTTGGAGCAAATGGCGTCTGCGGCATCACCGGACGGCAGCAGTCGGACAAATCCTTCGTCGCCATCCCTAGCAGCAACAATGCCATATCTTCGGCGGACGGTCCATCGCAGCTCTGCGGCAAGTGACACTCCAGCTGCATCGGTAAGATCACACTCTCAGCCTGCTCGCGTCTTCCCTCCTTCACACGCCATTCCGGGCTATCCAATCCCGGCGATACCACCAGAGTATCTGTCACAGCCCCGTTACGACCTACATCAGATGCAACATCCATTGCAAGAGGCAGCACCCCAGCAACCCACAAGCGCCGAGCTCCCTCACCAGCCCTTAAACACTAGTACGAATCTGCCGCAGCCGGTTCAGCCAGCTGATCGTGGGATCCCAAAAGAGTATCTGGGCTATTATATAGGCGAGTCACCCAAGCCACAAGACTTCACAGTCCAGCCTATTCCTTCCTGGAGCGAGATCGAAGGACGCCAGCGCCAGCGAAGAATCATACCAGAACACCACACAAGCTCACTGTTCCCGAGCTCGCTGAAGTACTCAAGATCGCCCTCTCCACTTGGCAGTCATTTTCGAAGCTTTTCCACCAGCGAAGGTCTTGGCTTGACTCCAACTGGAGCTGCGCGTCCTGGCAAAGCAGACAGATTAGGCTCAGTACAACCAAATCCAGAGAACGGGCTACTCATTGTGAATGGATCATACGATCCAGGCAGGGTCATACCTTCGCGAGATGAGGTTGAAAGCTCCAGGAGTGCCACGACATTATCAGACACGTCGCCGTCCGATAGTGTCTTCCCGCTGGAACTTCCTGAGCCACGCCAGAAACAACTTCAAGCCAATGAGCTTTTGCAGCGGCGTGACATTGGAGATCATTCCACACGTAATGGAGGTCATGTCACTGCTCCTTCAAAGGGTCCGACCATTGTCAGCTCATATTCTTCAGCGTCTGCGAACTCCATGGCGTCCCCTCGTTGGAAAGACTCGAATGGCGATGCTGAGACCATGAACAGATCGGGAACTCGCGAGGTTCAATCACAACGACACCACCAACCTACCGAAGGCATTCAGGCTATCGAAATTCCTAAAAGTCGGGAGAGCTTCCTGCACGAACCCAAATCTGCTGGTCTAGGTCCATTGCTATCTCCCGTGCTGGAAACCCGGACACCATCTCCAACAGCCAGCCGTGCTCTTGAGACTCGAAGCTCTAGTCAGGTCAAGCCTCTCTTACATGCCGTACCAAACGGGAAGACTAATAGCGAACATCGTCCTATTGCTCTGCCACCAAAGTCATCAACGGACTCCAAACAGTCACAAAAGGCAGCTCTTCCTAGGATCACTACGGATACGAATCAATTTGAAACAAACGGTCTGCCCAATAGCGCCAGTACACCACAATCTGGAGTATGGCAGAAGACGGGTTCTAAGAAGAGACTGAAGAAGAAGAATGGTGGTGCAAAAGCAAATGGAGAGGCAAGTAAGGGCTATGGGGAGCCACTTCCCGTCAATGAAGCAGATAGAAAAGGAGGGTAGTCTCGAACTGAATCGACAGACTGTCGCCATCAGATCGACATTTGATACCACAGTCTACATGGTGTCATGCGGAGCTTGGCCATCCGCGATTTGAAAAGCACTACGATAGATCAGACATCCCGCCTACTCACAGCGAAAAGAGGCGTCAGGATCTGGTCATCATCAGCAGACGTACCTGAAGTCCTTGGTTCAGACTGGAGTCCAGGACTCTACCGAACTCAACTTGCGACAGAATCTCAGCGCGTTTTTCTGTATATACCGTCTTGGAACAGGGACGCACATCGACGCCGAGGCATTGATCGTCCATGTCCAGTCATTAAGGGCTTTTCTCCTCTGAGTTGTGTCACTATAAAAGCCCAACTCCCAACCATTGCTGTGGAGAGACATACTAGAAACAGCTAGTTGCATGCATACTGGACTAAAATGCATTGATTTTGGCGTTGACTTCGCTTTGGTATCTTTTCATCAATCTTCTTTTTTAGCAAGCAAGCAAGCGATGAGCCCCCTCCTCCTCTACCTGCCCTCTACCTTTGTGGCTTTTCAGGCTGGCCGGCTGGCCGGTGAATGGTTGGTAGGTTGGCAGGCTGGAAGGTGGTGGGTTGTTGGCTTTTGTTGGAGGGGGGAGGTGAAAATGAGGACTTCAGGGAGCTTGTGTTATTGGGTTTTTATTTTATAGTGTCACATCGTGGCGAGGCGGCATTCTGTATCGCGGGCGAGTCACGGGGGAAATTCAAAGTCAGTGTTACATATGTTTTGATAGAGGAAAATTCTACATATGTTTAAAATGCCCTGGGTCAGGCCGAACGTGTGTGCGTGTGTGTATGTAGCACTCTAGAGATTTCTGTGTGAGACGTATTGTTTTTGCTTTCACGGACGTGTACCTATATACACCTGGTGCAGAGGCATATGGCCCTCCATCTATACCGGGTACTCCTTTCCAACACGGACCATGGACGAAGAGATCAGTCGTTACTGACGGAGACGGTAGCCGTAGGTCTTTCCAAATTTCAACCGTAGAAGTTTCGTCTGGTATAAGCTCTTCCTCGATCAGAACTCAGGGGGGAAGGAAGAGATGAGAAGGCTGTTATGATCTGAATATAAAAGCCAGTTTCCATTCCCTTACTCTTCTCTTCCTCTCTTCAGCTGGCATCATAACACAATCCGCCAGAACATCCATTCTTTGCTCTTTTCACAGAGCTATTACTATCTTCTTTCGTTCTTACCCTTTGTATATTTTTTATACAAATTCATTCTTTGGTGCCCATCCCTTCCGCATCTTCCGTTGCCTCAGCCCTCTCCACCACTCCCTCGACCTCCTATCTTCGACCTCCCCCCGAACCCCGAGCCGCCAGCAGAGACGATGGCGGACATGTCCTCCTGGTGGGACAAGGCTGGCATCCTTGGCACCTGGGCGACGTGCGTCGCCTTCGTTCTCAGCTGGGCTTGCATCCAGCGAGCATGGTTCGGGCAAGGGGATGGAAGTGAGAGGAGGATTGAGGAGGCGGTGGAGAGAGAGGTGCGGAGGAGAATGGAGGAGATGGAGGAGAGGGTGAGGGTGTGGCTGCGGAGGGAGGAGGAGAGGAGGGGGAGAGAGGAGGAGAGGTTGTGGGTGTGGCTGCGGGGGGAGGAGGAGAGGAGGAGGAGAGGGAGGGGAGGGAGGAGGAGAGGGAGAGGGAGGTGAGGAGAAGGGGGAGGGGGGTTGGAGACTGCTCCTGGTGAGCAGTCAGGAGAGCCAGCCGGGCCTCATAGAGAACCGAATACCGTGGTTCTCTAGGCCGCCAACCGAATCCTAGGTGCGATACGGCGCAGCACCAACCTAGGATGACAAGCACAGTCGTACACGGCTCAGACGTGTCCTGTGACCTCAGCGAGGGTTTGCACTTTTACGCAGTGCTGAGGACGAGTACCTTTCCGGACATAAACCCGGATTGGGAAACCAAGACAAACCCCAAACAAACTTACCTACCGACCACGATCGACTTTCGATGCTACAGGCTGGCATTTTTGGTGCTTCCAGGCTGACAGTCTCGAGGATTCTATGAAGTCGACATAGAGACTCCGAGGATCCAAGTTGACTAAATCCGAATCTCCATGCGATGGACATTCCGATCTAATAAGTCTGGGTCAGCTGTTTCGACGGTATGTGGCAATAGAAGACTGATTTGCACGGTTCAAGACTGGCTCTGTCGAAACTCTGATGCATTGAAACAACAAGTTCTTTGGATGCAAGCTAGTTGTTTGTGGATTCTGATGCAATGGGACTTCAAGTTACGTGAGTCCAAGCTGGCTTTCCGACTTTGGTCACACACCATAAAACAAGACAAGCGATTTCAGGTTTCGATGAGGTGGGATCCTAGATGCGACAAAACACCACAACACACTATTTCGAGGTTGTTCAGTTTAACATTCTGATACCAAGGGACAAAAGCTTTGATCTCTGCAGGCTATAGGGTGGAAGTTTCAGTCCGACAGGATCCCAGCTTCTCTGCATCCAGGCAAGTTTCTTTGAGATCCTATATCAACAGAGGGGAGACCAGATTTTCCCGAAGCAGATATCACAAAAAATGCTTCGTTCGCTTCATAATGGGAAATTCTTCAATTCGATACCGATACACCACTAGCAGTCTTTCCACAACGATTCACGTCAGACCGACACCCTGCAGGGTACGCCAAAACCCCTCCACATGAATTGCGATCTCAAACAGTCTGGTCGAGCAGTCGATCTTGAACGCCAAAACATTCAGCGACTCTCAACGGTCCAGCTCCATCCATTGGCGCACTGATCTCTGATACTGACGGTCGTCCAACAGCGACCTATCATAAGTTATGCGCATATCTCTGTCTCGGATGTTGTTGTGATGAGGCGAGTACCCATCAGAGGCGAAGCTAGTGAGCTTGCATGCATGTATCCTGTAGTCCAACATCCATAGTCTCATGTACCTAGTCTTCAAATCAAGAGTATACGACTGGCAACCTTTTGAGTAAGTGATGAGCTCTGATTGCAGTAGCATGCATGAACTTGGGACCGAAATCGAAAGTAACCATACTACTGAAGAAGTCCGCAGCGGACCGACCCGGGTAGTATATCGCTCTTGGTCACATTGAAATATCACTGCCCCCGAACGGATCCAATCACTTCGAAAACTCATTGCTCAAAACTTCTCACAATGCCTCAACATTGGATGTCGTTCGCGTCGGTGTCTGAACAGCTCAAACGCATACTGCGACGCACCAAAGATCACCCCAATGAAGGTGAAGATTTCCACGACGTCGTCCCTAGACCTGGTGGAAAAATGTCAGCCCAAACAGCTCCCCACCTTCCAGATCCCTTTAAGGACCGTCTTACAAGACTTCCGAATGAGTTATTGTTCCAAATAACAAGCTATTTGTCGGAGTCGGATAAGGGTAGCGTTGCGAGGACATGTGTACAGCTCTTTCGTCTTCTTCATACCGACAAGTTTAAAAATGATAGGACAAAGTGTATCAGAGGACGAGGCGCAAGAATATATCGCCAATTGTTCTCATGCGAGCGGTGTAGAGCACATGACCAGGCAACAGGGCCTCGCAGCTACAGACTTCGCTCAAGTCTCTGGTGTAGCGGATGCGGCGTGCATCACTGGTGGCACTACTTTTCGGACGAACAGCGAGAGATGGAGGACAAGAAACGCACTTGTATAGGGCGTCGTGGTAGCATCCGAGTATGTCCGCACCGCGACTTATCGTATAACGACCTGAAGGACATTCGTCGTCAAAATGATATTTCAACGCCATCTGCCGGGCTGGTACTGTGCGAGGCCCCGGATCACAGGCACGGGAAACAGCCTACGCTGTTCTTCGAGGAGGACGGATACGCTTCCATCATCAACGTGGACCGGGTGGCGACACTAGAATCCGACACCCGGGCGGCGAGATCGTCGTTCAAAGACACTCTGCTAGATACCCTGTTGGAAGCATGCGTAGCGGCTCCTATTTGCCCCCATATCGGGGCGTTGAAGCTATGGCTTACATTCAAGGACACCTTTGAGAAGTCCTGGAACCAGACGCCGAACGCATGTGCATCGGGCTTCGAACGCGATCAGCTTTGGCCACGTGCTTGTATGGGTGATACCGAGATCGAAGACATCTTTTGTCGGCCGGGCAGACGGGTGGCCCCGGACGAGTGCTACATTTGTTGGACCAGTTTTGACTTTTGGAAGCATCGGTGCCGTGGCATACCCGAGCTTGTGCTCTATCGGAGACGCGTCTTCCCCATCGCGCGGCCGGCGCACTCGCTCTGGCTGCGGAATCTCCGGGAGGAGGAGTTGAAGCTTGATCTGCCTCAGAGCTTAAAGCATAACACGTTCTGCAATGTTCCAGGTTGCAATAGGGGTTTTGTTGGGGAGTTGAAGTGGCATCACTTCCCTTCTGAAGATTACTATTGGAGGCCTGACAGTCCTGCTGACGAGGTTACTGTCGATCAGCCGTCGAGTCATAGTGCTGCCTGTTTTGAAATATGCCATCGTTTTGATAGAGGCCGCTGGAGAGTTGGTACTGGCTCCTGGGTTTCGAGATTCTGGAGCAGAGCGCCAGGAGAACCCTTATCCTCGACATCAGATATGGAATCAAAGATACGCGGCTCTTACTAGCATGGTGTTATACATGCAGTAAAGTCCATGTTTTCGATCACTCTACTGGACTTCCCCATCCATGACGGCCCGATCCTGTAGTCTTAGTAGAGCTGCAGTCCAAAGGCGACCGCCCCTTACCGCTTTCGGTCACTTGGCGCCCGGACTCAGACACTTGGAAAGTCCAGCTGTTTACTCCTCCAGCAGTCATCTCCACCTCTTTCATTTCTCATTTAACAATCCCATTTCATTCGCAAGACTAGTGCCGCATCACTTCATGTTCTGCATAAGCGCTTCCCTCCAATCGTGGCATAGAGTTGCTAGCTTGCTTGAACTGTGATGGAATGTATCATATTATCCTTCATTGGACCTCAATCGCCTGGCCAGGGTATGGTCAGCAGTCGAATCAGCTTCGACAGTCGAACTCAATCCAGGTCTGACAAAGAGTGCGTCCGATGGCTTGGTGGCTCTCCTGCGAACTCCGCCTGAATGTGGTCTGACGATCATATGGGAAGAGCAATGTTGCGGTCTAGCTGCCAATATAACCTGTGAGTAGCGACACATACTCACAGTAACTCTATACCCAAGGAGCCAAGTCCTCGTATCAATCCTGTTCCGGTCGGTTTACCACCTTCTCCTGCTTACACCACCCATTCTCACCGTAGAGTCTTGTAGTAAGCGTGCATATCTGCGCACGCCACTGTCCGACCATCTCAGTCTAGCCGGCATGGCTGACAACCATTCCTTTCCCGTTTTGTATCAAAGGATTCGATTGGCTTCGCCCAGAACGCAGCTATCGCCATTTATGTAAGGACAATTGATGCAAACCGGAATCATCATGCACATATGGCTGGCTGGTAGTTGCGTTTATCGGGAGTCGATTGGTCTGGTGACGAAAATACACGGGAGCTGTCGATGGAGTGTATGCTCAGCTCGAATTGAGTCGAGGCTACGGGTCCTGACACTTATATATTCTTTGGATTGAGCCCATTATTTCTAAACCTGCTCAAACTAACTCGCTGCTAGACCGGTTGTGCCTCGCGCCAGGAGTCAAGATGAGGTTTCTCGAAGCGTGCAAGTCGTTGGTCATTAGCTTCACTGCACTCTTCTCTACCTCTCCTTTCTCGGATAATTCGAACTCGCAGCAACCATTGGTAGAGTATCTATCAAATGGTCCTCCTGAACACGACGCCTACGCCAAGTTTCCTGTACGCTTTGATTCACCTAGTGGTATGTCGTAGCCGGTCACGTGTACATGTGCCACAGGTTTATAACTTCTTCAAGGTCCCGATTCCGATAATCCCGCACCGCCGTTCACATGCAAGTATAACTTCGACCGTCCGGGATGGCGGAATTGCTCTACTGCTTCGAATCGGAAGTGTTGGCTTGAGAACACAGAAACGAAGGAACAGTACAATATCACGACAGATTATGAAAACTACTACCCACCCGGAATTGTTCGCGAGGTATGACGGAACTTCCTTATTCACAGTGCTTCGCTCACGAGGCTCTAGTACTGGCTTGACTTGAGCGAGAAGACCATCAATGCCGATGGCGTGAACAATCCTGATGGAAAGGTTTTCAACGGGTCTTATCCGGGGCCTTGGATCCAAGCGTGCTGGGGAGACACGCTGAAGATCCATGTCAAGAACAACCTCGATTGTAATGGAACAACGATTCATTGGCATGGCATCAGGCAGCTGAATACTGTCCACATGGATGGCGTGAATGGCATCACGCAATGCCCGATTGCTCCCAAAAAAGAAGCCACATATATCTTCAAAGCCATGCAATATGGTAAGTCACAATGTCCCCTGCTGGAGCCTCGATGTGGACTGCTCATTCTTTCTCAGGTAGCTCTTGGTACCACAGCCATTACAGCCTGCAGTACGGTGATGGCGTCGCAGGGCCAATGACGATATACGGCCCGTCGTCATCAGAATTCGATGAGGCGCTCGATCCCATTCTGATGACAGATTGGAGCCATCAGAGCGCGTTCAAGGACTACGTTCGGGAATTGACTGGCAAACCGAGTATACCGAAGATGAATAGTGTGCTGATTAACGGCAAAGGTATGCAAACTCTTTGTGCGTTTCTGGTTACATGTGGATATCCAGCCTAATCTTGCAACAGGAAATTTTGCTGGTGCTTTTAACCTAACGAAGTTTACCAGACATATTAAACAGGTAAGTTGCTCCCGCATCATGCTGTCCTTCGCTAACGAGGTTTTCAGGGCAATCGATACCTCATGAGAATCATCAACACCTCCGTGGATACTGCGTAGGTTGACGAGCTCCATGTAGGAATACTACTCACAGTCGTTAGCTACATCTTCAGCATCGATAACCACAATCTCACCGTCGTCACATCCGATTTTGTCCCGATCGAGCCGTACACTACGGACCACATCTTGGTTGGCATTGGTACGTGCAGTCATTCCATCAGTCTAACAAATCTAACACAACTCAGGTCAACGATACCATGTGATCTTGCACGCAGAGCCAATTCCGACAAATGGATGGGTTTCCAGCAAAGGCAACTATTGGCTGCGTGCCATTCCTGCCGATGGTTGTAAAGCGTTCGAGGACGGCAACCAGCCCGATGAACGACAGGGCGTCATCCGATACAATAAAGAGGAGACAAGCGTGCCGGTCTCATGGAGACCGACTTGGAATCTGACCTGTCGTGACGAACCATACAGCAAATTGAAGCCAATGCATCGCTGGAAAGTGCCGCTTATGGACTTGCCACGTAAGATAATACTTGGAAATCGATGATGTGTGAGCCAGACATACTGATTACGCATTGTAGCGTCTGATGACTACTTTGAGGTCGGCTTGCAGAAGAATCCTGGTCGGCCACATGAGCACGATGACTTCCGCATGTGGTTCCTCGCCAACCATTCCATGTGGATCGACTTCGCGAGGCCCACCATTGACTATCTCAGCAACAAGACGTGGAACGACGACTCGGTCATTGTCGAATCCCAGGCCAAGAAGGATGAGTGGATTATCCTGGTCGTCACTCAACCGGCAAAGTACCTGCCAGTACCCCTTCCTAAGCCAGGTATGCCGGTGGTTGGTAAACCAGAGCGGCTTATGATTGCAACGGCCCATCCGGTATGATTCAAGCGTTTTGTGTCTCATGGTCCCTGAACTAACTATCACAGATCCATCTCCATGGCCACGATTTTGCATTGCTTGCCCAAGGAACGGACTGGACGGACCTCGAGCTCGGCAAGGTGAATCTCAAATGGGACAATCCGCCTCGCCGAGATGTGGCCCTACTCCCAAGCGGTGGCTACCTCGTGATGGCGTTCAAAGCCGACAACCCGGGCGTATGGATTGTGGTACGTACTCCTTCCGCTACAAAGATTACTAACCCCCAGGGAAAATATCATTCTTTGCTAACTCGCACCCGTGTTTCTTTACAGCATTGCCATATTGCCTGGCACGCAAGCAGCGGTCTGGCCATGCAGATCATCGAGCGCAAGGAAGACTTGAAAACCTTGCTGTCCTCCAAGGACCCGGAGATGGTTGCGCAGATGGCGCAGCACAGACAGGTGTGCAAAGACTGGGACGCGTGGTTCAAGAAAAACGAGAAGAGGTGTGCGATTCCGCCGAATCCGTTCCAGGATGATAGTGGGATCTGATGATGGCCGACTGAATATGGAAAGTTTTTTTTCTTGCAGATAGCCTGAGTGAGACAGAGATGGAGAGTATGAGCGGCATGTCGGATTTGTACGCTGTGGAGTAGGTCCGCGTTCTTATAATATATCAGGAATTCTTGTATGTATGCCTAGACATCCTTCACACCCCCTCCCTTCCCTTTCCTCGCTCTCTCACCTTCTCTTCCGCCCCACATGAACCCTCTCCTCTCATCCTGCTCCCTGCCACTATCAGCTCTTCTCTCATTCCGCCCAACTCCTCTTCTCTCTCCCCCTTCCCGCCCATCTGGACTCTCACCTTTCCCCTCATCGCCATCACCACCTTCCCCGCTCCGCCCTTCATCCCACTCATCCTGCTGATTTTCACCCCCTTCACGTCCCATTTTCGCATCTGCATCTGGATCTGCGTCTGCATCCTCGTCCATACGGGCTTCTCGACGTGTTGCTTGCGCTTGGTATGGATTTAGATTTGGATTCGGATTCGGGTATGGATTCGGGTGCTGGTTCGGATGCTGGTTCGGATTCGGATACAGGTTCGGATACTGATGTTGGTGTTGGTTTTGATATTGGGTTTGGTATGGATATGGATATGGATACGGGTATTGGTTTGCTGTGCCGCGGAGCGTGGTGCCGGGCGCCACACCTTGTTGTTGGTCGAAGAAGTGCGTTTGCTGGGGGTATGGTGGGCGTTGGAGGTTTGTGGGTTGGGCGGGTATGGTATAGTTGGGGTTTGCGGGTGCGGTTGGGTAGGTTTGGTAGGGTGGTGGCTGGGGATAGGATCCTGGTCTTGGGTTGGGGTTGTAGGGGTTTGGTGGGAAGGGGTGTGTTGGGTGTGGGTAGGAGGGGATGGGGTATGGGTTTGTTTGCTGGGCGTGCTGAGGGGGTGTGGTGTTTGGGGTGGGGGGATTGACTGCGGGTGGAGATTTTGGTGATGGGTCTTCTGGTGGTGGTGGTGGTGGTGCGGCTTGCGGAGTTGGCTGTGGGTCTGTTGTCTTTGGGTCTGGTGGTGGATTGGTGTGTTTTGGCGGTTTCGCGGCTATTTTGTATTGTTAGTGTTTGTTGGAGTGAGAAGCGAACTGATATGATGACGTTCCATAAGCTGAAAGGAGGAAAGAATGTTAAACGTATGGTGGTGTATTCACAAAGATCACAACGTACTCGCTGGCGCCACTCAGTAGTAGTCAGTGTAGAACTCACCATCATCACCGTCATCATCCCAGTCATCCTCGTCTCCTCCATGTTTACGCATGTTTCTCCCTCGTCGGCATCTTCCTCCTCCTCCTTTGCCGACGAAATGATCGCTAGACTCCGTGCTCCAGTCATCATCCATTCGTCCTCCGCGCAGACGCCCGCCAAACATGTCCTTGTCGCCGTGCTCGGCGTTGACGTGGTCGTGGACATGTATGTGGTCTCTCCTGCCTCCGTGTGGACCACCCATGCGGCTTTGCATTCTTCGCATCCCGTCTAGACCACGAGTGCCTCTGCCAAAGCCTCTGTGGGCTGCTCTGCCTCTGGCTCTGTGGTCTTCGTGGCCAAAGGCACCGTCTCGGCCTTTGTGGTGATCGACAAATGGCTCTTCATCGTAGCTGTCGTCATCGTCAGATTCGAACTGATGGTCGTCGAACGCATTTCGAGCTTGGCGGCGTCCCGGTGGTCGTTTTTGATATCTAGGGTCGCGCAGAGCGCCCATGCCAGACCGCATCGGTGGCGGCCTATACATATCATGCTGGTCCCTTTCGCCGAATGCGTCACCATCATGGCACTCAGCACCGGCATATCCACCTCTACCACGCAGTCCCCAATGTGGCGACGGCACCCCGTTCCTCCCACGCCCCTCAACCATCTCACCTTCATCCCCACCATCTCCACCACCCCCTTGCACAGCATGCTCAAACGCCTCCCTCAACCTCCGAGGCAGATTCTCCATCGCCGTCTCCACACCTCGATTCCCCTTCTCCACCGCCTCCCGAATGCCCCCAATCCCCTCCTCCATCCTCTCCGCCCGTTCTCGCTCGCTCTGCTTCGCCTTTTTCTTCCGCCGCGCCGCTTTGCGCGCTGCCTGCGTGCCGTCAAAGTCCCCGACACGGATCGTGCCGGAGAGTGCTTCGCCGGTTCTGGAGTCCCGGCCTCGGTAGGAGATCTTCTTCCCGTTGCCCCGGCACTTGCATGTTCCTGGGCAGATGCATGCGTCGACGAAGGGATCTCCGGCTGTGTTTCTATTGGTGGAAGTCGCAGCAGCAGCTTGTGCGTGCGGATATGTGTCCATTTCAGCCTTTGTAAAGCGAGGTGCGCGAGGAGGTGGTTGACGAGGATGGTCATCGGCGTCGCTATCGGGGAGTTCTTCGACGAAGCCTGCATCTCTGCGTGCGCGAGGGTATAGATGGGCTCGAGGAGGTGGATGTTGAGGGTTGTATGGCAGGTGGTGATTAGCTTGCCCGTAGAATGATGGGTCGTAGGGTGGTTGGGGTGGTGCTGGCTGGAAACGTTGACCACCGGGCTGCGGTCTGTAGTAGAAGGGAGGGCAGATCTCGTCGCCTTCATGGTAGTCGGCAATCGGGTAGTTGGCGTAGGGGCCGGGGACGGCGATGATAGGGGGTGGCATTGAGGATGCGTTGCCCATGATGTCGTGGAGAGAAGATATCTTCCGGGTGTGTCTAGGCTTGTTTATAAAGGGGTTAGGGATATTCGTCGAGAAGCCGAGATCAAGAACTCGAGATGATGCTGTATGTCAACATGAGACACTTGGAAAGATATCGGTGAGCTGCCTCGAACCACAACCATGCAATTTGTCTAGTTTGCAGAAATTCGATAGGGCCGTATAGTTTAGCCTCATCCGTCCTTGATAAGTCTCGCTTCGCGACGTGCAGGTTCAACTGTTGCCACCAGTAAACACTCTCACGAACGAGCTCGAATACAGAAACCTACAATGAAGGGGAAAAGGAGTGTCCTGCCAGTCCAGCAACTAGATCAGCAGTGTGCGAACTCAGCCCATCAGCTGACTCTTCAACGTAGTACACGCACAATGGCGTTTGCAAACAAGCGACATACTGAGGCAAACAAGTAACCGTGACTAGGATATGATATTGAACTACATGTCTACAGCGTTGGAGCAGGGTGCTACGTCGTGGAAATCGTCTCCTGTGGCACCGGAGGTGGAGCGAAGGAGCCGAAGAGAGAAGGGCAAACAATGCCTGTGCGACGTGGCAGTGCGGTTAGATGCATGTGGGAAGTCTCCTTCGCTATCTCGGCTGAGGAGGAGTCCTATTCCCTGTCTCATGTAATATCAAACAGCCGCCGCCGCTTCTACTTGATGACAGAATGGGACATGAAGATGCATTGATACAAGCTAGATGCGGTAGGACGAGAATCGACACCACACACAGTGATGAGATCTTCGGTCAAGCTCCATTCAGGCTTGGTAGGACTGCAGAGAACCATGATGGATTAAATCTTGCAGAAAGGGCAGATATAGAAGTACATTTGTGTATATCTAATCTATGATGTCGCCGGTGATCATGCTATGGCATTAGCAGCGGCGATGATATGTAATCTTACAGTAGGTGCGTAATGCACAACGTGTTCTGCCTATCTTAGCAGCCTCATATGCTTTCGAGGCAGATTATAGGTAATGTTGTAGCCGTGCACGAATTAACCCCAGGCATCCTCTACCGGGCGCCGTTACTGCAATAGTCGTTGTAGCGCACTCTACTCATCATGACCCAATGCATATCGACATGCAGCTGAGATACTCCATATAGAAATGTGTTGTAGAGAAAGACGCATCGAGCTCAATACGATATTCGGAGGCGCGATCTGCCACTTCTTCTTGGGCTCTCTGAACCGGCCATGCTCAGGCTCCTCTCCCGGCTCTGAGTCTCTCTCTTGAGAATTTCCTCCCTCAGCCCCCTTCTGCCTCGACGCACTTCTCTCTCCTCCTCGGGGGCAATGAAGCGGTTGACCATGCGATGATCAACTATCCGCTCTTCCTGGTCGTGCTTGTTTTCCTTCTCACATTTTGGCCAAACGTAGCCATACAACTTCGAGTGACGCTCGCAACGTGGGCATTCCGCTCGCGTTTGCACATCGTCCTGGACAAAGTCTGAATTACAGGTTCGGCACTTGACCCACCGTGAATTCAAATTACACAGTAGCACTTCGGTCATGGTATAGTCGCCATGTCGTCGAGGGTTCAGATTTGGACGATCGGGGTCTTCGATTGAGGCAATAGGTGTGCTGAGCAGGTTGGGGCGACTTCTCGCGCGCGTGGCTCTGGGTCTGCGTCGAATTGTTTGGCTTACGTCGTCCATTTCCAGGCTATCAGACAGTTCAGAGAGATCAGATGAATCATCAGCATCGAGGAGTAAGTTGAGTCGCGCCTTGGAAGCAGACTTTGGGATTAGTGCTCTCTGAGGACCGAGTACCACTCCCCCGACCGTAAGGGTTGCAGAATCATATTCAGACTTGACTTTACTAATAAGGTCGTCATCGACGGAGCTAGCAGCTGTAGACTGGGTCGATGGATTTGAATCGTTTACAGATGAGGCGAATGGTGATCCAATGGAAGCCTCAGAGTCTGATGAAGAGATTGGAGCGTGGTCAGCAGAGGCTCTTCTTCCCTTGGCAGGTGATTTACTCAGCCGCCTCGTAGACGGCAAAACGCAATCAATGGGTGCGGTAGAGGCCACAGTGTCATCATGCCTGACCGGCGGCGTTGGGGACGACTCTTGCTGAATAGTACGAGACAGCAGACTAGGCCGTTTCACCCTGCTTGGAGAGCTGAGGAATTGAGGGACTCTGGAGCCTGAAGCTACGTCGCTTTCCCAACTCTTTCGACGCTTTTTGCTAGAGACAGGTGTATCTTCCTTTCCGATGTTATCCTCTTCGCCATCATGCTTTCTCTTTTTCCGGAAAGAGTAGGGCGTTCCATTTCCAGATGACTCTTCTGGGCCAGGACTCGGCGCTCGACTTGAGATAGAGTCAGATGACACATTGGTTGACGATTCCTCATAGTATGCCGCCCATCCATTCCTGCCAGCTTTCTCACAACTCTCACATAAACATTCGCAATTGTCTTCACCGAAGTAGTCATCTCCATATTTTACGGTGATTTCCTCGCCAACCTCAATATGCTTCACAGATTGAATCTGCATGCCGTTCCAACCGTGCGTCATCAACTTTGCGTTCGCGTTGCAGTCGTGGTTTGCGAAGCGTGCCGGGCCCAAGAACAGTGACGGGCACTTTTTGCGACTCGACATGACAATACTGAAGTCACGTCTCGTCAAGTCTAAGTCCTTCTCTTCCGCCTTCGTGAGTGCGACCTGCACGCCGCTTAGATATTTGATGGTCTCCCCCTTCTTGATCTCCTTGCGTGCAGTAATGGACGCTTCATGAGTGTCGATTGTGTATCGATTAGTTGTTGTAACCTCAAAAGGACAGTCCGGCATATAGATATCAACGTATTTCCGCAAGTGCTTCTTAAAGTGGTCCTTTTCGTCCACGGTTCGTAAGCGTTGGTAGAAATTGCGCGAGGCGCTTATCTGTGTAAGGAACTTTTCCACCGCACGCCCGGGCTGTTTCTCTTCAATGACATGTTGGCGAATTACGTCGCAGATTTCTTCCTCGCGTGTGCCTCGGGCTGCCGAATACCGTGGCTTGTTCTTGCGAATTGAGGTCCAGTAATATATCTGCATAAAGCTCGTTAGACATTGTTCGCCGATAAAGGGTTCACTCTGAACCCCGCGATCATACAGGAGTACATACACGATCTACAACCAGATCCGTGATCAAGTCATCGTAGTTCGCCAATTGCGAAAGCGTCAATCCGCCCTTCTTTGCAAGGGCCTCACCCAGCGGTGCGGCCTCCTTCTCTTTTCTGCTGCCCATGATGACTGTATCAGTTGACCAGCGTGTCTTCCAGACGATATTTCAGCGGCTGAACAGGCGTAAACAATATGCGCGCGCAATTCGAAGGGATAAATGGAGGCTTGTCGTAGAGGACAACGCGATCGGAAGATCCTTGCTACCGTACGAATGTACGAGCTTTTCGCGGATTGGACATGGAAAAGCGTGGATATTTTGAAAAGTGCAAAGAGATCTGTGGAGAAGGAGGTTGGGAAAGACAAGTCAGACGCGTTGACGAAAGTGAATGCGACACGGCTGTTTGAAAGGGGCCGGTGGCGTAGGTGATGGTTTAACCGGTGGTCTGAACGCCAAGGGAGCTATCGTCGCAAACACACATTGTACTATTGTTGTGGTACTCTTTGATCATCCAGTATCGAAGGCCAAAAGATCGTGTAGAAGGAAGACCGGTCTCTCATAGTGTAGTGACCATAGGTGTCAGGTTTACTTGTTGCGATACGCCGACAGGCTGTCTAAGGCAGCAAGGCAAGCAACTAGCATAGTCATTCATTCTAGTTGCGCCATACATCCACTTTTATCGTCGCAGCTTCATGATCCGATGAATATGCATCCGCGCGACCACAACTTGTAGGGCCCAATGAGGTATGCGACTGATTTTACGATCCTGTCCAAGTCACTGACGAGCTGCAGTTTCTTGCAGCGAAACATCCGCACCGCACCCCTAGGCTACACAACTCCATCATTTCCATCTCTGTACTGGCCAATTCCTGTGGCCGGCCCCCAGGCAAATTTCTTATACAATATTGGAGACGTCTGGAGGTTCACGCTTCTCTGGACACTCATCTTCTACGCTGCTGTACACGCCGCTGTCTGCTTCTGGGCGATTGCGATCCAAAAACGGAATTATAAGGTGATATGGACGGTGCCAATAATATATGCTGTGATCGGTGGAGTGGAGGCATTAATTGCAGGCAGCGTTACGGGAGGCTTGTATGTGCTTTCATGATACAAGATATGTGATACTCACCCATGACAGAATTGGAACCGTATATCAAGCGGGTTACTATAGAGTGTCAACCTGGATTCCGTTCGCTTGGGCACTTGTCTGCACTTTGGTCCTCATACTATCTTCATTCGGGTTCCAAGGTGGTTTATGAAGACGTCAGAAGCATGGCTATTTGGGCAGCAAGAGTTCGAGTCACCGCAACTGAACCACTTCACTGTTGCCCGTGTCATCTACGAGACATTGTTGGAGAATGACTGCGTGCTTCTGACAGGGTTTGAAGCACCAACCGGGCCTATCTAAGGTTCCTTCAAAGTGACGCATCGCCGGCACACTGAGACGACGCTCGTGAAAAGTACATTGTCGTAACGTGCTGGCTTTCTGATCAGCACGAACTAACCTGCTCATTTGGAATAACACAGTCTAATTTAGGATGTGACGTCAGCTATCACTGCCGCATCTCCCCCACCTGTGACAGAGTCTGAGCCACCGCTCTGTCCTTCAGTCTTTGGATCTCCACTCTAGAGAACTCCTGGAGGGACACCTCTCACCAGACCAGGGACAACAAAGAGACCAAGTTCTTCATACTTAGACGTAGCTGGTCTCTCCGACTCATCGTCGCGAGCTCGAATGATGAAATAACTTTCCTGGAATGGCTGGAGGTGCTTTTGTTCGATCAACGTGAAGAGCAGGGAGCGCTGGTCTGTCTTTGAGGGATACTGTGTGCGGTCTACTAGAAACGTACTCTTGCCTTGGGGCGATTCTCCGCCTTTGCCACTAGGTACGCTATCTACAAATTAATATAATATGAAAGTGACGTTGACTCGTAGTTCGTATCAGAATTGGTAATAGAACAAGCAAAGTCCTTTTTTGAAACATAGTGCTGTCACTCAAGTAGTGATTGCTGCCTATTTTAAGCCCAAAGCAAGTGCGTGCGTTGCAGGCGGCTATGCATTGATTGGGTGTGAAGGTTCAGAGACACATTGTAACCTTGGATCCATAACACATCGTGCTACTACGATTTCATGTTTATACTGTGTACACGTGACCATGGAACTCTATATGGAGCTTCCTCAAAGAGTATAATATGACGCCCCCGCATTTTCCACATGAAATTGTAGTCTCGGGAGCTTATATAGAATTAGAGATAGCGGCTTAGTATAATAATAACATTTTCATAATAAATAGTCCCCGTAATGCACACTATACCTTGACGAACTATAATAATAGAATAGAAGTATAGAACGCTAGATAGTATTATAGATGTCAGGCAAAATAGATAGAGATATCGAGAAGAAAAACTTAATAGCAACTAGCTATCTTATTTATTAGGGAGTATGTTCGATATGAAAGCAAAAATATAAATCGTAAGCTACTATCTCTACTCTCTATATAATAAGCTCCCGAGAAATGACTCATGAGGGTGCTTCTATGGATGAGCTAAAAGCTACACTAAGGTAAGGACTTCTCTCCGAATATCGCACAGACCAGGCCTATCTAATATCCCGAAACGCAGACATAAGTATGTTCTGCTGGATGGATAAAGTACTGGGGTGTCAAAATCCTTTATCTTCGGATATGCCGAATGTCCTCACTTTCTTCGAATGTCAATCCATTTGCGGTGAACTATCGGCATCTGTGAAGCAACAGCCCGCCCACAGCCAGCCACACAGCTCATCCCCGGCACCCAAGTTGGGGCTAGGCGAAACCCAAACACACGGTATGCATGCACTATCATGGGTAAGTTCCTTACATGCATCCTCCTTTTAAACAGGTCAAGCCAGGCCACCTCAGTGGTTATACGTTTTGAGATTACATGGTGAGGGATTTTCTGGAGCCAGCAAGATGACGTTGGCTATGAAATGCCGCGACTGCCCAGTAATTGCACTAGAGCCTTCGTATGACAGGGTGAAGCGAAAAGGAAGAGCATGATAATCGGTTTCTGGAGCCTCTGGCTCCCTTATTGAAGGTGTCTACTGACTGTGAAGCTTCTCGCGATGGAGGTCTTTTACAATCACGAGACGACTTCATTTCGAGCCTGCTGGGCCCGAATCTTGACCAGTCTGAACATTGTTGTTTTCTTTTTCACCGTTATCCTCAATATCTGGAGTTTCCAACGACTAAATTCATGTAACAAGACGACTTTGCTTCCAACAGATAGCCGACAACAACGAGTCTTGAAGAGTCATTGTAATGTAAATCCTTTTTTATAACTCCGCTTCTGGTACTAACGCAATGGAGACCCTCTGATTGACTTAGCACAATACAGTCCTAAGAGGTTTGACGCTGATTTGGGAGCACCATCAGTTTACAAGGGTCCTCCTAGACCACAACTTGACGACGCGTGGAAGAGGTTGGTCGATCGTATGTATTGTCTTCGAATTCTCTACGGCCACACCAGTATACATACTTTCATTCTGACTCTCAGCAGAGCCTATGCTTCTAGTTAACAATGAGACGTTGCAGTCGTTTGATCCAACTTCAAAGCCTTCAAAAGGCGTCAACGGTCATTATTATGCTACAGTCGAAGTTTATCACCAGCTGCATTGTCTAGATATAACTCGTAAATTCATCTGGCGGCAGAACTATCAACATGTCGACACATTCCAGGATCCCCCGGATATGGTTTGGGAGCACGTTGGTAAGTTCTAGTACTGTTCAGGAATGTATATTATCTAAGGGTAAACAGATCACTGTATAGATCTCCTTCGTCAGGTCCTAATGTGCAACGGAGATATAGGTCTCGTCTTTTACACTGACGTTGGTAAACTGAAACCTGTTCCCCGTTTCTCTACAACCCACATGTGTCGAGACTTCGCTGCGATTACAGAATGGGTCAACAAGCATGACTCTGAGCTAGGAATTTATGCAGAAAATGATGTCAATTGAGTCTATTCGGACGCTTCGTTTGATCTCCTACCAATACATATTGGCCTTTTTCGTAAAACCGACAATTCGGTACAGCCGCACTGTCCCCACATTGTGGTATCGTCCCAATCAATTAGATCTCTACCAGCCCTGTAGAGGGAGTGGTCTGGAAACTAGATACTGTATGACTACTCTATCAACCCTTCTGCCAGATTCGCAATATCTATGCACAACTGAATAAGCCTATGGTGAATATGTGTACGTTCCCCATCCCAAGGGATCATTAGTAACAACCGTCTCCTTATCAATGGCGCTTTTGATCCGTCTATTCCAGGCCCACTGTTGAATATTAGAGAACTTCCTACAAGTATGGACAACTTCTGCCACGACTTTCATGCTGTCCTTGAGCGATTGCCGTGCAAACGTAGTAGGAGTTATGTCACTATGGCACTATCGAAGCTCGTCAGAATGAGTCACATGCGTTGCACTGACATACCATTATGCTTTGACGGAGCATATCAATACAATGATCAATATGCTCGATACCCATCAATTCATCCACATTCGACATATCGACACCGTTATATATACCCTTTCTGATCATGTTCTGTCAGACAATTCGATCAGCACGGATTTTCATATTCATTTCACGCAGTTCAGACTCACCAAACAATGAAGCTGATGGAACACTGATAATTGAACTACGTAGCCGCCCTTGTTATCGGGCAAGGGGAGAGTCTTGTTGTCCATAGGCCTAGCTTCCTCTGCGCTGATTCTTGTAATGCCAACTCAAAACAATTAGCATTGGTAACCGAGCAAAATCATGGACTTCTTACAGTCGTAGAGACCGGTCCACAATTCATTGTTCGCTTCTGAAGGCTCTCCTTGGAATGGTGATCGTTCAATGCCAAACGCACTTGAGAAAACAACTCTCTCATTCTCAATAACAGGCAGAGCAGGAGCTTCTCGTTCTGGTTAGTACTCTGCACGCGGACTCATTTCGGAGTGATCTGGCCTCACAGTATGTAAGAATTCGATCATATAAGGATCCTGGAAACAACCATTTCCAGGCGCTCACGAAGTTTAAGACCAAGGAGAGAACAAAGACGATGCGCTTTAGTACAATTATTCTTGGTCTGCGCATAGGTTCGTATTGTCCAACAATGGGCTGCTCTTCTGCATCTGGTGCCCTATGTATCCCAGTAGTGGTTATACTACTGGAGTCGAGATTTTCAAGACGAACATACTCAAGTCCATCATGGCCTCTCGACCCAGCTGCTTGGCGTCGAAACATTGTGAAAGAGAATGATGATTACAATCTATGTTCGAGGCTTGACTTAAAGATGTTCCGAAATGTGCTGAATAATGGATATCTGGGACAGCAGTATGGCAGTGCTTCGGGAATGCTAGAATGCTGGGTTGAGGCACAGCAGAGTGTTTTGGCGCTGTGGTTGTCCCCTGCACATCTATGCAACATTCAGTCGCACTAGTGATCCTCTACAACTTAGTCCCGCATTGTGATGCTGTCCTCCTGCACATGCACGATCCCGGTTTAGTGCAACAGTCAGGCAAGATAAGCCTATGCCGTAGACGAACAAATATGTTGAATATTCTGTAGGCTGGCAAGAGAAATCTAGCAAGCATCCAATCCCTTCCCTATTCTGCTTCCCGGGATCCCCTGACTTATACGATGAGCCTTGAGAGATTTAACCGATGTCTGTAATTATGATTAGCGTGATTAGAGTAGATATAAGAATAGAATACTTCTACCCAACGCGCAAAACGACCAACTGAAAGTTCCTTTCGAAATGAAGACAGTGTTTTTCTCCTCTACTCTGGCTGCTACCGCGGCATGCATGGCGATAGCGCCTTCGGTCAACATAGCCGGGAGTTTCTAACGCTCTATGATATGATATGGAACTAACGTAGCACAGGCCATCAAGGAACGGTCTATTCATGATCCAGATGTAAACCCTACGACCGTCGACAGTACGGCCACGAGATCTCAGTGGGTGTCTGCTTACAAGATCCCTCGTGATGCACAAAAATCTGAGGCTGGCTTTACTGTCGATAGTACGGCCACGAGATCCCAGTGGGTGTCTGCTTACAACAGTCCTCGCGATGGGCAAGATCTTGCTGTTGCTGTACCATTGGCTTCGAATGGCGATAAAGACCTGACCGGTAGTGATCACTGGGTATGCATACGACTCAATCTGGTTGACAGAGGTACTGATGGACTTGAAGCTACCAAATGGACCAGAATCTCTCGATGTCAACGATCTTGAGGTGGGCTACCACGCTCATTTGATGAACATGCACGATTCAGGATCCTGGCTTCATTCAAGACTTCGCGATGTCAAACGTTTTTTCAAAGTCGGCAATGCTTAGGAAACATTGCTACCTTTCTTGGTAGCGGAGACGGTGGGATGAATCGCAAGCTAGACCGCTAGCCGTAGCATAATCAAGAAATAAGCCCATCGCAATTGAATTGAGGCACAGCTGCGCCAAGCAAGTCTGTGCTCTTCATCCCACATCACGTGATGTTGCCAAGTGTGTACCTTACCTGAAGTGAAGGTGGTGCCTGGCGTTTCGATCCCTGTGAGATCTGCACTACGTGCAAGTATATAAACCCCACAAACCTTTTTGTTGTCCACTGGTACATTCCATCACTACCGTTCAAAATTACTGACGTTTAGAGCTTACGAAAGAAAATTATTGAGTCACTTCTAGAGTCTATCATCATGTCCACTAATCACAATCATATGGGCTACCAAGCCCGAATCGACTTCGTTCAAAGTCTGCTGCGTGAGGAATTAGGCGTCAACGTAAGCCTAATTCCATCGGCATGCTCAAGGGTGGTGCCTGATGCTAACTTTTCACCGCATCATAGTCAGATGCTGAAATCACTCCCATCCTATACGACCCCGAGTTTCCGTTTAGATACAATAATTTTGTCTATCGTATTACACTCTGTGAACCGACCAGCTCAGACCAGGGAAGGAAGTATGGCGTATCTCACCGTCCTGGCTGTGTATCAATTCCCGACGGCACCAAGAATCTCATAGTGCGCCTTGCAAATCCCAATGCTGAAGGAATGCATCATGAGACCAGGATTGAGAACGAAGTGGCCATCATCAGTCTCGCCGCCTCAGCGCTGAGGGACTTCCAGCCACATGTGGTTCCGTCTATATATGCCTGGGGCAGTGCGGCAGCCAAGTCTTCCTTTGGTTGGACCATCCAGGAACTGATGCCTGGTACCTCTCTGGATGAATTATTCCCATCAATGGAACTTCCGCAGAAGAGGGAAGTGTTTGCACAGATGGCTAGACTGCTCAAAGGCTTGCAGGACTACCAACTTCCCGAAACTATTACCGCATTTGGAGGTGTGACCTTTGACAAGGATGGCAAAATCGTAAGCGCGGTCATGCCTACTGTTGGCAAAGGACCATGGCCATCGTATGAGGCTTCTTTTAGGGGTCGAATAGAAGAGGAATTCCGGGAAGTGGACGAAAATCCTCACGTTCAAGGATGGCGCGGTGAAGGTATCAGAGACAGGTTGGATGCATTTGTTGAGCGTGGACTCTCAGCTCAATTCGAATCACTGGAGACAAAGCAGGACAAGTCAATTGTACATGCCGACTTCAGTAAGTACCCCTTTCCAAGCCTTGTCTCCTTGTCCTTCTTTCACTTCGCGTACATGCTACCAGACTAACAGTCTTTTTTCCAACAGACCCCAGTAACCTTCTCATCGACCCTTCGACCCTTCGTATTACTGGATTGATTGATTACGACTTCTCTAGTATCTTGCACCCTTCTTACGAGTACCTACGGTCTTTTCTTGGTGCCGGCGGCCAATTTCGAGGCTGGTGTGGTGAAGAAGGAGGTGAGCAAGCGGCACTGACCGAAGCTAGGCTGCACGGGTTTCCCTCACCTCTCCCACAATCTACTGAGAATGGAGTAGACTGGGAAGCTGCGAGAGTCTTAGATGAGGAGCTAGAGAAGCTGGACGTCAGGAGGCCTAAGACGATCAAGGGAATCGAAAAGGTGGCAGATGTTGACACTATACTACGTACTATCGTGCCATGGCGTCTCAGTAATCCTGACATCTTGCAACGACAGTCAGAAGAAGTGATCAAGAAATGCAGGCGCGAGAATGAGGAGCAACTGAAGAGGTTGCTTGATTATCTAGGATTCTAGGAATGCTACGTCGCTACATGTATGTGTAGCGTCCTCAATCATCTAAAATGGAATGAATGACAAAGCCTGTTATTAAGACTGGTATGTAAACAGCAATTATCTAAGTTAAGGATAGATAGAGTCATCCTCAAGGTTTATACTATTTTTCGCATTATAGCTATCTTCTTGATAAGTATATCTGTCACGGGGCATATAATGATTAGACTTGATATGTATCGATATCTATATGATCTATTGCATATCATGTTTGGAATATCCATTAGAAACGCGAATTGATTTACTAAGGTATCTACTGCTAGTATTCTATGTATCATTCACAACCTAGATATCACCTCTTTAACTAGTAAATGAATTTCCTTCTTGGATATAATTATGCTGTTAGTATTTTAGAGTACTCTTACTTTTAGATTCCTATAGAGTATTTTTTTTGATCATGTTTCATCTATTACAAAGTCGCATTCACAAATCTAGATATTTAATGTTAGAAGAATGCCATAGAGAATATTCAGAAGATGTAGATGTCCGGCATAGGCAACAGGTGGCATATGCAACGAATTTGTGTAACTCTAAGTGAACCATAAGGAGATAAAACTAAGTTAAAACATGAAAGATGGCCAGTCTTTGTACTATGGAATCGATCCTCTGCCCACTCCTACCATTAGATTGATAGCCACTCGAAGACTCCTTAGATTCGTGATATTGATCTGACATGCACATGTGGTGACTATCCATCTGGGCTTAGGGGAGTAGCGGAGAGCATGACATACAGAGTCTCCGTATCTAATGTCCACTTATAGAGGTAAGAGATTAGAGCTCCAAAGAAAGCTTACCCTATATGTGACTATAGTAAGTATTGTAGAGACCACTCAATACTCCTAGCATTACTGAGACAAGAGTAGGTAGATAAGCTGCCTTTGCTCCTACCATTTGACATTCTATACTAATCTCCTTGACAATATAGCATCACGGTACTCTTACGTCTCTTTTAGGACTAATAGTAAGTTCTCCACGGGGTAGATTGAGTAATACGAGAGTATTTGTGACTGCTTGGTCCTACTCCATGATCTAAGAATTACTTGGCGGAGTGTTAATAGGAGATAACAAGCTGGCGATATGTGTTTGTATTGAAAAGTTGCCATCTTATCTGCTGACCGCTTGCTATTACATTCAAGCGAGAAGTACTCCTTGGAAGTACACCACCATCATACATCCTATACTAATGCCGGTCGTTATAATCGCAATCAAGACGAGCGGATTGCTAGAAGCTGCCTGCCGTATGTTTCTTGAGGTCTCGAGAACTTGCATGAATCCCACGTTATACATGATTAAGCCTATCAGGGCTACTGAGTAGCCCAGAACCTGGATAGCAGACACAGTGTCTCCATAGAATAGCACTGATCCAACGACTATTATTATAGTCTTAAGTATACCCGAAAGGGACAAGACTAGGGAGGATGACTTCCCAATCTATCTTGTGTCAGATATGCCGGTCCAAGTCATAGTTCGAGAACTTACCACCATCACGGAGGAAACGTTAAGTAGGAATGCTGCTGCCGCATTGTACAGCAAGACTCCTGCGCCCACCGCCACTATCTCTTGTAGATTGACTCTCGGAAGCTCAAATACTATGAATAATGCTGTATTAATGATTGCACATATTGGTGCGTAGTAATATAGTGCGACTAATGGGTCCATCTTTTCTCTGGTACCCATCAGCTTCTCGACCAGCACCACCCGTACAGCTTCAAATACCACAGCACCACTTTGATAGAGGAAGCCAACCCAACTGAATAGCGCTTCACTGGAGGTTGTCGCAGTGGTACCAACCGCGACCAGCATAACAATGAACAGAACCTCTAGATCTGGTCGGGCAAGACCTATGGCAAGTCTTGTTAGCAAAACAGCGACTGGTGCCATAGCCTTGAGCATCTGGATGAAGGAGACACTAAGGTGCAGATATGCTATGTTGCCACACGCGAGGCTGAAGCTGTAGAAAACGCCGATTGGGACAATTGCCTGGATGTATTTGTGCGGAGTGATCCTGTGGTCGGAAAACCTCAGTAGAGAGCATAACGCTAGTATCTGCGTGAGTAGGGAGGCCGTGATCAGATGCCATGTTGTAAGTAGAATAGCTCATCTTCTGTCAGTTACGATCGAAGTATATGCTCTGTAGGGTCTCACGATATGGTGCGCGCTCTAGAATCCACTTATTGAAGGCAATAACGAGCGAACTCAAGGCTATCCATGCACTAATTAAGGATCAGTGATGACATGATCCTATAGCGCTGATCTCTTGACATACCAAATTGATACGGGTATGTGAGTGTTGGAGCTGTCTAAGACCCGTAAATCCGCTTCTTCGTCTGGAAAATTAACATTTTCAGTGCTTCTCGAGCCTGTGGTGTTCTCTTGATCGTGCATCCTAAGGAGCGACCGCAACAAGGAAAAGATAGCTGGGCCCCTTGCGCTTTGTGGAAAGACTTGCAATTTCTCAACCTCCGGACATAGTTTTTATCAGTCTGTAAGACTCTATTCTTAGAGCACGTACCCTCGGGCAACTACAGGGTTTCAAAATCTGCCAGGATTGAGAACGGATTTGTACGTAAAGCTCGTAAGCACCCCACAGACCACGGAATGAAGTAGCGATGAGTCTGAGCTTTGAACCATGCTGGCACTGTTCACCACAGGGCCATCTCAGGATTTCAGTCCTTGCAATTAATTCGCACTTCTCGCACAGTTCCATGCAAGACTTGACCTTGTTTGAGGTAGCACGGCTTCATTATGTTTGCGCTCCAGACACATACTTAAGTGCGGAAATGCCGTAAACCTTTTCGTTATCAATAAAGAAATGCTGGTTATCATGCGACATCTCACCTCTATTCCAATACCAAGAGTCGCTGCTTGGCTCCTCGTGTTTGGAACTTGCCTTTTAGTTTTCACCTTTAGCCAGCTACCAACACATCTGGTACAGCGAAGCTTCCATCTCGTAACATTTTCGGTGGATGGCCCTGGCTCCGTCAATTCGGTCCCGCAGAGTACACACAATGTTCTTGACATACTTCGGGCCCTATATCAGTCTTCCGTAGTCGATATCGATGCCTCAAGCTTTATTGATCTCTCGGGCGAACGTCACAATCTGTCCACATCTGAACCGCTACGATTTACATCACGACTCGGAAAGAGGCTGCTCATACTTGATGTCGATACTCGACCGCTCGATGGAGAAGGCCAAGTGTTCTCTACAGACGCTCCTAGATGGGATAACCTACATTATCTCTCTGCAGGAATCTTGTCGCATCAACTCTTCGCACTAATTCACGGATACGACTATAGGTTCATCCGTGCAAAATCATGGGAGGGTCACTACGGAACCTGGGGTAAGATCGCTGCGACGGCCAGTATGTTGAGTTCGTACGACTGGATCGTAACGTTGGATGCGGATGTGGCATTTGTGCATCCTCACCTTCCGCTGGAATGGCTGTTCAACTACTGGAACATCACTGAAGCGACTGCGCTCGCCACCGCTCTAGATCCGGCCGCAGGAGCAAATTTCGATTCGAAACACCGTGTGCTGCCGAATACAGGGTTCATGATTACGCAGCCCGCGGCTCCACACGCGAAAGATATATACGACGCGTGGAGTGAGTGTACGAAAGGCGAACGATATCCAGGGTGCGAGAAATGGAAGCTACAGTATTTCCATGAACAGTCCGCACTAGGAGAGTTCATTCGATATGAGTTCGGGGAGAACATCAAAGAGCTGCCATGTCGAGATGCGAACGGTTGTCCTGAGGTAAACATCCCCGAATGTACCGGACAGTTCCTACGACACTACTGGTCATTGAAGCACATGGCCAAAGAGCAATTTGCATCCACGTTGATGCAGGGAGTGATGCCACATCTGTGGGACCAGTGGAAGGTCAATGTCGAGGTGATGGACAACCTTACTGTGGCGTGAGGGGTGGAAAGGTCACGTCACAGTGGATTCTTGCTTTCAGGTCTGGAATTCGAGTCAGATGTAATATCCACTGCCTGTTTTGTCAGCACGGGCACCCCTTTCAAGTCTTGAGTACATCTTCAGGATTCCTGATAGCCGGTGGCACATGTGAGACGCTGCTGCAACGCTGGTGCAGACAAGTGAATGTCATCGTCGTGGAGCGTAATCAACGTTGTCAATTACAGCTAAGCCGATTATGGGTTAGCGCGAGCCCTGTGTCGACGCCTCAAAGCTTGGCATCTCCAATTTCTTTCAATCGTTGTTTAGAAACGCGTCACAGTCCTTCACATACAACATACAGCTCACAGTTGCCCAAGGCTCTCAGTCCTCAACCACTGCATCTGGGCATCTCCGTGCATACGCGAAACCACACTATGGCCACTGCTGGAACAACGACCAGGGAGCCGCAGAGATGGAGTGTCCTTGAGAGCAATGTGGCCCCAGGCCTGCTGAACGGCCTGAACAGCATGGGTTACCAGTGAGAAAAACGTCCGTCCTGGTTTAGCGCCAATCGGAGGCATATACTGACCACCAAGCCCAGGTTCATGACACCGGTTCAGGAAAAAGTGCTCACCGAGCTACCGAACTATCAAGCCGACTGCCTCGTCCAAGCTAAGACTGGGACTGGCAAAACAATTGCATTCCTACTGCCAGCGCTGCAGTCACTACTCGCCTCGAATCAAAATATTCCGAAAGGCCAGGTTGCGATCCTCATCCTCTCACCTACTCGTGAGCTTGCACTGCAAATCGCGAAAGAATGCAATGCAGTCACAGCCAAACTCCAACCGAAGATCGAATGTCATACCGCGTACGGTGGTACCTCAAAGGAGCGTGATCTGAAAACATTCCTCGGTGGTGACCCAAAGGTCTTGGTGGCGACTCCCGGTCGACTAAATGACTACCTCAACGATGAATACATCGCCCATAAATTTCAATCCATTCGCACTTTGATTCTGGATGAAGCGGATCAAATGCTAGAGGCCGGTTTTCTAGTAGCCCTCAACGACATCTTGCGCCGACTCCCACAGAAGCAGCAAGCCAATTGGCAAGGCATGTGTTTCAGCGCCACTATTCCTCCAAAAATCCAACCTGTGCTGTCAAAAGTCCTGAAGAACGACCACACTCGTTTATCGACCGTTGATCCTAACGAGACGCCAACAATCGATCGTGTACCCCAGTTTTTTGCGGTTGTGCCGTCAGTCAGCGACGTGTATAATGCACTCTGGGCGCTCCTGCAGATGGAATACAAATCCACTGTCGGCGATTTCAAGGTCATTGTTTTCGGGACCACAGCCAATGGCGTGGCACTTATGCATTCGCTATTCACCAATCTGCTTGCAAGCAATTCAACGCTCCAAGTCTTCCAGCTCCAGTCGCGACTCACTCAATCGAACCGCACACGAACAACCAATGAATTCAAGGAGGCCAAAGCTGGCATCATGTTTGCAAGTGACGTTATCGGCCGTGGAATGGACTTCCCGAATGTCTCGCATGTCGTCCAGGTGGGTCTGCCATCCAGTGGCGATCAGTACGTCCACCGAGTTGGTCGTACCGCGCGCGCCGGAAACGAAGGTCGCGCATTCATAATCCTGACACAACGCGAACGCTTTTTTTTGCATGTCAACAAGCGTCTCCCCATTCAACCTTACCCTGTAGATCTTCTCGAAGACCTAGCGTTGAGCCAACCCCGTGAATTAGCCGCAGCTTTCACAGGCGTTGATCAGCTCACCAAGGCAAAAGCATATCAGGCCTGGTTGGGTTTCAACAAATCTTTTACAAAACAACTCCAGTTCGATAACAACATGCTCGTTCAAGAGGCCAATGAATATGCACGAGCGATGGGCTGTCCCGAACCTCCTTTGATTGACAGAACGGTTGTCGGAAAGATGGGCCTTAGAGGTGTGCAAGGCTTGAACATTGGCCATATTGAACGAAGTGGTGGCGGTAGAGGAGGACGTGGTGGTGCCCGTGGAGGTCAAGGTGACAGTCGTCGGGGAGGTCGACGCGGTAAAAAGTAGAGATTTGTTCTGTCCTCATTGCATATTTGACGTGTGGACGAGGAAGGACTTCGTGAATATGGCAGGTCTCAGACAGAGAGAGCCTACCCGCACGTAGAACTGCTCAACTATAGTCTGACTGTCTTCAAATAATCATCCAATAATACACAATACACCTCCATATTGTTTCATTTGACGTCTTGCTACCCTTCCGCCGTCGTCCTCTTCAGATCATAAGCATTTCCCCAGAGCAGCACGAATACCTGTAGTACGAGTCCGACTGCTTGGATGGCTTAATGATCCAGCTATACTCAGCTTCTGGCGGACATGCAATAACCTGCGACACATCACCTAGCACTGATTATCAACTTCTCAAACATGTCACGGGAGTCAGATATGTTCCACAAGGCATAGTCAACTTGACGCCCCGGACGGCGAAATGCTCCCCCTTGTTATTTGAGATCTGAACTGCTAGCGCCGCATGCATAACTCTTTGGAACAGGGCGCTCCTTTGCTCGTGTGAATATTTTTTCGCATTTAACCCTCATCTTGGGAGAGCTTATATAGTGCCGTCTTCTACGGAGACCTATTGTTGCCGCCCAAAGGTCAGAACTTGCCATTCTTAGCACTTCACAGTTGCTGTCACCGTTTCCGTCACTCTGGTATCTTTCATGATACTTCGCTATGTGTCAGGGATTTGCTGTCCGCATGGTTTTTTTGTTATGTATGCTCTACAAGTATAAGGACTGCTCACTCGGGCATGATTTTGAGTTGCAGTTGGTAAGATTAGTTGAGCGTAGACATGGACGGAAATACAGCAGCCCGTTTGGACGTCTGATAAGAAAAGTCGTCAACGAAACATGATCTGAATTAACCCTACATTACATTAGACGGATAATGTTGCCTATAGTGTACCTCATCTATTAACTTCCGGATTTACATGTAGATCCATAATGCTACCATCGCGTTTATCGCCACTAATGGTAGGCCCGCCTGAATCCTCGCTCCAGCGCTCGCACCTTCGGTCTCTTCCGGCCCCGTCCCGGTAGTGGTCGCTGCTACGCTTCTCGTACCTCCGGGTGCGATGGTCCCCGCTATGATATTGGCTGTCTGCGATACTGATGGTGGAGCTGTCTCAACAAGACTCGCCAACTCGGTACTTGCATCCTCCGGAGGTATTCGCGTGATTGTCTCGATCTGGCTTTCTCCGATGGAAGAGGCCTCCTGGGAGTTGGTGGCATATATTGATAATGTAGTTGTAGTCGTGGTGTAGGTGTAGGTAACGACAGATGTTCGTTGAACAAGAGTATAGTAATAGGCATAGTAGTACCAAGTATAGACGATGTAGTAGTACTGATACTCTTCTGTTGAGGGTAGACGGGTGCTTTGTGGTGGAGCCTGTGAAGTCGTACGTGTTGTCGTCACGCCGCCCTCGACATAAGCAGTGCAGGCTTCATTAGTACAGCAAAAGATATCGGATGGATCGTCGTCAAAGCTGTAGCAACTATTACCACTTTCGCAATACTGACCATCTAGAATGCCTTAGCCAATGCAGAAGAGATCACTGGACTTGATACATACTGTCGCAACACTGACTCCCTATTGGCATGCAGGAGTCTGAGCAGCACTCCTCGTCGGAAGTACAAACGTATACGGCTGGATTGGTCAGGATCAAAGTCTGTGGATATTAATGTCTTTACGAACTTGTTCCTTGACAGCATTGTGAGCCCTCGGTAACGCATCCATCACCGCAACAATCCCGGCCCGCTTGACACGCATGACCAGCCGCACAGCAGGTGTCGCCAGCAGTGATACACACTCCCGAGCCATCACAGCATCCGCCTTGGCCGTCCGGGTCGGGGCAACAACGCCCAGTCTCTGTGGAAAGTTCAGAACAAAGTTGCCGGATGCGGAAACACTGCTCGTACCATAGCATATCCCATAACCAGCTGAGCAAGACTGTCGCCTCGACTTCATTGCCGCAAACATGTCCATCCCGTAATCGTTGCTCTTGGCTTGCTCGACATTCGAAGCATTGCTTGATGAATCTACAGCCAGCGGCGCGAATTCGATGAGCGCGTTGAAGTCGCCTGCATAGTTGCCGGCGTACGCTGAAGTCGCGAAAGCAATGAACGCGATATATAGTGCAGATAGTAACATCCTGCTCTCTCCTTGCACGCCTTGATGTTGGAAAAGGATATGCAAGGCGAGGAAGCACTCTTGATATGAGCGCCAGCCTTGTCATTCGAGTCATGATTTCCAACGCCAACGGAAAGCCATCAGCACGCTCAATGAGCGAGCCATGTTCTTGAAAGCTGAAGGCGATCACACGTGGAGCCTGAATACGAGGTCGCAGTCATTATTGGAGCAATATGGCTGCTATGACTCTCGCCCAGACTGACCGAGGCAGGATCCGACAAAGATCGGACTGGGCATCCCCCAATCTGGCGAGTCGGAGGAGAAATGAAAGCATCCGAGCCGTGTAGCTTGATGGCGCTAAGCAATGTAGCGTCTTAATGCTCGTATTTTGACTAGTACGATTGGTCGGAGCTCGATGATGGTAAGGATAGAACATTGTTAGGGTCCAAGTGCGCCCTGGATATTCCTGTTGTCTTTTTCCCTCATATGCGAAGACTTTCCATCAATATATGCGTCGAACGGACGCTATTATCATATACCACAGGATTTTCAGGGGTCTATAGAGAAAAATAGCAAGCTCAACGCAATGCAGTCTAGGTATTTGTGTCCACGACTGGCTGGGGACTGGGTGATTACTGACAGGTCTCCAGTCGCAATATTCTGTCTGACGAAGTCATGCTCCGATCGTGAAGGGCAGGTTCGCCTTTGGACCATGCAGAATTCAAAGGGACCAGTCTATCCCGTTAGCACAACTCGTACCCTTCTCTCGTTTTCATCATCGTATTTGATCTAGAGGCAGTTGCATATAGTGTAGACGCTGCTGCCATTGAGAGACTACCTATCCAGAAGAATGAGACATGTTGTTCACGGTTAAGTAGCCAGGTCGTGAGGATTCAATTGTTTTAATGAAGAGATGGTTCATCGACTGACGTTCATAGATACGTATTCGTACATCTGGGTCGAATGCCGAAATCTAAAGCTATGGGCTCTTTCTTAACTCTTCCGTAGGGCCCATATAGCAAATGATTGCACAAAGACGTATGCTTGGTAGGACTATGCATCATGAGTGAGCCATATTGCACAAGAAGCGTTCTGAACGAATGAGTATTTAGAGCTATGCCTTACATTGTTTACGACAGAACATTTAGGTATGAGCTTTGCAACTCATCTCTGACCTAGAGACAGTATGACGAGAGATTTTGACGCTCTCGAGCTTTCCGTATGGCGTGTGTTTCTGTTGAAGAAGATGTAAGAAGTGATGATTCTAGTTTGAGTCAGGCAAGAGAAAGGGAAGAAGGAGAAGAAGTACTGTAGTCTACGGAAGAGAGGCTTTACAGTCTACGACTAGTCCTGGTCCGGATCAACGAACACAGCCCCTTCGTCACTGGTGGTCCCAATGCTTTCTGTCGAGCACTCTTCTCCAGTACCATTCTGTTGCACTTCGTCGCAAGGACCCTCCTGACGCTCTACAGGAGAGACTGTCCGCATGCCAGCCCATTCTGCCATCATTGCTTCGGCTTCTTGATAGAAGTGACTGAAGCGCATGTTGTTATCATTGGGACTGAATCCTTCGATTGCAAACCGCACAAGTCTTCGAGCAAGTCGATATGGCGGAGGATATGCGTAACGCACATACTCTGGCCCAGCAGCTTCTTCGAAACATTGTTTCAGTTCACGATCCTCTTGCGTGGCAGGCTCATCGTTGGCCAGGCGCTCATCCTCATCATCTTCATCATCCCATGCCCAGATCCACATTGGCGGCCTACACGACATGAAAGCTGGTGCAATGCTGGCGTGGTCCCAGTCTAGGATACCTGTGATATTGACATCTGATGACGCGTCTCGGTCGGAGCTAAGAAGAATGTTTCGAGGTTCAAAATCCCAGTGGCACAGAGAGAACGGAACGTTCCTGAACCATCCCTCACTATCCATCTCTGTGGTCATGGTGATTAGTTGGTCCAGATAGTCTTCGTCGAAATACTTTGTGGATTCATCCACATTTTCCTCTTCAAGCGCTTTCTTTCGTGACTTGAATTTGCCTATTATAAACTCTCCGGTAGAACAAGACCTGTTATGTTGCAACACAGGCGAGGTTAAGAAAGGCTCTATGATGGGCTGTGGGAGAAAAAAGGAACTTCTGTCCGAGGGGATAGATGAGTCGATCCGATGGTTGCAGATATTCATGGCTCGAGAATCTGCAGAAAAGGCAATCTGCCCTGCCTGAGGTTTCTTGACAGATAGCATGAGGCGAACTATGCGGCCAAGTTGTGTCGCTACTTGGACTTTTTGATGGTGTTCCAGATCTAGGAATGTTGTGCGAAGGTTTTCCCCCGGTAGCCGGCTTTGGATCATGTAAGGAGCGTCCAGTTCATTGCAAGGTGCTTCTTCAAAGGCCAGCACATGAGGAACTGGCATACATCCTGGTACGAGATCACCACATCTTTTGGCGAAGATGAAGGCGGCAGCGTCTCGGTCGACTCTAGGTCTATAAGACCGCGCGATCCGCAGAATATACTGAGCGCTTCCGGCTGCTCCAGGCGTGTCGACAGTGATACCAATAACCCGATTGTATCCTCCTCCCCGCAATCTTTCGATCGTAATGTGTTCAGCTGATGATACATTCCAGATCCGCTGGGCAAATTGTAGCACTCTAAACTTAAAGGTATCGAAGGACTCCTGTTCGTACTGGACAGTGGATGTGTCCGATTCATCATCGTTATCGTCATCGTCATCGCCATCCGTTGTTTTCCCCAAATCCAAATATATCTCGGCGTCACGGGAAGGTTCAAAACTTGATCCTGCGTCCGATTCAGCGTTTGGCCCTCCACAGGGATTTATATGCAGGGGCGTGATCTCCTGCTCAGGCATTGTAGACTTTTAGTTGATGTTGTCAAGTAGCGTTGATGGGGAGGATCTTGTTGACGCACATCATTCCTAGATGGTTGTAAAAGTATGATGTGGGAGCTGGCAATGCTTGTGAACGTGTCCATGTTTGCCTCAAATGGTCGACATGACTGGTTTTCACGCGAGCGACGTCCCGTTCCGGTCTAGCCCGCCGCGTGCGGTGTGAAGGCTGGATAAGGAACAAGCTGTCGATGATATTTCACAATATATTAATAGTTGCGTAGAGCAAAAAGGGAGTCAGGTGCTCCCAATTGTGATCCTCATGTACTGTACTACATTCATTCATGCAGAACATCACAATCTGAATGGAACTGTGCTTCAACTCACAAGACAGACTGCATCGCTGACCTTTAACATCCATGAAAATAAAATCTTGAAAACATAATACAATTGAAAGGGAACTTTACCTGAACACCACTTAGTAACGATTTACCGTTATACCACTCGGGAATGGCTATTACCATCGCCTGACAGAAGTGCACCGCTTCAACGGGACAACCGTACCAGCGGCCGTCGCTTGCCTAGCAGCTTCCATCGTCAACGCCATTGACTGCGTGCACATGTTCTAGCTAGCAGATATGAAAAGAACAGTAATAGCTTTCTGCAACACCTGAAGAATTCCATTCAGAGTCCAGCACCATACTCCTGTTTGAGATAAAACAAAGGTACTGCTTCCCATCAACCATTCGTCCATAGCACATCATCATGCCAGGAAAAGGATTTACAACGCACCACTGCCCAATGAGAAGCAAAGGAAACTGCAGGGTCGGCCACTTCTGCAAGACCCATCAGACTATATGTCAAGTACATGGTTGGTCGCATCTCAAGACAGAGCGTTGTCCAAGGTGTAAGGTATCGCTGCTCTTGACAGTCTTAGATCTGCGTTTTCGATGTTCTGACATGAATAGACAGAAGCAGCGATGGCTGCAGCTAGCAAGGCGAATATGGAAAAGAACGCCGAAGAAAAGAAGAAGTAATGTGGAGGGGATGAGCTCCAATATACCACGTTCTGAATTATTCCAGATAACACTACGTCGCCTTAGGCGCGATATTTAGAGGCGTACGTATCACCTTATGTGAAACTTTGTTTGAAGATGGGATTCCTTGCCTTGTTATGTGTCCTCCAATCAGAGTTACCAAATGATTGAGTAGTCTCTCGCTGCAAGAGCGTTGGCAGTCTAGTATCGTAGGTAGGACTGCATATCAGAATCCCTCTGTCGTAAGATATCACTTCTTGTGGGGCCGAGCTCAATAACATACTCTACGACCTATGACTGATACAATACGCAGGCAACACAGTCTCTGTGATCTTGATTGCTGTACTCACCTTTGAGTCACTAGATGGAAGGCTGTGTGGCTGTGTGGCTGTGTTTTCGGAACTTCGTAAAGGAATCGTCATAAGTGTCTGCAAGATCTTGTGCTGAATCTCACAAGCAGGCATTAGCAACTTACGCCCTCAGGCTAAATTATGTTTGTATGCACTGCTTCTTTATTAAAAGCATTGCTCTGTCTTACGATGTCGCATATTAGCCTTTGCAGGTATGTGGACCTGACGCTACGGTCAGCACAGGTGCATTGAGTAGAGTGCAATCATTGGATCACTAGAGACTCTCTGTGTAGGGCTGCGAGAATGTGTGCCTGCAGGGGCTGGGATTGCCAGGGGGACCATCATAGCGAAGACAGTGAAGAGGAATGGAGGCCTGTATTTTGTGATCTCTTATCTACGGAATAGGTTTCGGGTATGTTACTGGATGGAACACTCGTCTTGTGTCAAAACTGTAACAATACCTATGCCGCGAGCCTTGTCAGTATCAACTTGCAGGGCCGTAACGTTGGAGAGTCGTAGGTGTCAACTAGACATGGGTAAATACATATATGGCGAGGCTGGCTAGAGGCCTGTGGGACAATGCTACTTAGTTCCACTTCGATAGTAGTAGTCAGAATTGGAGATGTGACATACATTGAGTGAAGCTTTTTCCAGCCCCTGAGAATGCTCCAGTAGTAGTCGTCACATGGGACAGACTGGAATTTTGGGCGGTTGCACAGCTAGAGTTGTCTCTCGCATGCCACGTCCAAGATGTCGTGGACTACTTACACACATGGAGGTGGGAGGACAGTGTTTTGCAACAGCTCGCAGATGAAGTTAGTCAGGATATAGACAGTCGATTTGATGAGGGAAACGCGAATGAGATTGGGTATCGAAACTAGGAGACCTTTCTGCGCCTTGTACAATATATCATGTAAACCAAGATCCAAGACAGTGAGCAAACAAAGGACAGCATAAGTCTACATTTCTATCAGGTTCGGAGCGGACGGAAACCCACGTATAAGGTGTATTGTGTCACCGTTCTGGCAGCTTTCGCAGAGCTTCTCGGAGAATTTGAGCACCCGGGTGCCTTTCGGCATGACAAGGCATACACTAAGCTTATCTTCCTCTTTGCCGCTGTTGTTGAGATTTGGTATTTTGAGGTCCTTTGCCGCCTTGTCAAGAAGGTGTCCAACAGTTCGTTCTTTGTTGTAGAAGAAATTTCCGGTCTTCTTTTCCGCAGTGTTTGCCGTAGCGTCGACGTATAGGTAGATACGTTTGTCCTGTGCTATGCTTGCATCGCCTACGGCAGTCCTCTTGAGCTGGTTTATGGCCGCAACACTAGCGGCAGCAGACCGTGCGGAGCCAGAGGAGGCTTTGGATACGATAGTGGACCCAGACTTCTGTGCGGTAGAAGCCATCGAATCTTTTTTGCTTGCTCCCCATAATCTTAACTTATCGAGCGCTGCGAGGCCTTTTTCCCTTTGTTGCTGCATCATGTTTGGCGGACGTGCGCCGAGGGGCTTGAGATTTGAGCAGTCGTGGTCTTCGCGCATTCTGTGTTTCAGACAGTAGTGTCTATTGCAGTTTGGGCAGTGGATGCTAGGGGTGAGAGGAGTATCGATGAGTGTCTTGCACACTGGAGTAGCGCATTGCTTTTCGTGGTTGAGGACAGTAGGCTTCTGTGTTGGTGTGTATCCAGACGATCGCGATTCAGCTTCACGCCTTCTTTTCGCCCATGCACCTGCATTGTCACACTTGTGAGCAGATTCCGTCCGGTGTTCGAGACAGAAGGTGCCTTTGCAACTCTCGCAGCGGAAAGGTAGGAAGTCGAGCTGGTTGCAGAAGGCTGCCTGGCAGTGTTTCCCAATAGCTTCCACGTCCCCGACGGTTGCTGCCATGCTGGTATAGCTCGTAGGGTTCTGATGTTCAGAAGATTTTGAAGACATGACAAAGGAGTTGGAGCTGTGGCAGTAGATGTAGTAGAGGAAAGGAGCACAGACACAACAGATGCGTGACGCGGCCTTGAAGCCTGACGATGATTAATCTCGATAGATTCTCTGTAGGAACATGCTAGAAGTCCGGGGACGCGTTGAAGTCAGCCCTACGAGCCGGGATCTCGGCGCGTGAAGTGGCACCGGCCGCTATCAGAACCGGCCGCTCGCCGATCAGTCTAAGCTAAAATTAGCTCCAGTCTGGGCGGAGTGCGACGCGACCTCCACTCAGTCATTGTGTGCGTGTGTGGGTGTGTGTGCGAGTCTGGAAAGGGAATTGGTATCGAATATGCACTCAGCATTGCAGTTCGAGCTTCTTGCCAAATGCTCGGTAAGTACTGACTCAAAGGTCCCAAGACGATGCACTGACACATATCTCAGGTTACGAAAGCCCGCGCTGCGAATCTTATCCTTCCTCATGGCCCAGTGCCGCTCCCCATATTCATGCCGGTTGCGACGCAGGGATCTTTGAAGGGCTTGACTCCGGAGCAATTAGAAGAGACTGGTTGTAGACTATGTCTGAATAATACATATCACTTGTATGCTTTTCCTCCGGTCCACCTAAAAGACTGAGCGCGCCTGACGGTCATAGAGGACTTAAGCCGGGTCAAGAAACCTTGGATGCATTAGGTGGAGCGCACAAGTTGCAATCATGGCCGCATAACCTCTTGACAGGTCTCTGACTCCTAATTCACTTTGTGAGAACTCGTATGCTGACACAGACAGACAGTGGTGGGTCGGTGATCCAATAATCCATGTGGACAATACAGTCGTGACTAACGCCGAATCAAGGTTCCAGATGGTATCTCTCCTGAAGCTGGCTCAGGTTACTGAGGATGGAGTGAGGTTTCTAAGCCCGCACGATGGCACACCAATGTAGGTCCACATTAAACAGACATTAAACTACTGCTGAACGCGACAGGCTTCTCACTCCCGAACATTCGATATCCTTACAGAACTCCATAGGGTCCGACATCATGATGCAGCTCGATGATGTCATTGCAACAACATCACCGGATCTTGCGCGAATTGAAGAGGCAATGTGGCGCTCAATAAGGTGGCTTGACCGATGCATAACAGCGCACAAGAAGCCAGAATCTCAGAACCTCTTTTGCATCATACAAGGCGGCCTCGATCTCGAACTTCGGCGCATATGTACCGAAGAAATGGTTGCACGCGATACACCTGGTATAGCTATCGGTGGTCTGTCTGGAGGTGAAGCCAAAGACGCATATTGCAGGGTCGTGGACACGTGTACTGGCCTACTGCCGGACAACAAGCCAAGATACGTTATGGGCGTTGTATGTATCGCAATACTGTTTATGATATTTCGCTGACATGTGCAGGGATATCCTGAAGATCTCGTTGTGTCTGTTGCCCTCGGCGCCGACATGTTTGACTGTGTGTGGCCAACGCGAACCGCTCGCTTTGGAAATGCGGTGACGTCTGCAGGTATATTAAACCTGAGAAATGCTGCATACTCTGAAGACTTTTCGTCCATAGAGGAAGGGTGTACTTGTATATGCTGCAAACCTCTGTCAGAGGGCGGTCTGGGCATCACGCGAGCTTACATATATCATTTGGCTGCAAAAGAAACAGTTGGAGCCCACCTATTGACTATGCACAATGTTCATTACCAGCTTTCGCTGATGGGTCGTGCAAGGCAGGCGATCATGGATGACGCGTATCCGGCATTCCTGAAAGATTTCTTTCGCAGGTTATACGATAATGATACGAGCCGAGTCCCTACCTGGGTAGTTGACGCTTTGCGCGGCGTTGGTGTCAACATCTTGGCCTGGTAGACGGAAGGTCAGGCGGAATATACGGCATCCCCTAGACTAGACATGCAAGAAACCATGGGAAGCTACACAATATCCCTCCCACGAGGCTTGCATCATTTCGTACATCCTAGCTGGACCCCGGATGGGCTGCGAAATAGAGTGTGCCGACGACAATCCTAGCAGGCGGCGAGCGCGTAGCGCCATCTCTCGCAGTGGTTCTCAGAACCAGGTGCTGGTGTTTGAGTCGTCTGAACATGACATATCTATTGTTATGGACGTAGCTACTCCTTGTCTTGTCATGAGTGTGTGGAAGAATGGCGGAAATTGCGCAACGCGGCACCCGCGAACTGTTCGAGGCTAGGTTAGCTGCTATGCGCTCGCTCACTGACGGTTGACACGCGAGCCCCCGGGAGGATTGTTATGGTAACATTTCTATGCGAAAGGAAACAAATCGCTCACCGCCAGCAGCAACGAAAGGTTGCATAAGATGAGCATGTGGCGTCGCACTGCCGTGTCGAGGTAGACAGTGGAGATGCCGCATACGATTCCCTAATCCGGCCTCGCTTCAATTGCAGATGAATGGAAGTATAATGGACAATTAACATGGACCCCAACACCCCAAAGACCCCAACCTTTAGACCTTGGTTCCTCTCCTCGGCCATGGAGTGCAGGCTCAGCTTGCATGGCATACAACGACTATCCACATACCATCGACAGCTTGCTTTGTTCGCATTCGATATGTTGCTACCTCTTAGGGTAGAAGCATGATTCGCCAGATAAACGGCGTTCCCGTTTGTCCGCAGGTTCAGAACTTGACATGACCATATATGTGGGGTCCATGGTTCTGTCTACACGTGCGTATAGCTTATCTGACGTTTAGGTTTGGGATTATGCACACAACACATGGCCTGTAGCCGGAGATTCCGCAACGTCTACCGTCAATGTCACCCAATGAACAGCTCTGTAGACAAGCGATATGCCTCTGTGATGCAGGGAAACAAGTACACAACAAGATGATTCGCAGCACCGCCCCCTTTTAGCCGTTTTCCTTGGTTCCCGTTCTCAAAAATGCCTCAGTCACGTGATATGCCTAGGCGCTCCTAGATTCCTTGATGCAAACACATGCTAACATATAGTGCAGCCGCTGTGGGAGTAGAAATGGTCCTCCGGTATCTCTGTCCTTACAAGAACTGATCTCGCCCCACGTATAGGTCGGTTCTCAAAACGCTTTTGATTTTGTGCCTGCCTTGTCAATTATTTTGCATTTGGCGACGTAGCTATCAACTGGGTGACCTGCAATATCCGATACCTGGCAAACTATTATACTCGTAAATGGAGCCGGAGTCAAAGGAACCACAAGTAACAGACCCCGAAGTTCAGCCCCGCGTGCTACGCGTTCAATATGCGGACGAGATCGATAATCGACACTCGCGGTCCAGGGGTCGTCGTTTGTCCATGGACAGTATTCGATCGATGCACTCCATGAGGATTGTCGAGCCTAAAGTTGTCCTACCTACTCAATTCAAGACCCTGTATGCCTTTTCTATATTCCTCCCAACGTTGTAATCGACAATACTAACTGCCTGCCCGCAGATCTTTCAACGTTGAAGAGTCGAATACCAGAGATGCCAAAGAAGCACTGAGATCAAAGAAAGCTAGCAAGTCCAAAGACGAAAAAGGAGTTGGTCTGCTCCCCAAATCACCCGTGACAAATCACTGTAAGCTAACATATCATTTCAAGAGTTCGCCGATACTGTCTGGCACCGCCTAGATGAAGATGAACTCTATCAACGACTTTCAACTTCACCACTCCAGGGACTAGCCAAAGAACAAGTTGCAAGAAAGCTCAAGGACTATGGACCCAACGTCTTTTCATCGCCGCCATCACAGTGGGCGAAGAAAACGTTTTTGTACTTGTTTGGAGGGTTTGGCTCCATTCTGTTTGTTGCTTCAATATTGGTCTTCATCGCATGGAAGCCACTAGGTAAACCTCCTCAAGTTGCGAATCTGGCTCTTGCGGTCGTGCTCGCCATAGTTTGGGTCATTCAAGCGTGCTTTTCATTCTATCAGGGTAAGTCGTTCCAGACGGACTCTTATGTTTCTGACATGCGACAGATTGGTCCAGCTCTCGTGTCATGGCTTCAATCACTAGTATGATACCCGATGAAGCAATTGTTCTTCGCGACGGCCAACAAATTCGTATCGCTGGCTCAGAAATTGTTCCCGGTGATATTATATATCTCAGGCTAGGAAATAAATTGCCCGCGGATGTACGCTATGTCCATGTCTCTGCTGACGCCAAATTTGACCGTTCGGTTCTAACGGGTACGATCCTCGATCATCTATGGAGTATTATCGCTGAACGATATAGGCGAAACCGTTCCAATTCGAGGCTCGACAGTATCGACGGATGACAACTTTCTCGAGACAGCCTGTATTGGCATGGCCGGAACTCACTGTGTGTCAGGCGAGGCTACTGGTGTTGTCGTCGCCACGGGTGACAACTCGGTCTTTGGTCGTGTGCGTAAAACCTCTTGCCGATAATGACGGAAGCTGACAGCCTGTTCCTAGCTTGCGAAGCTCACAAGCGCGCCCAATACCGGTTTGACAAACCTGGAGCGCGAGATATACTACTTCGTCTCCGTCATTGTCGGTGTCATGCTCACGATGGTTATCGTAGTCATTACCGTCTGGTAAGATATATTGCTGTAGCTGTCGCTGTGACTGACATCAGTAGGGCAACGTGGCTTCGCAAAGATCACCCTAACTGGCTCAGCGTATCGAACCTCATAATCGCCTGTGTTAGTGTTGCTGTAGCGTTCATTCCGGAAGGGCTGCCCATTGCTGTGACATCTAGCTTGACAATCACGGCGAACATCATGAAGCGCAACCAGATTCTCTGCAAAAGTCTGAAGACTGTCGAAACATTGGGTAGCGTGTCGGTCATCTGCTCCGACAAAACCGGCACATTGACTAGAAACAGTATGACTGTCACCGACATTATGGTCGAACAACAAAGTTTGACTGCGGTGGCTGCATCTGGCGTGATGGAAACTAACGGTACAGCTAAACCGGTATCAGCACCTGTCTTAACGCTGTCATGCCTATCGCTCATAGGTGCACTCTGCAACGCGGGAGAATTCGATGCTGCAACAGTCTCTGAACCTCTTGCATGCCGAAAGGTTTTCGGCGACGCGACAGACCAAGCGGTGTTACGCTTCGCTGAAAGTCTTCGCTCGGTCGCGGAGGCACGCAGCCAGTGGGCAAGTGTGCACCGGGTGGCTTTCAACAGTAAGAATAAGTTCATGGCTCAGCTTGTACGATCGAGTGGAATACATGACGCTAGTTCAACCAATTCGACTGTTCTTCTCACACTTAAGGGCGCACCCGACGTCCTTCTCCCGCGGTGTACTCACTACCTGACCTCTGCTGGCATTAACGAGGCCATCGACAGCGTGTACTCCACCTACCTTGAACAGACCAAAGACAGATGGTCGCGCGAAGCTAAGCGAGTCATTATTTTTGCACAGAAGGAAATTCCGACGGAGAAAATGCCTGCACCAGACTCTTACGAATTCGAAGACTGGATCATGGAGCAAGCAGCATCCAGTTTGGGTATCGTCGGTCTCGTCGCAATCACAGATCCCGTGAGACAAGAAATCCCAGACGTCATTCGTACCCTGCGTGGAGCTGGTATCAAGTTTCACATGGTTACTGGGGACTTCAGGCTCACTGCCCAAGCCATTGCAGAGAATTGCGGTATAATTACGGCTCACTCTGTCGACGATATCTCCGCTCTCTCGAGGTCAACATCAGTTCCGTCGACTGCTGTGAGTTCCTACGGGGGCGTCGACATGAATCCTCAGAACCCTCGCGCCATAGTTCTAAGCGGACCTGACATGATGCAACTCGACGAGGATCAATGGGAAAACCTCTGTGCCTACGATGAAATTGTCTTTGCCCGGACAACACCAGAACAAAAACTTCGTATCGTGAAAGAGTTCCAAAAACGCAAGGAGACGGTCGGCATGACAGGTGATGGAGTGAATGACGCACCTTCGCTCAAAGCCGCAGACATTGGTATCGCCATGGGCGGGGGCTCTGAAGTTGCCATTGAGGCCGCAGACATGGTCCTGCTCGACTCCTTTGCCGCTATTGTCGAGGCTGTGAAGTATGGCCGTGTTGTTTTCGATAACTTGAAGAAGACAATCTGCTATCTCCTCCCCGCAGGATCGTTCTCAGAGTTTTGGCCTATCATGACCAATGTCCTCTTCGGCCTACCACAGATTCTATCTTCGTTTCTCATGATCATCATATGCTGTTTCACAGACTGCGCCGCAGCTATAGCCATCGCGTACGAGAAGCCAGAAGCCGACGTCCTCTTGCGCAAGCCACGTAACCCTGCGAAAGACCGCCTCGTCAACTTCAAACTCATCGGCTACGCATACGGCTTTATCGGTGTCTTGCAAACTGTCTCGTCCTTTGCTATGAGCTACTGGTTCGCCTCTCGCCGTGGTATTACATTTGGCACCTTATGGTTCGGCTTCGGCACTGTGCCTAGCAACATGTCGATGGCTGAATACACAAGCATCCTCAATACGGCATCCTCGATCTACTTTGTCACTCTCGTGGTCATGCAGTGGTTCAACCTGATGGCGGTACGCACGCGTCGTTTGTCCATCCTACAGCACCCGCCGCTGTTCAGGGTGGATACTCGTAATGTGTATTTGTTCCCAGCAATCGTGTTTGCGTTGCTGATTGCAGTGTTTTTCAACTATGTGCCGACATTCCAGCAAAATCTTAGCACCAGCACGATTCCGGTTGCGCATTGGTTTCTGCCGATGGCATTTGGGATGGCAATCTTGTTGTTGGACGAAGGGAGGAAATTCTGGCTGAGAAAATATCCCCATTCGATCATTGCAAGGCTAGCTTGGTGATTCAGCAGTTGCAATGTACCCACACACTTTTCGATGATAACGGCACAGTTCATAGGATTAGACCTCACGAATTTCTACATAACTAACAATCATAGTTGCAATACTTTAGCTCCAAAGAACTGTGTCTATGATTCCTTGCTGAGTGAGGAGTAAGCAAGCTAAATAAGAGCCGCATGGTAGATAATCGTCATCTTACGCCATCAGAAGTCAATCATGCCCATTAGGGATGCCAGGAACCAATCTGCCTAGACTTATCCAGGTTGTAATCGCTAAGCGAGCGTCCACCGCCAGGGCTCCCCTGAATGTTGCTGACAGAAAATCGTATGACGGCGAGAATTATCTGGTAAGATTCTCGACAGGTGTCGACGAGCCATTTGATGATGAATCTGTGCATGAGACATCGGGAGGATTATCGTCTTAGCAACTGTTGTTCCACCAATTAAACTCCCCATCAGAACAGTATATAATTTGTTTGTTTGTTCTCAAAACAAACGACCAGCACGCTTGCAGCCAAGTCCTCTTCACTACACTTTACACCAAACCAGCTTCAAAATGCATTTCTCTTACGCACACACCGCAGCACTCGCTCTTGCCGCTGCCAGCACTGTCTACGCCCAGATCACAGGCCCCTTCTACCTCACCATCGTCCCCGAAGATGGTTCCGCTCCATATCCAGCAACAGTCGCCACTGTATCGCGCGGCGCCCAGATTCTGTCGAGCGCATTGGAGTATACGCAGCAGTTTACTTACGATGTGTACGTGCAAATCCTTTCTCCAACTTCTACCTCTCCAACTTTCCCACCCTAGACCTGCTCTTGGAACTCCCACCTTGCATTATCATGCGTCAAGGAATTAACCTACTTACAGGACGTCGAAACGTATTTTCAAAGCCGACGAACCCACGAATGGAAACCGACCCTTTGGTGTTGATACTCCGTTCTTGTTCAATGGTGCGGGTGGAGCTGGGTCGGCACTGGACCAGATTGAGGTTGATGGCGAGACGTATCTTGTGAAAGAGGGTGCTGACGAGGGCATTTATGCGTGGTGGAGTGCGCCGACGCCGGAGGGGCTTCCGGTGAATGTGTTTTGGGAGGGCGTCGGGGAGGGTGCAAATGCGGCGTTGAAGATTGGCGCGTAGGATGATCTAATTGATGAAGAGATGCAAGTCGACCATTGAACCTCGAGTAGAAGCTATGCGTCAGTGTTATCTTATTGAGGATGACTGTTGACATAGGAGGATGATAGAATGTTTATGTGGACAAAAATCCCTGGATGACTCAAACGTCGTCTTAGACTATCATATTGAAGGATATCATATATACATGGAAATCCGAGTAGTGACCAGTGCCAATTTGTGCGTTCATACAAATCATACATGCTGTTGTTTTGTCGCTGTGCTTAGGTATCCCACTCTTTTACGCACTAGCCTAATCCGGCATACACACTTGAGCTGCTCGTAGGTCAATCCTGTCACACTATTCTCCTGCAGTGTTATTTATGCTCGATACGCTATTTTTAAGGTCAAGATGAGAGCGACAAAGAAGGCATAAGAGCCTGGTGGAAGATATACATCGGAGTGATCCGAATTATTCATCATCCACCAGACGTGGACGAGACGCGGGTCGGAAAGAAGCCCTCGCCCGTTCGGCACTGCCAGCCGCGATGCAACAGCCCTAACACGTAATTAAAGAATCTTAGCGCGTGGCTCCAATTTAAAATGCATGCTTGCCCCTGGCACCAGGGCGCCGGTCCACTTTTGTGCGCGTCCCATTTATCACTTGCGATCATCGTGTCAATCATGAAGCCCGTCTTCACCGTCGGCCTTATTGCTCTTGCGCAGCTCGCTACAGCTGTCCAGGATCCATTGATCACCCATGCACCGAGACTGATCCCTAGACAGAATGATGGCGAGCTCGTTGGCTACGTCAGCACAAGCGGCGCATCTGAAGGTAAACCATGATCCTTACCGACGCCTTATCAGTGCTTCTGTAGAGTACTGATACATCACTTCGTAGTGATCACTCCGGCACAGCAGTGCGATCCCACCGCGACCCTTACGAGCAGCGGCGCCTACGCAACATGCTGCCCTACCTCGGGCTCATGCAATTTCTTCACTTCATGCTCCGATGGGAACCTCCTCGCGGCATCGACAAATGTATACTGCGACCAGGGTTACTGTAACACAGGTGTGATTGTACCCACCGCCGGCGCGTCTGATGGACTGAGCTATTTGGCGTGCTGGGCAACGGAGTACGGAACGGACCCGTTTGCGCTTGTGCAGACGCCTGGTGATGGTAAGAGGTTTGATGGCTAGGCGCGTTGGCTGTGTCGCTGATATTACAGTAGCTATGGCAACGAACTCGGGCGACAATGACTCCTCTGAGAATGGCTCGCCGATGTCGACTAGAGGGACGACGACCAGGGCGTCGAGTAGTGTTTCTGACTCTGCTGCGCCGAGCTCGACTTCGGGTGGTGCGGCTGCTTATGTTGGATCTGACGCGCTGTCTGGTGGTGTGCTTGGTGTGTTTGCCATGGTTTTTGGTATGCTCTGATTAGCGATTCATGACGGCAACGCCTTGGGAGTATCTCTTACTCGGAGGAGCATGCGAGGGATGAGCAAACGACTCTAACTGATTAATATGTCACAGTCATGCAATTGAATACTAATTAATTTACAATATGTTTTGCCCTCGGACATCCATCTCCAACCCCTAAAGATCGAAAGATGTTTTCTGCATGTCTCCAGCAAACCGGTACAATGTAATGACATTCTTCTCTGGTCGTCATCGAACGGCGGTATACTGAATGCAGTTCTTGACATCGGCATATCTGTATGGCGAGGTTTGATTATCTACACCTTCCTCATATATGCCGAACAACACGGCGAGCCCTATCACTTGCCGACGTGACAAGAGCGTCATATCATAGAATCCAGCAAATGACCCGTGAAGCCTCCTACTACTTGTCGCAATAACTCCTTCTATTCTTCTACCGACCGCTAGGAAATGGAGCATCCCGAAAAATATCTTGCGTCGCTCGAAAGTATGCGATCTTCGGACCCAGCTCGCAGTCAGTCCTGTGGTAAACTCTTGGACGAGCCAAAATATTATTGGCGTAAGATCCGAAATGCCATTTCGCAGTCCATATTGACCATCGGTATGATGGAAAGATCCATAATCTTGGTGCCCACACCTTGTTTCTTGTGTTGGGTCAAGGCACGTTGTGTACGTATATACTTCGCTGCTAACACCGAAACGTGACTAGCTAGCTCACTCTTGTGATCGTTAGGTAACTGCGGGTCGTCTAAACTTGATCCAGAGTCCTAGACCTAGAGGTTTTCCAGAAAATCAGTTTGGTATTTAAAGTCTATTACCACTGATGCTTATATTTTTTTCTCTTTCTTGATCTCTACACGTGTTTTTAGTTCAAAACTAAGACTTGGTTTCTTTCCATAGGGTTCTCAAGTAAGGGGTTAATTATAAAAAGTAGTTATGTTTCTTTTCTCGCACGGGCCGTGTTTCGGAATCTCTTCTTTTTTGCTTATGCGATACTTCTTTTTTTTCTCGCTCTATGTCTTTGATACAGATCCATATAATCAAAGAAAGCTTATAATTGTACTCTCATATAGTTATATATAGACATATACGTATATATAAGCTCTACCTAGAGAATATGGGAGATGACTATATAGTTAGCTGATCTAGACCGAGAACGCTTCGGGGATCATGCCAGAAACGAGCGGAAGCACGATAATGGTGTCAAACAGTGACCGTGCTTCTTTAAAAATCTCCCCAATCCGCCCCCCAATTTTCTCGTCGACCCTTTCGAAGGCTGTACTTTCTCATTATGAACATACCTGCTGAAGGCCCTCTAGGGCCTATGCAAAACGTCCCTAAAGTCCTATTTCGCACCGTCTATGATCGTGATGAAGATGCCGCATCGGCTCGGAGTCTCGGCGCAGTTTCTGCTTTAGGTGAAATGGGAATCCTCCTGCCGTTCTCCGAAAGGACAACACCGACTACGAAAGACGTGGATCTTCATCTTCGATGGCGCAAGTATTATTACGGCAAACCATGGAGATCTCCTTTTGTGTCATTCACAAGCGATTGGTCCAAGGCCCAGAGATTCCGGAAACTCTACGCAAGGCAAGGGAAGAAAAACGTACGAATTATTGCAATCCAAACGAAAGGCTTGACCAATGTATACAATGCCTCCAAGTATGCCAAGCATCTAAAGTACTATTGGAGGAGGTCTTGGAAGGACGGCAATCCGATCAATCACAGACGCGAATATCTAATCCTTGACGGTGTTCCTACTGGCAGTGATGCAATACTTGGAGTCTTCCATGATGACAGACCGTTCTCGTGTGACGAGGTGTCTCGCGAAGTTCTGACTTGTACCGGCGAATTCCGTTACCCTATGCTTTTACCACTCTTTACGGCGATGGAGCTTGATCAAACAGAAGTTGAAGAGTGGTCAAAGCTACTGGATGTCGGCGAGCTATTGATGTTGTTGGACAGATGCTTTCGCGGGCGGCATCTCGAGTGTACCGAGCGCTCAGAGGCAGCACAAGGGAGCGAATCTGCAGTCGATGAACTTACGTCTAAGCTCTCTCGGCTTGGAATTCAGAGCGTGCGTCCTCTCGCTGTTGCTTCCGCCTTGTAGCGGCTCGATTGGCACGGTACTGTCGCGTGTTATGAAGATGTGGCGAACAGATATCTGTATTCATCTGTAGAAGTCACACCACTCCCAGGTGCGCCTGTCAGCAGACCATTATCTCGAAGGAGGCCGTAGACCGATCTTATCGATTGCATGCCTATGGGCATATAAGGGACTGCAGAACCTCGTTCATGCATCCTCTGGAAGATCGAAACAGTGGGAGGAACACCATGTAAACATTGTTTCAACTCATCTCCTAATGTAACAAAGGATACTTTTGCTTCACTGTTAAAGCCTGTTTTTCTGCCCTTATGCCGATCGCGATCCTGTTAATTAAAGGAGGTCAAGTGGTCCTTGAGATCCTAGATGTCGAGAGTCTGACCTCTTCACTCTTTACGCCTTTCATGCACAAGGCACCACAATTTACTAATGCAATGGGTGCGCTATTCTAGCAGTGAAAGACAAGCCTTTAATATCAGACATTGTAGACCCACTGATCACTTGAAGGACCTCGTTCATCAAACGCAGCTCCTTGAGGATCGCAATCTCTGTGCCAGAGTCACAGAATGCGAAAGTCATGTCATACACGACCGAACTCTCGCCCAATGCCGAGCGCCCTGCTCTCCTATACCGCGTCATATACGGTGTTCCCACCGAGGGCAATCAATCAGGCTTACCTAACGATCAACTTGTTGCACGAGGCGCCTGGAAAACTCGACCACTAGAAGTATACGCAGACTTGCATCTGCGCGTACAAGTCAAAGACCGAGTGGGCAACGAGTCCAAATCCCCATTCATGACATTCACCAGCCAGTGGCGCGACGCTCTAATGATCCGAGAAAACTTTCTAAAGCAAGGAAAAGAACATGTCCGCATCGTTGTCGTCGACGGTCGGAAAGTCCGCGACATCTTCAGTGCTTTTGAGATCAGCATGAATTTGGGATACGCGGCGAATGGCTCCCGATTTTTGGGGAACAGATTCTGCCACGAGAATGAGTTTCTGATCCGAGGTGTTGTTGATGTTAGGTAAGGGCATGTCCTTGCGATCATTGATGGGGATGGGAAGGACTTGTCTTACACCACGCTAGAGGATCATGCCATCCAACTTACAGGAGGAATTGACTCGGAGACGGTCAAATACCTATATGATTGTGTACATATGAATGATAAGATTGATGTGTCTACCTCACACCCTCAATCTTCGCGCTCCAGTTAGATGAGAGTACGCCACTCGGTACACACTTCAGCCCATCAATACCAACAGCTCCGTATGGCTACGAATGTAGACTTAGCCTCAGACGCGGTGGTAGAGCAGGCTGCCGTCCAAGAGCTATCAGTGTCATAGGATTACGAGGGACTGCAAAATAATTAGTCAAGATCGCCAGAGAGAATTGACTAGCAATAATGATGTTGTTAAGAAAAGCAGTACGGTGTTTCACATGTGGTCCATCTACCCGTGTGCCCCTTGATCAAATGTTTATAACAAACTCTCCCTAAAGACCCAAAGTCATCTCTGCTAAGCAGCATGATCTCGGTATTCGCCGGTCCAGAGTAGTCTCAGGAACGCCTGACGGAGAAGCCGTACAAGTGGATATACTTGAAGAGTATTCAGAGATACACTCGAGGAATGTAGCTTTTTTACTGTCGAGATAGGGTATAGATGTGGTTAGTATTGGGCCAAGGGGGCATCTGCTTGCGTATATATCTGATCCTGCAATCTATATCCACTAAGATCACTCCTTGCCGCCCGGCGATGCTACGCCAATCATTACTCCTGAATTGAGCGATCGCGCGCATGAACAAGCAAGCTGCAACGGTCTAATCGTTGCTAGGATAGCCGCCTGCACGATGTATCTGCCCAGCGCTTAGAGCAGTCTAATAAGTCTGATAAGCTTCAGAGTGCGCCGTATCCATGTACATTATTTCACGTAGTGCAACCTGCCTGTCACTGGAGTCACTCAAAGAGATTTGAAAAGCACAATCGCACAATATCGAACGTGCCACGAGATATCATGTGCATGATCTCGCGGAACATGCAATAGGACATCATGGAGAGTGCATACCCTGCGTCTCGTTCCAAATGTAAAATCCTTCATCTTTCCTCTAGCCTTGTGGTGTGTACTAAATCAGACGCAGGGGGCCAGCTGGTCGGCTTCAAATCATTCATTATCTTTGAGAGGCTACGGCGAACATATACAACAATGAATGCTGCCAACGCATTGATGGCCGGCTTGTCTCTTACAGTGTTGACTTTCGACGAGTATCATCGTCCAAACAGGTCGAAACTGATACGAGCCTCAGAAGGGCTACTTACAAGTGCAGCTCTGAGTTCTGTCATATCTGTTGTCCTAGCTACCATGTTACAGTTCTTATTTGAGGGTATGAGACTGCAACACAGTTGGCATTGGCGGTGGCATGGTCCCCATTAGTATTGATGGACATTGCCATCGCAAAGTTTCTCCTGGGCTGGACATTATGGTATGCCGGAAATAATGATGGATGGAGGCGGACTATTATCAGCTCACAGCTCGGGGTGCAATTAGTATTCAGCTGCATGGTTGCGGGCTATATATGTGGTCAATATCACAAAAAGGAGGTCTAGGCGCTGACGAGTTACAAGGGCCTGAAAATTTCAGACGAAAGATGGACGTAAAATATATGACCTAGTAATGGGCTCTCATATATAGTGGGAGTCTTTGCACCAATGCACGACGCAACATTGGAAATATCTTATTGATTTACCAGAGTAACGACCGAGACTTGTACCATAGCAAGGCCATGCTTTGAGACACGTATATCCAAAAAGATAAATAGAAGAACATCTGGTTCTCTTGTCCCATTCTTGGTCTTACATGATCAAATCATTAAATTGGGCGGTATAAGCCCCAAGACGTATTGATAGAGGCTTATGATATTGTAACACTGCACGTTTCTTTGCGTCTACCAATCTTTATCAATTGGATGTTTTAGTACTGCATGAATTCGATCGAGAATAGATATGTGTCAAGAGCGTAAACACCCCGCGGAGAGTACTTACCTTGGTCGGTATGGTCGATTGCACAAAAGCGGCGAGTGCCTTCGACTGATAAGGCCTCAGTGGGATCATCAAAGAATGCATTATTGTTTATGAAACAATGAGCCAACCTTTACACAGTTACCTCACGACTCTCTACTTCGATAAATAGCTAGACTAGAGACGTGTCTTATGATCTAGGGGCGGCAAGTTCCGAGTCCAGCTGTTAATGTCAGCACTGGTAAGTGTGAACGGAGTGCACTCAATCATACATGCCAAGCATCAATCCTCAACGTAAAACCATCATCCGTCGTCGAAACCGGACTCAACACACCAACAGCTAGAAACTCATATTAAAAAGTTACCTCGTCTCACTCGGATCTATCACAGCCTACCAATGACATTGTTCAACCAATAATACCTTGCATCGCCCGTCTCAAACAAGATTCTCAGTTGCAAACCCCCGCTCGGCTGACTCGGACCACTCGTTCTAATGAAGATATTTGCACCATCATCAGTCTGCAGGTTGTACCTCGTATCTGCACTAAAAATCCCAGTCTGGACATCTGTAAGTCCCCAGTCGGCGCCAACGTCGAGGATCCGGCCGCTCATACGGGGGCCGGTGAAGTTGCCACCAACGATGGGGATCGTGGTGCGATTACCAAAGGGACCATAGCTGGTATAGATATTGGGCAAGCAGTCGACGTAGGCAGTGTAGAGAAATGTGAGGGATGGTGGAGATTGGGTGGTGGTGTTTGAGGATAAAGAACCAGTGACGAGTCCTGCTGAGAGTAGGAGTATGCCGGTGAGGAACTGCATGTCTGATCGTAGAATGGATATGTAGGACTACTTTCATCACAGTTGTGAATTGAGGATTGTTTATACTTACCTTGCCCGGTATCGAATCCTAGTCAACCCCGCGGTACTCATTGTCGGTTAAGAAGCGCGGCAGACGATAATCATATCAGACCATTATATCACGCTAAGTGCTCAACCGTACCAGCTTTCCACATGTGTAAATCGGAACACCACAATGGAACAGCCTGATTGTAGAATGACGAAGAGGGGAGAGAAGTCCAAATAGCCCTACTGCGACGCGATTAATCACCTTAGCTACCAAAATTACCCGACAATCTACAAGATGGCAATAGAACTAAACAGCCATGTGCTACAGTATAAGACATAGGTTATAGCTAGTGTTAAAGCGCTGCATCGGTTTAATCTATCCTCCACGGCTCTCGAGCCATTTTTCACTATGGATATGCATAGCCATGAAGCTATGCGTTTGAGCCGACTGCCAGAGGCCATAAGTGGTATCCTCCGCAACGACATATTTGCCATATGCTAGTGCATCAGATCGATTTGCCGCCCTGAGCTGGCGCAGAAGCATGGATTGATAGACCACTCTAATACGGTCAACCGTCTGACGGACATTGAGAAGTGACACAAGAAGCTCATTGGAAAAGGATGTTGCTTGAAGACAGGGTGGGAAAATATTCGAAGCAAAGATGTGGGAGTTCAAGCAAAGAGTGGGATTAAGTGACGAGGAAAACCGTGAGGAGAAGATTTCCTTAAAGTCCTAATAGGCGGCTTCCGAATACCTTGCTGAGATGGATTAGCTAGGAGTAGAGGTCGTAAATCCCCGACCACTCTCCTCGTTATGCTCGGTTCGAAATGTTAGTATAACAGTGGGCAGACCCGGAAAACGCTATACAGGGTAGGTGAGAGCCGGATACCGCTCGGCCCTAGTTATTGCCATCGAGTCGTTATATCCCTCCCGACCAGCGACGTGACAGCTAGAAGTTTGGTCATTTGACCATGATCAAGATCGGTCCTTTCTCGACACCAAGACGAGGAGAACTGAATATGATGGCATAGGCATATCATAAGTCGGAAGACTTCGGTAACATGTCGGGCGGATTCGTAGTCTCAGATGTCGTCGCCACAAATGTCATTTATACTTGTGTGGTAGTTCTCGTGAATGGTGAAGAGATGAAGCGGGACTGTGGGTGGCGTGTGAAAAGTGAGGGCCTGTTGTTGCCTCAGGCTTAAATCCATAATTTGCCGCTGCCTTGGGAAACGCGCACGCGCCACCCATGTTTTGGAAGTGGGGCGAGACAACAAACCCCACCGCCTACTTCACCGCTCCCTCAACTTCACACTGCCCAACCCAACGCAGCTAGACAAGCCAGCGAAGGAGCAGCAGCTTCGAGAGCTGATGCGTAGTGCCCTCTACCGACATGTGTCTTTGAGTCTACGAACTCAAAGTCGTCTGCTGTTGCGGACCTGTCTCAGCGAACAGCGTCACGAGCACGCTTCAGCGATTCGCAACTTCTACTCAGCATGACTGTCTCAACTTCGATACAAAGGCGTAAGCCGTCTCAGGCACCTCTAGAGAAACGAGCCAAAGCGTACTGTCCACCTCCACGCACTCCTCTAGTACAAAGCTCAGATAGCTCGACACCGCCGAATCGTAGCCGAAAACGCACCCGGCCCAGTGCTTCACCCATTCAAAACACACCATGGTCAACGAACGCAAACAACTGGTCACATATTAGCTCGGCTGCCTCGATCGCAAGAAGCGATGCTATGAGTCCGCAACCATTCGCCAACACCCAATATATCCTCAAAGATGGTTTAGAATCACCCAATCAAGACCTTGAGGACGAGGAGGATCACGACACTGACTTCAGACGTTGCTGGAATATGGCAAACCAAGATAGGGTCAGCACGCCTCACAGCGGCTGGGGTAAATTTGTCTTCAACATCGCCGGGAGCCTGGCGGGTCGCATGTGGAATTTCTGCTCCTCTGTACCGTTTCGTGGGTTTGCTGCTGGCGGAGGCCAGGCAGTCCCTGTGAATCCAGAGAGTTTCGAAAGCTTACAGCAAGCATCGAGTATGTGGGAAGAAGTGTCACAGCCTCCCACGCATGAGGCGTTCTATGGCAATAGAATGACCCCGATTCCTGGGCAGTTCCCTGTTGATGACCCTTTTGCAACATCGGAATCGACTCCCCCTCGCCCATCGAAACGCGTCCATGTGGACAGTGGTACTAGCTGGATGGTGGTCCCCTCTCGTGGAATGGGTGATTGTGAACCTGCGTCAGCTTGTAACAGTCCTCGTCTCTCGGACCGCAAAATACCTTCGCAGTCCTACATTCCCCGACCTTCTCTTCCATCCCCCAAATATACGCCAAATCGTTATTTTCCGCGACGCTCATTGATACCTATTTCTCGCCGTTCATCCCTGGTCGGCTCAACACAGTCGCCTAGTCTTCGTCCTGCTTCTAGACAATCTTCTTACTTCGAGTCAAGTCCTGCGACCCGCCCTCGATCGTATAATCCCACCAATCCATTTGCGCCATACCATGACAGACCATACACGCCCACAAACCTTCCGAGTCACGAGGACGAGCGTAGGTCTCCACTTTCACCAGAAGTGCAAGAGATTGCAGAAAAGATCAGACAGGATGAAGAACTCGCAGACGAAAGCATGCGCAACATGAGCATGCGTCTAGCAGACTTGATTCGAGAAGGTCAGAATGCACTCAAGAGTAGTTATGGTCATAGAGACGAGCATATGAGCTATGACGATGAGGGATTCGAGGAAGGCATTTTCTAGGGGACTTGTCGTCATTAACCGCTGGGCTACCATTTACACGTACTCCATCTTGGTCCATGGCCATCATGCAAGCAATTCTTGGACTGTGTGGCTGTCACTCATTGTGTAAATACAAGTATTTCACCATCGCGATTACCCTTATTGCGTTGTACTCCCCGATTGATCTGAAAGTCGGTCGCGAGTAATCTTTTGGCGTTCCTCGATACCACTTCCGGCGTTCAGGCATTTTTTTCCTTCCTTGCAAAAGCGGACATTAGCCAAGAGAGATGTAGCTAGCTTTCTGGAAACATTACGAATTAATCATCTCTGCATTTGGAATGGTCTGGGAATGATTGAGACACTGCCCTGCGCAGATACAAATTTTGTCTTATCGTATTAATAGATTACCAGCGTCTGCTAACGGCCTTTAATGCTATAGAATAACCTGCTCCTCAAACAAATCGTCCCCATGGAAGCCAGGAAAATTGTCGAACTGTATCTTCAAGCATGGCACAATTTAAGCATCGCAGGCAAAACTTGTACGTACACTCTGTACTGGGCAAGAGTTTCACTGATAGAGATTTGTATGCAATGGCCCTGTATAAGACTTCTGGTCTGATCGTTGAAGAATCTTGCTAACGTCTAGATGCGAGGCCGATCACCAGACCTTGCATCTCCCGTCAAGTGTATGACTGGGGCAGCTATGTGGAGGCATGCAAGGGATATCCAGACTAAGACTGTAACATGACAGAGCACACAACGATATGCTCATGGTATAGTCAGCGTCGTCATAAGACAGATCACGATCAACAGTGAAATAGTGAATTGACTGTGAGTACACGCTTAGAAACTACCAAACAATTACTACACAAGGTCCGTACCATATTTGATATACAGACGATCACTCCAGTCTTTCTGTCGGATACGATAATGACCTTTCCGATAGATAATGTCTCACTAGAACTTGTTTTACTGAGGCACCTTTGCGATACGGAGGTGGATATATGCTTCTAGACATTTTAAGAGTCTCAGTGGCCCGGACTTTGGACCAAGTGGCGATCCTGTCAAATTCTCACAACAAGAAAAAGCTAATAAGGTGACTATTGACTTAAGCAATAGTGAGCATCATCCTTCGCGTCAGCAGGTTGAGATCAAAGTCCCAGTATCGAGCGGGATATTCTGAAAAGGCGCTGTGATTGGTCTGTCGGTCTCTAGCTTGGTTAGCTAAAATAAACAGAGCAAAGCCACATCGATCAACGGATCACAGCGACCTCTAATCACAACAACTGCAAATCACAACAATTGCATGAAGACCTGAACGCAAATAGCATGTTTACTACGCATGCGAGCTCACGGTGCCATATGAAACCTGTCACTGACACAGCCTCGAGATCAACAGATTGGGGAGCACATGATTCGCATCCCGACGCAGCGTACACGGCTTGATTGCATCCAACTTGCTCCTACATAGCGGATCAATCACACGACACCAGGTCTAGAAGTTACCCGCCTCAATGTATTTAGAGGATTTCTCATCCTATATACTAAGCCACACATTCGTTGTCCACTTTTCCGCGCGGCAGGACTGATGTGCAAAGGTGTTGCCGCGTCGGTGCGGAGAGTAAATTAACACTCCGACTTTGCACTTACAATGAATGGCTGGCCTTGGTGGCGAAAGAGATGTGTTCCTCAGGCTAGACACTCAGTCGTACGTGTGACAGGTTTCTATATTGACTGTCACGGTCGTCAAGAAAGGAAACGATATGCCTGACGGCCCAAGATGTGGAGAAGCATCTATCGAAGCTATGGAGTACATCGATTCGCCTCCTTGTTGGAATATCTACTTTATTGCTCACGATAGAAACCTGAGAATTGGCATTGACTCTGGCGAATGGATACTACTATCATAGGTAAACATTCAACTTTTGGTCGGAAATATGATGGCATTGGACTTTTGGAAGGGCCTCTTGCTGGTCACGGGGCTTGCCCTGCTTGCGGGATTCTTTCTAATAACCCACCAGAGATGTTTCTTACTGGGCCGATGCGCTCAAGTACCGACCGTCAAATCTAGTTTGCTGGGTATCAGACTGTACAGGGAATGGGCGCAGGATCCAATAGCGTTCCTGGAAGCATCAGCCAGAATACATGGCGGCATACTCAGAGTACGAACGATATTCTCCACGACGTATTGGTTGACGAACAAGAGCTTGGTCCGGATGTTTTTCTATATGGGCGAAGATGTCTGGTCGTACGGAGATTCATTAGTGGGTTGTGCTGAAGACTTGTAGTATGTCCAATTCTAACACTGACGTAGAGACTCTATCTGCACCGAGTCGCAGCGTCAGGATACTTTTCACATTTCCACATCTGGGCCAATGTAGCATTGAGAGGGCTTACACGAACCGATGCGCAAAAATATCACAGGACTGTCGCTGCCCGCGAGACCAGTCTTGCTCTTCGGCATTGGTCCCAGCGATCTGACATCCAGCTCTTTAGCTCTGTGTCTTACCTGATCCACCGTATTATTGTCGCAACCATCCTGGGGTCCGACTTTTATGAGAATGACCTCGATAGAATTTATCATCTCATGCTTGTTATAGTAAAAGAAGCGAATGACAGCTTGAGCTCATACTGGCCGAATTGGCTCTACAGTTCCGTCAATGGACACGAGGCAAAGTTACGTCTAGATCAGATATTCCAAGACAGGCTCGAACAGCGAGAACGGCGACTGAACGTGAAGAGCGGTGACATGGACTACTTATCATTTACGGTGCAGGACCCAACGACGGCTCACCTTAGAGGACACTTTACAATGCATTTCATCGTTCTTTGGATCTCTATACATAAGAACACAACATCAATGGTTTCTTGGACATTACTGGAGGTAAGCTATGAAATCAACATGCCTGTCCACGTCTAATAAGCACAGCTACTGAAGTCACCTCGCCGCCTCAATACACTTCGCCTCGATCTCCAGCACTCTGATCCACTCCGATCACCCGTACTGTCTGCCTACCTGAATGAGACCCATCGCCACTACAGCTCAGCGTCCTGTGTCCGCATTTCTCAGAAGCGCACTTCTCTATCCTCCCATCCAGGCGCACCAAGGAATGAAATCCCGAGCCTCCCAGACATACCCGCTGGTGCTCGGGTTGCGATCTCGCCATATCTCATACACCACGACCCCGCGACATGGCTTCTACCGCAAATATACTATCCAGAACGATGGCTCGAGGATGTAGACTTGCCGCAGAGACTGAATACGAACAGAGTCGCTAACTACCTTCCTGTGGGCGAGTTCGATAGATCAGGCGGGGAGATGTGTCATAGAGTGAGTGCAGCTGTGATTGCGGAGGTTGTGAGAAGATCAGATATACGTTGGGGCGGCGTGGGAGCGTTACAGGATACGACGTCTTTGGACTGGAGAGGCTGGGGAGCGCCCTGGTTGAGAGGCGATGTGAGAGTGAAGTTCGAAGCAAGGTGACATATGTTGTGGTGGTTTGGGCAAGAGATGCTAGAGAAAGATGGAGTGGGGCATGCGGAAGTATAGCCGCGAATAAGGTTATGATTAAAGGACGATATTGTAAACAGTCTGATGAGGAGTTGCCATGAGGTTGCAGTCCTGGCTACAGATTTGCATAAATCCGTCAAAAACAAAATGCTAAGGAGTCATGCATGGTTCGTTCAGCTTGGCTGGTTGCAGAGGTATGGTTGTTGCTGTCGTCAACACCACTGGACAAAGCGTGACGAAGCATGATTGGAATAATACTTTCCAAAGAACTATGCTAAGCCCCCCTAAGATGGACACGCAATCGTCATTCATAATAGTTGCCTGCACTCGTGTATGTACCTATGCTAAATGTTGGATTTTTGGACCCGAGTACAATAGTTTGCTATTATATCAAAAGCGTAGCCCTACCCTCTAATCACACACCGCTCACACAGGACTCAGACAATGAGGCCTCACGACAAAACTTAGCACTTCTTTGCGTTTCGAATTGACACCGCTCAAGAGCGTTATCCGACCACACCGTTGGAAGCTACGATTCGATAAGAGATCTCTCAACTCGCAACGTGTCGCCTGATGAATTATTATCCACATGGATTTCTTCGCAAAGATCTCGTAGGCGAATAAAAGACGATGGTCTTGACCGTATACGCATACGCACAAATCCTTGTCCCTGGCCATGACTACGCGCTCGTGCTCATGTCGTACAAGGATGGACGATGACGAGGATGACAGGGCTGGAGGACACAAGCATTCGCTCCATCCTCTCGAACTGTATCCCGGAGCTTAGCATACATACGAATATGAAACCAAGCCTGCGATCTCGATCTCGATCTCAAAGCCTGACAGTGGATATGTCTAAGTTGAACATGAGCTTTACTTAGATAAACGCTCCGCTCCGTCTAATAAGCCACAAGGAACAGCATCCCTCAGCAGCACAGCACGACAATAGTACACGGGACAAGGAGCCCCTCCTCGCGAGGAGTCAGCATCCTCCAACACGTAACGTACCCCCCCAATCATGCCCGCAATGATAATAATAAAAGCTCGTGATAAGGTAATAGTCCCATACCAGCGACGCCGTCTCGGAAGAGCAGCCACGTCGACTAAATCCTACATAAGAAAGCCTAATAATAAATAGTATTAAAGAAAGAACAGGACGTAAAAAACTCTCCGTCCAGAAGCGGACTGCCAAGAAGCCCAAGAACACCCAGCACAGAGGATATATAGGATAGATGAACTGCGAAATCGCCGATGCGCACAACCACCCACACACGTAGGGATACTGGCCTCGCGATCGGGACGAATCCAGGTTGCACAGATACCGCCACGATGTACCAGCCGTAAAGCCCTAAAGAGACGTGGAAGGAGGCATCACGAAGAGAGAGACATATAGTCAAGTCGGATACATGGGATATCTAAACTCTCCGTCGACGGAGCGTACGGGCGTATAGAGGTGTCCGCTTCCGGCGAGGAATGTTATTAAAGGGCGCTGGACGGCACTCTGGAGGGTTGAAGTGAAGTGGAAGATGATGTCTTGTGGCCGAGAGGACTACGACTGAAAAGCAACGAAACGCCAATGACAACAACAACGACGACGCAAAGGCAGTGAGGGTATGGGTCCTGGCTAGGCGACGATACAGACACACAGAGGCCTGCACTGCATATGTGCATATGTTGGACATGGCCCTTTTGCCTATGGTATCGAGGTGATTCGATATTCGTTTCCATCATCGCGATCAATACAGACACGAACGTCAAGAGTTGAGATGATTGATTGATGTATGGATGGATAATTACTGATGATCATCCTGCCACGAGGAGGAGGATGAAGGATCCAGTGCAGTAAGGTCTGTGTCTGCGTAGTCACAGTACCAGACTGGGTTGTCATGAGCATGACGACGACGACGACAACAAACACAAACACAAAACAGCCGTTCGCAGGCAGACAAGATGCTATCGCGCACGATGACGTCTCGCAAGCAGCTGCTCGCGGGATACAGATACAGATACACTTAAACCCACCTACACGAATAGCATTTGCAGCAATGTGCAGCACCCTCAAAGGAGCAACAAGAACAGAACTAAAGGGGGCCAAACACGAGGGACCGCGCAAATCATGCCGCGAAAGCAGCGATTGGAATAAACTGACGGTCGACATGTTGGACATCGGACAGCCGAGAGTACATGGTGTTTGCGATGTAACGGTCCACTACTGGAGTGGTGGTGGAACATCGTGGGGCGGAGTGATGGCCGAGTCATGCCCGATGCCGACTTTGATTAGGTAAGTATTAGTGTTATGATATAGGAGTGAGGAGTGCCTTGGAGTCGGAAGGGATGCGATGGCGCTACGCTATAAACGGCTAGTGTATACCCCACCTGGAACCCGATCCCTTGGAGCACTTTCCGTATCGTAATTAAATGACTATCTTTGTCCAACTTCCATCTATGGAGCAGCGGCGTACTGGAGCTATTTTTAGCTACTGACGTGACATTATCGCAACAAAACATGTAGATACCTATACATGTGCCTCCATGATACTGCTGATGCAAAGAATAAGAGTACTCAACAAGAGACACAGATTGCGTATTTATATGCAGTAATCTCACTGTAAGCGAGCGAGAGTTACAGTCCCCTTTTGAACCGCCATCCTGCATCCTGCCGTGCTGTACACTTGATTGTTGGCATATCCCGGCGGGCATCCCAACACCGCACGTTGCTATCCCCAAGTGTTCGCCGCCTCCAACAATACGGCCCGCCTGGCGCTACCATAGCATATCACGACGCTATGCTCTGCTTGGCCAATGCTTGGCTAATGCTTCGTCTAGCTTGCGAGTCATATCCTTTGCTCATCATTGTCCCTTGCCTCTCTAATGAGAGGGGGGGATGGATATGCGTGTATAACAACGCCTTACTGTATTCGAGACCATTGTCTTTGCCGACTGACATGCTTCGAGACAGTAGTTGCTCAGACTATGAGTCGTGAGAATCTTAGCCATCCTTGCTAATCTGCAATAGGAACTGGGATATCTAGGATATCCTCGGCTGGGATCATGCAGGGCTTCGAAGTGGGAGGGAGGTCATCGCAAGGTAGACTCTCCATGCAGGGCAGGGAAGGGGCAATGTTTCGAGAGTTTGAGTGTCGCCGGGCTCCGAACGTGAATCTGTATCTGGATCTGGATCTTGATCTCGATGTGGACCTTAACTTATAGGCTAGAATTGCTGTGGATATACCTACATCGATACACGCTCAGCTCCAGCTTCTCGTCGCCAATACCAAGAAACTTACTTTGCTGTGTAGACAGCTAGTCAGGCAGTGCTCTTTCAGCCTCATGGCTGGCTAGACTACACCCTTGGTGGCAGATCGCTGAGTAGAGTGGAGGCGTAGACATGGAAATCTGCTGCTATTTTCTCCAATGCTCGCTGCTGGATCCGCTTGTCCCGCTATCAAAGGCTCTAGGGGCTAGCTGATGTCATGCCATAACCTACGGCGTATATTATATACCGTCTTGTTGACCATCCAAGAATCACAGCCCAATATACCGACTCTCATTGGACGCCACTATTCATCGTCGACCTGTATCCACTGTATGGTCAGGGCGTTAGACGGGGAGGGGGGGTGTGGTTTAATTCGTAATGCCCCGAGCATCCCTTTTGGGACGCGAATGCTGTACGTGTTTCGGTTTCACATTGCACTTCCCACCTTACTCCGTGACGCAATTCCACTTGTCGACTTCATATGACTACCTTAATATATCCCATGCTTTGCTCCCGGGCTTCCCTCCAAGCTTGTCCCTATTACTACGACTTGGGACCCCGACCTTGATACCTTGTTATGATATCCCTTGTTTGACCTTTCTCAGTCTCACACCATGTTTGCAAATTCCTCCGCTGGCGGCGACAACTTGCGCAAGAGCTGTCACTTCTGCCGTCGTCGGAAGATTAAATGCTCAGGCCAGAGCAAGGGCATTTGTACGGCGTGCAAGGAGCGTGGTATTGACTGCATCTACGACCTCGAGTCTGCAAAAGGTCGTCCCAGAGGCTCATCTAGCAACAAGCATGCCTCCAAAGGCAGCATCTCAGGCAGGTCGTCTCACAGTGAAGAGAGAGGCTCGGCGCCTCCCCGTTCGTCAGAGGACTCCTCCGAGGGTCACCGCCTACCACCCGAGTTCTACAGGCGAGAGACGGGCAACTTTGTCACTAGTGGTACTATCGGTGAGGCTCTTGAGTTCCTATATCTCGGCGCCTTCACAGACGTCCCTGGCATCGAACGAAATGCCTTCCAAGCCTCGCTCAACAACTTTGTCCGGAAGCTAGAGCCCAGTCCGGAAGGCTTTATTCACAGTCTCGGTTTCCGGACAGATCATCCACCTGCTGCCATTTCCTACGACGACCTCTTCGCTTTCATGAGCCAGGAGCTAGTCGGCCTGCTCTCATCGAGATTCGGGCACCTTGGCACATGTCTAAACGAAGACCCCAGAGCAGGCTTCTACGTTAACGGCGTTGCTCGAGACCGCTCCCAGCGCATGTTTGGCAACAATATTACCTTCGATACCAACCCTATCACCGAAATCGACGACCAGGTCCGGATGCAGCTGATTGAAGTCTGGTTCAGCGTGCACCCACTCTCCATGCTTCTCTCCAAAACACTCTTCCTGCAGACGTGCAAGAACAACGAATACGACGAGGCTCTGCTTGCTGTCATTCTGGCTGACGCTCAGCACTTCCACAACGCGGGCCAGTATACAGATCTGGAGGGGAGACTGTTCAAGCACGCTGATAATTGTGTACGCTCGCGCTCCGTGGATACCTGTGATATTCCCACCTCTCAGGCCCTCATGCTTCTTGGCTGGCATGAGATGTGTACACGGAATACAAAACGAGCTTCGTGTCTCATTGGCTATTCTGGTCAAATATCATCCAAGATTCAGGCTCAGATGAGTGATGGTACTCGTGTTGCAGGTAGCCGCGTTAACGGTATTGATGTCGATGCCGTGGAGACAGAGCTAGTTCGTAACCTTCACTGGCTATCCTTTTCCACCACACTATGGGCATACATGGAAATGGGAGAGCCATTTGCGACTGTACTACAACGCGGCCTCCCCCCAGACTTCCCGTCCGTAGACGAAACCCAATCAGCCGTCATCAAACTCGACATCGCCAGCGACATCGTGTCCACTTTTCAGGCACAAGCCCGCATGATTCGAGGCTTGTGGCCACTGGCACAGATTGTTTCCACCAGCGCCCACATATATGCCCTGTATCCACACGAGAGTGAAGCTCCCAGTCAGGGCAACACATCGTGGCAGCACCGTCCTGTCAACCAACTGCGCCGGCTCCTCAACTTCAACGAAGACTTTAATGCTCTGTGTCAGAAGATCAAGAAGGTTCTGATGGACGCTATCCAGACCCTGAATACCGAGATCCGGAATTGGACCTCCAAGGCTTTTGTCACTATCGCATATTATGTACTCATCATCCACCTCAATTTTCCCAACCACATCGATGCTGCTGACACATCCGTTCCTACCACCTACTTGATCCGCGACTTTCTCGCCTCTAGCACAGATCTACTCCGCATCCTCGCCCAAGTCACAGGGTCTCAGAAGCCATCTTGCCGACTCACTAGCTCCCATACCGCCACATCCACTCTCAACATTGTCGATATCATCCCCCTCGGCCTAGACGTCTGCGGGCGTGGCCTCATCCATCTACACGACCGCGCGCTCGCCGGCCCCAAATCCGACCACGAAGCTGTCTCCAGCGCAGCAACCCAACTGCAAGGCCTCGCAACCGAACTCCACTCCGTCGCCAAGGACGACCTTATCCTGACCACAACCCGCGTGCGGCCCGCCAAACGCACCCTCAAAACCGCAAAGAATCAATTCGCAGCCTTTACTTCACTCAGTGACATGCGTAAGCCAAACACACACCCCCTCACTGGCGTCGAAATGGTCGACTCCGTCAATACCTCTCCTACACCGGACTTCATCGCCGAAAACCCCGCAAATCCCCACACAACCGCAACTACAAACCCTAGCATCCCAAACATAACTTACAGCTCCATCGACCCATCTTTCGCACACTCTTCTCCAGGCTCCGGCTCCCTCACCCACGCTGTCCCTGTGCCCACAACTGATCTCGACCCCATGTCCATGGACATGGACATGAGCATGGGCACCTGGGCTAGCCCAGAATCACTCTTCATCACGTCCTTCCCACCCAACCCATACGCCAACGGCGAGGGCTGGAACCATAACCACCACCACCACGCTGCCACACACCTAGACGCCCCAATGCCATTTTCATCAGACCACGCAAATGGACGCAAGCCTAGCCATACAAGTGGAGGCGGGCCTTTGCCGCCACCGCTCAGCCCGACGAGTTTCAACGAGATGTTTTTCAGCGGCGTCGGTGCTGTCGAGCATACGCCTGTAATGCCGATGAACACGAGGTTCTGGTGAGATTGCGCCGGACTGGGAAGGTGGTAGACTCGGCGACATCGGCAAGATAGATGGGATTATTGGCGATGTTGGTGAACCTCGAGCAATGACACGAAAAATCCCCAAGAAACCAAGAGACAAGGTACTAGTGCATAGACGGCAGGCAGACTGGGACATTTCTACTTTATGAGGGACTTTGATGGAGGGCATCTTACAACGACACGCAAAAACGCCCCTCATCAACCCACGCACCTTCTACCACAACACAATGACTATGTATTAATATGGCCACATCAATACCCTCTTCCCCTAGTCTAGTCTAGATGGCGCTTTGGAGTTTGGAAAGTGGAGACTTTTGTCATTGTAGCGAGGGAGGCGCGTAGCACGCAATGTTTATTCCAAATCGTCTTAGTGGGACTGTCTGTATTACAGGATATTAGATTAAAGTATATAGCATAGCATAGCATGAAGGTATCAACCTAGATCGAAGCATCTGATTATACATTGCAGATCTTGTGATTACCCGCTATCAGAAGATAACCAAAAGCGTGTACGAGAGAGTTGCACTATTTCCGTTCATGTGGATGTATACAACAGAGAGAGTAATCTATTTAAGTTTAATGTATCCTGTCTATAGATCAGATTGTAGTGTCTATAGTCCTGTGTGTCGCAATCAATTATTTTCATTCTTATGTTTATACTCTCTCTTTATGTTCCTCTTAATCTCCCTAATCTATAATTTTGAATCTAATACCACCTTGATATACAGACTACTGTATGAAGATACATTGTCTTACTTCCACCCTGCCTGTTAAACTCCAAACCTCTGTATCACTTGATCCTACTGTTGCAACCTTTGCATTCCTACCGCAGCCAATATACACGGCAGAGCTCATGGTTATCGGGTAACGCAGAAAGGCAGGCAGACAGGCAGGGGTAATCCGACCGGTCACTTACTCGGACACCCGCCGTGCGAGTAATGGAGCAAAGATGTAAGCAATGACAAGCTTCAGGTCCCTTACTCATGTATCACAGCGAATTCCGACCTCAGGAATATATCCACGGTGAAAGCGACAGTCGGATTAGTGCGTATATCTGCGCGGCATATAAGAGATTGTGGATGTCGTTCTGGGTGGGTCGGCGGTACTAGTGCTGATTTTTGGCTGGGTGAGGCTCAATCCATGCTCACTCAGCTACGCCATCCGCTCCATGTCAACAGTCAGGGCGTGAGATAGAGAGGATCCTGGAGGGAGGCCGGAGGCTGCTGTGGGACTCCGTTTCGGGAAAACTGAGCGAGACGAGATGTGTGTAGGTTAGTGGCGTAGTGGTACTATATGTGCACGTACCTCGTCTGTGACTTTAACGCATGTATTCGTGACTGCTGCCCGGATCGAATTAGAGCAGTGCAATGAGAGAGTGTTGGAAGTCGGAATGCGTGTCGGGTGGGTAGTCGGCCGTCCACGATGGTCGTTTCCCGCTGTTCAGGAGTTTGCAAAATGACTTAAGAGTCATCTACTTTGGCGTCGGCCTATGATGATAGCTACTGAAAGTACGCGTATAAAGCGGCAAAGAAGCTGCTTGAAATTTCTATGGCATGAATCACCCTCAGGGATACACATCCATCAGCAGTAATAGCGACAACATCTCTGTGGGACTAGCTCATCGACATGTAATTACAGTAGTTCATATCCCACGTCAAACGTGCCTGCACAGGAAGAAATATATGGCACATACAGCGGCAAGACTTGCATCCCTAACCTCCCATTACCCAGAGAGTCAATACCCAGCGTGCTGGATGCGGATCCCTCCAACGAAGAAGTCAGTCAATGCTCATGCTGGTCTTTGGGCCGTGTGGAAAAACATGGCTGAGACACTACCAGGCGAGCCAGGTATAGAATCCCATCACGACAAGCAAATTAACCTCGAGCTTAGTGTCGATCTAACGGCTGCGGATTCTCTTGCCCTTGCCGTATCAGTCCAGATAGGATGCGCAGGCTGCGTATTAGCATGTCTCGGGTTCGACTCTAGTGCAGTCTTCTGTGACATTGCTTGTTAACAGTAGCAAAGTGGTGCAATACAAGGAACCAGCCTAGGCCGTAGACTTTGAGGCCATATCACGAACCCACATCTCCATACTCTGCGAGTCGTGATATACAGCTTTACAATTGCCGGATTGGGAAACGATCATGATCATCATTTTCAGGGTCGTCAGCCTTACGAGGTCAATCGACACTGCACGGCCACTTCTTGGAACAAAATCTACCCGAGCACATGTCGTAGTGGCAAAGTCCACAATCCCCAGAACACAAGCGACTAGCCACGATTGTCGTGAGTGCTGGGGCTAGAGTACACACAAAGCGTTTGCCTAATGAAGGTTAGCGTACATGTATCGAATCCAGGAGTGGGGCTTGTAATATATCAGGGGGGTCAACAAGCCTTTGTGGAGCTAGCTTCCGCCGGCGCCATGCAGGTTTCGAGCCGACGACGGGTAATAAATCGTGGTCATCAGTGGGTGATTGAGATGGCTGGCATGAAGCCAATGATGTCCGCCCCCAGTCCTCGAAACACGCGCGTTTGACATGGTTGATGGTTGAAAGATCGATGCTGATCGCGGGTGGTCACGTAAGCTTGGCCTGTCTCTTGGAAACCGCTTCCAAGCCTTCTCCTAGCCCACGAACTTGCATTCCTGTACGTGAGCTAACGCACCCAGGATCGTCGAGAAGCAGTGATACATCTTCATTCAACATGGAGAACGCCAAGAGATTGGCAAGCCTGGCTGGTGGGTGTCTGACGAGACACATCACGAGTCAAACACGAGGATATATGGAAATCTTGGCCCATCCTTCGCGTTTGCTCATATCAGCACACATCCTACACGTGTGTTCTTTGTTTGGAATCCGCGTATCGACGAAGTGATAAGCCAGGGGACTCAGGATGAAGCGAGACAGCCACTGGGGCACACCGGTTCTGATCCTCTGAGTCTATACGCTCGAACAACCAACGGATGACGAAAGTGCGTACAAGCAACCTCACCGCATAGCCAAGTATTTCGGGAGAGCGCCACAACCCGTGCTCGCTAGACCGGAGCCCTCCGCAGTCCACGTCCACAGCCAAGACATGATTTGCACATGCATCAGGTCCTTGATCCTTGAAGCATACCAACACTGAACTACACCCATGTCACGCTCTGATAGGCGTATCAGTGAAGCATGGCTTGAGTTGCTTGGCTATGAAGGGTAAATACCCCAAGTTGATAATGTCATATGCTCCGGATCTTTGTTTGATGCCTCCTTCGATAAATATTCTCTGTTTCCAATCCGTTCGTTGCTGCGATCAAAGCAGACATACCTCCCATGATTTCATTTATCGTGGCGTGGAGGGACGGTTGAGGACTCAACATGGTGTTCGGCAATGGCCGTGCTGCATATCGCCATAAGGCATCCCACGACACGAGCTGTTATCAGCATCCATGAACACAGTCAGTGCGCAATGCGGAGTCGCACCTGCCGAAGGATTCTTCACGGCACGCTTTTGGACGCCAGCAGAAGAAGTGTAACTGTGGCGCTTGGAAACTTCTCGTCCTCCGTATCGATGAGGAGAAGGATCGATTTGCTCTGTATTAGCACTGGGATGTCCTTTTGGCGTCGGTAATGTGTGCTGAGCCAGTCATTCTGCACAGTGACCGATACATCGAAGACATTCTACCGAAAATGTATTCCTCTCTTCGGTAGAATCTGTCAAACCATCGACTACCACCACGACGGTGATAAAGCATAGCTGCGAAAGGGCACTCTAGCTGATGAGAAGGTCGAGTCAAGGTCTACGTCGACTAAGAAACATTTCGACCGTTTCAAGAGAGAGGAGTTTGTCCTCTGGGTTTCACATGCAACGGACGCTGATGCATGAAATGTCACCTTTCCAGATCGCGAGGCACATACGACTGTGGAACTTCGTCTTATTCCGTTACCAGAAACCAGTTTTTCTTGGGGAATACAAGATACAATAACTGGAACTGTTCTTGAATCTGCTTCATCGAGAATGCATTCCATCTGTGCTCACGACCAGGAAACCAGAGCTCCATTGACCAGTATACACCTAAGATGAGGCTAAGAACTCAATGGGCGCCACGACGATTGTGCATTTACACAGGAATAGCTAGCTATCATGCAGCCCCTCTAACAAGGTTTTTATAGCAATCGCGAAGACGTAAGCACTGATACCGAGTGGGTCTGAAACTGACGGACAGGCCATTTCCCCAGGCGTACAAATGGACGTGAGTTGGAGTGTACGTGCGGACTTGGACGGCTTTGAGCGTTGCATGACAGATGCGGGCCGGAGGGATATATGTTAAGTCAAGCATGCAGCCTGAATCAATCAACGCCTAACTCCTAGGTTTCGTATCCAGTTCCGGGCCCATGAGGGATCTAGTTGAGAGCACTCCCATACCTAGACTAACAATCCACAGCATCACAAGCACATATAAGTCTCACGAGCCCGACGAAGCTCAATGCAGGTCTCAAGCATGGCTTTTGAAAATTAGACCTAAGAGAAGTGGATCAGAACGTGTGAGAGGTTCAAAGAATCGCATCCGTCACGCACAGACATGGTCACGAGCGTTGATACCGGCCTAGGAAGGATACTCATTTCGCACCAACGTTCCGTACTACATTGAGCGATGGGTTCCTGCGAAATACCTCGAACGACGAGCCCTGGTGTGTCTATCTTCATGCGCTAAGTACACCGTTGCATCCCCACACGGGCAAGAGGTACTGCCCCACGTGGAGAGATCGACATGGAATATTTAGGTCCCTGGAATATTGGGAACGAGAGCATGCTGCCGGTGTTTGAAGTCGGCATTTCGGTGAAAGTAAATCGCAAGTGGGACCAGGCGTCTAGAACCCTTCTTTGTTCAAATGATCATATCCGGCAATCAGAGGGTCGGGCGGCCAAAAATCTAAGGACAATTGGAGATTTGTCGATGAAGGTCGTCCTAACTCGAGCAATGGAATGCAGCCCTGTAGATCTAGACTCCTGCTAGGAGGTTTAGTTCAGTCTCGATCGTTTTGGGATCTAGCCAAGTCCAGTCCCGGTCCCAGTCCGTGTCTGATGAGCGACTTGGGGGCGGATTATGATTGCAGAAGTCATGTCTTTGAACTCGAACTCGAACCTCCAGAGGACGTCTATTATTAGGGTAGATGCGCTCGACAGATGGTAGTCACATTCAGGCTGGTTGCTAGTGGAAAGACGATGAGCTGCTTGTAGACTCCTAGACATACAAGAATATAAGACGGGATGAGGTTGATAGCTGACTAAGATGAGATTCAGCATACCTCGGTATATGCAATTTTCGCATGAAGTGATACACTCAAAGGTAATACACTCAGATGGAAGCAGTAGCTACCTACCTATGATGATAGATTCCTCACTCTCAAAAACGATATGAACGGTCCAGTCTCAAAGTTGTATGCAGTAAAGATGCTTGATCTAAATGTCACGACCGAACACAGGAAACCGAGAGATTTTGTATCAATTTCAGGACTCGAGAGCAACGTCTTCATCGAAGAGTGCGTGCATGTATAGATCTATACATGCTCTATATTCCAAGCGCGCGGACGCGGAGCGCACAAGATAGGATGCTGTGTGTGATTCTCTCACAAGTACATTGATTCCTGGCTACTCGAGCCGCTCCAAAGATACAATGCTAGAATGTCATATAGAATAAGTCCAGCGCCAACATCTGCTCCAAATATCCAGGCTACAATCGCTCTAAAAATCAGTCGATCCAGCACCTGACGCCTGAACGTCTCAAAAGTCCATTATATCACGTTCGTCTGCTCCGATCAGTCTCCTTTCCCTCCCTTGCTGCCACCTGCCCGTGATTCTCTTTGCTTCATTGTGGTAGGCAAGTCCGGTCGCGCCGAGCTGGTATCTGTCGATATAGTGGTCTCGATTGTAGATGGGCGGCCTCTGAGAATGTCTTCTTCGTCATCACCGATTTCGAATGCATCATCACGGAGCTCTATAAGGTCGCCCAGTCCACCTCCTTCTGCGGCCAATCCCGGGACAGGTGCAAATCTGCGGCTGTTCGTGTTTGCCTGTTCGTTGATTGACGCAGAGACCTTTGCCGCAGTTTTGCGCATCCAGGTCTCTATTGCACCGCCAACTTGTTCGAAATCAAAGCCTCCCTGTCTGGAAACCGCGGAATATCCTACTGGCCCAGACCCTTCTCCAGCTTGCTCTAACATAGATGGTGCCCAAGGTATAGAATGCTCTTGACCGGGTGGAGGCTGTAGACTCGGGAGATGTTGCGCGACGAATTTATTGAAAGCGTCCTCTCCTGGACCTGGAGCGCGAATATTCTTGCCCAGCGTACCAACACCACCTGGTCCCTGCAGTGAGAAGCCCTGTGATATACTATGTTTTCGTGTTCTAATCGGTCGAATGGGCGGAGGGGATGAGGTTACAGAAGAAGCGTCTTGTGTTGAGCGTTGTGGAGATGTGGCTGTCGCATCGAGAGATCGCGGAAGGTCAAGTGATGGCGAAGGAGTGTCCGAATCTGATAATGTAAGACTCTTCCGTCTTGCAGGTGGAAAGAAGCCAAGCGTCCGCCGTGGTAAGCGTGCAATCTCAATCGGCTCTTCATCATGTGGTAGCATCACCCAAGAGTCATGTATCCAAGGAGGTTCAGAGTCGGATCTGTTAGATGCCGTCGATGCAGTAGGGTTAGATATGATTGTGTCTGTTCGCCTCCGGGTCGAACTGTTTGTTCCTGAAAGCCAACCATTGTCATTTGTGTCTTTTATGGTCTTCGACTCCTCATCATGCCCGAGCAGGTCTTCATCCTTGTCCTCTGGCCCTGTGCAACGACGACCTTTGACACCGCATGCATCCACAGGGAGCACAATCTTTTTCCGTACTTGTACACTATCATTTGGCCACATGCGATTAGCCTTCTGGAGCACCGCTGCCGCGCAATTGTACTTTATTGTGAGGCCAGCAAGAGTATCCGAAGGCTTTACGTGATGAACGTATACCAGTGCATCGCGATCTTCTCCCTCCCCAGGAGGCGCCGAGCTTGACATGCGCTCGTCCGAATTTCTCCTCTTGAATCGACCAACAGTATCCTGATACATGTGACCATTTGCGCTGAGCAAATCTCGCCGTTTCATTGCTCGGACCATATTCTCTCGCTCTTCCTTTGTCCCAACTCCAATGTCTTGAGCTTGTGCTGTAGAAACGCCCCATTTTGATGGCGGTACGCTGCTCGATGCCCGCTTTGGTTGGTCAAATGTTGATAGCTTCCCGCGTCGAACTGGGGTATCTGAGTCGTTTCCAAGGACGTTTGAAGCTAGCCCTTGTATTGATGACCACGAGTTCCCCCAGAAGCCGCTTATAGAACTGAGCGCGTCACCATTTCTTCCAAATGATAGAGCTCTCTCGGATGGAGCTGATGGCTGTGTCGTCTGCTGAGAAGATGGTGTCCGTGTCAGGCCAGTCTTTGGGAGCGGAGAGGTAGATCGTGAGCCGAAGGGCGAAGCGAAGGGCGAAGTCTTCAAAAAGTTCCCAGAGACGTCGGCCTTAGCAGGCTCTTGTTCTTCGAGACCAGATATCAGGCGTCTGTTGCGCGGACGAAGCGATGACGAAGATGTGGTGTTCGGGGCATTGAGAGAGCTCATGGCCGGACCAGCCCTCTGCAGCAGATCGAAGTTAGAGGAATCATAGATCAGTGGTTTGCTTTGGTGAAGCTCAAGGATAGGACGGCATAATTGGGAATGGACGTAGAGAAGCTTGGAATGGAGACGAGTGTTCTTCAATGTGTACAACGTACGTAGTGCTTAGGGCTCCCTTGAATGAGGTAGCCGCAAGTGTGGGGCGTAGGTATTATCAGGATAAGAGTGGATCCCTGAGCTCCGGCGGACCACTAGTACACAAAACGCCGGTAAACAACAAGTTGTCTCTAGCCAGACTCTCGTCGCTTTCACTCCCATGCAACCTGGCAATCTCACATTTTTGCAGATGACCTTGTCCCCATCTCACTAAACATTTTTCCATCCGTTCGATCGTACATTGCAAAGATTTGGCACTGCGCTGAGTCTTTTGTGTGCCCGAGGTGTACGCGCGTCAAGACTACCATGTCTCCGAACGTGCATCTGACATACAGAAAGGGAGGCCGGAGTGAAAAAGCCAATAATTGACGTTTTCAAGCACGAGTCTGTACATGCATTGAATACTATCTACTCGCCAACCCCTCCAACAAAACCAGCAGGCCATATGCACCAGGATCAGGCACACCTCTCGTTGCGCTATCGTCCAGATACGCACTTCTTCCCAGCCGTGCTTGCATGTTTTTCGTTTCCTCGTTGCCTTTTCGTGCGGCTTGCAAGGCTCTCTCCACATCTTCTGTGGTCTTCAGGATCTCGACAAAAGGTATCAATGTATCCAAACACGTCCGATCACCTTTTCTCGCCCTCGTAAAGTCCAACAAGTGGCTGAGGGCTTGGTCGAGAGCGTCTGGAACGGTCCTGGCCGTTCGCAGGTTCTGCGCCAGCGAAGAGAGGAATATGCAATATAGAGCTCCTGAGGTGCCACCCATAGTTGCCTCCAGATCGTCAACGAGCGCTCCGAGGACCTGGGGTAGATTTGATAGATCTTTGCCCTCGATGAAAGAGAGGACCTTCTCAGCACCAGATTTCAGAGTGAGACCACAGTCACCGTCACCGACGATGGTGTCGTATTCAGTCACAACGGGCTCTGCTGCAATGAGTGCCGAACATCCCTGAGTCAGGATTTGACGGACTAGGGCATCTTCGAAGACGATATTTGCAGAATTCGCTGTTACCGGAGAAGTATGTATGGATTGGGAATCTTCTAGAAGAGGATTCGACGGCTGGGTGAGTGGCGTAAGGATAGCTCGCGGAACTGGACAGACAGATATAGTCCATCCACGTGGAGAGTGATCATTGAAGTTGATAGTAGATAAAGTGATATGGTATGGAATGTCGAGTGAGTCTTTCTGTGTTAGCATTCTTCGAGTGTGTGAATGGAGAAACTCACTCGAGATCTTGGCTAATTCGTGGGCAATTATATGTCTTTCAAGTTGCGACAAACCATTGATGTCAGCAATATGAATGCTGACGGTGTTTTGTCCAGAGATTGATTTCGTGGCTTTTAGAAGCTGGAGAGCGCCAATCTCAAACACCTTCGTTGCATTCTCGAACTGAGCTTTCCCCGAGGCGTGGACGATGGATGGAAAACCTGCAACTTTATCAGGGTGCACTCTCTCCTCTATCGTCGTTGCGGTCTTGAGGAAGCTAGAGACCAGTTCGTCGACAGCAAGCCTAGATGAAAGTGAGCACGTATGCACGGAGAGCGACATGCGGCTCACTCTTCACTGTTCTTTGAGGACTTGAGTAGTGCTAGAAGGTGTTTAAACTCGATCTCCTTCTCCACAGTCACCAAGAATACACCGCCTATTGTTCGGACTGCTGATCTCTTCTCTCCTATCTGCAGCACTATCGAACACTGGCTGTCCAGAGAGGTAACTGCGTTCTCAATCACCGTACATAGCTCCTCCAATCGAATCTCATCGCCAGCCTCTTTGACCACACAAACGAATAAGTCATTCTCTGTGAACGTAGAGTCTGTAAAGATACTAGCTTCAACAATCGCTCCGACATGTATCGACGAGACCTTCGCGTGAGTGGTGTCGATTAATGCCACGCTGCTCTTGCCGACGTTTACGACTGATATCGATGGTCTAATGAGGGGACCAAGTGTTCTCCATCTCTCTGCTCGATCAAGCTGCAGAGTGGATTTGTCCCAGGGTAGCGTTTGAGAGACAACAATTGACATGACGCGCGCTATTAATTAATTTTGTTGAAGTCGTACTACCGTTGACAATGGTGGTTGATTCCTTAAACCGATACACCGGTAGCGATCAAATCTGTAAACGATCCGAAGGCTCGGATAAAGAGTCAATTGTCTTGAGATCATTTTGCGAAAGCCTTCATCTTCGAGCGATACACACGGTGCTTTCCCCGCATCCATTTCCGGGAAGCCGAAAGCCCGGGACTGCCAGATATGGCAATTCTTTCTACTCGACCTCAACAGACTACGTTCTCAATAGGAGATCGCTAGGTTCTGGCTGTGGACATATCATTAATGTGTTGTTAAGCATAAGCCGAAGCAATCTTATCCACGTCCAAATAGGTGTGTTGCACTTGGGCCAGAAACGGTAAAATATCCTTCAGTTTCATTGCTGCCTGAGGCTTGCAGAATCTGTTTCTCTTCTGACAGTGAATACGAGCCATCTCCTCGTCGTCTCTCCGGAACATCTCCATATTGTTATTTTCGTCGCTTGCAACAATGCTTGAGTTTCAAGGGCGATGCTCCCGATACCACGATTTGAGCCAACTTCAATCAAGCTTTCAAGGCGTTTTATGCCATGATGTCGGTAGTCCCGCTCAAGCTCGGAGGAGATTTCTCCGCCTATCAGCCCCGCCGTAGGGTTGACCTCACGACTGGAAACCACGCATACAAATAGCACGAAACGGGTCTTCGTCCCAATTACAAAGTGGTCTAGTCATCCACGGTTTTCAACACAAGACCTCCGAGACCAGTATCAAGACGTAGCTAGCCTTTCACGATGGTTACCATTACTGGGGTTGAGACCAAGGACGTCAGATTCCCGGTGGGCTCAGACTTGTGATCTACCTGAACTCTCATGCTGATTGTAAGCAAGACGTCCCTTGACAAGACTGGCTCGGATGCTATGAATGCAGCTGGTGATTATTCATCGGCATATTGCATTCTCTCTACAGACTCCGATCTCACCGGTCACGGCATGGTATGTGTCGAATAGTCACCTTGTATGTCGTAGGCTAATAGTTGCAGACATTTACAATTGGTAGAGGCAACGAGATTGTCTGCGCTGCCATACCGCTCTTAGCCAACAGGATCGTTGGTAAATCCTTGGAATCACTGACGGAAAATTGGGGCAAGACGTGGCGATATCTTGTAGCTGACAGCCAGTTGCGTTGGATTGGACCGGAAAAGGGTGTGATTCATCTTGCTCTCGGTGCCGTCGTGAACGCAATATGGGATCTCTGGGCGAAGCAGCTCAACAAACCAGTATGGCGGATCGTGGCAGACATGAGCCCTGAGGAGGTCGTCAGCTGCATTGACTTTCGTTACATTACAGACGCACTCACACCGGAAGAAGCTCTGGACATTTTGAAGTCGAGAGAGTCTGGCAAGGCACAACGTATCAAAGACGCTGAGGCCAATAAAGCTGTTCCGGCCTATACAACTAGCGCTGGATGGTTGGGATACGGGGAAGACAAGATGCGCGCGTTGCTGAAGGAGACCTTGGCCGAAGGCTACAAACACTTTAAACTCAAGGTTGGCACATCGTTAGCAGAGGACACGCTACGGCTGGGTATCGCGCGTGAAATCCTCGGCTACGACAAAGGAAACGTTCTCATGGTCGATGCCAATCAAGTGTGGTCTGTTCCAGATGCAATTGCTTACATGAAAGAGCTTTCCGCATACAAGCCTTGGTTCATTGAGGAGCCAACTTCGCCAGATGATATCCTCGGGCATGCGGCAATTCGACAAGCTCTTGAGCCATACGGCATCGGTGTAGCGACTGGTGAGATGTGCCAGAATAGAGTCATCTTCAAGCAGTTGCTACAAGCCAAGGCTATATCAGTTTGCCAGATCGACGCTTGCCGGCTTGGAGGAGTGAACGAGGTTCTCGCTGTGTTACTCATGGCTGCCAAGTTCGGGGTGCCAGTCATACCGCACTCGGGAGGCGTTGGTCTTCCAGAATATACACAACATCTCAGTACAATTGACTATGTTGTTGTTAGTGGGAAGCTGAGTCTGCTCGAATACGTCGATCATTTGCACGAGCATTTTCTGCATCCTGCTCAGGTCAAAGACGGATACATGGTGACGCCGACAGAGGCGGGATATAGCGTGGAGATGAAGCACGAAAGCATGCTCCAGTATGAATATCCCGGTCAGGCTGGTGTTAGCTGGTGGAAGTCGGAAGAGGCGAAACCTATCCTGGAAGGAGAAAAGATATAAGAGGTGGCTAGACTTTGGTCGCCCTATGTTCATCTTTGTACGTCTCCACATTAGTCGCATCGAAAGTGCTGGTTAATTACGTATGGTTGCTTTTTTCGGTATAACGGAAGCTCGCACACTGTCCCTCGTATTATCAGCTCGACATGTAAATTAAAAGGGAGAAAGCTAGTATGTTACAAAATCGTATGTTCCCGTCTATCAGGAATCTAGTCTACAACATTTTAGTCCAACAGACAGCAAATGAAGGCATGATACTAAGAGCTTAACGTCGTCCGTAAGGAGGCACAACATCACGGCGTAGCCTAGACGAAAGGAACAGGGGATCTTCAGGGCGCGATGTCGATCATCTTAACCGAATCGATCAACACTCCATGGAATGAAGATCTGTTCCACGAATGAGAACAAAGGTAACTACCTACAAGCCTCCAAACTTTGATGAAGCAGCAAAAAGCATATCCATTCTGGTCCGTGTTCGGCAGTAATTGTGATATTCCAACATTCAGGCTGTGGCAACTCAATGTGATTGGCTATCATTATATCGACACCACCGTGAAGTACTAGTGCATATCCAACCATAGCTTGAGTCCTTACGTGGCAGCGAGTGAGACCTAGCCGTTCAGCCCTATTAATTATCCTATGCACTTACAGATTGTCGCTGTGTGATGCTACCTGGAACCAGGACCAGGTAAAATCACTTTCGGGGTGTTTTCTCGACCAGGCAGGTGATGGCAGCTGGCACATATCAGCAGCAAAGTATAGAGGCTCTGTACTACTTCGAGATGCCTCTCCGCATCTGCCCATAACACAAAGAACAACTGCCTCGGCCAGGTTCGCAATGTGGCGTTACGCGTTGCACTTGAATGTCTTTACACATGCTGTGGAGAGATCTGATGCCAGCTGGCGTTGCGCTGAGATGATGACTTGTACTCTGTGTATAGGGCGGATGGAAAAGAACAGCTTGGCGCAATGGAGAAGTATCTTTTGCCATACAGTTCAGCCTACAAGACTGTGCGTAGTTACATTCCGGACCCTGGTATTGAGACGATTTGACGAGCGCATGATGCACTATTATAGTATACACCGGACAACGCCTCTGGAGACGGCGGCGAGCGGGGGAAACGGTCGGGAGGATGATACAGCACGATGGCTGCCGTGCAAACATATTAGTCAAATCAAGGGAGCTCAAGGCAAGGAGCGCATGCTGATGAGATGGGTTCGTGAATAATAGAATGATGAATGAGAGGCGTGAATAGTACGGTGATGGATCACAAGACAACAACAGCTGGGCGATTTAGGGCAGCGCACCTGCCGCACTGGGCGAGGCGGGTGGCCAGTCAACCCCTGAAAGCCACCACCTGCACCAGCCCCACCACCTCTTGAATCTTTTCAAAGGAAAATCTGGGGAAGACTTCAAGACAGCCATGTGGTAAGAATATGCAACCTCATGCGCATACAACACGGCGAACTACTTGCAAGGCTCCCTGTAGTACCACCCTGCACAGGAATGGCGTCTGTTGCTTATACGCGCCGACTCGCTGCTCCCAGCCTATCCTGTTGGCTTCTATGTCGCTTCGAAGTCTGCTCCGAGAAAAAGTCTGAATGAATGCCCTTATGACCTCTTCTGACCCAAGGAGATACAGGGCACCAAGAAGCCAAGTAGTAGTAACAAAGCCACACTGCGATGTGGGTGATGGCACCCTGAGCTAGTTTGCCCAGCCGATTCACACGGACGAGCGATTCATCTGCGACCCATCCAATGGCCACTCATTGCGGCTAAGATGTTCGCTCACCAGGACATTGGACAGCTGGTCAACGCCAGCTCATACTAGACACGGACGGCGACGATCAGTCCTTCCCGACCCAAAGGACGTGCTTCGCGTGCCTGAACTCTCTGCTGGAAGATTGGCAGTGGCTTGCGGCGTGATATCTCCGCATGTCCTTGCATTTATGTATAAGATTGGATATATACCCCGTATGGCATGATGAGATTAAGTCCGCACACTTGTCCTGGTGATTTGTACTCGACGGATACAGGCAGTATCATTTTCCATTCTTCCTGGCTATCTTCTTCATTATGCGTTATCTCCCTTTCCTTGCCTTGGCGGCGGGAGCTCAGGCTCTCGTTGACTTGCCTCAAGTCAGCGCCTTTGTGCAGCAGGCCTTGACGGCTGGAAATTTCGAGAACTATACTTCTGCTACCGCTCCAGCCATTCAGCCTGCGGCCACTCCAACTGTAGATTTTCGCATAGAGTCGGATATACATGCTCAGGATGTTGGGTACTGGATGAAGGACATCGCCAAGCAGGGACGATCCGCCTTCAACTCAAACCCAAGCGGATACAAGGTATGGAGGAACGTGGTGGCGGACTACGGTGCCAAAGGTTTGTTTATATGCTTATTGTATGAATACAATCGCTAACAGATAACAGGTGACGGGGTGACTGATGATACTGCTGCCATTAATCGTGCTATCAGCGATGGGGGTCGTTGTGGACCAGGAAACTGCCAGTCTTCTACCGTCTCCCCTGCTGTTGTATACTTTCCGGCTGGAACCTATGTGGTCTCCCAATCCATCATCCAATACTACAACACTATGATGATTGGTAACCCAAATTCTCTTCCCGTGCTCAAGGCCACTTCGAACTTTCAAGGTCTGGGAGTGATCGATGCCAATCCGTATCAAAGTGGTGGAGCTCAAGGATGGACGTCAACCAATGTTTTCTTCCGCCAGATCCGCAACTTTATCATTGACTTGACTCCTGTTCCGGCTGCTACGGCTGCTACCGGTATCCACTGGGCTGTCTCTCAAGCCACTAGTCTCCAGAACATTCAAATCAAGATGACCAAGGCATCAAACTCGCAACAGCAGGGCATCTTCATTGAGAATGGTGAGTTATAGAACGATCCTCATGAGGTGTTTGGATCTAACGTGATAAAAGGTTCCGGTGGCTGGATGAATGACCTCACTATTACTGGTGGTCTTTACGGCTTGAATGTTGGTAATCAGCAATTTTCCGTTCGTGGTGTGACCATCGATGGCGCTATCACTGGTGTCTCTCAAATCTGGAGCTGGGGATTCACCTACCAGCAAATGAAGATTTCCAATTGTCAGACCGCCTTTGACATTGCCAACGGCGGATCCACCAACCAGAACGTTGGGTCAGTCAATATCATCGACAGCACCATCACCAACTGCCCAACGTTTGTCAACACTGCCTGGACTTCAAGTTCCAGTCCTCCATCCGCCGGCAGCTTGAACATCGAGAACGTTGCGCTCTCTAACGTCGGTGTGGGCGTGAAGAGTCCCAATGGAAATGTACTTGGTGGTGGTAGTACGACGATTGGTGGCTGGAAACAAGGGCACCAATATACTCCCACCGGTCCTCAGAATACCCAAGGGTCTTTCACTCCTGCATCCCGCTCCACTGGTCTTCTTGGCAGTGGTAACAATTATTACTTCAAGTCAAAGCCATTTTATGCCAGCAATCCAGTTTCTGATTTCGTCAGCATTCGCAGCGCCGGTGCCAAGGGCGACGGATCTACCGATGACAGCACAGCTATTCAGAATGCTATCAACAGTGCCGCTTCCAACAACAAGATCGTGTACTTTGACCAAGGTACTTACAAGGTCACCAAGACTATCACCTTTCCGCCAAACACGCGGGTTGTGGGTGAGGCGTTCCCCGTCATCATGGCGACAGGCTCCTACTTCAACGACGTCAACAACCCCAAAGCTGTTGTACAGGTCGGTACGTCTGGTCAATCGGGTACCATTGAGTGGTCAGATATGATTCTTAGCACACAGGGCACTACTGCTGGTGCAAAGATGATTGAGTGGAATCTCAATGCCGCCCGTGGAAGTGGTATGTGGGATGTCCACACTCGCATCGGTGGCTTCGCTGGGTCCAACCAGTCTGTCGGAAACTGCCCAAAGAACGCTGGTGTGAACAAGAACTGCATGGCTGCCTATATGAGCATGCACATCACATCGTCCGCCAAGGGTGCTTACATCGAGAACAGCTGGCTCTGGACCGCGGATCATGATCTCGATGAGGGTCAGTCCACCCAGATCACAATCTACACAGGCCGTGGCCTCTTGATCGAAGGTGGCAATACGTGGCTGTACGGCTCCGGTGTAGAGCACCACGCTCTGTACCAGTACAACATCGTCAACACCGCTGATGTATTCTCCACATTCCTCCAGACCGAGACCCCCTACTGGCAACCAAACCCCGACGTCCGTAACCAGCCTTTCCCATTCAATAATAATCAAGATCCAAACTACTCTAACTGCCAGAGCGGTAATTGTGATGCTCTTGGTCTGCGCATCAACAACGCCAAGAATCTTTTCTTCTACGGCGCCGGCTTCTACTCTTTCTTCAACAACTACTCGACCACGTGCAGCAATAATCCTGGTAACTCTGATTGTCAATCGCAGATGGTGCTGATTGAGGGTCCTTCCACAAACATTCGTGTGTATGCTCTTAGCACAATTGGATCGCAGAGCATGATTGTGAGGAACGGTCAGAGCATCGCTAGATACTCCGATAACGAGAATGGTAAGTTCTCACATCAATCCCTCGGCGTGTATCACTGCTAATAGACACAGTGTTTCCGGAAACCATTGGCTATTTTGCTGTCTGAGGAAACTGTCGAACAGAGTCTTGGAAAGGACTTGGGGGAGAGACTACTTAGGGCTTCTTGTCTATACTATACTTGGGATGCTCACCAAGAGGACTGCACAGCGTACATATTTCAATTTGTCGATACCCGCATAGCTATTTTTATTCCATATCGTATTTTTGACAAGCGATGCTATGTGATCTTTCTCGGATTCAAGAAGAAAACGTGTTGGCCTGTCCCCGACGCGTGCGTTGAGCAGTTGGCGCAATCCGATTGGTTGATGTATGATCCGGTGGCCTGGACCCTTGGGACATATCTGGACCCCGGATTCAGATTAAACTCCCGTCCTAAAAAGACACCACGTCGAGCAATTGAGACGCAACAGCTCGGCATTCATATTCTGATATGTGTCGAAGAGCGTCGTAGGCCTTATATCTATTGCCGATCCTCCTCTTTCTCCTCCGCCTCGAACCAGTGCGGTTCACCATCCACCTGTAGCCGCCACCATGGCACACCGCGCCATCACCTCCTTTCCCTCCCTCTCCATTTTGCTCACGAGCCTACTATCTTTTCACGCGTACCTCGCCGCGGCCGCATCCGAGCAACAACCGCTGAAAGAACAAGAGAAGACGGCATATAAAATTGGTCAAGCGATACCGGTGACGTGTCTGAACAGAACAATGTGAGTGGCATGCGGCAGCGCTCCAACATTGAGAGAAGCGCTAACGCAATGCTGCAGAGATACAGGCGAACATGTAAGCCTCAAGACGCCAACCGAATAGAAACACTGCTCATGTCGTGACACAGATCACGGATGAATTGGGACAGCTACAGTACATCGACTTCCCGACCTGTAGCGAGACAGGACGGCCGCTCGAACTAGCATTTGGCGTTGATAAAGGTGAGACAGCGACTGTACCACACTCCCACATAAATTTTCGTGTCTTCTCGAAGCATCTCTCGCTAACTCTGCGCTCTCATAGAAATCAATTGCACTCTCGACTTCATCTCCGACCCCTTCTTCCACCTCCTCGAATTCTACATTCACAATGACGCTCCCCTGACCTGCCGCATCCCCACCCGCCCTCTCACCCCCGACTCTTCATCATCCATCGCCATCCCCGTCGACTCCACAAACAACCAAGTCGGCGCCCTTGGCTCGCAATCAACGCTCTACACTCCTCTCGTCGTCGCCCTCACCGGCACCCTCCAACTCTCCCACGTCCACGTCGCAAACTACCTCAACCTCCTCCTCCACGCCGCGCCAAAATCTACATCCCCCGGCACAATCGACGCAGCATCTGCATACTCCGTCTCCAGCGGCACGCGCCACACAAAGGTCATCATCGGCGATGCATTGACACTACATTTCAGCGTGCGCTGGTATCCGAGCCCCGTCTTACCGAGTGGCTGGGCCGGTGTGGGCGGCCATATTTTCCTGAGCACGCTCGTGTATTGCTTGCTGAGTGCGGGCGCGGCGACGGCGGTGTGTATTGCGTATTTCAGAGGCGTTGCGCTGCCGAGGAGGTTGCAGCGCTATGCGAAGGATAAGGTTGGGAATGGTTTGGGTGGGTATGGGTATGGAGCTGGGGGGCTGCCGCAGCATGGAAATGGGACGGCGAAGAACGGATATGCTGGGTATGGAGGGTATGGGTATGGGGTTAGCACTGGGACGGGGAAGAGGGATTGAGGGCAGGAGTGATGTGTGAGGGGTGCGAACTGAATGGGATTTATATACTTGCTTGCTCATATTTCATATGAACATATACGCATTCCAGATGTAGAGCGACGTTAATGAGCATGTAGCCACTGGTTGCACTACGTGCGCCATTTATATGACATAAGTTTTAGGAAAAGTACTACAGTATAGTAGAGAAAAGATTATGTACTACCTTGAGATAATCGTAGTATTGATCCTATATAGGAAATTAAAGCAAGATATAATGCAATAGGAGCATCTACACTATAAGGTTTCATCATAGTACAGAAGTGGCATTGGTCTTGAATACAGTGTTTCTCAATATATAGATCTAATTATCCCTCGTTGCTACACAAAAGTCCCATTATACATCTATCTCGTAACGATACTGAAGAAAGTGTGAGATGTATTCCGTGGCCCAATCATCTTCTTGATCTGAAGTATACATGGCGGTCCAAGTTTCCAGAAGTCTTGCAGGTCATCTTGAATGAATCCTGTACCATCCACCATATATACTTTCCCAATTCTGTAACACTGACATGGCGCCGCTCCTGAGCCCCCTCTAAGAATCCACTAAACACCAACACACTGGACTTGAGTCCTCCTCACGACCAGATTGAATGTACAAACCCACAGAACACCAAGAAGCAGCAAGTTTCCTCTCACACAACACCTTCACTCTCCGCATTCCCATCCGCCGCAACAACCAACATCCCATCCGCCAAGCTCGGCGCATCTATCAGCGGCGCCACTATGCCCTTCAACTTCGCGTGCGCCTCACACTGCTCGTTGTAATACATCACGTCCTCCGCATTCGCGAATCGCGTTTGTGCAGCGACTGTGAAGCCGTGGCTGGGGGTGTTGGTGTGCAGACGGCATGCAAAGGCGCGGATGATATATGGTTTATCAGACTGTGCATGTGTCAATATTTTTTCTCTTTCAAAAAATCATGGCTTGAGGCATACTTTCCGGGCAGTGTTGCGCATTGTGGTGTATGCTTGGATGACGGTGTCGATGTGTTGAGGGGGGATTTTGAAGAGGACGATTCTGTCGATGTGTGGTGCTGACATGGTGTCACGGATGCTTGGGATAGAATGTATATAATTTAAAAATTGGTTGGAAATGGGGATGTAATTGGGATTCAGCTCTGTAATCTGTGTTTCTTATGTCGGGTCTGGCGTCTCTTATATTTTCCTTGTTGTGGTGGTCGTGGAGGCTTGTTCGGCATCATGCCGACGATATATGTCAGCAAGGCCGTGGGTCGAAATTCATGATGCGGCCTGCGGGTGTATCACGAAGGAGTATTAGTAATATAATGGCGCAGAACGTTCTGTTTCCATGATAGTATGGTCGAATTTATGTTCTACGATTACGCAATTAACACGACGGTTTCAGGGGGCGAGAGTCAAAAGAAGGTAAGACGCTCAGGGATGTCTTGTCAATATGTTTAGCTCGATGATACAATAGACACAATCCATTGATTTATGTGCGAATTGCAATCTGAGCATATTCCATATTCTGAGCAAGTGCAACATGCCAGAGCCTACACCACCATATCCACCCCATAAACTCCAAACCTCGCACCGGCCAAAAACCGATGCGCATAATCCAGCGTCTTCTGCGCTGAATCATGCAGAATCAACGTATGCCCACTCCGCGGCACACTCTGATAACTATACTCCGCCGCCGGAAACAACTCCTTCGTCTCCTCCAACAAACTCCCACACGCCGCAACACCCAACGCCGGATTTCCAAACCCACAGAAAATCTGATCCTGCTCGCCAGTAAGCACCAACACCCGCCCTTTATACCCCGGCGCCGCCGTGATGCCTTGCACATAGATGCTGAACAACTGGCCCAGCGCAATGACGTCCTGGGTCGTGTACCATTTCTTTGCCATCACGGGGTCGAAGTCGACCTGGTCCGGTGCGCCGAAGAATGAGCCTGTGCGTGTGGCTTCGATGGGCGTGACGACGTATGCGGGGTCATAGGTTGCGTATTTAGCTGGGTTGAAGAGCGCACCTGGCACAGGGGCGGTGAGCAGGGCGCCGGGGAGTGAGAGGTCGATGCGTTTGGAGAACCCGGTGAGGACGAAGGCGTCGAAGTCGGACGGGTAGAGCGCTGCGATGTTGTTACCGATCACCGAGCCGTAGCTATTGCCGACAAAGATGAGCGTGGTGAAGGGGTGGGGAAGTTGGCTTGTTGTGCCGGCGCGGAGCTGCACGGCGAGGTCGTGGATGAGGTCGTAGCTGGATGTTGTTAGGGGATGTGAATAGGGAAAGTGATATTGAGTTGAGGACTTACGTGTATGGCCCCTGGTTAATCAGGATCGGTTCTGATCTGGAGGAAGTGCCGTCGCCTGGAAGGTCGGTTGCAAGAGTGGGATAGCCCTGCTTGTTCGCATAGTCGATCCAGGAGTATTTCTCGGGCTGATATGCTGGAACTCCTAGGTTCGTTCCCCCCAAGCCACTCCACATATCCCTTGTTGTGCCTGTAGGAACCTGTCAGCACATGAAATGCCGGAATCAAATACAGATCTGTACCTATGGAGCCTACAAAGACCTGAAGTTTTCCATTATTTGCGTTCTTGACAGTCGGCTCGCAGTAGTAGCCCCCAATAGTCTCCGTTCCATTGGTCAGGATCTTAGGCAGGATATCTGCTTCGCCCGCTTCAATGATTGTCGTCGGATCAGCGAGACTGAGCTGTGAAAAATCACGGTTATACGCCGAGCCAGAGACTTTGAATGAAACCGCTTTGCAGTTCGCGTGTCTTGTCTCCAGGGGACTACTAAAAGCTAACTTCGCAGCTAGCGTAGCTACGCTCAGGATGGTGATTACACCCATTGTATTCGAGTGAATGGATGGCTTTGTCGCTCATTTGTCGGGAGGGAGACCCTCTGCCTTTCTACTCCATATTCTTGAAATGTTTTTGTAAACATTGACACCATGCCGCGCCACATCCGCAGAACATGCGGGGATTGTGTTCTTCGACCCTCTTTAGCGGACGATCATTTTGATGGTCACCACTCAGAGGCTGATGTTGCAGTCTAGCTGTTGAGCTTAAGGAGCTAACCGCCGATTGTTGCTATTGGGACTTACTAGCGCCGCATAAGATACCGAGGCTCTGAGGAAGCATTCCACCATGCGAAGGCAGGCGTAATTATAACTCTGCACACCTAAAAATGTAAGCAATGTATGTGCACCGGAAACAAATATTGAACAGCCAAATAATGATATCTTTGCTAGGTATATTACTACTAAGCCTTTAAGTGAGCAGGAATGGCACGATGGCGGAGTGGTTAACGCGCGGGCCTGCTAAGCCCGTTCCTTCGGGAGCGCGAGTTCGAATCTCGTTCGTGTCGACATTCTTTTTGATTTTTCCACTCGCCTCAAACTTTGCACGACGAGTACACACGCGTTCAGCGTTGTCCTCGTCTTGACTCATCAGGTTTTACGCTTTCTTTTGTTAGCTCTAGTGTAATAAGAATATAGGCCCCGATGACGTCATGCCTTAGCTTAACGCGGGGTATGGCCGTAATGTTTGCAAGCATTCACGGAGTGCATAGTATAAATCACAGATCGTATATAGTAGATTATCGACTATTATGACACGATTGCTATGTTGTCCTCGGGCAATGGTTTGCGATTACTATCCGCATTATTCATATTCTCAACATTTTCGATTGACATTTGTCAACAGCTTCTAGTCTTATGTCGAACAAACAGTATAGAGCCCGCGACAGGGTCGCTAAAGCTTAGTGTGTGTTCAAACTCTGGTCCCTACCGGCCAAAAGGAGCTCTGCACGAGTTTGCTCCGAGCTTTCTCCTGGGGGGCCTCGTGTCATCTGCAAAGGCGTGCTTTTGAATTAGTAAGTCAAGCTTCAGTTACCAATCGGGTGCAACTGAATGATGACGCTGTAGATATCTTAAATACTCCCAATTTCATGAAAACGGACACACACATCCACTTTCATCACAAACTCAAATCTCGAAAACTCTACTTCTGAGCATTGATCCCCTATACTACCTAGTCAACACCTGAATCTAACAGTAAAGGAACATGACTCGCTCAATCTTCAAGCATATTGACCCAACCTCCTACACGGGCAAGCCGTGGGGCAAAGTCGATGGTCCAGGTCGCTCATTCAAACTACTTGACCACGAACGCCCTGTGAACAACATTCGCGGCCGTGAGTCCGAATTCACCACCGAGAACTCCGGATTCGAAGTCCTCACAAAGCCCGCCACCGAGAAGCTCTTCACCAACGAAGAGGCAGTCCGCACCGGCTACTACGCCGAAGTTGAGACTCTCCTTAAAGAGCACCTGCCCGGGGTCAAGAAGGTTGTCATCTTTGACCACACCATCCGCCGCCGCACAAAGGACGCCCCGAGGCAACCTGTGCAGAATGTCCATGTTGACCAGACGCCCGATGCGGCTGACACACGTGTACGACGGCACTGCGGTGATGAAGCGGAGGAGTTGTTAAAGAACCGCTACTCTCTCATTAACGTATGGCGCCCGATCGAGAATCCCGCATCCGACTTCCCGCTTGCTGTCATCGACTGGCGAACGACTAGTCCGTCAGACTTTATCAAGGTCGACCTAATGTATCCCAAGCGTGAGGACAGCGTTGTCGACGATGACGACCGGGGCAAGGAGAAGCTTGCTGACCCGAGCAGCTGGGAGACCACCGAAGGCTACGAGGTCAAGGGCGAGACACTAGCCGTCGCGGGGAGTGACAAGCATCAGTTCTACTATGAGAAGGACATGACTCCTGATCAGGTGATGCTTCTCAAGTGCTATGATAGCCATGGTGATGGCAGGCCAGGAGGCAAAGCCGGAAGGGCTCTGCGAACACCGCATACCGCATTTGTTGACCCTGAAACACCAACAGATGCGCCTGGAAGGCAGTCGATTGAGGTTCGTTGCTTAGTCTTCTACGAGGAAGGCTACTGAGGTGCGCGAACGTCACTCTAGAAGAGAGATCTGTTCTGATTGCCCCATTCCGTGGTGGTGTTGATCTGAGCCTGTAAACCTGTTGATTTAGTATATTATAGTCGTATTAGCCTACCATTAGTCTTTCCTTCGAGAACGAATCTTTTGTTTAAGTACACCTGAGCCGATACTATTATGCCTTTTCTTGATAGTTACTGTATGATGTGTTTTCAGAGTAACAACACCGGACCATGGAGAGCGTAGATTGTCTTCAGGCCAAACAGCGCTAGACCTAAACAAGTATAGCTCCGCATCGGTAAGTCGGTCTTTGCGCAAAACAAAATTTCTAGACCATGTATTACTGCTCACCACAGTTAAAACTCATTGTAATAATTTACACACCTTAAGAGGTGACAGCCCTCAGAATGTTCGCTGTTCCAGGATGGAACCTGCCAGCGACTGTGAAGCCCCAAACCGCACCCCCAGAATCCAAGAGCTCCAGCAAGAAAAGGAAGAGAAAAGATGAGATTGGCAGCGAAGAAGAGAAGCGCACAGAGGGCCTAGTCGACCTCGCAAAGCTAGATGGCAACGGGCAGCTCGTGTCGCAGAAGAAAAAAAAGACCAAGGGAACAGGCTCAAACACAGTCGAGGTCGGAGAGAAAGGCGCGGCGACAAAGAAGTCGAGCAGAAACGACCGGCGAAAGAAAGCTCGAGAGGAGAGATTGAAGCAAAATGGCGGCGCCGTTACAGAACCCAAAGAAGCGGCGAGTAACGCACAAGCAGAAGAAGAACAGCCCTATAAGAAGCGCAAAAAAGACAGAAACCCGGAGGCCTCGAAGGAGCTTGCCCCCTCCGTCCTCTCCAACCCACTCCCAAAGCCCACGAAACTCGCAAAAGAGCCCCCTCAAGCAACACCCGCAATCGCGCCCAAGCCAACCACCCCGAAATCAACACTTACTCCCCTCCAAGCCGCCATGGCGCACAAGCTCTCCTCAGCGCGCTTCCGCCACCTTAACGAAACCCTCTACACCACCCCATCCACATCCTCTCTCACGCTCTTCTCCAAGAACCCAGAAATGTTCGACGAATACCACGCCGGCTTCAGTCAGCAAGTCGCCGTGTGGCCCTCTAATCCGGTCGATAAGTTCATATCCGACGTCCTGACCCGCGGCAAGGTCGGACTGCCGGACAGCCAGACAAAGAAGTTTTCCAAGGATAAAGGGGCGAAGGGCCGGAAGACTGGCAAGGATGCCGCAAACCCGAATCTGATACCTGTAAATGCAGACGGTGCGAAGCCGCTGCCACGGAACTTCCGCTCAGGGGAGAGTGTAATTGCAGACCTGGGCTGTGGCACGGCGGGACTGGCGACGGCGCTACAGAAGCATCTGGGGAAGCTGAAGTTGAAGGTTCATTCTTATGACTTGCATTCGCCATCGGCGCTTGTTACAAAGGCCGATATCTCAAACTTGCCGTTGAGAGATGGCGAACTTGATATCGCCATTTTCTGCCTTGCGCTCATGGGTACGAACTGGACGGACTTTGTGGACGAGGCATGGAGATGTCTGCATTGGAAAGGAGAATGCTGGGTCGGGGAGATACGCAGTCGTTTCGGGCGCGTGCAGAGTGGTGTGGTGAAGAACTCGATTGGGAGCCTCGATAAACGGAAGCAGCAGACGCAAAAGCATACACAGAAAAAGAACAGCATCAAACGAAAGGCTATAGGGTCTAGAGACTCAGACGACGAGAGTGAGCCTGAAACAAAGAAGGCCGCGATGAAGCATCCAGATGAGTATCTGAATACTGAGATCGATGACCCGGACATGCATGTAGCGCAGAAAATGGCCGCCGCGCAAGACACAGAACTTGGTCCTTTTCTTCAGGTCATGCGAAATCATGGCTTCAGTCTGGATGGTCAGGCTGATTTGAGCAACAAAATGTTCGTGAAGATGGTGTTCATCAAGAATGTGCAGCCGGTGGTGGGAAAGAATGTGAAAGAGCAACCAGTCGAAGTAAAGGGCATGAAGGGAAAGAAGTTCATCGAACGCGATGAGCTGCTAGCACCAGAAGAGGAGGGCAAGGTGCTGAAGCCTTGTGTGTATAAGCTAAGGTAGATGAAATGATTGACATAATTACCTCTTCCTACTTGAGCGTACTCAGCCGCAACTAAACACTTCCCTATCTCACTGCCACATAGTGATATCATGGCATCAGTGCCGTTGGAAGCCATTGAGGATGCCCAAAATAGCTTGATCTGATTGTTTGACATTGATCACTATCCGTGCAGTCAGCTATGCGTTGGAAGAGCTGAATTGTAGCTTCTCATACTTTCCGTTGGGCCATTGTCGTTGGTCAAATAGTGAGCAATGTGAATGATCCTTTTACGGCGAGCTCGGGGTGAAAGAAGGCGGCAAGCATTGGATGATGCGAGGTTATGAAGAGAGTGATATGCGTAGAGATAGTGGTCCAAACGCATCGGCCAGTAATTACGCACAGCGAACGTGGTGAAGCGCAGGCTTCCAGATATCTTGTAACTCGGTCGGAGAGTATATGGTCGAGAACAGAAGTCAAATCCATCTTGCTCCGTTGTATCGTAGAAGCCGCCTCACTCGGAGGAAGAAGCGCCAAAGCCACCAGAGGAGGGCCAACCATAGAAGAATTTCCACAGTGATACTAGTCACGTGCAAGTCATCCAGTTCGTCTTCAGTCTCGACAATCACATATGTGGCATTGTCAGATGTGCCGGGGCTATCATAAACCGACAGCCAATCTGACTGTGTTTCATCCATAGGGGGATCAACGGCGTCTATCCGGAGGCAATCCTCTTCTGACATGTATAGCGATCCTTGTCAAGACGATGATGCGGAAGAGAAAGTAGATGGTCGATATCCACGCTGTGACTAGGAAAATGAAGACGAGTCTGTCCAGAAGTGCGTCGTAGATATCAGCGAAAGATGGGCTAGAAGACATCAAGTGCGCAAGAATAGGAGAATGTAAGATATGTAGTTGAAGATTGAGAATCAACATTCAAGGTAACTTTATGGACGGACGGTAGAAGGTTAGTTGCGCTTTCTCTATTTTCTCAGAATGTGCTTGTCTTAGTCGCGGTAACTGATATAGAAGAGAAGGTACTATTGTGAATATCAAGGTAGTGCGTCCAGCCACATATCGGATTGGGAAATGACGTATGAGACCGATTTACCAATTGATGAGTCTGGCTGTGACAGCGCCAGAAGTCTGAAAGACGAAGCTCATGTGCCGATCTAGATAGAGCCGCTTTTGAAAGCAATATGGTTTAACATACAGAGAGCTTCCCAAAGGATAAATCATGAAATGTCAGCAGGGGTTTTTGTGCAGTAACGCCGCCGAAAGTAAGGCTGTGAGGCCCGACAAAGGGCTAGCTGTAAATGATCTGAGCGATGCTTGTCAAGGTAGAGACACGTCGTCGAGCGCGAAGTTCGCGAAATTTACGGTAGCGCTGACCATTCGTGGTGTGAAGCAAAGCATGAAAGCAAAGAGTAATGCCTCGCCATACTTTGTAGTGTATTGGTCCACAAAGTCTAATATCAAACCTTCGAATCACAGGAGGACAACGCATGTTCAATTGCGATCTTTCATCGTTAGGATGAGCATGTCGTAGAAGTCGCGGTCGAATCCGACACACTCGAGGTACTCCCACTGCAACCTGAGACCAGGCGGATCGGCGGCGTCCGGGCGCTCAAATGCCTCCATGATCAAGTCCCGGCTTAATAAAGCAACTTTCGGAGGCGTCACGATCTTCCAGTAGCGCAACTCCTTGATGTACTCGCCAATATCGTGCTGTACCTTCAAATAGTGCTCGTCATCTTCCTCAACACCGCCGGATTCACTTCCGGTCGCGGGCAACTTCTCTGGAAGTGCACCTTTGTACTCCGGTGGTGGCCAGAAGTGGCGGACGAGCTTGTCAGTGACCCATTCCGGGCGATCGGCTTCGGAAAGCTTCGTGGCCCAGTGCATCTTAACGTCGTGAGGCACGTCGTTGATCATGTGGTCGTAATCAAGACGGTCAGACCAGCGTGACTGTGAGTATGTGCCGAAGTAGATATATTTGTCGGACGCTGCGTTGCCACGGCGTGCATATCGGGATGCCTGAATGAACAGAGGAAACTCCGTATAGGCAGCTTCGCCCACTTCGTCGCCATCTTCATCGTCCGGATTGTCTGCGAAGAAGGCCGTAAGCTTTGCGCCGTGCTCGCCTGGGCGCATGGGCAAGTACGGTTCATGGCTGGCGTCGTAGGCACAATAAGTGCGATTAGGGAGAATAGAGACTCCGTGGGCCGTCGGGATGTAGTACATGCCGGGAGACCATTCAATACCGCCCAGAGTGTTCTTCAGGAATTCCCAAGAGAAAGTGACAGTCGAATAGAGTTCTGGGATGCCAGAGATCGCTTCCTCAGGGAGGTTCTTCAGAGATTTGATGTAGTATGGACGCCATCCCACGGCTTCAATGAATGTGTCTTCAACAGAGCGAAGAGGTTTGTCAGCATCAAGACTAGGTGCTTGATAAGTGGACTCGGTTTCAGAGCTATCTTCACGTTTGGGCTCTCTGGGCAACGTCAGAAATAGGAACAGAGGCTCGGGATTAAGAGCGCAATAACTGACACTGCCGCAGTCGTAGACTGGACGGACACTGGACGTTCTTGTGTCCGAGTCCGTAGGTGAGGTGGCACAAAGGCTTTCCTACACGATATAAGTCGTTGAACTTTACATAAGGTTCTTGCTCTTGACTGACTTTCCATTGGATACTGGTTCAGTTGCTACAGGCCGAGTTGCCACAGGCTGAGCTGCTAGAGGCTCTGCTGTTCCAGGTTTGTTCAGAGCGCGACCCCGAAGATGTGGTGGCACAAAAGGCTGCTTCCTGGAAGATGTAAGAGTCTACAGAACCAAGATGGCTACCTTAACGTACGCTTGAACGGTAAGAGGTTGAGCAACTTCAGCATTTTTGGTGGCACGGGCCCGAAGGTGAGGCGGTAAGGGTTTGACAGGGCCGACGGTAGGAGATGCTGTAAAGCTCAACTCACTACGAGCTCCATCGTGTGAGAGGCCATTGTCAACATTCTTCGTGCGAGTCCGTAGCTGGAACTTGAAGGCCTGGTCAAGTTCAAGCATGGAGTCACGCCGATCGCGAACAGAGTTGAGCATCTTGCTTGGATTGTCGATGGTTGAACTGTCGGCCTGCTCCTGGACTCTAGTAGTGGTAGATGAGTCCTGGTCGTGAGGCGCTGAATGCTTTATCAGTCTAGGTTCAGGAACGTGGCATGATTGAGGCATGCTGAGGATAAAGTCAATATAATATTGAGATAGGACTCAAGCGGAAAGGGAAGTAAGAGTTATAAGATTGTGAAATGGAAGGAATGAGAGAGAAGGGAAGAAGAGATGGTCTTGGGTTTAAAGACTCGGGATAAGCTCAAGAAATGGATGGGGAGGGGGAGCAAAGAGAGGCAGCAATGGAAGGTATAAGTAGATTTTAGTATAAGCAAGGGATGTGTGGTAGCTATTGTAGTCATTAAGTGAATAGCAAGGTGCATCAATTGAGTTCTGAGCCATGAAATACAATCAGTAGAGAATCCCTGCAAGTCACCTAGGCTATAGAGACTCCTTTCCCGCCTGAATGAGTTGTTGTAAGAGCCGTAGTGGGCAATTCAAGTCCAATGGCGATTCAGTCTTCACACATGTGCGTCGACCTAAGGCGGGAGTGTTACACACATTGATTGGACATGTCAGAGAATACTCTAGCAAGTAAATTTAGAATTAATGCTTCATCCGTGTGAATATTTGAATGGATGTTCGATGCTCCGGTCCGCCGAATAGGAGAATATCCACATCGTAGGCTGAAGGTTTCTGTGTCGGGGCTGGCTCCGAAAGCGGGAAATTCTTATCTTTTACTTAGGTGAGTAGATGTGAGTGCCATTATGGAAATAGAACGCCACCGAGGTCTCGAGTTGACTTGAAAGAGAACAATAGAGACAATACGAGAGAATACAAGTGAAAGAGACGTCAAGAGGGGGAAAGGGACCTCGGCCGACAGAGCTACGTACAGCCACAGACATGCCCAGCCACAGCCGGCTATACCTACCTAAGTATAGGCAAGCCAACGCCAAAATTGGCTCTTAAGTCATAGGACCCTGGCCTGTGGGAGCAAGTAGCGGTACACCACATTCTCTCGCCGTTTTTTTAATTCAGCACAATTTCCCCCCCTTTGGCGACTTTGGCCTCCTCGATATCCTCAAATTACCTCTTCGTCAGCTCTATTTCATTCATCTCTTCCACCGCAATCAGCGACTGGCGATTGTCCTCATGCTCGTGTGATGCCACCTCCAAAGTCGCGCGGTACCACAGACGACCCGAACTCAGCAGTCAAGGAGAAGCATGCAAATGCTAGTCGTGGTCGTCGAAATGTACCCTCAACTTTGGCGAATGGAAGCTCATTGAAAGAGGTCATGAACTCTAGCACTGATTCTCCTGCTACTACGAATGGAAATGGACCGCAGACCGGGACAAGCAGTACCTCATCGGTATGTGTGGCCATCGCCACAAATTAGCTCCATGCTTAGGACTCTATTGAATGCTAACACCTATATCTGTCAGAGCTCATGGGCGAAAGAAGACTCGTTGCTGCTACACTCCTATCGAAGCCTCTATCGGCTTGAGACACCCTCCTCCTTCCATAACCCGCTAGCCCATGTCCTCCTCTCACAAGGCATCGGCAATCACTCCCCTACAATGGCTCGACAGAAGAGCAAGAGACGAGTCAGCAAAGACAGTCTAGCTCTGGCTGTAAGGAAAAATTTTAATGCATTAGCCGTGAACGAGCAGGAAGTTATTGTGGATTTTTTGTACAAGACAAAGACAAAAGGTACCAATTTAGTTGATTATACCCAGAAGACACCAATTGACTGACCGGATCGACAGAAAAAGAGCTCCGTGTTAGATTTGCACCCCCTCGAAAGTAGTACCGTGCTTCTATACTCGACCACCTGCCGGCTGTTCTTTCGCAACAGCATTTAAAAACTCGCTCCAGATGCGCATGATACCCAGTCTATATTTCTTCACACGATGCGACGCCTGTTCCTATCCGGGTATCGACTCAAATTCCAGAAACGCCCTTTTCAAGGTGTGGACTGCTTTGGGATAATCAGAATCTTTTCGGCGTACAGTTTGGATGATTGCATCATTGGCGTAAAAGAGATTTGGCATGGCTGCGACGTTTCTCATGAGCCGTCGTAAAATTGTACAGGCGTTTTGACGATTATGGAAGTAGAAGCCTCAAGCATTGTTCTGGGAGTACGAAGGCTAATTATCAATGTCATTGGTCTAATGTTACTGTAGCTCGAACACAATCACAGGCTCAAAGAACGCGTATAAACGCGTCGGGCGCAATAGCTTGCTCAAGCCTGTGCTATGTAATATAGACGTTATAACTGGCGGTAGTGTCCGTAAGGCTCTCAGAAGCTTTGAGACATCGCCACTTGGATATTCAATACAAGCAAATGCATGTTATCCCTTCTAAAGATATCCACAACAGAAGTCATGGATGTACGAGAGTCACGTCTCTCATAATAGGTACGGCCGGGCGGACTACCGCATTATGTCATGGCTTGGCAGGCGCTAAACTTTTTCGACTCGCGGCGAGTCTTCGCCGAAACTTCTCGAGATTTTGTCGCAAGGAGACTTCATCCCATCTTGGCTTGAATATAGTTCCCTCATCGCAATCGTCTTCGCCTGGCGACAATCTTCACATACGATGAATCTGGCCGGTTCGGCAATATCGCTCACCTCGACGCTACCCCTAAGGGCAGCATCAGTGTCGCGAACATGCCCCAGAAGTCTCACAACACATTCGAAATGGAATCGGCCGCGTTCAGATTGCTGGCAGCGTAGTGTGAACGTACCTCAGACTCGGGTAAGCGACTTCAGGTGCCCGTGTGTGAATCCAGGAAGGTTCTAATCATGACACAGTCTTTCCATGCCTCCCCTCTCCAAAGAGCGTCCATGAAAGATCCATATTCTGTGTTAGGTGTCGGCAAAAGCGCTTCAGCATCCGAAATAAAGAAGTCTTACTATGGTCTCGCAAAGAAATACCACCCGGACACCAACAAGGATGCGAATGCGAAAGAGAAGTTTGCCGAAGCCCAAACCGCCTATGAGACCTTGTCAGACCCGAAGAAGAAAGAAGCCTACGATACGTACGGCTCAGCCGCATTTGACCAGAGTGGTGGGTTCAACCCTGGTGCGGGCGCAGGACCTGGTGCAGGCAACCCCTTTGGAGGAGGTTTTGGTGGATTTGGAGGCTTCGGCGGAGCTGGTGGTGCTGGGAGTGCTGGTGGATTCGGCGGTGCAGAGTTCAATTTCGAGGACCTTTTCAGCGCATTTGGTGGCGGTGGACGCCGGGGGCGTTCTGGCGGAAGAGGTCCATTCCAAGCAGCCGAAGTCCTTGTTGGAGACGATATCGAAGTGCAAGCTCATATCTCGTTTATGGATGCTGCAAAGGGAACGAGCAAGACGATCACCATCACTCCAATGGTACAGTGCAAAACATGTTCAGGCGACGGCTTGAAACCAGGCAAGAAACGCACCACCTGTAGGTCATGCGGTGGCACCGGCCAACGTGTACACACTATGGGCGGCTTTCAGATGGCTAGCACTTGTTCGACTTGTTCAGGTGCCGGTGTCCAGACTCCTCCTGGAGCAGAGTGTAGGACATGCCATGGTCAAGGTGCCATACGAGAAAAGAGAACTGTTTCAGTCGACATCCCGGGAGGCATTGAGGATGGTATGCGATTACGTGTTACCGGAGAAGGTGATGCTCCACTAACAGGTCAATCTGCCGATCCAAACATCCAGTCAACCAAGGGGGATCTGTACGTGCTCATCAGGGTCACTCCTGATCCAAAATTCAAACGTCAGGGCTCCGATATAATGTACACCGCATCTGTACCTTTAACGACAGCGATCCTTGGCGGTGAATGGAATGTACCAACATTAGACGGCGAGGTCAAGATCAAGGTGCCCACTGGCACTTCTGCGGGAGACAAGATCGTGCTCGGAGGGATGGGCATGAAGAAGCTTCAAGGGAGGAAGAATGCGAATGGCGATTTGCGTGTGGAGTTCAAAATCCAAATGCCGAAATACCTCAGCGCCAACCAACGTACGATCCTCGAGATGTTGGCAGATGAGATGGGAGACAAGACCGCAAAGCGGGTCATGAACTTGAATCGCAGCGCACCCTCAACCTCTGATGTGGATGAAAAGTCCAAACCAAGTCAGTCAACCCCAAAAGAGAGCAGCCATGAAAACGAAGGTTTCTTTAAAAGCGCATGGCACAATCTGACAGGACAACATAAAGATCTACACAAAGAGCAGAACTCAAAAGAAACCACCGAAGATGACAATGAAACACCGAAAAAAGCTTCGGGATCAGGGTCCGGATAGACTGATGCTATCAACACCTACAACCACCTCCACACCATGTATATTACGACCGCACTTCCAGTGACCATAGATCCCGGGCAGTGAGTGGAATATGGCAGCATAACATTAGCGTTTGGCGTTCAAAGGCTGTCATCATGGGCGTGATAGATGTTTGGAAAAAAATATGCTTGTAGATTCTCAACTCAGGCTGTACATATACTATTCATTACTATTAGCGCCTTGTACCCAACAACGCAGCGATACATATAATTAGCTCAAAGATTGATCATCTTAGCCTGTGCTCTCTTCGATCTCATTAGCGAATCCCGTTGCTAAGCTTCCATGTAATGTTCACTAACAGGGCGTGGCGCAGGTGAAGGGCTAAAGTGTCGGGCGCTTAGTAGGCAGATCCTCAATTAACATTCATTACTAGTACCACCCCGCGACGCATCTCCATCCTGCCCTGCGACCACTTTCGAGGCCGTATATTCTGCAGGCCGTGGAACAGAACTGATCAATAAATCTTGGGAGGTACCAATAGCGTGGAATACTGCAACTTTATCCTTACCCTCAAACGACCGACATACGTACACCCGACTCGGACATCGCGGAGGCGCCAGGGTCAGCGCAAGTGTTGTGATAAAACAAGCCTGGCAGCATTGGGCAACAAAGCGCACACTCCTCGAGGACCTCCAGTACAGCTTCTATTGTAACAACTAGCAAGGCTCCTAGTATGGCGTCCCAAGCGCCTATGCTCTCGTCTCCTCTGAAACAAACCAACGAAGTCGACTGGATACATCCACTCAAAGGGTACATCAGACAGACCTATGGCGATGACCCTGAGAGGTACTCGGAAGAATGCGCAACTCTGAACAGGCTTCGGCAGGACATGAGAGGAGCTGGGAAAGACAGCGCGGCAGGGCGAGACCTGTTGTACAGATACTATGGGCAACTGGAGCTATTGGACCTCAGATTTCCCGTGGATGAAAACCATATCAAGATACAATTCACTTGGTGAGCATGATACTATGTCTGTACCCATTATTATTGCATGGTGCTGACCAAGCATGCAGGTTCGACGCATTCACGCATAAACCTACCTCTCAATACTCCCTGGCGTATGAAAAGGCTTCCATAATATTCAACATATCCGCCGTACTGTCATGCCATGCGGCACTTCAGAATAGATATGAAGATACAGGATTAAAGACTGCATACCACTCTTTCCAAGCGTCTGCTGGGATGTTTACCTATATCAACGAGAACTTCCTTCACGCACCGTCAACCGATCTAAGCCGAGAAACTGTAAAGACGCTTATCGCTATCATGCTGGCGCAAGGACAAGAGGTTTTCCTTGAAAAGCAAGTCGCAGATGGCAAGAAAGTTGGGCTTCTGGCGAAACTCGCCAGTCAAGCATCGTATCTATATGGACAAGCTCAAGAGGGTGTTCAGGAGAACGTCACGAAAGCTGTCTTTGAAAAAGTGTGGTATCAAGTCGTCCAGGTACGTCTACTGGTCTCCAGAGGTCTAACGTGGCGTATGGCTGACAAGCGAATATACAGATCAAGACAAAATATATGGTATCGATGGCCCATTATTACCAAGCTATAGCAGATAACGATGCGAATTCTCATGGAGTAGCGATATGTCGATTGCAGGTCGCTGAGGCTGAAGCACGAGAAGCCAGTAAAATAGCCTGCTCGTTTCCCAGTTCTGTACCTGCAAACGCAAATTTGAGCTCTGAGACTGGGCAATTACTAGCGGAGATGACAAAAAAGCACCTAGCAAACGTTCAAGAGAAGCTTCAAGAGTTTACCAAGGACAACGACTTCATATACCACGCGGTCGTACCAGCCGAGGCAACACTACCATCAATACCGAAGCTCCCAGCGGCAAAAGCAATACCAGTCAGCGAACTATATCAAGGGCAAGATATCCAGCGCATTATAGGCCCAGATATCTTTCAGAAAATTGTGCCTATGTCTGTGACTGAACAAGCAAGTATGTACGATGAAGAAAAAGCCAAGCTCATTCGAGCGGAAAGCGAACGGGTTGAGATTGCCAACGATGAGATGGCTGCAAGTCTTGATTACTTGAAACTACCAGAAAGCCTGAATATCTTAAAGGGGGGCATGGATCAAGATCAGATCGTTGATAGCGAGTTCAGGCGGTGGTGCGAAGAGCTCGCAGGTCACCAACCTTTTACAGGCGCATTCGATCAACTCCAGTCAGACAAGTCGCAAATATCGGGTCTCTTAGATACAAGTCAAAAGCAATTGGATATGGAGGAAAGCGTATGCGAGAAGATGAGATCGAAATACGGCGCAGAGTGGTCTCAGCAGCCAAGCTCACGACTTACAGCGACACTACGGAGCGACATAAGGAATTACCGAGGAGCCGTCGAAGAGGCGAGTACAAGTGATGCGCAGCTTTACAGCACATTCAGACAATATGAGTCTGATTTCGACGAAATGCGGTCCGCTGGTGAGGTAGACGAGGCAGATGTCTTATACCAAAGGGCATTGATCAAAGCAGGAGCCTCGAGAGGGAAAGGGAAAGGGGTCGGGAGCCCTGCAATTGGCGTTGAAGGGAGCCTTCTGGATGATGATTTCGAAGGGGGACCGAGTGTGGCTGAGCAAATACACAAGGTTGAGGAGCTCATGCGGAAGTTGAGTTTGATCAAAAGAGAGCGTGCGTCTAATTTGAAGGATCTGAAAGAAAAGGTGTGTAGTTTTGACCTAGCCTGCGCGTGCTTTCCACTGACCTTCACCAGGTCCACACTGACGATATCTCCAACGTTCTCATCCTCAATAAGAAGGCTACTGGCCAGGAGAACCAGATCTTCAAAGTCGAACTCGAGAAGTTCAGACCGCTGCAAAACCGCATCTCTCAAGCAAATCACAAACAAACGTTTGTTCTTAAGGAGCTAACTTCAACATACAATGATCTTCTACAAGACAAACGTGTACGGTCAGAGCAAACCAAGTATGAGGCGTTCTCGCGGCAGCGGAATTCCGTGATGAGCAAATATCGCAAAACTTTCCAAGCCTTCAATGATCTCATACAAGGTCTAATGAGGGCACAAGCATTCTACACGGAGATGAAGGAGACTGTCGAAAGTCTTCAAAAGAACGTCGAGACCTTCGTCAACAATCGTAGATCCGAAGGTGGACAGTTGCTATCATCGATCGAGAACGCGAAAGCAAGCCAAGGCAGTGCTCAAGCAGACCAAGAACGAAAACGGATCGAAGAGCTCATGCAGCGAATGTCCATGGAGCCGCCTCAATCGCCGCTCAAACCAAAACAAACGCCACGACCTCCAAACTTACAAAATATCCCTACCTACAACTCAGCCTATCAACCTACGCCATCACCCCGCTACAACCCCGGTGCTCCTCAAACAACCACTCAGTACGGCCAGCCTATGCAGTCACCCCCTCCGGGCGCTACGTTTTCAAATGGCTCATACAACCCGGTTCAGCATCAACCCCCTCGGCGCGAATCGTACCAGCAACGTGAGCCCTACAACCCAAACGCATACGGCCCTGTGTCCCCTCCTCCTACCCAGCAATACTTCAATGCCCCTCCGCACGCACAACAACACCAGCCATACACGGGATACCAGAGCTCCACACCGCAGCCCCACCAGCAGCAACAGCATCAGCATCAGCATCAGCATCAGCATCAGCATCAGCAGCACCAGCACCAGCAAGTCCAGCACCAGCAATATCCCGGCATGCCTCAAGGATACGTGCCTCCACCCCCACCCCCTGGTCCCCCACCTCAGCAAGACTACTCTGCCATGCAGGCACAGAACTACCCGAATGGCCCAGGAGGCTATACGCATCACCAAACGAGGCAGAGCGGCCAGGGCCAGGGCAGTCAACAAGATCCGTGGGCGGGGATTCAGGCGTGGCGGTGAAAAGCGTGGTCGTTGGCAGTGCATATTTTTTTTTCTTCAAGATTTTATCAGCGTTTCATTGTTTCTGTGCACTTGAGCGAGTCTGAGGAGTCTGATCATGGATGCACGGATGGATGATTGGGTTGTATGGGTAAGCGTACTGGGATGCATATGCATAGAATAGCTAGTCTTGGCATATATATACATATATCCTCTTTTTTTTCCAATGATGTCCTCCAGAGACTAAGCTTGTTATACGTCTCAAAGTGGTGATGCTATGTGACGCGTTCATGCGTAGAATCAATTCTTATATTTCCCTTAGTATCATTTTACAATTCCAACTCCGTAACACCGCAATATGAGGGGTATCGTATCTCTCCTCTTCCCTGGCCATCATACAAGAATGATGGCATCTCCAGCATCCACAAAAACGTAATGCTCGTTCAACGAATCATCCTGAACAAATGGCCCTCGGTGCTAAACACCCAGCGATCCAAGCTCGCAACACGCGAGTCGGCAAATATCAGCCAGAAGTACTTCAGCGTCTCCGCATGCCAGAAGCTCTCGCTCTCGTCCATCTGCGCCTCGTCGCGCGCGCCGTCCGCAGACGAAGCAACCATGACGTCCTTCAAGCCTGCGTATCCGTAGCGCGCTTTACAATGCGTCTCGATAGCAACGAAGGCGTCCCACGCCCACTCGCGATAGCGCGCCTCGCCGGTGATGCGCCATGCGTAGAACAGACTCTCGACGTATTCGGGCCGCAGGCGGAAGGATGGGTTGATGGCCCAGAAGCCGGCGTTTGCCCACTCTGCCTGCTGGCGCTCAGTCTCGGGGGTGACGGTGGCGTCGCGGACGCCGAATTTTGGGCTCCAGGCCCATTTCTCGGGGCCGATGCTGGTTGGGGTGGATGCGTAGGTGTGGTGGCATGCTTCGACGAGGGCTTTGCCGAGGGCGATGAAGGAGGGCTTTTGCAGGTGTGCGCCGCCGAGGAGGATGTTGCCGGCGGCGAAGCAGGCGAGCTGGGATTGCGTGTTGATGTCGAGGTCGTCGTCGCGCTTGCCGAGGAAAAGGTGTTGGGTCATGTATGTGGCGGAGGGGCGGTTGCGCGAGGCGAGGTTATCACGCAGGGAGTGTACGGCGCGCTCCCATTGCTTCTTGTACATTGGCGTGTAGCGGTCTTGTGGCGTGAGAAGCGTGATTTTGAGGAGGTATTCGTAGTAGCTGTCGTGTCCGCCGTCCCAGTGGTGTTGGCGGCCTACTGGCTCGCCAGTCTGGATGTCGATTGGGCCGCTGACCATGCCCCTGGCTGGGGCGTAGAATTTGGTCCATACGAGCGGGGACCAGGCGAGAGTCGAGTTCTGGAAGTAGATCGGGTTGTGTGTGAGGCGACTGAGGACGCGGTTTTCGAGGATGTTTGAGCCTGCGCGGGCTGGACCAATGGTGGGATGCGCGTATCGAGGTTTTCCATCCTCTTGCAACTCTTCCTGGCGAGGATCTGGAACTCCTTTGCTGGTCATGAAGTCAACCCGTGGCCAGGGCAGGCCTGTTGGGGAGTCGTAGGCTGGTCCTAATTTCTGGCCGAGTATCACAGCTTGTTTGACTATTTTGTCGCGTTTCTCTCTGGAAATGACCTTTTTAGGTATTATGCCTGCGTCCCACAGATCCACCACAGACACCATTCCTCCGAGATGACGAATGGTAGTCTCGAAAGGATCCACCAAGTCGTCGGTTTTCGTAAAATCGATTCCTTCGATTATGTGGTTCACAGCAAGCTCCAGCTCTTCCCATAGTTCCATGATTGCCAACGTGCTTGCTGAATCGACTATTGTTGCACCCCAACCACCTCGTTTATTGCTCTTATGCCCAGAGACTGGTAGGATCATATCAGCACCCCATGCGTGCTCCTTGTACGTCCAGAATGTATGTTTCATGGCTTCAACGACTCGCGCCGCCCTCGGTTCATCCACCACACCCGTGCCATTGATGAACCCGTCCCATTGTATCCTAGCACCATTGCGAGGTGCATGCGGACTTTCTCCGAAGACGGTGAATATGAAGTAGAAGAAGAGAACGAAGGCTGCGGCAATGAATTTGAAGATATGGGTCGGGTTGCGCTTCCAGCTCGAGGATCGACGAAACCCGGGTGGCATATCTGGTCGAACGTCGTGCAGCTACGGCGCAAATCAAACGGGATCGATCATCGAGTTCGTTAAGTTTGAGCTTAAGGAGAGGAGTTTGAGCTTCAGATGGTGCTCATGGTCGAGCGCCAATTGGCACAGCTACCAGACAACACTCAACCCGTCTACGCCGGACGCGAAACAGGATATTCGGGAGGCAGGTTGGTGCTGCTACGAAGAGACAGCTTTGCGGAATATGTGCGAGGAGTTTGAGATTGTGCTGAGTGAATTGGTTGCCAAAGGAGAAGGGACAGATTTCCGGTCTGTGAAGACTCCCGAAAGACCCTGAATATCGCCAAGCATCAGATCCGCCCCAAGGTTCGTCGGAGTTGTTGCCGCTAAGGTACCAGATGTTGGAAGCTTCAGTACGCGCTTCTTCCGACGTCACTTCTTTGCTCACTTACTGTCTTTCCTTTTCATTCCAGTATGTCGTACTGGTGGCAGTGAGTAACTATTACCGTCATCGCACACACGATAGCTGATCACAGTGAAGGAAATATCGCGGGCTCTCCTCCAAGCACCGTCTGCTGCTCGGCGTAGGCGTTATAGGCTACGCTGGTCTGGGATTGGTTTTCTCGGACGCCATTGAAGAGAAATTTGGCATGGTTCCGACCGAACAGGACAAGGAGAAGTTAAAGATGATGGTACCGAGGGTCGTGAGGGTCGACAGAGACAGAGACGGTGATGAGATCACGTCCCCCCAGCGAAAAGAATGACAGATGTGCTCCATGTGCTCAATGACACGCAACTTATCGCATGAAGACCAACAAAAACCAAGCACGATGACCTTCACATCTTTGGTTCTGAAGTCTTTCGACGGGTCCTCATAGGTAGCCTGCCAATCATTCTATCATCGTCAAAGGTCAGATAGCTGACCAAGACAGATACAAACCTGTCACTATTTCAGGGGCTTGAGCAGTTCGGTCGAAGAACATTCTTTGAATTGACTCCCAAAGCATATCACAAGCCAAAAAAAATAACACTCTATAAAGTACGAAAGTCATCCAATGCAAACGACTACAGTCTGAACATCCTCGCAATGCTGCGCTCCAAGTGCATGAACTCGAACAATCGATCTCTCACGACACCCCTCTAGTTACCATTGTCCTCTTGCTTAGGCTCCTTCCAATGCGCTGTCGATGCATAGCTTCTACCGTACCTCATCTTTACCGTATCATCACTTCTGGCATTCAAATGCCCTCGCAGTGTTTTCGCATCTAAGTCGAAACAGCCATCAGTGACCGCGTTGCTGCACAGCGGATAAAGCTTCTTGTGCTCCATATCGCAGAACAGGTTCTCCTTTGTTGAAACTATGTCCCAGCCATATGAGTTCGGGTGGGTACAGAGCTCCCTAGCCGAGCTAGTGACCTGATCCGAGACAACCAGGTGGTCCGGGTTATGGTTCCAGCCCCTGACGTTGCGGCGCGTGGTTTTTGGAGTTCGCGACCGTGCAAGTCTGTGGCTTTCACCTTGGTGCAGATACACGCCCTTGTCGACTGGGTTCTTAGGGTCATCGATGACTTTGGACAGATCGGTATCGGCGCCATTGCCGTCCTTGTATGTCAAGGGCGGCGAGAAAAAGGGCGGGATACCGTCGGGCAAGAGATTACCCCAGAATGAGAAGCGCGGACTAGACTTGCAGAGTGTGTCTTGGTTGCTCATGTACTGGCTCATCTTCTCTTGGTTGGGTTGCATATCATTCAGATGGAAGCTTATGGCGCGTGCGTTGATGCCGTTGTCATGATTGCCATCCAGCCAGACACAACGGGGGTTGGTGAAATCGCTGCCGATGCGATTTTCTGAGGCGTACCAGGATTGGCCGCACATGTACCTGTTATGTGTTAACTATCAATCTTCTACAGTAGTGCACCGTTCTGGACGCACCCAGTGTCCCCGAAGAACGACCCGGAGATCTTTGTTCCCTGGACGGCGATGGAGGCTACGCAAATGGCATCATCGGATAGCTGTGATACCATGACGTAGTAGGGGTCGGCTTGGGAGTACTTTGGTGTCGTCTGCGAGTGCTCGACCACGAAGTTACCCACGTTACCCTGCTTTATATCGCAGGACTTTGGATGGTATTGGCCAATTCGGTTGCCGTCATCGTCCCACAAGGCGATGTGAGGGCAGTCTCCGCCGGCGGTGGATGTGCTTTCTCCATCACCAAGGATGATCTGAATATTGGTTTTGGCCATTGGAGGAACATCAGGAGGGTTGGTTAGAGCGAAAGGGAGGATCACTCCAGCCAAATCAAGGGCAAAGCCAATTGCGCCAGCCATCGAGAAGATGCGAGAATGAAGAGTATGGGATTTGTAGAAATTGGTTCTGGAAAGATGCAAGCACGTGGATAACACTGCTGGTGAAAGTGATAGTGTAATTGTTGTTAACGATAAACTACAGACATCACAGAGTCTTTATACGATGCCACTTGCCCTCAGGACAGTGTCTACTCATCTTGTCCAACTTTCTCTACTCTCTGGATCTCTAAATTTGACCCAACTGAAGGATGCAAATTCCACACTGACATAAGAAGTTGGAGTGCTTTGATTCTGCGGCACTAGTGTTTCCAGGCCTGGAAACTTTGTTCCAATGACATGTATTAGCCTTGTAAGCATCGACTGTGGCTTGCATAGACGATCCGTATCGGCCCGCATAACGGGCTTGCAAGGATGTGTGAGGTAGATGCCCAATGATAGCCTGAAAACTCATCTCATGTATGATTCGACGATGTTTGAAAAAGCAAAGGATGCGCCGTCCGCATCTCTTTTGAGCCTAAATTTGTACTATATGATTCGTCAATAGATGTCCACTTTGTCGGGCCTACTAATGAAGGCAACCATGCATGGACCTCCAACCGGTTGGCGCCGATTATCTACAGATACCATGCATTATAACTAACAATAGAGAGTGCTATGTACGTAGTCATTCATATTCTAGGCATACAGGTTCGATAATCGAAGGCTAGAGGATAGATTTAGTGTCATCATCAAAGACAAACATGCAATATTGTCCACATGTGATCACGACAAAGCAAAACCCTGCCGGAAAGAATCTTCGAGGAACTATGAATTGGTCGTATCGATCTAGACTCATATCATTTGCTTATTCTCCCACCAACGGTGATAAAAGAACAGTAACTCAACAGGCATTGTTGGGTGAGATACAAACAGGCAATGTCAGAATCTAGTGGCTTGCTTGAGCCCTGACCAAGACCTGGTCCCTGACTACAGCTGTACCGTTTAGGATGGGTACATGGATAGTGTTATCCCTTCCCGTCGATAATAACAATATGATAAAACCAACCTCCATTGTACCTCAGGGGTATCCGACGATATGGCTCCACTGTGAGTGTCGCAGCAGTTCTATTCTTTACTGCTCGATTGTTTCATAGTCCCTACATTTATAGCTCCTCAATGATCCAATCTGACAGACGGTGGAGGCTTGGAACGAAGTCAGCAGCAACTTTGTATGCCTCGCACGGGCAGTGATACATTGCCGCCATCTATTCATGATCACTCCACTCCAACAAGTCCAACGTTCCGTGAAACGGCAATTGGAAGACGATGTTGCATCATCCATCTAGAATAATCACAACATAGCTTCAAGAACCTTGGGATCAAGCAAGCCTGTTGCGCCTTAAAATATCTCCCCAAAGAACGATTGAGGTGGTGTATATAACGACAACTTTGTCCCAAGAAAGTCTTCCATTGGCAAGCCTCATCACCTTAAGCATCATTTCTATCATAAATCTTCTCATTTATTCGCCTTCTACTCACTGCTCAACATGCGTCCAAGCGTGGTTGTATCTCTTCTCGCACTCCTCGCGAGCAGCCTGCCTCTTGCCAACGGACGTGCTGTTTGTAGAGACGCAGATCTTACGACCTGCAACTCTCTGGACGCTCGAGGAATCTCACCTGGAAAGGTTCCAGACCCTCCCAAAGATCCTTTTCGCGATCCGTCCCACAGTCCAGACTCGGATACACCTTCGAACCCCTTCAGGGATCCTTCCAGTTCCCCTGACATACCGAGCTCTCCGGCTTTGTCTTGGGGCAACGTCGCCGATGGCAAGAGCATCAAGTTTGACGATGCCAAGCTGGAAGCCCAGCGGGCTAAGGGTGCGAAGATGATTACCGACCTGGAGGACGCTATCAAGAACAACGGGGGCAACAAGGGGTAAGACAGCACCACACACCCTCTCATACGGCTCATCTAACACAAACATCAGCGACCTTACAACCCTCGACGCTGCCGGCTACAAGGGCCAGGGCACCCTCCACGACAAGCCCATCGACGAGAAATACCTAGCCACCTTCCCCATTAACGTCAACATCCCCTGGCGCGGCGACCGCATCACCAAGAAAGACGCCAACGACGAGATCCTCACCACCTACGAAGACCCCGCCCAGGGCGCCATAATTGTCAAGGGCAGCTTTGGCAACGACCATGACCCAAACCCCAACCTGCGCTGGACCTCCATGGTCATGAGCAACTGGCGCGCCGCCGGCAACCCCAAGGGCCTCAAGTACATGGCACACGACAACGTGCAGCCCATCCCCACCACAGACAGCAGCGGCATCGTGCTCGAGTCCACGGTCGCGATCCGCGCCGCATTCGATAAGATGGGCGCCGACAAGACCAAGGACTTGAGCTTGGATCCCAAGTCTACTAATCCGGACGAGGTGGCGGCTTTCCAGCTTATGGCGGCGCAGACGCATGTTGCGCGCGCGTATCAGATGCTGAAGGACTATCGCTCTGAACTGGGCGACCTTACTGTTTCGAAGGTCACGATTATGACGCCTGAGAATGCGTCGAAGAGCTATGAATATAGCATTGTCATCTCGTTTGGGCCTGGAAAGGCGGCGTGAGGGGCATGAGATGTTGGCACGGTCGTAGCTTTGTGGACGTGTTAACAGAATATGGGGTAGCTGGCTTCTATCAAGCTTCATGGCTGTGTGGTACGGAGATGGATATTGGGTGGCGTGAATTAGACGGTTCTGTAGCAAATTCTGGCTTAGTTTAAGCATACCTGTTTTGAAATTGTATTCGTTCGTTTACTTGTATTGGTACGTGAAGCAAGTACTTTGATCACATCGTGTTCTGTCAGATCCACATTTGAAGTGAGAGATCCTACATTACTTGGATATCTGATCTACACGCAATTCGACTATCTGGTCCTAGTCCATACAATTATTGTCGCAAACAAATTACCCACAAGCAATCCCAGTCCCCCTGTGGATAAGGTTCCGGTCTCGTGTAATAAGCTTGCATATTGACTTGCTCTTTTTTAGCCTGAGATAAATCCTATTAGCAAAGCACGACTAGACAGTGATAAAAGTGGTATATGATATGTCAATACTTAAGGATGCTCAGACTGTAAACCCTTAACCACCGTGCCACTTCTACCCCTTGTGATCATCCTCCTCAAACTTCATTCCCCTCATCTCAAAAGTCCCACGACATAGTTCATAGCTCAACTCCTCATCCGTATCTATACCTTTCCAATTCGTGATCACCATATTCCCGTACCTTGTATCCCACCATACACACCCCGCAACAATCGCAGCGAATACAACCAGAAGAAGTGAGCACGCCCGACTGCCACTCTCCAGCATACACTGGTCCTTCAAACCCCAATCATAGCCTTGGAACGAGGCCAGATCCGCAACACCGCATGCCCATGCCTCGAGATCGAAGAGTCCGCCGTTGTATACACCACCAGATCCGAAATCGTTATTTAAGTTGCGATAGTTGAGAGAGAAGGATGCAGATTTGCTGTGTTGAACGAAAACAAAGATGCATACAGCGAGCACGATTATGGTATTCGCAGCGAAAGCGAATGTCAGTGCTCTGCGCTGGTACCATACAAGCTTTGGATGGTTAATATTTACACGTGAAAGACAGTTCTTGAAGGTTAAAATACCTGAAGCGCTTTCCGTTTGACCATAGACCGAACAGATAGTAAGAAAACAACCAAAGCAGATACTAAGCTTGTGCCTGCAGCAGTAAAGAGAGCGTTGGATGTACTTAGGCCTAGCTCAGCTGGATAATTCGCTAGAGGAAGGTCTTGACCCGGAAACTCTTTCTCAAGACGGACGCTGCTTGTGCTGTGTCCATGATCAGTGGTAGTGTTGTACCTATTGATGGCTGCTGATTTCAGGGACAAGCAGAGGACTGAGATGATGAGGAGCAAGAGAGAGAAGAGCAACAACATCGCTCGCGAATTTCCAGCCATCGCTTTGTTTCCAAGTTTGATAGTAGGAACGAAATGAGAGAATGTGACCGTTGAGTATATACAGTCGCAGTACGGCAAAGTAAGCTGCAGCCTGCAACCAACGTCCCTTCCAGCACAGTGATTGGATCTCCCGAATGTATCAACCCGAGAGACGGCAACAGCGATAGAACTTCTCTCCTCGCAGCGCAGTCATCGTAATTTAACCTCCATAAGCTGTAAAGCATAGTGAGAACTAGTGTTGGTTGTATTTATAGGAGTGGAGCCAATCCCATTGCGGCTGACTGGAAAGGCCCCACCCCGCTCGGGTGCACAAGCCAAAATTAGAAACTTGCTTGAAACGCTAGTCCGGATCTAGCGAATCATAAGCCTGCTTTTCTGTGATGCCACTAAAACATACGAACTGTTGTCCTTCCAGGCAACATCTCCTCGTCTCATCATATCATGCACGAAGCTCACTCTATGAACCTCAAGAATACACAACATGGCTCTTGCAGACTTGCCAACAGAGTTGCTTCTGCCGATCCTGACCTATGCTGCTCAGGTGAGGGGTTTGAAGAGAGCGTTGCGGCTGAGATGTGTTTGTAGTGAGTAAAGCTTGTTACATCGGACTACTCTAGTCGTGCTAACTCTCGGTAGAGCGATTCGCGTTTCTGATGCATGATGCCATTTACGAGAGTACTCTTCTCGAATGTCCCAGAACGTGCGAACTTCAAGCCCTGCCACCGGCAAACGTAGGCCCGCGCGCGCTATACCGCCAGCGAAAACAGGAGGCGACAGACCAGAAGGCAGCACGAGATCTTCTTTATCGCAACCGCAAATTCTTCGAGGGTTTCCTCGCTTACAGGGCGCTGAAGAAAGGATGCCGACTAACGTCGTACTCTCCTTATCTAAGTGCCATTTGTAATCTGGCTCGTGAGCTTCTTTGGCACCGACATCGCCGGCAACTTGAGGACTCTTTTTCCGATGAGGAGTACAGAGAGATTGTAGCGAGACTCTGTGCTCTACCATTGGTAGGTGGCCATTATAGGGAACATTTCTTCGGCTTTCATGCCGATCTGATTGATAAGAATGCAAACTGCAGCCTCGATGCCCTCATCTCAGAGATCCCACCGAAGTGGCTATTGAGTGCAGCTGCCTACTTAGGAGATATAGACATCGTGAACAGATACATTTCTAGTAATTTCGTGGATCAAGAGTGCGTTCCGTCGGCCAAACTATGCTAAGAGCTAATAATCGATATATAGCTCACTGTTTCCGACACCTCTTCTTGCTGCTTCCCAAGCCGGTCACCTCGAAGTCGTCAGAGCATTGATAGGAGGACCAAATCTCAATCATGGTAGCTCCGGCCTCCGTTATATAATCTGCAACGCCGCCGGCCCTGCAGGCCACGATGATATCGTCGGCCAAGCACTCGATCCAGCCTGGGAAACGAACGAATCCGTACCAACCAATGCTCACTATCTCACTCATTTAAGTATCAAGGCCCTCTCCACGACAACCAGCATATCACACTTCCGTCTCTGGTTCCCGCAGCTCCAGCACGCAATCCCTCATTACGAGCTAAAATGGCTTCCCGACAATGTCGCCATAGCCGCGAGAGATGGAGCACTAGAAAAGCTGAAGTTCCTCATCGAACTGGGCGGTCCAATGGATGGTCGCTTTCCCGATACAGCCAGCGAATTCAATCGTCCAATCAGCCAAGCTGCGCAGAACTGCCACGATGAAGTTGTGTTCTTTCTCCTCGACAACGGGGCTGAGCTCGATCATGCCTTGAAAGCTGCAGTCATGGGAGGATCACGCAGTATCGTAAGGCTGCTGATGCAAAGCAGGCCACTAGATGCGGATATCGTGCAAATAGCGTTTGTGGAGGCTATAAAACGGGAGAATATCGCTATGATCAGATGTCTAGAAGACAATGGCGCTGTCATGAGCGGCAAGGCGAGAGAAGAGGCTGTCAATGCGACGTCTGGGGAAGTACTGAAGTCGATGATGGACTTCTTGGATCTGAAGGAGGTGGAACTGTGAGGCCTGTTTTCTCGTCTTGTAGCTGCTAAGAATCGTAAGATGTTACAGTTGGTACGTCAATAATCGCCTGTCCAGGAGGAGGAATACCTGAAAAGCGATGCTTGAAGAGTAAAATAACACTCTTCTAGACAAGTAGTATGCTTGGAGTACATGCTATATAACCTATCCACCGTCATCCAATTACTCAAGAACTTAGAGATGCATGAATATGGACGACGAAACATAATCTAAGACATCAGAGCGACTTTGAAGCTGTGTGTTTTGAATACAGCTCAGCACTGTATAGAGTAGCTGAAACTCCCAAGAAGTGCGATGATGCGCAAAAGTAGATAGATCTATCGGAGCAGAATCTCTGAATAGGGTGGTGGAAGCAAAAATTTCACACGTTTATAGCAGTAGAACAAAGCTTACATAGGTAACGAGTATAGTGTTTACTGTTTTGCGTGGTCTGAGATAACCTGATATGTAGGTATGGGAAACGCAAGAAATAGTATATCCAGCAGAACAGAACCATGAAACACCCTACGAGATGACGGAAGCGTATACACTTGGTACCACGATAGAGCTCATATGTCCAAAAGTATAGTATCTCGTGCGGCAGCTAGTCAAAAGAGAATCCTGGGGGTGGATTCATGAAGTCGAAAAGGAGAGGTATGAACTACATGGAAATCTCATAACAAAGCACGAGAATCACGACATTAGGCATATCCATCAGAGCGAAATCTTCAAACAGTGTGCTGGCTGCACGACACACCATGCTTTCATTGGTGTCAATCTCTATCCTCTACTTCCTGAGAATGCTGGTCGCCACCCTGTCCGCCAACTCATTCCCCAGCACCCCAATGTGCCCCTTCACCCACCGCAACTCCACCCTGACTCCACAGGCTGACAGTCTCTCGGCACTGCACCACACATCTCTCAGCGCGGGGAAGGAATCCTCCTCTCCAGGCTGCTGTATGACCCGCAGTGCCCATTGACTGTCGGTGTAGATCCTCACCAGCCTGACGGGCTGCTGGGAGGTCACCACACCACCTGCAGAGTACAAGGTCTGCTCCTCGTACGCGATATTCAACGCCATGGCCACGGCGTTCCCCTCATACGCGTGGTTCGACAGCTTCGATCCCACGTCATGGTACTGCTGTACCTGCCACTCCCCCTCCCGCTTCCACGCCGCGACCATGGCTGCCTTCGTATAGGCTCCGTTGACTCCGGCATCCGTCCACAGGACGAGCTTGCCAGGCTCGTCGCTGGCCCTGGTATCCGCCATCGCCATCCGAATCGCCTCCACCGTCATCTCCGGAAACACGAAGCCGGCGAACCGCGGACGCTTCCACTCGTACCACTCCGTGAAGGCGGCATACTCCCTCGCCATAAAGGCCACCGCCGCCGCGTCCTTGACCTGCCAGCCGTCAAGGGTGATGATGCCAGCCGGCGAAATCTTGAAGCGCTCTGTTGGGTGCGGGCGCCGGAGCTCCGGCTCGATCTCAAAGGCCCATTCCTCGAGCAGGGCCAGCTCCGTGTGGTTTGCGGTCCGGACCGCGGCGTATTCTTCCTCTAGCGGGGACCGCTCCTCTCGCTCCGTCCTCCGTCTCTGGGCTCGTTCTGCCGTGAGGGCCCGAGGCACCTCGTACGGCGCCGAGCGTGCCGTCCTGCGGCGGCGGGCACGTGGGTGTGGTGCGTGTGCAGATCTAGCTGCCACGTCTTGTGAAGGCTAGAACACGTCAATTTGAGGGTCCGCCAGAGGTGAAAGACTCGATACTCTGTTCGACCTTTTGTCCTCGTGTGAGGTGGTGGTGGTGTGGTCAGCCATGTCTGTGACAGGGCTTTTGGACAATTAGTCCTGGTGGTGGTGTGAAAACTGTGAAGGGTAGGTGAAGAAACTGTGACCAACCCGGTGGTGAAGAAAAAAAATCTTCGTTCGGTGAAGAGGGTTCCACGGTTTTATAGGGTCTCGAGTGGAAGATTTTTACGTCATCGAGTCGGTGTAGACAGTGCTGTTCACTCCTCGAAGTGAACAATAGCAAACCTGAAACACGGTAGAATCGGGTAGACGGCGACGGCTAGCGTAGATTTCCATCAGTACAATAGCCCATATCCTAGTTCGCTGGGATACTCAAGGTGAAATACGACATATCAAGTCTATCATAACGAAGGATGACGTGGGACCTATTGATGAAATCCATAGGATGCCCCTGACAGAACTATGTTTCTTCGTGCCTTACAGCGTTTTTTGGCTGTATCACAGCTCTTAAGACTATACAGACTTTTTGATCGGATCCTAGCATGGATTAACACGAGTTGGGTAGAATTGTAGTTTCCCTGAATGGGTATCTTGATTTTGACGTGCATACGCGGCCATAAAAAAGGTAGCATCGAGATCTTCCAGACGCCCTACCTCTATGAAACTCGTCAGAATCACTTACACACCAACCTCGTAGCACAAATACCACTATCACGCTCAAGCAGGAATACTATCCGGCCCCCTCTTCCCAATCCTCTCACGCCTGGTCAGACTCTCAAACCCTTCTCCCTCCCTCATCCTCTGCAAAAGCACCTCCGGATCAAAATCAACGCCAATCGGGTTCTCAGCAAACTCCTCGCTCATCATGAAAGCGGTGGCATCCTCAGACGTATCGTACACATCCACCTGCGTTTCAATATGATTGCCGTCGGGATCCTTATAATACATCGAGATCGTAGGTCCATGATTGACGCACCAGTGCGGCTTGATGCCATACTGCAAGCGCTGGCGGTAAGCGAGGAACAGCTCGGGCAGATTGGCGAACGTAAACGCAGCGTGCTAGAGGCGGTGAGCTATTACGGACTGACATCATCGTTTACCTTGTTCACTTTCTCGTGCGTGTGTCGGTCGGGGTGGCTTACTGCGAATGTGTTGTCCTTGGGCGCCAGCTTTCCCGGCTGCATGCGGTTTCCCAGGGCGATGCGATGATGTTCGTGGTCGTATGTCAGGAAGCAGAGCATCTCGTTCTCGTATGACACACTGGCGTTGAAGAAGTCGAGGTACCATTGTCGCATCTTGGGGAAGTCGTTGGCCCAGAGAACCACGTGGGCGAGGGTGTGTGGTCTCGCAACTGCCTTGCCGGGGTTGTCGAAGTCGATATTAGACACATCTGTAGATCTGTTGATGCTGTTTGAAGTCATGATGAGAGAAAAGGAATACAGTACTACAGGCAGGACAAGTATCGGTAGTAAGAAATAAAAGGGTTTCGAGAACCCCATTTTCTCATAGGAACCTCAGATTATATACTTTCGCAAGCATATACAATCCTCCGAAGAAGATCACAAATGCTAAGACCAGATCAGGAAAGGAAACAGACGAGCTGGCCAATCGGAACAGCCCAGGGGCCAACATTGCAACATCAACGGTATGGATCCATGGAACGGCGTCAGGTCTCCCGACATACCGATGACGATTTATCAGCCGGACGATCTGACTAAATGCTCGAGGGAATCCGACATGGGATCTCTGTCGTGTGGCAACGGTAGGTCTCGCACCGCACCATGTCCACTGTATTCTGGAATGCGGACCAATTGCACCTGACACCCTGCACGGCTGACGTTTCTACACTTCAAATACAACAATGCTCGCTCTTTCCCATTGTGCCTCCACAAGTATTACCAGCTCGCCGTCCAGATGCCAGTTTCGTCCAGGAGAAAAGCCAAGCATCGTCGCAACAGGGAGGAGTAACAAGGGTTTGCGAAGAGAAGGATGGTTCGCGCGCCTCTCAAGACCCAGAGTTCGACGCATCCGGATATCAGATACCGCTTACAACTAGTAAGACCCCTCGTTAGTAACAATCTCGATACATCGCAACAGACATACATCTCTTAATGCTCGAATGCTCAAATTGAATATGCCATTGGAAGCAGCGACCGCGCGAAGTCGATATTCAGGCTTCCGGTATTTGCTTCCGCCTCCCCATCCTCACTCTCTTCGGTCCATCAGCTCTTCCACGTTGTGGTTTATGAGTCGTCGCGACTAAGATCATATCCTCGAAAGACTTTGTACATCCTTGTTCATGTTCCTAGATCTCGAGGTTTCCATTTCATAGTAGCCAGATCTTCCAACTCTTGACGCTCGCCTGAGCTCTGAAGGAAAACAGTCATTCAATTGATCGAGAATGACCGTTGTGGTAGCTTTGCAACGTCCTATAACACTCGAATGTGCGCGGTTCTGGAAGCATGTTGGTGGCTAGCGGAGCTGTTGCGTAACATATGTGTTGTCCATCGTCAGGAAGGCCATTGGTAAGGTGTGCGATAGACACTGAGGTGAATCACCTAACAAACGTTTTGGAAACATGCGGTCGGAAGGGCTCTGCAATGGCCATGGTCAGCTACGCTTTCGTTGTGGCGCGGGCACAGAAAATCTTGGGAAATCGAAAGGGCGTTGACAGAACGAGTGGGCTATGATTTGTCCCGAGTGTGGAGTGAGCGACTGCCACTGGATGGTACATAGGTGAATTTCGAGGAGATCAATAGCTAAAGCTATGCTTGACTTACACTAAGCGGCGTCAATAGGTCGCATCCTGACCACTGACCAAACTCGAAAGTTAAGGAGCTGGTCCATGTAGACCGCAACCTGCTTAGAGCTTGCTAATCGAGCGTATTGTATCGTGCACGAACACCTCTTGGCTTGTACACCGTGTATCTTAGGATTGCGTATAACTTCCGTTCCTCTCTGACACGAAAGTTCTTAGTCTCTTATTGCATACTCTTTCCAGTCTGTGGTTCGCTACCGCAGTGTTATTACAGCCCGCTTCTTTTCGCTTTGTGGACGGCCCTGTCGATTGGCAATGGTGTTCTGCCAGTTTGTGGTGTCGTCTAACATTGAGCGCTCTCTTGTTGAAACCTTTTTTTCTGTAGAGCACGACTCTTGCAGTGATGGTTCCGGTACAAAATGCTCTTTCTTCAGGACTTCCTCGACCACCGAACTTGGTCGATAAACTACGCATCTAGCACTGCGCCGCACCCAGAACGAATACCACCGACCAGCAAGCCACACCGACCTAGAGCTCAGGGCCCAGCCGTGCCCAGGACCACTCTCGTACGACATCTGGTCTCCGTGATCAGATCTCTTTTCGGGTCTTTCCGCCAACACTCGGATTCCCTGGTGTGTAGATGTTGCGATTCGCGCGAATTATGACGCACAGTGCCGGCTCGGACGTGGGGAGAGCATAGCTTACTGATGTCGTATGCGGGAACAAGGGTGATAACCTTGCTTCTGTATAGGGGCTTGATTGGTTGCTCGACTGGACCATGGATTCAAGAGACGACTTCGAACTGACTGCAGAGAAGGAGGATGGTGACTGGATCGCGGATGTGAGATCTGCGTCCGTGGAGTATGGTACGTCGAGCTGCAGACCTGCCATCAAATATGCAGTATAATCAATCCATCCTCATAGGATGACGAAGTCGTAGGAAGCATGTTACGAGCAATTGGCAAGCTATGCTCTGTTAGCATCGAGTCGGTCCCAAGCGTGTACACAGTATACATCACCACCCTCCAAACCATCATTTTCGAAGAACATGTTACCGAGCCTTCCAGAAGGTCGCGATCGTAAGACCCTCACCTCCCGTCCCACGAGGCACGATCGATAAATCCATCCATCAAAAGGGCGGTCACCCAGCCCACGGTCCCATCTGCCCCAGTGCCCTGGCCCGTATCAACAAAACCCTCCGACCCATGCCCGAATCAGCAACGCCGGGCCTTTCGCGGGCCTCTCCCGCCCAATGGCCCGCCGTCTAGCGCACGGGCTGCAGCGGGAGCACCCAAGGCCGAACCAGAATTTGCGCTGGTGTCCGAGCTCGTGTGCCGAACGACGCTCCAGCATTCAGCATCCAGCGTCATCAGCAATTCAAGCATTCAGCATCAGCAAACACCCATCAGCAGTGTCAGCGTTAGCGTTCGGGTCAGCCTCGTCCTGTGCGATTTATCTCTTGTTTTCTGCCCCATCTGCTGCGTGCATACATATATGCCACGCCACTGCCGTTGCTCGCAGTTTTTGGTGCATGTCGAGGGGGGGTCCCACCGGCCGTGGGGTCTCTGGGTGCTGGAGAAGCCTGGATTTGGCGTTGACGTCTGTGTGCATCTTGGATGGATGCTCGATGGATGGCGGATGGGCGGCTTGTTGTGGATTCTGACGGTGGAACAACGACGCGGTGGCCAGCGCAGCATCGCGGCCTCGTCGGCCTCGTCGGCGGCTCCCTCGCCAGGCAAGGCTGGTTGACGCATGTCCGCCTGCGAGGCTGCGCTTCTAGCGTGCAGAAAAGACGCAAGGCCTAGGCTGGAAGGAGGAGTAGGCCATCGTATGGGCGTAGCATTGCATATGGCTGTCGTGGGGTTGGCCTGCGGATTCAAGCCTCGACAAAGAAAGCGTTGGGCGATCAAGTGAGCCCGCGTAAAGAGCGGTTGCCGGCTGTGGGATTAAGAAGCAAAAGGGGCATAGCTTATAGGTTGGGGAGGCTGCTGGTAGTTGCAAGGGGAAGTGTCACTGGCGGCGAGCGTGGTGGTCGTTCGCGACACTGTCCGCTACAGTAGGCAATGAGAGCCCATATACAGTCGGTGTGTAAGCCGAGGGATGCCGTGGGTACCGCATATGTAAGCCCCGCAGTCAGGTATCATAATGTGTTGTGTGTCCATAGATTTGTTTGCATTCAGATGGGTGACTCCCTTCCTTGAGGAAGAAGCAGTCTTTCCTGACCTTATCCCTGTCGTACGTACGTTTCTGCCTGAGAAACAAGTTCAACACTTGAGGTTCGCTCCATGTCCCGAGACTCTGGCCCGACGTGACTGATTGCCGCCTGTGACGACAACATGCCTCGACACGCAATCTGATAGGCGAGCGGATTGGAGTGATCCAGTGGGGTCGAAGTGAAGAGATTTGAAGTAGCGGCTATAAAATCTCCCTCGTGTTCTCAATCCCAGTAGCTGGAGCCCTGGATTTTAGCTACGGAGTCGTGCTACCCTGGAAGATGTGCCGGAAGAGTAGCACGTTCGAGACTTTGATTCGCGAGAACCGGATGATGTGATGGCCGTTCCCGGGATGCAGGAACAGAATGTTAGAAAGTCCTGCTGACAGATGTCTCACTGGACGGGCTCCTGGAGGGCAAAAGTGGGAGCACCGACGATGATTTTCCTCGATTGCAAATAGTTCAAATTCTCGCTTTCTAATGCTTTTTTTTGCGCCTAAGATGTTGTCCCAGTAGCCGGAATACAACCGCGCTGTCTAGATAGATGATTGGAAATATACCGTTTATCGCTCTCGTATTTCGTTTGTTTCACTGCACCATAATCCAAGTCCCAGCAAGGATGTCAGGATGTCAGCCAGCGCACCACAGCGTAATGATCGCCCCAGCAGTGCTTTGTGCGACAGAGCAGTCCATGCGCGCCATCGCGCCAGCGCAGCAGTCCTTTACGCCCCCAGATACCGCTTCGAGAGCGTTGTGAGCTGGCGTATGCAAGGTACGGTATCAGGCTCTTTCGCTGACCGCGAACTACAGCTACGCCACCGTACGGTGAGCTGGCTGCTGTAGACAAGAGTGAGCGAGCAGGTTGTATTTTAGCAGGCTTTCGTGTAAGAGGACTCCTCGCTTGAGAGAGTCTTGATTTTGAAAGCTCCTCGCAACGTGGAGATGGTGACCTCTGGGAAGGGTCAGTTTGTGTAGTGTTAATTTGACTTTGGGGCGAGAGCAAGCTTGGCGATATCGTCCTGCTTGGATGTATAGCTAACGGTCAGTCATCGTGGTCACTTCATTGCTTCCGTAGAAAGACAGGCGACGGCGGTTAATAGTGGTATCAATATTCAACTTTTACACGTCTCCATCGTACATTTAAAGTGCCCTCAAGTCTCCCGTTTCCTTTCAACGCAGTTCGCATAGTAAGAAAGACATAAAGAAGCCAAAAAAAATTCTCTGTTCAGTCATCCAATGTACCAGGTCCCCAACGACTTAGTCTTTGTGGCCTCGGACGCCGCACTACCAGCCCTACAGTTGTAGAACAATATGATAGCAAGCAGCCGTGAGTGCACAATGAAGAAGAACAAAAAACGTAAAGGGAAATCATAATGTTGTGCGACCTCGTCCACATGCATATGCACGGTGGAAAGTAGCACACACGCAAACAACCAGATAGCACCATCATCCCTAGATCTTTTTCGCCATACGCCATCGCTCCCTTCCTCAATTGTTGTTTGTCCAGGTCATCATATCGTGGTGATGCCGAGCTCGTCGAGCCAGAATTAGGTTTCTGAGCCCCCGGGACTCAAGCCGCCGTACAGTCTTTGCTCTGGAGACAGTGGTCCGTTTGTTGCTCCAAGCCGTTGTAGAGCAACTTCAGCTGCGTCTTCTCGTGCGTTCTCGACATATTGGCCATCGTACCAGTAGCGTGCTGGAATGGGTTCGCCCTGGACTGTCACAACGCTTGACCAAGCCGTGCGTCCACCTACAGGGAAGCACATTGTTAGTGGCTAATGGTCATCGTCTTCATTTCTCGACAGACACAGATGAAGGCGGCGGTCGAGGTCGTGTCTGATCCATGGGAATGCAGATTCTGCGCGGTTTCTAGGAGATGTAGGGGGGAAAGCTCACCTCGACGGTCAGAAACCTCATTCCAAACAGGAGGACGATAGCCCAACTGTTGACAGTGACCTGATCAGGATGCTTAGAGACTGAAGACTTTTATAGAGTGTGTATTAAGGATGCAGCGTGCTTACCCCTAAGCTTCTCTTGCCAGGAGCTGGGTCGTGCTTGAGCCATAGTGCCTTGAAAACAAGCGAGTGTACCTGAGTAGCAACGACTAGGATCAGGCCTCTGTTTGTAAAAGTCTAAGCCGAGGGTCTGCTTAGCACACGAGCAGCAGCCACTTATTATAAGGGTGTCTTGAGGGACTTGGGAGTAACGGGAAAGACGCAGAACCAAGGCAGATGGAATGTGATGGGGACGCAGATCTCGGTTGACAGAAAGTAAACCCAAGGCAGGCTTGTAAGAATCCTGATACGAATTGGGCAGCTGTAGTAAAGGCGATGCAGGGCCAGGACAGACGCAACACCGAAAAGGGCTGGATACTTATACAAGCTAAAGAGTTAGCTCCATGGAACATAGAGGCTTCATCGGAGAATACACTGGTATCAAGATTAAGCGCAGTGCTACCTGATGCAAGTTAGTTGCCGGCAGAGTCATCAGACTGGTGAGCGGGTCCCGTAGAGCACCAACGCAAGTCATTGAAGGGGCTGCAGCTTGGACGTGTCTAGAGGGGCAGTATTCCAGAGGGGTCGAGGGAGAGGGGAGGGGGGGTGAGGGCATGGAGGCGCATACTGGAGTAGTACTCCCAGAGAGGAATAGAGTATGACCTGTTCGCACGTTTTGAGGCCATCCACCGCTCCGGGTCCAAATGGATGGATGGGCCGGGCCGTCACTTGGACAAGAAAGACAAAACGTCAAAATTCGAGGCATGTCGCCAGCTCTGTGCACCCAGGGTGATAGTCCAACATCAAAGCGTTTGCGAAACCATCACAGCTTCCAAGACATGGTTTTGACAAAGCATTGGTGACTACTGCTACGTTGCACCCTTCAAGGCATTGTTATGTGACATTGTTATGGGCGAGAGATTACCAGCCGCTGCCGTGGGTGCGGATGTCTCGTTACTCGATAGGCGGGTAAAAAGGGCGTTGATGAAAGCTCAACCGGATGCACGCAGATGCTGATATGGTTTGCTCTCTGTTTCCCGCGACAAGAATCGTGTTTGATGGTCATTAGCAGTCACGATGACTGGCGAGGCTACGTTTGTTGATGTGGGAGGAGGATGAAGGCGGGATTGCTCCCGCGCTTTGTCGAGACCCCTTCAACTGCATGCGAGGTGAGCTGTCCTTGCCAGCAATGCTAGTGCCGACGACATTTTTTGAAGATCAATAGAAACAATTGATTGAGGCTGCATAAACGGTTGCAGAGAACGTCCCAAGGACAAGTGGGAATAAAGGAAAATGCAAGCGACTGTGGTGTGGAAGGGGTCGCGGATAGGCTGCAAATAGACGCTTCAACATGCCCCCTAACCATGCTTGATCTCCACGCTTGGATCTCCACGCTTGATTTGTGCGGGGAGAGGGTGACCCGAAGAGAAAGTCTGGGAACAAATCCGTGTGTATGTGTTGCTCTTCAGTGGCGTTGCCTTCAATTCGCTCCACGCGTTTGGACATTACACCCTGTAGCAGCATCTGCGTGACATGGGATCCTCATATCGTATGGATGTTTGCGGCCGACTAGCTTCTGCGAAGGCTTCTCCCATGTTTGCCATTGTCCCTTTGCAGCCGCCGGGCCACTACGTTACGTGACCGTGACCCCTCAGAAACTATTTTCTCCGAAGGGCAAACATACGCCTTATTTGTGGGACAAAACTTGAGTTCCGGTCGACCAATAAATATTCTGTTACTAACAGGTGCGGGTAAATACTGGAGCTCGGAACATACCCTGTTTCATTCGGCTGTAACGTCTTTCGGCTATCCTGGTGAACACGTTCATATGCAATAACATGCACGTCTTGCATCTAGCCGTGAATTATGCGTATCACGCGAGCACCGGGACAGAAACAATTACTGCTATCAGTATCATCAGTTATCAATTCAATCGCATGCTTTCAATCAAGACGGATGGAGAAGTCCGAAACGTATGGATGATCCAAAATAGACTAGTATACTGCTAATCTTGGTATACGAAGACAAAGTCGGTTACAAGTCATTCAGGTCATTATAGACAACATACACTATGTATCAGAAGTTCGTAAATGCCAAACATAAATCCAGTCTCATCATTGTGCTTAGTCCCAAGCGGGTATTCTGGACCCATGTCGTTCCCTCTAAACGCCAAATGAGAGACAAACAGCCGACCAAGTTATGCAACATATAATATGTCGATACTACGCATTATGAATAGATGTTCCGGTCCCAAATATTTGGCAGTCGTAACTGCAACGATGAAAAGTGCACACTGGCGGTGAAGGTTGTCAAACAATGATGACGTTATGCGGCGGTGCAGAAAACGACGTCAGCCAATAGACGGTGTGACCGGGCGCGCGGCTGGGTGCAGAGATATGCGGCGTCACCAAAAGGAGAGGCTCCTATCTCTTGTGAAACATCTCGTCGATAAGGCGCTTAGGCCCAACATAATCGACATTCATTTTCCACGAGCCATTTCTGGATAGTGGAAGGGGTATTTGCAATTGTGTTGTTTGCTTTGAGTGGAACCGACGCTTGATATTGTCGTCTACTAGCGCCACGAGTGCACTGGAAACCACAATGCTGCGACTTTGTTAGATTCAAAAGGGTATGAGTACCAAAAATGCTTACTCTGAAATGTCCGGCTTGTTTTCGAGTACGCATGGATCCAGAATTCGGAGATATGAGGGCGGTATCCAGCCACCTTTGGCCGCTTCCTCATGCCTCTGCTCTAGTGTCAGACGCATAGGAACCATCTGGGCAACGACTGCATCATCGTGATCCCTCATTAGGTGGTAGCAGATGATGTCTAGACTTCCATCCTTGCGGACAGTACGTCTCCAGTTGTACTTGATGCCCCAGTATTCGAATGTGTATCGCTTGTTGGATCCCGCACCTCTTCGTTTCACGTTCACGTGAGCGTAGTTTGAAAATTCCAATTTGATAGTCTGAGTGGGTATCAACTGACGAGCACGGCGACTAGTTTCTGCCACACCGTTTGGAGTATCATCGTCCAACGACAAATTTCGAACAGACTCGTATCCGGAGTCTGCACGTGTCATGCCTGAGGCAGTAGCTGGACGAGAATCGGATTTGAGTCGAAATACACCCAACGCACTGCTCATAGATCTCTGGAGAGATGGCCGGTCTGCCGGAGGCTTTTCATACTTCCTGATAGAATGGCATACTTCACGTCCTGACTCGCGGCAGTATCGGCGAAGGGAGAAATCTCTACTGCGTAAGTCGTGCATACGCAGATGAAACAGGGTCATGGTGAGTCTCCTGTTATCTCTTGTTGTATATCCAGTATCTACGCGAAGGTTCATGTTTCCGTCCATGGTCGCGTCGTCATGCCTAATGACTAGTCGCTTGGTGGAGGGGAACAGGCGGCCAAAATCCTGAGGCGTGGTAGGAATAGCATCTGTCGGATAGACTTCATGATGACTGTAAGGAGGTACTTCGTAAGCTGGTCGTTCGTCATCAGCGTCCTCGATCTCTTCCTCGTCAGTGGACGTGTAGGTGTCCACACTTTGAACAGATTCCCGACTCTTCTCGTACGAGTGTTGTTGATATTGCTCCTGATTGCACGGTTCTAGCTGACGATCAAGGTAGTCGTACTGTCGGACGTCAAGGTCGGTGGGAGCGGTGCTTCTTGAGTAGTAAGAATCGTCGCTGTGGTGACTTCTGCCTGACGCAGTAGTACCGCTGTCGCTACGTTCAGAGTATGCAGAGCGCGCCATGACTTGTGATGCGATTGTTTCTAAGGCGATATGCTGTTTTGGAATGGGAAAATCGAAGTGACTGAGGATATATAGTAACCTGTGTACAGGAACATAAGCAAGATAATGTATGCGCTATTCAAGGCAGAATAGTGCCAAGCCAGTGGAGAATGAAGGCTACGAAAGATGGACGGATATATGTGAGGCGAGACAGTCCATGGATAGAACAGGCAGAAAGGATCCAGATTCAACGAGTGCGAGTCGAGTAGATGGAGGGCTGGCGGAGAGTCATAGCACGATGGATGTGATGTGAGAACTTGTGGAGGAGAAGTGAAGGGTGCGCGGACGTTTTAGGAGAAGACAGTGATGAGAGGCTGCCAGGGACCCAGCCAGGTCTCACTCACTAATAACTCACTCATCACCACCTATCACTCATTCGCTCACTTACTGACCAGGTAACTAATAGCAGCTGCTCATTATTTGCTCAATACAGATAACTGGACTAATACATGTACATACATGTATGTAACTAAATGCTCACTGTTAGCCGCCATTAACTGGCTCGAGGCGCCCGGGACCATGCTTTTTGGGGTATCTAGGGGGGGGTTTTGGGGTGTATGGGGCCGGGCAGCGCCGAATTGCCAGCTATTATTTCCTCCTTAGCTGCCTCTCCCCGCTAATTTATTTTATCGCCGCCCGCCCGCCCGCCGCTCTCGCCACGACTTTCTCCCCTTTCTCCCTTTCTCCCTGTTTTCTGCCTCATGCCTGCGCCACTCTCCTCGAATCACATCGGCCTCCATCACACCATTCCCCCCAATCAAAATCAAAATCACACACCAACACCTCCACATCCCCCCCCTCACTCACACACACACCCCATCACACCACCAGCGTCACAACACTCATCCATTAACGTCCCTTTCCGACCTTTGCGCCTTTTCCCTGTCCTTCGCCACGATTCGCTGCTCACTGCTAGGGAAGTGGGAAGATGCCTGACCCACCAGCACCAACCTCACATCGCTGGTGGAGTCAGAGCAGGCGAAGAAGCAAGATGAAGAACAAGAACAAGAAGAGGAGGACGAACCGCGTGCCATCTGCAACTCCACGCACCGTGTCGCATCGTCCTACTCCAATAACGCGCCTTTGTTCGCACCAGCATGGGCAGCCAGCGCTCAGACAGGCTAGACTGTCTCCACGTGAACCGTCGGCTGCATCGCTGTTCCATGCTGAATCGTGATTTCATACACTTTGCGAGCGTCATGCGGCACCAGATCTCAGAGCTTTAGTCGAGCTTCTGAGCGAGCTGCTCCGCCAACGGTCGTTTGGTACTACTGAAACTACGTCAAGCGCTCGATGCCTGATGTCCAGACACAGTTGCAACAGGTTTGGACGTCATCATGTCAGGTCACACACAGGAAAACACTGCTCTTTTGCACCTTACGCATCGTGCTATCGATTCTGCAAAATCTACCCTGCAGGGCGGCAGGATGCAAACCGTTCCAGCGAACGCAGCGAACCGAATGCAACACTGGCTATTATGCAAATCCTTGTGGTAGAAGGATTGATGTGCATGCCAGCCTCCAGGGACCTAAGATTGACATGCACCAGCGGCACGAGGCGATGTCAAGACCTGCTAACCGCTTGTGTAGTCGGAAGAAGATGCTCATATATTTCCACGGTATACGCATTCCACTCCGTCCTACCACAACCAGAAGACTGCATCACAGCGGCATCCATTCTCCTGAGCACATACCCTTGGGATCGTCTTCACTGAGAAACTGACACTCTGTTGCTTTTCGCAACTCGACACTTTTCACCTAGCCTTGAGGTAGGCCAATCAGACACTAGAACGTGTTTATACTCGATCTGGTCACTCCTCAGTAAGCGATAATAGTCAAACACGTCGAAGCTCTCCAGTGGCTTTCTAATATCGGTCCAATATGCACGCGGAACGCGGCTCTTCTCGGTTGATCCTTTGCTGCCAATGGCTATCCGATTTCATTTCTGTCCTATGCTGTGCTAGGTCTGGTAATTTGATGGCAATGATGACATTCTCCTCAAACGAACTTAGTCGTCATGCCCGCGATATCACCAGCAACGTATTCGCTGCCAAGTCGCGGAACAGCGGCTGCGAATGCCTTGATTGGTCTATTATTTGTTTAGATGGTGTTGCCCGAGGCAGCAGTAATACCCGACATTGCTACTATGCAAAGCCCCTGTGATTATGAGGGCGAACACAACTACGCAAAAAGTATCTACTCGCCTCACGAAATGTCTGCTTTCCTTCAGATAGCAACGTGGCCGTCTGAAATTGTGGCCTCCTTGCGCGTTTCGCGCCTTCGCCCTCCTGCCGTTTTGCCCTATCGCCCTTCGACGTTGTCCACCTGTTCGCCTGTCTATCACGGCGTCTAGCCACCTTTTCAGCACATTGCAAGCTAGTTTACAATAAGAGATGACTCCATCGACTGGTTGCGCTGGCTGTGTACACTTCCAAGCAGAGTTTGCCTTGTGGCTCTCATTCTGCTCTCGTTCAAAGCTCAATGTGCTCAACCTTCTCTATAATTTCCAGCAGGCCGCATGAGAAGCACCCTTGACGAAGGCGCCTACATCATGATATTATGAGCGTCTGAGCATAGTGCAGTCCTGGAATCTGGAGCTGCCAGGATCCTGGCTCCGTAAGTATCAGGATCTTGTGTCGTCGCATCAAAGTACATATACGGCCCAAGTGCTTACTCCTAGCTCGTGAATATGAGCATTAGATTTATGTTCAGTTTGAATGCTTCTTTTTGCTCCGGCCGTTCCCCCTTCGATTCGCGGTACCTAGCTATATCAAGAGCTTGGAAAAAGGACTTCTCGTTATGGACAAGATCACGTGATACTTCACACCTAAGGCATCATCCGGCAGAGCGCTTCGATTCTACAAGTGCCGCAGCGGAGAAAAGCTCCGGCCGACGGGACGGCCCTGAACTTAGTTCTCATCTCCACTTCACCATAGAGATTCAGCCAGTCGTTCTTCCATGTTCCTGTAAGCATATCTGTGAAGCTGACCTAAACATATTACCGGTCTCAAGTCTGGACCTCAATTCTTCATCGACGAGACTGCTATCATTGAGTCACGATCGTCCAACAAGCCGACGCACCACACCTAAGCAGCCTGACATGCCATCGAACGCATCGACACACTGTTCCAGCTGAATACCGTAGCCTCGCGAGGCTGGCATTTGCGCAAGTCATTATACGCATTGACACACTATTCCAGCTGTATATTATAGCCTCGCAAGGCTAGCATCAGCGCAAGCCAAAAATGGCGGGCCAGATCAACCGCCGCTGATTCTGCATTGCTGATACTGACACACCATGATGCAGACGACATAGTCGCAAAGTACTTGCGTCAACACCTAAGCACTCTAGAGAGACTGTACATCTTGTGAAGCCGATCATTATTCGCAAGGCTGAATGTCGTAGGATTCGCGCTGCCATCTGCGCTTTGAGAAGTTGGAACGCCGCAATCTATTCGGCCCCTGCAGACTATTGTTGGTGCCCTCGCTCTATGCCGCACTTGATTCGAGGGTTGCGCGGAGCAAATACTCCCCCATGGGGAGTGCTACTCACTGCAAGCACCTCGCCAAGTCTGGCGCGACGAGCACCTGCAGTCACACGGAAGATGATAGGCAAGGCTCTGCATGTCAATAAGGCTATATTCTTCGCATTGCTTTTCTCACAGAGCCTGTTATCTGTCGCAAGTGTGGGATTACATATGTAGGCTAAGTCACATAGCCTGTCCTGCGTACTCGCTTTTCCCAACCTCTCTCAGTTTCTCCCTACTCACATCTTCATCTTTCTGTCTTTTTTCGTCTGTGGCGAAGACGATACTGGTGGACTCACTGACCTGTGGCACAAATTACGCCACGCAACATACAATCCAAAACATCTACAAATCTTGCCACATCATAGTCTGACGGTCCGGGCTTCGCGGAAAGGAACGTCCCGACGAATGTACCGTTATGGAGGGATCTAGGTCCGCATACACTTACTCACTGTGTCCTTTGCCAGACCGTTTGAACTTTTCGCGCATCCTGAAGATCCAGCCTTCTCATGGACATGATGACGCGCCATTGGTGTGCGAGCTTTCAGTAATGCCAAACGATAGTAGCACATCTGTCAGATTCGAGGCGCTCAGTTGGACCTGGGGGCAGACCGGTGACCGTACTAATATTATAATCAAGCACGGCGCTGACTCCTATGCTAAAGAAGTTTCCACGAACCTTGCGTCTGGTCTAAAGAGACTTCGAGACGATACTAGGCCACGGAACCTGTGGTGCGATCAGATATGCATAGACCAGGAGAACACAGAAGAGCGCAATGCGCAGGTCGCCTCGATGACGAATATCTATGGGTCAGTATTGCCCAGGGTCCAGGTATTACTCGGGATTGACTTTACTGAACTCTATGCAGGAAAGCTGACAATGTTTGTATTTGGCTGGGCGAAGGTGATGCAGAGACTGATCGAGCCATCGAGTTCATTGAGAAAGAAGTCATGAAACTAGGGGACTTTGGTGCTGTAATGCAGCAGACAACAGCCGCAGATAACCTGGTTGCATTACAGACTTTGATGAATTTGCCGTGGTTCTCACGAAGGTACAGTGTCACTGAGTGGCTTGATTTGGGTGCGTCCTGGCTGATCATCAGCAGATGGGTGGTTCAGGAGATCACACTGGCAAAAAGGGCGACTCTATATTGCGGCACAAAGCTCATCCCTTGGAATGATTTTGCCGATGCAGTCACGCTTTGTGCAGATATCGAAGCCGTAAGTGGTGAACTCTCCGTCATTATTCGGAAAGATGCGACCTTTGGCAACGTCCCGCGCTTCTACGAGAACGTGCACGAGCTGAGTGCGTATCGATTAGTCGAAGCTGCGAATTCGATCGTGCGCAGAAGCTCCAACAGCTTTTCCGGGCCTCCAGCAGAGATCGACTCGGAGATTGAACGATTCTTTTCTCTCGAATACCTTGTATCCACGCTTTCGAGTTTCGAGTCGAGCAATCCGCGCGATACAATATATGCCTTACTGTCGATTGCTAAGGACTCAATACCGGAAACAAAGGCCCAGGTAGGCGCAGACGACATGAAAGTAATGTCGTCCAAGCAGCAAGGAGTCTTTGAGAAATGGAGCAAGGCTTTCCGAAAATGGGGCAGCGAGAAGATCCAGCAAAGCGCATATGTCGTTAGCTACGGACAAGGTGAGATCGAAGTCTGGAAGGAATTCATCCAATTTGTAGTCAGGAACGCGGAGCCATCTAGGTGTCTTGACATTCTATGTAGAAGCTGGGCCCCTGAATCCAAGCCGGAAAGTCAACAAAAGACGAGTACCCCTGTATCCAATCCGGAAAGCCAACAAAAGACGAGTACGCCTGTTGTTCTGCCGTCGTGGATATGTACTGTTGCGAATAGAACATTCGCGGTAAGTGGTGCCAATCCAAAGCTGGGTCAGCGAGTGGAGCGGAGAAACGCGAATGCCTTAGTTGGCCTGCCAGAATTCGATCAAGGAAACTACAAGGCTTCGGGTCTACGCACTATCAGGCCCCTGCTGAAGTTCGAAAACTGCGAGGCACAGAAGAATGGCCCTGAAATTCTACGGACATATTACGACCGCACAAAGTCAACCAAGGTCACCCCCGAAAATGAGTTCGAAAGCCTACATTTGAGTGGCTTCAAGCTTGACACGATCGAGAAACTTGGTGAGAGGTCACAATCGGGTAACATTCCTGGCGAATGGTTCGAGATTGGAGGATGGTTCAAGGGCGCGGAAGTGCCTGACGAATTTTGGCGAACTATCGTGGCAAATAGGCGAGCGGACGGTCGACCTGCGTCACGAATATACCCTCGCCTGTGCGGTTTCTCGTTGATGACTGGTCCAGGTGGCAATGATGTGAACATATCCGAGCTTATGACAAACAACACGTTCACCAGCGCTCACTTCAATGGCTTCCTTAAGAGAGTACAATCAGTAATCTGGAACAGAAGAATGGTGAGGTCAACTAATGGCTACCTCGGACTACTTCCACGAAACACAAAAGAGGATGATATCATCTGCATCCTTGGAGGCTGTAGCGTCCCGGTAGTACTACGGCGTCACACAAAGACTAAGGAACAAGGAGCTTTTCAAACCGAATGTAGGAGGACAGAAAACATCACGCGGGCATCAATCTTGATAGCGGATGCGTGGCGACGGAAGGCTTATGGATCAGACATGCTCAAGGTCGCAGAAACGATCAAATGGCCTTCCACACGGCTAGACACCAAAGCAGCCTCCGCTTCTATCACGTCTAGCGCCAGTCTGCCCTCAACGCCAACCAGGGTGAGACCCGTGGATACACAAGAGTCCGGCGGAAAGCGCAAGCGTGAGAGGACTCCAGGTTCTACGAATGGCAAGCTACTTAGATCAAAGAAGAAACAGAAAACGGGCCCGGGGCTTGAAAAATCTCCTTTATTGGAACATAAGCAGTCTACAAAAACCGCCTCTTCTCCTACGTCTCCATCGAAACAAGTGCCAAAAAAGTCGAGCATATTCTGGAATCCGGAAGCGGACGAGGAGTACTATGAGTTCATTGGAGAGTGCTACATTCATGGCATGATGAATGGGGAAGCGCTCAAACTCCAAAGTAAACGGTTTGAGGCAGGTGACACGTCGATGGAGAATGTTACGTTCGAGCTGCGATGAAATTTATCTGCGCAATTCATGCGGGAGAACAGATATCGTAGCTGTGCGTGCGATATGACATGAGCTAGTAAGCTTGCAATGTGGGAGACAGACAGACGAGTACAAGGTAAACATACTCGTGGGTTTGGTCTGCCTGTGTTGGAGCCCAGTCTCTAATCCCGCCTTCAATAACGTTGAAGGCTGCGAGATATGGAGAACCAGCACATGAGGAGTAAGCCAACCAATGATTACCCTCGTGATACTCAACTACAGCGGTGGAAGGACTCGAGCTCTAGACCAAGCCAGGCAATGTTCATCAACATCAAGAACGCACGTTTGATCACTTCGAACAAGGACAGCTGCACTCTCGTTTATTCCGAGTAGAGAACTCCTTTCAGGATTAGGGGGATATTGTCAGAATCTAAGATATCTAATGGGAAGAAAGGCTATTACTTAGTAAGTGTAATATAGTTGATACGAGAGATAGTTCAAAGTTATTAGATTATACAGTCAGAACATTAAGCTAGTAGTCTTAGCTTGTATAGTATCCTTCGAATTATAAGTATGATATATAACAGTGATAGGAGTAGATAGCTTGACTTTAGTAGGTTAAGGGGTCGTCCATAGATGGGATTTTAGCTAGAAAGCTGGGAGAACTCGGTAGACTTTCATGTTCTACAAGACGTACAAGACCTTTAAGACCTAGAAATCTCTAAAAGCTGATCTAAAAAGCTTGACAATGCATGTATGTACTTATTGAAGCTAGGAATGATGAGGCTGCTGTAGTAAACTCCCTTCACGGGCTCTACAACGTTTCATACAGGCACGAACACGAGACGAACCTTATTAAGACTAGCCATTCCTCCCTTACTTGCGGACGTGTTTTTTATATAGGGAAACATATCTATGCACTGCCGAGGGGGGGGGGGGGGGGAGGGAGCAAGACGTATATCACACAGAGTCGGTGTACGAGTGCTCGTTGCGAAGAAAGAAACTGAAGTAGTAAAGTTGGCACGACGAATGCGTCTGGGGTAGGTATCGTGGACGATGCCCCCACTGGCGAGCGCGTGTGCGATGGATTGCATTAAAGCAGGAGCAGGTGCTTTACCCCCTGGCCCCCCCTGGCTGACGATACAGCTGCGCGTTTTCGGAAGCCTCGTCGGATTTCGCGTTTCCTGGGTCTACCCTCAAGTATTATTCACACCTTCATCGACAGTAGAATCAGAGCGGACGAACAGGAATCGAAAGGGCGATGATGTCTAGACAGAGGGACGTTTCGTCGTGGGTCTACTGTCGTGTCATGATCTTATATTGTGCATTTCTTGCAGTTTCTGCCAGGACTGTGAGAGCGCGCGGAGGGTCAGCCAATCTCTACATTCATATGTTGATGAATTGTTCTCGAGTAGCGCTAGGTATGATGTTTGAGCTGGGTACAGCTCATGACCACCAAAGACCAGATTCCCGTATGAACAGCAGTTGCCGGCTGAGTCTAATGGGTTGAATGATGATATCGGCTGACACGGTCGCTCGAGAAGTCTGGGCCTGACACTGTTGCTGCCTTAATATATGTTTCCGTCGTAGACTAAGGCTTGATACGATATGGCTACTACATAGGATTACGCTCATAGCGTAACAGCCTGCGTAGAGGCTCATTAAACGTTCTGCATAAGGACTGACCAAGTATGAGTAGATATGGACATACTATTAACCATGAGGCATAATCTTAAATAAATATCTCTAATAAACTACCTGGGTATAATATTATGTATAGTACATGTAGCTAAGCAAAACTACTATACAAGTTCAGTCTTATAGAGAGGGGCATGGTGGACCTTTCTTAATGGTTTGGGTGTTTTATGGAGAACAGATTTGGTATATGGTTCTATGTAGCATATTAGAAGGGCTTGATCAGTACGACTTGTAGCTCTAGATATCTTTAACGGGAGGGTAGAGAAGTACTATGGACTACATTATATCATCTCTTTCGTAAAGTATGGTGTATAGATGATTAGTACGCATGTACTAATTATATACAAAATTTCCTTGCGCGTCGTGTGAGTCTATTCCTATATATATGTAACCCGTTCCATCCCTACACGAGAAGCCACACTACGCCATACCATCGTCTTTTATATAGTCATTTGTACATACTTGAGTGTATTGACAGTCTCATAATTTATCCTACGGATTTGTATCTTTCATGTGCTCATACAGCATAACGTACTACTCTGATTTGTTTAACGCCATGTATAAGGGTCGGCATGTCGTGGTGCTGTTAGAGTAGAGTAGGTTACTAGAGGCAGAGACTTTGTGAGTGGAGTGGATAGGATCACGTTCATTTAAGTTAGTCTAGACTGAGAAGAGAAGGTATGTTGCTTGGACTATACTTATCAGCGTCGACCGTGTTGTCTATGGAACACAAGTACCCGAGCATGTGCATGATTGCCAGAATGCATATCATCGCAGAACCGTTATATTTCAATAAGGATGGTCTGAAAACTTACTGTACCCTAACCCAATAATCTACCCACACACACCCAAGTAGAGAAAGTCGTTATACCACTGCCTTTCTTGCCTGCCACGCAACAGAGTTCTTTGAAGCATGCGCGTACCGAAAAGAAAAAAAGGAAAAAAAGAAAACATCTCAAATCCAGCGCTGATTCCCAAGATGACTCCACATCTGCCCGGCATGCGCCATCGTAAGCCCCTGAATAACGCGAATCTGCATCTCAACACTCTCACGCGGCGTAATCGGACCCTGGAACTCGGGCTCGTACTTTCTGAACATTGGCATCAACATCTCGAAGTTCTTCTTGCTGGCCTCTGTGCCTGCGCATTATGTTACGTTAGCATGTCTTTAATGTTGAAACTCCCACACACACACACACACACTCGCACACGGACCGCAATGGAGACCCCTACCCGATGTCGCATCGAGGGAAAAAAAGGGGTTAGGTTGTAGGAAAAGAAGGAGAAGAGCCTCACCATCAGTATCGACCAACCCAGGACTCAGACTCGCCACAACAATCCCATCATCCTTCAGCTCGACAGCAAGCTTCGCAACAAGCATGTTCACAGCAGCCTTACTCGCACTGTACACCAACGCCGCCCACACACCAGCCACACGGACAAACTCCGCATCCGCCATCCCCGTACTAATCACCACAATCTTCCTCTGCTGCCCGGCACGAACAAGCGGAAGAAACGCCGTAGCACAGAGCAAGGGCCCGGCGAAATTCGTCTTGAAGGCGGTGTCGACGTCGGTTAGAAGCTGGGGTTCGTTGGCCGGGGAGGCAAGGTCTGTGGGGGCGATGGACTGGGTGGTCAGGTTGATCCAGGCGCCGTTGATGAGGAGGTAGTCGAGGGTGCCGTTGGTGAGGGTGGATGTGGAGGCGGCGGCGGCGCGGAGGGAGGAGGGGTCTGTGAGGTCGGCGGCGAGGAGGTGAATGTTTGGGAGGGAGGGGAGGAGCGGGTGGACGGAGGAGGGGTTGCGGGCGAGGGCGATGACGGTGTTGGATGGGTCTTGGGAGAGGGTTTTGATGAATTGGAGCTGTGTTGGTGGTGGTTAGGATGGAGTGGAGTTGGGATGGGTGTTCGTTGGAGGGGTGTCGGGACGTACTCCTAGGCCTCGTGAGGCGCCTGCGATAACGTAGGATGGCATTGTTGATGGTTTGGAGTCTTTATGGGAGGAGAGTAGTGAGTTGATGTGTGATTGATATGGTTGTTCCTTGCAATGCTCCTGAGGAGTTGGTCGCTCTTATATCTTGTCTTTCGCACCATGATTGCAAATCAATACCCCCTCAAAGGCGATGTCGGCTCTAACAAGACATGTCGTTACTGCTGATAAATGCTGAGCAGATTTATGGATGCCAGGTATCGTGAGTATTGCAGGCAACTTTCTGCGATGCATCACACGCCTTACCGCATTAGGGCGAATGTAAGCCCGTATGCAGCCGTCCTTGGGGGTGGTCCGCGAGGCTGAAAGCGTGAGGTTGTTACAGCATGGCTACAGCATGGCGTTCTCTGCAAGGCATAACATGCTTGTGGTAAGTTTAGGCATGCGACACCAGTGTGTGAAAGCCACCGTGCCCAAGCATGTGCATATATCTGCAGGTGATGTAGACTTGCTGATGCCATGACGTTGACCGCGATACTGTGGCGCTGTTCTGATCCCGTCGTAATAAAGGACGTGGAGTGCGTGGCAGTGTCACAGTGAAGCATGGTCCTCTCTATCCTTCAGGTCATGGCTGGCAGTGCATTGCATGTACTCAGGCTTGCCGTGATCTTGCTCGTATACTTGATTCTCTGCTCCTGGTCCAAGTCATCCTGTGCCCAAACACGCTCTATAAACTGGCGCACGCGTAACGTGTTGCCGACCTTGGACTTCTCCTCGCTGTTTCGGAGCACACGGAGGATCTCACTCCGTTGCTCATCAGTGCGGGCTTCGCAGGCAATGATGAAGAGGGGAAAGTTGCGATCGCAAACTGTAATCTTCCGCAAGTGGTCATATGCTTCGCTGACCCACATAGACACCGGTGGTAGCCATGGAGGACTCTTCTTGATTGCTCGGTGCAGGTATATGAGGCCTGCTAGCCGGAAGAGCTCTGCGATGTGCTTCATGGCGTCTTCCTCAATCACGACCGCGCGGTCGTGGCTCACTGATTCAACCTCGAGGACTTGTCGTGCGTTGAGGATTGAGTGCTCAAGACTGTCCACTCTATCGTCGGACACCTGTCCTGCGCCCATCTCCTGCTCGTAGGCAGCATCGAACACTCGAGAGATGACCAATAGGAGCTCAATGGAGCAGCCGACTGGGCCAGAAATCTTGTATAAGTAAGCAACTACTCTTCTTTACTTCCAAATCGGTTTACCTTTGTCTTGCTTGACGCGCTCATTTGCTTTTGCCTCAAGCACTTGTTGTTAGCGCACTCAACCTGATCCTCCTGTCTATCAACATAGTGTGTTATGCTGAACTTGGACATGACATCATGGTATGTTACCCAGTCGAGCAGTAAAGACTCGTCACTCGTGACAGGGCTATTTGTCGGAATCTCCATTGCCCCCAGTGCCTTTTTAGCATAGCACACATCGAGGGCCCAGGAATATGGAGCATCTGAGTGTGGCTGATCGAAGATCTATACGTATGTCGAGTGACATCAGGACTTGAGTCAAGGCAAGAGCATGGAGATATCGTACCTCATACAGCCCAAGAAGCATTGCCGCCACGATGCTTTGCAACAACTCCTGCGGATCATCAAGCTGACTCTGGATCATCAGAAAATGATGTCGGGCTTGGGTACGAAGAACGCTGGCGTGTTTCCCACCACACATGTGCAGACAAGCGAGTGCACAGATGGCTAGCCTTACTGCCTCGGACGCACTCGATTCGGTACAGAATGCCATCCTCATTAGGACACTGTAGCAGTCGTTTTGACTGACAGTGCTGACGATAGATCCAATCACATCCTGATCTATGGAGGTCAGCATCACTTCTTGGCTAACAGTAGACAGGCGTCGCACAGTATTGAATCAGACCATTCTCTCCAATAGCCTCTAACGGCTTCCATGGCATAGCTCTGGGCGTTGAAATTGTCTCCCATGTTTGTGCAAGCGAGTTTGAGAGAGCGTTTACTAGAATTATCATGTGAGTTCAGATGGACGCCTTTCTGTGTCTTGACGACTCACATCGAGTGCCTCGCGTCATGTGTGTATGGTTGTTCAAGTCATAGAATAACACGTTGATAAAGTGTAGCTGACCCTCGGGGGGCATCTGTTGTACTCCCTGGACAACGGCATGGTGCCAGCCTCGTCTCTTGTCATCGTGCCTCGGAAACGACAACTGAAGACCATATTGGCAGTCCCTATTGCATCTTGCGCAGCGTTGGCATTTCGGACGCGTTTTGTCGCAGCCAAGTTTCTGTCCTGCGGGTCACTATTGTCAGTGCTTCCAGCTCCACAAGCGACGACGCTAGAAGATGGATAGGCTCACTACGACATGGCCAACACGCGTTGTCCTTGGGCATGTTGGATGACGGGGTGGCCTAGACTGTATTTGGAAATGGGGACAATAGTCTCAAGAAGATATATACTCGTTTACCACCGATCGACGATGAATGAGCTTCGAGGTCGTCGATGCAGACAACACCATCACTCGGGAATATATCACATAACAGTTTCTGAAGGAATGTGACACCAAACACGGAGAATTACGAACGATGACGATTTTCTGATCGAAATTGGAGATAGCCGTGCACGTTTTCGAAGTTGATGCTGAGGACAAGGGTCGCTTTTCCGAGGATTCAAGGGTCAGAGTAATAGTCGGCATGCGGCGTGGGGGATGCTTATGCTTCCAAAACTGTTCCACGGGCCAAGTGACAGATTGTGCACACCCGATGGCTTGACAGGTGGCGAGACGGTTTTGTTTTGTGAGGTCGTGAGGCGCTTGTGAAACCTCGCTGCGAGACGGAATATCCGACGTACGAATGCTAATGCAAACATAGAGGAGCATGAGCACGAGCACATTCATGTAAACACCAGATCCATGCGTTCTTGTTTACGATTTGTAAGCATGACCGCTCTTCGACAACGACGACGACGACAACGAAACCACAACCACAACAATAGCCGCAACATAGCTACCAAGGGAACACTATATCGAATGAATTTGGACAGACGTATCTTTCCATCTCGAGATTCTATCGTGGACTATCTACCGACTTCAAAAATAAAATGAATTCGACATCATCGTGCAGCTCGCGGCCGTAAGTCAAGGGATTGAAGCTGCAGGCAGGGCTGAACTTGGACGCGGCACCTTGTCCGCTTCCCCGGACACGACTTGATAGGTCAGATTTCTGACCTTTTGACGAACCCTGCTGCAGCCAGGTCTCTCTGTGGCCGGATGATCACTGTCTCTATCACAGTCTTGAAGCTCTGCACCTAAACTGCAACACACTCGAAATGATAAGACGATGATGATGATGATGATTGTAACTTTAGAAGCAAGGAGAGATCCGTTCAGATTCGCACGGTACGTTACACGTAATGCTTGCGGCTAATGCATTGTCTACTACTCCTTGGCCTGAATACATCGTCTAACCAGGGCATTTTGAAAGACGGCTCGACGTCTAGGGTTCACTTTCGTTCTTTTGTCTCCTAATTTTCATCATCATCATCTGTAACCCTTGACACTTCCTGGAGACACCACGTTAGGCTCGACATCCGATGCTTTTTTTGCTATTCGTCGCTCCTTGCGCTAAACGCGTCAAACGCCATGGTGGCACAGCGCCGTCGTCATTGTGCCGACGAGAAGTGGGTATGGCACTATACATAGAACACTGTCACCATTATGACGCTCCGGACGCAGGTCCGGTACTGGGTGCATTGATGGCGCGGAAATTTTCGACAGATACTGTGACAGCGCCAGCTTGGACGAGCTATACTCCTGTCAATAGGGTCCCTTGCTCATGCGTCAGAGGTGGTCACGGAGAATGCAACTTACCGCTCTGCTCAGATCGTCAATTAAATCATCCACATCTTCGATTCCCACGCATAGCCTAATAATATCTTCAGGCATATTCCGCTCTGCTCGTGTCTTTGCATCAATGCTAGCGTGGCTCATACGGCAAGGCATGCTGATAAGGCTGTTTACGCAGCCAAAGCTCACACTAATGGCCCACAACTGTGCGCTTTCAACAATTCTTTCCGACACTGTGACATCGCCGGTCTCGAACGACAGGACAGCGCCCGCACCGCGGGCCATGCTATGATGAAGATCATACTGCGGGTGCGACTTGAGTCCTGGGTAGCGTACCCGAAAGCCATGGTCCTCAAGGAAACTGGCGATGCGCATCGCATTGGACTGTTGCTTCTCCATTCGCACTGCCAGAGTCTTGATGCCTCGGAGAAGCAACCATGAATCAAAAGGCGACAATCCGCAACCCGATGCGTTGATGCTGAAATACATTTTGTCTCCTAAAGCTGCGTCATTGACGGCAATCACTCCAGCCATTAAATCGTGATGTCCAGAAAGGTATTTCGTGCCCGACTCGTACACAATATCAGCGCCGAGGTCAAGAGGGTTTGACAGGATCGGGGAGAGCATGGTGTTGTCGACAGCTACGATTGCCGAAGGGTTTGTGGCGTGTGTGATCTGGGCGATTGAAGGAATGTCCACAATCTTGATCAGGGGATTCGTTGGAGTTTCGAGTAATACCATGGCTGTTTTCGCGTTGACAAACCTCCGCACGGCTTCTGGATCTGTGGTATCGACGTGGTGTACGATGATTCCTCCATTCGTAGCAAGGTACTTCAGAAGTCGATTGGTGCCCCCATATAGATCATCACCAGTGATCACCTCGTCTCCAGGCCTGAGCACTCGCGTTATGACATCTAATGCTCCCATACCAGACGAAACAACCAGTGCTCTGTTCGCACTCATGATCTTTGCAAGATGTCTTTCGACATGTGTTCGTGTTGGATTGCCCGAGCGCGTATAATCGTATTCGTTGCCAATGCCTTTGAAGGTCGCAGACTGTACCATAGATTAGCACTGAGATGAACTTGAACCCGCTGGATATCTGCATACTTGATATATCGGCACACTGCTTGCATTGTACTGGTCTGTTCCTTCGGTGTAGACCAACTCGGTTGCCAGGGCGTATTTCCTGCCATTGCGGGGGCTCGATGGTGCCGGAGAGGGAGGCAGATCATGACCCTCAAGATCCAATTTCTGGAAAGCCTTTCCAAGACTGGATTTATCGCCTGAGGCCGTAGGAGCTTGCGACATGGTGGTGGAAAATAAAGGAGTAGCTATGGAGTGGCGCTTTAAGGGATTGTGTTCGTGTAGGTTCAGGACGCCACTTGTATTTGGAGGTATTCTGACGGTTGTAATCAGTTGGGTCTCGAGTATGGGAGAAAAATCGTGGAATGTTCGAAGGAGAAGCCAGTATGATAGGTGTTGGCGTCGGGAGAAGAAATGGTGTTGAAGTTCAGGTACATTTGCATTTCGATAGGCCAGACCAGAGTCATCACCTCAGAGCTCGGGCAGCGGGGGTTCAGGGCTATGGCGTGCTTGCGTTACCGGTATCGGCAGTGGCACGGGAACGATGCTCAATCAGGACAAGCCCGACAAGCAGACTCAGCCTATGATGATATGGGATATTATAGGTTTCGAAAAAAGATGTATTCTTGCTGATGAATGCGGTAAATGATCACGAGACTCAATCTTACATGATACATGATATGCTACGACTTAACCCATAGACGAATGATGAACACTAGCGCAAGAGCACGTCAAAAGATTAACCCGCTACTCAATCATTAATCCCATCAACGCCATGCAGTAGATAAGAGAAACTACAGGAGACAAATATGCTAATTACCTTGGAGATACCGCTGGAAACATTTTCCTCGCCAACGTGTTGATTGCAAAAACGTATATACCGTCCTCGGCGCCAGCATATATACTCCTTCCGTCCTCACTTGCGGCGAGACCCGCTGTTCTTACGCCATAGCTCCCGTCGTGAGTCTGGTCTGTACTAATGTGTCGTAAGCCATACACACGGGGCCTCTCTCGGCGGACTCGCCCTCCCGCTGTCGTGCTGTATTCAATCCATGTTCCCACCGTCGAGGGATATTCTGCACGGTCAAGGGCACCGTCGGCAGGCTGATATGAATATGTACCTGGAGAAGCGCTCTGCTCCATTCGGTTACCCGTTGTCGATTGGCCATTGCGTGTACTGGCATTGCTGTACAGACGGGTCTCAGGTACTACGACGGATGACTGCCGATGTGGCCGATAGCGTCGCGCAGAATCGGAGTAGCGGTCTCGGAGGGTCTCGCCGACATCTAGAGATAGCAAATCATGACCGATGTTGCGAACTTCGACATCCCGGGATGAACTTAACTCTACATCGTACTCCGTAGCACCACGGTATGAAGGGTGTACTGGACGCCCAGATTGTGTGTAGGTTATACTTCGTGGAGTTATCGTCACCTCTGGTCGTGTGTCACGTTCTGTCGTGGTTGGAAGAGAATCTATTATTCTCCTTGCTCGTGGACTCAGACCATGCGGATCATTGTCAGACTCTACAACTATGGCACGACCTGGCATAGGACGACTCGTTATACTTGAACCGAGGGACCTACGAGCCTCGAAGGCCGCTGGGCCAAAGGCGTTACCTTCTGCGTCAAGAGCTCTTGAATGTCGACGCAGATAGGATCCATCATGCGTCAAGTCTTCATCGCTATCACCATCCGAGTCAGGAATAACAATTCGTTCTATGCCATCCTCGCTAGAATTTAGGTGTATCACTTGCCGGCTTATGAGGCCGCTACGAAGGTCGGCTACGCACATTCGGCCTTGGTCTTCCGTCCAGATTAGCAGATCCCATGGCTGTCTGGAAAACAGCATAGTACGCACAGAGCCTGGCCCGTGGCCCCGATCCGGCCTGGTCGACTTGATAACATTGACAATTGCATCCTCTGCAGACTCGCATTTTGGAAGGGATAGCGTATCGATAACGGTAATATAGCCACATTCTGAGGCCACGGCACACAGATGACCAGAAGATGACCAAGCTGTTGTGAAGTAACCAATGGCTTTTACTGTCGGCGGACAGTGTAGTGATACTGTTGCAATCAGGCCCCAGGCAGAGGCCGAAGGCGCAATATCTTCTGCGAGATCCTCAGTGGAGCCTACAGGAGATGTCCATGTTCTTCGTTCGTAGAACAACGCCCTTTGCTCGTCGCCAACCGCGACCAAAAGGTGTCCGTCTGGGGATATGGTGGCATGATTCATAGGAAAGGGACAATCAAGCCTGGCTATTTGGGCCCGCCTTGGGAGCGAATATACTCGCACGGTCTTGTCATTGTTTGTGAGAACGGCAACGACCTCGTCTTCTCCTTGCGGTCCTTCCTTGAGCAATTTGTGGATGGATATCGAGTTGACGATTTGCAGCCCGATTCTATCGAAGTGTATATTGTGTGGTGACACCTTGGTCTGTCGACGGCTGGATGTCGTTGCGCCTGTGCCTAAGCTCACAGGTAAACTCGCATCGACCTCGCCGGAAACATGGCTTGAGCCATCTAGCTGGATCGCAGCAAAAAGACCTTCAGTCTCGCCCCCTACGCATATCCACCCGTACCCCGAAGCTGTACATCGAGCGTCGAATGACAAACTCGCGACAAGAGTCCGTCTCTTGGTGTGAACGTTCAAGCAATATACATTTTCGCGATCGGCATAGTAGATAGTGTCTTGCTTGGACGAGCTGATATAATGTCGTAGTTGGTAGTGCGCTACATGGATAGACAGAGGGAAAAAGGTCTTTGCTGGCAGGATCAAGGAGTCGGTTTCGTGGTAACTGCAGCCGGATCAGCATTTCCTAACACACTTGAGATGATAGTTATGCTGAAGCACGTACTCAAAGTCATCAACAGCCATGATAGTGTTGTCGAGTGAAGGAACACTGCATGATTCCGGCTAGTTTCGGGCCCAACTCGAGTGGCCCAGTGCTGCGTGAGGGGGATACGTCACTATACCATGCGAGAGCTGTGAAAGGCTATCGTTCTCTATTTACCCTCGGTCCCTAGCCAGCAATAGGTAGACCGACAGGCAAGCTGGAGCTAGACCCATCACGTGTATCCTGCTCCATGTCGAGATTATGTGCTAGATGGCGGACCAGAGAGAAAGTGAACCAAAAGATGTGTTGACGGGGAGGCAAGTAGTCAAGCAGTTGACTGCGCGCACAAGAAACACGATGATGATGATGATGTTGTTGTTGTTGTGCTCTACTACTGCACTCTGGTGACTACGGAGACTGGCACGTGACCCATCACTGCGCACAAAGAGAGCTCCTGCGTGCTATTACTGCCGCTCGGACATCATTACTCTAGTCTAGCCTGCGCACGGACATATTCTGCGTGCTGCGATCTGCTTCGACCAAAATTTCTCCCTTCAGACCTTTTCTTGCCATCCGCATTTTATCTTCACATCATCCACTCCAACCTCCTCTCATCTGTGTTTTATCCATCTCGTCGTTGATCTTTACACTCCCGCGACGCTGTACTTCTAATACTTCACATCATGTTGTCTTCAAGACTATCGCGAGCAGTAAGTCATGCTTCCTGATAGCTGTCGCGTCTTGTGCTAATAGAGAGCTCTGCAGTTTTTGCCTCGCGCAACAAATGCCATCCGCCGCCCAGCCGCCATCACTCCATCACTCAACACATCATTCCGAAGGCATTATGCTGATGGTGCCGAAGAGAAGGTGAAAGGCCAAGTGATTGGTATCGATCTCGGTACCACGAACTCTGCCGTCGCCTTGATGGAAGGGAAGCAACCTCGCATCATCGAGAACTCAGAAGGTTTGTTATTCAATTATGCTTGCATCAGAACCTCTACTGACAAAACGAAGGTGCAAGGACAACGCCCTCCGTCGTCGGCTTCACGAAAGAAGGCGAGCGTCTCGTTGGTATTGCTGCGAAGCGTCAGGCTGTTGTAAACCCTGAGAACACTCTCTTCGCAACGAAGCGTCTCATCGGTCGCAAGTTTTCCGATGCTGAGGTGCAGCGTGATGTCCAGCAAGTGCCATACAAGATCGTTCAGCACACCAACGGCGATGCCTGGCTAGAAGCTCAAGGACAGAAGTACTCGCCTTCGCAAGTTGGTGGTTTCGTGCTCGGAAAGATGAAGGAGACCGCTGAGGCTTACCTTGGCAAGAGTATCAAGAATGCTGTCGTCACTGTACCAGCTTACTTCAACGACCAGCAAAGACAGGCCACCAAGGACGCCGGTCAGATCTCTGGCCTGAATGTTCTCCGTGTCGTCAACGAGCCAACTGCTGCTGCTCTCGCTTACGGCCTTGAAAAAGAGCAAGACAGGGTTGTCTCTGTGTACGATCTTGGTGGTGGTACTTTCGACGTCTCCATCTTGGAAATTCAGAACGGCGTTTTCGAGGTCAAGTCGACGAATGGTGACACCCATCTGGGTGGTGAGGACTTCGACATCATTCTTGTCCGCCATCTCGTCCAGCAATTCAAGAAGGACAACGGAATTGACCTTTCTGGTGACCGCATGGCCATTCAACGTATCCGTGAGGCTGCCGAGAAGGCCAAGATTGAGCTTTCATCGTCTCAACAGACCGATATCAACCTGCCTTTCATTACTGCTGACGCCTCTGGACCAAAGCACATTAACATGAAAATGAGCCGATCTCAGCTGGAGAATCTGGTTGACCCTCTCATCACCAAGACCATCGACCCCGTTCGCAAGGCACTCAAGGACGCCGGCCTCCAAGCCAAGGACATTCAGGAAGTCATACTTGTCGGTGGTATGACTCGTATGCCCAAGGTTGCCGAGTCAGTCAAGAGCATCTTCGGCCGTGATCCAGCCAAGTCTGTCAACCCCGATGAGGCAGTCGCCATTGGTGCTGCCATCCAAGGTGCTGTACTTTCTGGTGAGGTCACTGACGTTCTTCTACTTGACGTTACGCCTCTTTCCCTTGGTATCGAGACTCTGGGTGGTGTATTCACCCGTTTGATCAACCGTAACACCACGATCCCTACCAAGAAGTCCCAGATCTTCTCTACCGCTGCTGATTTCCAGAGCGCTGTCGAAATCAAGGTCTACCAAGGTGAGCGTGAACTTGTTCGCGACAACAAGCTCCTCGGCAACTTCCAGCTTGTCGGTATCCCACCTGCGCATCGTGGCGTGCCTCAGATTGAGGTTACCTTCGACATCGACGCAGACTCCATCGTTCATGTCCACGCCAAGGACAAGTCGACCAACAAAGACCAGTCCATCACCATTGCATCTGGATCCGGTCTCTCTGACTCTGAAATCGAGAACATGGTTCAGGACGCTGAGCGATACCAGGAGCAAGACAAGGAGCGTAAGGATGCTATCGAGGCTGCCAACCGTGCTGACAGCGTGGTGAACGACACCGAAAAGGCGCTCAAAGAATTCGAGAGCCGTCTCGACAAGACTGAAGCTGAGAAGATCCGCGAAAAGATTGCATCTCTCCGTGAGGTTATCAGCAAGAGCCAGGCTGGCGAGGGCAATGCCACAGCCGCAGAACTGAAAGAGAAGACGGATGAGCTGCAAACTGCTAGCTTGACCCTGTTCGATCAAATGCACAAGGCCCGCTCCGAGAACCAGAACCAGGAGCAGCAACAAGACGAACAGAAGAACCAAGATGAGGACAAGAAGCCATAAGTCCATTGATGGTGATTGTTTTCCCTTGTACTGTGTTTAGATAAAAGCGGGTGTTTATTTTGACATTTGCATCGGTTCTTGGGTCACTAGAAGCGTCTTTACATGTAATGTCCCTTTACCTTTCTTGTATCTGGCTCGCCACCTCTTCGATGTACTATTCACTCATACCCCTCTTCAATTCCGTGTAGCTTTTGAAGGATATTTTCGGAGAGATATCAGATTATGGGGATCTACGAGGGAACTCCGACGCTGCCATAGTCGTTGCTGAGACTAGTGACGGCTACTGGTAGTCACATATCTTCGTTGTACATTATTAGAGACGGCGATGCTCGCCTTACTCTCCTCTCTTAATGAATGTAAAATATATGATGAGCATGCACAAAAGTGGGTATCACAGCAACGATACCCTGTGCGAAGGGTGTATTACTCAAGCGACATGGTGCTGACCAGCTATGCGCGCTGTATGTATCTTATTGAGCCGTGTTGTCGAGCCATCCCAACAAATGCGACCGCCCCTTTTTAATTTGACACTTGAGTTTGAAGCTCGAGGCTGAAGTTGGTTGTCCGCTAATTAGTGAAATATTACTAGCGGCGCGTGGCTTCCCGTTACGCGTCAGTTGCGTACGCCACTCCCATTGGTTCAAGGTTGGATCCGTATTTGCGCATCAACCATCCTCTCAAGATTACGAAGCACGAAAAAAGATTTGACCAGCTCAACACCTTACACTCCTGTTAGTTGTGGGCCCATGATGCCTTATGCCCCCTTGAAACAGCAGTTCTTCTAAGATTATTGCGTCCACCAAGCTATGTCGGGAGGCGCGTCCACGGAGACGGCGCGCAATGAAGCATTACTTCCTACGAACAAGGCCGCAGTCGGTTCCGCGCATAATGTCGAGCTCAAAGACATGGCTGCACAGCCGACGCCTTTACCGATTGAGGAGGACATAATGCAGCTGGCGAGACTGGGCGAGATTGGCGCTATTCAGAAGCTTTTTGACGCTGGGAAGGTTGATGCGACGTACGTCGATGATCAAGGCATCACGCCCCTTCATGTAGGAACAAGAAGACTCGAGACAGCATGAAAACGATGGCTAACTGAATTTTCAGTGGGCAGCAATAAACAATCATTATGCGCTATGTCACTTCCTCATACAAGCTGGAGCGAACCTGAATGCGAAAGGTGGCGATGCCGTGGCTACACCCATCCTATGGGCTGCGAAGAGATGCCATTACTACATCGTCAATCTCCTTCTCCAGCACGGCGCTGACCCTCTCCTTACCGACGATCAAGGCTTCAACCTTCTCCACTCCGCGACCTTGGACGGCAACGTCTTCCAGCTCGTGCTACTCCTTCACCAAGACCTACCCGTAGACATTCCAGACAGAGAAGGGCACACCAGCCTAATGTGGGCGTGTTATAAAGGTTTCCCGGCTTGCGTGGATCTATTCTTAAGATGGGGCGCAAATGTCTCTTCCAAGGATGATCAAGGCTTCACTGCTTTACATTGGGCTCTCGTCAAAGGGTCGCAAGCCTGCATTCAAAAGCTCGTCGAGTACGGATCTGACCGCTTCGCGGAGAACAACGACGGGAAGACACCCGCGGTCACTGCACAAGAGATGGATACAGAGCGACAATGGCACAAAGCGCTATCTGAATGCGGATACAATGTCGATGGCAGTCCGAAGCACTTCCCGCTTGCGAATTACATCAAGGACAGGAAGGCGTTCCTGTCGCAACTTTTTTTCTTCTGGCCATTCTTGATAATAATATGTGCGTTGTATATTTTAAGCACTTTTTCGGTGGTAGTAGCGGTGCCTTTGACACTTATCGTTTCATGGGGACTGCAGTGGGTGGTGCAGCAGGCCTTGAGATGGGCACCATCAGACATGAAAACGATACACAAGACTGTGAGTTGCAACCTGTCCGCTTTCCATGGCCTGTCTCTGACTTAAGTCGTTAGCCTTTTCTTGCGGGCATCTTTGCCGGTACATTGTTTTGGGTTGGGTTACGATATATTACACGCATACTTCTCTGTAAGTTGTGTCTGGCGGTGTGTCCCAATACGTGCTTACATAGACAGGGACGTTGGACTCATGGTCCAACATTTTTAATAATGCTTTCTTCATGGCGTCTTACGGCCTTTGCACGTACTTTTATTTTACGACTATGTTTGAAGACCCTGGTTATGTCCCAAAGCCTGGCAGTCGTCAGGTGCAGAAGGCCGTTATCGAGGAACTGATGGAGCTACGACTATTTGATGAGAACCATTTTTGTACACAATGTATGGTGCGGAAGCCATTGCGTGCGAAGCATTGCAAGAGATGCAACCGCTGCGTAGCGAAGACAGATCAGTAGGTCTTTCGTCTCTCTGCATGATACTCGTATGCTAATCCTCATAATCAGCCACTGTCCGTGGGTGAACAACTGCGTTGCAGTCAATAACCATCGGCACTTCGTGCTCTATATCTTGACCCTTGAATTAGGGATTCTGGCCTTTGTCAGACTTGTTTTAGCCTGTACGTCCAGGACTGTATTTGCATCATCACGTACTATACTGACTCCCCTATCTAGACCTCAGCAATATTGCGACCCCCAAGAATGTCCATTGCACCATTCTAGCGGACGAAGTCTGCGGCATTCTTATGAAGGACCCCTTCACTATCATCCTCACCCTTTGGGCCACCCTACAACTTACTTGGGTGACGATGCTGACCTGCGTGCAATTACTCCAAATTGCGCGCGCACTCACGACCTGGGAAGCCATGCGCGGTCACACGCACACTCATGGCACCGGCGATACTCTGACCGCTTTCGTCACAACCGGCAGCACCACCGCCGAAGGCGGCGCAGTCAGTAGCTCAGGCTCAGGGCCCGACGCCGCAAACGCGCATCGACACCCGAAACACGGCATGTGGGAGACGTGGAAACGACTGCTAGGTCTAGATACATTCATTGCTACAGCGCTACATGGAAGCCGGGCTGCAGAGGTGCAGGCGCAAGCTGCACGGAATCCTTACCAGCGCGGCCTTGTGACAAATTGCAAGGACTTCTGGCTTGACCCGGCGCCGATCTTTGGGCGACGGCATGATGGCACGACGCTGCTGGGTGGTGAGAAAGTGGATTATACTGCGCTGTATGAGCTACCTGGGCGCATGCGGATGAGGAGGGAGGAGAGGGACGGAGAGGAGACGGAGAGACTGGTTGGGGGGAGTGATGATGCTGTGTAGATGTATGTATGATGTACATGGTTGTTATAGCTTCAGAAGCGCTGTCCGGGCCGGCGGCACTTGATATAATGATAATGATACGATTGAAACGACGGACCGTTTCTCTTCTGCGCTACAGTCATGAGTCTTTAGTGGTGAATTGCGAGTTTCGAGTCTTGACACCGGACGGGGGTCAAATGCCCGTGAGTGGAACTTGGAGGGATCCCCGGTATCATTGCACCAATCCGACATCCGGAGCACCATCCTTCCAACAGTTCCTCCACCACAACACACAACAGTTGGGCAGATACAAAGATCTGCTCCAGACCCCAGCTTTACCCTCCTCCTCACCATCTCCGCATATTGTGGGTCACTTTCATTCGCCTGCCTCTATCTGAGCACGACGTCAACGACATACCCACTCGAAGGGCCGAACATGGATTCTACGTGCATGTATACAACGCACTGTGCCGCCCTATGTCCTCTCTAGATGGTTTTTTTTTTCTCGCTCTTGTCTCGTGCTGATTCAAACCGTTGCGCCTTAAAAGTCTGCAACGCTGTCCACGGACTGCTCAGCTCAACTACTATTCTTCCACGACGTTCACGATGGGTTTCTTTGAACTGCGGGGGCGCGCCCTCGTTGCCATGATCCTTATCACTTCGGGACTTGATTTCCTTCTATTCGGGGTATGCTCCTCTCTAGATAAGACATGTCCACTACTGACGGTTTTGATAGTACGATCAGGGTCTCTTTGGAGGCATTCTCGCAGGCTCGCGATTCCAGGACATGCTGGGACGCCCGAATTCCACCATGACCGGCCTTGTGACCGCTGTCTATGACATTGGGTGTGCCATAGGTGCGGTCGCTGCGTTTGTTTTTGGAGAGCGCATCGGGCGGAAGAAGTCTATTATCGCGGCTAACGTGATTGTCATTATTGGGGCTGCGATTCAGACTGCGTCTTATTCCTACGCTCAGATGGTGGTGGCCCGCATCATAGCCGGCGTGGGCGTTGGGCTTTCGACCGTTGCCGTGCCGATTTTGCAGTCGGAGACTCTGCAGGCGCATAACAGAGGCGCGCTCCTGGTCGTTCAGTCTGCGCTCATCATCATCGGTGTTGCGATTGCGTCCTGGCTGTGCTTTGCTACGCTGCATGCGGAGAGCTCCTTGCAGTGGCGGTTTCCTGTTGCTTGCCAGTGCTTGTTCTCGCTCATCATTCTGGCCTTCTGCCCTTTCCTGCCTGAGACCCCTCGTTGGCTGGCCTCGAGGGGGCAGAATGATAAGGTATGTGATGTTTGCTGCTTTTAGCTGAACTAAACTGAACGTGCCGTATAGGCTCGTGAGGTCATCTCTCGCCTCCTCGACAAGCCCACGGACGACGCAGAAGTTGAAGGCCAACTCAACGAGATCCTTGACGCCATTGCTGCCGAAAGCACAGAAGGAGAGCCGACATGGTCAGAGGTCTTCACGAACGGCACCAAGACCCGCAACCTCCACCGTGTCCTGCTCGGCATGGGTCCCTACATGATGAATCAATGGAGCGGCATCAACGTAAGCCTCTCCTCTCTCTAACTCTCTAACCCATACCCTCCCCCTCTCTCCTAACAATCCCCACAGGCCCTCTGCTACTACCTCGCCTACATCCTGCAAGAATACCTGCACTACTCGCAAAGCATGGCCCTCATCCTCGCCGGCGTCGCCTTCACCCAATACGCCATCTTCTCCTGGCCGCCCTATTTCTACATCGACCGCATCGGCCGCCGCTGGTCCGTCATGGCCTCCTCGACCGCCTGCGCCGTCTGCATGGCCCTGCTCGCCGGCTGCCTCGCCGCAAAGACCTACGCCGCCGCCGCCGCCGGCGTCGCCTTCATGTTCATCTACCTCGACTGCTTCACCCTCGGCATCCTGCCCGTGTCCTGGTCCTACTCCGCCGAGATCCAGCCGCTGCGCGTCCGCAACAAGGCCACCGCCGTCGGCGTCTTCAGCCACTGGATGAGCAACTTTGTCGTCGTCATGGTCACCCCGATCGGCCTCGAGAGCATCGGCGGCCATTACTTCTGGATCTGGGCCGTTGTCTGTGCGAGCTTTGTGCCGTTGACGTACTTCTTTGGCGTCGAGACGTCCGGGCGCACGTTGGAGCAGATTGATCAGATGTTCTTTGAGAATCCGAGGGTGTGCATGGGCTTGAATGCCGAGAACCGGACTGTCATTCGGTCGAGCAGGATAGATGAGGAGACGAGGGCGAAGGCGTTTGCGAAGTTGGGACAGAAGGAGGAAGAGATCGTGGACCTTGAAAAGGTGGCTACTTAGAACATGTCCTTTGAGACATGATAGATATTAGACTGCGAACGAGCCATCCTACGGAGGATACAGCTGGCCACACGCCGAGGGCCGCGATTTAAGACTAGATAATTTCTAAGATTAAACATATAGAACAAGGTTAGAGTGCTACTTTAGGTAGCGCCTAGAGATTGGAGGTACACAGGAATACTCATAGCAATCTCCATTGCTTTGAACCAAGTCTATATTGGAGGCTATCTACGGTACAGATAGCTAGAAAGGCATTCCGAGTCATGATATTTCGAATATATATGCTTTTCATTCGTGGCTTCTCACTTCACGAGGGTCAAGCCCTGTCATAACTACTCGATAAGCTCTCATTCAAGTCAACTTGGCCTTGAAGGCGTTGATGAGGCTATTGGTGCTTGCGTCGTGGCTAGTAGATTCGCTAGACTCATCTAGCTCGGTGAGGATCTTCTCTGTAAGAAATTGTTAGTATTGAAACTATATACCGGCTTTAGTGCTGTAACTTACTGGCAAGGCTCTTGCCTAGCTCCACACCCCACTGGTCGAAGCTGTTGATGTTCCATACAGCACCTTCAGTGAAGGTCAGATGTTCGTAGTAGACGATCAAAGCACCAAGTGTAGCCGGAGTAATCTTATCAGCCAAGATTGAAGTGGTTGGGCGGTTGCCCAAGAAAGTCTTGTGGGAGACAAGTTCCTCAGCAGCACCCTCAGCCTTGACCTCCTCAGGGGTCTTGCCGACCATGAGCGCCTCAGACTGTGCGAAGAAGTTAGAGGCAAGCATCTTTTGATGCTTGTTGTTCTCCACTGGGTTGTGGCTCTGTGCGGCAAGGATAAAGTCCGTAGGAATCAGCTTAGTACCTTGGTGTAGAAGCTGGAAGAAGGAATGCTGAGCATTGGTCGCAGGCTCGCCAAAAACGATTGGGCCGGTCGTATACTTGACATATTCGCCAGAGCGAGTAATTGCCTTACCATTAGACTCCATCGACAGTTGCTGAAGGTAAGCAGGGAAGCGGTGGAGATATTGATCGAATCTATGACTTATTAGCTGCCTTGAAATACTGGTCTAACTGATTTTGCTTACGGGGCAACAAGATGCGTCTGAGCACCGAAGAAGTCGGAGTACCAAACACTCAGGAGACCTCCGAGAGCGGGGATGTTCTTTTCTAGAGGAGTCTCCTTGAAGTGCTTGTCCATGGAGTGAGCACCAGCGAGGAATTGGTGGAAGTTGTCGTAACCAATGTACAAGGCCACGCTCAGGCCAATCGCACTCCAAACACTGTAGCGACCACCAACCCAGTCAGAGAATCCAAACATGTTCTTCTTGTCGATGCCAAACTTAGTGACCTCAGACTCGTTAGTGGATAGGGCGACGAAGTGCTTGGCAATGTCAGATTCCTTTGCGGATTTTAGAAACCAGCTCTTCGCAGTGTTCGCGTTCGTAGTGGTCTCGGCAGTTGTAAAAGTCTTGGAGGCGACAAGGAAAAGCGTAGTCTCAGGGTCGGAGTCCTTGAGAGCTTCCGCAATGTGAGTGCCATCGATGTTTGAAACAAAGTGAGTGGTGAGATCTCTCTTTGAGTAGGCTTTAAGAGCCTCAGTAACCATCACAGGTCCACTAACGGAAGATTAGATCACAGATCCTACGTACGGGCCGATGCGACTTACAGATCGGATCCACCAATGCCAATGTTGATGATGGTCTTGATAGATTTTCCAGTGTAACCCTTCCATTCACCGCTACGGACCTGCTCGGAGAATTCCTTCATATGCTCAAGTACATCGTTGACGCCTTCAACAACGCTCTTGCCATCCACTTCCATTGGCTGGTTGCTGGTGTTTCGCAAAGCAACATGGTATACGGCTCTCTTTTCGGTGAAGTTGATCTTCTCTCCCTTGAACATGTCATCGCGAAGCTGTTCGAGTTTTGCCTCCTTCGCAAGCTTGGTGAGTAGTTGGATTGTCTCCTCAGTTATGAAGTTCTTTGAGAAGTCGAATATGATCTCGGTACCATCTGCATCGTTCTTGAAGGTGTGAGAAAACTTTTGGAAGCGCTGGGGATCTTTCTCGAAGTAGTTCTTCAAGACAATGTCCTTTCCAAGAGTCTGGTGATGCTTCTGGAGCTCCTGCCACGCATCGAGCTCAATTGCTTGTGAAAATCCAGGCATCTTGAATCTGTGAATGAAGGCTTGTTAGCCATTTTTCATACATATTGGTATAGAATGGAGTTAGAATCGGGCCATTTAATGACAATACGATATCCAGCCCCTCTCACAAGCTGTCTATCTTGGAGGGTGAGTGCGCAACACAGTGGCTCATCCATACGGAGAATTGTATATTCGTGTTATATGGGTGGCGCTAATGCTTTGATAGAGCTTGACGCCGCAGTCATCCAGATGTTGGACAAAATGTCTTCCAGAAGTACTTACCAATTGAAAAGTAAAGTAAAACTTGGATCAGTGATTTGGACTCGAGGTATGAGATGGTTAAAACGATCTTTCCAAGGAGGATGAGTCGGAAAATGTTGTGATGATGGTGGGGAACCGATTGACACCGACTGTTTTGTTGGTGATGCAACTGCTGCCCCGCGTCCAGGCGGGGCGTCTGTGATGGTGCTCAATCATTGGACAATGCCAGGAATACTGCATGTCCGACTCTCACAACATTAACAGCCCCACCACTGCCTATCATTCATCCATTCATTAATTCATTACAGGGCATAGTAGTGATGTTGGTCAAAGAACCATAGGACAACCTGAAAGTTTTCGCTTCAACCATTCGACAGGATACGACGTCGTGTCTTCCCATTTTTCTGGATGTAATAGATGAACAACACAATGGCCAACCATCTACTTTCCCATAGAAGCAGAACTCCATCCGGCAGCCAATGACTGCAGGGTATACAGACAACGCCACGCAAACTCCGATTGAATGTTAATTGACAGTGCGGGAATGATCAAGCCTTGCCTATCCATCCGCTATGTACGAAAAAGTCAAATAGCTTGCCTACTTTGGCGGCGTCTATCTTACTGATCTCTTTTGCTGTTTTCTTCTTTAGCATACCACCGGATTTGAGCGCTTCTTTGAACATGTTCTCTTTGATAGCCATGTAGGGTTTTGGCATGATGCGCAATGCACTACAGAGCTCGCGCTCTTCCTCGGTCAGCAGTTGTAGGTCAGGAGCGGCTACCTTCTCGAACTTCAGTGGAACAGTATTCGGAAGAGGCTGAACAGAGAATTTGGGTTTGCTGGCGATATTTGCAGCCTGCGGCGTAGGAACGCCGTTGGTGTGGAGTGATGTGCCGTTGACCGTGTTGCCATTCGAGGATACCGATGTCGGAGGTGTGATGACTCCGTTCGTCGAAGACCGGAAGGGAATTTCGAGGTTTGGGGCGGTGAGGCTGTTCGCCGTGGGCCCCTCTGCAGTTTGAGCAGCTGGCTTAGCGTTCCGGTTTGTCGCCATACGATCAAATTGTCCTACAGCTGGAGGTCGTGACTGACGCTGGAACTTCTCGTGTTCGTATTTTTCACCAGCTCTCAGCTCGCCGATCTGAACTGAACGCCACTCCTGGAGCTGTGTGATTGCTAGGCGGAGATCATGCTCATATTCTAAGCCTTGGCAGAATTCCTCAAAGTCCTCATGCTTCATCATCCGTGCAAATGGTTTCGCTTTATTCATGAGATCCTTTTGCTCCTTCGTTCTCTTCTTATCTTGGGCTTGATTTTTTCGATATTCCAATAGCTTGTGTTCGAAAATTATCTTCTTTCTCTCAACACGTGCGGTAAGACGTGAATTGTAGATGTCCATGACTGTCATCTTGAGGTGCATCTCTGGTTCTTCTTGGCCATGTTCGTTGAGGCCGTCTCCTGGTTCAAATTGCATGTGCTGGACCGCTTCTTCGGCCTCATTGAAATATTCTGTTTCGAATTCGAGTCGACCGGGCATGTAACCTTGGACCTCATGGCACGACGGCACACTGGCGGTGGGCTTCTGCTTTGGGGTGGCAGGTGGTGCATTCTTGGCTTCTTCCTTCCTCTCCTCTATCCTCCGTTTCTTTCGCGCCTGAAACTCTTCTCTAGGTATCCTTGTGCTCAGCTCCTTGTCGTTGATGTCCGCGTGCTCGGGTAGAGGAAATTTCGAGCTGTTGATGTACGTCTCAAGATAATGATCCCGGACCTCGTCTTTCGTACGATAGCCACCAATATGATCAGCGATGTCGGCCCAGGAGCCTAGACCGTACGTTTCTGCGCCTTCGAGGAGTGCTAGCTCTTCATCCGCACCCCAATCTTCAGTGTAGATGGGTATAGAATGTTGTTCTTGAACTTTGAACTTGTGGGTTTGTGGATCATGATTATGTGTCGTCTTGCCCTCGGAAAAGCAGGGTACACAGAGGTGGAAGTTTTCACATAGGGTATCGCAGGCAATGCGCACCTAAAACGTGTGCATTAGCATTCACTTCACAAGGGCGGAAAGAGTACGCACTGTTGACGTGATATCGGCCGAACAGACATCGCAGATGAACTTGAACCCCCCGCTGGTACCTCGCGCACCCGTCTTCTTCGTTATAGCGACCATTGCGATGCGCTCATCAAGTCTGCCACGTATTCAGACCAGGACGTTGCGTAATCTGATTGTGGTGAGGTCGGCGCGTTGCCGCGATCGCGCGCCACAGCTCTAGGCGGTCGGAGGTGGCTGTGTACACGAGTTCACTTCGGTAGTGACTGAGACGCGAGCAGTGAGAGAGGGGGACAACGAGTGCTGTGCAAGAGCTTAATGGCAGTAACTGGGTCCCATTGAAGATGAATGACGATGAACTCTGATGGAAATTTGATGAAACAACGCGCCAGTCCGCCTCAAAGGGGGTCAAGAGTTCGTTTTCACGTCCACAAGTGCTGCCTATCAAGCTTGACCGCGGGGAAGTGGCGCGCGGCGTGGCTCAGTCGGTCTTGGCGGCGCCCTCATTTCGCCCATCTAAGGAACGTTAGTTATCACATAAGACCGAAAGGCCCAAAGCCCAAAGCCCAAATCCACTTCCACGCTTTCCCGTGTACTGTGTGTCTTACAGACCGACCAGTACTATTCTTCAGACAATTCATTCTTCTCCTTACTGTCGCCTGTATCCTCTCGCAACCTACTCCCTCCTCTCTTTGCACAGCATCCGCTCTGTCCCTTGCCCGCACTTGCGTCGTCCCTTCTACTGTGCCAGGTCGAAAGAGGGGGAACCCGTGCACTTCACCTCCTTCCTCGATCGTCGAACGATATACCACACACACCCCCATATTGCTATTTCGCTGGCTCAAATAGCTTCTCAGTATGTCGTGGAAGCTTCCAAGTGTTACCAAAAGTATGTCCAAGATCATACCGTCTGTCTGGAGCAATGCTAATCATCATTACAGAGCTGAAGGAGACCCACTTGGCTCCTCTAGCGAATACATTCAGTCGCTCGTCATCGACGTCTACTATAGTTGACGAGAAGAATGCAAAATCATCTGACGGCTCAACGCCCAAGACCTCGACAGAGAAAGATGCAAATGGCATCGGTGCGTATACAAATCTATAATCATGAACAGGAGCTGATATATTGCAGCTGCATCCGAGGCGATTGCGACCCCGGCTCCCGCCCCTCTCAAACCCGGTATTCTCATAGTTACAATGCATGAGGGAAAGAGCTTTTCCCTCCCCCCTGGCGCAGAGCAGGCATTTGGACAGAGTCATCACCAAGGATCACTGTCAACTGGCGGTGGGTTCTCCGTAGCCGGCTCTGCCCGCCCAAACGCTTCTCGAAACCAAAGCGCTGTGGCTGGATCCTACACCGCGTCAGGTAGACCTCAATCTGCTGCTGGGAGCATCAATGCCGCCCCTACAATTCACGGCCGATATTCTTCAAAACATCTCCCATACGCGCTGGTAGACTTTGACAAACAGCAAGTTTTCGTCAATGCAGTGTCAGGCACACCGGAAAATCCAATCTGGGCTGGCGACAATACACAGTACAAGTTCGATGTCTCGAGAACGACCGATGTCTCAGTATCACTTTACATTCGCAATCCAAACGCACCGCCAAATGCAGGGCGAAACGAAGACATCTTCATTGGCACCTGCAAAGTGACGCCGCGATTCGAGGAAGTGCGTATTTCACAAGAGGACCCTAAAGCAAGTAAGAAGGACAAAGCTGCTGCTGGCGAATCAGATCGCCAACTGGGTCAAAGTGGCGCAGATTGGCTAGAGGTACAATACGGAACAGGCTCAGTAAAAATTGGTGTTCAATTTGTTGAGAGCCGCCAACGCTCACTCAAGATTGAGGACTTTGAGCTTCTGAAGGTCGTTGGCAAGGGTAGCTTTGGAAAAGTCATGCAAGTGCAGTAAGTCATTGTTAAACGACTCCTCTATGGAAACTCGCTTAACAAGATAAACACAGGAAGAAGGATACACACCGGATATACGCTCTTAAGACCATTCGAAAAGCACATATTATCTCTAGGTCAGAGGTCGCTCATACTCTAGCAGAGCGTTCTGTACTTGCACAGATAAACAATCCGTTTATTGTCCCGCTGAAATTCTCCTTTCAGTCGCCAGAGAAGCTGTACCTGGTTCTGGCTTTCGTGAACGGTGGCGAGCTGTTCCACCACCTGCAAAAAGAACAACGATTCGACATCAATCGCGCACGCTTCTACGCCGCCGAGCTTCTATGCGCGCTTGAGTGTCTACATGGCTTCAATGTAATCTATCGAGACCTGAAACCAGAAAACATCCTACTTGACTACACGGGGCATATTGCACTCTGCGATTTCGGACTGTGCAAGCTCGACATGAAGGACGAGGACAGGACGAACAGTAAGTCTATCGAATGATGTGTGGCCACTTTCTAATATGGCTTAGCATTCTGTGGTACCCCCGAATATCTTGCCCCAGAGTTACTGACCGGAGCTGGGTACACCAAAACTGTAGATTGGTGGACCCTCGGCGTTCTCTTGTATGAAATGTTGACTGGTCTGCCACCATTTTACGACGAAAACACCAACGACATGTACCGCAAGATCCTGACAGAGCCTCTGCATTTCCCAGGACCTGAGATCGTGCCCCCTGCAGCACGCAACCTATTAGAAGGTTTGCTCAACCGTAATGCTGAGAAGCGGTTAGGAGCAAAGGGCGCAGCTGAGATCAAGGCTCACTACTTCTTTCACAGCATTGACTGGAGAAAACTTCTAGATCGTAAATATGAGCCCAGTTTCAAACCTAGTGTCGTAAGTCGTCGCAAATTGCCATGCGAGTTGCACAGAAGTTAATGCGCGTAAAGGTCGATCAACGTGATACCGCAAACTTTGACCGTGAATTCACGTCAGAGGCGCCCACCGATTCATATGTTGATGGTCCCATGCTGTCGCAAACCATGCAACAGCAGTTCGCAGGGTGGTCCTACAACCGACCAGTAGCCGGGCTAGGAGATGCCGGTGGTAGTGTCAGAGACCCAGCATTTGAAGGGGCCCTTGGTGACAGGCAGACTTAAAAGAACTGAGCAATTCATCTGTCTTGGTGGTATGGGGTCGTAAACAGTTCTTGCCATAGCGCTAAGGACGTCAAGATGCAAACAAAATGACCAGCATAAGTTTATGGTCAACGGAGCTTACTGCAACGGTCGAAGAAATCTTTGGAACTGAGGCATCAGGTCGAAGGGGCAAATATCAAGCCTTGAATCTTAAGCACAGCAATGCAACCCTTAGAGCGCGGTTTGGGGAATTTATGGCGTCTTCTTTGATGTCTGTATCTAGACGCTTAGCAGTTGCAGGCGAAGCAATGCATGGAACAAACATCACACAGCCTCAGATCTGACATCTCCCTATTTTGGGAATGCGTTCATTTTCACTCGAGACCACATTAAGGATCTCGAGTATTTATCACTGCTCATAGGCAGAGTGCCGATTATATGCAGACAGAAGTGTTCGGAGATGCCGTCCCGATAAGGACCGATTTACACTGCTTCAGGTATTGCTAGATAGCTTGGGTTCTTTTGCTGGCCTCGTTCTGGTTGTCTAAAACATGACAATCTATCGGCTACAGCCCGTGAGCAAAGCACGACGCTGGTGTTGTACTCAACCTTAAGTGTACTCTGCTGAGGCATTTTGGAGCGTCATGTGCACATTCAATCACCATCAACGGTTTGGTATAAAGATAAGACGAGCGCCGACCACGGAAGAGCCTTCGCATAACGTCCACAGTAGTTTACCTATAGTTCGGCTGTTTGATCCTTACGGCTCTAGCAGACAAAGACTGGTAACATGTGTATAGAACAAGCGTTAGATATGTTACCCACAAGTGCATGCGATAGGGCAAAGAGCTGCAGCCAAAAGCTCATTCAAGGCCTGCGTAATAAGCCCGTCAGCCAGTGTAATGTATAAGTACCACTGCGGGGTCAAACAATGTCAACACCAGGCTGGCGTTTCAATGCAAATCTTGTTGAGCATGTTGAGCGATCATTCTGTTCGCCTGAGCTATCTCATCACTTGTGCCCTCGTCTCTTTCCTCGTCTACAAGTTCATAGTCCATCCAGGTTTTATCTCTCCACTCGCAAGGATACCAGCAGCTCACTGGTCATCTCCTTTCTGCCCGCTATGGAGTTGGTATATCAAGCTTTACGAACTCGAAAACACGACGGTCTGGACTCTGCATCAGACCAAAGGATCGATTGTCCGTATAGGGCCAACAGAACTTAGTGTTAATTGCTACGAGGGAGGTATAAAGACAATCTATGGTGCTGGCTTTGATAAGCCTGACTGGTACTTCAACAGGTTTTCCAACTATGGCGTCGATACAATGTTCACGATGAAACACAGCAAACCACATGCCGTTCGAAAGCGCATGCTAAGCCATGTGTATTCCAAGTCTACGGTCCTGGCCTCGCCAAATTTTCGTAACCATGCTAAGCATGTCTTGTTTGATAGGCTTCTGCCACTTTGGTCGAAACATGCGGATGAGAGGGTTCCGCTAGATGTGTATCCCCTCAACTTCGCCTCTGCCATGGACATGTTCATGGGATATCAATATGGCTCGAAGACCGGCAGCAACCTCATCCAGGACGTCGAGAAGCGCGACTCGTTTTTAGATAACTTCTTTCGCCCACGTTCGACAATCTTCTGGACCACTGAGATACCAAGGATCAATTTCTGGATTGAACGTTTCAGTCTTAAGGGGTTGGACAATTCTTCGAGCGTTGCAATCAAGGCTATCGAAGACTGGAATTTGGGATTGCTGGACAGAGCTGAAGAGACCATTTTGAATGCAATACAAGGTGGGATCGAAGATGAAGATCGACCAGTCGTCTACGAAACTCTGCGGCAGAAAATCAGTGAATTGTCTCTCCCGCAGGACAAGAGGTCTCGACTCACTGACGACAAACGAATCGTCGTCGCGAGCGACATGCTCGATCACTTAGCTGCTGCCCACGAAACTTCTGGCGACACACTGACCTACCTCTTCTATGAGCTCTCACAGAACCTCGAGCTACAATCCAGACTGAGGGCCGAACTATTATCTCTCCCAAATTCACTCACATTCACATTCTCAGTCCCCATATCGACTGTCAAACCTCCGGATCCTAAAGCCCTCGATGCTCTTCCTATGCTTGACGCTATCATCCACGAGACTCTGCGTCGATGGCCCTCCGTACCGGGTGCCCAACCACGTGTGACGCCATCTCCAGCTTGCACGCTTGCTGGCTACAAAAATATTCCTGCCGGGACGCGCGTGCAGAGCTATGCCTACTGTCTACACCGCAATGCAGACGTCTTTCCAGACCCAGAAACGTGGCGACCAGAGCGCTGGCTAAACGCATCGCCTACGCAACTTGCTGATATGAGACGGTGGTTTTGGGCGTTTTCAAGTGGTGGGCGAATGTGTATTGGAAGCAACATTGCTATGTTCTGTGAGTGGAGTGATGATTACTGTGGGCGAGTATATGTTTTTTGTATGCTGATGATGCTAGCTATGAAACATATCGTTGCGGCGTTGTATACCAATTTTCGGACCGAGATCTATGAGGCTGGGGACATGACTCAAGGGGATGGATTCTTTGGAGGGCCGAGGGGGAAGAAACTGATGTTGAAGGTTGAGCGGGCTTGAGAGCAATCAATCATATGTACATCACCGTGATAGTCAACTCGGGAACTCCTCTGAAGGTGCTCAGCTGTATTGATTTATTGTCACTATAGTAGTCCTCATCGGTGTCCCGCCATACTTAGGTAGGCGAGGTAACCTGACGCAGACTTTTTGGTATGATGGCGAAGCACCGCTCTACGAACGAGGCATTTGATTTCTTCATATCATGCGCAGCCTTGCGTTACGACGAATGGATCGTGTTGACTCGTACATCGATCCGGAAACAATCGGGAATAGCGAGTGGATTTCCTCCAAACCTCAGGCGTCCATTCCCGCTAGTTTATTGCCGACCCGTTCGAGACACAATGGTCTTCATCCTTCGCTTTCCATCGCGCTGATTGAAGTCCGAAAAAGCGACACATGGGACATCTCCGAGTGGTACACGCCTCGGAGAGTGGGGATCGATGCTACCTACTGGCAACGTCCGTTACGTAGCATCACTATTGAAGATGATATATGTCACGGTGGTAGTCAGTGAGTCACGAGTGCTCGTGTATATGAACGTCAGGGAGATGTGTACGTCAAAAATGAGTCTTGCCTACATGTTCTAGTGATCAGCTTTACGTTGAGGAACTATATGCCACAACACAATTGCACTATCCTCTTCTAATCTTCCAAGAATCACACTCTGCCATCTATCCATACACTGTAATTCATCAACCACTACAACTCCAAGATGCCTCCTCCCTTCCGTGCCTCCCAGATTGGTTCTCTCATCCGCCCGACCGCCCTTACTGACGCCCGCAAAACAAACTCCCCGGACCTCCCCCAACTCATACACTCCTCCATCAGATCCGCTCTCGCAAGCCAGCTCTCCTTCTCCTTCAGCCCCCTATCCAACGGCGAATTCCCACGCACAGTTTTCTGGGACGGCCTCTTCGAATCCCTCTCAGGCCTGACCCCAACCACCCTCCCAGTCCCCACCGACCTCTCCGCCCAACACGCTTTCCGCAAAGGCCACCCAACCCTACCCCTGATGCAGAAATTCGGCATCAAGGAGTTCACATGCTACATCGCAACGAGCAAGATCCGTTGGACGAAACCGGCGTATCTGGACGAGTGGGAGGGCATCAAGACAGCGCTCGCCGAGCTGGCGCACAGTCCCGAGGAAGCAGCGCGATTGCAGGGCCAGGTGAAGATGAGTATTCCGGCGCTCACACGCGAGCATTTCCTGCTTGCGGAGGGGCGCGCGTGGACGGCGGAGTCTGGGTATACGTCGAGCAAGGCATATCTTGCGGATTTGGCGGCGGCGTGGCGGGAGGAGATTCGGGTGTTGTATGATGCTGGGCTGCGGCATTTGCAGATTGATGATCCGCAGTTGACATTTTTTGTGGACGAGGGGTTGCGGGGGGCGATGGAGAGCGATGGGTTTGATGCGGAGGGTCTGTTGGGGTTGTATGTGTGGGCTGCGAATGAATATTTGAGGGATCTGCCGGCGGATTTGCATGTTGGGATGCATTTGTGTAGAGGAAACACGCCGGGGGGTGGGCATATGACGGAGGGAAGCTATGAGGTCATTGCGAAAGCGTTGTTTGTGGAGATGCGGTATGAGACGCTGTATTTGGAGTATGATACTGAGAGGGCAGGCGGCTTTGAGCCGTTGAGATATGTGCCAAGGGGTAAGAATGTTGTGCTTGGTGTGGTATCGACGAAGACAGATACTCTTGAGAACATTGAGGAGCTGGAGAAGAGAGTTAGGGGTGCTGCGGCGACCATAGCGGAGGCGCAGGGGAGAACTGAAGAGGAGGTCCTGAGGGAGCAGATCGGCATCAGTCCTCAGTGTGGTTTTGCGAGCTCGAGTGCCGGCGGCATGATGACTGAGGAAGGTCAATGGAAAAAGCTACAGTTAGTGCAGGAACTGGCGAGGAGATTGTGGCCAGACGAGGTGATCGATTTGGTATCGGAAGGGTCCAGGTGAGAGTGCCAAACCTCATGAGGTGGTGTAGGTGCCATCGGAATGGTTCAATGAAGGTATTAAGCATGTAATTATAAAGTGATAGTCTCGTACTATTCTATCTCATCTCTATTCACGTCAGGGGGCTCATACTCAAAGCTGCGAAGGTAGAAATTGAACTCTTGTTTGTCAAGTTCATACATCGTTAATGATGAGATTAGGGCTTTGATGCCTTAAGCTTCAGACATTAATAGTGGCGATATCAGCGATCTAGGGATCCAAAGACTGAAATAATGTCATATGCAAGGCAGTATAGTCATAGCTATAGGACTTATGCTTGACACACTTATTAAGTTGATAGCCAAAAAGAATATACAGAACCTGACGTTGAGTTTATCCGTCGTTCTCCTAGAATTTCTTAGAAGAGAGCCTATGGAGAGATATATTAGGTTCTAGGAGGACTACCTTCTTCCTCTTCTCTAAGAAATTAAACCCTTGTATTATAGCGTAAATTAGATAGTATAGAGCTTAGAAAGTATCAAGGATTGATCGCCTTATCCAACTTAGTAAGTATATATATATTATGACATATAGACTATGATATAAGGGTATAGAGGCAAAATAACTATCTGACAGGGGTATGTGAACACATGCGTGAAAATGAAGAATGCCAAGCCAACTCAGGTTCTAGGAAAACGACGGATGAAGTCTAGCGCAGTTCAGTGGGCCGTTCTTTGTTTTAGTCGTGTCATTTCTTTACTTTCATGAAATGCCACTCTAAACTCCTAACATCTTCTTTCAACTCGGGAAACAGCTACTATGACTCCCAAACAGTATCAGCGCATCACCGGCGATCTGCTACCGCATCTCGAAAAGTTCACCGATGTGCCTGGTATTTACAAACTTGACGAGCAGACAATCGTGAAGACAGGGAACGCGACATCAATGGCAGAAGCTGCAGCCCTTCGGCTGGTCCGTGAACAGACATCTATCCCTGTGCCAGAAGTTTTCGATGCTTACATGCGAGACGACGATGCAGAATGTGGGGCCATCATCATGGAATATGTGCAAGGCGACGTGCTTCGCGATATATGGCCTCAAATGACGCAAACTGAAAAGGACTCCATCGTTGATCAATTGAGAGATTATATGATTCAACTGCGGGAAATCTCGTCTGACTTTATCGGCTCTGTCGACAAGACACCATGTAGAGATCAGTTTTTCTCAGAAGAGCCTGATATGTTTGGCCCATTCGAGAGCGAAGGTGATTTTAGAGCAGGATGCATTAGAGCCATGTACAACTCTCGACACTCACATTGGACTGAGACAGTAGCTGGTTTCATCAAGGCCCTGCCGCCAGCTAAGATTGTGCTTACGCATAACGACTTTCACCCGCGAAACATCATAGTACGTGATGGCAAAGTTGTTGGTATAATAGATTGGGAACTCTGTGGCTTCTACCCCGAGTACTGGGAGTATGTGAAGGGATGGTATCGGGTAGACATAGACAACTCCTGGGTCCAGGAACGCGCCATCGACAAAATCCTTACTCCATTCCCACTTGCTAGAGCTGTCTTTGAACACACACGGGACATTATCTGGTAGAAAGACCTCCATGGTATCTTACATTGAAGGAAAACATGAATTCCGGGGTATGTGTACGCAGGTAAAGGAGGTCACAACCATCACCGCGCAATGCCCCATCAGGCTATCACTACAAAACAACAAGAGGGGCGGGAAAGCAGGATCCGAAGATGCGTTTGAAAGCTAGTCACCCATTACTATTACAAAATGGACCCGTAATCCATCATGATACATCGAAGTTCCGATATATTGCCCAATCAGGTGAGTGCGTATCGAACTCTGCTTTGTGGTGACTGCGCATCACTGTTGGCGTTGGGACGGAGCAGGATGACCTCGACCAGATACTTTGCTTTGTGAACTCCCACCATTGCTGTTCCTACTCCAGCTCACCCCAACATTACTCTTGGAGCCAGAACCTCCACCGAGAGAGCCCTGATTCTCATATGGCGACGGCTCTATCCTGTTCTGCAGCTGTGCCGCCTTACCAGCAGCGGGTATAAGGCCCCTCTCTTCCAACTTTGCCACAAGTGCCGTCGTCCAGCGTTGGCAGCGTTGTAATGGTATAGACTTTGCTGCAGCGTGTAGCTTTTTCTCGTCAGACCTGTTGAGATAGCCTATCAACTCTCGGCTTTCGATACCCCAACTATCAACTCTTTTGCCAGAAAGAATCTTCAAGACATAGCCTTCTCGTGGTCCACCCTCGACGTGTACCCATGTGCATGTTTGAGAGCCCGGTACGGCATATATGAGCATCCAGTGGGTTGGGTCCCGGCTTTGACGTCTCTGGCAGAAACCGATGTAGACTTTGAAATAATCAGACATTATTTGGAATGAAGCTCAGAGAGACAAGATGATATATCGAGGCTGACGGGACAACCTGCTGTGTGGTGAATATGAATATGAGGTCATTGCGAGACTGTCGCATAGCTGTCTTTGAGTTATCTTAAATACTCGATGCTCATTTACGTGAAAGCCAACTTTGGATTAACAGTCCATCCAAAACTATGCATTCATGATGCTTGACTGCCTTCATGTCTTTCGGTTGATTAGCTGACGTGAAGCTTTTCGCGCTGCGGCGTCTTGTCTTGGACTAACCCTGGCGTTATTTTTTCTTAGGTATTATGAGGCTGTTCTAGGAACCAGAGAAGATCTAAATCAATTTGCTTCCTCGCGCTGGTACTGAAGTCGAACATACTATGCCGCATCCCTGCGTATAATTGTGAGATAGTCTTGGTAAAATCTCACAGCGGTTATCGAACATGACTGTGAAGCCACACGCATGGATGTATTTACATCTTCTTAGAAAGGCTTAGCGCAATTTCCGGACGCGGCGAGGCTTGACGCTGCCGGTAATTAGTCAAAGCGCTTTGTTGGGCGTAGTTGCTACAAGAGACAAGCCCTTACTACTTCTCCATGCAGATTAATGATTTTCCTCATTTTTCTCTCTTGAAGTGAGACATCTTTTGATACATGTTGGCCCAGGATGGCGAATATTGACACTTCAGGGTCAGAGTACCCTCTCATGAGCAATAACAAGAAACGACAGCTGTACTGGCCAGATCCTCTGATTATCGAGCCTAGTGGTTCACATACAGCGACGGCTATCTTACTGCATGGCCGCGGCAGCAACGCAGAAAGGTTTGGTCTCGAATTCCTTAAAGCGCTGACCCGGTCCGGCAAGTCTTTGCCAGAGCTTTTCCCTGGCCTCAAGTTCATATTTCCAACAGCCAAGAAGCGACGGTCCGTGGTGTTGAAGAAGATACCTATCAACCAATGGTTCGACAACTATTCGCTGGAAGACCCGTCACAACGACAAGATCTCCAATACGATGGACTGCATGAGACGAGCTTGTTTGTGCACAAATTAATCGCTCAAGAGATCGAAGTCCTGCATGATGCGAGGAAAGTCATACTTGGTGGACTTAGTCAGGGATGTGCTGCGTCATTGCATGTATTGCTAAATTGGCAGTCTTCCGAAGACGAATCAAGTCACCTCGGTGGTTATTTTGGAATGAGTGGATGGCTGCCCTTTGCTTCAGATCTTGATCCAAGAGCAGAGGCTTGCAAGAACTCCGACGACAAAGACGAAGACGGTGAAGATGACATGTTTGGTTCTGACAATGAGGAAGATACCGATACGCCACGCGAGCCTGAGAGTCTCCAATCGATTCAGCGCAAAGCCGCTAATGTTGCGCGTGACATTGCGTCTCTCACAACTTTAGACGTGTCGACAGTGCCGACCTTCGGAAGCACGCCTGTTTTCCTAGGACATGGGATTCATGATGAGAAAGTGAATGTAAAGCTGGGAGAGCAGGCAAGAGATGTATTCCTGGCTCTGGGTGCGGAAGTAATGTGGAAAGCTTACGATGAAGGGCACTGGTACAAAGTCCCAGATCAGATTGATGATCTTGTGGCCTTCTTAAACGGTGTTCTTAATTAGACGTATTACATTTGATACACCTTGATTTACCTTACTATGACGGAAAACCGGACAGATTTAAAGACTTAAGACTTGGTTCCTTTACTCTCGCGCACATCCTATACGACACTTCGCAACAGTGCGTCATTGTTTTTCTTTCACAAAAAGCCTAAGGGACAGTGTGTATGAGTGAAATACGCGCTGTGTTAGTACTTGTCTTCAGCCTTGCGTTTTTACACCCCACGCCGCACCCTTGCATATAGGCAACAGTGGTTAGATCTTTAGCGTTTATCTCAGTGTCTTTCTGTCTTGATATTCCCACTCTGAGAGTATGGCAGCACTGTTCCTAAGCATTGATCCCCCCCTGACAATAGTCCAGCAATGGCTATGAATTTATGACGTGAACTTGACTGTGTAATAGGACGTAGATTTATTACAGGAGATGAAGCTTCGACAAGAAAATTTTACTCGACTTCGGACGGTATGTTGTATCGTTGACAGAAAGGGCACATCCTAACGTCCTTACTACTAATTAGATTCGAAGAAATGGAATGGAGGGATACCTAAGAGATATTACACATCAAGTAGAGAGTATATATGTCTAATGTCTCCTAGTACACATAACCAAAGTAGTTCTGCTATTAGTGCAAGCTATCAAATCCCATCTAGACGAAAGTCCCAAACAGTATAAAGTTCAATCTTTTTATATACTATGTGGAGTATTCTAAGATATGAAGTGTCAAGTTAGAACTCTTTGGGACTATACTAAAGATCATAGGTAAGGAGAGTCTAGTCTAATACTATCTAACATATAGTCAGACATCATCCGACTGGAACTATGGAGATTTATCTACCATCTAAGTTTCTTTATCTATTGCATTGATATACTAGCTCTCTTATTACTTTAATTATGTTAATTTCTTCTATCTCTACTATTGCACAACTCTTGTCTCTTGAGTTTTACTTGGTGTTTGATGATGAATAGACTTCATAAGTGCACGAGGAATGGGTTTATGACCTTTTTACTCTATCGGCTGTCTAGTGCTTGAATAAAGAAGTCAGTGGTTAAGAGGTACTGGCGGTGTGTAGACTCTGTTTTGATATCTATCGTCTGTTAGTGCATTGGGATCTTTGAGTAAACAAGTGCGTTCATGCTTATGTATCATTTTAATATATATTAATGTGCTTGGCTACTGTTAATAAAGATATCACTAGTGTACGTACCATATTAGTTGTCCCGCTTCACGGCTTACTTAAGGTACGACTCCCGGAGTAAATTGTAGGCCCCACAAGACACTCTCCATCTGCATAATGACTTCTTGCGGACATGTCTAAAGACAATCGAGTCCACTTCGAAATGACTGCCATGTGTCTCTAGTAAGACAGTGTTCTTTATGTCGAAACACTTTACACTGTTTATGGAACTTCTCTACAATTGAACCATAACTTAATTAACCCAGCTAGTAGACTTAGACTTTAGTCTCTGAGATATTACATGACCTACTCGAGACGAACAATTTTGTGTATCTCTAGCAGAGCATCACAAGAAACATAGCTAAATGGTTCAGTACATCCACTGTGGCCAAATCCAGGTGAGACTAAGGCTAACAGAGAACCACGGCACACTGAGGTACAAATGGAGGTCAGAATCCAAGAAGCACAAGCCCAAATGTTGTATTAGATCAATTGAAGAGACGAAAAAGGGTTATGGCGACCTATGGCTACCGTGTTTACGCGTCCTCCATATCCTCCCCAACAAACCACTGCTCTGACACATAACCTCTCGTTTCCAGTACACTCCATTCCTTATAGACCCTGTCGAACGGAATGCAATACTTCTTCCACGTGACTTTCTCCGTCAGGTCATCTCGTCCTGCTGGACCTCCCTCATCGACATCTCCGTTCTGATCGACCCACTTCGATGCTTTCTGCATCAACATCACTGTCCGCTCCTTAGCTGACTTGTCATCCAGTACCAGAAAGAATTGCGTGGATAGGTGTCCATCATTGTGATTATCGATGATGTTAGTAAATAAAGTTTGGATTGCGCCGTCGGAGCTGGATTTGAGATCTGACTTTTCGGTCGTGCTGATCTCTTTGGTCGGCGTCGTGGGACTGCTAGGTGACTTGGAGGAGACGAGAATGTACGGTATCTGCGGCTCTGTTTCGCTTTCTAGGTTCGGATTGGCAGGTACGGCGGCTGTCTGTACAAAGTCGGTCCATAGTTCAGGATTGACGTCTACTTGGGCGAAGACGGGAATGTTCATTTTGGAAGGAGGTAAAAGTTGTTCGGGAGGAGTTCGATGCTGCGTAATCGATTGTGAAAGTTTGTAGATTTTCCAAACAAAAGTTTAAGGTGTAATAAAATCAGTGAGAAGGTCCTGCTACTTCTGTTTGTTGGAAGAAGTGATGATTGTGTGGAGTCTATATATGCGCGATTCTTGGAGAGGTGCACTGTTGATATGACATAATATGACGTACTAACTGTTATGATTTATGAAAATGTAGGACTAACACTGCCTCGTGCATTGACGCTTTTTTCTCCAGTTGTATGACGGTGAAAGGGTATGTAAGTAGTGAAGTGTGTAACGTAAGCACGAACGGTTTACTAAATATAGGAGGGGCTGAATGCTGGTCTGGATCCGGATAAGTGCCGTTCTGGTGCCTTGTTGTTGGTGCGTTCGGTTTGCCGATCAATTGCTAGGTATGTTCTTCTAGGGCTAATAACTCTAATTCCAACTTCTAGTGTCTCTAGGCTGTTTGTCAAGAGCATTTCCAAAATTAGTCTAGTGGTATTATTTTGTGCAGACATCACCAAATAGTTCATCTTATTCGCACAAAGAAATTTTCTTGATACTCTAGTAGACAGATAGTTTTCGGACTCGTGCTTGCACACATTTGTCCGCATAATATACAAGGAGACACCTAAATGAGAGCTGTTCCACAAAGTTGGGTTATGCCACAACCGGGCCGCTACTGTTTGATAACATAAGGATCCTCTTCATTAACCTCCTCATCCTCACGTTTCGAAACTCGGGCCCAGTTCTTTCCTGTCCATCGATCTCCGGCATTGAACGACATCATATGATACTGAATGCGGTTATTCGGTCCGCGAGCGTCCATGCGCACAAAGGAGATCCTCGCAGGATCAGTATCGTCTTTGCCATCCTCCGGACAGACACTGTGATCTGGTGGTGATGCTTGCAAAGCATCACAGTAAGGAGCATGTGCGTAGTTCGTGAAGCGTCTGAAGTACCATTGCCTGTCACCGACGCCGAGATGAGACAGCTGGCCACTGATGCGGGAACCAATCTCTACGCTTATGGTTAGTTCCTTGTATCATTTTGAGAGAGCTGGGGGTCCTATCAAGACAGCTTGCATACCTTCATTCTGATTGACTTGAGTTGGACCTAGGATATCACCACTGCCCCCCTGTGCGGAGGAAGCCATTGTAATTTCCTATCAGCTGCTTTAGAATCCAAAATATACTTGATAATATCTGACTTACCTCAGGGCTTCTACCGATCTGGTTCAAGATTGTGTCTGTGTGGTTCAATCCTCTATCGAATCGTTGCTGCTCGGTGAGATACAGTGGGCGTGCATCGACACCAGAGTCTTGTCTGTGAGTCGCAGAGATTCCAATCTGTCGCTGGGTAGGATTCGGTACTAGAAAGCACAGTATACCGTAGCAGTCGAGGTTACAGACCGCATCTGCGCCAGAACAGTCGACGTCGACCTGGAATGGATCGTTACGGTCTCCTAGTGTTCGTTTCTCAACTTCGACGGGAATAACTGCGGCTGTACTGAGGACGCCCAGATAGGCTAAAATAATGGTTATAGTTGTAGGCTGCATGATGATAGAAATTTAAGACACAATGAAAGGCAAACGACGAGGTATTCTGGTAATGGCTTCGAGATAATGTTATGTTTCGAGGGTGAGGAAATGAATATGGTTTGATTCTACAAAATCATATATGTCCTCTTTATACTCGAATATGGGGTCTTAGGATTCCACCTGTCTACTCCCTCTTGTCATGCAAAAATGTTGTGATCGGCGAATATGAAGTCTCAAGCCTCGATGAAGACTATTTTTACATTTCCAATGCAACAGACAACAGCGGTCGTTGATCAGAGACATTCTTGTCAATCACTGAATCGTCGATCGAACATGAAACATAGCTCTACGACTGTAGTATGATCTGCATGACAGCGAATGTAGTCATGGGGCTATGTTGCTGAGTATTGCCCTGACTGGCATCAATCTCATGCGAACGAGCGTTTTGTCGCTTTGAATGTGATATTACCAATGTCTACTCTTGCCTAGTAGCTGAGGACGATCAGTGGAGCTATCAGTAAAACACAGAGAGTGGAGACCGCATACATGACTACACTACATAGTGAATGTTGGATTCAGCGTATTGTTGGTCTCCATTGCTGACCATAGGATGGAGAACTTGGAGATCTTACAGGTACAGACGTCATCACGGAGGAACTTCGTCTCGGAGGAGCTCGATACTTGAATTGTGTTGCAGGTTCCGGACTCTGCCTCACTGTCTCACGCACGTTACCCCTGCTGCTACACGGCAGTTATGAGGAATATGAAGCCTGGATTCTACCTGCCAATCAGCGTCGTAGACTTGGGAACGCGAAGTAATTCGTCCATGAACTTGGAGCCTCTGCCTATGCGCGAATAAAGTTCCTTTCTGGCATAATTAGTCCAACAGTCAAGCAACAAAGAGTTATGTCTGCATAGAGCACTAAAACATCTGTGCACGTGTTGTGTTGTGTATGATGTGCGAAAAGTGCTAGGTAAACGATATTTCAGCAGAAGCCGTGGCCGTACACCGGTGATAGACACTGTCAGCCTCATCGTGTGTAATTAGTGTAGGGGCTGAGTTGGGATTGACGTTTGTGAAATCAGCAAACTCATGCTTGCATAGGAAGATGTGGGGCTAGCTCGGCTATTACCGTCGGCCGACGCTTTACAGAAAACCGCTAAGCCATGTCCGGAAGTCCTAGTACTCGCTGTATTGCAGGATTTAGGTCTGACTTTTAGGCATCCTGTACTTTTTGGTGTCTAAGCTCGTTGCTGATCATGCAACAAACGCTGCAAGTCACGGTATGACGACGGTAAGGCTCATCGCAAAAACGTCTCTAACCATAGCATGTCCAGACTTACATAACCTATGTTGTGTTGGTTGTGGCAAAGCTAACTTCAAAAGTATTTTGGAGGTCTGTGCAAATGTTTATCTTTTCCAAGTAGGGTAATGCATGTATTTTGGTGCCACCTCGAAGTTTTGTTATGACAAAGCTGTCATGGTTGTATCCACCATCTGTTTCATTTTTCGACACGGCCTTCGAGATACTATGACGACAGACTTGTGGAATGGCCCCTCTCAGAATGTCGATCAACTCAAGGTAATAGCATCACACGCTCTAGAACCTATATTTAGTATTGCAAGATCTGTATAAGTATGAGATATCTCAGCACCCGAATCAATATTCATCAACAGCTCAACCTTCCAAAACATTCAGAACAACCATACCTACCACAGAATCCAGACCTAGTTTGAAACTTTACATCTAAACCAATCTCAAAATGCATTTCTCGACTCCTATCTCCCTACTCGCTGCTATTGCAGCAACCACCTCCGCGCTTCCAGCCACCCAGTCTGGTGCCGGTCAAGCCGGTGGCCTTCCACCACTTCCGCTCGACCTCGAGGCCGGAATCCACCATTTCTCTTTCGATTCCACCGGCGCCCCTGTCATCAAGCGTCTTGCCAACCTCAACACCACCACTCCCGCAGCTCTTGACCGTATGGCTGTCGAGAAGCGTGTCAACACATGGACAGGCTGCGAAGACTTCGGGTTCAGCACCCAGCAACAGGATGCCGTCGAAACTGCCTGGGGTAGTTTGTCGAACTGGGCGAACTCTCAGGGCAATGGGGAGTCTCCTTGGGTCCACGGACACTACTTTGCCTTGACGGATGCAGGAACCTATGCTTATCTGTGTGAATGGGGCAATGGAAACCATGGTACGTAATGACAATTTGAGTCTACTAAGGAGGAAAATTTGCTGATACTTTGACTTTAGCAACATCAAACGAAGTTGCCCAGGCCCAGGGGGTTCTAGACACTGCCTGCTACAAATCAGCGGGGATTTACCAGTGGAATGAGTGGAAGAAGGGGTTGGGCATCTCGGCTCTGGGCAACCCCTGGTGCAACGGCCAGTCTCCCGCTTAGAGTAGAAGGTTGGAGGATGAGGACTTTTGTACTACTACGCTCATTGTGTATGACCGGATATAACCTACGCGCCAATCTTTCTATAGATCGTTAACTCTCATTCAATTTCATTTTGATGCTTTGACGTCTTGAAATATAGAGGCTCTAATCCATTTGTCCCATTAGATACTATGATTGCAAATTTACAATGCATACAGCCGGCAGGATGAGAGATTGTTCAAGTTATGATAGATGTGAGTCAACAGCACGTTTGCTAACTCGATGGATTTATCCATGCCATTAGTAGATGAGATTGCGAAAGTTGAAAGAAACAATGTCCGATCTATTCTCTTCGTAGGTATATTTTCGGGAGGCGGAGGGCGGACTAGCTGAGCTAAGCTAGCCTCACTTCGCACTAGCTTCGGAGAGCGAAAGCGGCCACGAAGCTTATGAGCTCATGGCGGAGTTCACAATCCCGAAAAAGACAAAATTCACATACCTACAAAAGCTGATGTCGCATGCACTTCTTGAGCCTCCAGCACCAGAATCTTGCGATCCTGAACCTCCGTTGTTATGGCTTGGCACGACCAAGACAGCTGGCTCACATGGGTTTTTAGCCCAAGCATATCTGCTATTATAGTAACAGCTCTGATAGCCCTCCTACTACCAGTCTTAATACACACAATCCTGTACCGGACACAAGCGCAAGCGTCTACAGCCTCATTCTTGCTTCTAGGACCTAGTGGCGCGGGCAAGACGTCGCTATTAACCCTTGTATGACTTGGAAGGCCATTCAACACCAGGAATAAACTGATCGCTATTTGTAGCTTGAGCGCGGCTCGACCTCAGCAACACATACCTCTCAAACGCCTTCAAGTGCCGAAATCACCCTGCCTTCCACGATCAAGTCTGCCTCCAACGAATACCGATCCGAGAATGACTCTTCTTTCAGTGGAGCGCAGCGCTTCATACTTACCGATACTCCCGGCCACGGCAAACTCAGACAATTTGCTTCAGACAAACTTGATGCGAAGACGTTGAAGGGCATAATATTCGTGGTTGATGCGGCGAATTTATCGAAAGAGTCAGGAGGACGCGCAGAAGAGGGCCTCACCGAGGCTGCGGAGTACCTTCACGATGTGCTACTAGCGTTGCAAAAGCGATACACGAGTGCGAAAACTAGCAAGGGACCGAAGGAGCTACCAGTCTTGATAGCAGCAAACAAGTTCGACCTATTCACCGCTTTGCCTGAGAAACTCGTCAAGACAGAATTAGAGAAGGAAATCACAAATGTGAGGAACACAAAATCGAAAGGGCTACTGGATTCTGGCATTGGCACTAGTGATGACGCAGTGGAGGAAGAGAAGGAGTGGCTTGGGGATGGGGGCGAGGGAAAGTTTGAGTTCAGACAAATGGAGGAGGTCAATGTATTTGTGGATGTCATAGGGGGAAATGTCACAGGCGCAGATGGCCCTGGCGTGGGCAAGTGGTGGGAGTGGATAGCCAAGCAAATTTGATTGCGCTTTGGTCGCGCAATCATACGAAGAAGAGCAGATGACATCTGCGAAAGCCAACGTACGTGGGTCACTATAGACGAATTAAATCTAGAGTTTAATACATGAAATCTGTAGTACATATAAAGCGTATGTGCAAATCGGCGGCGCCGATTGCACAATCGCCACAGTGTTTAAGTCTATCTTTGCGAGCGCAAGTGATGATATTACCAGTATGTATGCGTGCAGTCTATGAAATTCCCAAAGGGTAATAGACGTCCATATGAATTAGTTTCCTGGAGCTGTAAACTACTTCTTTTGATCTAATAAGCGTTGAGTACTGCATGCTTCATCTCCATAGGGCTGAACTAGCTCAGTTTAGCGTCTAGCCAGGGCGGGGCTCCTTTTGCGGGTACAAACGGCTTTGCTTGAACCCCGACGCCACCTTGGATATCCGGATGAAAAAGTTGAGACGACGACTAACACCAACGAACGTTCTACAGCGTGTGTCGGATCTGGCCGATTTCCTCAATCATTTCTTCATAGATTTGTTCTAAATCTTTTGTTCCTGACTCCTGCATCAGCTCAAACGTACAACTCAAGATGGCTTCCACCAAGACGCGCCCCGCCATCCCTCCAGTAGTGATGGAGTCTGTGATCGAGCAAATTGGGAACACACCACTGGTGCGCCTGAATAAGATACCAAAGAGCTTGGGAATAGAGGCAAACATGTACGCAAAGCTGGAGATGTTCAATGCCGGAGGCAGTGTGAAGGACCGCATTGCGCTTCGCATGATAGAACAAGCTGAGAAGGAGGGTCGCATAAAGCCAGGCGACACATTGATAGAGCCGACGAGTGGTAACACTGGTATCGGTCTCGCTCTCGTCGGCGCAGTCAAGGGCTACAGAGTCATCATCACTCTTCCGGAGAAGATGTCGCCGGAAAAGGTCTCTGTTCTCCGCGCCTTCAACGCTGAAATCATTCGCACCCCAACACAAGCTGCCTCCGAATCTCCTGAGTCGAACATCGGCGTCGCAAAGCGTCTACACAAGGAGATTCCCAACTCGCACATCCTCGACCAATACAACAACGAGAACAACCCCCTCGCCCACGAATTCGGCACCGCAGAGGAAATCTGGGAGCAAACAGAAGGCAAAGTGACCGCCATCGTCGCCGGCGTCGGCACAGGCGGCACAATCACAGGCCTCGCAAACGGTATCCGCAAACACAGCTCGACAGTGCGCATCATCGGCGCCGACCCTATCGGCTCGATCCTTGCGCAGCCCTCATCCCTCAACACCTCCTCTGAGGGCTACAAAGTCGAGGGCATCGGCTATGACTTCGTTCCCGGCGTGCTCAACCAAAGCAGCGTGAACAAATGGTACAAAACCGACGACCGCGCCGCCTTCCACTACGCCCGCCGCCTCATCGCCGAAGAAGGCATCCTCTGCGGCGGCAGCTCCGGGTCCGCCCTCGACGCCGCCATCAAAGCATGCAAAGACCTCGCCCTCACCGCCGACGACACCGTCGTCGTCATCCTCCCCGACTCCATCCGCAGCTACCTCTCCAAATTCGTCGACGACGACTGGCTCGCCGCAAACGACCTCCTCCCCTCGACCCCGCCGCCGTCCCCGCCAGCGCACATCTCGACCCGTCGCACCTCCGTGTCCGCATCGCATGATCCCTTCCACGGCGCGACCGTCTCCGCGCTGCGCCTCAAGCCCATCACTACCGTGCTCAGCGACAGCACATGCGGCGCCGCCATCGAGACGATGCGCGACAAGGGCTTCGACCAGATCCCCGTCGCGTCCGCGCCAAACGGCACAAGGCTCGTCGGCATGTTGACTCTGGGCAATCTGCTCTCGTGGATCAGCCGTGGGCGTGCGAGTCCCACGTCGCCCGTCACCGAGGTGATGTTTGATTTCGGCAAGTTGGCCGAGATTGTCACCGATCCGACCGATTTCACGGCTCTGTTTGAGGCGCAGTCGCTCGAGGATAAGCATGCTGCTGCGAATGGAGATGCGAGGATTCGTCGACCCAAGGGCAAGGGCCCGAGGCCGTTCGTGGAGATTACACGGGACACGCCGCTGAGTTCGCTGAGTCGGTTCTTCGAGTGGAACAGCGCGGCGGTGGTGACGGAGAAAGATGGGCAGGGGACGATGAAGCCTGTGGCGGTGGTTACAAAGGTTGATTTGCTGACATGGTTGGTGAGGCAGGGCAAGACGAATGGACATGTGTGAGCATGCTTAGATTGGGTGTATACGGTACTGTTACGGCGTTGGGATAGATGTCTACATCATGTACTGCCCTTAGAGGCATGTCTACTTCTCTTTCAACATAGAAGATACCATTCATATCAAGACTCCGCAAGGGGCCGGCGTCGTGGAAAAACAACATCGTCAATTACGCTACAGAATAAGGATCAAAACTATCGAGAATGCATGCTCCTAAAACAAGACGCCCGTTAATGCTAGGGAGACCTGAAGCAGACTTTGCTCGTAATAGCATCCGGTCATCCTCAGTTGGTATCCCGGATCATGCCTTTCGAGTCGAGGAAGCCATGATGTGTTAGTGTAATGCGTACTGAGCTGTGACCATTTGCCCAGCATCTGTCATACATCAATCGTCGGCCAACAGAGGCGCACGCTCACGATCCTCGGAAACGATCTGTCCGCGCTTGATGGGGTCCTGGCCAAGTAGGCCTGGAATGCCGACTGCAAGCGAGAGGACGAACAGAACGCTCATGATGACGAAAGCGAAGATCCACTGAAATGCAATGGTCTTGGTGAGGAATTGACCAACGCCGAGAGCTATCATGATGTTAGCGATAATGACAACTTTGATGAGTGGCTGAATAGTGAATGGGGACATGATCCAGGACTTTCCAATCTAGTGAACTGTTCATGTCTCCATTTTCACCACAAAAAGACTTACCAGCTGCCAGAATGGACAACTCAAAGCCCATAGTGTAATCCTTGTATGCAGCCAAGAAGAACGCCCCGTATGTCAATATACCCCAGACAAAGATGTTCGCGACGATGCGTGCCACCAGACTGTGCCCATTCGGATTGATAGCGGCAGCTCCAGCCCAGTACAGAGCCACAAAGTTCCATGCCAGTGGGGCCGAAACAACAGCGATGTGAATCCAGCGCGGAGTCTTGCTGTGATTAAAGTAGGCGGTGGAGAGGTTGATGAAATTGAGAGCGAGGATCAACTCCGCGATCCAGAAGTACGAGCGCACCCAGAGCATTATAAAGGCGAAGAGGAATAGATTGTTGAGGATGAAGTGTGATCCGACAGTTGCAGCTGCAGTCACATAAACGGAGTTGCCGCTGTACAGGTGCCACGAGTAGCCAATTTGTAGAATGTAGAGAACGATCCTAGAACTTGTCGTCAGAGACTACACCCATTCGACATTCAGACCCAGACTCACCAGTAGATGCTCACAATGACACTATTCAAGGCAAAAGCGGTAGGATGAAGATCATTTTGACCCCATATGGTGTGTCTGTCCTTACGGCCATTGCCTCCGTCGTGAGGGCGAGCGAAGGTGTAGTAGACGCTGGTGATGAGAAGCAGAAGCCATGACAGGGCGGTGCCAATCTTATACGTGAGTACAGCTTCACGAGAGGAGTCGCCAGACTTGAACGGATTGATGGCTGGAGGTTGACTGTTAGAAAGACTGGCAGAATTGCTTCGAGTGCGAATGAGATGACGAGCACTCATAGTGTAAGAGATGATACGTAGATGGTAGTTGGTAGACAGCAGCTGTCTGATATACGATGGAATACTTGGAACAACCAAGGCAGAAGGGAAGAGCGAGTGACATGTGAGAGGTGACAGTTAGGGATACCTTGACTTACAGTGGACGGCCTGGTGGGCCGATTCGATCGTCTCGTTGTTGGAGATCTGAGACGGCATGATGCTGTTATATGCTTTGACTTCGCAAAGGAACTCTGACTCGCTGCTGCGTATAGAGCTCGAGAAGTGTAAAGAAGAGTGACCGGAGATAGTTTGCGGGAGGCAGAGAAGGAGACCTCCAAGCTTCTTCACGGGACAGAGAGGGGGTTTTGTTTGGCCGCAGTAGCCCCAGGTTTATGAGCAAAGGCTGCCTGAATGTGAGCCTGAATATGAGCTGCAACATCACCCAGATTGCACCTTCCCTCTCTCTCTCAAAGTTTCAAATCCTGCAGCTACCCTGGCGCCGACGTCACTTTGAGCGTGGGTGCTAGTCCTAAAGAATACTAGTCTGGGCGTGTGGCAGGGATCAGGCGGACACGAGCTCCCCACTGTTCTGCGGGGTCCAGTGTGTGAAAGAAGCTTGGAGGGACTAATTAGGTGACTAACTACTAATTACAGTAGTAGTACTAGTAGTATGTAGGGAATAAGCAGCGTAAGCCTGATGCCTGACTCTCAAGCGTCCATATCATTTCCTGCCACCATCATTGTTCATCATTCACCAGTGTCCAGTGTCAGCCCTTGCGTGTGGAGGTGTTGGGGTTTAGCATCTGCATCTGCATCAGCTCAACAAGGTAGCTGGTCACGGTGATCACTACACCTTCCGTGCCAGGGACCTTATTGCGGCGTATGCGTGCATGTTTGTGCGCACTGCTCCGACGCACGAGAATGGACACTCGAGGTATGTAGTAGGTATCCGCATCCATGTTTATTGTACCATGACGGGTGCTTTGCTCTCAATCCTACAGATTCCAACAGGACGGGTCCAATTCACAACCTCTGCTTCAGCGTGCTTAGCTCGCCCGACTGAGAAGCCTGCATTCCACTTTGTAACACCTGGTAATGTGTTACTATGCTTTACCGACCTTGTATCTACCATGATAGGTCAGCTAGGACACAAGCTTGCCCAGGCCATAGTGACGAGTCATGAATTGAATCCGAACCTCATCAATATAAGCTCGTGACACCTTAGCCTTGACGCCTTTTCCCCGCTTCGTCCAGCATTCTCTCCGTCCTAGCCGCTTATTCAATTTCATTCCCTACTTGCTTATTGCTCATTCCGTCTAATATTTTCTTAGGACCTCCCAAATTTTCATCATATCAGCTCTAACGCGTGTTTCCTCGCATAGTCACTACTCCTCTAGCAGCATGTGAAGGAGGTAGTTTTGGATTACACATCAATAAGTGGTTTGTATAGCGAGTCATGTGAGCGAGCGTCCAGCAGATATCCATTCAAAGCGCAGCTGGATCAAAGATCTGGACAGCGCCGGACTCATACTCATACGACAGGACCATATAAGATTGGAACCGAGACATACAATCGACCGCGGAGATATGGCTGCGACACGAGCGAGAGCTCTATTCATCTCTCAATAGCAGTTTCTGTAATTACTATATGATTCTCCTCCCAGGTAATGCCTCCCGCTGGTGTAATCTATTCCACTTATATGCCTATGCCAAGTCCCGGTACCGCCAGTTCCAGATTCGTCCGCGGCTCTTCCCAAGCTAGCCAGTCACTTCGTGTTGTTGGTAGAAGTCCCATCTGATTCACCTTCCATATTCCCAAAGCCAGAGCTGCGCAGTTTGTCGCCAAGAAAACCAGCTTGACCTGAATCAGGCGGCCAGATGTGTTGGGTGTTTCAAATGGCAGAAATGTACGCTGAATATTGAGAACAGCGGTAATAGGGGTTTTGAATAGCATGAACACCATCATGATGCTGAATATCTGTAGCGAAGAGCCAGACATGTACATGCCGATAGCGTTCATTGGTAGCTGTTTGGCAGGTGCAATAGCAACTTCCCAGGCCTTCTTCACTTTCAGTGTTTCCATTTCTTCTTGTGTTGGGGGTTTACGTTGAGGCGTCTTCGCTGAAGCGCCGCGCTGTTGTTTCGCGGTCGTGAAGCCCGGAGGATCAGGTATAGAGGAAATCTTCGGCTTCGTTGTTGGCGTGGCTGCGAGATCAAGTACCCACTGAGGGGGAGGAGGAGGAAGCGCAGTCATCATAGAGTTACTGAATAGTTCCGACGTATATGTTCGACAAACACTGTGTGAGCAATGTGGTTGTTGGTTGTTTGAACAGGCTTCCACATTCTCGTTGAACGTCGTCCAAAAGTGTCCGTTGTGCACGGACGTTATGTGGAGCGGTTTTATTAAGCAGGAGCTACCCTACTGAACCTTACCCCAGATGCAGACTTGAGCATGGGAACAACTCGTCATTCACATATTCGCGCGCTTCTTCGTGTTTGTAATGTCATTTTCTTTCCCTTAGACATGCTCAAAAACTTCCTGGTGGCCTAATCGAACGATCAGACCCTTCGCGAAATCGCAACGCCCGGACTCTGACAGCTTCGGCTCGTATTGGAGGGGACTAAAGGAGAACGACTAAATCGCAATCGAGGAAAGCGTATATCACCTTAGAAGTTGAAACAGACATATCCGGACAGCATGAGTACAACGGGGCAAGATGCGAAACTTTTCGCCAGGGTAGGTTATTCACCTCTTCTACCTCATTGCTTGGTTGCAGACGCAGCCGTATATCTAGACTCGCGCCTCAAGCCCGTAGCAACCGCTCCGCATCCTCGCAACCGAGCGTTCGTATCCGCGGCTGAGACTTGCTTTCCAAAAAGTTACAGCTCCATTGGATAACACGCTCGAGAAATGTATCTAGGACTGTCTAATCATGTTTTTCACGACTCTTAGTCTAAACTCAAAGCTGCATACCAATAGTGTTTCTAACAGACCTCCGCAGGGCAAAGTCGCAGAACTACGATTAGAGCTTACCGCTGGCGGAAAGAAGGACAAAAACCATGCTGGGAAGAAGATAGCACTGAAGAAGATTGTGGCCAACATGACCATGAGCAATAACGACATGGTGGCTCTGTTTCCCGACGTCATTGTTTGCATGCAGATACCCAACCTCGAGATAAAGAAGATGTGAGAAAAAGCTGGCTTTGAGGAGGACTTTGTAGCTCATGACTCTCCTAGGTGTTTCCTCTACTTAGTCAACTATGCGCGTATAAAACCAGATGTTGCGCTCAACGCTTTGCCAATCCTCGTTCAGGTATATCGACTCTGTCATGATTGCTGTTGCAGATACTAATAAGGCTGAAGGATATGGAAGACAACAACCCTCTCGTGCGAGCGCTCGCATTAAGGACCATGTCCTATATACACGTAGCGCAGTTCATTGAGAAAACAATAGGACCACTCAAGAACCTATTGCGGGATACTGATCCATACGTGCGGAAAACTGCGGCCTTTACAGTCGCCAAACTTTACGATCATAATAAGAACTTGGTGGAGAACTCAGATCTCATCGACCGATTGAATAGCATGCTTAGAGATGACAATCCTTTTGTGGTCTCTAGTGCATTGGCTGCGCTGATGGATATTTGGGAAAGGAGCGAGTCCATCAAGCTGACCATTGACTATGCCAGCGCATCGAAGATAGTACAGATACTACCAGAGTGCTCAGAGTATGTCCAGCATTCGTCGCACTTAAGACATTGCTAATGGTTGCAGATGGGGTCAAACGTACATCTTGGAAGCCATGATGAATTACGTCCCCCAGGACAATCTAGAAGCCGCATTACTGGCCGAGCGCATCTCGCCCCGACTTTCACATAGCAACTCGGCTGTCGTCCTGACCTGTATACGAGTTGTACTCTACCTCATGAACTATATTGCCGACGAGAAGATAATATCAGCCTTGTGTAACAAGCTATCGCCGCCACTTGTCACACTACTCTCCAAAGGACCCGAAATCCAATACCTCGCCCTCCGTAATGCACTCCTGATCCTTCAAAGAAGACCGGATGTCCTGCGAAATGATATTCGTGTTTTCTTCTGCAAATATAACGACCCAATATATGTAAAGGTTACTAAGTTAGAACTAATTTTTATGCTCGCCAATGAGCGTAACATCAACGAAGTTCTCACAGAGCTCCGCGAGTAAGCAATGACACTCACGACGATAAATTTCGTACTGACTGTCTGTCCTAGGTACGCGACAGAAATCGATGTCGATTTCGTACGGAAATCTGTTCGCGCCATAGGAAAGCTAGCTATAAAGATTGAGCCAGCCGCAAGGCTATGTATCAATACGCTGCTTGACTTGGTCGCTACTAAAGTATCATACATAGTACAAGAGGCGACCGTGGTAATCCGCAACATCTTCCGCAAATATCCAAATCAGTACGAATCGATCATCTCTACGCTCTGTGACAATTTAGACTCGCTCGACGAACCTGAGGCCAAAGCGGCGATGATATGGGTCATCGGGGAGTATGCGGACAGGATTGATAATAGCGATGTACTACTTGATGACTTCTTGTTCACGTTCGCAGATGAGACACATGAAGTTCAGCTCGCGCTTCTCACAGCTACCGTGAAACTGTTCATTCAAAGACCTACCAAGGGACAAGAGCTTGTACCGAAGGTCTTGAAGTGGGCGACTGAAGAGACAGATAACCCAGATCTCCGAGACCGAGGGTACATGTATTGGCGACTACTTTCATCTGATCCCAACACCGCTAAAAAGGTGGTCATGGGCGATAAGCCCGCTATCACAGCAGAAGAGAGCGAAAAGCTCGATCCGACCACATTAGAAGAGATGTGTCTCAACGTCGGTACGCTTGCGACAGTCTACCTTAAGCCAGTCCAACAGGTGTTCCGGTCTGCAAGACCTAGACGACTACAGGACTCTAAAGCACTACAGAAACATCTTTTACCAAGCTACATTGCCGCCCAACAAGCCGCAAAACAACGACCTTCAGAGATAGACACGAATTTCGCAAACTCAAACGGGAACATTGCTGCGGCGGCTGATGCTGCCGATGCGTACTTCAATGGTCCCGGTGGTGCGCAACTGGCCAATATGCACCTCAGTCCGGACTCGATTGGTGGGTTCGGTGGTAGTCCTGTAAGCATGTCGGGCGATGCCGCGATGCAAAACATGTACATTGTCACGCAAAATCAACCACAACAGGTGACACAAACGCCGAGCAATGGAGACCTGTTGTTGTTATAATAGGGAAAACTGGTACGATAAGATGACTAGACGAATGGGGTGCGCCCAGAACTGGACTCTTTGTATGCAGGTTTGGCGCCGGGAACGATACCGAGATGTAGCACCTACAGATCTGAAGAATCAATTATAAGGCGAATTGACGAACATGTTGGACTTACATGCTGTTGGTGCAATGACATGATTTATTGTGATTGATAAACATTCCGAATGATCCGAGCTTCTGCACCTTCGCCGTTCTGCAACCTAACACGGCCCCCTGCCAAGAGGAACCATCGCCCAAACTTGGAAATTGTGTTTCTCTCTTCCTTTGACACGTCGTACGTTTGCATATTACACTTCCCAAGCACCCATCTCATCTCCTCAACAGCAGCTACAATGGCCTCTTAGACGCACGACAGAATGATACTTCACCCCAGTCACTCACTACATATTCGGGACCCAGCCATGTCCATACTCACTAGTCACCCGCCGCCTGCATCCGCCTTTGGGCCAATCGCAGCCCTGGTAATCTACATCGCCATCACCCTTTTCTTCACCGTCAAAGTCGTCACCGATATCATCTCTCGTGCGCGACGGCTCGGCAGCTCATTCACCTCAGCGTCGATAAGTACACAACAAGCTTGTTCGATAGCGCTGTTTATACTTTCTGTGCTTGCGTGCACTTCGGCTTATGTCACGTGTCGCGCCCTCACGAGACATGCGGAGTTGAGCTATAATGCTTGGGCCACGCTGCATGGAGTCGCGAAGAGCAAGTCGTTCTGGGTCGAAGTTGGAAGCTGCTTTATGCGAAGGCTGACGAACGATGAGATGTGGAGTGATGGTGGTGTGTACCTGGGATTGTGGGTCGGGGACAGTAATGTTCGGAATGAGTTCTGGGTATGTCGTTTCTCCCCTTCAGAAAACGCTCAAGATCTAAACAAATTTGCTAGGTTTGTATTCTGAGAGGCCATCAGAGGTTCTGGTGGAGTCTCATCTGGGTGCTGGTCGGCTTTGTCTTCGTTTGGGATGCGACTTTTCGAGGTATGTTCCCAGGAGAAACGACCTAATGTAGGATGATGCGTTTTGACACAAAGCAGGCCGAAAACACTCCATCACATCCCTCCCATACATCGCCGCACTCAGCCAACTCGTCTCCGTGTCCTTTGCGCAGACTCTTTTCCTCATGCACATCCTGCTCAGCAGCTTTCCGCGCCACTCATCATCGTCCGATGATACGGATTCTAAATCGTCCCTCTCCCTAACACCGTCCTCCACTGAGAAAACTCACTCTTCACGCCGTCTTCCAACACGTTCACACCTCCTCGCTCCAATGCTCCTCACAGCATACACCCTCATCTCCATCTACCTTCTCTTCCACTCGCACTCTCCCAACCTCAGATTCTACACCACCACCCAACGCTTTCTCACGCTTTCGATCCCTTACTTTATCCGCAACCGACCGTCCTTCTACATCGACGTTCGTGCGTACACGACGCCGAAAGTACGACTTGCGCTGCTGGCCACGCTGCTCTGTGCTTTGGCGATCCCGTTCAAAGGCGATCCAATGACTCTTCCAGCGCTGAGGAAGGAGACTAGGACAAGGCCGGCGTTTGGGGCTGTAGGGTGGGATCTGGGACTGACAGTGTTTTGTTATATACTGTGGGATGTGTGGGAGCTGACGGGTTATGCATAAGGGAAGGGGTGGGGGTGAGATCGATACGTGGCAGGACTGGATACAAGCGGGCAAGTATGCTAATCTGAAATAATTTGAACAAATAGAGTTGTGCTACACGATTTTGTCTCAATATTTAGAGACTGATACAGAAGGCACAGTCGTATTACACTCCGACTGGACTACTACAGCGGTATTGATATACATTATAGAGGAATTGGCTTCATGCCACTGGCTATCATGATTGTGACCAATTGGTAGCCGAAGTAATCTACTCCATCTATACAAGCCGATGCATTCACAACGCCGCTTGATACACCCACCACCACCAACACCACGCTCAAACGCACCACAACGCTCCTCGTCAACCCCCAACAAAACACCATCTAACACCATCTAACATCAGCACCACACAACCGACTCCAAAAATCACCTCAAATGGACGGTGAGAACGCCAGCTCCATAGCCCATCCGAGCATCAGCTTGCCATGCTCCAATACATGCGCAAAGTCTACCTTGTCGATCGTGTCGCGCGGCGTATGGATATCCGGATTACTCTCCTCAAACGCCGCCTCAAAAATGAAAGAGGACGGATACCCCGCCCTCGTCGCCGAAGCATGGTCAGAGCATCCATATCCGCACTCGCTATCCACGTACCCGGTGGTAGTATACTGCTCAATCACACGACGCGTAAACGTATTGAGCGCATCATTCGTGAAGTCGGTAATAACGCCCATCGGTCCGTTACTGTATCCGACCATATCAGACTGCAGCATAGCGGCAATGTTCGTGCCGGCTTTGGCATATTGCTGGAAGACGGCCTGGCTGCCGAGCAGGCCGGCCTCTTCGCCCGCGTACCAGTGGAATTCAATCGTGTTGTCGGCCTCGCGGGACTTGAGGCGCGGGTCTGTCAGCATTGTCTTGAAGGCCTCCATGATGGCCATGGAGCCTGTGCCGTCGTCGTCGGCGCCCTGGGCTTGTCCGGTAGATGGGGTCTGGACGTTGATGGAGTCCTGGTGAGCGCCGAGCACGATTGTCTTTGTGCTTTTGCCGGGGAGGGTGGCAATGATGGAAAACTGGTCGGCAAAGGAGTGCGTGAATTTGCGGACGGTGACGCCTTTGACGCCGCTAGAAGTTGCGATGGCTGAGATCTGGTCGAAGAGCCACTGTGCGGACTCTGCCCCGAATTTCGACTTGTAGTACCGGTTGTAGAAGCTGGAGAACTTGGTCAGAGTGGTTTTGACGTTGGTGATGTTGTATTTTGGAATCAGGGCATTGACGGCCGATTTCTGGGTGAGGGTTGTGGGGAAGGCGGCGGCTTGGACGTTGCTTGCGAAGCTGTTGATCGACATCTGGTCGGGTTCGTAGGTGATGTCGATGAAGCGGATATGTGCGCGCTTGATGGCCCATCTCTCTTCGTCGGTCACCTGGCGGGTGGTTCTATCTTCAAACTCTAGGGTGTAGAGCTGCTCTCCATCTTGAGGACCGGTGGAGCGGTAGCGAATGAAGTGATCGACATCTATGCATATGAGTATATCTTCAATCTAGTTACCAACCGAGCTCGACTTACTGTCAGGCTTTCGTTCAAGATGGCATGCGAGGGCACTTGCTACGAAGCACCAGAGAACAGCAGCAGTGTAACGCATGATTTACAGCGATAACGAGAGATAAAGATAGGATATCAAGGTGGAGATAGGTGCGTACTGCTACACGTTCCAGAGGAAGACTGGGGACTAGAGTTGTTTATGAGGGAAAGAAAAGCCTTGATAAGCTGGCCTCTTCAAGATTAGGGCTCTTTCGTCCAAGAAGACAACAGTTCATGGCAGGGACATTGCATACTTATAAACACGTTCTAACATCGGCTTCTTCACACAAAATCACAGCACCCGGAGCGGCCTGTATATACGGCCCAATCTTATGCACGTAACGAAACTCCCACATTCTTATCTCCAAGTCAACTTCTCGAAGCAGACTATCAACGAGGGGTTCGACGTCGATCAGCTGTGCTATTTAAGCCATAACAGGTCAGAGACAAGAGTCTTGGAAGGATTGGCAAGGGGCAACGGTGGCTCATGCGCGGCAATCGCGATGATAGTTACTGATGCCTATAGTATCAGTCAGTCATTGTCGCCGTGTGATTGGTTATAAGACTTTGTTTTATACTAAGGAGTTGCCTTTTTGGGAAAGCACCCGGGGACCCTTTCGAGATCAATCTAGATAGTCACGTCTTGGCTGCGGAGTACCGACGTTAGGACACAAGCCTCAATGTTTTTCACGTACGGCTGCCCTTCACTGCATACACAAGAGATTCTATGGTTACCATCTAGTACAAAGTGAAAATGTGTCAGGTTACACAAGGTACTTAGTGGTGGTAGCGAAGTGCGTAGCTGGCTACTCTAGTGCTAATAATGTTCGCGGCGATTGTATTATCTACGTAACTGTCAGGTTATAAGTGGATATCTCCACATAAATCTAAGATGTATCTAGGATATCAAGAGAAGTCTTAGTATCTGTGACCTTCTGTCCCCGACTCAACGGCTCTAAAGCTTAGTGTACAAGGCAAACTGATGTGTCGTGCAAGTCATACTTCTTATACTTCTGCGTCGAAAGGATTACGAACAAACTGTAGATGGGATGTCAAGAGTTAATTCCCCAATACTCGATACGGAGCAAGAGCATCAGATAGATAACGATACGGCACTGGGTTGGAGCTGCTTAGATGCATCAGGGAGCTCTTTGCGTAGCTAGTATACGGTCACAGAACTCGAGAGGAACTGTAAATAGAACTAGTATTGTTCTACGATGTGCTCCATAGGTATAGAAACATTCCATCGAAGTTAAAGAAAAGAAATCCCAGTGACTACAAGAAGAACACAAACACCATCATTGCCGTTGCTCCATTCATCTGTCCGAGATGCAGCATCTCTAAGATGGATGTCGTAGTCCCCACGCTTTTGATACCAATATACATACTTACCGGGACTTTATAGCATATATAAAAGGTTCCTGCGCCCACGAAGAGTGACTAAACCCTGTGCTGCCACTTTGTCCTGCTCGTTGCCACGGTCAGATACATAACGCATGATGGTACCAACGTGTTGGTCTTGCACATCGAACCAAATCGTTCTTTCGCGCACACGATATGCGAGCTTGAGCTGCGTGGAGAATGCGCATCCTCCTTCGAGCAGATACGCATAGTCTGATCCGAGATGGCGAACATGATTGATCACTTCATCCTTGACCTTTTCAAGGGTCTGCTTGGGCGAATCATCTTTCTTGATCAAGACATTAATGCGGCCCATATCTCCATCAGCGCCCTCCTCGTGCAACGAACGGACCTTGAGCTTGAGTTCGACGAAAGAGTCCCGAGACGTGCTTCTAGTGATGGCAGCGGTAGATGCCGTAGGTACAGCTGTATTCATGTGGACGTTCGAGTGGGCTTCTGCCAAAGCGGTATTGTCAACCGGAACAAGCATGTCGTTCTGCTTCAAATTTGGGACGACCTCCATAGTCATGGACCGGTCTGCAGTCGGACACTGAAAAAATATTGTTAGCATATTTCAAAACATGTAGCTGGACAGCCTTACAGTCTCTACTAGAGTGCACTTTGTGCCTGAGCGTATACAGGCTGAGCATCGACGGATCACTGAGTTGACTCGTGGATCGTACACTCGGCACACAGTAGAGCGTCTATTGCAGGGTTCACAGGGCGTTTGTACATCCTGACCGCTATCTGTATCGTCGATTTGATCGGCACGTCGCAATTCTCTCTGCCGTCGCCTTCTTGAATTAATGGACACAGCGATATTCCGACGCCTGTATCCAATCTCGTTGGTTATCAGTGGCGCTGGAAGTGATGCTACATCGCGACCGGGATTTTCTACGGCGCGTCGTGTCACTTCTGTCGACTTGCGTTTTGGTAAAGCTCTAGTTGACCGTGCCTTAGAAGGTTTGATATCCCAGACCTTAGATGCGGCACACCAGGCTCTAGCAGCAGTCGACTGATCAGTCTTAGTCTTGAGTGTATTCCATGGTTTGAATCGTCCTCTGAAGTTGACGTGCTCGAAAGATCTATGACTTTGGCCTGCTCTGTCTGCACTTATCACAGGCAATACATTGCCCTCGTAATCTGTCCAGGCTATAAAGAAACGAGGTACAAGAGTACCATTGTTGAATGTTGCGGACATGTATACCACGTTTTTGGTACCTAGGATGTTCGGTCTACCCTTGCATTCCGGAACTCGGTCCGTGTACATACTGATCTTGTCTTCACCGACTCTGATCTTGGGGTACTTACGATCTTTGCCTGCGACAACATAATCGGCTGACGTAAGGCTGAGAGCACTAACTATGCTGGAAGGCTCCGTAACAGCCCGTTGATATTTCCAGGGGATCAACTTATCGTCGTCGTTTTTATTGTCGTCTTCTTCTTGTGCTGCAGTTGCTGTGAGCTTACGTCGTTTCAACCGATTCTGTGGCCCGGCAACCTGTGTCTGCTCAATCCGTTGGCAGCGACGTGAGACGCTGGGAAAGGCACGAAGAGCATCACGGATATTTGCGAACGGCCGTTCGTTCTGGCTCGATGGGTCCAAAATCGATATGATAAGCTCCACATGTAATAGATCGGTCTTGTAGTGGTCAGAGAAATCGCCAATCGTCTTGAAGCCTCTGTCCGAACTAGGTTCCAACAGCTCTTCGATGTCCTCTTCCGTAGGATCCTCTCCACCATACACATACTTGGTCCAACTGATGATGAGTTCATCAGGGATATGTCCAGACTTATTCATATCCGCTACAAGCCTATCGTAAAGCTTAGTAACGAGCGTTTTGTTTGTCATTGTACCTCGAGCTTTCATGTCGTACGGGGGCATACTGCCTTCTGCACCGTGTGTACCACCATCACCAGTATAGGAGACTACCAGCTGTAGTACTCTCTGCTTGGTAGGCGGTTTGGACACTCCTGGAAGAGGGTTCAGTGGCATAAGGACTAAAGCCTGACTTGATTCGGCAGGAGTGATTCTCTCCACCGAATTGGAAACTTCACCCTTGTTACTGCTCGCATCCCCTTTAGTAAGCTCGCCTGAAGCGGTTTGAGTCGTAGTAGCTTGTACGGGAAGGGAATGAGCTGGAATAGGCCGAGATTCAGGAATCCTGGGTATGTCCGGGGAAGGAAATTTTGGCAAGAAGTGCGCATACAATAGAGTCTGGCCATTGCTATCGGCATTCTGTTGTAGCCATCTGAGCCAGCCTTTGCTGGTGGGACCAGGAACGCATTCGCCCACAGCGTGGAAGTGAAGATTCCATACGGATCTGTCTTTCTTATACTCCTCGAAGGCAAGGTCCATTGCATCCTATGTAAGCTTCAGGTTAGTATAATGCTATCCAGATCACTCCACTCGATACTAACGTTACGCGTCTGAATGTCATCCTTATCAATGGTGAAAGAAGGATTGCTATCAGGCGGGTCATCATCAACAGCTTTCAAAATGATGCTCGTCGGCAATTCAGCCATGCTGAAGTATAATAGAAAAGTGTGTAGATTTGAGAGTCTGATGATGAGCAAAGCTTGATGTCGAGGGGTTAAGTAGGAGTGAAGCATGTTGAAATTCCCCAGGATGGTCAAAGCAATACTCGTCACGTGAACTTTGTTGACTCTCGGTACATGCGGGCACACGCGAGAGGAACTTGATAAACGAGAAGTGCATGAGCAAATAAATGAAAGAGGTCTGGGTTTAGCAACGGAATAGATGTGATTGACATGCATCCAGCGGATAGGAGAATATGAATAGCTCTGCTAGCTATACGAATGTGCCCTTTGAAAGACGATTATATAACTCTTGATATGCACATATCCATCACTATTGTCATACATTGATACTTTTATATACCACATGTAGGTGTAAGCAACGATATAAGTGAGTGCTCGTATCTTTACCTGTCACAGCCTCACTGTTAGTGATAATGATAGGAAGCTAGAGCAGTGTAAAAACATCGAAAAGAGTGTGTACTGTCATAGAACATCAGTCTGGTAAGGATTCCCGGGGTTTCTCTACGCTATAAAGTCACCACGCTAATATCCGATGACAGTAGTCTTGGTATGAAGGATCGACTGTCAATGTCGCAAGGAGACCAAGACAGTTGGCTAATGCTTGCATCCCTTCGTCCGCGAGACAGGCGCTGAATTTGGACTAAGATATCTATCAAACACCAGAATAAGCTTATCGATCAGTCTTTTGATAAGTTCATGGTGATGAAGATGACTGCCGAGGTTGAGGATGAGACAACAGAGTAACAATAGCAGTGAGAGGTGAAAGAGAGTTAAGTGAGGTAAGTAGATTCAGAACTGGACGAGTGAATCCGCTTCTACTTGATGTGACTGTTACAACCGAAGTTAAGGGAAGAAACTCTTTTACAACTCACGTCAGGAGCCAAGGTAGTTCGAAGAGGTTAGTCCAGTGCGCCAAGAACCGCCAGGGAACCTAGCATCCATGGAAGGCACGACCCATCATACATGACAGGACATTAACTCTATTGAAGCAGTGTCTTCGCGTGACCATATATGACCGCTAGATCAACAAACAATCTATCAAACAACGTTTCAAACTGGCGGTACTAAACAACCCGAAAAAGTTCCTGATCCTCAGCGTCGCTCTGTTCTTAGGAATCGCTTTGATGCTAAGCTCTGGACGCATTGGATCACGACTAACCTCGATCTTCCAACATATTGGTGGAGCACGCCCTATAGGTTACTCTTCGCAGTATAGACCATTGACGAACTCTACCATGGCCCCTACAAAGTACAGCAATCCCCCGCAGAAGGCACCTGTTTTCTACGCTAAAGACCAGGATGCCTCGAGAATCATTGAGAGAACTAAAGAGCTGGTAAGTGCCTCTCGCGATCTTTCTGTTGCAGTAGCTTGTGTACTGTATAGGACGAGGACTGTGGCATTTCAGAATCCTAGATATCTGCTTACAGTCACCAGTTGGCCAGAAGTAAGGCCGTCACAGATGCCGTGGTGAAGGACATCAAGGCTTCCGATGCACGATTCGATAACGTACTCCTACCGATGGCTCTCGATGACAACGAACTAGCAACTGAAGCACACATCATCGGGTTCTATTCCGCGATATCCACGAGCCAGGCATTGAGGGATGCTTCTACCGAAGCGGAGCAGCTCATGGATGACTTCGGAATTGAAGCTAGCATGCGCGAGGATGTATTTGCTCTAGTTGGTGCTGTCGCACAAAGAACAGAGAAGCTAGACCCGGAGTCCGCACGTTACCTGGAGAAGGAACACAAGGGCTACCTGCGCAACGGTCTAGGAATACCGGAGGGTCCTCAGAGAGACCGTTTTAAAGACATCAAGAAGAAGCTTAGTGAGATCGGAATTGCGTTCCAGAAGAATCTGAACGAAGAGAAAGGCGGTTTATGGTTCACACTGGAAGAGCTCGAGGGCGTTCCACGGGATGTTGTAGATGATCTTAAGAAGGGAGAAGGCGAGAACGAGGGCAAGGTTCGTTGTTTATGGTCAGTAACCAATAAGCACCACCAACTGATCTCCCACAGGTCTTCCTCGATTTCAAGTACCCCAGCTTGTTCCCAACTCAGAAGTATGCTTTGAGTCCCGAGGTCCGCCGGAAAGTGTTCGTCAGCAACGAGAATAAGGTCAACCAAAACGTTCCTCTATTCCGCGACGCTGTCCTCCTTCGTGACGAAGCAGCGCGCCTCCTTGGCTACAAAAACCATGCGGAGTTTAGGATCGAAGATAAAATGGCTAAGACCCCGAAGACTGTCAACGACTTTCTTGGCGACCTACGGGAACGTCTAGCACCTGGTGGGCTCAAGGAAATTGAAAAGCTCCTCGAATTCAAGAAAAATGACTACAAGTCTCGTGGTCTCGAAGATTCGTATGATGGGAAGTACTACCTCTGGGACCACCGCTTCTATGATCGTCTGATGCTAGAAAAGGAGTTCCAACTTGACCAAGAGAAAATCGCGGAATACTTCCCACTCCAGACGACCATCGAAGGGATGCTCAAGATCTTCCAGGAACTCTTTGGTCTCGTATTTATCGAGATCGTGGGCGAAGACCGCGCCGCTGTCGCCGAGGGAGGTGATGGTGATCATGTATGTTGGCACAAAGATGTCCAACTGTTTAGCGTCTGGGACGATGAGAGTGAAGGCAATGGCTTTGTTGGCTATCTTTACCTCGATCTGTTTCCGCGTGATGGTAAATACGGCCATGCAGCAAATTTCAATCTGCAACCCGGCTTCATCAACGCTAAAGGTGAACGTCATTATCCCGCGACAGCACTTGTATGCAACTTCTCGAAATCCTCAGAGAAGAAGCCTAGTCTACTCAAACACGACGAGGTAGGTGTAACGCGTTCCCAGAGCTGTCAAAGGATGGCTGCTTTTCTGCATTACAAGATATCTGATTATATCAAACCTTCCATTTAGTGAGAGAATGCTAATAGAATGTTAATGTAGGTCGTAACACTCTTCCACGAGCTAGGCCACGGCATTCACGATCTAGTCTCCAAGACTAAATACAGCCGTTTCCACGGTACGAGTACTGTGCGTGACTTTGTGGAGGCGCCATCTCAAATGCTCGAGAACTGGTGCTGGACACCCTCTCAACTGCGCTCGCTTTCTCGGCATTACTCCTATCTCAGTCCCGCGTATGCTGAAGAATACGCGTCGTCCAACCAGAACACTAAGCCTGAAGAGCACATTCCGGATGCGCTCATCAATAGTCTGATCAACACTAAGCATGTCAACGACGCCCTATTCAATTTGCGCCAGTTGCACTTTGGCATTTTCGATATGACAGTGCACACGCCGGAAAGTCACGAGGCTATCGAGAAGTTACCGATACCGGAAACGTACAACAGGCTTCGACATGAAATCAGCAAGCTTGAGGGACCAGAGGCGTTTGGCGAGAGCTGGGACTGGGGCAACGGACAGGCCACATTTGGGCACTTGATTGGCGGGTATGATGCTGGGTACTACGGATACCTGAGGTGAGTTTTCATGTGTAAAGATTTGTCTTCAAAATTCCCTCCCACAAGGATGTTTCTCCGTAGACACCTATCAGTGAGCCATGATTCTCCTGGTTGGAAGACGACGATTTACCCTTGTAGCCGAGAATTGTGCTGACAAACTCATAGCTCCCAAGTTTACTCTGCAGACATGTTCTACACTGTCTTCAAAGCGGACCCGATGAACGGCAAGGAGGGCAGACGGTACAGACACACTGTGCTGGAGCGCGGAGGGAGCCAGGAGGAGATGCAGACGCTGGAGGACTTCTTGGGTCGCAAGCCGAGCACTGAAGCGTTCTACAAGGAGCTTGGTCTGAGCTAGACATAGAGTTATGGGAGACCTGGTCTGAGAATACGGCCATGTTAGATCTAGACGTAGCTCAATAAGATGATTTTAGAAAAAGTCGGTGCGTGCACTCTTGCTCATAATACAAACGCATTGTGCCGCCAGCGCGCTTGAACTCGCTTTACATAATTGGATAAAACGCCCACGCTACTCTTCATACTGAGCGCTCATCATACGAATGCCCGCTGATCATATGCCCGTTCATCGTATGCCCTTTCAGCGCTATGCCCACATGCCCTAAAAACACAAGAACCCGTACATTTCAGGCACAACCCGCCACATAAGACCCCAATCCACTGTCAATCATGTACATGACAATCTGTACATATATCCACTCTCCCACCACTTTGGTCACCGCCACGGACTCGAGCTCTGCCCACCCATGTCCACGCTCTCAAAGTCCATCTCCCACTCATCCACCTCCTCGAATTTCTTCCGCATTGCTTCAAGTCGCTTGCTGCCTTCATCGCTGATTATGCTGGTATTGCCTTCATGAGGCATTGCCTCCGCACTGTCATCTTCTCCGTCGTCATCGTCAGCGACAAGCGCAAACGAGCTTCCCTCCTCGTTCTCCTTGTCCGAGGAGAGGCGGCGACTGTAGGTCTTTGACACCCTCGTACCCCGCTTCGTGGTCTTAAGTGGCAAAGTCGTAGTAGTCTCCGTAAGAGCAGACTTTCCCTTGGTCGGTCTTTTTGCCGTCGTACCTGGTGGTCGACCGCGTTTCTTGCCGCTAGAAGCATTGGCACGTGTAGGTGTCTTAGTTGATAAAGCTGCGACCCTGCGGTGGTTCGGACGCGACAGCTCATCCCCGTCGGGTCCGAGTGGCGCCTCTTCCGTATCAGAGTTTGCGATATCAAAATCGTTGTGGTGGCGTCGACGCGGTAAGAGCGTCTGGAGGCGTGCAGTACATGCGGTGTCTGAGGTGGGTTTCCGCAGGCCACGCTTGGTCTTTGGAGGAGACGGATGCACGGATGGAGCAGACGGAGCAGATGAAGGTGGTGGGCTACTCGACATTGGATCTGCCAGAGTCTCGCTGAAAATATCGTGGTCTATGTTACTTGGAGGCTCATCTGGTTGAGTCTGTTCGATGATAGAGGGAAGGCTGGATGGTGGATCGGAAGGAGGATGGGAGGCTTCGCGAGGGCGGGTCGGCGATGATATGGCAGGTGGTGAAGAGCATACTACTTGAATCTCAGATATCTCCTGGTCCTGTGGCTGCGGAGTAGAGGTTGGCTTTCGAGGACTGACGCGAACTTCTGGCGAAGAGCGCTTTCGTTTCCGTGAACTCGATGTCTGCGGTATATCTGAATCATTCCCGGACTGCATTTCCTGCGTAGACACCGTCCTAACATTGATGGGTGTTGATTCATCGTCCGGGTTGAAGTCATCAAGATCGAAATCAATCGTGTCGATATCACTCGGTTGTTGTACCATGCGCAGTATACTGGGCTGCCGCGCTCTGCGTTTGAAGTTGCCCAAAGCAAGACTCGAGGCCTCAACGCCCGGCGTACCTCGCATCTTGAGCGCTGATTGTGGTCTGCGGATAGATTGTGGAGATTCGGTATCGAATGAGTTTTCGCCTAAGCTTGGTGAAGGAAGCGATAGTTCAGATTCTTCCAGGGCAACGATCCCTTGCGTCACGGACGTCTTTGTAGATGTGGGCTTTGGCGTCTGACGCGTTGTAGACCCTCGAGACCTTTGGACTGAGATGGCTTGCGCTGATCGACTGGATTTTGCTGGTGTGCTGGTGGTAGGCACCGAAGCAATTTTCTCACTGGCTTGAGCGACTTGAGCGGCCTTTGCCTCGTCCCTCCTCTTCTTCAGGGCTTCAAGTGTTTCGTTCTGCGCAGATCCGAGTTCTCTCTTTTTGATAGTCTTGCGCGGTCTCTTAGTCCTAACCAATGTTGCAGCCTCGTCAAGCAGTATGGGTCCAGCGCCACTCATTGTGAGATCAACATCATCCGATTGATGCTTTCCACGCGGAAGACGCGTTTTCTTGGTGGTGACGAATCCTTGGGAGTCATCGCTAACCTCCGTCCCCGCATCAGATGCGACCCGTGCAAGTGGATTTTGCGCGACGCGTGTTACCGCGGTATTCGACGCAACTTTGGTTCGTTTCGGTCGCGGCATACTTATCAAGCACTTCTGTTGTGGAAGATAGTGAGCTTGTTGAGCGGCGGAGAGGTTCCTGGCCGGACAATGTATGAAGTGGCGCGTAAAGAACCGATGATGCGTGTTGTTTGCCAAGAATTGAATATAAGGGACCGTGCACAGCCCTGTCATAAGTCCACCAGCGCTAAACCAAATCCTTAGACCAGATAACCTCTTCTCTCTATATTTCCGTCATCCAAATCATGTACCGTCTGCCGTTACGATATACGTGATCTGACATATCAAGCTCCTTCTCCAAATGAAATCGTCTAACCTGCCTAGATACTCTTGTCGCTAAGGCTCTAACCGACAGGCACAGGCATGTCAAACGTTAGGGATTGTTTCAAGAACGGCTTGATACAACCCCCAATCTACGCGAGCGGTTATAGAGAAAATGACTTGGTTCCTCGTATCACCACTTTTCTTGACGCAATAGTTACAATTCAGGCTGCTTCGATCTAACCTTCATTGCGAAATCGAACGATTCAACATATATGCTCTTTTTCCTATTCCAGAGATGCCGAAGATCAGGTCAAGAGCTACTTGGGTGCTGACTATTCATTCCATTTATATGTGATAGTCTGATACAAGGCCTCGCTGTCCCCTGCCTTTGTCAAACAGTTCGGCTACAGGTGAAATTATCTACAACCAGCATAGAGGTGTCAGTACTATGCCACAGCTAAGCTATAAGATCTCCTATGTCCGCTACTTGCTCTGTCTAATATCAACTACCACTGTCACTACATTTCTTGTTCCAAGTCTATATCACATCTTATATTCCTATACCAACGAAGTCAAACGCCAGTAACCATGTACTCCATCAACGAGGCTTTCCTGATCCTGGCTTTCACAGCGGCATATGTCGTCGACGCAAGTAGGTTTCTTCTTGTCCTTGTCCGGTTACAGGGCATTAGCCTAACGACAACACTTTGGCACTTCTCCCTAGCCACCGCGTCGCAAATTCGATGTCCTAGTAGTGGTTATCATATGGACATGTCAACTTCTTAATCGTTAGCAAGCTACAATATCTAATATGACGAATCGTAGCACCTTTCTCCTTCCAAACCCGTCAATCAGCCTGCTTCCTCGTTGGCACCACTACTCTTCCCGCCGAAGTAGCTGACGTCGCCACCTCCCTCGCCTCAACCATAACCTGCTCTGCCGACGTGACAACGATCGGCAACGTACCAGACGTAACATCCGGCAGCACCACTTTCTCTTCCATAGACTTCTCCGCATCCTCTCAATCCCCGCTCCAGTTCGCCCTCAGCGAATTCGCCACATCTGACCCTCTAGCATCGACGTCCCTGGCTACCTTCCAAGACAAACTCAACGTCTACCTCGCTACCGAAGCAGGAATTCGAAGCGAAGGGGGCAGCTTAGCCATCAAAGTACCCAAGTTCTTTCTTGCTTTCCAAGTTGCCCGGATCAAGACAGCGCAGGGCGAGGCAATCTCAGACCCCGGACAGACGGTGGAGCATCTGTTGGGGAAGGTAACAAAGAATGCCGCTGGGGAGAGCGCGGATCTGCTGGATCAGGTTACTGCGCTGGCGTCGCAACTTTCGTGAGGCTATACATATGTGTATACGATATCGGCGCATTGCTGCGAGGTCAGGACTGTTTTATGGGGTCCTCGCGTTAGCCTTAATAGGATCTTTTCACATCTATATGCCTTGACTCGACACGTAGTTTAGTAGCATTTCGATCTCTCTTCTATAGTTCTACGCTCGCTTTCGCTCTTCATACTAGCCCCTAGAACAAATCCGGCACTGATATACCCCTAGGGTTACAACGTGTGTACAAGCAAGCTATAGCAGAAGCTTGTTCAGGCTATTATTAGAAAGCTTCGTAAATCGAGAAAAGAAAACCATCTTTGCCTTATATAATCATATCAACAGCGATACACGGGATAGAATCGATACAAACCATCTAAATAATAGTCAATCGACAGCTCACAGATGCCCATCGTGTTGTACTACGTATGCTACAGAGACTGTTACACGTGGCAGAGCTGTGCCATGCTCTTACCGGAAGACAAGATGCACGACGTTGAGGGACACAGTATCCAAAAGACGCAGGCCTTGTCACGATTGCAGAGGATGGCATTGTACGTTTAGTAGATTACACCACTCAGGAGTTCTTCCAACGGTGGTGAGACGAATGCCTCCTCTCAGGGGATTCTGGGATCGCTTCCAGATGTTTTTGACTACCTGTTACTTGCTCCAATTCGATGGTCATGGGTGTATTTTCATACGGAAAGCCGTAAAAGCTCTCTGGAAGCCGTGCCAAATTGTATCCTTCAAGAAAAATAGGCTATGTGAGACTATATTGGACATAATGATATTAGAATGCTAGGGATCCGACGGGACGTAGGAGGAAGAAGCAGTGTAAGCAATAAGTCATGAAAGTGCTTGTAATGAAGCCAAAGGTAAGGCACAGCTCCGTACGAAGAGAAACGATGGGAGTCAAAAAAACTCTGGCCATTCATCTGCCAACAGGAATTGATTTGTTCGAGCAGATATTTATGCAGATAATATAAATGGTTCTAAGGCACGAGAGCTAATGATCTACCAATCCCACCATCTATGGTTGGGGTTTATCAGATCATTAACCGTCTGCATGAGATCCTCAAAGGCGTGACCTTTATGAGGCCTGTACTTTCTTGACAACCGCCACGACTTGAGGGTATAGACCATGATCCTTCTTGAGTCCACAGACCTTGGTGACCACATCTTCAGCGCTGTTCTCCTTCAAGATCTTAGCTAGCTCGACAGATTCCTCGTCATCCTCGACATTCTGGAAGCGGAAACCCATCTCGATGGCTCCGAGGAGGTTGTCAACCTTCTCACCCATCTCAACAAGGTGAGCAGCAGGGTTAATAAACCGCTCTTTTCGGCTCAGCTTACGCAGAGGAGCACGACCGACACGTAGAACTTTGTCCTCAAGAGCCGGGTTGGATATCCGCTTGATGATAGCCTCAACGTAGTCGTTCTGCTCCTTTGTGTCGATCTTGTGCTTGTTGGAGATCAGGTGAGCGGTCTCCTTCACGACTGCACGAATGGTATCATGGATCTTCTTGTCGGCAAGGACTTCATGGATGAGGCCAATACCTGCGTTGTATCCATAGTATGCAGCAGTAGCATGAGAGGTATTGACGGTGAACAGCTTGCGCTCAATATAAGGTTGTAGGTCCTTGACGAAGTGGACTCCCTTGATCTCGGGTTTCTTTCCACCGTTCTCGAATGGCACTTCCTCGACGCACCATTCATAAAACTTCTCGATCTTAACATCCAAGACGAAGCCCTCAGGTTGCTTGGGGACAATGCGGTCGACGGCACTGTTGGCGAAGCGAGCCTTCGATGAGTCCGATGGAATCTTTCCGTCCTTGAGATATTCTGCTTTTACATGCCCTTCGATGAACCCACGCCAGTTATCTGTGGCGTTGATAGCATTCTCGCAAGCAATGACAGCGAGGGGGTAATCGAGTTCTCGTACTGCAATGGCCTCAGCCACAGGTTTCGAGATGCGTGGCAGAATGGTGGGCCCGACAGCACAGGTGACAACATCAGCCTCGGCGATCGCTTTCACAACCGTGGCGAAATCATCTATGCCATGGAGAGCTTTGTAGTGGTCAATGGTGAATTGCCTCTCGCCATCATCTCCAATTTCGGTAATCACATATGATGGAATCTTGTTGAGGTTGTCCACGAGTTTACGGTCGACATCAACGAAAGTGACTTCATAGCCGGAGTTGTGTAAAAACCTGAACGATCTTGTCAATGGTGTTCCCACAAGTAATGAGCTTGGTTGGTTCTCACTCGGCAACGAAGCCACGTCCGATGGCACCACCACCAAAGTGCACAGCTTTCTTTGTGTAAGACATTGTGAGGGAGTATGAGAAGGTGTCTGAAGACTGAGGGGCTCTCAGGATCGTTGACGAATTTATAGGGTAAAAGCGGTGAGTGAAATAAGCTGTCTAGCCTGTACAATGCAGGACGAGTGGGGGTGACGTGTATGTGCGGCGGGGAGGGAGGGGCTGGAAAGCTATGCACGCCCCTGTCAGTCAACGAATTGGTTGGATATAACGTTTTGATGGGACAAGGAGGTGTTGGTTTGGGTTTAAGATACTCACAGCAGATGAAGTGAAGGTTTCGAGTAACAGGGGCAAAGGTTTGTTTGGGGTGAAATTTTGTTGGTAAATACAACCTTGGAACCTTGGAAGGTGGGATCGGCCCAGTCTTGATGCAGTGAAAGAGGCGACAAGCCCGGCGGCACGAAAAACTACCCCTCCCTTCATTCAATCCTGACGAGCATCAGTGGCGTACTCCAGCTTCATATGGAGGTTGCATGGATTCGTATCCGCCGCGCCAGTAGAGATACGGCATGATCGCCAATGAAGGGTCGGTACCCTCGCATGATGCTGGCACAGAGGCCGCGAGTTGACGGGACAGTAGATGCGCGCGCATGTACGGATGCCTAAGATACATGATCCGAATGCAAAGTCCTGAATTTGAATGTCCCTTTATTACCTAAGAGGTAGGTTGGCCCATTCATGACTCAGCAGCCCATTGGCTGGAAAGTCCTACCAAATATCGCGCCGTAAGGACATGAACACCGCTGGAGTTCTCCAGGATTAGTCCAGGCGCATGAATGTTAGTTGATCGTGCTGAGTATCATTATTGTACGTCAAGATTGATTGTCGCAGATATCGCAATATCATCATCAGCCGAGAAGTACTGTTAGTGTGGAAGGAACTACTCTCATATGGAACGCTAGCACTTAGCACTTTGTACTTAAACTGTCTCCTAGAGACTCAACTCTTTCTCTAATACAACAACTTCATTCAATAGTTAGTACTGTCATCCAGACAGTGCGATAACATCAGCTACCAATTATATCAACCGAAGACAAACTCACTATACCGCTGAGCAAGCTAGGGAGACACCGATAATCAAGTTTAATACCGTTGATAAAGATACTAAGGGGTACGTCCCATTCTAAGACCCATACTATGGCATTACCTTAGAGTGAAGTATCTAGCCTCTATCGAGCTGTATATACTCACTGGCAACCAATATTATTACCTTAGCTGAACCCCTCGCTTCCTAACATTCCTTTGTTCGCTATATTTTTCCTTTACAAAGAGAATTAGTATATCTACCAATACTGCCTTGTCGGACTTCTCAACATCACAAGCGTCACCGAATTGTAGCTTCCTAACACTATTCACCCAAGAAGGGTTACTTACTCAAAGCTTGTGAACCTACGCTGGTAGATATCCACTGCGTAATCTCTGGAATGTAAGCCGGGTGCTTAGTTGCATCCTAGACAACACCCTTCGTAAAGAAAAAACCGTAGTTCTATCACACGCGCGTTATACATTCTCTAGAGCGTGCTCTTGAGGACACGACCGATAGACCAAGAACTAAGGGGGGAAAAGGGAGTATAAATACATATAAAGAGTACTCTACATAGTATTTCAGCTAGAAATTGTTACAATACTATAGCTTATACCTAGGTTTTCGAGCACATGTATAGACGATACTAAAAATGATTAGCAGGAACCCCAAAGAATGGTTGTCGTTCTAAGTAGCCCCAGCCGTACCAAACCTTCCACTTGGGTACCCAGTAATAGCCCACCTGGCCCTTTGAAGTACAGTCTCTGTCAATATAAAAATGCATCCACCTAATATCATCCACATGGGCAGTTTGCTTGCCACCCCTGTTTGTGACATAACTAATCAAATCTCCAGCCTGTCCTACTTCCATAGTAGTCCTCCCAATATTAAACTCTATTTCGGTGCTACCTCTTCCTTGCTCGACCCATTGGATTTGTTGGTCTTTGGCACTCTGTAGATTCCCGCCCTTGTCAACATCGTGGAGATTCGTGGTGCATACGACTTTTCCTGTTTCAATGTCTTTGGACGTGTGTAGTTCGTCGCCGTTCACGACGAGAGGGCTATAGCGTGGTCCCGTGGCTGTATCGTCTATGCCACGGCCCTCAACGGCGACGACAGTGTTTTCGTGAAGACCAGGATAGGCGCTAACTACGCAGGTGCTAGCTACTATAGTGATAAGAGCGTGAGAGAAATGCATGGTAGAGGTTCGAAGTTCGCGATCGGTCGCTCGAACCTGGGTTTGACTCGCTAATAGATTTCGATCGATAGTAGATGGAACTCGATGATGGAGTAGAGGTAATAATGGATTGGACTCGATAATGAATGGACTCGATAATGAATGGACGCGATAATGGCTTGGACTCGATAATGGATTGGACTCGATAATGAATGGACTCTATAATAGATTGGAATCGATAATGGATTGGACTCGTTAATAGATTGGGGTTTATAATGGTTTGGACTCGACAGCAGATTGCACTTTTTCCCTGAGTGACCTACAGTGTCATATCATGCCAAGCCCAGAGTTTGAAGTATTCATAGCTCATACACATATATACTATTCGAGCGACTTTTGTGGAGCGAAATTACTAGAATAAGTATGGCGTGAGAGGAACTGGGAACCCTAGTTTGGCTCTAATGAGGTAATTGTCTCACGAGTATGTCACTACACCAGAATATGTCACTACATTGAAACATGCTAGAGTGTCGAAACATGTTAGAATACAGCTTATCAAGAATTCGTTTTTTTAGCTTACCTATAGTCCGTCCTACCTTTAGCTGGTCGACTAATAACCTAATCGTCGCGAATAGTACTAATTAAATTTAGAGTGTGAATTAAGAGATTTAGATTAGATAGAGAGAAGTACAGAGTATTTAGACCTAGCTATTATAATACCTATATATCTCTAGAATATAGTATTAAAGTATATTAGATTTCAATAGGTAATTTATATAGTTATAAAACATAGACCATTACTACTACCCAACGAACCTCAGGTGAGTCAGAAACGAACTCCAAGTGAGGCATAACCAAAAACGATGTCACTTGAGAAATAGTACTAGCCAACCTCAAATTAGTATTATCATGAGGATGGAAGTGGATCTCTAGCGTGTAACGCAACATGTTCATGATAATCCTGCTCTGTCCGTGTCACATCTCGGCTCCGCAAAACGGGTTCAGGCATGAATAGCTTGTTGTACCTGTGGATATACTGAAACCATTCTCTGCAGGTAATATCAGCTATGTCACTGGGTGGCAGGAGTTCTAGAGCTTGGACGACGTACCGCATACATATCCGGATGATCGCGCATCAGAACCTCAGGATCCCAAGCACAGGCAACGAATATCGTGTCGATGCCACTCGAAAGAGGCGTCGTAAATATGTTGGCAATTTGCAGCCCAACAAGGAATGCGAACGCAACGATGACTGGAGTGAAGCCTCCGTCTTTGTTGTATGCTGGGTCCGTGAAAACCACGTACAGGTACGCTAAGAGGGCGCATGCGTAAGCAATAAAGGTTGCGCCCATGGTCAGAACAGGTCCAATGAGACATTCGTTGACAAGTGCGTCAATGCCGCGCTGTTTGATCATGCTGATACAGTGTTAGTGGCTGGTATATGTAGCTATTTTCTCGTATAGAGTATGCTTTGTAATTGCCCAGGTGACGGGCAGAATCGCCCTGTTATTTAGATGTGAAAGCTTGATGGTGATGGTTGAACAACGAAATATCCACTTACGTCCAGGTGTCCTTTGCAGCGGGAATGTACGCTTTACCGTAGAGTGCAATATGTGAGAAGGCATATCGGTTGAGAAATGAGACCGCCCAGTCGAGGATCCCAATAAGGCAACCGAGGACACAGAAACATATACTCGCAACCTGGCGATATTCGTCAGCTCGCGCTCAGTCTGGTGATGATTCACGATATGACAATCAGGAATGGGCGGAACTTACCATATCGCCCTGGGCTGCTTCTTGTTGGCGAGCAACTGAGCAGAGCTGGCGAAGGAAGTTGATGATTGCAACAATCAAGCTACCAAAGCTAATGCTACCGAAGCTATAAGTTAATGAGCGTTTCAATGCTCCCCGAGTGGCACCTTTGGGAAAGTTATTTTGGCAAAAGTACCACGACCCGTAAACACCTGAGATCCTAATATCGTGTTAGCAGCGTCTATTTTCATGTGCATTCCAACGACCTACGTGACATGGGTCAGATTCTTGAGTGTTTCACTAATCCAGTACATTGCGAATGTGACAAATACGATCAGGCCGATCACCTTGCCACTGCTACAGCCACCACCAGCTCCAGTGTTGCAGGCTGGGTTATTTCCCGGCTCATAATGGACGTATATGGCAACCAAAGTGACTGAATACCAAGCTCCAAAGGCAGTAGCTAGCAAGCCCGCGAGAAAACTCACTAGATAAACATGCCCGAAGTTCTTGGACACGTCGATGGCCGTTTGCAGCATGAGTACGGAAAATGGAATGCGCTTAATCCACGTCCAGAAACAGAAGGCTGCGAATACGGCAAATATAAGAAACACAATTCCTCCTGAGTAGTATTTCCGGGAGAGCATATAGATGGCAGTGACAAATGCGAAGACAATGTTGAGGATGCCCGTCACCCATATGAACTGCTTAGTGAACATTCGGGCCAGCCAGACATAGCCATAGCTAAGAACAATGGCGACTGCGAGAACAAAAGCGAATAGAATAATAGTGTTGTTATCGAGAGCGAGACTAGATGCGCCGTAAATTCCATTTCCAGTACGTGCGCTATTGCTTGCTACAGGATGACAGTTAGTACATTGACGTAATATACAGAGCATAGCTACTTACAGTAACCATGAAGCGCAATTCCACTGACAGCTGTATAGCCAAGAAATACAACGATGAACTGCGCGAAAGGTGTAAGTACAGAGTTTGGTGGTCGCAAATCAGAATGCATCATCGACGTACAAGAATACCTGCCCACACGTCGTTCCATTTTGGCTTATCTAGTTTGAAAGCTTGCTCGAAGGTCTGCTTCTCTCCATTCGGCGGCGGTTGGTAACCGTACTGTGGGGGTTGTTGCTGGGACTTCTGCTCCTCAGTTGGTGGGTAACCCTGTTGTGGTGGGTATCCTTGCTGGCCGTTCACATATTCAGATCCAGTATTGCTATAGTAGTCCGCAGCTTCACCGCGTTGTGCAGCCATATTGAGCGATGTAGTAGACACAATTGGAGGCGAGCAGACGGCGCGACGTGAAGAATGAGGTTGATCGCAAAGGTGTTTGCAAAGGAAGGGGAGTTTTTGTTCTACTGTAGGTTTGCGCGAGATCTGATCGGCCGGGTGGCTTGAGCTTGGCATGGTTCCCTGCAGTCCTGAAGAGCACAGACCAGGATCGAGGCCTACCTTATCGAATACGTCAGAATCGTAGCTACAATGACGGATTCGATTCGTGCAAGGCCATAGGAAGTAATTAATATCGCTTAAGTTGCTAATATCAACGAAGCCTCCGACTTTGTGATAGTTGTGGCCTGTAATATCGTCGAAAGCCTTCAACATTCAGCATGTCCTCATTGCTCTCAGAACGCGTCTTTGCTGTAGCGCCACACTTTCGCCTTCCAATTTAAAATTGAGGTCGAATATAATTCGTGTGCGCTATTGGAGCCGGAACTGTTAGGTTACTAGGTTGATGAGTTAATTAGTATTACCAAGGTAGTCATCAGTACTAATGGATTCTATGGAGCCTCGATAATTACTGGTACTAGCTTGGATGAGGGACTCGACCTGACGCCTTGATGCCTGATATATCGCGTGCCTTATGTCGACCACTTGTGCCTTACACGCTTCCACCTCGGAAAAACCTAATCCTTGTCAATGATTCTAAAAACTCATCGTCTGGCTGATTGAATTACTGTCCGGATGAGAAGACTTCCCCCTTGACGCGCGCTTTCATCCTCTTTCATTCGTCGCGCTGTTATCTATTACCTTCTTCCTTGCAACACTTTGTGGATGCCGCTCTAGATCTCGCTCCTTCCAACCTTTCCGCGATTGATATCCTCAACATCCCCTCTCCTATAGTCGCATACCACATCCAACATGACGATGTAGGCATCTAATCATTATGCCAAACGCTCGTGCCTAACCAGTTATAGATGGGATACTCTCACTGGGCGGAAGTCCACCTCTCCGACAACGCAGACCACTCCCACCTCAACCTTCGACGATAACGCCTCTTCCTCATCCGCTTCCCCCTTCACGTCTGACACCATCTCCGCACCTACAACAAGCTTCATGTTTGACGCCGCTTCATTGCATCCTCTCGCCAATGTCAACCAAGATACTCTAGACTATTTGACACTTGAAGACTCCGTTCTCTCAGACTTGCCCGGCTCGCGTAGCGCGCTGCCATCTCGAGGATGGAGTGATGATCTATGCTACGGAACCGGCGTCACATATCTCTCAGCACTCACAGTCGGTGGTGCGTGGGGCTTGGCAGAAGGATGGAATCGAAGTCCGGTCACAGCAACGCCACGCCTAAGAATGAATTACGTACTCAACGCAGTAACGAGACGGGGTCCTTTTCTGGGAAACTCCGCCGGCGTGATTGCTATGGTCTACAATGGTGAGTTGGACGAAGAATAGACTTACAACCAGCCTCTTTACCTGGTACTGACAATTAATCAGGTATCAACTCCACGATAGGATATGCACGCGGACGCCATGACGCGGCGAACAGCATCGTTGCAGGGGGCCTCAGTGGAATGGTTTTCAAGAGTACCCGAGGCCTCAAGCCAATGCTGATTTCCGGTGGCATTGTCGCAAGCATTGCTGGTGCATGGGCGTTGACTCGGAAGACTTTTTTTGACAATGAAGAGTAATCGCCCAGCGTCGAATGGACATGAAAGAAGGATACACAGAGGACGCACATGGTTTCATAAGACTATCTAGGATACACGTACTTGCCGAACCATGGTTGTTCAGTATGCATAGTCAAGCTGTCGGATGCATTTTGGTCAGGAGCGCGGCGCATTTGCTTTGCTATACTCCAGCCGTTACTCGGCTATAGCTCTCCCCTCCTCTCATGTATAGATGACCTATGCTTTGTATCAACACTAGAGATTTACTATCTTTGACTCGTTGAGCTCAGGCTCCTATGGCTAAGAGTCAACCAGGATCGTATTACCTGAAGACTACCGAACCGTTGGATAACTTCTTCCAACTTTTCGACCATCGACTTATTCTCATTCAGCCCTTCGAAGGGCCTATGAGACATGTGAAATCCGCTCTCATTCAATACAAACTGGTGTCCTGGGTCTTGACCTTATTCAACACATTTATGATCTATGTCATCCCCCTGTTCTCGCTCCAGCAACCGCAGTCGTGATCATAGACTTATCCGACGAAATATTTTGTGTCTGAGTCAGACGCAAAGTACGTCTTTCACCCGCTCTTTCTTCTTTTACTCAATCAGTAGCCCTGTACCTTTCGCGATATTCCTCCAGCCGTTTCAAATCCTCTGGTGTCCCAAGCGTCTTTAAGTACTGCACCACATCATCGAGATTCAAAATACTCAATACCGGTATCTCATACGCCCTACTGAGCTCCCCAATCGCACTCCCTCTCGGCGCCACCTCATCCTCACCCTCCTTCGCCGGTGTCTTCTCCTGCCGGTCGAAAGCTACGATAATTCCGACTAATGTGCCCCCTTGCGCTTTGATAATCTCAATCGCCTCGCGAATTGCTGTGCCAGCCGTGATAACATCGTCAATTATGACAACTCTCTTGCCCTTGAGCCCTGCACCAACGATCGTGCCGCCCTCGCCGTGGTCTTTGGCCTCCTTGCGGTTGAAACTGTAACTCACATCACCATACCGCTTCTCGTCTAGCCCGGCGAGTTTGTCGAGGACACTTGCGGCAAGCGGAATGCCCTTGTATGCGGGACCGAACAGGACATCAAAGTCGAGCGCTGGAGTATGCGAGGCGAGGGTGTTTGCGTAGGCGAGGCTTATCGAGCGGAAGAGGGAGGCTCGATGAAAGAGGCCGGCGTTGAAGAAGTAAGGAGATGTGCGACCAGATTTGAGGGTGAAAGTGCCAAAAGAAAGGGCATTTGCGGAAAGGGCGGATTGGATAAAGGTGGCTTTGTGGTCTGCAAGAGCCATCTTGTCGCAGAACCGTATAGTAAATGGTTTACGAGAGAAACAGAATACTTCATCCTGTGGTGGGATGCTCACTTCTGGTGGCAGCTCTGCCAAGATTTCGACGCTAGCCAGAACTTTTTTTCGGTATCGATAGGACCTCGTTTGAAAAACCACCGGCAGCTTCTTTCCACACCGCCAACCGCCGCCCTCAGGAATCCTACCCCGTCGAGTTTGCGAGATGAAGACAACGTGGAAGGACATTGCTCCTGTGCCGACATCACAGGAGTTTCTCGATATTGTCCTGAGTCGGACCCAGCGTCGCTTGCCGACACAGATCCGCTCCGGGTTCGCGATTACCAGAATTCGAGGTATGGTTGAAAATGTTATGAGGAAAAGGTGCAGGCTACAGTACTGATGCCTCCAATAGCGTTCTACACTAGAAAGGTCAAATATACCGCGGAGACCTTTACGGAAAAGCTCACAGCCATTCTCGATGGGTTTCCCCGCCTCCAAGATATTCACCCTTTCCGTACGTCAGACCCAGTAATAATTACAATGATTCGGAGAGATTACTCACACGGAAAACACAGACAAGGACCTTCTAAACACTCTCTACGACGCTGATCATTTTCGAATCGCTCTTGGTCAACTGTCCACTGCGAAGCACCTAATTGAGACTGTGGCAAGAGATTATGTGCGGCTGCTCAAGTATGGACAGCACCTGTTCCAATGCAAGCAGCTTAAGCGGGCCGCGCTTGGCCGCATGGCAACCATTTGCAAACGCCTGAAAGATCCTCTCCTCTATCTCGAACAAGTGAGGCAGCATCTTGGACGTCTGCCGTCTATCGATCCGAACACGCGCACATTGCTAATTTGTGGATACCCAAATGTCGGCAAATCAAGCTTCTTGAAGGGGATCTCGAGAGCTGATGTGGATGTACAACCGTATGCATTCACGACAAAGAGCCTGTTCGTAGGTCATTTTGACTACAAGATGCTGCGGTTTCAGGCTATTGACACACCCGGTATTCTGGACCACCCACTCGAGGAGATGAATACCATCGAAATGCAGTCCATCACTGCCATTGCGCACTTACGATCTGCTATTCTCTATTTCATGGACCTTTCCGAGCAATGTGGATATTCAGTGTCTGCACAAATCGATCTCTTCAACTCGATAAAACCGCTGTTCGCAAATAAATTAGTCTTTGTCGTCATTAACAAGATCGATCTGATGAAACCTGAGGATCTGGATGCCGAGACTCAAGAAAGACTTCAGGGAATGCAAAAATCTGGGGAGGTAGAGATTCTGCAGCTATCCTGCACCACTACCGAGGGCCTTATGAACGTTCGCAACGCAGCTTGTGACCGTCTTCTTGCCATTCGCAATTCTGAGAAGCTCAAGGCAGGTACAAACAATTCTGGTGAGCCCACTGGGCGTCTTGGTGAACTTCTTCGTCGCATTCACGTCGCCCAGCCTATGGGTGGCATTGTCAGAGAAGTGTACATCCCCGACGCTGTCAAGAATCGTGTCAAGTATGACAAGGAAGACCCCAACAGACGCAAACTCGAGCGAGATATCGAAGAAGAAGAAGGTGGTGCTGGTGTGTACAACATCAATCTCAAGAAGAACTATCTTCTTGAGGATGATGACTGGAAGAACGACAAGATTCCCGAGGTTGTCAATGGTCAAAATGTATATGACTTTATTGATCCAGACATCGACTCGAAGCTTGCCGATCTCGAAGCGGAAGAAGAGCGCCTCGAAGCTGAGGGTTACTATGACGAGTCTGACTCTCTCGAGGATGCTTCCGATGTTGAGATCGCGGAGAAGGCCGAGGCAATCCGGACCAAACGCCAGCTCATCCGCAACGATGCTCGCTTGAAGAAGAATATGAAGGGCAGGGCAGCCTTACCTCGACATGCAGTCAAGAAACCACTTAGCAAGATGCAATCGCACTTTGCAGAGATTGGACTCGATACTGACGCCATCTCTACTCGTGCACGCGCACAGTCTCGGGGCCGCAGCGTTGCACGTGGTCGCAGTGTAGCAGACACGGATGCCATGGACATTGACACACCGCGGACCGCAAGCCAGCGTGCAAAGAGCCGTGGCCGTAGCCAGAGTACCAATCGCAGAGATGATGGTGTCACGGGTGGCGTGAGAAATCCACATGCGAAGGAGATGGCGGATCGTCTGCAGAAGTTGAGTCAGAGGAAGATGAACCGCATGGCCCGGCAGGGAGAGGCCGATAGGCACGTGCCAGAATCGAGACCCAAGCATCTTGTGAGTCCCACGGCCATGGCCTCGTACCGCGATGAAAATGCTAACTTCATATCTAGTTGGCCGGCAAGCGTGGTATGGGCAAGACGCAACGCAGGTAGAAGAAAAGTAATGTTTTTCGCTTGTCACTTGACACCACAATGGATGGTGGGGCTACGTATAGGCGTCAGAGTAGTACGATACGGTTGGAAAGACTGCAGTTGCGGCCGGCCATGTCGTCTCTACCATTCAATACCCGTCTCGTTCGTGCACAACTTGACGATAGTAGATTGATACGAATTTTATACCCGTTGAGAAATTAGTATGTGTACCATGTGGCAACTAAACAAAAGGCTGCGCAGACTAGATGTGTTGTTCTTGTGGGTACCCTGGGGGCCACCAACAATTTCAAAATAGAACAATATGCATTACTGAGGGAGCAGAATTTGCCGACCCCTCATCCACTGGCGTTAGGAGGTCACTCAAAGCGCGACGAGCGCCAATTAGTTGTTGGAGTCAGAATGCAGCCAAGTATAGGAGAAGGTCCGAAAGCAAGCGGTCCCGACTTTGCATGTTGGGAATCGGAACAGACGCGAAGATGGAGGTGAGGCTGTCCCACGTAGGGACGACCCTGGTATTTGGGAAAGGCACGTATAAGCAAGATGAAACACCGACATGTTGGAGAAGCAAGGAGGACGGGATATTAGTGATGATTAACCAGAGCGAGACAACAAGACGCATATGCATCATGCATCTGGTTTGACGCGCGCCCTAGGAGGAACGGGAAGAGGCGCATTTTAGTTTTTTCCCCTTGATGCCATCGCGTAATTCTACAGGAGAGAATCGTGTGGCCGAGCGGGAGCTTCGCCTGTTTGGGGAGGCACGCAGCTTGTAATTGGCGGAGGAAGGGGCGCCCCAGGAGGCAGCCAAGTACGGCAGACGGCGCACACGTTGCGCTAGGGCCAGCTGGTGGCGCCGTCGGCTTTGTTTGATCAGAATGAGAGGTCAATGGAAGGATATTAACGTTGGAACCCGAGAATTCATCTTTTGCATCTTCTTTCTCTTCACCTCCTCCTGCTTCTCTTCCCTGTCTCCACGGTTCATCACAGGTCGCCGGCGGCCCTGCTTCTTTGTCCATCTTCACACTCTCGCTTTTCCTGCCTTTGCCTTTTTCTAGCCGCGCTCTTTAGCTACTCTTCAGTCCACAATGACCTCCCATACGATGGACAGCATCGACGGTAGCGTTACTTCCACCGTTGGCAAGCAGACCATTGAAGGTCTCGACACGCACGAGAAGAACAACTTGTCTCCAGTTTCAGCCGAGATCCCAAGAAAGAGTCATACCGGCTTCGCTCCTCCTATGTCACCAATGTCGTGGCAGGCTCATCATGTCAACCGCAGACGGAAGACGAATAGCATCGATTTGGACGACTACTTTGTTGGGCCGAGAGATGTATCCAAGCACTCGAAGTGGCCATTTTTCATGCGTCTACATGGCAGCATCTTGCCAAAGATGATTCTACCGCTGACCTTCATTGCTGGATGGTCGACCGCCATTACCCTCATTAGTCACTATGTTTACCCACGTACGTAACTCAGTTCGAGAAATCCTCCGGAGACGAGCTGACGTTTCAACCAGTCACCGTGGACTCTTTGCTTTTGACAGTGCTCGGTTTCGTTGTTGGTTTGGGGCTATCTTTCCGTTCGTCAACTGCGTATGAGCGTTTCACTGAAGGTCGCAAATACTGGGCTCAGCTCCAGTTCACTGCACAGAACCTTTCTCGTGTCTACTGGGTAAATGGGAAAGAACGCCCGGGCGAGGAAGGAAAGCAGGATCTTCTTGGCAAGCTGTAAGTCAATTGATTCCTTCTGGTAGTCAACTCTCGCACACCTGGATCCTGACAGACTCGTAGAACTGCGCTGAATCTTATCAATGCATTCGCCGTCTCTCTGAAGCACAAGCTGCGGTTCGAGCCTGGCATTCACCATGAGGATCTACGAGGTCTGGTTGGATACATCGATTCATTCGCTAAAGCGGCCGAAGAAACCATACCTATGCCCAAACAGAAGACCCCATGGAAGGCCACTGGTGAATACCTGGGTATCTCTTTCGCTGAGTCCAACCCACGCAAGTATATCAAGCGTGCAAATGCGAAGAAGCCGATCGGCAACTTACCACTAGAGGTCCTTAAATATTTGACTGCTTACAACGAATCCCTGATCGAGAACGGAACACTGCCGGTTCCTGGCCACCAGACCATTGTAATCAACAGTATTGTCGCCATGAATGAGGTGATGACGGGCTGTGAACGTGTCCTCAATACTCCCATGCCTCTGGCTTACAATATTTGCATCTCACAGAGTAAGTTATCCCGTCTCTATCCCTCAACTGGTCTAACAAAGCTGCAGTTACATGGGTGTACGTTCTATGTTTGCCATTCCAACTCTGGGCCAAACTTAAGTGGGTTACAATTCCTGGATGCATTTTCTCGGCGTACATCATCCTCGGTCTCGCCATGATTGGTCGTGAGATCGAGAATCCATTCGGTAGCGATGTGAACGACTTACCCCTCGACGACTTCTGCAACGAGATCGCAGAAGATATCGACATCATCACGGCTGCACCACCTCCAAAGCCGGTTGACTTCATTGGTGCCATCGACAACCTGATATTATGGCCTCTGAGCGACAAGGGCTCGAGCACTTGGTCGACTAGGTCAAAAGAAGAGATACGTGAGGCACTCATGACCAAGGCGAACGCAAATCTGAAGACACGGAAGAGCGTCTACAACCAACGCACGAGCGACTCGGACGATGACGGACACATCGCCGCACAAGCCGCCCCAACCCATAACGAAGTCTGAAGAAAGATTCTTGCGGATTAGCACAGCGACAGCATAATAGTCTACCGATCTTCAAAACGGCTGATACCGCGTTCGATCGGGACCAAGATGTCGTCACAAAGGCTAATATATCACATCACATAGTATGACTGATTGTCATAATCTCTGTACAAGAGTCCGAAAAGAAAATTGTTTCTCTTAATCTGCCAGGAGTTTCGGATCGGCATTTCCGCGGAGGCGCTTGCGATCTTGTGGTATCATGACCCTTACCATTACCCGGCTGCTTCAATTACACGCACACTAAAATCCTTTTGTAATTCTATATAGCAAAGCACTGATTGATAGCAAAGCGATCTATCTCCCGAGTCACTAGACAGAATCCTGTGCACTTTCTTCGCGTGCTATCCTAGACGCCCCTTGAACGCTACTCACTATATCTCACAATCCAATTTTCGCTGTAGGTTGCGTGTATATATATACGTATGGAGTCGTCTGCCCTTCCCTACATAGTCGCACGTCTACTCTCCATCTCTACTCCAGTACTCGACCTCGACTACAAATTCCATCGGTCACCACTCCTCCACCCAACAGCCCGACGCGACTATGCAGATGATTGCAGGCAACTTCAGCAAGCTAGGGCTGGTGTTAGTGTTGAGTGCAAGTAAGGAAATTATAAAAAAGCGGGAACGGGGAGAAGGCCGGGTAGGAAGAGCAGGAAGAACAGAGTCGGATGATGTTCATCGCAGATATCATTAGAGTATGACGGCAGCGGAGAAGCTGTATATGTAATTTACGTGCGGGCTTTCAGGAGGTGGGATTCGGAGAGAGGTACTTGGGAAATCGGTATTTGACGACGAGTGATGAAAGGAGGGGGGTTAAGGCTACGGGCTTGAGAACATGTGGCATGTAGCTCTGCGGCGTGAGGTCGGAAATGCCGAAAAGCACGCAATCACGGCTCGTAGAGGAAGGAGAGGATGGCTGACATATGTATTTTTGTGCTGTGAATGTGCGAATGTGAATGTGGCACCCAGTCCATTGTGTATGGATGGGGTCATATCAGGAGATCCCATACGACAAGTGTGGCGCAGAATGCCATGGTCCCATAGAATACCATCTGCGCTGTGCTTTTCCTTTCCGCTGCTCGCTTCAGCTCTTTGTTGCCGCCACCTATGTTTTCTTCTGTTTGGTGGGAGTCTTGGATGAGGAGGTCGATGTGCTCTTGTTGCATGGCGAGGTTGCCGACGAGTGTGCTTTGCAGTTCGGATATTTCGAGGAGGGACTTCTCGGCGGTTCTAGGGGGGGTATGAGTACTGGTGCTTGGGGGGGGATAATGGGAGCCATTGGGCTTACCTGACTTGGTCTAATGTATCCTCATAGTGCTTCAGCATGTCTTGGTTTTCTTGTGCGAATAGCTGCAGTTGCTCTGGACTTAACTGTTGCTCGAGCTCTTGCCGCTGGTCATCATCCAGCGCAGCTTTCGAGGCAAGATAATTGGTGCTATATTCCTTCGTCTCTCCGAAGCCATTGATGGGAGAAGTGTCTTCCTGCATGGCCATACCGCCCCGTGCCTTGTACAAAGCGCTTTTGCTCTTCTCCACCTCCCGTGTGATGCGAATGTCCATCATCTCGCCCTGCAACCGCCCACACGCCTCCAGTTTTCTTTGAAGATACCAAATCACACTCTCGCGATGCATCTTTATCGTGTTGGCTTTCGCCTCGATCTCGAGCTCCGCAGGACTCTTCGCGGTAACGGCCCCTCCCGCCGCCCATCGTCCCAGTGCTCCGAGACCTTGTCGAGCACGCTTCTTGATTGCGACCGCAGAGTCTGTGGATTGACGCACAGATTCGGCCTCGGAGAGATTGCTAACGGCGGTGTTGAGCTCGCGGAGCAGTTGCTTTGCGTCGGCGTCTATGGAGGCGCGTTGGGCGTCGGTGAGGTGCCGTCGGTCTGCATCATTGCTCTGAGTGCTTAAGACTTGTTTGCGGCGGGATGGAGGCTGAACAGAGAGGTAGGCTTGGCGTATGGAGCGGAGATAGGTTGTGAGCTCTGATATGCGTTTGTTCTGGTGACGTTGAGTATATCAGGTCCCTACTTGGGCGGGTTCTGTGTGACGTACTATGGTATATGCCTCCTGAAGGAAGGCGTCGACATTGCGCAGCTTGAATACATAGAGTTCAATGGGCTTGCTGTTGTGTTTGACGAGGAGCTCATTGAATTGGGGCACAAGGTCCATACTGGAGAGTTCATGTGTTTGGCATGGTGTGTGTGGGCGCAATGACATCGGAGTGGAAAGTTGACAGCACGGATTCAGCCACACTTGAGGAGCGCCACGTGTGGCTGATCATTTATCCATTCATAGATGATAGTTCATGGTACATAGCATAACAAGACATTCCGGTTCCGCTGACCTCCATTTATACAACCCTGATCCTGACCCCGCATTGAACTTTAATTTATGATCGGCTTTTGTGCCGTTTCGTGGCTACCTTTCTACATTGGATCTGAACTTAATATATCTTTTACTACGTGACTCACTTTCGGACATGCCATTCGCCCCTGTTGATCACCACCTTACCACGGCCCTTTACCGGTACGGAAACGAGGTAGTGGAGATGCTTCACCAATTTTTCGATGGTGGCCTTACCTACCGCAGTGGAGAATGCCTCTTAAACGGTTAGACGACATTGCACAGATAACAGTCCGTTCTCATCAGGCTACCGCAAGTCATCATCATGTGCATGCAGGGTGGAAACCCTTTTTCGACATTTCATAAACCCGTTTCTTACTCCCTCTGGTTTCTTCATGCTTGATATTCTAGCAAAATACAGTGGAAAATCATGACTCTCCATGTCAATGACGCTGAGATGGCAAAAGCTTTGCCAGTGGCGCCAAATGGCGTGATCGCCATGATTAACACAGAAAGATCAATCGGAGAGAAGTCAAAGGAGTTAGACATATCAAGTTCATCGCCTTCCTCAACCACGAGCCTTCAGGACCAAGCTGCGAGCTCCGACAAAGAAGAACATGGCGCTGACATCGAAGCCGCCCCGTCAGTACGATCAGAAGCACCAATATACTCAGTGTTCACTCTTGGGCAGAAACAATTCATTGTTTTCATGACAGCTCTCGCCGGTTTATTCTCGCCACTATCGGCCAATATATATTTTCCAGCGCTGAATACGCTTACCGAGGACTACAAGGTTTCGGCTGCTCTGATAAATCTCACACTCACTACATACATGATATTCCAGGGGCTGGCACCGACTATATTTGGAGATCTCGCTGATAGTGCCGGAAGACGTCCTGCTTACGGTCTGCATTAAATCAACCCTGAGGACTTTCAAGTTACTGACTCACTTAGTGCTTGGTTTCATTATATACATAGGTGCCAACATAGGCTTGGCCCTTCAGAATTCATTTGCGGCTCTTCTGGTCCTTCGATGTCTCCAAAGTACTGGCTCGAGCGGAACCATTGCCATGGGGAGCGGTGTCGTAGCAGACATTGCAACCAGCGCAGAACGTGGTGTTTGGATGGGCTGGGTGACCAGTGGACCAATGATCGCTCCGGCTCTCGGACCTGTTCTAGGTGGTATCTTTGCTCAATATCTTGGTTGGCGTTGGATCTTCTTTTTTCTCATCATCCTTGCTGGAGCCTACCTCATTCCCTTCCTTATAACATTTCCGGAGACAGCACATAACGTTGTAGGCAACGGTAGCATTCCTCCACAGGGTTGGAACATGTCTCTCTTGAACTATCTTCAAGTTCGCAGGGTGGCCAGAGACACAAACGAACTTGAACGAACTACATCACGAGAGACTCTACGCCAGGCGCAAGCTCGTCTCGCTAGCAAACGGAAGCTGCGTTGGCCAAATCCCCTGAACACGCTTAAAGTTATCGTAGAGAAGGATGTCTGCATGCTTTTGATCGTGAACTCTTTGATATACACATCATGCTACTGTATCGTCGGTAAGTCGGCACCTTATTGTTTAGAAATTTACTGTTCGATCAAGTTCCGGCCATGTCTTCCTTCTCTAATCAATCACCGGAATATCCTGCTGTCCTATTACCCTAACAAACGTACTTGCGAGGCTAACAGCCACAGGCTCCACGCCATATCTCTTCGAGACCATCTATGGCTTCGACAACCTCCAGATCGGCCTCTGCTTCCTCCCGTACGGCATGGGCTCCCTCATCGCCCCGCTTATAAGTGGCCGCGCCATGGACTGTAATTATCGGCGCATAGCCGCCAAAATTGGATTCCCAATCGACCGTAAACGCGGCGACGACCTTAAGAATTTCCCAATCGAGCGTACCCGCATACAAGTCGCATGGCCATTATTCATCGTTGGTAACACGATGTTCTTGGTATACGGCTGGGTGCTCCAAGTAGAAGCGCATCTTGCAATCTCATTGGTGTTGCAGTTCCTGATGGGCATGTGTCAGACGGGGGCGTTCAATGTGATGAGTGTGTTGTTGATTGATCTGTATCCGCAGAGTCCAGCGACTGCCACGGCAGCTAATAATCTGGTACGATGCCTTGTCGGCGCGGGTGGTGCAGCCATTATCATTGAGATGATAGAGAAGATGGGACGAGGGTGGTGTTTTACATTTGTTTCGCTTGTGCTGTTTGCCACAAGCCCGATTTTATTGCTGCTACCGAAGTTTGGACCACAATGGAGAGAAGCAAGACGCCTACGGATAGAACAGAAAGAAAAAGAGGATAACGAACAAGGGGAAAAGTAGAAGGCATAGAATATCAGAAACCATCATGACAAAAGGATATATCGTAGCGCCAATAAGCCTCACCCCAATCCACTAGACAATCTAAAGGTTCTTAATGTCCATAGAGACTATTCAACCTTCACCCCTGCTGCAAAGCTCTTTTCTGCTCCAACAGCGTCGTACTGCTCGCCGGACATCCCACTCCAGGCTGCCCGGTAAAACTCTGCAGCGTTACCAGTGCCGTATCAATTCTGACAATCTGGTCCTGTTTACTATTCCCTGCCGGAAAGCTGACCGCCGCGCCGGCGGGCGTCTGGCCCGCGGCCAAAAACTCCTGTAACTTGGCGGCGAAGGCTTCTTTTGAGGGTGGACATGTGCACGGTATGGGCACACCGGGCACTGAGCCGATGCAGTCGCTGGTACCAGGAAGCGGATTTCCGGCGGTTATGCCGAAGTCCGGGATGAGTGCCAGATCGATTGTGCCTCCTCCATTGTTGTTGTTTTTAGGGGGCTGCTGGTCGTTCGCGGCTGCGTTTTGGGCATTCGCATCGTTGTTTGTATCCTGGGCGTCTACACCGTTCTGTGGATTATCTACACCCACGGGCGGTGTATTCTGTGGAGGAGCAGTAGTTCCGAAGTCATTGAACAGAAGAGGACGACCTCGCCGAGGAGCAGGAATGGCGGCCACGGTGATGGCCAGAGCGGTTAAGACGATTGCAAGTCTCATGGTTCTGGCTTGGAATGATAACATGTGAAGAATGACTTTGATATATAAAGAACGACCTGCGGACACGAATCAAGAATCTGATGGAATGACTGCTTCTCTTCTATCCCAACAGCAACGAGGGCCGCCCCATCGAGTGACATACTCAGCCATGTCTCTCGTTCATACACTGTGCAATATTTGCGCATGGTCGCATGACAGGTTTGGGAAGGATTCCACGTCGCGGCCAAGTCTGTTGGAGAGAAGACAGGAGCTTAAATGGATATGTTCGGCAGTCGTAGACAGACCAACGTGATGCTCTACCACGGAATGGATGGTTTCAGGCAATCGTTATAAGGCCACATCTCTCAAACATGCGTTGCAGAATGATGGAGTGGATAGGGGAACTGATGATACGCGACCGGTAGCAGATAATTATCTGTGGCAGACGTACCTCGGAGGCTGGGCTGTGTCTGCCTTAGGCCAAATAGCTACCGAAGCTGCCAAGACTAAGACTTGCCTAATCGAGGTAGAAGAGGGTGATGTTGTAGATGGGGGCCAAAACATCATCTCGCTTTCGGGTTGGCCGTCCTTCCTCTCCATCTGATTATATCATTCTCGTCCAATCATGCAATTTTTACTGCATCGCCCGTCGACTTGCTCGGCATCTTTCCACTCAGCCACACCCTGGACTATTTCAGTATCGATGTATACAGGCAAATGACGTAGTGGGTCGATGATCTCTGCCAGTCTTCACAGCCACGACTCCAAATGTTAAACTACATTCGGCCTCGCAAGAGTTATAATTGGCTTGACACGTGAACATAGCGTGCGCTAGAATGTAACAATCTCACCAGGACTAGACTTCGCCATGGTAGTTTATAATCTATAAAGGTGTCTATATCCTTCGACCGGTAATAATGCTCACCTCAACGATACTCGCTTTCAAAATGAGTCTCTTTACACGCTTCTCTCTGTCCAGCACACTCTATACAGTATTCTTCCTGCTCTTCTTAGTCCAAACATGCCTGGCGACTCCACGAGTGATGATAGGCGCCGATGCTGTGCATTCAGAACCCAGCCGGATCCGACCTAGACAAACAACATTCACCTCCTTCTCCTTCCCTTCGTCTTAGTCCAGCGTTGACAGCGCGTCGGCGGACAGCGACTTCACCAGAAACTATAACTCTGCCAAGAAGACCGTCGATACAACAAGAAAGGTCATCATCGGTCTGGCAGTAGGGCTGGGTGTGGGAATCCCACTATTCCTGGCCACGGTAGCATGCTGTTTCATCCAACGCCGCCGTAGGAGAAGAGCTGCCGACCAGTACCAGCCAGCTTTCGAGGCATCGAAACCGGCAACCTTCATTGATGGAGCCAACAACTCGCCAATGCCGCAGGGAACTCAATACACCGGCTACAGCTATAAGGCAACACCACAGGATGACTATCCGCCCACTTATCAGCACAATAGGTACTCAGCACCAGTCTCAGAAGTCAGCGGGGTTCCACCAAGCAGAGAATTGCCGTCTAATAATATCAGTGAGATGGGGAGTGTAAGGTAATTAGAACGGAATATAATGATCGAAAGGGGGGCCAAAAGTCTCGTGCGAACTTGCCAAGAACTTATACGCGGAAATGAAAGTATGACTGTAAGATATGTGTCATTTTGGTAGACTTTGCGAGAGTACATACATATATTCGCTATATAGCTCGCGACCACTCGAGCTGAGTTGGTGCTGTTAACCATATATCCATTTTGTCAATTCTCCGCCATGTCAAATCTTTTTGCTAGACACTTCTCGGCACAGTCTCCGACCAAGCTGCACTTAGCACGAGCAAATCTACGTTGTCATGTGCATTCCAAACTCCAGGTTTCGTCATTCGCAACGACTTGGTGCAATACATTGGCACAAGCAAACCCGTCCAGCCCTGGACAAGGCAGCACAAACCAGCCAAAGTTCAGCCTAGAGGATTTGGGCGCAACGAGAGGCACAAAATACTTTCTCATCGCTGCGCTCTCGGTCGTTGGAACTGCAGAAACGTATACGTATGCACGCTGGATTCATGGTTGGTGGACGAATAGAGGCGTGGTGGAAGAGGGTGGTGATGATGAAGCAGAGGGAACGCCGTGGTGGGAGTCAAGAGACGCTTTGCGCAAGGACTGAGTTGCATCACTCTCACTCGCACCGTTTGGTCCAGAAGACATACTCTCTTGCATAGCCCTATGTGGTAGAAATGTGGACAATATGTATCAGAATTTGAGACCTCAAAGATACAATCAAGCGGCTAAGTACGTGATGACGTCAGCCTAGCTGAAGCGGTCCCTCAACTTCAACACCGCCATAGGAAATGTCCACGCTCTCATACTTAAAAAACTCAGCGTGAATTGCATCTTCTACTCCACACTTCCACTTCGCAGTGGTAGAGTCAAAGAACAATGAACCCGCCACCCGTATCCAGAGACACACTGAAGACAAAACAGTCGCGAAGAGCACGGAAAACGGTCATCGAGGACGACAACAACGACGACAACGACGACAACGACGACAACGACAACGACGACAACGACGACAACGACGACAACGACGACAACGACGACAACGACGACAACGACGACAACGACGAGCCTCTAAACGACACGACCAAACCCCTAACACTACACTCCAAAAAACTAGCACGCCTGCACAAGAAACAATCCCAAAAATCGCAAAAAGCAGCCGCAAAACCCAATCTCCAAACCCTACCCCCCGAGATCCTCTGCGCCATCCTCACCCACCTCCTCCCATCCGACATCCTAACCTACACGCGCGTCTCCAAACACGCCCACGCCCTCACCACCCACCACGCCTCCAGCCTCGCGCGCCAAATCCTCGAAACCCGCTACCCGATCCTCACAAAATGCTTCCCACGCCCCGTCCTCCTCGCCCGAGTCGACCCAACCCTCCACGCCGTCCTCCTCGCCCGCGACGCATCCGGCACCCTCGACCTCCACAAAACCACCTTCCCCCACATCGAGCACTACAACCCGCGCCTCATCTGCAGCTGCACAACCTGCATCCTCGCCTGGAACAACCTCTGCACCCTCGTCGACCTCGCCCACTGGCGCACCCACTCCCACCTCACCAACATCCCCCCCTTACTCCCGCGCGGCACGAATCCCTCATGGAACAAGACCCTCGTCGCCGCAAACGCGCGCCTCGTGCGCGCCGCACTCTCATCCCCGCTCCTCTACGCGCTCATCCTGCAGCGCCACCTCGCGACCATAATCTTCATGATCCGCGAGCGCGGCGCCGCACTGCGTCCGCCGTACGGGCTGTGCGAGGCCGATGTCGCGGCTGGCACGGATGCGTTCTGTGCGCGGCCGGGCAGGCCGTCGTTTGAGTTCCCCTATGAGCGCGATCGGTATTACTCGCTGCAGGCGTATTTGCCGAATCGGGCGTGGAAGGCGGAGGCGCGGCAGTGGCGGTATTGGCCTGCGGATCAGCATTTGCGGGATCTGGAGTGGGTGAGGGGCATGGAGAGGAGGAGGGTGGAGGCTGTGGTGCGGGAGAGGGCGGAGGAGGAGGAGGAGAAGAAGAAGGAGGAGGAGGAGAGGAGGGTGGGACTGAGGGGGCTTGGTGTGGATGTGGATGTGGATGTGGATGATGAGAAGCGTACGACGTGCGACGGGATAGGGGGCCTTCAAGACGACACGTCTCACGAGCAGACCGCTGTGGCACCAGCATCTGCGCATCATAGTAATCGTAGTACAGCACCAGACCAGCAGCAGCAGCAGCAACAGGCGGCAGCAACAGCAGCAGCGTCGATATTCGGATGAGCAAAACAACGCTCAAACCACCCCCCCTTAACATTACATAACACACCCTACTAGGTTCTTCCTCTGTATGGGATAGAACTGAATGCGAGGAGAAGATCAAAGAATCGCGCCGTAGGCTTCATCTCTCCCAATCACGACAATCCACCATCCACCAGGTATACATCCTGCCTTCGTTGAAGAAGAAGAAAAAACCACACTATGAGCAGAGAAAGCGGATGCGTGTGTGTATACGTGTATGATATGCTCGAGCACCCTCTATGCGCAAACTCCAATGCCTGGACCCTCTACAGCCCCTCCTGAAACCTCCCAAGAGCCGCCGCAACTTTTTGTGTCTTTGATTAATTGTACAAAAATTCAAGCCAGACGCTTTACCTCCCCGTCTGTCACATCTGATCATAGCGTTGAACTACTGAGTCTCTCTGACGACCTTGTCGACGGCCTTTGCAAAATAGTCAATGTTATGCGAATTTAGGCCGGCCATGCTGATACGCCCGTTCTTCGTCATATAGACATGTGCGTCTTCCCGGATCTTCAGCACCTGTTTTTCTGATAGACCTGTGAAGCTAAACATGCCGATCTGGTCGGTGATGTGGTTCCACGTGCCTGGCGTGCCGAGCTGCTCGAGCTTGGCGCGAAGCTGGGTGCGCATTTCGATGATGCGTCCACTCATGGTCCGCAGATTAGCCTCCCACTCGGCAAAGAGCTCTGGAGTGTTGAGCACCAACGACGCAATGCGTGCGCCATACGCGGGCGGGTTCGAGATCTCAGATCTCTGCAGGATGGCCAGCTGGGAGGCGATGCGAGTAATTGTGCTCTGTGCATCGGATCCGGGGGCTGTCACGAAGTGGAAGCAGCCAGCGCGCTCACCATAGAGACCAAAGTTCTTGGCGTATGACTGTGCGATGCAAAGCTCGAAGCCCTGTGCAATGAAATAGCGGATGGCCCAAGCGTCTTTGTTCAAGTCGCCAGATGCAAAGCCTTGGTATGCAGTGTCGAAGAAGGGGAATTGCCGCCTCTGCGCCATGACTTGTGCGATCTGTTTCCATTGCTCTTGTGTTGGATCAACACCAGTGGGGTTATGTGCACAGGCATGAAGCAGAATGATGCTTCCTTCTGGGGTAGCCTTAATGTCAGACATCATGCCCTCGAAGTCGAGACCCTTTGTCGTTGGCGAGAAGTAGCGATATGTCTTGTGTGAGAGACGGGCGGTGTCGAAGATTTGGCCATGATTAGCCCATGTTGGATTCGAAAAGTATCCGGTAGGTGTCTGACCAGAGTACTTGTAGAATTTGGAGAGGAAGAGGGCGCCGAGGTGGACAGCACCAGTGCCTGAAATGGTCTGGAGTGATGCAACCTGTGGACGATTATTTTCAGTTGTTGTAGTAATAGTACGATGCACAATGGCCTTACTCGTCCTTCTTTGATCGCTGGGCTGTCTGCACCGAGACTTAGCCTCTGAGAGGCACTTGTGAACTGTTGGAGACCAGCAATAGGAAGGTATTCGTGGTTGAGGTCCGGATCGTCAGCAATGATTTTGTCGGCCTGGCTTGACATTAGCAAGGGCTCCGTGACGACGACGGATAGAAGCCAGGCATGGTAAAAGAGCAGACTGACCTTCTTTACTACTGGCAACACCCAGGGCTTAGCATTATCATCACGGTAAGCACCAATGCCCAGATCGACCTTCTGCGCAAACGTGTCCTTGCGGTAAGCAGCCATCAGACCGAAGAGCGGGTCCTCTGGAGCTTGGGGAACGATATCTGCGGTGAATGCGGAGGCCATCTTGTTTGAGAGATGACTGGATAATTGACCGAGTCGTTGGTGTGAAGATTGGAGTGATTGGGATGAGGAAGAAGAGGAAGAAGACATGGCTTGGGAATATTGGCACAGCTGGAACTTCGGGGAGCTCTGTTCACCGCTCTTAGCAGCTCTCGTGGCCTGAGGTATGAATTCCTGAAGACAGTTTGAGCAGTGGAGTGGTTCCTGCAGTTGAGCTGCACGCTGCAGAGCTAATTACGTCAACTCAGCGACCGTTTCAACTGACTATTCCCGTAAGAATAGCTGTAAGAATGGCTTGCACCGGTTGGGCAGCCAGGGGTCAAGGGACAAAATGACTCAAATTCAATGGCTTACTCCTTTGCGTCGGCTCGAGGACGACGTCTGTGGATGAGATTGATGCTGTGTCCAAAGTTGAGGACTGATGCGTGTGTGCTGGCAAAAAGAGTCGCCGACACCAAGACTCTATATACTCTGTCTGCGACGCGGACCTTCTAGATATCAGATCGTAAATAGGAAATTTAGACAGATATCTGTATACACCAACTAATGATAATAGAACAACACACGCTCAGGGCCGTTGTTGGCTGCTGCTGCTGCGGGGGGAAAATGGAATGACAAGCTGGGGGCGGGGTTGAACGTTGGTAGTTGACACACACTCAGGCGTGGGTGGGCAGCTTAGAAACGGGCGGCGCTGTATTGGCCAGATCCTTGTGTGCTGTATGTAATAGGGACGACGACGTAGGTAATCGGTTGTAGACAGGTTGTGGATAGCCAGAAGGTGTATATAGAATAGTATATACTAATACAATAGAGATACAAAGAAGTGCGAGAAGCAGCAGTCTCATCATAAGAAGTCATCGTCGGCAACCCTCGCCAGGCCATGTGAGCATTTTGCCGAGGTCGCGATAGAGTGTCAGTCAGTAGTATTAACTTAATAGCACAAGCAAGCAATTAACGTAATATGAGTCGCGTCGTTCATCTGGATCTAGATAGTCATTCCATCATCTGAATCTTCATTACCGCCTCCTTTTAATTACCTAGTCCTTGATCCGATTATCACTCCTGCTCCAGCCGAGGCTTCTTTCTCTCCGTCCAGCTGCCTGATACTTGCCTGACTCTTCACCACTACCAACACCACCACCACCACCACCGGAAATTAATATGCTGCTAATACTGCCATTCTGTGTCACAGAGGTCGACACTGCAACAATACAATAGTAGTACTGATAGACCCATCCGATCTCTGCACGTATGGCTTCGACGGATTTTGCGGGGTGCATTAGTCCTCGTCCGCTAGTGGCAAGCGGTATTGTTGTGGCCACCATGGCGATCGCCGTCACGCTAGACCTAAATCAGCGCGTTCTGTTGATAATTGGCTGAAAGCACAGACGGGCAGTAATTAATCATTCACTGGGCTGGTCCGCGGGTGCTCAGCATCGACGTGGATTGGATGGAGTACATGGAACCATATCATTATTAGACGTGCTTCTATCCATGCAAATGCTACTTGTCAAAACATCAGACTTCATTCAAAAGGGTATGCTACGCAACACAACGCAACGCCTGCCTTCCCGTGGTATCGTAAACTCCCCAGCGCGACTTTTCGTCTAGCAAAAGAACTTGTACACCTTCTTCCACATAGGCCATGCCCGCTTCTCCGCCTGCTCCTCCTCAATCAGGTGTTGCAGGTCGAGCTCGCGACGTCCGGTCTGGAGATCGATTGTATGCGATCGCATGATCGGTGTCTTGTAGATGATCTTGTACACCACGTACGTCACGACGATGATGGGTGCGCTGAGATATGCCTGGAAGAAGCTGATGACTCGTTCGTTGGCAGTGAGCTCGCCGTAGCCAACCGGAGCAAATCCAGTCCAGAACTGCGCGATCAGGACGAGGCAGTTGAAGATAAATCCTACCCAAGAGCCAATAACACCAGGCTGACTCCTGAATGCGAGCTCGTCGAGACTGTGTCCCTGCTTCTTCCACGCAGACCTGAATCGGATGTGCGCAAGACAGATGGATCCCCACGTGAAAATGGACGATAGACCAGAAAGTGCAAGCATCCAGTTGAACGCGTCGCTACGAGCCTGATCACCGGCTGCGACAATCAGGTACAGAAGTCCAAACGCAGACGCGACGAGGATAGACACAAGGGGCCGACCAGAGCGATCAATATAGGCAAGTATCTTGGGCGCCTGTCCGCGCTCAGCCATACCAGCTAGCACACGCGACGATCCGTAGATGGACGAGTTGCCCACCGAAAGCACGGCAATCATGATAACAACGTTGAATATCGATGGGAGGACAGGGATCGAAGCGTTCGAGATGGCAATAACGAAGGGTGATGCTGTGATGTCGACGCTGCTGGATCCATTAAGAAGTTCAGGTTCGGTGTAGGGGACCAGGCAGCCAACAATTACAAGCGAGACAATGTAGAAGAGAGTAATTCTCCAGAACACCTGCTTGATCGCTGTAGGAAGCATCCTTCTGGGGTTTTGGGTCTCCGCGGCGGCTAGACCGACGAGTTCGGTACCTGCGAATGCGAACGCCGCAGTAACGAAGACACTGCAAAGCCCCTTGAACCCATTATTGAACGCGCCCGGGTCGCTCCAGTACTTGTCACCAATAACTTCGCCGGTCGGGCTGGCGCCGACGTTGATGCATATGCCGAGGATGCTGCAAGAAGATTAGCGACAGTGTCAATGCTCCAATTCAAAAATCTTACATGAAACCGATGACAGCAATAACTTTGATGAGCGAGAAGACAAACTCTGCTTCACCGTAGCCCTTGACTCCGAACAAGTTGATTGCAACAATCAACACGAAGAAGATGGTGGACCAAGCAGCAGAGTTGACATCTCTCGCACCTTCCCAGTAGGTTAATGTGATGGCCGCCGCAATGATTTCGAGCGGGAGCACAATGAGCCACTGCATCGCATAATTCCAACCCATGGCGAAACCCCACGCAGGATCAATGAATCGGCTCGAGAAGGTAGCGAAAGAACCAGAGACAGGGTACATGACGGCCATCTCGCCCAGTGCATGGACGGTACAGTACAACATGATTCCAATGAGACCGAAGGCGAGAACGAGTGACGCGGGACCACCCTTTGCGAGAGCGGAACCCGAACCGATGAAGAGACCTGTACCAATCGAGCCTCCAATGGCAATCATCTGGAGGTGGCGGCCCTTCAGACGGCGGGAGAGCTGGGCTGGATCTTCTGGTCCATCTGCTGTCGACACACCAGGCTGGCGCTTGAAACTATCTCTGAAGTTTCCCCAAGCGGTGCCTTTAGGTTCATCCGAGGATCCATACTCATATGTTGGTGACGGGGCTATTTCAGCGCTCGTCTTCTCGATGTCTTTGCTCATGGTGGCGTGTGTGACCCTATAGCTTGTCCGGAGAGGACGTATTGAGTGTTTGAGGGTGGAATAGAGGTAGGTGAAAGGTACCGAAGCCAGGTAAAATGCTACCTGCGAGGAGGAACACGGTAAAGGGCCCAACAGCCAACTGCAACAAACGGATCTTCAGTTGGACGCATGCTGTGGAAGGGCGATGGGGTGCATTATTATATTCCTATCGAATCGAAGGGCCAAAGAGTGTTCCACCCCACAACTCGTTATCGGCACGCGACTTGCATCAAAGGGTCCGTGTCAAGACCTACTAGAAGTCGTAATAGGCAGCTGGGCGTCGACTGGCCGTGTGGGATGAAGCCAAGAACCTAGATCCAACCGTCGGCCCCAGCGAGGAGTATTGAATGGCTCGGACGAGATGGCAGTAGGTGATGTCGTTCGCGCGCTAGGAAGACAAGCACTGGCGCTGTGGAGCCGGCTCGACGACAGTGTGGTCGTATCTGGAGTGTCTTAGGAGTCTTGGAAGGCCCGTTAGCAGCGCAACATAGGACATCTGTCGAATCACGGCTTCCTGTATCTGCCTTGGCCGTGTCTGGGCGGAGCCTCAAGATAGCCTAGTCGCGTCGCCCAGCTTTCATTGTCCGGGGTGGCTCGTTTGCTCGTTTGCTCGTCGTTCCATTACCCATTCTCAGTCTTCTCTCTATCATCATCCCGCTTGCCTGATCAAGCCAGACTTTCATGCTTTCGAGAGGACCTTACGAAACTCTCAAGCTTGCTCTGATGAGAATTCCACCAGCCGTGGCGGCAAACCGATCAGCCTCTCTGGTCCACTTATATTGCCCTGGAAAAGAGCAGGCCAGCCCTGTTGGAGGAATCGCTGCTAATGAGCCATGGCATTGGCTGATGTTGGCTGCGAGGGCACAACCATACACGGCAACCGCAGTTATCAGGCCAAGCAGAGCGGGTGGATACGTTTGGGAAGTTAGGGAGGCCCATCTCAGTCTGGTTCCCTGCCCCCTGTCCATGTGCCTTCGGGACGCGCGACGTCGGAAAAGCGCAGAGATGCAGTGCCGCGAAGAAGGGTCTGATGTTGATGTAAGGTGAGTGGAGTTGAGTGACGAGTGACTGGAGTGGCTGATAGGAGCGCAATCACGTTGCGACTGGCCCGGGCTACCACCAAACGCCCCCACCTGTGCTCCCAATCCTACGCCGAGACGTGCCACCTGCCCAGCCTTTCTAGATGCGATGGAAGTATTATCTTCAAAGCGAGACTTGGCTTAAGGTAGTATTAGCATCTCGGTGATGGCTTTCACACTACTGCCTCGTCTGCGGCTCGGGATACTGATATCTCGTTTGCTTTAGGCCGATCAACAGCAACCCAAAGGCCTTCCACCACTTCATGTATCGGGCCATGTCCCGTGTCATGGCGCATGCATGTTGTATCCACCAAGCAAACATATTGTGCCACGCCACGCAGCAGGCTGACAGCTGAAGCGTTTGATCCCTTGACTAATTGGAGGGAGTCTTAATTGCGCGCGCAAATCCATGTGGCGAAGTCTGCCTCATCACACTCATCACTGTCCTGTGTTTTTCTTATCTTCTGTATAATTAGCTGTTTCGAGGTGTCGAAGCTCTACGACATGCACGACCCAGCAGACACTCTGTGCGTGGCAATTCGTAACGCGGTCTTGCCCCATCTGCTCCTGGTGTGGACGAGCCATGTGCCTTAGGACCCGCATGGTGACATGTTCAATGTTGTAAGCTAGTGAAATTGTCGTGAAGCCTTCATGTTAAGGCTGGTCAATGTGTATCTTTTGTGGACAACTCTGCGTCAATGAGTGTCTCGGACCTCTAATGACGAGGCTCTGATACGAACACGGTACGCAAATAGCCTTGGGGCCGTGATATGAACGACTACCGCGGGCGATGTTATGATGTGCCGCCCTATGAACAGCGTTTCATAGTTCCATCTCGACCTCGTTTCACGAGAGGGCTTTGTTATCATCTTGCTGAGATATCCTCTGAACGTCGAATTTCACCTTCGCCTTCCTAGAGCTTGTCCCCGGATCTCAACTTGCAAGGGATACTAAATGCGGCTCTGTCACCCATAGCATCCACTTCCAAGCCTGATGAGTGGCATGGGTCAAGGGTTTGTCTCCCGTAGTCTTGATGAGCTTCTAGAAACAGCGTGGAAGGTCACTACCGTCTAAGCGAAAGCCGTATCACGCCGCCAGGACGGTTTTGGGGAATAGCTGCAGCCCTGCTGGGAAGGCGGCTCTACCTCAGTGCCTCAGGGGCGTAAACAGTCTACATCGGCAGCGATGATTAGCCTCGTCACCTGGCTGTCTTGTCTCGGCTCAAGAATGCCAGCGGCGTGTTCCTGATACAGTGTGGTCATGAGGAAGTCCGGACATCCTGTTCCTACGTTCGATCCAGGTGGATGATTTGAAGTCTTGAGCAGGGCTGGGCAGAAAGCCATTCCGAACCCACGGAACAACTAGCTGTTCCTAGTCACATACATGGGGTCGTGCAGGCTGAAGTGTTCTTTGCACGCCGCAACGAGCCTGGCCTCATGTGCAAAGTTCGAAGAGGTGTTTCTGACTGTCATAGTTATGCAAGGTGCTTCGTCTAACCCTGGAGCATTAAACCTTTCCTCTTTTTACCAAGGTCTGATGTACTGGCAACCACTGGATGGCACTCGCGGCCGTCGAGCGTCTCGTCGACAAATGGGGAAACATGTCCGAAAGACGCGACTTGGCGACAATGTCCAAGGACGTCTGCTAATTGCAAATAAACAAGAGCTGCGAATCGTTACTTAAAGATTGCATCTATGAAATATCAGTTCTATTGATCCAATTTACGCTTCGTCAGATATACCCAAGCCAGGTGCCACAGGCTGGGATAGATCCGGTCATGTCTCGCAGATCGCGATGCTGTACCTCATCTCAGTGACTCCTTGGAATGCTGTGATGCATAAAAATGTGAGCTGGAATCCGACGATCGCTTGCGACCAGGACTGTCATAGATGTGAGTATCTTGTAGACGTGGAATTTAGGTATGAGCGGATGGGCAGTTCCATCCAAGTTGGGGGGTGCTTTTCACTCGTGCAGGTTTGGCAGCTTTGTAGCGCTGCGACCCTATCACCGGCACTGCTTGACCTCCTCAAGTCGGGCGAATCCTTGGAGTAGTACAGAGTTCGGGGTATGTTGCTCGCACAGATAAATTGAACAACATGCTCACAGATTGCAATTTCATAAGGCGAATCTAGCATGCAGCGACGCGATGCTTTAGTTGTAAAGCAAGCCAGAAGACTAGCCGATAGTGGTACTCGCCGAAACGTGGTATATTGTATATTGTATATTGATCACTGACAGATAGACAGCGCTGTTGAGAGTGTCGTAACCACTCAGCCAAAATGACTAGTCCTAGTCATCTGACTAGTGTTACCGGACCTTTTGAAGCCTGAACTCCCACAAGAGAGGAAGAAGGTGTACACGTGACACGCTGAGCTCTCGCCTAATGCTTGGCAGCGCACTACACACACGGAATCTGCAAACCTCAGTAGTATCGTCAGCTACCACAATTCCGACAACCTCGATAACACCGCCAAAATGGGTCGCGTTCGTACCAAGGTATGCCAGACTCGTGCTTCATGAGAGATATCAATTTTAACCAATTGTACAGACCGTGAAGAAGTCCGCCAAGGTCATCATCGAGCGATACTACCCAAAGCTCTCCCTCGACTTTGAGACTAACAAGAGGATTTGCGATGAGATCGCTATCATTGCCAGCAAGCGTCTGCGCAACAAGGTTCGCCGCTTTGCAATTCAGAAGACCGAAAATTTTCTAATGAGACCATCAGATCGCTGGCTACACCACACATTTAATGAAGCGTATTCAGCGAGGACCGGTCCGTGGTATCTCCTTCAAGCTGCAAGAAGAGGAGCGTGAGCGAAAGGATCAATACGTGCCAGAGATCTCCGCGCTTGACTTCACGCAAAACAGCGAGAGCGGTCAACTTGATGTTGACCAGGAGACAAAGGACCTCCTCAAGAGCATGGGCGTAAGTTTCCGGTGTTCTATAGTGTCGCCTTCGACCTGCTAATCACGGTGCACAGTTCGACTCTATCCCCGTCAACGTCGTTGCCGTATCGCAGCAACAACAGACCGAACGCGGACCCCGCCGCTTCAACGACCGCCGCCCAGGCCAGTAAAAGGTGTTCTTTCGTATGGTTGGGACGGATTGCATGTGATGACTATAACGGTTGGGTTTACATCAGAGACTATTGTTGTCACTGGAGCTTTCAAATAGGCGAATAAAGAGTTGTCATCCCCTCAAGGTGTCGCTGAGCCTGCAGTTTGACTGTGGGCGAGGCTTGATTGCCATCATCCTTTTTCTTCCCCTCTCTTCGTATTGACTCAAAAGCGACTCATGCACTCTGTGACGACAACGGCGTAGCATCAGGTCCACTGCTTTGAACAAAAGTACAAAATCACGCGTAGAACATACGAACCGTAGACCATCGGCCTCATTACTGACAAACCACAAGGTGACTCTCTGGTCACACAGCAGGCTTATACCGCTCATTCGCGTGTTATTTTAGCGGACATGCCCATTCATGATTTCAAACATGCTTGACGTCTGTTTCTCACGTGAAGAACCACACCGAAAACTATACATGAATTACACATGAATAATTCCATATAAAGGGGCAAGTTACTGCTAGCCCAGAGTAGAATGTAGGCTTCTACACGAAGCAACAACCCCTTCCTACTCGAACAGTTGCCAACAGCTGCTGGTGGCCGCTCCAGTAGATCACACCTCTTACGCCGGTCCAGTGCCACATGTCCATAGTCGTCGTAGTATTGTCCTCATTAATGCCAGCGACACGGACATAGTGCCCTCGAGGCACTCGAGAGCAGCGAAAGAGTGTATCATAGAGGTCCCATCGTTAGTCGCCCCGGACGTTTCCGTTGACCTGGCCCAAGCCCTATTATATATATATATACGTAGCATTCAATTTCCATACTCAAAATAGCATGAAACATGCTTCCAAATCCGTTCTTATCCGGCCGGCAAACGCGCAATATATTTGCCGCGGAAGGTCGCGAGGTGTGTGCCATGCATATTAGCTACCTTCCCGGCAGGCTTCTTTCATATACCCCTGAGGCTCTATTTTCGGTTTTGTGGAACAGCATGAATGCATGCTTCTAGAGTAAACATCCAGGTCGTTGAGCTACCTGGGCGAAACCATCGTGTGGCATAAAGGGGAATCTTCCTATGTGACGCTCACGCCGATTTGTGTGCCATGTTGCTGTCATCTCATCCCTCTCTCTCTTGCTCTGCCTCTATTTTAGATGATATACGGACTCTATCTAATCCTATCTCACTATGGCGAGCCGAACCTAACCTTATCCGTATGGAATTAGGCATTTAGCTCTAAATGTTATTTTCTACTTCTATGTTATATATTTACGTACCATCTGCCCGTCTAACATATCTTCTTAATACTAACTACACCTCTCTTCTCCTCTCTTCTCTTCTCTCTCTTCTCTTCTCTCTTCTCTTCTCTCTTCTCTTCTCTTCTCTCTTCTCTCTTCTCTTCTCTTCTCTCTTCTCTTCTCTCTTCTCTTATATAGAATATATACTATATATAGATCTCTCTCTCTCTATATATATATTCTAAATATGGACTTAGGACTAAGTTCTAGAAGGATCAAGCTATATGTAACCCTCCCCTCTCCGGGTATATATATATATATAGATAGATAGATATTATAGTACTATAAATAGGTATATGAAAGGGAAATAATAAATAGTAGGTAGGTAGGTAGGTAGGTAATATAGACGTGAGTAATCGGTAGGTAAAGACATAAATCAATATATAAATAAGTAAATAGATAGATAAATACATAGTACCTACCATCCTATCCTAAGTCTATTAAGTCTATTATTACTAAACCTAAAACACTACATCATATTACATATAGACATAAACTATCCTTCTACCTATCTATATATCTATCTATCTACCTGTGTACTTATTACATTATCTCGGCCACTCTAATTAGGCTTCTCTCCTTCTTCTTCTTCTTCTTCTTCTTCTTCTTCTTCTTCTTCTCCTTCTTCTTCTTCTCCTTCTTCTTCTTCTTCTCCTTCTTCTTCTTCTTCTTCTTCTTCTTCTTCTTCTTCTTCTTTATCTTAATATTGGTCTTCTTAATCTCCTTCTTAATCTTAGGCTTTGTCTTTATATATTTATCTTTGTCTTAGACTTAGTAGATAGCTACCGTAGATAGATATGCCATATATACATATATAAATATATAGCTACAATGTAGAAAGGTAAAAGGTAACTATAAAAGACAACTATAGAATAAGTATCTCTAGTAGTCTAGTCCTGTATATAATTCAGAGGAGGGATATAGGGAAGAGCGAGGGTCCTTGTAATTGGTATTGTATAGTATATATACACTATAGTGGAGCGTAATTTACATATAAATGTAAAGTCACGCACAGAAAGTCACACATATACATCCATATATATATATACATCACGATCATAAAACACAATCTATCCACATCTCTCGAACACGTATAGTTGTATATATTGCATAGTTTCATTTATATACCCCACACAAACACACATACACACATACATACACCACACAGCAAACAGAACTCCCAGAGCACACATGATACCGTATAGAAAATAATGTTGTTGGGTGTAGTAGTTAGTAGTAGTAGTCGTAAAGAAGACCAAAGGAGTGGAAGAATGTATGTAACAAAAGCTTACCCATGGGATAGCAAATATGGCGCGAAGATATATTACTGCGTGTGTGTGTGTGTGTGTGCGTTTGCGAGTGTGTGGCGTGTTTTGTCAAAATACACGATATCCTGCACTCTGCACGCATCCAGCGCACAATGGGACGGGACGTAGCAAAGTCACACAGACTAAGGGCCCTGCACATCTGCCTTGCCTTATCCTTCTAAAAGCGGTCCCCTCGGCGGTGAAAGCGGTAGTACCCAGACGAAGGCGTCTCTACGTCGGGCGATGGCTTCGGCACGTCATGCTTGTCGACCGGCGGCTGCTCCTCCTGCGGCTGCTGGGGTGATTCTTCGTATGACGGCGGCGATTGTTGGGGGGGAGTCGATGCGTCGGGGCTGCCTGGTGCGGGAGGGGATGATGGGGTGTCCTGCGCCGGAGGCTGAGGGGTGTTGGGCTGGGTCTCAGGGGCGGGAGCGGGAGCGGGAGTGGGAGCGGAGGAGTCAGGCACGGGGCTGCTTGGGGTTTCCGACTGTGGAGACTGAGGGGTGTTGCCGGCGGGTTGGTCAGGGGATGTGTTGTTATATGGCGGCTGAGGTGCGTTTGGGTTTATCTCTGGGGTGCTGGGCGACTCACAGTGCGGAGTCACGGGTGCGTCAGATGGGCTGTTGGTGTCATGCTCTGGAGTTGTGGAGTTCTCGGCTTTGGGAGGCGATGATGGCATGTCGGATGGCGGCTTGTAAGTGTCGCCCTTGTCCGGTCCGGGAGCACCAGGGGTCTTTGACTGTGAGGGTGGAGTGGCGCCGTATGGAGATTGAGGTGCGTTGCCATATGGAGACTGGGGAGTGTTGCCGCCCGGAACAGGAGCGGTGGAGTTTCCATTCGCGCTTGGAGGCGAGGGCGTCTTGGACGGAGACCTGGTGAGGGTTGTGAAGGTCGGGGTTGGCTTTGAAGGAGACCCAGGTTTCCCCTGAGGAGGAGGAGTCGAGGTAGAGTTTACAGAGTTTCCAGTTTCGAAGATGTCGGTTTGGGCGCCTTGAGCGTTAATTAGAATGGGATACGTCTTCTTCATGTGTGGAATAGACGACTTACCTTCGGTCCAGCCACAGTTGGCGTTGTAGCCGGGCGATCGATGTTCCTCAGTCTCGATGTTGTTGCCGCTCTTCTCTGTTGTTTGTGTTAGTTTTCTGGGCGTCATCTCTTCTTCGTTGTAGGAAACCCACGATTCCACGCAATCATCTGCTTGGCGCCCTTCACACACTTGGACGCGTCGCCCTCGCAGTAGACGGGAGGTTTGGCTGCAGCAAGCTTCTTGGCCGTGGGTTTCGCACCCGTGACTTTGCACTTGTGACCCTGCATGTACATGTTGGGTTGACCGCACCCCTTAGGAACCCAAAGCCATGCGCATGTGCATCCTTCTTCCGGGCATGCTGGGAGATCCGGTGCCTCGTATGTGGTGACACGTTGCCAAGGTGTGCTATAATGAGGATCAGAGCCGTTCAGGTGCGTGACCGACCACGCTGAAGAAACTTACTGGTACTTGGTTGTGAATACGACCAAGTTCTCCATGGTCACAGCCGAGAGTGGACCATAACTAATTGCAAACGCAGTACCTGCAGCACTCTGCTCGTCCTGTGCGTGGAGGAAGCCACCATTCCCTCCAACACAGTCTTCCCCCTTGGTCGATGGACCATAGCTATCGGGATGGTTCTCGCCATCGGGCCAAGTACCAGCCTTGGACCCATCATAGGACAGTGAAGTGAATGCCTGGTTTTTTGCTATCTCGACCGTGAACTGTCCGTTTGCTGGAATTTCGAGAAAGTTGCCGGCCGGCGGCGGTGCAGCGTCGCATTTCCGATCGTGTTGGAACCACCAGTCGGCTTTTTCGAGTTCATATAGGGGTCTAACAGGAATGTCGGTGTTCAGATCTGGGTGTGCAGGATTATTTCCATTCAGGCAATACATTCCTTTTGTGAAGGCTGCAAGGTGGGCCTGGGAGATGCCGGCGAATGCCAGCATCGACAGGAGGACCAATTCCATCGTGAAGCTGCACGACGAATAGTACGAATTGAAGAAACGAAAAGATGAACGAAAGTAAACTAGTGGATATAGAATGAAGCGAGTGTTGATCCTCTGGTGGGGAGGAAGAGCGATTGGATATATAATATATCATACAGGTGAATAACCAATGAGGCCAGATACTACACCTCCAAGGACTTACCTGTTTAGCTTGATGTTTCTGCCATGTGTGTACTGCATAATAGACCCAATAATTATTTATTAGTGTGTCACTGATAATGACACTTGAAACGGATTTGGGCGGGTACGCTATGTTTTGAAACGGAAGAGACGAAGGATCGAAATATCGGTGTGGCTTGACCAATGGGAATAGTTGTATTCTGTGGCACAGTCACTTTGTCACCCTCTTAGCCTTTGACATCATCTCGTTTCGAAGGAGTTCTGTCTGAAGGAATACGAAGTGTAATGTCATGTCCCCATAGATACAGGTATAATGTCCGAAGATCGGTCCATGCTTCGCAGTGGAAGCGCTGATTGGCAGCACTATCTATTTTGTCTTGCCATATAGCATTGTTGAGTCGGCAGATTCTGACAAGTAGTAGCTTCTCACTCGACGGCATGACTATGAAATGATGATGGGGAAAAAAGCCGAATGACCACAGCACAGTGACACCCAGAGCTTTCCATGTTAGGTATTAGCAGATTCAGGCTCAAACCAGTCGCAGTTCGAGGTCGAGTCCATGGAGCTTCCTACCGGAAGGGGAAACCAGTTTGATCAGAGCAGATTCCGGTTCGGATATATGGCTGTAAAAGGCATTATTTTGGCACCTCTGATCGACAAGACCGGCACAGTAGATGAGATTGTAGATCGGTGGCGGTAACGATGCAGTTAAGTAAGTTATATAGAGTCGGACGAAGTTCCACGAGGGGTCTAGAACACGTTAAGCTAAGCGAAGTGAGTGCTGTAGAAACAATTTTTGGCGCCGCTGCGCCTGAACCGTCAGTGTAGCCACCTTGTTCGAACATACTCGCAGCAACAACGTTTCTTCGTGCTTCCACGGCCAGCGAATCAATTAGTCCCTCCTTTGATCTGTTGTTGCGTCGCACCAAGGAAGTAATAATTGAGAGTCGCTAGCTCGACCAATGACCAATAAGGCGGATGATGGATGAGCTGACATGAGAATACATTCAAATCCAGGGCTTTTCCGAGCGTGAGACAGTCAGGAGACAGTGACGCATTCAATATTCAATCAGGTACAGATGAGGTGATGAGAAAGCAAAAAATCAGAAGCTTCATCGTGCAGTTTCATCGACTGCGGCCATGCAGGGCGGCCACGAGGTTGCGGCTGATTGGACATCCGATACATTCTGATCTCAGAGGTCAGAGGCCAAGACCAAGGGCAAGGGCAAGGCCGCAAGGGCAAGGCTGTGCAGCACGGCTTTCTGCGGACGAACATAGTAAACGTGCAGAGAGGATACAAGGCGACCAGTGCTCGGCCTAAGCGACGAACAGTATTTTTACTTGGGACCATGTCGAAGGAGCATGGCTAAACTCAATGAGGCTGAAATCAGCCCCCGAGCATATGCACTTGTATCCAAGCTCTGTCGCAGAGCGCGCGCTAATTGGTGGCGCCTTTCCCTTTTATGTCTCCGCCTCCACCATGGTGATGGGTCCGACAGGGTTATGGAGCGCCGGGGCCGGTTGGTACAGGGATGACGATCGACTTCAGGCGTCCTTCTTGTGGATTTTCAAGCACACTCACGAGGGCTGCTGGCTGCTCTTCCTCGTCCTCGCCTCACCTCACCTCTCCACGATCCACACCATTGTTGCAGCGGCCGCGTGGACAGAAGCATCGGTATCAACAGTTCCAGCGCATCATGTCGGACCCAGGAGCAAACTTCGACAAGGACCACTGGTACCACATCCAAACCCAAGGCAATCGTGACCAGTATGTCATCGGCACGTACCTGTACGCAGACAACGGCACCGTGGGCGGTGTATTCAACAACAACATTGACGGCGGAAAGCCAGAGGAGCAGCGATGGCAGTTCTTCCCTGTTGGAGACTCTTTCGTCCTCCGCACAGTCGCGTCCGGCCACACCGGCTACCTGCGCGCCGTGTACTCGGTCAACGAGACGTACAACAACGGCCGCACCGTCGTGGCCATGGCCAACGAGACGCTACTTGACCCTGGCGAAGTCGCTGGCGGAGATGGCAATGCGAGCATTTTCTGGAACGTCGGTTTCTGGGATGACGGTTCGCAATATCTGTGGAATCGCGACAACGGCTCCGACTGGCGCCTGCTCATGAAGCCAAACGCCTTCACCGTGCTCGACAGGAACCTGACCGGACCACCGGACGGTATGCGGTTCAATCTGAGTCGCGCGGACCCGATCAGCGACCAGCGCTACTCCTCGATCCTGCTGCCCTCGGCTGGTGGAGTCACAACGGCGACGTTGTCGGGCGCGCCCACGGGTGCGGCGACAGGGGGTACGGACAGCGGATCAGGCGGGCTCTCGACAGGTGCTCAAGCCGGAATCGGTGTCGGTGTCGGAATCGTTGGTCTCGTGGCGATAATACTGGGCGTATGGTTCCTCCTCCGAAGACGGCAACAGACACGGCGTGTGCATGACGCGCCGATAGCTCAGAGTGAACAGTACCACACTGTGGACAAGAAATACTTCCCAGATGGACCGCCGGACAGCTATGCGGAGCTGGGAGGTGGACAGGGAAGTTTTCCGGCCGAAATGTTTGCCGAAGGTGGAATGCACAAGGTCAACAATACGCCAGCCGAACTGCCCAGCGAGCCAGCCGTCACGAATAGGCCACCGAATAGCTGATAGCTCATCAAACAGACTCCTGCTCAGTGTGTTGCTACCCAAATCTCGTAAACCATCGACCACTTCCATCGCTAGCCACAGCCTCAATACCCTCAAACGCTCTACAAGAGCACCGCCCAACACCACAGAATAGCTCTTTTGTCCCCTCTAGATTATTCAGCCCGCAATTTCCCATCTTAGATATTTCCTTGGTATAGCATTCATAGTAGGAGATCTAGCATTTGCATCACGGATTAGGAGTTCTCTGACATGTATATTACCATACTGAAAGTCGATAGATAATCCATTGCACTAAAACACGTGGCGCCACACCGTCTCTGAGATAGACGATCGTTCCAGATCCTAATCCACCTCTTGATAGCGGTAGATATGAGGAGACCATGGCGACTGTAGACGGCACTGCGCGACACGGCCCACGCATCCAGAGCACGTCGTCAGTCATCCAGAGTACGTCGTCAGTCATCCAGAGTACACTGCTAGTCGTAAGATTCCTGGATGACGTGAACGATTGCAACTATCGCCAGCTACTGTTCCCAAGAGGGACAAGACATTGCGCGTGGAACAGTGATACCTGCCACCATGTCATGTCTTCTCAAGAGTATGTAGAGCAAGCCTACCTGAACGCTTACCGCGGAATGATGACTTTCAGCAGTCTCTATCAGCACTTTCTCAATTGCGGCTAGTCCTTGGGTAACGCGGTTGACGTGGTCATAGAAGGGTGCGTTCCATACGAGGATCCGAACGATAAAGCCGATAGATGTCTTGACCCGCCCACGGGCCGAAGGTCGCTACTAGTAGACAAAAAACTACATAACTGGGCGCCAGGAGACTGAGATTGGCCACAATATGTCCCACAACGTACGCGAGAATGGTCAAAAGCAAGATGCTTGATTGATTCGCAGGTTTGGTAGGGACTCGTGTGATTGGGAAATGATCACCTCTGCATGGCATGGAGTCAGCGCCTCTTCTCTCACGGGGTAGCAGGTGTTTCCCTTCATTTCGTGTGATGAATCGTCGTCAAGTAGACTTCCTCTCACTCTCATCAAAGTTATTTTCAAGTAAATAGTTGGGTGCCATGTGCTCGACTGAGCATGGTTCAGGTGCCCTCGGGTGTGCCGAAGTGAACATCATTCTGATAGAGAAGGGAAGGAAAGCAGTTCAGCACTATACTGTCAAGAACGGCTCTTAGCTCACTTCCTGCAGAATTGAGCTGGTGTGCACTTGAATTCAGTCGTATGCAAACGTACGTCATGCATCCTGGACGTGAAGATGAATGTCCTCGACGAGCTTCGGCACTATTTCTTGTATGCTTGATAATGCTAAAAGTATGCCTGCTGACGCCCGTTGGCATGCTGAGACCAGTTTCCCACAACCAATCGGGATTTCACTCGAGGTCAATGAGCGACTGGACCTAGCTGAGACAAGTCCATGCTGACATGGCTGTTCATACAATGTGAATACTGCATGTCTGTGGTTATACTGCTGGCCTTGCTGCTGTGGTCTCATGGATAGAATGGTCAAGATACTATGCCGTGATTACTGAGACGCTAGGTTGACTGTTGACGATGAACAATGCTAGCCAAACAAATGGCAAGTAGATCCGACAAATGGCATATGTCCGATAACAAGCCCTGTCGCAATCAACAGTCAGACAGCCGGTGCAACTCACATCTGCTAGTGTTCTCAAAGCTATGCACACAGCACAACCGTGATAGGCGGCGAGAGACACGCACGAATGTAAGCAAGCTCTGGCATGAAAAGCCGAGAGCGACGCTCTCGTGTGAGAGCCGGTCGTATCATGGCACACAACAATAGAGCGAGTAGGCTAAGGTGGACAAAGGTGGTATAAGTGGGCGCTGGTATGGCTTATGGGCTTAATGCGGAGGGTGGAGTCATGGACAAGCTTTACCCAAGCTTTCGAGTAAGCTTTTCTCCAGCGCATATCGCGGAGACAGCGTGGGATGATCGGCATACTCCACACAGATTGGAGATGTTATTCTGTCAATGCGCGGTACTGCTCTGCTGTTGGGTGTCATTGGATGACGGGTCGGGTGATGATCCATGCGCGGTAGGAATATCCGAGCAGCGAGCAGATGTGTTGCGGCGTGCTCAGCTGGTAAATCTTGGGGACGGCGCAGGAGGCGGTAAACTGTGCTATGAAATGGCCGCGATCGGTGGTATTGCTTGCAGATGTTGCGAATGAGTTGGCTGGGATGGATGGAGAAGTGTGTTGGAAGGGATAGAGGATGCATATACGAAAGCTCGCTTGCGAACACGACGCATTTGGATCGACGCAGATGCTCATACGACCTGCAGCTTGTCGATGGAGGATCCTGGAGAAGTCTCGTCAGCCTCGCGTTGCTGGAGGATCAGGACGACAGTGAATTGGGAGGTAGAGGTAGTAGCTTCATAGGCATGATAGGAGTTCGCATCCGGCGTGAATCTGGAGTGACGATTAGCAAAACATAATCAATGGTGGTGGGTATATGAGTGGCGTTGATAGGTAGGAGATGGTACTCATCCTCATCCTCGGTGGACGGGTGATGAAGCCAGCTGAGGTATAGGCGCGGCCGAACAGTGTATCGATCGGGCTGGAGCGACAGAGCAACAGACCAATAGACTGGAATGACCATCAGACGGACAATGGGCGTCAAGTGAGAAGCAGCAAGTGGATGCGGTCGATTTTGGGGGGGTGGAGAATGGGATATTTTAGTGGTGGTGGTGGTTGTGGTGGTTGTGATAATTAGTGGAATGTGGGATGGCGTCAGGTGGAGAGTCAGTAGTAGTGGTAGTTAGTAGTAGTAGTATAGCGGTAGCAGTAATTAGTGGTAGTAGCAGTGATCCATGAGCGTGGGAGAGGAGGAGGAGTGGAGCTGCAGTGTTTACGTAGGCATCATATTGTCGGTGGAGCTGGCTGCAATGCGAAGTGGAGGACTGTTATATATCATCTCGTCGTCGCCCAGCCTAATCTTTCTCATCTTATACCTCATACCTATACTCTTGAGCTCTGCAACTCCTATTACTCTTCGACTCTCAACACAGACGGGACGTGTATACTATATATATATATGCAGCCAGTCAGCCTGTCAAGCGTCAAGCGGTGCATGCAGCTGTGAAGATCGCGCCCCGGCTGCCTGCCCGACCTGCCCGACCTGCCCGACCTGCCCGACCTGCACCGCCCACAGCGCCTATTATTTTGCCTATTGCCCGCCCGGAAAGCTTGTTCTGCTCGCTAAATCGGCGGCCTGTCCAGCTGCCACCCCAGCTATTTTATCGCCCGATCGGACCGTACCCGGCCTGATCTTTCTTTTCATCCGGGCACCCTGAGCCCTGAGCCCTGAGCCCTCAGCCCCTACGTCGCCGTCCCGCCATGTCTACCACCACCACCACTACCATCACAACACCTACCCCTTCACTCGTCTCCGAACCACTTCCTCTCTATCGCTGCAACGACCCAGACTCTGCTTCTATACATTCAACCGCACCCTCCTACAAGTCAGAGACCCCAACCTATACCTCCCGGCGCTCCCACTTCGCTGCAGAAGATCCGCGATCCCAAGATGAAACACCGCGTGGCTTGCCTGCGATGCAATTCGCTCAAGGCTTCATCCCACGTCCTCAACACATGAGTGCACACAGCCATAACTCGATACCATGGACTGCCGTATCGCCTCCCAGGACGAACAAGCAGCTGCACACCGCGCCGCGCCGTGCTTCTTCGCACATCTCCCCAGTGGGCTCCCTGACAAACATCACCATCTCCAGCACACCATGCAGTCCTTCCTCCATATCTCTCCTCGCTCTACACCCTCTGGAGGACCCAGAACTCGTCGGCGAGGCTGCTGCCAGGCACGCCCGCGAGCAACGCATCTATCTCGAGGCGTGTCTGCGCGGCGACGACGCCATACGCCAAGAAAGCAACAGCTGGGACTTTATGTTGAGTCAGATGTCGGACTGGGAGGATCGTGAGAAGAGCTGGAACAACTTTCGTGATCGCGTCACTGTGCGTGGCAGCGGTGCTGCTGCGAGTAAGCGGAAGAGCGGTGGCTTGGGCGGCCTACTAGCTGGCCTTCGTGGTTTGAGATGAAGCTGGGCTTCCAATCAAGAGGCAGCGTTCTACTACTGCATTTGGGCGAAAAGAGACAGATGGCCTGAGCGACCCTACTCACAAACTTGTCTTGTCAGGCCTGAGGTGATTCATGACCTCATTTTGCGCATCACGAAGCTCCATGAGCCATCACGCGCGGAGAATAGTGGTTCCGACGTCGTGGACCGGTCACGCTGCGATGCTGACCTGCGATGACTTGAGAGACTTCCAGCAGAAGTAATTCGAGGAACTGTCGTGTGCCCACGGCGAGGTTGTTGCTGCAACGCTAGCACGAGCCCAGAGCCCACACAAATGACATGACACGTGCCATCCACTGTAGAAGTACATGTGTTCTTTCTCTCTCTCTCTCTCTTTCTCTCTGTAGCGTAACAGCACTCTAAACATATCATTAATATCACAAAGCATCATACCGCGTGCAAGACTGCAAAATGAGCCTAGCCTAGCCTAGCCTAGCCTATATCCAGCATGAATGAATGGAAGCTCCATCGAACATTCCGCCGACCGAGGCATTGCGTGTGCCGGATTTGGCCGGAGGAAAGAGCGGTGCAAGCGCGTGACGGCCCGTGTACGGGCCGATTGGCGATCGTATATGGTATCTAATCAGTAATGCCCGACCCGTCCCCGAGAATAGCTACAGTACATGAGGACAAGACAGACGGAAAGCCGGTAGAAGGGCCGATGGCATGGAGATCGCGTGCCAGAGCGAGGTCGTGGAGGCGGTATATGTACCGTCTCCGGAGTTGGTGAGGAAGAACGGTGATGGTTTGGTTTTTGATGGGTTGTACGTGGAGGGGAGATGGAGATGGATAGAGATAGGTATTCGATTCGCATGTTATCTACAGCATTCTCACATTAAACCTGCTAAAGAAGAGTATAGCATACATACATACACACCTTCTCCAAAACCTACCTGCCAAAGTACCCAGTACATACCTACCTACCCCAACCCACCCACGCATCCCAAAACCCGGTATCATCATCATCCATCCATCCCAATCCATCCAGAGCACACACCATCCTCCACACCTCCCTCCCCCTCAACACCACAACCACAACCACCACAGTCTCATGCTCACCAAGCCCCATTGGCCACAGCCCCGCCACAGCGCGCATTTCCCACTCCCCCGAAACAGCCTATGTCCACCCCTCGAAATGCCTCTTGTGTCGCGAGTACCGGTCCTGTCAGAACGTGTACATGGAGGTACATGATGTGTTGTAATTAATTAGTACTTTTTGCAATCGTCTCTCTCTGTCTCGCTAGATGGCTTGATAACTGGATAGCTGAGATAGCTAAAATAGCTATATAGAGATCGTGGGTCTTCCTTCCGCCCCTTGCTTTGCTTCGCTTCGCTTGAACAGGAGTAAGTACCCGGTTCCGCGCGCGCGCCCCGGGTCGTTGGTGCTCTGAGCTGTTCTCTTCGAGCTGTCTGTCTCTCTGCTTCGTGCTTGGTCCTGATCTGCTCCTGATCTGCTTTGGCTCGTGTGGTATTAGACGCAGGCCCGGAGGCATATCTCGTGGGCAGTTTCTGTATTGCCTCATTCTTTCTTTCTTTCTCTCTCGTTTCCCCTTCTCAGTTCTCTCCCCCTACCTCTCTTTCTTACCCTCTCTACTTTCCCCCCGCCTCACACAAGACAAGAGGAGCAAAACCATGCACCAAACCCCCCCATGGCGCCGCCGCACGATAATCCACCCGCTCCTCGCAGCGCCCTCGCTGAGGTCCTGACCTGGACTGTTGTGCTTATTGCCTTTATGGCTGTGACGGTCAAGTTGGCGCGGAAGATGATTCATACGGGCCGGTTGCAGCGGGATGATGTTTTGATTGGGGGGTCGATGGTGAGTTTCGAATAGGAGGTTTTTGAGGTTGTGGTGGTGATAGAAAGGGGCTAACGGTTGTGTTACCTTAGGCGTGTGCGATTGTGTACTGCGTTGTGTTGCATGCGCGGGTTGAGGAGAGTGCTGGGATAGATGGGGTGTGGGTGGGTGGTTATGAGAAGGTGTGTTTGCGTTCATCTATCTATGGGAGTGCGAGGTGGATGGATGGATATGTGTGTGGAAAAAGGAAGAGGCTGACCGGTGTATCGTGTGTGCAAACAGGCAACATACGCAAACGAGATCCTCTACGCTGCATGTCTGGGCCTCGCGCGCCTCAGCATCCTCGAATATCTCCGCGTACGCACTCGTTTTTCGCGCCGCCGTCTCGTTACGCTCGTGCTTGTGTGCGCTAACTGCGCGTTTACGCTTGCGGCTGTTATCGTGCTGGCTTTTCAGTGTGGACTTCCGCGGCCGTGGGATAGGAGTGGGGGACGGTGTATTGATGTGGTGAGTGCGAGGACTCGTCCATACATTCGTTCGTGGTGGTGGCAGACGACAAGATATGTATGTGTATGTATATGTACTAACCACGCCATCACAGGCCGGATTCTGGAGCTTCTTTGCCGGCGCAGACGCCCTTCTCGATGTATGCGTCGCGGCTCTGCCGGTATACCTCCTCCATGACCTGCGTGTCCCGCTGGATAAACGCATCTTGACGCTCGCTGCGTTCGGGCTGCGTGCTCTGTCAGTCTACACCCCTTTCCCTCCTTTCTCCCTCCCTTGCCATCCACACACACAGAAACACACAGCTAACGCCAACCCAGCACCCTCCCCAGCATAATAACCCGCCTAATCTACACCCTCCACGCACCCTCCCCACCCCCTTCCTTCCCCAGAGCACCCACAATCGCCACCTCCCTCCAAATCGCAACTTCCATCCTCTCCACCTGCATCCCCTTCACAAACCCCATCCTCGCCACCCTGCACCAATCCGGCCTCTTCGCCCCACCCCAGACCAACATCCCAACACCCCCTGCTCCAATCTCCACTAAAACAACCGACGAACATTCCCCCTTCGACCCCCCTCCTCCACCCCGCGACGCCACACCCTCGCGCCTCAGCCGCATGACGCTCAAGCCTCTATCCGGGATTAAGCCGTTGGTTGGCATGGGTATGAAGCCAGCGTATCGGAGATCAGGCAGTACGGCGTCGGATCTGGTGCTGATACATAAGCGGACCTCGTTTACGATTGAGTTTGAGCCGTTGGGGAGGGCTACGGATGAGGGGGATGCGGGGGAGGGGCTGGAGATGGAGGCGCAGATGAAGATGAAGGAGGTGGGGTTGAGTTCCGGGGGAGGAGGGAATTGTTGGGATGCGGGGAGGGGGTAGAAGGAGGGGATGGAATATAGGGGGGTGGAATAAGGGGTAGAGTATAGGGGGTGGTGATAGATGGATTGACGGATAGCCATGGAGAGGATGTAATGACGGGATGCAAAGAACGCGGCTCGATGATATACTCCGTATGACACGCGTAATGAAGAACAGCTTACTACATATATGCCACTCCAATCACTTATAAACCCCTTTTTTACTCCTTTGCATATACTACACCGCCATAGGCAAAACATATATCTATATCTGTTATAGACAGAAAAGACAAACACAACTCACTCACCCCGGCAAATCGTCCTTTTCGCCAACGGATATCGGCTGATGTATGCGTGTTTACTTTCAGGGGTTCGGGTCCTGGCATCGTTTCGTTTCGTCCCGCCCCGTTCGAGTGTGAATGGGGGCCTCGGGCAATCAGTGCGTGTCAACACCACCACCACTAATTACCACTATCATCACTCAACCACAAACATCACCAGAGCACGCACGCACGGCTTTGCGTCATTCATGCATTCCACTTAGTCACTCACCTAATCAGTAGCAAGCCAGTACCAAGTCAAATCACACCACGCGCCAGGATCCAAGCAAGATCGCAGCGTGCCATAATAACTACCATAGCGCATGCAATCGGCTATCTTGGCGCAGAGGGGGGGGTTTCTAACCAGCACGTCTGCGGCGGTGACATATCGATAGCTGAACTGTCCGTGTTTCGCGACATCGTCAGACAAGCGAGCGGATGAGGGAATGCAAGGGGAGGGGTTACTATCTTTCTTTTCGTTCTTAGCGAGGTGTGTGAGGTGCGATATTTGTTTTCTGGGGGGGTTTCAGTTTTTTTTTTTCTTGATGGAGTGAGTGATTGATGTGCTGAGGTCAGCTTGCTTTGTCGTGCTCTCCTTCGTCGTGGACCTGAAAGTCTCAAACACGCACTTAGCCTAACCCATTTCACACTAGCCCTTCCATGCCCTCCAAGCTCCACATTTCTCCACATGCCGTCCTTCTGCAGCTCCAGACCCCCGAATAACCTCCTCATTCATCTCCGTCTACTGCTCACCATAACGTCACTCACGCCTCTACTCTGCCCCCTCGACGACCCCTTTCTTTCGCCATGTATACATCACACCGTGCCCAGACCGCAGTCCGGTACAGCCCAGTATGTATAGTCCAGGCCGGGTACAGTCCAGAGCGGTCCGTCCTTAGCTAGGTACAAACTACAAAATGCGCCTTTGGGCCTCCGCGGGCCAGGCTGGCTGCACCTTGAGTCGCGGGACGATGGCTGTGCCGCAATGGGACGGGATGTGAGCGTCATAGAGAGTGTGAGAGAGGAGATTGCGAGACTGTGCCGAGATGTTGTTCTACGTTGTGCTGTGGCGTCGCGTGCGTGCATGCGTGCGCGAGGTAGGATTGAATGAGATGGTTTGCGGGGTGTTTTTGTGGATATGGGATGATACAGGCTGGAGATATTAGAGGTGTTAGTATGTGCATTTAGGCATATTAGTAGTAAGTTTGCAAGTGTAGTAGGATGGTCGCACGAAAGAGCATGGCATGCGAACAAGGACATAAGATATCACTGCGCAGTGGAACATCGTAATTGAGACGCATCGTCAATTGACTATACTATCTCTATGCTCACGAGCCTGTTGCTCGGTGCAAAAGGGGGGGTATTAATTACAAAATTTTATTCTCCACTCAACACGACAACAACACTCACACAACTCCAGTCCGATTTCATCTCAATTCCATGCTTACAAGGCGAAGATGGCAGCGATGAGACCGGCAACACCGGCACCAGCGGAGTAGGTAAGAGTGCTGGCAGCGCCGGTGTTGGTAGGCGAGCTGCCGCCAGTCGGGGTCATAGCAGCGGAGCCGGAAGGAGTAGGAGTGGGCGAGGAGACGGCACCGCTGTTGGGGTAGGCGTCGCAGTTGGCGTTGGGCGAGAGAGGGCAGTCCTCAGCCTGGCAGATGGACTGGAGCTCCTCCATATCACCGACGATCTTGGCAGCCGGGGAGCAGCGATAGTTGAAGGTGGAGACGAGAGCCTCAGCGACGGTGCTGACATCGTCCATTGTCACGCCAAAGGAGACGGCTGCAGCGCCCACCTGTTGGATGAAGTAGGTGTTCTCGGCGTTGGTCAGGGCCATAAACATGTGCACCTTGGCCATGGACGGGTTGCCCTCGTAGGCTGGGAAGCCGTCGGAGCCGACCTGGCATTGAAGGAGGGCACCGAAGAAGGAGTAGAGGTGGGTAAGGAGGTAGCTGGTCGGATGATAAGCAGAGATCCTTGGAATTCATTTCTGTTCGATCAAGACTTACTATTGGGGAGAGTCGGTGCTGTTGGCAGGCTTGGGAGGAGAAGCCGTCAATGGTGTAGCACCACCGTCAGCAAGGAAGTTGACGGAGACTGCTTCGCCATTGCGGTTGGTCGAGGCGAGAGAACCATCGAAGTAAGGTAGGAGGTTCACGTCGGTGCCGTTGACGTTGCCAGGGGCGAGGATACCGGGGACAGCAGATCCATTGCTGACCTGCTCCTGGGTGGCACCAGTGACGACACGGTTGACGAGCAATTGGAGAAGCATGTATTGGTTCTCGGCAGTGTTGTTCATCAAGAGCGCGGTGGTGTACTTGCCGCAGAGGGAGGTGTCCTCCTGGGCGACGACACCACTGGCAGCGGCCGCGGCCATAGCGAGAGTAGAGAAACGCATGATGATGAAATGGATTAAAGGAATATAGATCGTGGATACGAGTGTGTCTGGAGAAGAATGCGTTGATAGAGCTTACGATCAGATGGGCGGCACGGCTCTGGATCTTATAACAGCAACTTGAGTGAAACGCCCCTTGGTAGCCTGGTATGAGCAGCAAGCTCGCGCTCCATCGAATGGTAAACACTACATCCGTTCAAAAGTATCGCTGCCGCATCGAGCTAAGTGTATGTTTGGATCTCCGACGCAGGGAGGATTAACAAGCAGCTAAGCAGCAGGACGAAGCTGTGGTAGGCCGACGTCGACATCGTGAGCCGAAAGCGGTTAGACCAAGGTTTCCCCGTTCCTCGCGTGGTTGATTATAGAACTAAGATGACCTCAAGTGCATTCTAGAGGGTCGGGAGCCAAGCTTCCGTGTGCGTATGGCCAATCACAGTACAGCAATTTGTCAAGGACCGTTGGCACCACCACCATTTTTCCCCATGATATACCTTCAAATGTTCGGGAGACCAGCGTTCCGGTCTAAATCGGCTGCTCCACCAGGATCGAGGTACGCCCAAAGCGCTCGGTGACCTTCCCTACCGCCCCGCAGTTCAAGTTGGACAGTTGGGCGCGAGATGTTATACTTTTCCTTTTGCGGATGGATGATCCTTTGCCTTCCCGCGTTCATCCTAGCTCCAGGAGTAATTGGAGCTATTATCATTGGTCATTTCACACGGCTCGCAAACTGAGAGCTAGAGAGAGCTAGACAGCTGGGGTAATTAGACTGGCTGTCATTGGACAAGACCTCCTGAAAATAACTGCTGATGGTAGATTTCCAGTGATGGACGCCGTGTTGTTACGGCTTCAGGATCTTCCGATCGTGGATACCCAAAGCCCCAGGTGCTGGACTCCACAGCGGGCGACGGCACGGTCAGTGTGTGTTGCCCTCGTAATCTGCACGGAGAACACAGCAGCCCTTGTTGCACTGTCAGATCCTGCAAAAGACATACCTTTGAAGATCATAAAATCGGTCAGCAAAACACCGGAGCAGTCCAAAGACTTTGTCACGGCAGTGACGGTCTTTCGTACCAGTCAAACTACTAATAGAAGATAGAAGCCGAGAGCGACCTAGGGGTTGCGAGTTCGTGGGTCTAGTATCTCATTGCCAAGAGGGCAAATTTTAAAACCTCCCACTTTCTTGTTGACTACTGGGACTGAACTGGACTGGCCTGGCTGCTTGTGATGCTAATCAGTTGGAACTTTCGTGAACCAGTTAAAACAAAGTCGAAAGTCATCGTGCTCCTTGGCGACAGTGAATCAAGATGAAGGCCCCGCTCCATGACTAGACCCAGCCTTGCCTGATGAGCGGTACATCTCAGATCAATCTGAACAGCTACAGTGGTACTATGAGCTGACTTCCACCATTAGCTTCTTGCATAGAATAGTATATGTGTCACAGGCTCACAAGCTCCATAACTTTATCAGTTGATCATTTCAAACCTACTTGCTAACTGATTGCCATCACATGTATGGTATTGACTGAAGACAGCACCAGCATTTCACTATATTGTTGGCTCCAACCCGGTGATAATGGTGTCGCTGATCAGGATTCAACATTTGAGGGAAGCTAAGCTACTTACTTGGCCAATTGGCCATGGTATGAACGCTTTTGCCTTGAAGACTCACCTTTTGTTCGATGCTGACAGCAGACATTCTCAGAACAACCGAGCCGTGAAGAGCACGAGCGTTGTTGGACTCGCTTTTATGATCACGAGCTGATCTATCAGTCAAGACTGATAGATAGTGTGTCTCAAGACGAGTGGCACGCAGCATTTTTTCTCCCTTTCTGTTTGGATTTGACCTAGCCACTGCAGATGTTGCTCACATAGCTCCGTCCAGCATATCCACGAGCCCAGCCTTCATACCTACAATCGAATGACACATTGCACGTTTCCATCAACACCATTCGTCTGCGAGGAATGACAAGGATACATTAAGAGAGCAAGACCTGAGAGTGGCATTAGCTGAATGAAGAGTCGTACAGGTAAGGAGAAAGACGGTACATCGAGGAGGCTGGCTAAGAATTATACTGTCCGCGACTTCTCTATGCAAACCTGCCTGCTTCTGCCTACCTCATACTGCTGGATGTCTCGATCTCAGGGCGAAAGAGAAGCTGTCCCGCATTTGTTGTACGAGTTAGAAAATGCCTCAGCCACTTCATATCCTTTAGGGACCTTTAAACTTCAAGTTCTACTCACAGGGACTTGGGGAACAGCAGAAGGCACTGGCATACGGCTGTCTGCTGTCGTTGGCCATCATCAATATACATAACATTCTTGTTTCTTCACCATGTAAAGCGGATGCTATCTTCGACTTTGGGCATTCGTGGGCCCTAGACATGAATTTATTATTGACAATTCAGCGTGTTCCCCGCTCTATAGATAATATACAAACGTGACGGAAGCATCGTTTTATGCTACCTTCTCCGCTCTGGATGCATGCTCCCCTGAGATCAATGATCAATCCACATCGGGAAACGGATCAGATTTCGAAGTCGGGGGGCGGCTGCTTGTAGCTCCCAGCCCATAATCCAACCCAACCTGTTGTCCCGATGGCTCCTGTCGTGTCGGGGGTCGTGGTGTCGATAGCATATCCAGGTTTGGCATTCTCGCTCCACTGTCTCGATGCGTGTTTGAGGCCGCTTTCTTTGGTGGCGGTAGTCTACCCTCTCTTATGATTTCTGCAGCAGGATCTGCCTGGTCGCAGTTCATCGTTATCTTTCCATCCGGCCTAATGCCCATACGAGTGGGATGCACAAGAACTTTCTGACCGCCTTGAACAGTAGGATCGAAGGTATTGCTGTTCGGGCCCCTGAATTGGCTCTCGCCCGAAGCTCGAGGAATTGCTACACCGGCGATACCAAGAGTTGCCGCCCTAGATGATGTAGCCCATCCCGGCATATTAGCATTTCGAAGAATTCTAGCCTCTACAGGAGTTCGATGCTCGAGAGGCCCCAGAGTGGGGTGATTTTCGAGGTACTTGTGGGTTCGAAGATATGAAATACCTGCGGATGCATGCGTGGTGCGTTCGGCGCGCATTTCATCGCCAAGCAATTCTGGGACTTGTGTTGACAAGAACTCTTTCACGTATCTTGCTAACCGAGACTTTTTACCCTGTTTTTGGAATTCCTCGCACAGTTTCTTAAGGCCAGCTTGGAAATCTTTCTCGGTGAATTCTACCTCTTGAGCGTCGCCTTCCAAGGCGCGTTTCTGTCGCATGACTAGATGTCTCGCCGCAAAGATTTTGTGTAGATATTTCCTGAAGTCTTCCTCCTTGAGAATTGGAGTGTGCGATGCATCCACAAGGTCGTCAAATGCATTCAAATCCGTCGCTCTTTTGCTTGAGCTGTAGCTGTGGAAAGTCCCAGATCGCTGGCCATTGGAAATTGACAATCCTAACTCTTGCAACTTATGTAGGGTCTGAACGTGATCTGAGGCGAGCTCATAATCAGTTACATCTTCAATTGCATCCAATTCAACGAGTCGAACGACAGGAGAGCTGGTCCGACGAAGTTTGCGTAGAGGTAGGGGTCGCTTCAGTCCATAATCACCCCGGGAGGCGGAGGAAAGAGGTGCCTCAATGGCTTGATATACCGGATACGGCAGCGTAGCATTTGGAGATCCTCTTCCATTGGCCTTGAACGTTGAAGGTTTCGGGAGTGGCTCTGGTATCGAGAAGAGGCGCGAGGAGCGAAGCAGTTGTGCAGTGGGTGAGGAAGCTTTGCGACTGCTGTGCTGCTGTACCCTCTGCATCGCGCAGAGGGTTGCGCTTGAGCTGGGTTGAAGTAGCGACATGAAGAACAAAAGGGAATGAAGTTGGGCTGGCCCAAGCTGTTCGAAGGGCAAACATCTGCAGTTAAGCGTCATCACGTGATCGGTACCAGCTGTAGCATTACAAAACACAACCAGATCACTGGAAAATATTCTTTGCACAGGCGTTCGAATGGTGACAATCATTTTTTGGACGGTACTACATATTCTTCCTTGAATACAGGACGTCTGTGTATCACGCACTGTTGCATGTCTGCGTGTGTCGCAATGACTGGCGTACAGACCAACATAGGGGTACACACGACACTCCAAGTTGCCAAGATCAAAGGTTTCATCTTGGTTTGTGAAGGTGCGCATGACCGATCCTGGTCGTACACATCCCTCCGTTGATATATCCTTATCGTCCACGATAGAAGTCATGGTCCCGAGGGAGCATAGTATGAAGCTCTCACAAGTCGATCAGAAACTTGCGTTCAGGCATTCTACATTCAGTGGAGAATGATGTAGCGTTCGCCCTCACCAAGATCTGTATAGATTCCTCCTCGAACCCAGAATTCATGTTCAATCGTCCCAATCATGGTCTTCCTCAGTTCCTTGTTCTTGCTTGTCTAAAAAACGATCTGCGGGGGTATAGCCTTCAATGACTGAGTGGTTCTGGCCATCATGTTCGAGTGACGGTGCGGACACAGCCTTGATGACACGCTTTTCGACAACGCGAGAGGTGAGTAGTTCGCTTGATGCGTTATCCACATCCTTATGGATATCATGTCGAGTCGATGCTGCCTCTGTGTCATTTTTATGTGAGTGAGTGCAGCTATCCATCACTTTGGGCCGCAATGGCAAAGTTATGAGGGTGGATGGTATGTCTTCTGCCAGTAAGTCAATGTCCGCACTCCGGCCAGATAACAAAATCCCGCCTGGTTCCTCAAGAAGTTGAACTTTGACATAGAGAGCTCTACGGGCACAGTCTGTAGAGCACCACCGCTCGAGTTCCTTTTTTGGAATTGATTTCAATCCCGCCTCTTTCGAAACCACGAGCTTGAATTTGGCATCGCCTTTCAGCTCCTTGTTGGGTCGGGGACATAGAGCATAACCGCAAAGTCGTGACGCGTTGCGCTCTTCGATCAGGTCACTATAGTCTTGTGGCCTCAGCAGTGCAACATGCTCCTTGAAGGCGCGCACATCATGTGCGGCGGGCATGGCGGCATCAGCATTCGGTGAGCTGGGTAGCTCGAGGAGGGCAAGTGATGCATCTAGGATTAGTTTCTCTGTATCTTTTTGCTGCTGTATCAGCTTAGCATGGTGCAATGCGGTTGCTAGATGGCGATCCTTTACTGGATCAGAGGAGGTAGCTTTCTCTGGTGGGACATGTTCACTGGGTGTTGCCGGTGGTTTGCTCTTGGTTTTCTTCAAAATCGACTTTGGGACAGTCTTTGGTAGCATATCGAGCGCGGCGGCAGAACTGTAGCGGAAGAATCGAACAATACCTTAGCCGGAGCAATTGAAAAGATCCATGGATATCATCATCTTATGGCTGATCATCGGGGATGTAGTGGGTTGGGGCTAATGACGCTAGTCCGTAACGGGAGTTGGAAAGGTGACGACTCACGAAGACTATGCCAAACATCAACTACCACCCTCCCCCCTCCAGGCCGAACCTTACTCATTCCGTTTCCTCCGAACGTGTATGGCCGCTGTATCAAGCGATTGTTTTCTCTGCATTCCTGCCCGTCAATCGCCTGCTCGCTGCCTCAGGCTGTCGTGCGTCTGCTGAATGGGCGATACACCATTGCTTGCCCCGCGAGTACTAATTGCACCTCCGCACTTCGCCGCAACTGTCAGCCTTCTACAACAGCCAGCCATCCCGACTAACGCCTGTTCTACTGAGCACTATGTTTCGAGTCAAGGCTCTCTATGATTATGCGTCCCCTCACGACGATGACCTGAGTTTCCCGGCCGGCCAGATCATAACGGTGACAGAGGAAGAGGACGATGATTGGTACATTGGCGAATACAAAGAAGATTCTACGGGGGCTAAGAAGGAAGGTCTTTTCCCAAAGAATTTTGTAGAGAAGTACGAACCTGAACCTCCACCAAGACCCAACAGAGCCTCGCGTCATAAACCCTTAGATGCAGTTGCGACACAGGCGCTACCTCCCGTGTCCGCTCCATTGTCAGAGGCAGAGGAGCCTATTCAGGAGAGACGTGTCGAGCCAGCGACTGTTCGTCAGGCTGAAATCTCCAAGGCTGCGCCAGAGGAGCCGGCAAAGACAAACCCCCCGCCGAAACCAGCTCCAGAACCAAGTCCTGCGCCCAAGCCTGTACCAAATACCTCGATATCGAAAGCCCCTCCGCCAGTGGCTGAGAAATCCAGTTCTTTCAAAGATCGGATCGCAGCATTCAATAAGCCGGCTGCGGCACCTGTCGCACCTTTCAAACCCAGCGGGAGCAAAGCAGGTGCGGGCTTCGTCAAAAAGCCATTCGTCGCGCCCCCTCCCAGCAGGAATGCTTATGTTCCGACTGCACCACGCGAGCCCCCACCTCAGAAGGTCTATCGCCGAGAAGAAGACCCGGAGATAGCTGAACGTCAAGCTCAGGACCTTGAGGCCGCCGAAAAAGCTGGTCTAGCTGCAACTACAGAAGAAGCTCAGGGAGATGACGCACCTAAACCTACAAGTCTAAAAGAAAGGATCGCTCTCCTTCAAAAACAGCAGGCCGAACAGGCAAAACGAGCCGAAGCGACACAGAAAGACAAACCGAAGCGACCGAGCAAGAAACGAACCGAATCGGAGATTCAGGATGCAGCTGCTGATGAGAACAACGAGCTAGATAAAGTAGCTAGCCCTGATGGATCCAATAGAGGATCTATAGATGTTCCTAGGACTGCTCCCCCACGTAAAATATCACATGGACTTAATGTATCAGAAATACCCCAGCCGGCAAGGGAGCTTCTTAGCGATACAAATGACGCTGATCAGTCCGCTGCCGGAGAAACGACTGAAGAGGCCGAAGGTGAATCCACCAGTGTCGATGACAATGAAGATACTTCACGGCGTATACCCCAAACCCCCCTTTCAACGGTCCACACCCACAAGGACATCGAAGAAGAGGATGAGGGTGCTAGCGAAGAAGAAGACGACGAGATTGATGCAGAAACACGACGTAAGCTAGAACTCCGCGAACGTATGGCAAAGATGAGTGGAGGAATGGGTATGGCAGGAATGTTCGGTGGCGGCCTTCCGTCAGGGGGCATTCCACCAAAGAAGAAGAAGACAGCGCCAGTACCAGAGCAATCTGCTCCAGATGACTACGAGAGGGCTCCGCGTTTACCAATGATACCCATCCCAGGGATGTCGACTGTCCGGAGCCCCGAGTCCGAAGATACACAACTTAATGTTGTAAAGGAAGACCAAAGCAGAAAATCTGCCGTCAGCAATCGAGAACCAGAGGATGTGCCCGACATCGAAGATGTCGAGCCAGCATCTCCATCAGCCCAACGAGGTGCCCCACCGCCGATACCAAGCCGTAAGTCGCCCACATCTCGTAGTTTGGCTGTCAGACGGACCCCTGTGGACACCTGTTCGGCGAGATTTTGTCGTCCTCCCTGCTCAAAAACCAGCCTCGAACTGGGCAGACCAGGAGAGACATTCTTGTTCATTAGGTTCCGCAGTAGGTTCACAAGAGAACTCGACATCTTCCATTGCATCAGGATACAAGTATCGTTTGCTGACTCGTATAGAACGGCCGGTGTCTATGTCAGAGAGAGTTGCACCCCCAGTGCCTACCGAAAGACCCGTGCCACCAGCACCGGTGCCGTTTAGATCGCCGACGTCCGGTTCAGAGTCGGACGATGAGATGCCACGAAGGTCAATCGAGCTTTCAGCTCGCGGGCCTCCTCCTCCAGTTCCTGCCTCCGACCACTCAGGTCCCAGAAGCCCGTCCGTACCACGGCGAACCTCGACTATGGGATCCGACTATGTTACCACCGGTGGAACATCGTCACCTGCTGAGAAGAGATCAAGCCGTATTCCTCCTCCTGTTCCAGTGATGAGCCCCCCAATGTCTCCCCCAGCTCAAGCCAGGCCTCCACCACCTCCTCCGCCTACTGCAGCACCACCAAGCCGGCAGCCAACTATAGACAGTATTTCGCAACGAGTGTCGATAGACGATGAGTTAGAAGAAGAAACCGAGTATGAAGGAGACTACGACACAGACATAGCTTCTGGTGCGACGCACAAAGAAGCTCTTGGATCCCATGTTAGAGAGTCGAGTATAGATGATAGCACTACCGCAGATGAAGGACCGATCAGGTCACCTATTCTACCCCCTGCGGCCCCTCCTCCGGTCCCTTCTGCTGCTCGAGCTATCCCTCCGCTGCCTCCACAGCAAGCACCAGCCGGCAGGCAATCTACAGATGCACCGAGGGGCGCTCCTCCACCTCTCCCTCCCCCAGCTCGCGCACCCCCAGGTGAGGATGATAATGATCATGACTATGACCCGTACAAGTACACAGCAGAGGGGCCTCGAACATCAGGTAGACCGACTGTCCCACCGCCAGTTCCAGTTCAGGCTGCCCCTCCTCAGCCTACACCTACGATCGAGATCCCACAGGCCGATTCCGATGACGAGCTGTACGCAAGCCCACCGCCACCACCTGCTCGTCAGTCTACTGAGCGAGCCGTTCCGCCTACATCTCATGGACCCCCTCAACAGTTACCCCACTACGAACCAGCAGGACCCTCTTCATCAGCTCGCAAGAGTCTGGATGTCAACCGTGCTGCTGTTACGTATGGAAGAAAGTCGACAGATCTCACTAGCCCCAAGGATCAAGGTTTCATAGCACAAGACATCGACTTAGCGGTAACAAGCTTATGGTGGACGCAATTGCAAATGCCACCGCCAGCGTTTCAAGGTCGCAAAGATGTTCTATTCGAGGTGGAAGAGTCGACGTCTAGCAAACGTGGCGGACGCGCTACCGTCTCTCGTGACGTTTACATCATATTCCAGGACTACTCACAGACCATCGTAACGGCCCGATTTGATGCTCAGGATCCTGCTGATGTGGTTCTCGAACAGCGCCATGAAGCGCCTCCTGCCCGTCTACGTCAAGATCAACTTGAAGATGCTCATTCGCAGTTTGGACAGACCATCTATGATAGCGTACAGTCCAAGCAAAACTCTGTCGTTGGTGACGGAACTCCGCATGGTTTGGTTCAGGAACTGCTGAAACCGATGAAGTCCGCCCTGCCGCCTGTGGGATCACGCGCATATGGTGCTCTTGTTTACGCTAACCTCGCCAATGCCACTGTTCAACAGCATGACGAGATTCGTCCCGGTGACGTCATTACATTTCGCAACGCGAAATTTGAGGGCAAGCATGGGCCCATGCATGCCAAATACAAGATGGATCTTGGTAAGGAGCATGTCGGAATCGTTGCTGAGTGGGATGGCACGAAAAAGAAGGTACGAGCCTGGGAGCAAGGACGAGAAAGCAGAAAGTGCAAGGTCGAAAGCTTCAGGGTTGGCGATCTGAGGAGTGGTGAGGTGAGGGTCTGGAGGATTATGGGTCGTAGTTGGGTCGGCTGGGATGATGGCAAATAAGCCAAGTAGCTATGAGATATGAGTATGAGCCGGGAAGTGCATGCTTGAGGCGTGCCGCCCAAGGACTAGTAGCATCAAGTTCCACTAGAGGACGAATTAAACTTGGATTGCATTTGGCTCGTGGGAGTACGACAATGTTCCCACTAAGCTGTTGTTGATATCATAGAATACCACACGTTCGCTTTGGACGGGTCGTGCAATCTGTACTTTACGACAACACTGTTCAAGCCTGGTGGATATTTCAACATTACTACTACAATTAAGGAGATCTCAGCTGACCAGATCACAGGGATACAATACAAATCTTCGACATACTCTATCCCAGCCAGGAACACGTTGGTTCCATACCGCTGCAGAGCAGGAAAACGCTAAAATAAGCCTTACAGACGAGCTAAATATCATCAATCTATAGACGCACCATGAGCAGCTCACTGATCTCGGCAACACTTAGACAGGCAAAAAGTTATAGAGACAAATATCAGATACAAAAACTCCACCTCTGACGTTCCGCCCCTTGATTGAAGGATCCCAGTCTTAAGCATGAAATTGTCTGACCGACTTTCCATGGAGATAGGGCAATAACGAATATTGTAGACTCTGGCTTATATTCAAGGTTAAGCGACGTAGCTACGTCGAGTTATCTGGGAAGGTTTAAGGTAAATAATGACCCGAATTCGCCGTTCCAGGTGTTCGACACTGGGCGCTCTTCTTCCAAAAAAAAGTGAATTGACAATTGTTTGAACAGTGCCAAACTGTCGTCATCTGTTCTTAAACGCAGAAATTGCCCCGCTTAAAGTGAACAACAGGGCCACGAGACGTGTGTCACCCCCTTGAGGACAAATTGTAAACAAACTACCATGCTTGGACTGCATAACAACGTAGCTCGCTGTCGCTGGGCGACCCTTTCCCGCAATCTTTCTCTATTGTAACACCGTGTCTTCGAGTACCGCCCACAACGGCATGGGTTGTGCTCACGGCGCAAACACTTCAAGACCACCTTGCCAGTTTCAAGTTCTCTCTCAGCTTGACCTGAAGTCCAATATGCCGAAGGCAGAGAAAGGCGGAGTTTTCAGAATGGGGAACAACTGCTCAGCGCCACATCCACAGCCTTCAGGTGACGAGGGCAATTCTCATCTAGCAAATGGCAACGGCAGCTCCACCGGGGATCTCGGTAGAGAGCCATCAACTTTTCTTTCGCCCTCAATTCCACGTGTGGAAGCTAGTGATGCAGAACTTGTCAATAGACAAATTCTGCCCGCAACGGTTTCCAGGCCCGCAGCAAACCGCCCTTTCATTACGTCTTCATTTCCTGCATCAGTACCCAAGCCTGCGGCCGTGAGATCTACGGGACCAGGTACGTACCAAGTACTGTCTCCGACGAGCTCCACCTCAACCCAGGACTCTTTTTCTGATGATGATGAAAATCCGTCCATCTCAAATGACATTGAGTCCCTAGGTTCTGTCTCAACAGCTATTCCCACAACGCACCTTTCGAATCTCACAGTTGAAGGTTTAGCTGCTAAACCAGGATACTGGCCAATATTTCCAAATGCCGGTCGGATAGTGTGGCCGCGTCCAGATGCCATGAAAGCACAAGAGTCAGCGGTATCAGGTATGAGCAGGCGACCAAGCCAGCAGAGAGTCGCAGAGCTGAAGGAGAATGATCTAGTCGACGTTGCACCAACTAGGAAATATGCTCTCGACGCTGATCGTGCGGCTCAAGCAGCAAATCAGTCTCAGACATATCGTCCCACATCAAACTACGATAAAGTTCGATCCATGAGCTCCGCCAACACGACCAAGCCACAAGGTCGTCGTCCTTCTGAGTCTGTCACCGGACCAGAGGTCACACCGAACAAACAAACTGTAAGCTTACCATCAGAGGAATGATTGCATATGCTGACGATCTGATTACTTAGTCGAACACTTTAAACCAACCTGTCAAGCCGCAGACAACGTCCAGTCCAGCCTGGGATCGTTTTTTGGAGAAGAGAAAGCGTGATAGTCTGGGTTTGATACCAGTTGCGAACAGTATTAGTGTTTTCGATACACTTGGTGCTGGAGCTTCTGCCTCACCTGCTTCACCATCTGAAACTGCGCAAACTGTTACACCTGCCACACCTGCTGCGCTTACTGCGTCCAAATCTGCTGGGATTTTCGGTCCAATATCCTTGCCAGACGGGCACGACTATCGTGAAAAGTCAAAAGAGGGCTTTAAGCTCCCACCTCTGTCTGTGAGCAAAATACGTCAACCTGTCCCTGAGCAATCGAGTGAAACCAACAATGACCTGACCAGCTCAATCGGGTCTCAGGAAGATATAGCAAATGCAACGTCACATTGGCTTTCGCTGTCGACCCAAGATGTACACAATTCTAGCGTTCCGCCAATGCTCCAGGAGCAGTATGATATGCACCGTGCCATCGCTACTATGATCAAGAACTATGAACATCCGAAGTACGCCGCCATCAAGGAAAAATTCTCTAAGATGGATCGAACAAACACCGAACTCTTCGAGTTGCAAACACATATGAAGAAACAGCAGGAGGCCGCTGTACAAGCTGTTCAGACTCTACAGGAGCAAGTGGTAGCAGCAGAGCGAGTATTCATTCACCACATTCTTCTTTTGCAGATCACTATTGACAACTTCTAGGCGCGAGAACAGCAAAGCGACAATGTCACAGATATACTTTCCATGCATGAAGAGGAACATAATCAGCGCAATCTTGAGCTTAAGAAGACTATTGACATGAACCAAAAGGCTCTACATAGGTATATCTATGAGCTCAAAAAGGTTCATGAAGGGAACAGGAAACTGCAAGAGGAATTTAACTCAAACCTCAACAAAGAGCTTGAGAAGATTCACAAGGCCCATGTCCAACGCATTTACGATCTCCAGATTTCTACGGAAAAGACCCAGAAGAGTCATAGCACAGCACTCAAGATGGCGAACGAGCAGATCCTGAAGTTGCAGAGTCAGAGAGACGGGCCACTGATACACATACAGACCGAGTTCAAGTCGCTCCGGGCAGCCGCAATGAGCCAGGAAGAGGTTTGGAAAGCAGCAGAGGAGCGTCTTCAGCGGACCTTGGTAGAGGAGCGCATCAAGTTGGACGATATAAAGCCACACTTTGAAAAGCAAATCGAAGAGCTACAAGATGCACAGAAGCGTATCACGACCTGCATGAGCGACGTCCTGTCAGAAGTCGCCCGTAAAACTGAGATGGACGCCGAGGTGAAGATGCAAAAGAAACAACTCAAGGAGTTCAGAGAGAATGTGAACGAAGTCTTTCGCAAAGCAGATAGTAAGATCAAAGTTGTCGAAGGCGTAATCAGCTCTTTGACTACTCAACTAGCAGATATACGCACCAGCACGCAGACCAATACGCAGACCAGCATGCAGAACCCGAGTGAGGATCTGAGCATTTTGAAAGCAGGAATCGAGACTGCGTCATTTGACAGCGCGAAGAAACACCAGCAGGTCACGGATGAGATGCAGAAGATAAGTACCGACGTCGCAGATATTCGAGGCCTCATCGACACCAAATCCAGCGACACCAACACCATGCTCGAGCGTGTCGAGACCGCGTACCAATCCACCACATCCCAGATCTCCGCCTTCACAGCCCGTTTCGCCGCCCTCGAAGAAACCCAATCCCAACTCCAGACCCTGCTCACCGACTCCCTCTGTGTCAAAGCCGAGCAAGACCAATTCCAGCAAGCCATAACAACCGACATCGCCTCCCTTCGCGCCGAGCTCCGCCAAGCATCCCGCCTCATCGCCGCCGTGCAAGCAGAGAACGTAGGCTTAAAGAAAGCGATCGACAAGGCGAACGAGCCTGCGGACATAGAGTGGATGGAGGTCAGCGGCCGCGATGTCCCCTTTGCTAACATTCCACCTAATTCATCGCCGACCAGGCACCCCCCGTCTTTTCATGGCTCGCTTAGTGGTTCAATGCATGGCTCGCCGGCGCGCAGTGTTCCGTTTCATACACAGCTTCCTGGCGTGGGAGGAATGCATCCAGGCGGGAATATGTATGCCAGCCATGGCTTGAATGGTAACCCCATGTATGGCGGCCCAATGTATGGACAGAGTGGAGGGTACCCGTTGAGGGGACACCCAGGTTCGAATGCATCGGGATGGTCCTGAATGAATGAATGTTGTGAGACTGTTTGGTGCCAGAAAATTGGATGTCTATGGCGGTTTTGTGCGGTTTGGTAATAATCTTGGTTGTCGATTAAAAGTACACCAAAAGCGTGTAGTCTATGAGATTAGTAAGATGTTAATGTTATGAAATCGTGCAAGTAATGTTCAAGTTCCTGCGATCCATCGGGATTGTTATTGCTTCTTGGCAGATAGTAAAGGTAGAAAATGTAGAATTATTGAACACGAAGACTTGATACAATGAGTGTGATTATTTGTTACGACCATCCAAGGGTAGGATGTAGACTCATACAGTATGACCCTTTCGCGTATATTCTGTTTTCCTCCATAGCTTGAGTCAATTGGTGAAAGACTTCATCCCTAGCAAGTTTGCTTAAGCATCAGACCATTCAGGGGGCTAGATAGACAAAACGGAAGACTTCAAGATACCTTCCTCGGATGCCACGTATACTAAATACGCATAGAAGTTATTTTCAAAGTCATTTACAGAACTAATTACATTACAAACCTGGGACTAAGTTACGTTCTGATGATACTCTGGCCACACAGAAACCCCAGCATTCACTTATAAAGTCTCATCCATTACAAATCCCAAGCTCGCTTTCGAACATGCCAAGAAAACAAGTCATAGCATTTACAGAGCCCACTCCGTTATACTACTACTGTATGATGTCTGATCTCAGACTGCTGTAACGCCGTTCGCATCTGCTTACATGTAACGTTCGCACTGTACATTGACGGAAATCTATGTCCATTCTCACATCGTCGTTTCCAAGTCTTTTCGCATAATGGCACCAACACTCTTGGTGGGACACTTTCTTCGAACTCTCGTCTTTCTTCATTATGGCTTACTAGTGTTGTCGTTGATTTCGCTCAGAGGTTTACCGTCCGAGCTAGTTGTCTTTGCTGAGGGAGGTGTTGTCCATGTGTACAGCATTCTCGGGCGACCCTTTTGATCCGAAGTCGAGCCTAGCGATCGAATTGTAACCTAGAGGACTGTAGGACTTGTCGAAAGAATCGGTCTCGCCTGAATTATTGTTGTCTTGCAGGATACTCGAGCCGCTTTGACTGTTCTTGGCTTGAAAGGAAGGCGAAGCACTCGAGCCAATTAAGGTGGAATCTTGCGAGGCTACGGTAGGAGAAGTCGTCCCTGGAGAAGAGCACAGTCCTCCTGCGATGCTGCTGTCCTTGGGCTCCTTTGATGGCGTATAGTTGCCAAGGGTACTTGAATAGGACGAATTGTCAGGACTGACCAAAGTTGACTCCTGGGAGAACGATGTTGGGGAAGATAGCTCTAGAGACAAACTACCGGAAGGAGATGCCTGAGTAAGCTTCTTACGGGATATGTAGTCCTTGAGGGACATGTTCCGTCTTGTAGCTTGTGTCTTTGGCGGATCATCCGGTCTGATAGAGATTGGTCCCTGAGACGACACTTCTTTTCTATGTTCGGTCTTCTTCGCCTCTTCCTGCTCTGCGACTCGGGAGTCACTTGGTATCTTCACGTTCATTGTATCTGGAAAAGATACTGGGTTCAACTGGGGAGCCCCTGAAAGCCCTGTCTGTGATGGGACCCCGGAATGTCGCGAGCTTCTGCGGGCCCATATAGTCCGATCGTTGACCAACTTAGCAAGTGAGTTGTCTTCATTCAAGGTGGCGTCAAAATCACTCAAGGTTTGGCGGAGGAGTGGAGACGAGTTGTGAATTTGTTCCGGTGGCATGTTGAGTCCTGTGCCCTGCTTCGGAATGCTATTGGTGACCGCCAGGGCCGGCGATGATGGCGCAAGCTGCGTACCTAACCTGTGACCAGATGACTTTAATCCACCTCGTACTGTTGAGGCTCCCTTGGGTTTCACCCAATTCGCAGCCTGCTTCGCAATCCTGTCGGCTAGATCATTGCCACATATCTTGACGTGAGACTTGATCCAACGGAACTCGACTGTGAGTTTCAAGCTGCGAATCATACTCGTCCAATACCATATTTCATGTCTTGCAAAGTGACACTGGGGGTACTCGGGATGATCCCGAGCCAGATCTCTCAAGACCCGCTCACAATCGGTATATATGACCACTGTGTCGTAGCTATATGGTGGTGGACCTGAGTTTTCCAGGTAAGCATAGGCATTTCTGAGTGCTTTTGCGACTGCAACGCTCTCAAAAAACTCTACTTCTTGTGGCTCCTGGATGTTATAGCCAGCGGCCTCCCACTTCCTGTTGTACTTCCACACCACTGAGATACCCGCTCGAAAGGGGTTCGTAAACCGCGACGCATCGGTCCAGAAAATAAAGCGGCGAGACACTGGCGAGACCGTCTGTTGGGCTTCAATATCTCTGAGGGCGGAAACGCAAGATTCCGACTCTGTCTCGATGAAGATGTCTTTGTTCATGTATCCAATCGGCTTCATGGACTTCGGAAGATCCTCTCTGATGTTCCTGATACTTTCTGTTGAGCGTATGTCAACGCCTCCAAGTGTCAGGTCCAGCCTCCTCAGGCTATAGATCCCCCGGAGCAGGAATGCATCGATTTCATCGAGCTCCCTTCTATTCACAGGATCGAGCTTATAAACTTCCCCTTTCAAGTAGTTTTGTATGCCTTCCTCAACCTTTCGTGCAACCCAGGGGTCATTGAGATTTGGATTGTTCCGCCGAAGTCGCTTCGAATATTCCCAGTTCACACCTGTTCCACCCTGGAAAGGTACATGCTGACCACTGGAAACGTCATCATAGCTGAAAAGGGTATCTGGCCCCTTCCGTTTGCGCGGTTTCATCAGTTCTGTTGGTGACTGAGCCGGGCTTTCTTTAACAGTCGCCGGTGCTTCATTTTTAATATGCTCTCTTGAGCTGTGACGGTCATCCCTAGCTCTGTTCTCGTCCTGTCTGGGCGAGCGTCCTGTGCTCCCACTTTGCACTGTGGGAGGAATCTGTTGCTGTACTCTTTTCTCGGGCCCTTTAGGGGCCAAGAGTGAAGCGATTGAAAAGAATGGTGGTACTGAAACATGTCTACGATCAGTACTTCCTGCTCGGCCGTAGTCGGTAACGCTCGAAGTTTCGTGACGTCGTGTACTTGTCGATACAGGACCAAGGCTACTTTTATCTCGCGCCAGGACAGAGGCTGTTTGCGGTACCCTTCTCGGCGTAGAGTTAGTGTAGATGGCAGTACTCTGGTAGTGAGACGCGGTGGAAGATCCACATCGGACGGTATCATTCGTGTCATATGTCGATTGTCTAGACTCATGAGCGTCCCCTTCTATATGGTCTGTTAGCTTCTCGCTTCATGGTTCATGTTTATCAGTCAGGCATATACTTACCCCTGAGATCACCAAGGTTTCGATTTGTTGGCGCAATATGGCGACGACCTAGAGCTCCTGCTGCTACTGTTTGAGCTCTACCTGTCCCTCTTGGGCCTGAATTGCTTGGTGCTTGGCGTCTGAGATCATGTCTCCCGGGAGGAATCTCAGCGCGACCCATCCAGCCAGCTGATGACAATGGTGTTAAAGGTTACACAGGACGAAGTCGCTCTCTCTTTTTAGAGTTCCAATTTGTTTACGAGCGGCTGAAGGTGCATCCAGTGTGAATGCGCAAAATCAAGATTGTATGAGGAGAAAAGAAGAGACTGTGGCCCACATTTCGAAACGAGACCTTCTTATAACGTGTGCTAGAAAAGAGGAGCATATTATTTCCCAAAAAATGGTGAAGACGAGTGTGTCTGCCATTTGTGAAATAATGGGTAGATAGATGCCAAAGAGAAAGCGTAGCGCTGTGTCCTGACATGAGTAGCAGCATATGCATCAAGATGAGATTTGCTGACTCGGAAAGATGGCGGACTACCCAGGGATATATCCTGTCCCAGCGATGGTGATGACAAAGACTTCGGGCGTGATGTCGGTTCAAAACTTATCTCTTTGGCGTCGGCATTGTTAGTTGGATCTTCACGACTGTTGTTTGTCACTTGCATTGCTGCATGATGTGACTCAGTCAATACGATTTTGATATGAGTCAGGGTGCTTGGGATGGTACCGGATGTCAACCATAGTTGTAAACAGTTGGGGTTGAAGGGTGGATTGGGATCACGGTCGGAATGCGGGTCGTAATGCGTAAATGGATGCATTTGCCTTCCTGATTACATATATGAGAGTCTTACTTGCGCTGAGTCAAGACAAATATTTCTCTGAAATACAAGTCGTACTCACTGCGCGAGTGAGTTCAGTCGAAAAAGTTATGTGGTAATGTTCCATGCGAGGGTATGAAAGGACCTACGACGAAGGGCCTGTGAGGGATGAATCGAGAGTAGTCGACTATGAATAACGCGACTCTAAATATCGAGAACTCAACATAGTGCGGTACTCTACGTAGGGGAAGTCCTCCCTGAGAAGAAGGGAATTGCGACAACCTAGTTCTTTGTAAACATTATAAGAGGCTTTGTCTCAGTCGGAACGAGATCAACTGTCTCGTTCCTACCAAGGATCATGAATGCAGATCAGAAATAGGTAAGCATTGTGATAACAACGGATGACTTCGTACACAGTGTGGCCGTTCTGTTATATTTGCTGTGCCTGATTAAGAGTTGTTGCGCTGTAACTATTTGGCAGTGAGTCCGGTTCATATTATTGTACGTTGAGATAGTACCTCGCAAGGCTAGCTGACCTGAGCTGGACACGAATATATATATAAGCGGCACTTTTCAAATGTCGTCACTCGACACCGCAAAGATGCAGATGATATTTTGCGAGGTTGTCGACGCTATAAGGGATTGAACAGTCGTCACCGCCATATACATACAGTACAAGGGATTAGTTTGGCACCGCTCTAGCAGCAAGAAGCTGCCTTGAGTGCCGCCAGAATCATTGTCTTGTCAATTTAGTGTCGGTATCAGGGGCATCTATTGGCTAGTAGATACGAAAGCTGAATATGTGCTGTTGATGCCAAGAGATGTGATGTTGAAACTGCGGAACATTCCATTTAAGGTGTAGGCATCGGGACTGTCAGCTATATTATCAATAGAGTGGCAAATGTTTGTGCTTCCAGTGCTGTTAAATTATGTTCTGAGTGTTGTCATTATGCTCGTTCCTACTTTGCCTAATCTGAAAAGTCACAGGACGTGTATGATTGCGATTGTTCACGGAAATTGCACACTGTAGAGGTGAGTCACAGGTGTTGTAGCAATGGCTTTACTGTTTGATGCGTATGTGATTATTTCTGGAAGGGCAGGTCAAATAGACGTACGAATAGCCCGCTGCTTCTCTGTTTACTATAAACACCACTTCAATCACCGTTTCAAGCACTACAAATCCAGATATCCACAGAAGAGACATCAGAAAGCAGCCGGGCCACAGACTATTCACTAAACCCTCCAACACACAACCAATCACCCACCGACGATGCCACAGAAAGCCTCTCCGCGTTGTGGTCTTCATTGATAGCGGAGCACAGAGGAAATGCTTCACACTGAACAGATAATACCCCTGATCTGAAAGTACTTTACTCCATCTCTCATGCCGCGGCTCGTGGTGGTCGAAAAGTTCATTTGGAAGAGGACTTGGCATGACCTTCAGGCGTTCAAGGTAGTAGTCATTGAGTCGGTCATCTGTGGTGAAGGGATGCTGGCGAACGAACTTGATCCAGCGTTGCACAATACACACTGCATGAGGGATCGAAATCTCGTACCACTCTTTATGCTTTGTTAGGCACCTGCATTTAACCTGAGCCCTAAAATTAAGTAGCTCTAGATGAACGAGACATTCCGCCACATAAGCATGTTTGAAGTTGTCAGTGGTAACGCCTAAGGCGGTCCCGATATCTTCGAGGTCGGAGAGACATTTCATTGTGTGAGTCTCGAACCGGGAGGCAGGAACTTCGCTGTATCCGATCTTCACCAACGAGGGGTTGCTAGGACTTTTGAGGATATAAATATGGCCATGTTGGGAGTCCCGCTTCTTTGTTATGGGCGATAGAAGTTTTTTACGGAGTAGCTCATCGATCAACTGTGGACTTTTGTGCTTCTTGCTGGGGGATGATGGGTGAGGAAGTTCGACTTTCGGTGCGGCAGGAGACGTAATCGCACGACCGCTGCGGGTGGTTGACTTTGAAAAATGGCTGGGTGGAGAAGGAGTGGCTGCTGGGCTCTCCAAGGATATGGGGATAGAGGGAGGGACTTGGCAAGTATTGGTGTTCGTATTCCCGGGTTCACTTATTGTTTGTGCCAGTGTTTCGAGATCTGGTGGGCTTTCTATCCCCGAAACCCTGTTTCTAGCATTTAAAGGTGTCGTGGGCTCTGAAGATCTCTTGGCTCTAATTCGTACTTTTGATGAATATGGAGACGTTCTGGCGGAAGAAGCTCTAGGGGACGGTGTATAAGTTGAGGCGTTCTTGAGCGGCGTTGTTGGCGGTGTCAATAGACCTGATGCAGACTGTACTGCTGTACGTCGACCATTGGGGAGATTGACATTTTGGGGGCCCATATCTATCTCCCATGATGTGGGTCCTAAAGCATTGTGGATTTTTGATTTGAATGTCTCGTTGTCATCAATGTAGATATCATTGTCTCTGCCTGCTTCCTTATCGGAATCCGGGTCTTCACAATGAGACACGCGCCGAGGAGCCATTGCGTGTAACTGAAATATAGGAATGGGGTACAAAGTCGGGCACGACCGGAAGCTCGGGACTGCTTAAGTATAAATTGTCAGCCCACCCCAATGATCAATATTGCGGTGGCTGTAAAGCATATGCAAGAATGTTTCAAGACCCTGGCGCTTGAGGTCGCAGCCTTGCGAAACGGACCGAGACTCGCCGAGCAGACTTGACATATCGCACTGCATCTGCCGGGTGCAAGGCTTGCCAATCAAACCCTCCAGTCTGTGCCAATGAGCTCTGTGATAAACTTAGCAATCAATAAATGTTGAGAGCTGAACTCTAAACCATTGCGATACCATACTGAGGTTATGAGATAAAGAAGCGTTCTGAACAACACATGTCTCGTCTAGGGGCTCCCCTGGTGTAGTAAATGATAGGCTGTAAGCTAGGTCACTGTGCAGCATCTATTCGTTATGCATTGCATGAGCTACAGCGTCAGTAGCCAAGCCACAAGGCGCAGTTGAAAATAGACTCTGAACGAAGGCAAGGGAATGTGCAACGATGTACGATACGAACAAGAAAGACTAGTTACTGAATGATATGACATTGAATGTATATCTTTCATTTGGGACTATACGTGTCTGAATAGTCAGTGACCGTTGAAGGCCTGTCGTCACTTCAGGGTGACAGGGTCCCCTATCTGCTGGGATCCTTCATCATACCGTCGCTCATGCTGTCATTGTTGAATTAGACGCCCTCCTATGCGGATGTTAAATTGTGCTTTTGTGGTGATACAAGCAGGTTGATCAGTGTCTTAGGGCATGTTGAAAGATGCTGTTTTTTCAGATCGCCCGTTAATGTTGAAAATTGTTGAAATTACCCCGACGCCTCGCTTTATGCTGGTTGAATGAAAAGCGCTACAGGTAAGTAGGGACTAGGTGGGAGACTTTAAAGGAAAGAATGAGTATGGTGTAAAGCTTTATAGCTGTACCCCATTGACCCCCTCAACTCCGTTGCTTGTATGGTCGCCGTTGGTCGGCGGAGGGAAAGTTTTTTTGTCTAGGTCTTTGACTTCAAGACCACTAAAAAGTGGGAATATGCCATCAGATATGTGGTAATCGTTATGGACTGTCACTATATGTCAGTTCGTTCATTCCAATGGGATGACTGACCCCACCTATGTTAACAAGGTACCAAGTGTCTACGACCTCCTGGATGAGGTATCTCGATGAGCTTGTTGCGTCATAACAGTGAGCCCAATCTTCGCCCAAGCGGTAAAATTCATCTTTCCAAGCCAAAAAGCTTATCGTCTCGACAATGGTAGGTTGGACGATCTCCTTACCAGGAAATGCGCCCCACGTGACGGCATTCGCACTATCGTCTGGCGCATTGGTCTTCAAATCACCCGTTTTGTTGACTGCATAGTAAGTCATGTCGGGATCGCGTTCGATTCTGGTAATGACTTCAGCAATGAGCTCCGGTGATATGAGAACCTCCAGATAGCCTTTCTGGTAAACATATCCGTTCTTTGGACCCCAGCCATAAACCGGGTCTGATGATTTTACACCATTGACTGCTGGCTGAGAGTTGATAGTTATGATGCCGCGTTGATTTAGCTCCACCAAGTGGTCCTTGATCGAATCCGCTTCTGCTGTGATGGGAGATTCGCTCCAGGGCAGACTTGACAATTTTCCTTGCATATACTTGACGAACAAGTTGGAAATATCCCTTAGGGAGCTGGGGTGACCCCATAACTTGATGTTGCTCTCGTTGGTCCCTTTCAGACCAATACCGTACGAGTCAAGTTCGCCATAAGCTGGTGATCGCGCATCGCCCCATCGACCATTTGGGAACTCATCCCATTCCTGAGTACGTGCAATGTACGAGTGATTGCGATTTCGCCAGAATATTGGACGGACGTTCTCGTCGCGACGGTTGAGCCCAAGGGATTGGCGCCATGGCAAAGGCTTCTCACCCACATCTGGTATCAGCTTGAGTTCTTCAAGGACCATCTGCGTGGCCTGAGCAAGATTCATCGTGTAACTATCTCGTGAGCAGGTTTACAACCCGTGTCGTAGGAAAAGGAACTTACAAATGCAAATGAGAAACGCCAGCCTCGATCAGACGTCGACACATCTCAGCCAAAAGACCAGTTCCAATTCTCCTTACCTCAGCATCGTCATTCTTTACCGGCTCCAAGACCTTGGTCCAATGCTCTGGGATGACGCATCTGGACCAATTCGCTCGTCGGAGAAACGCCGCGTGAGTTTGAATAGGCATTATTCCGGGAATTATTGGAACAGTGATGCCTTTTGCACGAACTTTCTTCATCCACTCAATGAATATGTCTACGTCATAGAACATCTGTGTGACGATGAAGGTGCCTCCGGCATCAACTTTCTCTTTGAGATGATCGATGAGCTCGTCGATATCCTCATTATCGTCACAACCCTCAGAGTATCCGGCTACGCCAATATCGAAATGATTGCCGTATTTCTGCTTGATGTACTTGACAAGGTCACGGGCATAGCGGAAGCCTCCCTGTACTGCTTCCCATTTCTCTTTCTCGCGGGGCGGATCACCACGAAGTGCCAATATGTTTGTACAGCCAGCTTTATAGGCATCAGCAAGAGCCTCATCTAGCTTTGATTGCTCCATGTCAGTGCAAGTCAGATGCATGCACGTTTCCAAGCCATAGACCGACTGCGCCACATTGACCATTTCTGTGGTGAGTTGTGAATTGCGGCCGCCAGCACCCCATGTCACATCGATGAAAGAAGGGCCTAGACCGTGCATGCGGTCCATTCGATCGTATAGATTCTGAACACCTTGGGCAGTTTTAGGAGGGAAAAACTCGAAGGAAAAAGTCGTCTTGCCGGCCTCCCTGGACTCGGCGAGCTTTTCGGAGATATGCATGGCGAAGGTACAAATCGAGTCGTATATAGAAGAAAGGGTTCAGACGGGCTTTGAGGCAATTGACGCTGTATGTCTTCGCCTATAAGCATATTTAGCGAGAATCGAGCCATAGACAACACGAAGGCTGACTGGAAGTTATATACCTCAATTTATAGGAAGAGTGGTCGAAGATGTTCTCCTCCTATAGAGCGACTGACTGTTTGCTATCCTAGATATCGAGCGCGGGCCCAACGATCAGCTAGATCCCGCTGCATGTACCACTAAGAGGATGAAGAGCAGGAGAGGGTGGAGGTCAGAGGTCACAGAAATAGTAGTAGTGATAGTAGTTGGCGGTGGGTAATTCTAGAGGTAAAGTATTTCTCGTAAGAGACGATCAATCGGTCACCGAAGATCACCCCGCGGTGAGTTTGCGCTGAGTGGTGAGCAGTGAGCACCCGCTGTCACCACTAACCACGTCAAAGTTTGCATAACTAACGACGTTCCACAGCGGGGGAGGAGCCAAGACGCGGACGGGGGTCATTCGGACTTTGAGCTTTGGCGGACGGTGTTTTCTGTTTCATGATGCCTGCGCACGCCGGTAAATTCGATTTCACTACGTCGGCTCCGACTCCGGCTCACAACCGTCCAATTCTCCGGTTCTGGGAAGGCATCTTCTTCCGGATGCTGTAGAGGGGTTCATTTGACATGAAAGCAACTTTATTGCTATCTCACCCACGTGCGGCCTACTTCATCGGTTTACCGAGACCGATATTCCGCAAATTCAGCCTCCTAACCGTCAGTAGGCCCCCAAAGCCTTATCCTACTGCGTCAACACCTCTCAATATCGAGAATCTCTCCCCCGTTTCTCTCCGTTCCTGAAGACCAGCACTCGAAAATCATTTCACTGCATCCAATCGGCATGGTGCCTCACAAACGCCGCATAGTCGGCACGAGCCTGAAAATGTACTTTGACCTGCATCGAACCCAGGAATACATCGAGGGCATCGCCAAGTTAGACAAAGATGCTCAAGAAGTAGACGTCGACCTCTTCGTCATTCCAGACTTTCTCAGTGTCTGCACCGCCGTTGAAATATTAAAAGACACAAACGTTATGGTCGGAGTACAGGACTCGTACTGGGAAGATGCTGGCGCACATACTGGCGAGGTATCGCCCTTGAATATCAAGCAGGCTGGTGCTTCACTTGTTGAGCTTGGTCATGCAGAGAGAAGAGCTCGCTTTGGCGAAACAGATGAGACGACGGCTAGAAAAGTAACAGCTGCGACGCGTAACGGGCTCACACCCTTGGTATGCATTGGAGAGAAGGAGCGTGGTGCGAGTGCATCGCAGTCTGTCGGGACTGCCATAGCAGAATGTGAGAAACAGGTAAAAGCAATCCTCGCAGCGGCGCCGGACGATTCAGATCTCATACTTGCCTACGAACCAGTATGGGCAATTGGTGCGGCGAAGCCTGCCGATGCAGACCATGTCGTTTACGTGACGAAAGCAATCAGGCATATGGTCGCCAACAGAAAGGGACGTACAAGAATTCTCTACGGTGGCAGCGCCGGGCCTGGCACATATAAAGCGCTTGCAGATGGTGTTGATGGATTGTTTCTCGGTCGATTTGCGCATGATTTACAGAACCTCAAGCGAGTCATCGAAGAGGTGGGACGTGGCAAATAGCCTGACCGTACCCAGGCTTGGTAGCACACAATTATGATGACGATCCCACGACCCACGATCCTGTACTCTGCGCAACCCGAGACGTTGAGCAAGATAAGAGCTTGCGTACGACCGATATTGTGGCAGGTCACTCTCAGATAAAGCTCTGATAATGTTTTGATGGCAAACAGGCCATTCCGGGCCGAAGACACGATCCGGTCTTCTCCAGATCGTAAGACATAGGCTATCCCGGTCGCAATCTTCCAACTCGTCTCGCAAACGAGCATAAAGCCTGCTCGAGACCATGAGGTGAAATTAAAAACCTGGCATGGATAGGGCAGGAGAGTTTCTAAACTGTCTGATATACAGCACTCAGGATTCTCAACTGCAGTAAGACAATATAGGTAATACGCCAGTCAATACAGCCGCATGCAGTACAAGAGTCGGAAAGCCAGAATAGCTTTGTATTCTCGAAGGTAATTAGTGCAAGCCATCTATAACGATGCTCCTCTGGAAGCTTGCTCCACTGGGAACCTTCCTAAAGTAGTTTAAACACTGGCGATACCAGCCAGGTGATGTTTGTCGATCCGATTTGCGACTGGTGGTTTCGACTCACAGTGACCGAGGTAGGCGCCGACCTGCCGAATCACAACGCTCGCCAAGAGACTAAACAGATAATTTATTCTGTATTATGGAGGCGAGATCTTATCTCTTGCGCTGCGCTTCATATTCTACTCTGTAGTTTCCCCCAGACTATTATGGCAGATGCCGTATTGGTCCAAGGACGAACCCACCTGCCGGATTGATCAGCGCGCCATGTTTACCACTGCATTCATGGATATCAGCTAAGGGCTTGAGGAGCTTCCTCTAGGGAGGCTATAAAGGGTTTGCCCAGCACCACTCGACTTGGTTTCGTCCAGCGACAGATTACGTATTCATACTCACACCAGAAAATTCAATATGTGGACACCCGTCGTAGTCATCTCGAGCCTTGCACTGGCGAGTGCTGTTGTGGTCCCTCGCGCGGCCAAGTACGATGGCTACCAGGTTGTACGCCTTGAGGTCGGCAAAGAGGCTTCCCACGTCAACGATGTCATCTCTAAGCTTCAGTTGGAGACATGGAAGCCCGCACGTGAAGATGCTTTGGCTGACGTCGTGATCCCTCCTGGTGTTCAAGAGGCATTCAAGGCTGCTACCGCTCATCTTCCATCTGTCGTCATGTACGAAAATCTGGGCGAAGCCATTACGAACGAGACTATTGTCAGCACCTACGCTGGTAAGTCCGGCCTGCTTCGTAACGTTATGGATTTCTGACCATCCTCCCAGTTGATAGTACCTGGTTCAATGCCTACCATAGCTATGCCGATCATCAGCAGTTTCTGAAGGACATGCAGAGCACTTATGCCAGTCAATCAGAGATCGTAAGTGCAGGAAGCTCACTCGAGGGTCGTCCCCTGAATGGTCTTCATTTCTGGGGCAGCAGCGGCAAGAACGTGAAGCCTGCCATTATCCTCCACGGAACTGTCCATGCTCGTGAATGGATCGGCACTATGGTCGTCGAATACTTCTTATATACTCTCCTGACCGGCTATGCCAGCAATTCAGAGATCAAAGCATTCGTTGACAAGTACGACTTTTACATCTTCCCAAACGTTAATCCTGATGGCTTCGTCTACACGCAAACCAACGATCGTATGTGGCGCAAGAACCGTCAATCGACATCTGGCTCTTCGTGCCTCGGCCATGACATCAATCGCAACTGGAACTACATGTGGTCTGTCACTGGCGGGGCCTCTACCGACCCATGTGCGCAAGACTTCAAGGGCAGGGCCGCTGCCGATGCGCCTGAGACCCAAGCCCACCAGAGCTTCATCCAGAAAATCAAGAACCAACAAGGTCTGAAGCTGTATATCGACTACCACTCCTACTCTCAGCTGTTCATGTCGCCCTACGGATACTCCTGCTCTGCTCTTCCAGCCAAGAACACCGAGTTTCAAAGCCTGATGAAGGGTACTGTTGCTGCCATCAAGGCTGTGCATGGTGTGTCATTCACCTATGGGCCAATCTGCTCGACCATCTACCAAGCCACGGGCGCTTCAGTCGATTATGTCTCGGACGTCGTCAAGGCTGACTACATCTTTACCTCGGAGCTACGCGACACTGGTAACTACGGCTTCCTTCTCCCTGCCAACCAGATCGTCCCATCTGGCGAGGAAGCATATGCTGGACTCAAGTATCTCCTCCAGAATATGAAATAAGCCGTGTAAATATATGCTGGTGTTGACGTTTGGAGTTTGGACATGAACAATGCATTGTAGAGGCGGTCAAAAAGCACAGCAGAGGAGTTTGGGGAGGTGTAGTCCGACGAGTCACGAGACATAAGCCGGTGGTTGTTGCATTTCAGGAGCTTGATGGCCGGTGCTCTATCGGGTGTGAACATTCAATGAAAGAGTCGAATGATCTCATATTGCTCGCCTCTTGACATATTACGTGATGGCTTTTCCCTCGCCTAAGAAAGGCCCCAACGCCTCCCTGGGCCTATTGATGTTACCTCACGACGTGCTCATGCTATGTGGAAAGACGGTCTTGGATTATTCGCGAGCCATTTGAGCGTGCTGATGGTCGTATGCAAGACGTATTGAAATATGCTCGTTCAGGAAGCGAAGTTGAACAGCTGACAGTCTCCGACAATCATCCCATGTATTTGGATCGCTCGATACAGCTCTCCTAAGGTTGTTCTGCCTCATGACGCATCTGTGGGCTTCTTAGCTCCCGTCTTGCCGGAACTCCAGCTAGTGGGGTTATACGGGATACGCGCAAGGTCCTCTGCCGTTACCACCGGATGCGTGACGATTTGGTGCAACTTACGTAGTAATTAATGGTCGAGTTTGGAGTTGCGGGGTGCGTTGTGGCGCAGGGCTGTGCCAAGGGCATGTCAAGGTTACATTCTCCCATTGATCCGTCTTCCAGAAAGTCTACCTGTGCTGGCTACAGGGCACTAGTCACCGATGATCCATTGTTCAGACGTCCTGATCTGGTAGACCTGGGCCAAAAGGCATTAGACCCCTTCACTGTGGACTATCGATAAGCCTGAAATAGACATAGGGTCGTACAACCGTACGGCCCGTACCACTATAGACATTCACGCAATGGCTTTCGACAACCATGGATCGGTGGCACCATTACCTACACAACGCTGCAATATGACAGTTTTCCAATACAGATCTACATGTCCTATGGTAGCTTTCGCCATTTAGTCTCGATAGATGTATGGGCCGCGTAGCACACGCCCGAAGCGACCACTCCATCTCTTCGCCTTGTCGTATGGAGAGCATCACGAATACTATCGGTTAATTCGGAATGGACGGCACGTCTGACATGAGGTCATAAGTTCGAAGTAGTCGATACATACTGCCATGGCAGATATAAAAGAGGTCAGGACTCTCGCCGAAGTCGAACATCAGTCAACAGCAACAGCAACATAATTCAACCCAATCCAACCCAACCAACGACCATACAAACCCACCTTCTCCAACCACCAATCCAAGTCCAAAAACCAACATGAAGACCACCTTCGCAGCCCTTGCCCTCACCCTCACCCTCACCTCCACCGCCCTCGGCGCCTCCATCAGCGCACTCAACAACTGCGGCACATCCATCTGGGTCAAAGCCGACAGCCAGTCCTCCAGCGGACCCATCACCGAGATCGCAGCAGGCGCCACCTGGACGGCCAACCTGGAGACCACACAGCAGGGCAACGCCGTCAAGTTCTCCAACTCCAACACCGACTTCACCAAGCCCATCAGCTTCGACTACTCGGTCACCAACGGCGTCAACTACTATGACGTGAGCAATGCGGCGGGCCAGCCGTTCAGTCTGGCGGCTGCGGATACGCAGGGAGGCAGTGGTGCCTGTCCGAGTGTGATGTGTCCTGGGTCGGATTGCCAGGCGGTGAAGACTTGTGGTAGTGACAGGAGCTTCAACATTAGGGCTTGTTAGATAGGAAGATGGACGTACGGGGTAGGCTGTTAGTATAGCACATCTTAATTCATAATGTATGCCTCTTGATCGCATTCTCGGCCTCCTTCTCCTGCCTTGTTGCATGTGTTGCACTATCAAAGATGCGGTATTTGGGTGTGAACAAGCCCATCTTGTCTATCGACGTATATTTTGCTCCAATTAATGTTCTCTTTATCTGAACGGATTACGTGTCTGGTCATTATAAAGACGGTTCAAGGGGTTAGCGGAATCCGGATCCAAGGTTACCTCCTTGGTAAAGAAAGGATAACGACAAGATTCATGTCATCCATGTCAAGACCATCGAAGTCGGATATAATGCATACCACTAGCTGAATCTTCTATGCCTCGATTGCTAGGCACGTCTTCTCACACATAATTACAACTAGTGGAACCCGTCTTGGTTTTGGACTGAACATTCCGTGTCGATCGTGCCGATGCCCCGCTATACGTCCACACGGAAATTTGTTCCTACGTTAGACACGCTGTACACTCGTAGTGAACGGAGTCTGTATAGATCTCCCTAGAGGTGCAGACTTCCGGTGGTTAGCGGAGCAGATTGGTAGTACAGTAGAAGTATATTCAGGAGAGGCGGAATGAATTGAATGGGCCTCGGCTCTTAATTAGCAACGCGTTCTCGCGCGTCGTCGCGTTCCAAGCCGTGCACGTGCCAGAACATGTTCCCCCAGCCTCCTTCAGCCAACATTAATCATCAACTATTATATCTTGACTTTCCGTCGGCCCATCTGGCCATCTCACTACTTATCCTTGCATCCTTCTTTCAGCACCTTCCTTGGACACTTTCATAATTCTCCTTATTCTACAGAACACCTCCAGGATGAAACGGTCGTATAGTCAACTCGAGGCTGAAGCCTTTCCGGAAGACCCCTGTCAAAAGCGGCGGTCATATGGGGTTCAATGCCAGGTCCAAAACGACCATTGTCCATCCTGGCTCCCCTTACAACAACAGTCTTGGCTGCTGCCCTCCCGTTCCGAGGTTCTCGACTATTTCGACTTTCATCGACACCGTTTTTCAACCAAGAACGACTACGAAACCATCTTGAAGCCACAATTGGAAGACGCATTCGCACTCATCACACAGCAGAACCTCACACTGGACCATATACACGCCTACGGAACCCGATGGCTACTCAACCGCGGCTTATTATATGTTGTCGCCCAACCAGTCGCGGACGACGTGCTCGTCTTCCGCGAGTGGCAAGCACTGCGGAAATCTCTCCTGTGGCTGCGCTCCAGAAGCCCGTCAATCGTGCAAAGGGCGAATTTTGACGCAACCATCCAAGCCATGGATGCTCCGGAAGCATTCGAATTCTCGCTCGAGACGTTGCGTGCTACGAACGAGCATTTACAAGTCCTCTGGAGGCAAAGCGCAGGCAGTCCCATGGAGGTCCCCGAACCTTCGTATCTGGATACGAACATCGCGACGCTCCGGCAATGGGACGACATGGAGATCAGCTCTCCGGCCTGTTGACATCGAAATCGACTTTTCGCTTTTATTTGTAACAAAAAGAATGTACGATACAGACATGGCTACACGAAAGCCTCATTCTCCTTATAGCTAAGGTACGGATCTACTCGGTTTCAGGCGTTGGCACGGCGGGCATTACATCAAAGGGATTTGACATTTAGACGAGCGCATCTTCGTCCGAGAAATAATCTAAATATTAATTTTAACACAAAGAGCATAACATCACTTTACCATATCCCGCGGCCGGTCAACCGCTACTGTCAGCACTAAGGGCCTCTCGAGAAGTAAACCACAGTGACGCATACATAAAGTATGAGCTGTCCACTTTGTCTTTAGCCAACAAACTGTCGTGACAGACGACGACCTCCTGATTATGGAGGCAGCACTAGACCTGGTACCTGCCCAGGGCCTAAAGCGACGCAGCATTCGTCCTGATTCTTGCAGCGAAACGACCGAGCAACAATATTTTAATTTCCAAGTCGCCAATGATGGTCTTAACGCACTAACAGAGCCATATTATCCAGTATATGATGATTCCCCAACGAGATGATGCACTATAAGTCTCGCTACTCGATGCGAATCCTGCTATGCAGGTCCAGCTTATCAAGAATCTGACCAGCTCTCCGACTCAACCAACCGCCAATGGCTGTCTCCTGTACATTGCTAGTGAGTATCGTATTACATCCATGACATTAGGCATCACAGACCAAAGAGTGCATCGACAGAGTGAGCAAATGTATACAAAGGGTGTTGCTAACACATAAACAATCCCTAAGACAACAAAGAACCACCACACCAAAGGTGTCAATGCACCAACGATGCCGCCAGGAGTATCCACTCTTCATGTCATTGCCAGACGCATAACCCGATGTCCAAACCCCATAAATTCCCCAACAGCCCGCCTTCGCTAGTCGGCATCTCGGCTCGGCTCAACTGTCAAACACGCGCGGGGCCGCCCTGCATGAAAGCATTCATAGGCATTACTTACCTCAATAACCACATACATCTCCAATTGCTTTCCTCTTCGAAACCATTGACCGTCCTCCATTCCACCCTATCCCAATCTTCCAACTCCACACCCAATCAATCAATCCACAATGGCAGAAAACCTCTCCTCCCAACCCCCTCCCTCCACAGCCTTCCTCCTAAGCTACCCATCCCCATCCATCCTTCTCGTAACCATAAACAAGCCCAAGCAACGAAACGCCATCTCAATGGGTACGTCCGCAATCATCCCTCCCTCTCTCCCAATCATCTCCCCTTAATATACAAACAAACACAAACAAAACACACATAAATCCCACCCAAACTAACACAACCCTCCCCTTCCCCCCCGAATAGCACAACACTGGGAAGCCGACGCAATCTTCAAATGGTTCGACGCCGAACCATCCCTCCTCGTCGCCATCATCACCGGCGCCGGCGACCTCGCTTTCTGCGCCGGCCAAGACCTCAAAGAACAAGCCTACCTCGACCACCGCAGCAACAACAAAAGCAGCACCACCAACAACAACAACAAAGACACCGCTTCCAACCCCCAACCACAACCCTCCTCCCGCCTCGGCCTGCCCCCAACAGGCTTCGCCGGCCTCAGCACCCGCACCGGCCGCAAACCCATCATCGCAGCCGTCAACGGCGCCGCAATGGGCGGCGGCTTCGAAATCTGTCTGAACTGGTACCTACCTATCCCCTTTTCCCTCCCTCACCAACCCATATAAACCCCCCCTTTTCCCTCCCCTCTCCCCTCTCCCCTCTCCCCTCCCTCCCATCCCAAGCACTAACGCAACCCCCAAAGCGACATAACCCTCGCCCTCCCAACCGCCACATTCGCCCTCCCCGAAGCCCTCCGCGGCCTCTACGCCGCAGCAGGCGGTCTCGCACGCCTCACCCGCACAGCAGGCATCCACATCGCATCCGAACTCGCCCTCACAGGCCGACGCATGAGCGCCGCCGAAGCCCTCTCGCACGGCCTGATCAACCGCGTTGTTTCCCCTCCCTCTCCCTCTCCTCCAAGCCCCTCCACCCCATCCTCATCCCCATCATCAGCCAGAGAAACCCTCCTCAACGAAGCCGTCGAAATGGCACGCGCCATCACACTCGCGTCGCCGGACGCGGTGGTTGTGACGCGCGCGGGGATTCGCGAGGCGTGGGAGACGGCGAGTGTGGTGCGGGCGGGCCAGGTGACGGCGGAGCGGTACGGGGAGGCGCTGTTTCGGGGGGAGAATTTTGGGATTGGGGTTCGGGCGTTTGCGGAGGGGGGGGGCAGGGGGAGGAGGCCGGTTTGGAGGCCTTCTAGGCTGTGAGGGGATGGGTGGGATCTTTGGGTTGGGGTTCTGGGGGGAAGGGGAGATGGACGGGAGGGGATGGGGGAAAGGGGAGAGGGATGGGATGGGAGATGGGAGATGGGAGATGGGAGAGGGATGGGACATTTGGGGGGAAATGGGGATGGGACGAGGAAGGGGTTGTAGGTAGATATTGGAGGAAGGGAGGGAGGGAGTCTGGGCGGTGTGTGTATGTAGTGCGCAGTGGTAGTTCTTGATGATGTTGTTTATATCAGATGAGAGAGATACATGTATGCGCACGTGGACGGTCTACGACGTACGTACGACTCACGAAGAGTCCAGTCAGTCCAATGTTGCCTGACCCAAGTCCTCACGCGCATCCAACGTCAAGTCCATCACTCACGCCCAACAATGCACACACGCACGCACGCTCTATACACGAAACATCTTTCGATTGTTTCTAATCTGCTAGCTTGCTTGCTCGCTTCTTCGTCCGTCTCTCCCGCCCAGCTTAACGACCTCGCAAAAGCAAAGTTGCGAGGTCTCCTGCTCATCAGCAGTAGTCGCCGGCCCACTCACGACGCACCAACTCCCACAACTCCCACCGCTATGACTTCGGCTAGAATGAGCCTACGTACATGGCACCTGGGCCGAAACCAAAAACCCTATCGCCATCCCAAAAAGGAACGCAATCACAGACGCGCGCGCGCGCACGTACACACACACACACATCATGGCACCGCAGCTGGAATATCATGGAAAACTGAAGTTTTTGCCGCCCGTAATCAGGTTCCGATTTGAGACAATCGAGAATGCCAAAAACGCAGTTCGCCTGTCTAGAAGGTTTCTGACCAAAAGTCATCGTTACAGACTGACGCCGGGAACATCTGCCCCAAAAAATTGGATCTGAGTCGAGAAAGTCGAAAAGTGAACAAAAGAAATATTGAGCGGGGGCATCAAGCGTAGCACACGGAAATGGTGCGCGTCCAGTCGATAAATATTACTATTTTTACATCGAAGCGTGTGGTCGTAAGCGAAAGAGAACATCTCATGCACCAATGTGGAAAGCGTTATCCGGAAAACAGAGGTGGGGGAGGATGAGACGCTGGAGCCTTGGGTGGTGCCATATCAGTCGAAGCGGGTTCAGACGGTGATGCTGCCACGTCCTTCATTTCAACGTCTTTGCAGGGCTCCGTAGTGGCAGGAGAAAGCGACGAAGACTCGACAGCGTTCTCTGACTGTGACGATGGTAGCTCAGGGATCTTGTTAGCGACAACGGCTGCCTGCGCCTTGGCTTTACGGCTCGTGTAGTCGCTAAGACTGAGCTTCTTTCGCGCAGGACTGGGAGCAACAGCATTACTGACAGAAGGCGAGAGGACAGGTGGCTGGCTCGGCGCTGATGGTGACTGAGAAGATACCGGACCCGTGGGAGGAGCAAGAGACGCAGGCGTAGCGGTGAGTGGAGCGGTTGTTATAGGTTGAGGTGAAATCTCTGGTGTGGGAAGCTCGACGTGTAAGTCGGACGACGGCCTTTGAGATGATGCGAGAGGCTTTGATTCATCGACTGAATCCTCCAATTTTGGTTCCCATGGTGGCGGCGGCGGCTGTATTTGAGGATGAGCAGCTTGCGGTTCCGGGGCTGTCTCCATCTGATGATCATGAGTATCATGAAGGGAACCCGCCTCCACTGGAATCGGTTGGTTCTCGGCGTCGGCGTCGGCGTCGGCGTCCTTCATCTCAGTGTCTTGCACCTCAGCGTCTGGTCCTGCTGAAGTGGTAGACGATTTCGAGTCTTGGACTGGGGATGAAGCAGCCTTGCTATTGGAACTCGCAGATCCTGGTGAGGGCGGAACAGATTTGCTCATAGATGCAGCGCGGCGCTTCTCCAATTCCTCTCTTCGTAACCGTTCCTCTCTTGCCCTTGTCAGTTGAGCTCGAGCTGGAGAGATAAAAGGCTTAAAGACCACTGATGGACGTTGAGACATTATCTCGTCTGTTTGCACCTCTTGATCATGGTATGGCGGGCGGGGCTTCACACGCAGGGCGGCAGGTTTCTTTGGTACTTTTCGGCTCGCGACAGGGCGACGAGTGGGAGGAGACGGTTCATGCTGGCCGATTTGTTTCTGCATGGTGTTAGCCTGTGTCACCATCGCCCTTGCCCTACACGAAAGGGTGAAAAGGGACGGAAACACTCTTACCGATGAGGAAACGCTGGGTGTATTTAGTGTTGACCCACCGCTGTTCCTCTTTTTCCGCTTGTTGCCATGATTTTGTTCCGATTCATGCTGTTCAGAGGACCTGATGAGTGCAAGCATTTTTCTGGTCTCGCGGTCTGTTGGCTCCGCATTGCCATCGGCCAAGGAGTGCGCAGTCATGGGTGTGTTGTCACGACTGGCCGGTTTGCTTCGGGATGAGCTGTATGTAGACCGGGTATCTGCATTGTCGTCGTCAAGATCCATGCGGTGTATTGCCTCGGAGCCAGCTCGACTGTTCGTCGCATGACCAGTGCTGATAGGAGAGATCTGCTGCTTCCTGCCTTTCTTCGGCTTTCTGCGGCCAGAAGTGTCCAACACCGCATACTGGCCGTCAGTGCGATGCGCCCGCTCCAACAAGCAATCGACAGCTTCTCGACCGCAAGCACAGCCTCCAAAGTTCTTGAGAGCACCAGTCGCCCATCGCGATAAGTCCTCCATTTTGTGAATGCCATTCACAGCAACATTACCATTCTCGGCTTGCTGTTGAACGCGTCGCGCAATGTCAGTGTCCAGGTCCCATTTGACAGTGAGCACTTCGCCTGCTTGAAGGTCTCGGAGGGAAATGAAGCAAAAGTGGTAGTTGCGATCAGCAATGAACGTTCGAAGTTCCACGTTGGGATCACAGCTTCGTCGTACGTATCGCATCATTGTTCCTTCTTTGCGTGTGTCGATGGCGAGAGGAAGGTATGGTGGGATGAATACGAAAGGCTCTGGGTGCCGTAGCGTATGCCAACGATTCAAAGGATCAGAAATGTATCGCTCTTTGCGCTCTAATCGGCCCCGAAGCTCACCAATGTAGTGGCCTTCTGCAACGGGGTCCTCGACCGTAAGCCACCTCCATATTGGACACAATCCAGATCCTTCAACTTTGGTGTCAGTATCCTCGTGCGAATGTTCGTCTATTCGTGGTGCGCAACTGTCCAGCTCTTGGATCGAAGCTTCGAGCCGTTGGAACACCTCTTGGGGTTTCTTTCCATCAGTGACCTGGGCTAATGTCTCTGGGTCTTCGAGCCATTCGAGCAGATCTTTCGGCATCTGAATGTCTTCGTAACGGTTTTCTGACACCTCAGTATGGGGTTCACCGCGATAGAGTTGTAAGAACTCGGAAGAAAAGTAGTCTCCACAATGACCGTTTGATTGTGGCGTTGGAGGCGACTTGACGGGACTTTGGCCGTTGACCAAGGTCGATCCAGCTCGTTTCCTTGGCGGTGCGATAGAGGAGGCATTGTTTAATGATGGGACGGAGGGAGAGGGTTTATGGGACGATTTCTGCCGTTTGGTGGGAGGTTGATCTCTGGGGCTTCCACTTTTACGGTCTTGCACAAAGTGGTCATTCTTATCGTGCGCCCAGCCGTTGATTTGTATTGTTGAGATGGATTCTTTGCCCTTCTTCTTGTGGCTCTTAGACGCTGGTTTCTTGATCTTCTTGTCATTGGCATTTCCGGGATCGCGTATCGTTCTTTGACGGTCTCTTGCAGCGCTGGCATCGAGCTTGCGAGGAAGGCAGTCGTTACATTCGTGGACCTCTGGGACCTTGTCAGTGCCGTAGTAGCAGGCAATGTGCTGCCACGAATTGCATTTTTCGCAGAGCACGGTGTTTCCATCGTCATCCTCGAAGCCGCAGATGCACTTGATGGTGTAGCTTTCTTGTGTATCCTGCACATCCTGAGTGTCGAAGCCAGCGTGGCCGTTGGCAAGGGCAGGAGAGTAGGGCGCCAGCGGCGCAACTGATGTCAGCTGCGAATCAGCATGCGGCCTGATCGAAGAGATGTCTGTCATAATACGGCGAAGGGTAGATGAAGAAACGAGGGTGTGGTGGTGTGGTTCAAACGCAGCTCAAGCTGTTCTTGACCTGGATCGCATGGCGACCAACGCAACAACAGCGAGAGCGCGCCAAGAAAAAACGACAGCTATCGAGTCCTGAGACCGACAGAGGTCGATTACGGTGAATTGAAGAGGAGATGAGCCAAGGGTGGAAGGTGTGGCTCAAGGTGTTGACGAAGTGAGTGAGTGGATCGAGTCGAACGGGTAGCGCAGCGAGGTCAAGAATTGATCGAAAGATGGCGAAACGAGACCATACGAATGTCTTATCATAACAAGGGGATCTGACGGTGAAATCGAAGGATAGATGAGGGTGCAGTCGTGACGAGACGAGGAGCGAGAGCAGGACGGGCGAAGGGGCAGAAGGGCTGGAGAGGGTCGGACGGTCGAGACTCGAGTAGAAGGCGCGATAGTAAAGGTCAGAGAAGGTGAGATTGGGGAAATGTGAATTGGAGAAGGCAGAAAAAGCGTCGTGCGGTCGGGGTGAAGGGAGTTGGCGACGAGAGGGATTGAAAAATCAGTTGAGAGGAGAGGGGGAAGGAAACGGCAGGCCAGCAGATGAAGCAGAACGGTGTTGCGGCCAAATTGCAAGAAGCCAGATGATTGGGTGGATGGAGCTGGAGGCGCGCTAGTCCGCTTTGGGCGTCTGGCGATTTCGTCTTTTCTGCCCGTCTTTGCATTTTCGCATTTGCGCACTGCTGGGGAGTCGGAGGGGTGGACCATCACAGAAGACAAGACTGGGCAGTCGAATAGCTAAGAAAGAGAGAGATAGAGAGAGATGGATCGTGTGTATGATGATTTGCATGGACCTACTAATATAATAGCGAGCAAGCCAACAGGCGTAGGCATGAGCTGGCAATAGTAATAATAATCATAAGAAAAGAAAGGACAGCGGCAGGGACAGCGAGAGGGACAACGACAGCGTCAAAGACACGAAGGCGGCGACTAGGGGGGGATGCAGAGTCATCAGAGCGAAGAGAGCAGGGAATAATGATAATAATAATAATAATAATAATAATAATAATAATAATAGTGATGATGACTTGGTTATGTTATTATGAGAGAGAGAGGATGGATGCACACAGGTGGGCGCAGCACGGAGACACTTCCCCATTCCACATAATAATTAATTACATTGCACTAATTAATCACTCTCAAGACTCAACGCAACCAAGGGCAGCTGAAAGACAGGTAATTTACGGTAATTTAAGGGCAATAAGACATGGACGGCCACAGGCAGCAGCAGGACTAATTGGTACTGAGTAGTTTAGCGTCCCGAATCGTGAATCCTGCTTTGACTTGCTTGGTGCGCCAATATCGCACAGTGCACCCCAAAGCCCCAGAGCCCCAGCTAATTAGTCGCCTAGTGGCGCCCATTCCCTACACTTTCCCCCCCTCCCTTCACCCCCTAAAATAGGCCCCCGGATAGCCCCCAATAGCCTCCCATAGTCCCCCCAAGAGGAGCCTGCCTGCGCGAAAAAGGCCCTTCTTGTCTCCAAATAGGTATAAGAAGCACCCGCCCATCAACCTCCAAGGGCTCCAAACAAGGCTGTCAACGCGCGCGCGCACGCTGGTCTGTCTTCCTGTCTATACCACCACTACGACCTCTCCTGCATGATATCGTGCTACAACTCTCTTATACACGACCACAGCATAGGTATATGCACGAGTCGACAGAGAAGCTATGATGGCGTCCGTGATCATTATTCCTGGCGGAGTGCTTGACTTGACGCTGAGTCCGCAGGTAGACCCAGCTACTATTCTGCTTACTGCCGCTGCTGCTGCTGCTGCTGCTGCCTACTTCTACTGTCTGCGGGTGCTGCCTGGTGCGTGCCTGCTGACACACCACCATTACCGCGAACGGAACAGCGTGTCATGTAGTCCCAGCTCCAGCCAATCAAGCCACCCGAATCCCCTCGGCAACACGGGCAGCCCTTCCCCAGCTTACGTGAAAACATGGGTAATTTAACATGTTAACATGGTAAACATGGTAACATATAATATGGACTGGTAATTACTGACATGCCAGCCTTCTTCTTATCCGGCTCAGCTTCCCCGCAAACATCCGTCTACTCCGTCTATCCAGTTCGTTATCATCAACCCTGCTACCGTCTTGTTTCCCTTGCTTCTTGATTCTTTCTTTCTGCCTTGCCATTGCTGTCACTCTATCACATCATCTAATCATCGCTGACATCTTCCGTCGTGCTGTTGTTGCCTTACAGCCTTACTTGTGTCTGGCCTCATCATCTGTCTGTCATGTCATTTTCCTCTCTCTCTCTTTCTCACGTCAGTAAGAGTCACAACCTACTCTTACTTTATTCTTTCCCTAGTCCTCCTCTCATCGCCTCGTCGTCTCACCCTCTTCTACTCCGCAAACACCAACACGCAGAGCTATTTCCTTGCATATACCAGGAAAACCATGCTAAAGCTCTTGTCTCAGATCGTACCAAAGGCGAGACTTTTCTTGTTCCGAAGTCGCTGTCTACTTGAGAAGACCTTGGCATAGTACTATACTATCCTATAGCAACTATTCACGCTCTCGTATACTTTATTGCTCTACCTCTCTTCGCCATGTCTGTTGTGTAAACAGACTTTAATCTGATATTGTCATGTGACGTCAGATGTCCGGCTGCGTCATACTCACTATTACATACTGCAGTGCTCGCCAGACAGTCCTCAGGGAAGCACCACGAAGCACTGAAGTCGCGCGCAAGAGCCCTTATAAGTAGAGCCACGCACGGCAGGCGCAGAAGAGGTAGACCCAAATATTACGTGTGAGGAAAGAGCGAGACGCACCCTGCATGGGATACAACAACGAAGACAAGAACACGTCCCGGCAGCCATATATGTATACGCCAGTATGCCAGACTGCAAAACAGAGACACCTCCCTACTATCACATACACTCAACCCTCAACAACACGAAACCATAGCAATACCTCTCTGCAGCATCTCAACACCACAGTCCTCGCTCCGCTCAATCCCTCCCTGAGTCCTCACCCCCTCAAAACCCCAACATGCACCACAAACCCACTCCCCTCCCCAAGTCCCCACCCCTCCACTCCACCCCAATCATCCTGCACCCTCCACACCTCGAAATCACGCATGAACCGCCCTAGCCACGCCTCAAACACCTCTGCCGATCGCAGTTGCTGTGCTACTATACACACCGTCTGTTTCTGCTCTTCTTCCTCTTCTTCGTTCTGCATATCTTCATGGGCATCCTGGCGGGCATCCCGACACCGACAAACCTCCACACAAGCCCTCACAAACGGCTCCACAAGCGCATCGTTGTACACACAATCACACGCAACTACGACGTCCACGCCCGTCTGCAGGCCTAGCACGCCGTGGACCAGCGATCCGACGTCTGTGGTTTCCCAGTCTAGTGGGACGATGTGCACGTTGCCTGTTTCGCCCTCTTCTTCGTCTTCTTCGTCTTTTTCTGCCCCCTTTCCATTTCCACCCTTACTACTACTACTGCCTCCCTTTCCCTTGCCGCTCCCCTTAGCCCCTTTCGACCTCGGTTTCCCCTTCCCCCTCCCCTTCCCCCGCCCATCCACTCGATTCGCAGAAACATTCGCAACAACATTCGCCCGCAGCAGCCGCAGCGCATACGCCTGGTCCGTCGCCACATAGCGCCCCACACGCGCCCCCAGCGTCAGCGCAAGCAAGCCCGAGATGCCCGCTCCCAGCTCCAGAACCGTCGATGTCGACGTTACGAGAGCGGCGAATAGTGGGTTGCGCGGATGGACGAGCCATGATGCGAGGAGTGGTGTGATGGACCATAGGACTTTTCGTTTCCCCTCCCCCCCCAAAAAAGGGGGGATGGATGTTAGATTGGGAACGAAAGGGTTAAAGGGGGCATGGGGAGAAAAGGGAGGGGGAGGGGGACATACCAGCACCAGTAGTGCCGCCGGGCAGATTGGACGTGAGCAGACTGGGGCTCTGCGCGATTTGGAGGTCGGTGTTGTCGATGGTGATGGTGAGGGAGGGGGCCTTTGGGTCGATGAAGCCGAGGGAGCGCGAGGGGATGGGCTGCGCGAAGAGGAGGAAGGATTCTGTTGTTTTGTTTTTTGGCTGGTTAGTGGGGTTTTGCATTTTGGATTGGTTTGTATACAGGGGGTGGTGAGGTTGGGTGGATATATGGCTAAGTGTGCCTTGGACAGTTGCGGAATTAGGTACTTACCTTCTTCGGCGTCTGCGACCGGGGCGCCTAGGATATTGCTTAAGATCGCTTTCATGGTGAGTGTAGCTATAGCGTGGTGGTTAATAATTGGCGATATTGTGTGCGTGCTGGGTAACGTAGCGCAGGTTAATTATGGCATGGAAGATGTTAGTTAGTATTATGGAATAGACGTGGGAAAAAAGAGATATAAGGCTGTTTTGGAGAGATGACTAGACTGTTTTGAGACTAGCATACTAGATGTTATCTTGTACTGTACCTTGGTGTTGAACGAATGTTGTAATAATTAGATGTTAGCCTGCTTTGTTCCTTCCTGGTTAACTCGCCACAGTACTCTGTTGCGTTGGCTTTCATCCACTGGGTATAGGTATCCTTGGGTTGCTATAGGTTGGCATGTGCTGGCTCTGCATTCAGTGCTTGCTCTGGCTGGTGTCTGATAAATTACTATCTAGTAAAGTGTTGTTTATAGGTTGCTTTCAAAGCAGTGTGCGTGATTCGACGAGCTCTCATACATATTTAGAAAGCTCTCTACATCCGTACTTGCTCTCAATCAGCGAGACACCGCTGTGACTAGCGGCTCGACTTGCTTGCAGTCTGTGACGCGCTGCCAGTCTTCTTCTTCTTCTTCCCGTGTGCCTTTGCATGCCTCCGGAAGATAGTGTTCATACACTCGTTCCCCAGCGCGCCAGCACCGACGGCCGTCATGCCGTCGTTGCTAAACGAGATGGCGCGGTTGTGTAGATATGCCTTCCTGTTCGGACAGTTGAGTTTGTAGTGACATTCAATCTTATTGTAGGTATCGCCAGTCAACAGCCCCGCTTTTGCCCTGTCTTGACGTCCAGCAAGCCCGTCCTTGAGGTCCTCCTCGATGCGCTGGAGATCCCAAAAGTAATAGTGGCTCTCCTCGTCTCCCATCGCAAGGATGGGGTGCATGTCTGCTTGATTGAAGAGGCCGAAACGGTTGTAGAAGAGGCCGCAATTGCGCAATTTGAAGAGAGCCAGGCGCTCGAAACCACGGCCCCACACCGATCGCGTGTAGTTGATAGTCGTCTTCACGAACTCGGGGTTGTCGGGCCTCACAAAAGGTGGTAGCTGCGGGTCGTCTCGGTCAGACTGAAAGTCGACTATGCGCCATAAGACGATGCAATTATCGGATCTGTCGGCCTTCTTGGCATCCTTGGGCTGATCGACTGAACATTTTGAAAGTATCAAGTCGTGGTGAAATTTGACGCTTTGGCTGTTAGAGGGTTGGCATAAGATGCTTAACTCGTACATACCAGTCAACGTAGCCTGCATGTATCTCCGTACTTTCGAACACCGGAAAATGGACGTTTTGACCACGGGCACGGTTAGGTTTTTCAGCGTCAACGGAGGGTAATTTCCACTGTTGCTTGTCAGTCTTGGTCACCTGATGAATGATGGGACTAGACCTACCATGCACACTTTTGTGTCATGTCCTCCGGAAAGAAGGAACTTGCCACTATCATGAAAATCCTTCGCCATTAATGGTGCATTGTTATGTCGTAGATCGATTGCTTACTATGGTCAGGACACCATCAGTGTGAGGGCCTCCTAGGACTACTTGAGACGGTGAGTTTCTAGCCCGCTTGTCGAGATTCCATATGTGAATGGAATGGTCTTGAGACGCCGATGCAATAATACGAGGGTCCAAAGGCGAAGTTATCAAGTCGTTGACGCTCTTAATATACAGTCAGTAGGTATGGCTGGTTGTTGATCTTCTACACTTACTCCCCCGTGGTTGCCTAGGGTCTAGTAGAGCACCAATGGTCAGCTGCAAAGGCAAATGTTTTTATAAGCTTCTGAGGCATTAACCTGAACTAAAGCTCCTGTGATAACATTATATATCCTAATATATGTTACCGTTAGCCTTGCGTAAAAACATATCGCCCAGAAAAGTTTTCTCACCTGATATCACCACCGGTTCCTGCTATGCACAGGAGTGGATCTCCGGTGTCGATATCCTTTGACCAGGTCAGGCTATTCGAGTCGAACTTGCCCTAAACGTACGGATAAGTTCATGTACAACAGAACAGAGTGCTGGGCTTGCCTCGACGTCTTTCGGATTTTCCCATTGTCTTAGCATCTCTGTACCATTATTCTCGGTGTTTATTGAGACGACAATCGTCTTTCATAAGGACATGCTTAGTATGATATTTTTGAATAGAGTTTCGCGCATGGACTTACAAGACGCCTGCCTGTCGCTGCAAATATTGGGTACGGGCCAAACGGGTAGAATTTGACGTCGTAGAAGCCTTCTTCTATCTCCTGGGATGGATGACTGCCTTTTGGCTGCGCACTAGGCGGCGGCTACACACGGTATGTTAGCAGGAGGAGAAAGTCGATGCAGACAGCACCTTGACGCACTGTTCTCTGCAAGTAAGACTCGAATTTGAAATATCCCAGAGCCGTGTCGTGCGCCGTTCCATCTATCCACTCATGTACGTTCGCCATGTTGAATGCATATAACACTGGTCAAGCTGACGCGAGCACTGAAAGCAATAATTGCTTGGATCACGGCTTCAACAGCCTAACCAACGGCCAATATGTTGAGGTTGTTGAAAGAGGTCAAGAGTATCACACAAGTGTCTGGTGGCACGACATGGTGAGGCTATTGAGCCCAAGCTCATCAAAATGACAAGATGGTAGCCATTGTTGTGTTATTATAATAATGTAGTGTTGCAATGGTGGTCAGGACGATTATCAATTGGTTGGTAGAAGTTTGCAGGGAGGCTCGAGGACAAGGGCGGGCGGGGCAGCTTCAAGTTTTGGTGCCCGAACTTAGTGGAGTGAGAGCTGCCGGCTGTGAGACAATTTCATGCAACAACTTTATACTTATTTAATGATTTATTATATTGCTTCGGCCTAGCAATTTACTTCAGATTGGCCATGAACATATGCTTTTTCAGAGACACGTTTGAGACAACAGAAGAGAAGTCGGTCAAACCTTTATTGTACGTCAGGATATGCTACATGCCACAGTATATGCTATATATGCACCAGACTCGTGACTAGAAGAGGAATCACACACCATGAACCATGTACATACAGGACCCGCCGAGGCGCATAAAGTCGAGCAGTACATACACATAGCTGGGCTATAATTACCTGGACTCGGATAGTGCCATTTTGAAGGAGCGAAATGCCCGGCTCTGGGTGCATAAGGGCGATGGCTTGCAGGAGACTAACAGAGTACTAGACGGCCACTTGCCACTTCATACCTCAAATTCCGTACGTTCTGGTCATGCGAAAGGGTATTTAGACGCGACGGTCTCGAAAAATCTGGATCAAGCAGAGGGATGCAAGCTCAAGCTGAGGAGCGAGTGTGGACCAGGGGAAAATGATGGGCATGAGGCGGTTGGGATCGAAGACAAACTTGACAAAGACACACTGACTGGCGTGTGTTTGGCGACGACAGATGTACAGTGAATACCGACCGTTAATACTTGGAAGCGTGAGCAACAGTGTCTCGTCGACCCTTACACCGTTCTCAGCTTTCTGCTCGCACGCTTTGCTCAGTTGAGATGGAGTCGCAGGTGTGGTGTCACTGGGCGAGCCCGATCTCTTGCTTTGCTTTGCTTAAGCGTGGAGAATTGGTCGCATTCGTGTCAAGCCAAGGGTTTTGACTATCATCATATATCATCAGGCTGGTCTCGTGTTCTACAGAATTACGACAGCTGCATGTATCCGAACGAGGCCGTCGAGAGTGAATCTCTGCAGAGAGATATGTAGCAACGGAAGATGATCAATGATTAACATTCATGCTAATAGACTGCCGTTGTCGCTCACTCTTAATATTACGTGCGCTGCCCACCGGCTCCACTCTACTATATTACTACTCACTGCTTACTACTTCCTACACAGTACTCACTACGTACTACTCACTAATTACTCACTGGCAGTCAGTCAGTCAGTCAGGGTCCATCCCAAGGCAGGCGCGGCCAAGGGTCCACGTCCAGTTCTTTCCACTATTACCACAGAACCGCCCTCTTCTCTCACACTCAACCCTCAACCTCTCTCCTCTCTCTCTTCTTCTCCCCGACTCTCTCTTCTTCATAACACACTCTTCCGTCAGTCCACAACCTCTCTGCCTCGTCAACGTCTTCTGCTTGTTCCCCGCCGAACGTCATACTGTAGCGTCCTGCTGTGCTACTTCGTATAGCTGCACCACTACCCCCCTCCACCGGCTTTCCAACTTTCTCACCCACGAACCCATCCATTCAGCCAATGACCACCTGAGGACGTACCGCACAGGCCCTTCTTCCAGCGCTCACGCCTCCCCTCGCCCAATTGCTCACTGGTTCTGTACATAGTACTGTGTGCTGATCACCGATCTTCGCTTCAACTATTTGAATAATTACCTTCGCTCCGCTGCATCCCACCGCTCTTGCGCTCTTCAGAAAGTCTTGCGAGTATTAGCTCGCCCTTTCTCCGTTCGCGCAATGGAGACGACTTTCATCACCATTCATGGTGAGTGCGGAGTTCGCATGCTCGACGAGGACTACTCCACCTCTCCACGTGATGACATGCTGACTTCCTTCGTTAGACCTGACCAAAGATGCTCGAATCCTCTATTCCTCCGACTCCATAGTCGATATCCTCGGCCATACCCCTGACGAGGTTGTGGGCAAGTCGACATGGTCCTTTTTCAGACCTGACCAAGTTCCTCTGGCTCAGCAAATACACACGCGGGGTGTCAAATTGGACAAGGCCGCTGTCTTGTCCTATTGCGATATCCTCAACCGCGATGGTGCCTGGGTAAATTGCGAGTGTTGCTTTACTATTGTCTACAACGTCATGGTGTGTTGTACAAGTGTCTATCGCCCTGGCATGGCAAGTCAAAGTGCGTTTGCGCCGGTGCGTCTTGGAGGCAGACACTGACTTACTTCTACCAGAACGTGCTGTAGAGGCACCTCTCGTCCGAAAGCTGTTTTCTTCCTCGCCAGATGACCCACGCTACCACATGCTTACTCATTTGTCTCATAAGTTCAAGCACGACATGGAAGCCCAGGATCCGCAGGAGAAACACGAACCACGCGCCGCTCTCTTTCTCAACCGATTCACTCGCACCCTGACGGTCATGTACGCAACTACTGGGATAGAGCACATTGTCGGCATTCCCAGCGAGCAGATGAAGGGTCGCAGCTTTTACTACTGCATTCAGGAGAGCTGCCTCGAGGACGCCGTTCGCTGTCTTGAATCCGCAAAAGGCAATGACTCAATCGCATATCTTAGATTTTGGTTTCGTGACCCTCGACAGGATGATCCGCCAGAACCAGATACAAGTGGATCAGAGGCAGACACTGACGAGGTCATGACAGACCTGTCAGCATCCGATGCAGAGACAGATAGAGACACACCGATTCCTAACACACCCTTGGGCCAAGGTCAAACGAGCTCCCGGGATGCTTCAAGGAGTAATGGTACTGGACGCAGTGGAAGCGAGAGCACCACCAGTCGTGTTCATGCCAATCAATTCGGCTTGGAAGCCTCTCCACGCGTAAACAGCCCCGATACAAACGCATCATCCCCAGCAAATACCCAATTCCCACCCATCGAGCTCGAGGCAGTTGTATCGTGTACCTCCGACGGCCTTGTCGTCTGCCTCCGCAAAGCTCGGCCCATCCTACCTCCTTCCGCCCAGCCTCAAGTCCGCAATCCCGCGAACACCCCCGGCATCTTCGCCGCCCCGTGGGCTGCCGAACCAATCTTCGTGCCTGGCCTGCAACCTCAGCCAGCATATCACTACGGTGCTGCCGCTCCGGACGGCCAGCTGTACCTGGGTCAAGCCGCCGCTCACGCCCACGGCGGTCCGGCGCAGCGAGCGCTGATGAACAGCATCCGCGAGCAAGCCGTGTTTGCATGGGCACTGACAGGCATAAATGGCTCTCTCGAACAGTATTCGCGCGGCACACCTAGGGGCGAGTCGCAGCCACCTGACGGCTTCCGAATCTGGGCACACGAGAAATCTGGAAGTGGTGACGGAGGTCTTCCAGACTTCTCATCGCCAGACGGAGGCAGTGGGTATGGTAGCGGAGGCAATGGAAACGGCAATGGCTATGCAAGCGGCGGAAATGGACATGGAATAGCCCAAGCCTGACGAGAGGTAGGAAAAGGAAGGACAACAAGCAAAGTCGCCCACAACAAGTGTAGGCGCAAGTGTCACCGCTCACGAATGACACCACCCAGCACATCGAACAGTTTCGCATCGTGCTAAGAAGATAACGGCCGTCACAGAAAGGGGGATCTACTCGGACACTGGCCCATGAGTTTTGAGAGAGAGAGAGAGAGAGAGGTGGCGGATGAGCGCACGATTTGAACCTAGGCATGGCGCATACCCATGGCCACGAAAACATGACGCACGAAGCAACAAGATTTGATTTCATGGCCTTTCCAATTGATATGAAGCAACACAGGAGATGGCTTTTTCGGCACTCCACTCTTCAATCGCTTTATCTGACTTCCAACTGTGTGATCGTCTTTTGAATAGCATACCGATAAACAGCAATCATGGTTGCGACTTCTTCGCTGTGAAGGTTGGGTTGGTACTTCTCACTTTGACTGTGCTATGCGAGACTAGCCTCGATGCTTGTCTTGACTCGTTCTGTGTCTCACACGGCTCGGGACTGCTCAATGAAGTAGCTGAATCTCCCCTGTGGACTCTGCCAAGGAGAAACATCTTGTAGTACCGAGACATCATTGCAACACCATCGTGTCCGCGTGTCCGTCTGCACTATACCCCAGCCCATAACCCAATCTATCACTCGTCACAAGAATCATTTTGGGCCACTGACGCACGGCACAGTCTGTTATCCTTGTAATTTTTCTCTCTTTCCTGGTACCACACTCTAATCTTCCTGCTTCTACAAATCCCGTTCCGTACACCTCACTCGACTCATGCCTTCCCCTTCCCTTTATCCACCGCAGTCTTCGCCCTCTCCTTTTCCTCCAATTTTCTCCGTGCTTCTAATATCATCTCTTCGCGCCGCCTTTGCAACTGCAGCGCCCGTTCTGTCTTGTTGGTCGACCAGCTAGGCTTGCTCGGCGTTGAGGCCGGCGTCGATGTGTCCGAGCCAGAGTCGACCAACGGAGACGAGCCTGTCGGGGTGATTTTCGACGAGAGATTGTAGCGCGTTATGAGGTCGGGATGAGCTGGAGTTTTCGCATTTGCGCGAGCACCAGCGCCGCCGGACGGCGTTGCTTGCGGCGGGAGAGGAGGTTGGAAGGATGGCGGCGGCTGCGAAGGGGGGAAAATATACTGTTAGCATAGCTCTGTATAGTGTGCTGCACCAGTAACGAAACGCCAATGCACTCCTTTTGGGGCCAAATTCAGGAAACAGGTGCAAAACTCACCACATCCAGCCCACGGCTCAGAATCCGCTCTGTCGTCGCGGCCACGTTGCCGCCGTTGCGCTGCATGTCCCATATGATGGCGCGTCGGTCTGCCTGCGGGAACATCTGTGCCACTTGGTCGACGCGTGCGTAGTCGATGCGTGGTGTGCGTGAGGATGACCGGGACGACGACGCTGAAGACGGGGGCCCGGAGAGATACCAGCGCACGGCGAGGAAGCCGAGCACGAGGACGAGGAGGAGTTGGGGGATGTTGAGGGTTGTTGCGGGGATCTCGCCGTTGCTCATCGTGGGCGATTGCCGGGGCGGAGGGAGGAGGTGAGTGGTATTGCTGCTGTTGTTGTTGTTGAAAGCAAAGAGTAGATTTTGGGCCGGGATGCTGCGTTACGTGTGTTTCGACGAGACGGCGAGGGGTTGAGATGTGGGATATGGAGTGGGAGAGGCGTGATGCAGGCGGGTGGGAAGAGGTGGTGAGAGAAGGGGAGGGATGATATGATGCTGGAAGACACGCAATGCTGGAGGCGGTATCAATGTGCGGTGCGTCAAGAGTGAGCGTGGTCGCCGTTACAGCGTGTAGAGTGGTGAATGGAGTGTGTAGGTCGTGGGTGTGTCGTGGGAGCTTTTGAGTAGGATGGATGCGAACGTGTTCCATCGTGCCCTCCACCCGCCAGCGTCACTTCCCGAATCGGTCTCGGCTCCGGTTCCGCGCCGCAAGCCGAGCGCAGTGCTTTGCCGGGCACGCTAACAATAAGCCGTGTATGATCTGCTTTCAGTCCGCGACTCGCGACGCCTGTGGTCCCTTTTCTGCTTCAATTGCACGCTTCAGTGTTTATTCACTCATTCACTCATTCACCCGTCATTCGTACGGCGTAAACATGCTTTGACAGCACCTCTCATTTACTACAAACACACAAACACACTCCTTCCCACCAATTCATAGTCCCTTCGCCACTCGCGATTCCCCGCATCCGCGCGATGGCATCTCCACAACCTCCCCAACAGGCACACACCATACCCTCATACCCTCAAGCCTCACAGCTCGACTGGGAGCTCCCAGCCAACGGCGAAAAGACCACCCGGAGCGGGCCCCATGCATTCATCGGCATCATCAGCACAAAGCTCTCAACCGCGCTCCCTGTCCGGCGCAGGCGTTCAGGAGGAGGCAGCGCATACTGCGGCCTCGGCAAGAAGAAATTCATCATCATCGCCAGCATCGCCGCCGTCTGCCTTCTCGCCCTTATAATCGGGCTCGCGGCCGGCTTGACAGCAGGCAAGAAGTCCGTTCCCAGTCCCCCTCCTCCCCCATACAAACACTCCAATTCCACACAGCAGCCCCACCCCCAACTAACCGTCAAGCACACAGGAACAAAGCGCAAAACCTCCCTCTACCCAGCAATAAATCCCCGCAGACCGGCGACTTCACATACTACGACCCCGGACTCGGCGCGTGCGGCGTCGTATCCACGTCCGAAGACCACATCGTGTCCGTGTCGCATTTTGTCTTTGACGCCGCGAGCACCGGCTCAAATCCGAATGCGAATCCGCTGTGCGGCAAGAAGATTCGTGCTACGCGCTATCATGAGGGTGTGGGTGCGCAGCGTAGTGTTGATTTGACGGTTGTGGATCGCTGTGTTGGGTGTGCGCCGACGGATATTGATACGACGACTGGTGTGTTTGATATGTTGGCGAGGAGGGATGATGGGAGGGTGAAGGTGACGTGGGCGTGGTTGGACTAGAAGGGGGAGAAAGAGGGTGTGTGTATGTGAGGCCGTATGGCTTGGGATGCGTGGACTAGGGACTTGGTGGTGTATGTCTCTCTAGTCGTGTGATGGTGTGTGTGGTCGGAGTTGATTGAGGCATGCACAGCCAGCGCAGGATACCGCTGCGTATGAACATCCCACCGGTGGCATGCGTGGCTTGCGCTGTCTCTCACGCTTCCGCCTGCTCAAGGTGGGATATGTCACACTATACACCGCGACGCGAAGATGGGTCAATCCCACCATGGCTACCACAGACCTCACGTCAACACTGGACACAAGGCAGGAGAACGCGGTATGGAATGGGCGGAAATGTTGTTGTGCTGTATGATAGTTTGATACCCCCTTTTTTCTCTCTCTCGCTACTTTCGAAATTTCAGTTTGACATTCGAAATATAGCTCCATCGCGGCAGATAAGCTAATGATCAATACAAGAGACCAAATCCAAGACACCACAGCGCAATCCAAAACAACATAACACAACATACGACACCATCCACCCTCAATCCCCAACCCACATGAAACCAAACCAGTGCCCAATGCCCAATGCCCAATGCCCAATCCCCGAGACTCCAAATCCCAACCTCAAAACACCAAACCATCAAACTTACAAATCAAAACACGAGCCAAACCCCAAAAAAACAACAAAACCCGCATAGTAATCAAGGCAACCAAGACACGCTATAGCACGCCCTATATAGCACACAAACACCAAACACCCCCTCCAGGTAACATCCTCCATTCGCCGCCCCACTCCACTCGTCTGCCTTGCCTTGCCCTGCCTTGCCTTGCCTTGCCCTTCCCTTGCCCTTCCACTTTCATCCACTTCTACCCACTTCCCGCCCTTCCCCCCAAGCGAGAGGAAAGGTCCATCAGGCAGCCAAAAGACGGGGGCTGCGGGTTGCGGGTTGCGGGTTGCGGGTTGCGGGTACAGGCTACGGGCTACGGCTAGGCACGCGAGTTATGGAGTCAAGGCTAGGAAGTGATCTGACGTCGTACGTAGACCCAAGTCCCAGGGAAAGTTCTTGGGTGCCAGACATTAGGTAAGGTAAGGCTGTCGCTGCTGGTGAGGTGATTTAGGTGTACGGCCCTATTTTGTAAGACACTGAAAGTGCACACAGTTGTGCGTTGTGAGGCTTGTGCACGAGGTTAGGTTTATTTAGCCTGGTGGTGGTGGTGGTTGGATGCAGTAGGATTTGGGCCACTTTGTCACGAGGTGGGCGACCGGGAGTCTTGAGGGGGATCTGTTGAGTCACCGGTCCGGGTGAAACATGGGACGTGGTCGCTGTGAGTATGCACTGGAATGGCTCGCTGGTGTGAATGGGTGTATTACATGTCTAGCATTATCGTTATGCCTGGCGACAGGAATTACAGTATAGGTAGAAAGAACAAGTGGGGTATACTGCATATATACACGGGCAGCGAAGATGTAGCGGGCTTCCAATGCGAAACGTTCATGCCAATAATGACCAACCAAAGTCTAAAAGGGCACAAGAGGCGGAAATGTGATAGTATAAGACGTGAAAAATGTGGCGGTGCATATAAGAGATAAATCGTGCTCAATTCGCGACCAGCGCGGAGCGTGCAATACTAGACCGTAGCGCCGGGCCTAGCCGCAACCATTCGTAATATCCGTGCCTGTGGTCTGTGATAGCGTAAATCGTGTTGAGTATAGCGATACCATGCATCGTCATTGGCCTAGATTATATTAGGTTGTAGAGGTACCAGATACTGACGCAGTATCCAGCGTAGATCGAGAGTGTTTGCTCCGCATATGTCGTTTGTAATTATCTTTCCTTGTGAACCCGTTGGCATTCGACTTACACCCTGCAACAGGACAGAAGAAGGTCCTCTCTGAGGCAGTATGTGTGCTCTGGTGTCTTTTGAGATCCTTCGGGTATAGGAAGCCCTTGTCGCAATCAGGACATTTGATCGGTCTGCGGTGGTTGTCGAGATGTATCTTCTTATGCCGACTTGACACACTTAGTCGTATGTTCTCTGGACAAAGCATTATTGAGACTTACTTCAAGTCGCACTCGCGATCAAAGGTCGACCTGCATATATCACAGCTATAACCATTCTGTTCTCGTGGTCTTCTCGATGACTTTGCCGACTGCGGACTAAGTCGATCCCCCGCATTGTATGTTGATGATAATATCCCGTCGATTGATGCTTCAGGGTACTCCGTGCTTAGGTTGTTGTTGTTGAAGGCTTCTGTTTGAGGGATTATCAAACGAGGCCTGGGAGGGTCTACGAACTGATTGTTTTGGAGAGCCGTCTCGTTTGAGTTGTCAAGATAAGACGATGGCCACGCTGGGTGGTTGAGAAGTTCGGTGGGGTCGAGGAGATCTGACTAGAGATAGTGACAGGTTAGACAAGTGTGCAACATTAGCGATTCCACCTACCCAGCGGAATGTATTGGGTGTATAGTTGCATCTGCAGAACTCGTACGCGAAGCCGCAGAAATGGCACACTGCTCCAGCCAGCAGGCCCTCAGGGTCTTCATAGAAGCTCCCAGTCTCGGCATTGGGCAGTTGTGAGAGATCACCAGTGTCATGAGGACTGGCGGAAGCCATTTGTGCAAGTAGAAGGATTGTTATCTGGAAGAGTATGCTTCTCTGCATGCTGAGTGTGGCAGCCTAGAGTAATAGTGCCAGTATAAAGAGCTGGGAGGAAGTGTGGTGAAGATTGGGTTCATGAAAAAGGCAATCGAGGAGGTAGGTAGGGGTCTGTAAGCTTAGTTATATCGAATGTAATGAAGAAACCGTAAGTTGAAAAAGACGATTCGAATGCCTTGTCTATGTAGGCGGCCTCTGCCTAAGGCTTCGAGTGTAAAGGGCTGTGACGGCATACGAGGGGGCTATGCAGCGTTGAACAAGGACTCTCTGCTATGGCGGTCTTCGCAGAACCGCCTGCCATCCGGACGGAATCATAATTGTATCTTCGTTTACATTGTTGATGAGGATGGGAGCTGAGAGAGCAAATTCAAGACGAAAAGGTCGTCAACAAAGCTTGGTGTCATTGCTTGGATGGAGTTGACGGGTGGATCCTGGCGATCCGAAGATCAATTCTCTCCCAATCCGGAAATAACGTGACGACGCGTCTTGGGCGAACGCGACAAGACTCACTCCTCAACACCCAGTCGCCCTACTTTTACTCTTACTGACAGTATCGGATACGAGTGTGTCGCCCTAAAGAAGCCTGATGTAGCAAGCATTGTTTCAACTGATCTTGCACGTCATACCATACATCAACAAAACGAACGAGCTGCAGGTTCGACCAGAAATGACGAAGACAAACACGCGTCGATATCAGTCGAACATCAGACGGATCGTTGAAGAGAGACATGGCTCATGTAAAGAGGCTGGGAGAGAACAGAGCGTTCTACCTACAGTTCGTACACTGGACGTACCTGTTCGGCTTTAAGGCATTGCGCGGTGCTTCGTGTCTGGATGAGTCAAGTCGTCGTGCCTTTTGCCATGACCTCCAATAACGCACCCAGGGCGTTACTAGCAGACTGTTTGGTGCAAGTTGATGTGAGCTATCATGTATAGGCCCGGAGAGTACAAGGACAAGTTGTACAAATTGGCCCAGTGCGACACGCTGTATCAGGCCCAAAGCTTTGATGAGCCAGGTGGTTCTCCGGCTTCTCTTCCGACTCACCAGATGGAGTGATCATCTACAAATTGCCACGAGTTGCGACGACCCTCCCCTCACGCTTATGCACTCCCTTGAGAAGCTAGAGAGGATGGGCGATCTGTCTGTCGATGGACAATGGTTCAAGATGCAGCCAATACATGAATTGCACGGGTAAAAGAGTGGATGTGGTGATGGGCAGCACGCTGCACAAGCCATTGAAGTGCTAGCGTCCAAGTATCATTGGGACATTGCCATCGCTGCTAGAGACTGCGACGCTGTGAATGGTGATACAGCACAAGAGAGAAAGCTGACACGTTGACAGTGCAGGATTGGGGGAATTGACTGCTCGAAGGGAGATCCCAGGGTCCTGCAGATTCACTCAGATCTCGTGTTGGGCAAACTGGACCGGGGACCCCAGTCGTAGCCAGGAGAGTAATATTGAAGATGGATAGTGCCCTCTAATTACTTCTGGATTATTCATAGAAGCTTCAATGTTCCAATAGAGATCCTCGAGACGGAGTGAAGAATCACTTGCCACGCTGTCATGCATCAATGAAAACAAGTTACACGCCGTCCTAAGCAATCACTGATTGAAAAGGTTCCAGAGATGCCCCAAATGCACACACACATAAGTTGCTTTTCTGTGTTCAGCCAGCCATAGATCTGGCGGTATTGTTGCTTTTCGCCTCGCTGCTGGACGGCTTGATCCTATCTGCGAGCCATCTGCGGTGCCCACAACTCTTTCAAGTATGGAACGGCAGCCCTGGCATAATGGCCGGTTCCCCGCTTTCACGTTGGCAAAAAATGGCGACTTTATCGGGTCTACGGCCATCCATTCTTCCTTGAGAAGTCGAGTTCCATGGTACAGTACAGACAAGACACCACCACCACCACCATCCATCTACTTGGCTTCATTAATTCGCCATAATCAATCACAATCCCTTCCATTACTCCCTTCCACTCTTCCTTGACTTTTGCCGACTTTACCCTTGGACCGCGGGTGGATAGTCTTCTTCCCCACAACGCACAGACGGTGATTCGCAACCTCGTGCACCTGCAGGATCTTGCTTGTCGGTAATGAGAAAGAATCCCTGGCCTGGCCTGGTCCATCTATGCACATGCACCAGCACTTTTCCAGCATCGTGAGTTGTAGTCCAGCGAACCAGACTCTGTTGAGGCATAGCTGCTGGACACTTGCTGCAGCTCGTGACAGCTTCCTCCCGATCCCATAACCATCCCGAACGCCCGCTACATAGAAACTAGGTAGGGCCCCCTCATGAACCGCTTCGACCAGAATTCAACGCCTTAATACGCCTTCTTCTCGCAATCCATTCCACGGTTCGCGCTGTTGGCTATACACTACTCTGCTCTACACGCAAAACCTTACGGCTTCCTGAATATCACATGGCCACCTTCGACCGAATTATCGCTCAAATCTCCACGCTTTCGGCACCGTCAATCGTTTGTTTTAATAGCTTCCGTTCACGTCACCTGTCTGTCTAGGCCAGCCATATCGTTCTCTGATTTATTGCAATGGGTTCTCCAAATACGCCTTCCGCTGAACACAACATGCCAACAACTGTCCACCCTCCGTCTCCTCCAAACCCTTCCGCCGACCATGGCGTCATCCCTCACATGGCCTCTCCAGACGCAAACGCTCCTTCGCCTCCCGCTGGAGACTGGGATCCTTCGGAAGTGGCTCCAGAAACAGCCATGAAGCTTCTGTGTCGTGCAGTCACATCCCTTGCTTTCGCTACCGGAGACGTTCCACCAACACCTCCGGTCAGTAGGCCTTCAACCCCTCGAAGATCATTAGGCAACAACACACGACCCAGAACTCCCTCAAGACCAGCGACACCCGTATCCTCCGCCGACCTGACCAGCTTGGCCCATAAACATATACAACTTGGTAGCCCAGAGGCATGTGAACAAGAGCCAGCGACCGTTGTAGTTGGGCACGACACAGAGGATGTGCAGCTCCAGCGCATTTCAATAGCAAGGAAGTTCTTCTCGAAGAGGCCTCCGGCCATAAGCCTCGAAGATTATCTACTGCGCTTACAACGCTACTGCCCGATGTCGACTGCAGTCTACCTCGCCGCGTGCGCGTATATCTACAAATTGGCTGTGGAGGATAAGATTGTTCCCGTCACTGGAAGAACAATACACAGACTGGTACTTGCGGCATTAAGAGTTGCGATGAAGGCGCTCGAAGATCTCAAATACCCACATTCGCGATATGCTGGTGTCGGAGGAGTGTCAGAGCGGGAGCTTCAGCATCTGGAGATCAGTTTATGCTACCTCACGGACTTTGACTTGCAATTGTCGCAAGAGACCATGGTACGGAAGACGACCATGCTTCAGCAAACGGCAGCTCAGCTATCCGCGGCTCGATCAAAACTCCCCCTCTCTTTCCAGCTGGACCCAAACCTCCCGCTACGTGTGAAGCGCGCAGCAGTGCAGGTGTAGGTGCTAATTTCGGAGTTTAATGTGTTATGAAATATTGGATGCTTACACGTCGATGGCAAGGCGTTCACGGAGGCAAAGATTCCCCATCCCCCCCTGGAGCGCAAAAGCATCCGACTCCACGCGATACCCGTTTCATGTAATAATATCATCATCAAAATAGCTCCACGGCAGGGCTGTACGTATATAGTACAATGAAGCCGCAGAGGCGTGTTCGAATCTGCTACTCATGAGGTGTTGCAGGCCATGATAATGTTTTGTAATTGAAAAGAAAAAAGTCTCAAATGTTGCACTTTTTAGTGATGGACGAGGGGGTAACTGTAACGCTAAATGGATGCGGATAGCGCGGGCAATGTCAAACGGCTTCGGGCGTCCTGCCACCTGCCACCAGTTCCGAAGAGCCCTGATTAGCCCGATTCTTCGACAGCCAAGAGCAGACCACCACTCTCCGATAACCTCGTCATCTTATTCGGACTCTTCAAGTTTCTCAGCCAACGCAACAGCCTCATAATCCTTAGTGCCTTTACCACCCCAATTCGTATACCGCCGTCCACAGTCGATTCTCCAACGCCCAGTCTGAACACGATGCAAAGTCACTGCCTCGCCCTCGTGGCGTTGCTGCTGGCACCATTTGTTACCGCCGATGTCGAATTTACAAAACCTGCAGCAGGTGCCACAATCAACGGAGGCGGCGCTATTGAAGTAGCTTGGAAAGACTCGGGATCTTCACCATCACTGTCTGATTTGACTGGTTATGTCATAGAACTATGCGCTGGTAGCAACCAAGAATTCGTGAGTGGTGTTTGAGGCACCGTTCAAAGAGGACTCACTGAACTCAATATTAGTCCGTCCTTGCTCCGGTCGTCGAAAATGGTATATTCACAACTGGAAACGCTGCTCAAGGCGTCACAATGGCCACTGTTGGGGCCAGTATTAAGAATGCATAGTAGGTCGAAACAGCTGTGCGAGCATGGAACGAGCAGTCACTAACCCGCTCTAAGTTTCTTGAAGATCACATCCACCGGTAAAGCTGGCACAGTCATAAATTACTCGTCACGATTTTCTTTATCCAATATGAAAGGCTCGTTTCCCACAGCCATCGACGCTGCCGCCAAATCAGTAGGTAGCAGCACAGACGGCCCTCCAACCTCAAATCAGGCCGGAGCGCCCGTCGTGGAGCCTGGAGCTGAACAATTCGATGTCCCTTTTGGTCAACAGACTGGCAATGTCAGATTTGCCCCCATGATGAAGGTGCCACCAACAAAGATCACCAAGAAAGATAAGAGCCCATTGTATCCTACCAGCAGCTACAGTGTTGCAAAAACATTCCTTCCTATCCCAAGTATTGCCACAACAATCACTCAGTCCCAGACTTTTAGTGTTGCGAGCAGAGAGAACACGGTGAGTACATGCCATACTATACCAGCCCAACATGTCACTAACCTTCTCGAAGGCTGCGCCTGCTGCCATGCCTACTGATGACATGGCTAAATATCTCGCCCGATGGAAAGATTAGAGTCACTCAAGGCTCGCGATATTTGTCTTGTAAAATTACCACGCGGCATGTCTTCTGTGTTTTTGCGCAACACCAATAGATTCCGACCAGAGGAGAAATTAATAGGGAGCTTTGGCGTTAAATGATTGTCGGATATATACGACAAGCGGTTCGAGGGAAAGGCATTGTGGGCAGTCCTCTGTATGAGATGAGGGACAGCATAGAGGAGGGTATATGATGAATAACACTTCGGTGTCCGATGATTCGTAGAGTGCCTCGTGACACGTATGTGCCTGGTCTAATCATCAAGACTCAGAATTCATCATTCGAACCATGCACAACTATTAGACAATGTGAAATGCAATATACACAATTCAACCATGTCTTGTCACGGTTACACGGGGCGTCAGAAACATGCTTACTACGGCACCTACCCACCTCAAGTCATTTCCAAGTTCCAATCCAATCCAGCCAGACCAGTGGACCGACGCTAGCCGCTCTCACAACGTCCCACCATACCGACGAGGGTATCACTAGATATTGATGTTTATTGCTCGACTCTTACGGCGTATCAATCTTAGAAATACCCCAACCGGAATCACCAAACGGTATATGACCAAAATGGCTATTAATGAGTCTATTTTGAAGGGCAAATACCCCGCCAAAGCTCATGCCCAGAAGGTCGCGACGTATATCAAGAGCAAGGGAGGGGAGTCTAATGGTGTTATCTACCTGGAAGCACAGAGGACGAGGATGAATGAGGTGCGTGCCGTCCTGTATTCAATGCCTCGAAGTATAGGCGCTTTAAAGCCGTGCTGTGGATGTCTTCTGGGAGATATTGATGAACGGACGAATGCCACTGACTTGGGAGTGTAGGACAATGATCAAGCAGCACCCTTCCGGTGAGTATGTTCAGATAAAGATGGATACTTTCTGATACTCGAATTTCGTAGTCAACGTCGTTACTTCTTCTACCTTACAGGATGTGACCTACCTGATTGCCATCTCACATATGACATGGCAACAGACAAGTCGACGCTGTTTATTCCCCCGGTTGATCCAGACGAGGTGACTTGGTCAGGACTTCCACTGAGCCCTGAGCAGGCATTGGAAAAGTATGTAATGAGCTGGCGACACCCATGATTTCGATCTGAACCCATCACTCACATCCTTAGATACGATGTCGACGAATGCCTCACTACCCAACAGGTCATGGAGAAGCTCGCATCTCTCAAAGGCACCGCTTACGCCATCGAAAACCAGGTCTCCGACAATGTCTCATTCATATCCTCCTCAAGCAGCAACTTCACAGACCTCAAGTCTGCCATCGAGGAATGTCGCGTGACCAAAGACGCCTACGAGATCGCCCTCATGCGCCACGCCAACGAGGTCTCCACAGCCGCTCACACAGGAGTCTTCCGCGCCGCCAAAACTGCCAAAAACGAGCAAGAACTCGAGGCCCTCTTCATCGCCTCCTGCATCTCCCGCGGCTGCAAGAAGCTCGCATACGAGCCCATCGTCGCCGCCGGCACCGCCGCCGCAACCCTCCACTACATCGCAAACGACCAGCCCCTCGACGGCAAGCTCAACATCCTCCTCGACGCCGGCGCAGAAAAGGACACCTACGCCTCCGACATCACCCGCACCTTCCCCATCAACGGCAAATTCACCCCCGAGAGCCGCAACATCTACGCCATCGTGCTCAAGATGCAAAAGGACAGCATCGCCCTGATCAAGGCCGGCATGCGCTGGGACGACGTGCACTCCAACGCCCACAGAGTCCTCATCCAAGGCCTCCTCGACATCGGCATCCTGCGCAACGGCTCCGTCGACGACATCTTCGCGGCCCGCACCTCTACGGCCTTCATGCCGCATGGCCTCGGCCACTACCTCGGCATGGACACGCACGACACCGGCGGCCATCCAGACTACGCCGACAAAGACCCCATGTTCAGATATCTGCGCATCCGGGGCACCGTGCCCGCGGGCGCCGTCGTGACGGTCGAGCCCGGCTGCTATTTCTTCAGGTATATCGTCGAGCCGTATGTCAGGGACCCGGTGCACGGCAAGTATATCGACGCGGCGGTGCTGGACAGGTACTGGGATGTTGGCGGTGTAAGGATCGAGGATGACGTGCTTGTCACGGAGAGCGGGCATGATAATCTCACGTCGACGCCAAAGGAGATTGAGGAGATTGAGAGGATTATTCAGGATGCGTAGAGGCTGGTGCTGCGGTTTTGGTGAGGTCGTGGGAGGGGGGTTCTGGGGATGAGTTGTTCATGGATGAGTCTTGTAGCAGTACTTCATTTCAGTAGTCTTGGAGCTGAATACCACAAATTGCACAACCATGAAGGGTCGATCGCAACGTTTCGGAAACCTCCATGAATAAATACAACCATCTAGGGCTTATCATCCAGTTCACCGTCCGAGACTTCGGTTAGCTTCAATCTCTACATGTGTATGGAAAGATTATGTTAGCCTGTTTCATGCAAGAGTCGAGGAGCTGACTATGCGCTATAATTGTAGTAGATGCTGCTTCTTAGATTTTAAAGAGTATACTAATGCTACAAATAGTCGAGACACACTGATCCAAAAACCAACACAAAACCGCGATATACAGACGCGAAGTGGTTTTTACAATCCTGACATAGAATATTGGGCCCGAAAGACACATCAGTACCGCGGATCACGCATCCGAGCTGTTCTGCTCGGCGCGTCCCGAGACATCTCTCATGTCCCACCGTCTTTTCTTTCCCCCTCGGGGCTGCCCACGGGCTCAACTTATCTACATCGCCAAGCCATTCCTCGCTCTCTTCCGGCTGCTCCCCGGCTGCACAGTCGGCTCCCTCCTCTCCTTCTGATCGAGCACCAGGTTCAGCACATCAAAGCCAAACTGCGGATACTCGAGACACATCTGCCTGAACTCGACCTCGGCCTCATGACGCAGCACATGCGAGCGCGTAGCCCAGAACGCCGCGACGGGCTTGCGCAGCGTGTGGTCGTCAGCGCTCGTCTCCTTGTACACGAATTTGGCGTATGCGATCTCGCCCTTGGCGGTGCTGCTGGTGCGGTGGATCTTGCTGTGCGCGAGGCTCTTGAGGGCCGGCAGGCCGAATTTGTCGGCGAGGGTGTAGACTTTTGCGTGGCGGAGGAGGGAGGCGCCCGTGTCGTCTGGGCTGGGGATGGAGGGGTCGTTTTCGAGGGCCATGTCTTTGCCTCCGCCGAGGCGCTTGGGGAAGTATTCGCCGTGGTAGAGGTATTCGAGGAGGGAGCCTGTGGCCTCGAGGTCTTCGTCGGGAAGCTCGATCAGGCGCGGGACATCATTCGCGAAGGATGCGCAGCGGCCGGCGAAGAAGGGGGATTGGGTGAGGAGGGCTTCGTGTGCGGAGAGGAGGGTTTGGTCGGTGCCGCTGCCGACGGAGAGTTGGACGATGGGAGAGCGAAGGTAGCTGGAGGGTGTCAGGTTGGTGTTAGGTGGTGAGGTTTTGCGACAGCTTTGTGGATTGCGCGGCGCGAGACTGTGGTTGTTCGGAAAGGAGACTTACTCCAAGAAGGTTGTTCTGACGGGAATTTCGGGCTCTGTTTCGGGCAGCGCAGCAGTGTCGTCGACCTCGCCTTCGAGAGCGTCGACATTTTCTACAGTCTCGCCCATGTCGACGTCGTCGGTGCTTTCTGCCACAGTAACTTCTGGTTCAGCCATTGCTAATGTGATGACCAGGGGAGCAAACGAATGTTACGAATGATCGGATGAGAGATTCGATGTAGCGCAATTCGACTCTAAGATACTAGACGCTTAAGCAATGTAATCTTGTGGTGGCTGGGGGCCCTTGGGGGAGGCTGGGAGACGCAGAGTAGCGACAAGGATGCGCAGATGCAGAGAGTGTCACCAAATTTGCGCAAACTCTTCAGTGAGATCCGAAGATATGAGTAACGACTGATGGGGAAAGTCCAAGGTGGTCTTGTCGCCAATTGCCCTTGGGATGAAAAGAAGCAGTTGAGGTGGAGCATAGGATATGCGACGATCGTGAAGCTTCCTCGCTAGAAGTGTTGACCTGTCCGTGATGATTCCAGCCGTCGCACCTGGTACCTGCAGGAACGCGCAGGGGTTTGACAGGCGACGCCATCAAGACCCCAAACATCTAAAGGATTTGCACAGGCTTTGACTGGATTCAATTCAGATATAACAACACCAAACGTGTACATGGCTGCAATGTGTTGCAGATTCTTACTTCACACACAGTACAGATGCAGTAACACGTTCACACACATATCAATCCCCGTACCGGACTACTCGCTGCGAGCACTTATCCGACAGCCCGCGCAAATTTGAGTGGCCGGACTTCATGACATCGAAAGCATACATGAAATTTCTTACAGACCCGAAATGAACTTCATATCCACATGCTTGGGGCATATCATCAGAAGCTGTCCATTCTCTGTGCAAATGCTACATACAGTTGCGGCTCATGACCTCCTGATCGGAAAACGGCGGGCATTTTACCGTGATCGCTATGCTTCCGCTGCCAATGGTCCTTGCTGCATCGCGATGGCATGAAATCTAGATGTCCATCGATGACGTTTCCATGGCGCACCTCCAGCTCCTATGCGAATCTTCTATACGGCAGTCATCCTCATGGTAGAGCCATCCACTCCGAATTCATATGCCGCTGTATCGTACTTCAGTAGCTCGCCTTGACTGACAGCTTATTCGCTTTGCGATGATCGTCGCACGCTTAGCAAGATTCTTGCGTCCAAAGAACAGTAAGCTGCGTTCGTGGCGTTCTGTACCAGCTCATAAAGAAACTCTCATGTATGGACGTTCAGGAGAAAGTATACATATGCATCACAAAGTGTCGTGTCCTTGTTCGAAATGTTGAAGGATGATAGAAAAGGACTCGAGAGCAGATCGTGCCATGATAGAAGTGGCAGGTCGCCATGGCTTTAATTCCTGTCTTATTCGTAATCCTACACCATGATCATCGAACCGAACACCTTGTATGCAAAATCGCGACGACTCAGCCCGCAACTCAACCGTAAAAGCAAAAGATATGCAAGAGTTCAAGTCCCTCGCGACTGTTCCTTACAACGCCTTCTGACGAATTTCAGACATGACTCTATGACGCTTCTATACAGATATGAACCCTTATTCATGCATTAGGTAATTTCGCTTCCGTTGTAGACGATTTCAAAAGAAGAAAAAAAGGACACTGCCGATACCAGTTGTAATTATACCAATCAATAGGAATGTCGATTGAGAGTAATAATTGTCTTGTCTCTTTGTCCTGGTGTTGGGAGTTATGCTTGCGGGTTCGGCGCGCCTGAAAAGCTTGCTGCGGCTGGTTGCGGTAGCTTGTGTGCCAGCCGTCCCAGAGGCTGTCATAGTTTGCTGAAGAGTGGTAGTTGGTAGTATCTGCGGTGGCTTAAAAGCAAGATAGAGTGGCTGCACTGGTGAGCCATCGAATTTGAAGAGATCGAGTCGGGGAATATTGTGGTATGGATCTGTGTAGACAGTGTATCTCTGTCGCGATGTAAGTCCTAGTCTTCAGTCTTCATAGTCAGACTCTATGACTGACCTGAAATAGCTCAGACTGATTGTATCTTGTGTAGACTGCGCTTTTGTATTTGCAAGGGTCGGAATAGAGTTGCCGTCCATCTACTTTGATAGGCGATAAGATGAGTGAGCCGTTTTGCTCTTTGACAAAACTACCATGTTGCCATTGCATGATGCCTTTCGGACACGCAGGGTCAACAGCTACCACAGTGTTAGTATAACTGCTTGCGTATGTCCATTTCTTAACGTACGGTTCGCGATCGCGCGATAAAAAGCCACTTCATAGAAGCCATCTTCCGTAAAGGAGTATGAGATCCCCGTGTGTGACGGTTCCGTTAGCTTTTCATTGACAGGATCATAGAAGCCCTGTATAATATATGTCAGTCACGGCTCGTTGATGTCCCGGGACGTTGGTATCGTACCGGGCCTGTCAGTGTCTTGTTCGATTTAGAAGACCATGTTCCTGTCAGTGTGGGGTCTGCGATGCCCTGGCTGGTAGCTAGAGCTGCAAGAGAGACAAAAAGTAGTCCTGAGCCGGGGAGCATGGTGCGCGCGTGGTGGGATGTATTATTTGGGCGGCGGACTGAGACGGGTGGGAAGTTTTAAGGTTGGAGGAGTGATCAAGTCAGTAGTAGGTACGTATGATACGACGTGCGAAGGGGGCGCTTGGCCGTAACCATAAGGAGGGATGACGATCCATTGGTGCGGTGGATTGCAGTTTTTCCGACTAAGCCAATTTTAAGCTTCCCAACCCCCAAGGGCCCGTTACCCTGCCGGCGTTCCTCATAATAGTGCATAGTGCCCTGGCGAGATATTGGACCTGAGCTGGGAGTTCCGTAACGCAGATGTAGGAGGTGCTCGATTCTACGTAACATACTGTTCTGTCACGGGGCATCTCTTAACATCCAACTACGATGACCGCTCTCAAGGTTTCGAAAACGGAGCTAAGGCTGAAGATGAAAGCTGCGCTTTCTGCTCTATCTCACGATGATATCGCGACGCAAAGTCAGTGCTGAAATACTTCATTTCCACCGAATCTACACCGGAGTTGACGTGTTTAGCTTCGATGGCTGTTCGAAATCTCAAAAATATGCCCGAGTACCAACGGGCCAGACGAATAAGCATATTTCTATCAATGCCAAGTGGTGAAATATCAACCTCAGCCATTGTTCGTGATGCGCTAGCCAGCGGAAAAGAAGTCTTTATTCCATACACATACAAGGCCATAACTCACCACGATGGTCAACCTAGCTCAGTCATGGACATGGTGAAGCTATGGTCGATGAACGACTATGATTCCCTAAAACCAGACAGATGGGGTATTCCAACTCCAAGTCCAGATTCTATCCCAGAAAGACGAAACTCCTTTGACAGTAAAGGTATCACTAACCACTCGATCGCCTCAAGAAGTAGCCTTGATCTCATTGTGATGCCAGGCATGGGCTTTGACACTGAGCTCGGTAGGTTAGGTCACGGGAAAGGCTTCTATGACTATTTTCTGTGGCGTTGCTCCCAGCAATTAGGGACCGCTGACTATACGAGAATGCCGTTTCTTGGTAAGCTCACACTCTGTACATGCGTATGAAATGTCTCCCATTGCTGACGTCTCGCAGTTGGTATTGCATTGAAAGAGCAGCTACTTCCTGTGGGAGAAAAGGTGCCGACGGACCAGAGTGACTGGCGCCTTGATGCCCTGGTGGTAGGTGATGGGCATGTTCTACGTGCGTCGACGTAGACTTTGGACCTGTCGACTCGTCTTGAGCGCCATTATGGGCCTTCACATGCGCAGATAAAGACGGATTGATAACTTTTGGGCCCGCACGTTACCCTCAGCGTGCAACTCCTATAACTCAGAAAATCCCAGTGCCCGTCGAAGCTTAAGCGTCCGTCGTTTGTATCAATGAAACATTGTCGCCCTTCAATAAGATTTGACCAAGCTTTCGGCGGGGCTCTTGTCCTTCCTTAGGGTCGACCTTGACCTCAACTGCATCGTCTATTACCAAGTTCATAAACTCATCAAAGCCCTGTATCCAACGTCAGTCTGAATGTAAGCAGTATCATGATACGAACATACTCTTATCTTTCCCTCAATTCGAATACCCAGTTGTTCATAGAGCCATATCGAGACCGTTGACCTTTGCTGTAACAACTTGAAGATGAAATTGATCGGGGGCAAGAGAACCTATTGGTCGTCAGTCGTTGAAATGGATTCCGTGTATGAATGAACGCGTACTTTGCCGCCTCCGCGACCACCTGTTCGATGTGAATTAGCACAGCAACATAGTGGAAAAGGCGATCGTCTTACCTCCGCGACCAGTCATATTTCGATAGATTGGGCTGGTCTACGGGAAGACTCCAGAGTAATTATTGGTGGTGATTTATGATCAGTGTGACGGAGGGCAGTTAGATATAGAATTTGCAAAGAAAAGAGTCGCAAGTTGGAGCTGTTGCGGTTGTAAATGGAGTACCCCGGCATGCAGCCGTAGTCCACTGTTAGCGCGAAGAACGCTTGGCTCAAGGTTGCTCAGCCCAACTGACGAATGCGGGACCGTTTTACATTCATCACTCCCCACACTTGATCATATATTTCTTCTCGACTTACTCCCGTCAACAGTCTTTGTCCACACTTTTCAGACGTGTGTCTTTGCAAACGCCTCTGTACGCATGAAGATAGGTCTACGCGATTGCTTGATCCACTCGAAAGCCGGGACTTAAATCGAGAAGACGCTTCAGCGCAACAATTCCAACATGGCGACCATGGCTGCGAACGGCACATCAGCGCAGGACGAGTTTGCACCTGTGCTTGCCGCACTTGCTACTATGCAGTCATCTGGAGAACCTACAAAAAAGAAGGAAGCTCACAGCTTTCTGGAACAGTTTCAAAAATCTGTATGGCATTACCAGACCATACCTTTGAGATTGCTATTAATCATTCCGTAGTCAGATGCCTGGCAGACGATCTTCAGTATCTTAAGCTCACAGAACGCTGATGTCCAAGCGAAGCTCTTCGCTACTACCACGCTCAAAGGCAAAGTGAGTGGCTGTGCTCCCAAAATCGAATGCTTGCTCATCTCTTCAGATCGTATACGACTTACATCAACTCCCCCGCAGCCAGCTACCGTCACTACGCGATACCCTCCTAAATCTCCTATCCACATTCAGCTCTGGACCTAAACCTATGAGACTGCAGCTTTGCGTATGTCTTGTCAATCTCGCTATACAAATGGTGGAATGGAAGGATGTCCTCCAACTGGTGGTAGCGACCCTAGGCAACGATTCTCAGCAAATTGCCTGTGTGTTGGATTTCCTTCGTGTTCTTCCGGAAGAAGTCACCGAAGGGCGAAAAATCAACTTGACAGTATGTTCGATCGAAACGTCATTCTCACATTGGCTGGTGTCGGCCCCATACACTCGTATCAGTATCTAATATGTGGTTGTAATCATAGGAAGACGAGCTCAACGAGAGGACAAAGGAACTATTAGAAGACAACGTGCATCAGGTACTCACACTGCTCATTCAGTATTCACAATCCTCAGGTATGCTCTTCGATTCCAGATTCAATGTATGTTGCTGACTTCAACGTTCAGCCTCAGCGGCCAAGGATCCCCAATTACTTGAGTGTATAACATCGTGGTCAAAAGAAGTTTCAGTCAACGAGCTGGTCAAATCCCCTCTCTTGAAGATCGTGATTGATGGTCTATCGTCGGACTCCTCGTTCGAAGCGGCTGTCGAATGTATTTGCGCAATTTTTGCCGAGACACGAGACGTTGATGAGTGTGTCGATGCGATTCAGATACTATTCCCACATATCGTATCGCTTCGGCCGAAGATTTCGCAAGCTGCGAAAGAAGAAGACCATGAGACCTTCAAAGGGGTCTCACGTATCTTCGCCGAGGCTGGGGAGATGTGGGTGCCCCTAATCGCAAGGATGCCACAACAATTTCGGCCTCTAGTTGAGGCTATACTCGAAGCCGCAGCCCTTGACAAGGAACGAGATGCAATATCTTTGACATTCAATTTCTGGTACGAATTGAAGCAGCTCATCACCTTGGACAACTTCATGGAAGCTCGCATGCAGTTTATAGACATATTTTCGAAGTTGGTTGACATTATGATCTCTCATCTGGCCTTCCCAAAGTCGGAGAGCGGAACTGACGATCTCTTTGACGGGGACCGAGAACTAGAGGAGAAGTTCCGGGAATTCCGTCACCAGATGGGTGATGTTTTGAAAGATTGTTGCGAAGTACTTGGTGTGACACAATGCTTGGAGAAGACGTACGTGCTCATCGATTCTTGGGTGAAGACGTATGGAGGTCAGGCAATCGCTGGCAATGTACCTGAATGGCAAAGTTTGGAGGCACCACTTTTCAGTCTGCGAGCTATGGGACGCATGGTATCAGCTGATGAGAACATCATACTCCCTCGCCTGATGCCGCTCCTCGTGCAGATACCTGATCATGAAAAGGTTCGATTTCAAACGGTCATGGCCCTTGGTCGCTATACAGAGTGGACCGCTCAACATCCGGATCTTCTCCAGCCTCAGCTCACATTCATTATGGCTGCTTTCGAACACAACTCCAAGGAAGTTGTTCGCGCTGCAGCGTTATCTTTCAAATTTTTCTGCAACGACTGCGCCGACTTGCTGAAAGGGTTCAGCACACAATTGCAACACTTCTACGCCAATGTTCTCGACAAATTGCCAGTCAGCAGCCAAGATGAAGTCACAGATGGTGTCGCCTCTGTCGTGTCGCGATTGCCCACCGATGAAATATATCAAAATTTGAAGCTTTACTGCGATCCCGTCATCAATACTTTGCTCTCCATGGCTCAGAGCGCGGCTGATGATGAGGCAAAGCTGGCCATCGCTGGTAGGTTTAGTGTTTCATTACCCGGGAACAATGATGTTTAACCCTTCTCTAGATCGTCTGCAACTCATTACCATATTCATACAATGGGTCCAGCCCTATGTAGAGTCTTCACAGGAGAACCCGGCTGTGAAATATTGTCAAGAAATATTCCCAGTTTTAGCTGCCGTCGCCGAGGGCTTTGCCGACTGCATACCAGTTCTGGAGCGTGTATGTCGCTGCTGGAGGTATATGGTTCTGTCCTACCGTACATCGATTCTACCTCTGCTCCCGCAGCTGGCTGAAAAACTAGTGGCCGGCTTCGCTGCGTCAAGGCAGGGATGCTTCCTATGGGCAACAGATTCTATTATGCGCGAGTTCTCCGAAGGGCAGGAATTTGTCCAACCGCATACAGTTGCCGCTGTCTATCAATTCTATGAACAACAGGCCACCAACTTTCTGAGGGCTCTCAGCGAAGTTCCCCCAGAGGAACTGCCTGACTTGATAGAAGACTTCTTCCGGCTGTCGTCCGATGTCGTCCGATTCTATCCCCAACAAACCGTTCTCTCCACATTAATGGGGTCAATCGTATCTGCGGCCTGTTCCGCTCTCTCTCTTTTGAAGGAGGAGCCACTTATTGCTACCATACACTTCGTTCGCGATCTCTTGAGTCATGCTGGTGAAATGTCGCCCTCATCTAGTTTTGACCAGGAACGTCGTACGAACCCAACCGAGATCCGGGCACGGGTCAGACAACTCCTAGACAACCAGGGCGAGCAACTAGTACAGCGCGTTATGACTGGAATGATGTATAGTTTCCCACGTGACTGCATCCCCGATGCGTCAGGCGTACTTCTCCAGCTCTTCGAACTCGTACCCCAGCAGGTTGCACTTTGGCTTCAAAACACAGTCGCGAGCTTACCAGAAGGTTCTATGACAGAACAAGAGAAGCATAGGCTTTTGACAAACATCAATAATCGAGTTCAGTCTAACGAGATGAACAAAGTCCGGTCGCTCCTGCAAGACTTCACAAACTCGTATCGACGGCGCAATGTCGCTCCCCGCGAAGGGCTCGGAAGGCTTGAAGCTACAAGATTCCGCTTCTCTGGTTAGTACGCATCGACCAAGCGATCACCAGTGGTGCCTCGAAGGTTGAGATGCTGTAATGCAATCGATCACGAAACACACATCAGACCCATAAATCATGAAACTAGAAAAAGAGCTGATGCATTTTGCGAGGGAGTTTAGGAGATTGTTAACGGGAAAAGCATTTAATGTAGGGCTCAATTAGGTCGGAACCTCGGGAATCTGAGTGGGTAAAGAATCAGAGCTGTTCACTAATTAGTGGTAGCATTGGAAGGCAAAGCTCGGCAAGTGGGGAGGAAAATAGCATAGTGAACACATCGTACATATGGCGTGGCTGACATGGGACGAAGGGCTCCACTCGTCCTCGGGGGCTCGGGAACAAGCATGTGGATCGAACCATTATATTTGAAAGCAATGGTAGAACGAGTGATGTAGGCTGCATGATGGACATGATTGTATACCATAGAACTTGATCAACTCTCTCAGATCCTAGGGACGTACACGAGATATATTGGTAGCATGAGCGCTTCATCTGGCCCGGGGCATGGATGGAATGAATACTGAGTCGGCGTGCGCGACGCAGTCAGGTCATCCTCCTCACTAATCTTGTTCTATCAGGTCTCAGCTCGTACAAAAAATCAGCACTCAAACAAGACCCCATGTCCAGCTTTCTTAGACAAGTCCCGGACAAGGTGCCTCAATACAGACAAGTGTGCCTCAACTTGTCGTCGAGCAGAGACCCATGTCCAGCGAAAGTCAGCGTCTGGATCTCAGCAAAGCCCAATCAGATGGAATCTACAATATATCTCCCTTCATCATTGACCGGGGTATGCCAGACCCCACGAGGCTGGCGTTTTTCCACCTATGATACCGGGAACGTTCTTCAAATGCTTGCAGCTTGAGAAGAGAAGCTTGATTTTCCAAGCTCAAGGCCACAGACCATGCAGAGAAATCGTCACCACAGAACTGATGCAGTTATGATCCACAACTTTTGTGTGTTGATACCAGAATATATACCTATAAGAGAACCCGTCGGCCGAGATCGAGTTTAACATGTTGCAAAGGAGGTAAAAATAGTAATTCAGCAGGATGCATAACGATGAGAGGAAGAGCCAAATGTCGCTTTGAGAGTTCATAGTATCTCTATCGATGCTGCACAATTTGGAATTTCCAGACGCTGACATGCTGTCGTGCCTCAATCGACTCCCGCAGGGCAAGGGTCGCTGTGTGGGACGATTCGGGCTCTTGAGCACTACGGATGTCCTCGTCTCGGGTCGCGATCTCCTTGAGCTGTAGTAGAACTATGAACCACTACTGCGCTTTACTGTCAAAACGCTCTTTAAGACATGGCGCTGGTATAACAAGCTTTGAAAAGCACCAAGCAAGTCGCACCGTGCGTATGCCGGACAAGTCATAATTTGCGAACACGGAAAGAGGGTTCACCTTCGATGCTTCGGTCGTCGCGTTGAGAGCCTCTAGAAGCTCTCTTTTAGCTGTGCCGCCTTGATATGACTGAGAAGGCGCGCTTGTTCGCCCTGCAGCGATTCAGAGGATCTATCCCGGTCGGACTATAGAACGTGGTGTTGGAAATACGAGGGGCTCCTGTTTTTGGCGTTTGGCAGGCTATCAAACGGGTTGGCGCCACGGGCCCTTAAGGCCACGGGATGAGGTTCATGGTAGCTGAGAGCCGCATCATGATTCTGGAATGCCAATGATATTGTGAAGTTTTTAGCCAACCTGATCGGGAAATTGGACATCTGTACTGGCACAATTTTGCTTCGGCAAGGGGGGTCCCTGGCGCTTGACAACTGACCCGGATCTGATGGATCGACTCAGTGAGCCCTCAACCAGACGCACAACGGAACCATAGAAAAAGGTCCGAGTTGCACAAACTCTCACCCTCAACTGGAACCAGATCTCTATACTCTTGGGTGGGACACACGAGGCGAGAGGGAGGCTAGCTGAAGCTGAATTGCTCATAAAATGACTAAACGCACGATAGCGGAGCGGCACACCTGATAGGTGTGAGCAGATACGAAGTCTGGACGCTATATGAGAAAAGAATGGCTTGCATGAGACAAGACAAGGCTTCGAGGTGGCATGTCTTGCTTAGGGATAACACGAGGGAACTAGCAAGCCATGCGTGGGATCGTCCAAGAATGCGGAGAGCAAGGAACCCACCCGCGCTTCCGGTCGATCAGGCCGACAAAATTGGACAAATACGATAACCTTGCAACAATACTTGTGCGGACAAAGGTTGTGAGTGTTTCGATATATCGCTATTCCTCTCCTCGCTCGAACCTCGAGCAGAACTTGGAAAGTGGCACAGTTTGGGCTTCGACATCATGCCAACGCCACCGGATCTAGGCTATGAGATGGTTCTAAGGAGTTGTATTGACTTGATAATGATGATGATGATGTTAGAAAGTAGTTGGGACACAGGAACAGCTACCTAGTACGGACAGTGTGTGTGTTGTGCAGAAGCATGCGTAGGCTCTGCACATCTTCTCACATCGTAGACCAACGGTGCATAACAAGCTCCAGACTACTTCTTGGCAAATGTATACAGTAATGCCAAAGCCGACTGTAAGTGTCTAATTCTGCACGGAAAGTATGGATGTACACCATTCAATGCGAAGACGGCCGAGGTCTGTCTGCTCGTGAATGGTTGCTCTGCATTTCGGCGTGGTTGGATGCAGACAGGGGCAATGGAAGGGATATGCAGTCATCCAGGCAGAAAGTCCCCAACTGTAGCAGCCATTTAGCCATCTCGCTCCATACCCTGGAGCGAGCATCGTGCATTCATGGTGATGGTCGCATGCACCGTGTGCTTTTCTTAGATACAATCTAGCTGGGAGGGTGAAAGTGGAATGGGACAAACAACCTCTCTGCCCTCCCCTCTCCCCTCCCATCCCCACATCAGGACATGGACAAGGACATTTCACCAGACTAGCTTGGCCAGGCTTATAAGTCAGTTGGCAGTATTCAGCAGCAAAATTTAGGCTTAGGGTAGCACATCCACTGTTCATCCACTGTTATCCGCGGCCGACGCTCTGGGCCGCACACTACTCGATACAGTATTAGCCCCGGCCGAATTGACCTCTCACATATTTTGCGTCTTTCTTCACACTCTAGTTTAAGGTTTACGCACTCACTACTACCGTTCTTCCGATATCCCATTGTCCGCTCGTCACAACAGCATCTTATCGTCCTCCAGTTGACTCGTACCATTGGTTCATTCCATTGTAGCTGCGGTCCGGTTCGATCTCGACGTCTGCTCTGGCCATCTATCTACGGTGTATGACGAATTCTTCAACGAAGACGTCTACTATATACATGCTACTCCTCTCACCCTTGTCCTTCCTCTATTTGTTCTTCCTGTCCAGTGTCCCTGTCCATACTATTACGAGCTCTTCCACCACACCCACAAGTCCCCTGCATGCATATCGCCCGTAACGTCTCGACCAGGCGACGGCTTTTCCAATTTACATAATATCCTAGTCTTGCGATATACACCATACGCCCCATACACCCCATACATATCTGTATCTTCTTCTTCTATCTTTTGTCTGGCTGCCCATGACTCTTCCACTAACGTATCTATTCCACGTTCTTCTACGGTGGATCCTTGAGCCCTGTTGATCTCCAGTGGCTTTGTCTACCGCCGGCAGTCGATCATCTAACTTCCCGCACCAAAGAACACGGATCTCTATTGCTCCTAGCGGCCAGCCATTCCCCCAGACGCCGTCTAGTGCAAGCCATTTTGTCCTGGTGGAGTCAAGTCTCCCATCCTTTCCAGCTTGGAATTGACGACATCCCATCCTTCAGCCTCTTAAAGGCTGCTATGCCGGTCGGTTATTCATAGTGGCTAGTCTCCGCCTTTTAAGTCGTTGCAGAGGCCTCTCAGTGTGCCAACTCCCTCCTACAATTGTTGCCGTTAGACTGCCAGCCGCGGTGGGCTGCCACTTCTCTTCAGTGCACGGACATGGAAGCTCACCAGAGTTCCGATCCGGACGTTGAAGGTCAGAAAAACGGCACCGACAAGAGCAATACACGAAATCAAGCCAACGTCAGTGCCAAGCTAAGAAAAAGAACGAAAACTGGTTGCTTGACCTGTCGTAAGCGAAGGATCAAATGCGGAGAAGAACGGCCCATCTGCAGTAACTGTATCAAGTCGAAACGCCAGTGTGAAGGATACAACCCTCGTGTTGTCTGGAAACCACCCATAGGGGACTGGCCTGGGCATGCAAGCGTCACTGGAACATTGCCATATCATTCTGGTGTGATTCCTGGAGCTAGACCACCTGATTTCGAACAATATCGTCCTCCGGGCGGTCCGAATGTAATCGCCCCTCACCCTCCTATCCAACCACGACCTATAACCACGCAATTCGATTTTGCAAACATTGATACTGGCCAAATCCCGGTTCTCGCCCACGATCAACTTTCTCCGCAGACACCTCATCACTTCCAGCAGCAACACCTCGTCACACCTGATCATGTCCTCCAATCACGCCAGCCAGTTGGCGGCCCATATCACCAACATTCTACAGAATATCCACTACAACAATCGCCCCAGTTTCAGTCGCCGACGTATCAATATCATAATAACACCCAACCACATACAACGTTCAATGTGCCTGGGTACTATCCCACGTCATCAGCGGACTACAGCCAGAGCATGCAACCGCACATCTCTGGTCCTTCTGCGTCTCCCTACCCTGATAATCCACAGAGTAATTTTCACCACACGATGCAACCTCACGTACAATCACAAGGAAATTATGCATACAGTCAGCAGTCAATTTATCACCACCATCCTTCTATCTCGTCTGAGGCTAGCGTACAGTTCTCCGGACCCCCAACCATGGGCAACGGAGCAAGCTATACTCAAGTAGGTAATAATTACTATTCAGCGGTACAAGAAATACCAGACAATATGATGGACGGATTCAACGCATATCACAGTCATGACGACCGGAATAGCCTAGAAGAGCAGGATATCAAGCTATCCACAGAACAAGTTTTCGGTACGTCTCGATTAGCGCACCTTACTCGGAGCCTTTCCCAATACATAGCTCGCGCCTGTTCCTCCCAGTTGCTGCCTGCCACTCCTCCTATCTGCGTCGCTGACTCTTTCCCGACCTGCAGAACCACAGCCTACACGTACTCAGGTTGATACCAAGGCTTTAGAGGCCCAGCTTGTCACCTACGAAGAGGAGAGGGAGACCTTGACGCCAACGGAGATACTTAACAGAGCAGCCATTGAGTATCATGACGACGAATATTACGACGTCGACTCTGACGAGGATGTCGACCTGCCAACGGATCAGGCCCCTATGAGCAGCCCGAAGTATCAGCGCGACTTTACTTTGATCATGCGCCTGTACAGCAGTCATACGAGTGACTTGGCAATACGGCGGATGGATGCATTCATCTATGAGGGCATTCTGGACCATTACCATGCCGAATGGGTGGCTAATCCGCTGAAGAATGAGCACACTGCTCGGGTGTTTGCTCATTTCATTCATTCATCTGCCCCGATGCTGTCGATCCATGAACGCAATCCTCTCAACACGCAGTCAATGTTTTCGAAAACGCCTGTTCCTGCCTCACAACAGAGTCTGTGGACATACACGCTGCCGATGATGGCTTTGGGTAACCAAGGTCTTCTGCACGCCATGCTGGCTATCGGTAGCCTGCACATTGCGCGCTTGCAGGGCGCTTCTATCACACCGTCCATCAAGCATTACGCGTATGCTCTGAAGCGCATTCACCATAGCGTTGGGCACCCAAAGAAACGATTACAGGTTACTACATTTGCAGCATCTCTGCTTTTGGGATTCTACGAGCTGATGACTGCGGATCACCTGAAATGGAGCAGTCATCTCGTTGGAGCAAAGCAACTTTTGGTTGAGATTGACTATCGAGGCATGACTCAGCTTGCCAAAGTCATGAAAGCCGAGCAAACCGACTATGATAGAAAGGTCGAGTTCAGTGCATACTCGCTTCCACAGAAGCCCCGTCCGCATGCTGCAATTTTCCGGAGTGATATGCCTCTACCCAACGAAGAGATTCTTAGTACTATTATTGGGAAGAAGCTGCGATATGATGAGCTAGGGCGCGTTATCGAAGACTTTGAGACGATGGATACGAAGTCTATACCTAGAGCCTTGGATATGACTAAGTTCGAGCTATTTCAGGATCTGTTCTGGTGGTACTGCCGACAGGACGCTTATCAAAGCATTATCAGTGGAAACAAACTTCTGTAAGCATCGAAGCGACGAAGAGGAAATGAGAGCTGCTAATAAATACAGGCTGGATTACAGCCGATGGGGCGATTGTCCACCTCGAGCTCCCATCGGCAAATCTGAGGCTGCCTACGCTACACATGACCATTTCATACTCATGCTCGGTAGGATCGCGGACTTTGCTGCGAGAGATCGTGATAGGAAGATACAAGCCATAGAAGCTCAAGGAGGTGCCTGGAAACCAGATCCACGCATGTTCGCTGCGCTTATGGGCCGACCGGCCGGTGGACTTTCTCCGGGCATGGCCCGCCCTGGCTCCGGAATGCCTCATATTCCGGGTGCTATGGGACAAACTCCGTACTCTGGCAATGTCAATGCTCCGCAAAGTGGGTATCCTTTTGGAACCCAGATTGCGAACTCCATGGGAGTATCTGGTGCATCTACTGCTGCAGTACCTCCCTTTGGTCTTCCGGGCCAAGATCCTCAAGGAGGCTTCCCCACGGGACGACCTCCGACACAGCCTCAAGGACCCCCTGCTCTCCCAAAGATCCCGTTCTTCGGTATGGCTCCTTCGAGCTCACACATACATATGCCATCATCTTACGCCAAGTACGGGAGGAAAGCGAAGGAGGCCGAACCTGAGGACATCTTGGACCTCGAGGAAGCGCTCAGACTCGCCTTGGAAGAGTGGCAGCAGATCAATGCAGCGCTCAATGTCTTTGCATCAAACCTAGGACCTCAGTTCCAGCCCCTCTCAGCCGAGTATCATCAGCCAGTCGCGACGCCATTCGGCGACGCAGCCCAATATCGCAGCTACGACATCTGCAACATCTGGGCTCTGTACAACATGGCACGAATCATTACGATCCGCTCCCACCCGTGTATGCCTCCCGCAGCCATGATGGCCGCCGGCGTCGCAGCAGCAATGACCGCTCCTATCGCCAACGAAATCGGCCGCATCACCGCTGGCATCTCCATGCCCGCATCCCATGTGCCGCTCAACCCTTCTCTTGGTGCCGCCCTTATATCCTCCACCATGCCCCTCTTCTTCGCAGGAGTACAATACACCAACGCCGATCAACGGGCCTGGCTCATTCCACGCATCCTCGACATCGAAACACGCACCGGCTTCGCAAGCGCCGGCTTGATCGCCAAAGGGTGTGAGGTGGCGTGGCAGCGGGCCGGAGAAGCAGGACGTGGGCCGCCATATACGCCTTATCAAAGGGAGCATGCGAGCGAGGAGCGGGATATGAGGAAGAGCGGGCTTATCATTGGTGAAACGACGGATGCGGCGGCGTCGGCGATGGAGAGCGGGTATGTGACGCTGAGAGACCATTCTGATGAGAATGGGAAGAGGTTTGCGCATACGAGGTAGATGTGGCGGATGAACTGGATGAGGAATGATGGTGTTGTTAGCTGGTGTGTAAATGAGTGAGTGGGAACGTGTGTAGAGGCACTTAGGGTTGCAGTGTGGGCCGTTTAGTAGAGCTACGAAGCTGAAACGTTGATGTCTTATCTGGCCGTTTACTCCACCTACGCGTTAAGTAAATTGAGGCTCTTCGTCTTGTATCGACGTGTGAGGCATATCTTCGATATTGCAACGGGTAAGTATGAGTATATCCAACGTACCTCTAAACTAATTAGGTCTACAACTCTGTTGGACCTGAACAGAATACATCGAGCTACGACGCAGAATTGAGCGTAACCTCGAAGTTAACAAAGCTCAGCGTGTAATCCTTTCTTTATTCCCGTCTCGTTCTTTCTAGTCACATTATCGTCAAACTTCTTTCTGCTCTCAACGTCTTTGTCAGTGGTGTTGTTGTGTAGTTCCCGTACGTAGCACGCTTTGTGAACGTCGTACTACTCTTGACCGTCCATACCTTCCTCTCAACGCCTACTTGAGCAGAATATCATCCTTTGTTCTGGCCGTCTCTTTCATTTAGTCTCAGGATCTTCGTTATCCTTTGTCCTTCCGACGACCCTGTCAATAGTGCTATATCATTTTCAACTTAGTATGATACTCTTTGTGATCGAGAAAGAGGTCGTTGGGATTGTCTGCATCCTGTGGATACTTATACTTGCACTTACCCCTTCTTTTTTATTCCGGACTTATTTTTCTTTCGAGCTGGAGATGAGAAATGGCAGTGTTCCCTTCTCTTTCGTGCCTCACTGCTGTGTTATCCTGCGGTTTCCTTGCGTGTGTTAGATGTGTCTGCATAGATACGGCGAGATGCTCAAGTCTGTGTGGGGGTTGAAGGGTGCCGTATACCTCACCTGTCATGCTCGAAAAGATTTATTACTTTTGTCTGATATTGGTTCACTTTGACCAACAAGACCGTACAGCTGTTCTAGGTATTTGTGCGTGGGAGCTATCATGAATAAGGGGGGTGTCCAAACGCACACACTTCTCGCTATTGCGCACAGAAAACCTCCGTGTGCCGACTTGACTCGATTATAAGACCGTCTGTTCACGTACCCTCTGTTGCTCTTTGTCCTTCAGCAACCTACCTCACCAAGAACATCGAATTCAAATCGGCAGTACCCCAGCCAAGCTTCGTATACGTTCCAGTACAATTTACACCAGTATGCTCGTTCCCGACACCTGTCTCCCTCCTTTCTGTTCAACTGTATATCCACGCTTGACGTGGCTTTGGAAAGGAGCTGTTTGCGTTTGTGTTTGCGTTTGCTAACGATAAGCCCAAGATCTGCTACTATACCATCGTAGCCCCTCCGATTGTCACTCTCTGGACCGATCATATATCAATGTAAGCCATCCACCGAAAGATTAATCAAGTCTCAAAAGAAGCCACAGTCCGCACCCACCCAACAAACCCCCTTCTCAACCAACCAACCAACCAAAAAACCAACAATGCCATCTCCACGCAGCAACGACCTCCGCAAAGAAACCCTCCGCCGCGCCGCGTACATGCAAGTTGCCAATACGCCCCTATCTACGCAGACTACGCAGACCACACAGCCTACCACAACCACTTCCTCACCGACCTCCTCACCGACCTCCTCACCACCAGCACCCCCTCCTCAACCAACGCGCCAGAGACCCCCAGAACCAAACACGCCCGTCGTAGATCCGGCTGCTTCAGCTTCGGCTTCAGCTTCGGCTTCAACTCCTGCTTCTACTTCAGCTTCCGCATACCCCCTCCTCGACATCGACCTCTCCAGGCTACGTGCCGGAATGGGGCTTAGTCCGGATGGGAGGCTCGTGTTTCTGGATGAAACTGTGGCGGGAGGAGGAGGAGGAGGAGGAAGACCAGCATCATCACCAGCACCAGCACCAGCACCAGCACCAGCAGCAGCATCACAACCAGGAAACGCCCCTTCGGCAGACTGTGGTAACGAGGAGGAGAGAGGAAGGGGAGGGGAGAGACAGGGGAATGGAGAGGGGCAGTGAGGAGAGAGGAGAGACCCTAGAATTAGGAGAGGAAAGGAGAGGAAAGGAGACTCTAAGCTAGAAGAAGCGAAGCGAAGCAAAGCAAAAGAAAAGGGGAAAAGGGGAAAAGGGGGAAAGGACTTCACAACAATATATTAGGCGAATATATACAAATACCACAACCATACGCAAATCCTCAACTTCCCACTCTCCAGAAACCACTAGAGATTCCACAACACACATATTGCCATGACCCGCACATCTAGCATAGCTAATAATCAATAACCAGACGTGACTTTTCTCATACTACCCCAAATAGGGAGAAAACGAGGCTTTGTGCGCTCCCGAGGAGCCAGAATCACGATTACGGAGTCTATAATATAGAAGGTTCTTGCTGTTTAGGGTGTCTATTCGACGGATGGTGATGGGGAGGTATGGAGGGTACTTACTCTGTAGAATATAACCAACTGAGAAGAAAGTTCCGGGCAGGAAGGATGTTTCATGGTTAGCTACTCTATATTCAAATAGCGGAGAGAGAAGATAAATGTTCTGTCTATTTAGTAGAGCTGTATTTCCAATAGCCGTGTTGTGCTTACGAGTACGATCGAAAAGAGCTGGATAGCGGTGTGTATAGCTAGTACAAGATATAAAGATTCTCTGCTACTTAGTAGCTTATTATTAAACACTACATACGCACTTCAAAGCATTCTAACCCGATACCAACGTGATAATCCATATATCCAGCAGAGCAATCCACGATTCCCGACCACCAGCCAACCAGCGATAAAAACAAACAACGATACCTCTCCAAGAACATCAAGCACGAGTCACTCGTTGTACAAGTCCCCAGTAAGGGACTGACTATCCCTTATCCGCAGATGAATCATATAGACCGGCATATGTCATATAGCCTGAGTCGAGATTTACATAGTGGACATGGATTCCCGGCGCATAATATTAGTTTTCCAACTCGTTCAATAAGGACGTGTGCGAGCGCTTTTCGGGTCTCTCCGCCCCGAGGATCACTCGAGAGAGCGAGTGCCCGAGTCGTGCAAGTCAAAGAAAAAAGTGGGAATTTTGTCTGGAAGTCCGCACCAAGATTCCCTCTTCCCCCCGGCAAGTGGAAACGACCGAGGTATCTGGCACATGCGATGACCGTACGATGGCGCAAGAAAATGCAAGATATGCAGCCAAGCGTGCCGATGCAAGAGGGGGACCCGTTTGTGGGGGGCTAGGGGGTCCCTCGGAGAGCAGCGGGTCCTACTTGGATGGTAATGGTAATGGTATTGTGCAGTGTGTGCCTGAGATGGACGTTCCTGGTAAAATAGGCGCGGGATGCTCAGATATCTCCGACTCCGCTGAGCGGGTCTCCGTGCTAGTGCCAGCCGCTACTTTTGGGCCGGCGGGACAGGTTTGGCCCTTGGGAGAAGAGCACCAACAGCACTATTCACGAGCAGCAATAGGCTTCGGAGCCGGATGTCACCGTTTCCCAAACTTTCGGGCAGCAGGGCCACGGCATGGACCATTTGAGTGGACACGACCTGGATGAATCTTATTCATCATAGTTGGTCAGAGTAGTACTTGCCTCTGCTCACGGCCCTGGAATCTGCATTCCCCATACTTGGCGCCATGAACGGTCGTTGAATTACTGAGCCTATAAGATTAGATGGATATGCAGGATCATAAGGCCCCAAAGACTCCCTGCTATGGTCATTAATGGCAGTGAACGCAACGGCATTGAAGTACCGGCGATGGGAACATTTATAGAACTTCTAGAAGGTCCACGGCAGGTGATACAGACAGCCGTGGTCTGAGTACCTGTATTACCGCATAATTTGGCCGGGTAATGAGCCAGAAGCGGTTGAATTGCCTGTATCTGTGGCACAGTCACAGATGAAGGCTCAGAGAAATGACGAGGATATATGCAGGATGGTAGGCGCCACGGGAGCCATGACCGTGGGAGCAAGATATAGTGATGCACCCCACTGTTTTAGGCTGGTGGGATGTACAGGGCCGTATTCGTATACAGACATGAAGACCAGGGACAGCCGGAGTAACCTGAACTGTGGCATGGGAAAAGAGGGAGTCTGGCAATATTGAGTTGAAGCACAGGGGAGAAAGAGACAGCGAACAATAATTCTTCCGGTGGTCATGGACGAGCTCAAAATGATATCCTGAAAAGCTTGCTGGAGTTTTCTTGGATGAGGATCAGTATGGCCGTCAAGGCTGAGTCTGACATGCAGGACGAAGCTTGGCACGAACTATTTCATGGAGAAAGCCCTGGACCCACAAAGATAGCGTGGCGCAACGTTTGCTTTGACCATTGGTGGACTCGTGGGCAGTAGAGTGGTCGGTGCAAGATCTGCATGGCTACGGGTGGAGAGGGGGAAGGTCAAGACGAAGCGTCTGAGGAGAGATTGGACGAAGATGGAGGCAGCATCTGAGGCTTGTTTGATGAGTGGCTTGAATGAATAGTGTGAAGACGGAGGACTGACTGAAACATTTGCGTGAGCCAGGTGGACCAAGCTAGGATGATGGTACGCGGAGATATAACCATGTTAGGATGGGTTTTCGGGTGTGGCAGCAGAGGAGGGCGTGGTGGAGTGGAGGGTGAAGGATGGATGAGTAGGTATTAGTAGAGGGCTGGGAGTACAATGAACGAGCGATTGGCCTTGCTGACGGCAGAATACAGGAAGAGATGCAGGATCGTGCATGATGTGGAGATGGAGAGTTGGTGATGATGGTGATGAGGAGAGGATGAAGGATGGATGGATGGATGTGGAGGAGGAAGCTGAGAAGGAAGAATTAATGATGATGGTGGTGGTGGTGATGATGATGATGATGTAGTCCGGATTACCTAGCTGCTGCTGCTGCTGCACGAAGGAAGTGAACCACCTGCATTGGTACCAGTTATACCTGCGTCTAGCCGCCCCCGAACCTCCCTGCCCGGCCTACCAACCCAGCTAACTGACCTTATTCTTACCTACATACCGTACAGTACCCCTAGCCTCCCCGCCCTGATCAACCCAACCAAACCCCCCTAAGTACAGCCTGATGAGTAGCCAAGTAGCCAGGTAGCCCAGGTAACCCAGGTAGCTTGGGGCGTGTGTGGGCTGCTAATCCCGCAATGACTGCCCCAGAACCGCCCACCACCAGAGCCCAGAGAGCCCAGAGAGCCCAGAGAGCCGCCCACCACTAGAGTAGAGTACGTTGGGTAGGATTCATGGTGCCCGAGGGTGTCCAGCCGCCCAGCCGCCCAGCCGTTCATCCCGCGCGCAGCCCATCTTTGGGCTGCTGTAAATAATTAACTAATTAGTACGCCTACACTGACTGTGCTGGTGGTAAGAGGTAATTACCAGAGTCCTACAGTACTGTACTAGTATTAGTGGAACCTGGAGTGAAGAGGCCCCCTAATTACTTATTAGACTGTCTAGGTATTAGGTGGTTTACAACACAGCCATATTCACTTTCACGTGTTGCCCTACTCGGCTTCTGACGGATAGCAACTGCACATCTTTCCTATATCAAAGAAGGTACTGTATCTTTATACTATAAGCTGGAAGACGAGAACGAGAGGGGCCAGTGCCCGTGCCCGGTGTTAGTGTCAGTGTCAGTGTCAGTGTCAGTGTCAGTGTCAGTGTCAGTGTCAGTGCCAGTGCCAGTGTCAGTGTTGATTAGTGTTCATTAGTGTCAGTGTCTTCAGCTTCAGTTGACGAATTCCATAGTAGTAGTAGATACAATTCCCTACTTTACCGTCGACGTAGGAGGGTAATAGGTAATACCAAGTAAATAAATGCGGCACTCATCTTCCCTGCAGCATGTCTCCGGACGAGTATAGTGGCCGTGCCAGCCCTGTGATGTCTGTCTGTTGTGCCCCCCCTACATACTATGCCCCCCTATGTCACTATACCCCTGTTCCTGCTGCACTCTCGAGTGTGTTGGTCCTGTTGTATCGTCGTAGGCCATCGATACCCGGCCTTAAGACCGCTCTTATTCTTCCAGAACCTGTCTTTGAACTTGACGTATGCTCCATAAGCCGGCGCTAAGTTCAACGGTCGTCAACACCAATTCTAGACAACGACAACAGTGAGTTCTGGCTGTGTGCAGAGAGGGAGAGATATCAAACACAACCCTCATGACTTAATACCACCTCCAACTTGCTTTTACGATTGTGGCTTGTTCTGCGGCATCTGTCGTATGTGGATCACTCCTTTGAACCCTTCCATCTCGCAAACCTTTTCCGCCTTTCCTGTTCAATCGTGTGAGCCAAAAGCTGGGGATCAGGTCCCAGTACGACCCCTGATGTCGTGGCGCCCCTTGATTCCAGCTGGTCCATTTCTGCCTCTTCCCGTCCTTGCAGACTCTCTCTATCTCCAGCCCTGTTCCAATATCTGTTCCACTGGTCATGCTGATGCATCGGCGCAATGCCTGCTTTCATCTCACCCACGCGCCCTGTAGCTAAGTCCTGCAGCTGTCCAAGTCTCGCCATCCTAGACTGTATTCCTACGTCGATGCATCTGTGAGATCTGGAACTTGAAGAAATAATCACCTTGTTCGGCGTCTGAAGCACGCCTTGCTCTCTCCTAAACGCGTTTGGGCTATTCCACCCATCATCATTGGTGCTGTGCGACCAACTATCCATCATCACGAACCTACAAGGAACGCCTAAACCAAGCGGAGAAACACTTGAGAATTGTAAGAGAAGACTGGACGTTGTACACGATCTGCCTGCCTTGTCAAAAGCCCGAGAACTTGGTGCTTGTGCTTGCCATAGTACGTAGCTGTAATTTCTGACTCGAAGGTCTGACACTCCAACTTTACCTTCCTCCGCACTATACGTACGCCATAACAATTAGAGCCTTTTGCCCTTTTATCTCTCAATCGGCTTGGTGTGAATTTAGCTACGCGTGCACGCTCCACCTCGACGGTCGAACAGGACACCTCCTAAACTGAGCTCCCGTTTCTTTTGGGTTTCTCACACTAAAAAAGCATCTTCCCAAGAGAAGCTCCACCTCTTCACACTCAACACTGATCCATCATTTGGGGGATACCGGGCTTTATCTCTACAGTGCCTTCATATCCTTCATAGCCTCCAAGTGTCCTAATTCTTGACTACGACACTATTTCTCTGATTTGGAACCAGATCTGGCCCCCAGAGGATGCTCCACTAGACTGGCGATTGATCACTCCAAGCAGAGCTGCGCTGCCCCGCCTGTCCGAAGTCAGTACGACGACCACTCCTCGTATATACACTCGCAGCAGCAATACTGAACCAGGATCTTCGACTAGGATTTCACTGTTTTATCCTCACTGGCCGAGCGCAAGTAGCATTAAAGGCTCTCCGATCTCCAGATCCTGACCCTGGTCGCCTGTGGACTGGCCTCCTCGTCAAGGCTTGCCGTACCCTGTCCTTTCAAATCATCTTTTGGGGCTTCTCTCACAAACGGACATCCTCCGAAGACTATAACAACCTCCAGTCGTTGATCTTCGCGTCTAGGATGTATCTACATTCTTCCCTTTGATTATACTATTCGCTTGATTCCGCTGTCCAGCTTTTTTGATCCCACTACCATCCACGAGAGGCACGAACTAGCACACCTGATCTCCCATATCATCCGAACCGTATAGACACCTTCCTTCTTTATTTACTACCAAGATTCAGGTTTATCAAATTTGTTACCTTGACGAAACTGTTAACTTCATCTGTTTCGACAGATCTGACTATACACGCCTCAGCAGCATTTTCAAGTCAACTTCTCTTTACTTCAGCTTTTCTACAACAACAAGTCAAGAAATACAGACATACACACAGACTTACCAGAGTCTCTCAGAAGCCCCTAGTCAGACTCTCGGACTGTACCCGAGCGTCTCGCTGGACTTTCGGCCTGTCAGGGCGCGTCTTTGCCTGGGGTGACTATAGCCGGGTGGTGGCCTGCGCTGAAAGACTAACAGGGGAGCTCCTACTTCTAAGACCATCACGGACTGTTGTCAAATCGATACAGTTGCTCGGGTTGCTCGTCGCACTCACACCAGACTCTCAGAACGCCTTCCAAGATCGCTGCGTCGACGTTGTGTGGTCTCGCCTCTTGCATCTGACGGAGATTCTCAACTGCATGACATTCGCTTCTCTGGCCTGCTTGATCACTCTCTTTCATTACACCTTTCGATCTACGGCATTCTTAGCTCCTTGATAATCGGTATGGCGGGGTATGGATATCCACCGTACAACTACAATCCGTACTATCCTATCCAAAACGATCACCAGAGCTTGTCTCAAGGCATCCCAGAGGCCTATATACCGAATCATCAGCTCCTCCAGTCGTCATCAGCGGATAGTCTACATGGGTCTTACGTCGGATACGACGACGCAACTCAAACAATTCTTCCGGCTCAAGCTGGTCAAGTTCGGATCCGAAGACGACAATCGACGGGCAATGAACACGTCAAACACCGTCGAACTCGGAGCGGTTGCTTCACTTGCAGAAGCAGAAGGGTCAAGGTAGGTTATTAGAATGTCAAATTGCATCGAATCCAGGCTAATTACCACAGTGTGACGAAGGTCATCCAACGTGTGATCGTTCGTGACCATCTTCCTAATTCATGAATCAAGTGCTGACACGGACATGGCAGGCTGCAAGAAAGGCAATAGAGAATGTGTTTATCCAGAGCCCACACCAGCCGGTAAATCGGGAAAGTCCAGTAAAGTCAAGGGTTTCGTAGAAAACCTCTCTTCTGGTGAGGAAGATGTGATGGTAGAGAGCAATGATGGACTACCTACCATTCCAGACGATGGAGAGGAGGATGTCACTGTCAAGCCCGAAAGCGCCGTGGATAGTAAATTTTCCCCCGAAAGTCAATCGCAGTCTCGAGAGAACTCCTACCCTCCTTCACTCACGGCAGACGAAGGGCCATCACCATCAACTGAGAACTCGGGCCAGCCACCTTCGAAACGGCCCGTACCATCTAGACAACAGAGCCGACAAACTGTCAAGGTTACCGGAGATCCTGAGCCTGATGGTGAAATAACCTCCGACATGCGTTTCTATCTTGATTACTACAAGAACAACATAACCTGCCATCACTACGCAATGAAATATGATGCGGAGCACTTCTATACAAAGACTCTACTCGAGATGACTCAGAAGAATGCTGCTCTTCTCTATGCCATAGTCGGTTTCGCTGCATACCACCATACACTTGGCAAACCAAATGGTAAGTTAGCAGGCTTTCTCAAATACTATCATGAGTCTGTCAGTTGTCTTCGTACCTCGATACAGAAAAAGCATACACATACCATTGCTACACTTTGGACCGTCTTACAATTGGCAAGCATTGAGGCAAGTGACGGGCGTTGGCGTTTTCTTTTTTTGGGATATCTTGACTAACAAGCTTCAGGAGGTCCTTGGAGACTGGGGCAACTTAAAGGGCCACATCAACGCCGCGCGACACATACTGACTACTCTTTACACTCCCGTGGAAATGCAGAAGTCAAACTCACTTCGGAAAACGCTCCAGTGGTATGTCCGCTTTGACCTATTCTTGGCTTTGCAGACCGCGACGAGAACTAGTTTAGGGCATGAGTGGCTGGTCGCACAACATGAGTGGCTGGCTGCAAAAGCCATTGAAAAGCCGGACGATATCGCAGTACTGTACGAAGAGCGCTTCGCTTACTCACGACTACTAGCTGGCGAATATGCCATCCTTTTCGACAAGGATCAGCCTCGTGACAGACCGGCTCATGAATTCGAGAGCAAAGTTGCTGACCTTATGCAAAAGTTTGCCAGGTGGCCTTCAGAACTGAACCCTACGTTGACAGATCCTCGATATCTGATCAATAAGTTCTCAGGGGTACCAGCTTTGAACACGGAGATTGTAGATCCTTACGAGCCTAGGATTCTTTACGGGCCGGAGCGATGGGTTACGAACCTCATTATGATTGACATTTGGGCTATAGAACTCATGTTTCACATGGCCTTGTCGCAAATGACAGGGGTCCCAACCAAGAATCTCGAACTTATCGACAAAGCCTACAAGTCGGCCCAGCTTTTCGAAGCCATAGAACTGTATCCGGGAGCTCCTTTAGGTGCAATCATTGATGCGCAAGCAAGCTTTGCGCTTGGATGCTTGCTCCTAGATGAAGATGAACGTACTAAGATGTGGTGCCGTCAGAAATTGGCCACGATCGAGATGAACGGGTGCGTAACACTGACTCCCTCGCCTCCATATCGCAGAATCTTTTGACTGAATGATTGCACAGATACATATACCCAAGGGGATTCCGTGAGAGGATGACTGCTATCTGGGGAACGGACATGACCGCCTGGTGGCTTCCTGACGTCGAGACCTGTCCACCCATCATAAAAGAGCTTCGCAACTTTACGGCCGAGCGTAATTCCGTGACCAGCGAGGACCTTGAAACTCTACAGGGTGTCTTTGGCAATCTTAGGCTGACAAGTTCGCGCAAGAGGGGGAAGCAAGCAAACAATTTTGGTTACGATGGTGTGGCATCGCCAGAGTTCACATTTGGAAGTGAGGGATCGAGTGAGCCTGCATTCGAGGACAGTCCTCTCAGATGGGACCACTCGGCCGATGGTTACACTGGCAACTAGGGAGATGATCTTGCCAATAAATAAAAGGCCACACACTCTGTCTATACCACCAAGACACGTCACTTTAGTACCATCCGGGGACTATTTCATTCTGTCTTTCGTTACGGAGCGATCATCAGAACGATTGAAGCATCACTGCGCCTCGGAATTACCTTTGCGACTATACTATGCGACACACTTATCACGGCATTTTAACGACATGAACGGTGAGCGAGAATTGCGTCGACGAGCACAATGGACCATTGTATTATTACTGTTTCTTGAACATACCCCCCCTTTATTTTCTTCCATCTTCCACCTTCACCTATACACTGTATTATCTGCATGATGGAGACCCATCTTCATGTTATCTTCGGTCACATCAAAATGCATAACATGCGGAACATCGGACCGCGCGGCCCGGCGAGGCAAAGGCTTGATTTGAGCCAGAAATTACGGCTAAAGGGGAACAACAGGTCTTGCGATCAACTTTTAACATTCAATGCATAATTTTATCCAATTCTCTCATTATCTTTTTCCACCATACCCTGGTATTGCCGCGTGGATCTGGGACCGTCTGTGCACTTTTCTTTTGGCTAATATCTTCAGGGCGCTTTACCCGTCGCATGAAATTCGTCAAATTGCAAGTGCACAGTCCACCCACCACAACCAGAACGGGCTGTCATACCTTCGATACATATTCCAAATACAGACTGAGGACGCTTTGACGCAATATTTCTGATGACGCAAGCCTATACTTACCAGCTCATCTCTCATATGCATGCCATACCACTCGCCCCATCGTTCCCAATAGTATCATCGACAACATCATCGCAATCTTCTCGACTCAGCATACACATTCAATGACACCACTACGTCTCCACATTCTGTCTTCCTCTATATCTCTATCTCCGCGCAAACCTGAACCGTAAACAACCCTTTTCCTCCCCCTCCCTTGCTCCATTGCACTATATCCCATCCCATCCCTTTCCTTAGAACTACCACCCCCCCGCCCAAACCCCCGAAACCCCTTACTTCCTCCCGCACCCTCCACCGGCTCGTCTCGTCCATCCCAGACCCTCACTCCATCCTCTTTCCCTATCCCCCCTCCCCCACAATGAAACTGCCTATCTATTTATCTAAACCCTCCCAATCATCCTCATCCCTATTCTAGCACTAAGTAACTACTCCAACTCATCTAAATAATTCAACTAATCTGAACCCAAACAAAACCACCACCCATCCCATCACCTATGCACCTATGCACCTATCCGCCATACTCATACTCATACCCATAAACATACCCACATACCCATCCAAAAAAATAAACATCCATGTGCATACAAACTCCCGCATAAACACCCCCACCATCATACCCTGACACATTGAACACAGCCATACATCCAAATCCAGTCATCGTATGATACATGATACATGATACATGATCTTAGTCATGGTGCTAGTGCCCTCTGCGCAGTTTGGAAGTATTGAAGATGTTAAAAGTAGCATGTATACTACGTTATATATGCTTTTATATGTGGGCAACGGAGCTGGATAAGGGGAAAAAAGAGGGAGAAGAAAGAAGGCGAGGTGGGGGATTTGGGGCGGGGGGGAATTATAGGGGGATGTGGATGAGGAGATTTGGATTGGGATTTGGGAATGGGTAGTTGGTAGGTAGGTAGGTAGGTAGTAGGATAGGGAAGGATTGAGGGATTAGGGTTGAGGGAGGAGGGCTGGATGTTTGTGTGTGTTTAGTTCGGATTATGAGTGTGTGTTTTGACGAACGGATGGACGAGTACAGCAACACACTAGTAAACAAGTACCCAAGTAAACAAATAAATAAAATCTCGCCTTTGAACACACTCCTTGAATATCGGCCTAACCAACACTCCCATACACCTCCCTCCTCCCCCTCCTCTTCACCTTCCCGCAAGCCTCAAGCCTCAAGCCTCAAACTCACATCTACACATCTACACATCTACACATCTACACATCTACACATCTCCACATCTACACAGCTACACATCTACACATGTCCACAGTACCCCAAACCCAAAGCACATTCCTAACCCCAATCACCCAACCCAGATGAACCCACAGACAGCCACAAACGAACATCGCAACCTTCAAAGCCAGCCACAACCCGCACTCCCGCAACCACCCGCAACCACTCCCACACCCACAGCAGCCCCAGGAACCGAATTACGACGAAAGGCGTATATACATATGCAGAGAAATTGGATAATACTCAGGGGGCTTTATGGTAGTGGTAGTAGTGGTGGTCGTGCAGAAGTGGTACTTCTCTCCCCTTTCCCTTTGCCCCCTGCCGGAGGAGAGGGGAGGGGGGACCAACGAAACCAAGGAAGTGTCAGACACCAGACAGGGGATGGATACATGGGGGCAGGGCAGGGTGAGACGGCAGGCGTCACACACACACACACACACACACGCCCGTAAAACATTGACACCGGCGTGGGGAAGGGGGACAGAGCATCTACACATAGTAGGTAAACGTATACGACGCAGGGTGATAAGACGGACGACGGACATAGCGCTGCGTTTCCCACTCTCTCGTTAGATAGCTGTGTTCTGTTAGACTCGGACGAGGCGGTAGTAATAGGCAAGCAGCGCAAGTCATGGTGGACGACGGACAAGGTTATCCAGGGGGAGGGGGATTCGGGATTACAAGAGTCCGCTATAGACAAGCTATACAACACATTCCCTGGAGTCTGCGGCAAGGGGAACCTAGTATATACCAAGTATATTGTACTACAGGACAAGGGGGCGAGGCATGGACTAAGTAGTTCATGATGACAAGCAGGAAACAATAGACGCAGGTGCACTTAGTCGATCAATCAATCAATCAATCAATCAGTAAGCCCAACAGTAGAGAGGAAGGGATAGTATAGAGAAATGAAAAGCCTGGGGTCAGCCGCCACAGGACGGAAATGAAAGGGCAATCCTGATCCTAGGCCTGCGTCTCGGAGCACTCCGACCGCTGGAGGGCAAATCGGAAACGGACCTGAGTACTGGGCTCCGAGCCGTGCTGATTCATCGTATGTATGAGTGGACGCTGGGCGATGGAGTTGTTCATGCCCCTTCACGGCTCTTGCGGTAGCTGGCCTGATATTGTGTAAGAATGTATGTTAGCGGTCTATTCTTTCTATATGTGTGGACTAGCGAACAACTGGAAAGCTATGACGCAGAGGACTAGGTGGAGAAAGTCTGGGCACGACCAACCTCCTGCTCGACTTGCAGCTGGTCCACGACGGGTGCCAGTTCAGAGAGTATCTCGTAGGCCTTCTTGTGGTACTCGAGCTGAGCAGCGATGAGATCTGCGAGGTTGCGGAGTGGCTCGGGGGTGTCTAGGACCTATTCGACTGTGATTAGTTCCAATACGCCTGAGGACTTCACTGATTACTCACGTTCTTCATGACACCCACAGCCTCCTCAGTCTGAGCAACAAATTCATCCTCGGCTTGCTCAATCTGTGCCCGCGCCTCGTCGCTCAGCTGCGATTCATCCAAATGATCCTCCTTCTTCTGGCCTGGCAGAGCGAAGCCTACACCTTTGGCCCGTGCCTTGACAGCATCAAGATTCAGTCGCGCATTCTCGACGCTTTTCCTTGCGCGTTGCGCAAACATCAGGTTTGTGTTCAAGGTGGTGCTCCAGCCGGCCAAGAATCGGCTCTGTATCTGAGCATCTTGTGCGAGGCGTGCCTCACCGACCTTCTCGGATGCAACAGCGTACTTCTCAAGTGCCGTACCAAGAGGGTCTTCGCCAGCACCACTGTGATCGGCCGCAAGAACTGTGGAGCTGTTGAGAGATGCGCGAGCGAGGGCATGCGAGAACGTCTTTGGCTGAGGCTTTGCGGAGGGAGGGGCTGTCAAAGCGGCTTGGGCCTCAGCGGGTGAAGTGGCATTGGAGAGGAGGTTGACCTTCTCGGAGACAGTGCGTCCAAGGTCATTGAAGGATTCCCGGAGATTCGTTGGGTAGTCATATGCTTCATGAGTATATTGGGAGCTGTAGCGGCGAGGTCAGGGCTTGTTCCGCGCATGAAAGGACGTCCAGTTGAAGAAATACATACGTCACAGCAAGCATCTTCTGGTGGACTGCCTTGAGAGCATCAACTCTCTTTTCAAGATCGATGTAATCCGGGGGGAGCTGCGTCTGCATCGATATGCAATTAGCAATCACATGCAGCCCACCTTGGATGCTGAGGTCCTTTCAGGAATCCATACCTTATCTTCTGATTGACCCATCTGTTCCTTCAGGTATTGTTGCGTCCTTCCAGCCCATGGCGTGAACGACGCCCTAAATAGACACCAGATCAGCATTAGATCACGATAAGGAGGCTGAGAGCTCCGACATGTCGCAAGCCGCTGCTGCTAGCTGTGATTAGAAGGGGAGCGTACGAGATGTTCTTGCCGAAAGCTTGAAACTTGTCCATGATTGCTGTCGGAGTCGTGAGTGCGACAGAGGAATGGCTATAGAGCTGTTGTGTTATGTTGGTGTCTAGATCAACGTTCTGTCTCCTTGAGAGCTTTGGTGTTGACCTGGCCCCACTTCTTTAGCGCGGCGCGGCTGTGGTATGGTGTTAGGTAGGTACCGATCCTTGTAGCAAGCCCGAAATAAAAATAACCTGACCCTGCATGTCAGAAGGGCCATAAAAGTAACGTTGCAATGTCATAGGGTTCAATTCAATTAAATCGTTTGAGTGTAGAAAAGTCATAAAATAGCTTTGTCGCAAGGAACTTTCGAGCATGTTCGAAAAACCTATACTAATGAGGAGGCGGGGTATATCAATTGAAATATGAATGCTCAGGAAGCTTGATGTTGGAGGCGCTTTGCCAGCATGTACAAGGCAGAGCAAAAAGTGAGCGCTATTCAAATATTTGAATGAGATATCAGTCAGCTCGGGGCTCTACCAATCGTACACCCATCCTGAATTCTGTTCCATAAACTCCTGACATGCGTGACGTAAAGCAATATTAGGCCTCAGGTCATTGATCGTGAGAATCTCACGGGTAAGGGGATCAGTTGCGCTCCTCTTCAGATGCTCAATTATCGTGGCTCGTTCATATGAATTACCATTTTTGGTAATTACGGCTACCAGCACAGTCAGCGGTGCCGTTGCTAGACATCCTTTTGCCTCGACTTACGGTCATGCATAATTTCAAACGTTATCGGGTCAATCAGCCAGTCAGGCACCTCCCTAATTGCTAGCTCTTTCGGATTTGATATTGCAAACGCTGTTTGTAGGTCACCCATTCGATTCGAAGCGTTTTTCTCGATATCAGCTCTCTCTTCTGATGCCTCAATTTTACCCACCCCACCTTTTGCTACCCTCTCGTCTAGTTCGTCAAGGTCTCGCTTCTTGTCGATCTCGAGCTTCTGCATGAGATCCCCAAGTACTACGCTTCGTCTTCGTAGCCGGTCGCGTTCACGAATTTCCCATTTCGCCTTCTTGCATCGTAGGACAAGCGCCGATATGGTCTGGGCGTTGTTGGTCTGCTGTTTGGAACGACTACACATCTCGTACGCCATGAGCGCGGAAGACAAGGCTTCATTAGGATGATTTATGGAGATTTGAGCTTGGGCTGAGAACAGCTGTTAGTTGGGTCTTCCTTGACGTAAGGACAACGTTCTTGTCCTGGTAGCACTCGCGAAATGGACTTTTGTCTCTTTGCCAGAGCCCCCGCGGATCTCATACATGTTGCGTAGATCTCACTGGGACAGCGTAATCACAGCCGTTCCACAAGAGGAGAGGAGATTCATGGCGATCAGAGAAGCTCATAGTAGTCCTAAGTTGCATGGACTAGAATGTGCCCTTGAGAGCAATCATCGCGTATGCTCATGAAGAATACCCATCCTTGCAGACCCTGGATGAAGAATGTACATACCCAGGTAGAAGTACGCCTTCATGTTCTCCTGCATAAGCTCTATACTCCTGAGACAATCATCTATCGCATCTCTCCAACTCTCCAGCTTAAGCCTCGAGTTTGCGCGGTTGGTATAAAGCAGAGGATTACTGCTGTTCTTCTGTATAGCCTGGGAGTATAACGTCTCGGCTGATGCCCACTCGCCCTTCTTGAAATAGGCATTTCCCTTCTCTTTGAGTTCTTCTGCCTGCCACGACATATTGGATCCAGTGGCTAGGAGCGGAGGCCGTCAACAGTAAGGCTGGGTCGAAGAGCGTGCGAAGTCGTGTATCGGTATGGAAGCGAGCAGGTTGAATCTCACTATTGGAAAATGTAAACTCTGACCGTTCCCTTGTGTTCATTCCTCACAAAATGCTATTACTGAAGTAGTGTTATGCAAGGACGTGATACTCAGCTACACATGCTGTCGAATCGCGTGAATGGAAGGTTCTAGGCGAAAGCCAGGAGGGCCGCCGCATCCATATATTCGTCAGCCATTATGTTGGGCTTTATTGTACCAGGCATTGCTAGCATGATCGTAGGACATAGTTTCCATATCAAACAGGTAAATTTTATTGTTGAAACTTGAATTTCAAAAGTCAAGGTCCCCGGTTGACGTAGCCCATTCCAAAGTGCGCCAATCGATACGACTTGTGGCTCATGCGTTATAAGCTCAATGAACTCTACCAATCTCTGCAGGGATCTATTCTATACGCTCCTCATTTGATTTCTTGTTTACAAGAATCCTATTCTATAAAGCTGCAGGTTATTATGTGGCGGCTAGAATACCTTGGCCCCCCCTCACGCGCCACTTTTTTATCAAGGGCGCAACTTCTTCACTCTCACGAGTAGGACATTCTGAACGACATCAAGAATGTCATCCGGAGATATCGATACTCCGATCCATACCTATCATTGCCTTTGCACAAACCTCTTGTTCGCAAGCACAACCGCAGCATCGGCTTTGCCTACACGTTCGAATTCCCTCGACAGCGCACTCATCTTACCGCTACCCGCTTCTCCACCCAAAAGTGAGGAGACCACCCATTATGCTATACTTCTCTCGACCACTGTCACCGCAAAACTGCAAGTGATAACGAAGAGTGACGGGTTCGAAAAGCGTTGGATACAGCGATGTGGAAGGTGCAAAGTAGTCATTGCATATCAGCTTGACTGGACGCATTGGGGCACAGAAGCAGGAGAGAGACATGGTCGAAGGCATGATGTCATGTTTTTATTACCGGGTGGTTTCATGGATACGAAAGATATGATTGTCGGCAAGGACATGACGCAGGAGGTGCGATTGGGAGTGGAAACCTGACCGCTAGCATTGTTTTGAATACAAGACAACACTAGCTGGTTTTGTGAGGTCTGAAAGCGCAGAGAACCAAAAGAAACATTCTGCATGCGGCTGCCACATCATAGTCCTCCTATATGGAGCTACGAACTGGACAAAAGGAACGGAGAGGATACTAGCTCAAAACACGAGGGTAGGAGGCGGAGGTAGTGCAGTGAAGCAGCTATTGATGTATGCTGCAGGTTTGTATTCCACTAGCTACTGCGCCAACGGAGGAAAGCGCATCATGCCATCAAGACATAGAGACCCATTATTCATGACAACCAAACCCATGGGCCAAACGCCTGCATACCCCGAATAATGCTTGTTACCAAAGACCGATAATGCTCAACCCTTCCTATCAATTCTTACTGATGTTCGAGCTTAATTGTCGAGGACTACTCGTACGAGATCTGAGAATATGTTAGTGCGTGCCGTGATGCGCATAGCGTTGGAGTATATGATAAAACATGCCCGCATAATTGATCTCTCCACTGCTGGTGTCCACAGCCTTGAGGAGTTCATCCACCTCGTCGTCGCTCATCTTCTCGCCCAGGTTTGTAAGGATATATCTGAGTTGCCCAACTCCAATGAAACCTGTGCCATCTTTGTCGAAAACCTGGAAGCCGCGGCAGTACTGGTCTGGGTCACCAGGGTCACGGAAGCCGCCCGGGCGATTTAGAATTTTGGAGAAAGAGTCGAAGTCGACTGTTGATATCCGTTAGCAAGGTCCTCTAACTAGCACATAATGCCTCACAGTCTCCGCCAATGCTCTTTTCCAAGTCTTTGATCTCTGACAACGTAGGATTTTGTCCACAGGCTCTCAAAAGATCACCGAGACTGTCAAGCGCAACGCGACCGTTGCCGCGTTTGTCAAAAAGCTGAAACGCCTCTTTGTAGTTGGTGGAAGCCTGCGCGGATGTTTGTGAGTTTTCGTACATTGACATTGTGCGCACAAGTGAGACGGAAGAGTAGAACTGGAGATGGCAATCGTGTTTGTACTGTAGGAAGAGCGAAGTGTAGATGTGCGTAGTGAGGACTCGTCGTGATGTTGCCAGGAGAAGGGCTGAGGTTGAGTTGTTGATTCGGGCCGTCAGGAGAAGCCATGGGCACGCCGCGCTCGCGGAAGGGGCTTCTTAGGGAAAGGACGGAACATACCATGGTCTATTATGTGAGAGCTGACTTTCTCAGTATTTCACCACTTGAAAGAGTATATGGAGTTGACAGAATATGGAAAGTGACTTCTGAAGCAGTGAGTCCGACCTTTTGGTGTTTTCTGCGCTGAGACCAATTTGCGATCGGATCTCGTTCTCGTTGCTATGGTTTCGACTGGGTACTACTAGCGCGCACTCCACCAGATGAATCCTTATCGCTCGATAAGACTGAGGGACCTGGCTACTTTACTTATGGGATCATGGATATAATTTTTTTTAATTCACGACAATATCAGTATCATATAACTGTGATTTAAATATCTGTTGCTGATAAGAGAAGAATTCTTCTACTGAAATGCATCGAACCGCCACAACACCGACGACAAGTACCTTTCACGATATGGCCGCACGTCCTAATGCTTTGCACATCTCTTCGTCTATCAGCTCTTGATTCTAGTAGTCTCCTATCAAACAAGCTGGATATTAGATGTAGATAGCATAACATGGTCAGGATGTGGCGATACCTGGGGTCGGACTGGACACACAATGCTAAATGCCGAAGCATATCGAATGATGATTCATCCTCGACGTTGTCGAACTCGTTTCACAGATAGATTAGTACGCCTCTGTGTTTGGTTCTGCACTCAGGAAGCTGAGGATTATAATGCGTCCTTTTGTAGGGCTGCACACCGTTCTGGGGCCATAAGTTAGGTGTTAGGTCACGCAGCCCACTCACGCATATCTTTTGGCTCAGTCGCGTCCAATATCGTACGCCATCTCACTTGCCAACCAAGAGGCTTCCTTGTTCATTTCCTCTGTGCTCCGGGGCTTCCTACTCTCGTCTGAGTCAGGCGCAGGGAATTTGCTTCTCTCCCGGGTAGACCCAGTGACCACGCCGGCGTCTCTTTCCTTCAAGCTCAACGACAAATCACCATGCTCGCTCTCCATCATGGAGTAGATGGCGTCATTGCCTCCCTTCGCATCGAGATCCCCTCTGGATCTCGGTATTATATGTGCGTGCACGTGTGGCACGCTCTGGCCAGCGTCTGCACCGTCCTGTATCGCGATATTGAGAGACGTTGCGTGGAAGACGCGCTCGATCATGCGCGACACGCGCTGGACAGTCTGAAAGAGGTCGTGAACTTCTTCCGGTTGAAGATCGTTGAAACGTGGGACGACGCGGATCGGGGATACTAGCACATGACCTGGAAGTAAAGGCTTCAGATTGACAAGAGCGAATGAGAGAGGAGTGATGTGGAAGACCTGGGGTTATTAGAAACATTTGGAGTGACCATTGCGTCGATTTGTATACGTACCTGGTTAGTCACCAGGAACGACCCAAAATGGATTGGCTTTGGTATAGTGAGAGGCGGCATTTTCTATGTGGGAATACGTGCGCGTTGCATGAAGCTTGAGAAATTCCATGATTGGAATGCCCACCAATTGTTTGAAGTTTAGACTAGTAAACGGAAACATTCCGCACACCTATCAAGTCTTCACCAAACAATTTCTAACACCTTGTCGCTGCGTCTCAACGTGAACAACGGCTTTTCTAGTGGATTGATTTAATGTTCTCCGATACATACGTTATGATTATAGAATTCTATCACCTTTTTATACGCTGTGAACAGCTTGCGTGGAAAATGTGCTCTATGGATCAGAGTCCAGGCCAAGATGCTTATGGATCAAGCTGATCAGATGTTCTGCATGGTCTTCATCGAGTGAAGATAACATCGTTTCGACTCCAGTCATCTCCTGTCCAATCTCACCCATACCTCGCTCAAGCTTCTGTAGCCTAGCATTTTGGACAGGATTCTCCAAGTGAACAGTCTTGTATCTACTGTTGCTGTATGCAGATGCTAAAAGCCTTGTCATCTCCCCGTTCGCAGAGTCCATGGTCTCACCTATGATCTGTGCGAGATTTGATTGTACTGATTCATGGTAGTCCTCCAACCGATCCTGTCGCTCACTGGTAGCTTGAGACATTGCAGTCCTTACGTCAACTCCATGTCCTACAGTGAGAGAGATGTCGAGGTTCTGAAGCATCCTTGCGATTGCATTTGGTACTTGTGCCGCCTGTTTGGGTAGGAAATTGGGGGTTAATGGGAAACTCGAAGACCGCCGATGTGATTTGGTGATGGGTTGCTCTGGGACTGGTTTCTCTAGTGCCAACGTCTTTTCAAAATGAGCGACAGCCTTGTTGTAAGCCATGAGGTGATTCATATGGAGACTACTTTGCTCCAGGCGGTTGCACATGAACTCCAGAGAAGACGAGATCTGCTTTCATCAGGACAGAGCCAAGATTTGTGACAGGAAATACTTACATATTGTAACCACGACTGTTGAGTGTCGATTTTGGAGGTTACCAGGCTCTGGCTATGTTTGACAATGGGCTCCTGAATCTCATAGTTGACCACCATTTCAGCAACAGAGGCAACCTCAGATCGTAGAGTCTTTAGCTCATCTTGGAGAGCTCTTTGCTCAGACAAAGCTTCTTCCTGGCTTACGTTGAGGCTCTCGGTGCGCTTGGGCTTTGCAGCATTTGAAGTGAAGGTCACATCAATACGAGCTTTTACTTCAGCCTCTCGAAGTCTAGCTAGTGACTGGCACCATCGATCTATCTGAGCCAAATCCTGCCTCTCATTTGAATTGGTTTCGAGGATCTGTATGACTTTGGATAGACGAGCCATGGTACGATCGTCGGAGTTCAACTGCTCTGTGGCAGAGCTCAGTAAGGGATGAACAACATTTTCAACATCACGTTGAGCTGTGGATAGCCGAGAGCTAGCTGTAGACACAAGATCTTCGACCTGGGAGTTCCAATCAACGATGTTCATTGCTCCAACTTGCATCATAAGAGATGCAACTCACATCTATGTTCAGCTGTGATTTTTCATCACCTCGACGTCGGGATCGATCCGCGCGAGATCGTGCAGACGTCGCGCTTGCCCGTGACTCAGCCCTGATAGAGTTCAACGCATCGCGCTGCGACTCTAGAACTCTGCATTGCTCTTCGATGGCGGTAGTGGAACTCTGCAATGATTTCAAGGCTTCACTAATTTCATCATCTGAGAGAGCTGGAAGCTTTGAAAGCGATGCGCTGTTGATTGAGACACTCTTCTTGGGGATTTTACGAAATCTTGACACAATCAATTAATGTCCCACCTTTACAGCGGTACACTCACAGATCGAGCTCTTCTGCTGTCAACAAGGTGCTTCTGTCGAGATATTCGTCAACCCATGCAATAACTTTGTCTCTCGTTTGAGCGGATTCAAATGCCCACGATACATCATCTTCAATCAGCGGTATACCTCGCTCTTTCAAGACTTTGAGTAAATGAATCTCAGCATCTGACTTCATGCTGATATGAGGGGCTGAAGTTGTGGAACGAATTGGAGATCGATCTTACCTATTTGATAACGCCGAAGCCTAAATGGGAGTTGGCGCGGGCGCGTCCCGTCGCGTCTAGTCGCGTCTTCCCATCCATATCACTTAATGACCTAAGCATAGCCCGTTATAACCTTACTGCCAGTGCACTTTCTTATGTTCCCACGCATATCTTACTTTACAATGGCACCAGCAACAATTGTCGAGTCTGAATCTCCCATGGATACAGTCAATATCGCGGCGCCTGAGAGGAGTAATATAAACCAATTAAAGCATGAAGAACACCAATACCTCGACCTCATCCGCGATATCTTAGATACGGGCGAACATCGACCTGACCGAACAGGCACTGGCACACGGTCAATATTTGCCCCTCCACAATTGAAGTTCTCTCTTTCAAAGCCATCATCCGACCCTTCAAACCCTACGCTGATCCTCCCGCTCCTGACCACCAAGCGTGTCTTCCTCAAGGCTGTTGTAGAAGAGCTGCTATGGTTCGTTGCGGGATCAACACACTCAAAAACGTTAGCTGAAAAAGGCATAAAGATCTGGGATGGCAATGGAAGTCGGGCATACTTGGACTCGGTCGGGCTCGGCCACAGAGAAGAAGGAGATCTCGGACCCGTATACGGCTTTCAATGGCGACATTTTGGCGCTGATTACACAGATGCTCACGCTGATTATGCTGGGCAAGGCGTGGACCAGCTTGCCGACGTCATTGACAAGATTAAAAACAAGCCGTACGACAGGAGGATCATTCTCACCGCCTGGAACCCCGCCGATTTGAAGAAAATGGCTTTACCGCCCTGTCATATGTTCGCTCAATTCTACGTTTCCTACCCTGGGACCACCACAGCGACTTCAGACAAGCCAAGAGGACATCTTCACTGTCTCCTCTACCAACGGTCCTGCGATATGGGGCTTGGCGTGCCGTTTAACATTGCGTCGTATGCACTCCTCACGCACATGATTGCTCACGTATGCGATCTGACGCCAGGGATTTTTACGCACACTATGGGCGACTCGCATATCTATCTCGATCATGTAGACGCATTGAAAGTCCAGCTGGAACGGGAACCTCGCGACTTCCCGACGCTGCACATTCGACGAGACGCAGGAGGAAGTATTGATGGCTGGGAGGCAGAGGATTTTGAAGTCAAGGACTATAATCCGCACAAGACGATAAAAATGACAATGTCGGTATAGGGCGAATTCACGTGCACGTTTATGTATGCGGCGTCCAAAGGTCGCTTGTGAGAAATTATGGATGGCTCCTATCGAGACCTTGGGAGGTAGGTATACGGTGGCATATACCCCATACTATATTCATGATCAAATATCAAATGAGATCTTATCATTAGCCGAGATGTTTGATGTCCTCCGACGATTGCTACAGTGAATCTTTTTCTAAACAGGAATGGCTTGATACAAGTAGACAAAAGAACACTATACATTAAATAAAAATCTATTATTCTCGTCTATCTGAGAGTGTCCAATGCTATGCACAAGGAAATCATCCATTACCCCTATTCATCCTCCCGTGGCCCAATGATCTCCAAAAACACCTGATCCAGTGTCGCCCTCCCGACGCTATAATACTCAATTCCAACATCTCTCCCCTCTCGCTCTAACACCTCAAACAGACTCCCCGCACCAGCTTTCTCGTTCTCGACCCTCAGCCTGATCTGTCCATGCATCATCTGGCCCTGTACCCTCGCACCCGGGATCTTCGCCGCAACCCACCTCGCCACATTCTCCATTTCCTTCTTACTCACCGTGCTTGCATTGTACAATACAAGGTGAACATACCAGCCACCACCATATCGATGCCTTAGCTCGTCTGTCGTACCCACGGCAAGCATGCGCCCCGCCATAATGCCCGCCCGTGTCGCAAGCGCATCTGCCTCCTCCATACTATGCGTCGTAATCAGCAGCGCACGCCCCTTACTGACAGCGCTCAGCGTGCGCCACATCACCCGCTTCGCCGCCGCATCCATGCCGCTGCTCGGCTCATCAAGCAGCAACACGCTCGGATTGCCCATCATGGCGATCGCGAGGGAGAGCTTGCGCTGGTTCCCGCCCGAGAGCTTGGCGGCCATACGTTGGGTATATGGCATTAGTCCGACGGCGCGCACAATTGTGTCGACGTTGCGCTGGACGTCCGCTTTGGGTACGCCACGCACGCGCGCGTAGAAGGCGAGGTGTTCCGTGACGGTCATGGTGTCCATGGCGTCGAATTGTGGACACACGCCTAGATGGAGGCGCGCCTTGGCTCTGTGTTTCGAGATGGAGGTGTTCTCGACCAGGATATCACCGTTGCGGTAGGAGGGAGTGATGTCGCCGCGGATCAGGGAGATGGTGGTAGATTTACCGGCACCGTTAGGGCCAAGAAGCGCGAAGACTTCAGAGTGTGCGATGCCGAAAGTTACGTCGTCAACGGCGAGCAAGTTACGGCCGAAATGTTTGGAGACGTGGTTGACTTTCAGAGGGAGGTCGATTGTTTCGAGGCGTGAAGCTTCGGTAGCTACAGAGGGATCTTTGGTGTCGAGAGCTGAGTCGGATTCAGAGTCAGCTGTAGCTGGAGCTTTCTTCTTCAGCCAGTTGAGACCGAAGGATGAGCCGCTGTCCCACCAGATGAGAAAGCCGAGGAGCACAGCGATTTGGATTATTAGGTACAGAATGGGCCCGCCGTAGATTGTGATGGTGCCTGGGTATGATTCTGTGGTATTATCCGACGTACAGAGCAGTTGGAACTGGTTCAAGCTCAGGAGTAAGATTTGCAGCAGCGTGCCTGCGGGGGTGATGATGTTCCAAGCAAAGTTGCCAATAGTGAGGTTTGTCGGAATATCAATCGCATCTGTAAAGACGGTAATACAAAGGACGATGACAAAGTACAATAAGAACATGCTGCATTGCAAACCAACTGTGACAGCGAAAGCAGCCAACTGAGATGTCGCGAACAGGGATACGATATATGCAATCAGTGCCGATGCGATACCATATAGCCAGAACCCGACGAACATGTAGCCGGGACCATACCAGACACTGCTGGCGCCGACAAAGATGCCGACTGTGATGGCAGCGACGACTGTGACAAAGAGCGTGTCAAAGAGCAGGTATGCAAGCCAAAGGGGTGCAGCACGTATACCATTGCTGTAGTGCAATGCACGAACTTTGCGTATCCTCTCCGCTGCTGGGTAGAGCGCGAGGAAGCCGGGGAAAGCGCACATAGCCAAGCCAAAATACAGAATCAATTGTAAAGTGTCACCCGCTGTTGGCGCAAACGGCACGGCTAGCGTCTGATAATCGGTCCAGATTTGGCTACCAGCTAGGACGTTGTCTAGTACATTCAGCGTGATCGTTGTGAAGTAAATCTCTTCATCGCCTTCGAAAGCGAAAGTCGGCGTGTCTCCGAGGAAGAATCCACCAGGCTTGACGTGGGAGAAGTTGGTAGCAATGTAATCCTGGAACTCCTGTAACGTGTTGACAATGGCAAAGTTCGATTCATTCAGTCCAGTAATCGCTGTTAGGTTAGAAAGAAGAGAAGTCACCCTATCTGGAGGTCCTATTGGCATCACAGTAGTCTCGTTGAGTCGCCCAGTGAGGACTGCAAAGGGAAAACCTGTGACCGGCGGGTTACTTGATGCTGCTCCAGGATCACAGCTAAGTCCGTTGAAACCCTGGAGAAACAAAGTAACAAGACCGGCGGCAATGATCGGCAGAAGAAGAACGACGACATACGGAAAGAAATTGCGTTGGAGGATGATGAACCGCTTCCGGAACAGGACCTTGCCTTGAGCAAACATACTGAGGCCTGAGCCGGAGGTTATATCCAAAGCATTATGCTCCTCATGCTTTGTGGACGCCTCAGAAGAGGAGAGCGTTGGGTCATCTGCGGATTTGGGCATGTCCAAGTCACCAGCGTCTTCGTTGACTTGAGTAGCGTTCTGATCGCCAAAACTCTCCTTAACTTCCTCGGCGAGCTTTAGGAAGACATCTTCAATCGAAGGTCCGGTCACCTGATAATCTGTAAACCCTTGTGTCTCAATATGTGCAACGAATGCAGCTGCATCTGCAGATGTTGGCATTTGATAAACAGTCTTCTCGCCAAGGACTCGGCTTCGCAAGCCAGATATTGCCATGTCACCAGTGCTGACATTGAAGCTGTGGTCAAGATAGATTCGGTAACCTCCACCGAGATGATGTTTAAGTTCAGCAGCGGAGCCTTCAGCTTTCAAGTTACCCTTGGAAAGAATAGCTATACGGTCAGCCAAAACATCTGCTTCGTCCAAGAAGTGAGTGGTCAAGATCATAGTTCTGATACCACGTTCAGCCATCAATATATCCCAGATCTTCCGTCGTGAAACGGGGTCTAGGCCAGAGCTGATTTCGTCAATGGCACATACTTTGCTGCCACCAGTAAACATCATTGCGAGCTGAAGTTTCCTCTTTTGACCACCAGAAAGAGTCTTAGACCGGGCCTTGAATTTGTGACCAAGGTCGACTGAAGAAGCCAAGTCATTATTCTGCTGCTTTGTATCAAACCCGGTGCTACTCTTGAGGCGATTGAAAATGCGGATGTGTTCTTCAACTGTCAAGTCGTCCCACATTACGTTCTTTTGCGGACAGTACCCAAGACCCCCGGTACCATCAACTTTGATTGATCCGCCATTGAAATTACTCAATCCAGTGACGGCATTCAGGGTCGTCGATTTGCCACTACCGTTAGCGCCCAGCAACGCAAGGATGTTTCCGGTGCGGGCCGAAATAGTGAGATTGTTGACAGCAATCACTGTCTCAGGAGGTTGAGTCCGGAATATGTTTGCTGTCCATTGGCGCCAATTGCTCGGCACATAGTGCTTGGAGAAATTCGACAGCTCTACAGCATGAGGTGAGTCTTCGTCCATGTGCAGTGACCTTCGCTTGTCCGCGGTCCCATAAAGCCATCTTTCAGTGAAAGCAGCTAGGACAGGATATATGACAAATTGGGCTCCCATGAAAATGAAGAAGGTGTACCCATGGACTTCGAAAGTGGATCTGCCATGTGCAGGCGCAAATTCGTCTAACTTTGTGGGCCGAGCATCACCTTCAAATCGGGCTTGGTAGATGATGAAAAAGACATAGTTCATCGGAGGGAAGATCAGGCTCAACACCAAGACTGCTCCATAAGACTCGATCCGAGCGACTTGAGCAACGATTGCGAGCACGACTGTAAAGAGAGTGACCGTGATGCCAGATAATTGGGCCTTGCGAAAAAGGGAACCACCAAAGATGGAGAAGCTCGTAAGAGCAAGCCCGGTGAGGATATGAAATAGAAGTGATATGGCGACACTGCTCTCGGGAAAGACCAGTACAGCAAGAATTATGCCCATAATAATCCAGCCTGGTAAGTAAATGATGTCAAAAGCGAGGTGGAGCGATAACAGTCGTGCCCATTGGGTATGCCAGGTCTTCGTGTTTGGAACCATTGCTTCAATCAGCTGAGATATGCCTAGTTCTCGTTCAGAAGCCATATGTCCCGTCAATTGATAAGTGACGCCACATACTCCCACGTAGAAGGCCAGACCAAAGATTGTTATGAGACTATTCATAAATAAGTTCTGTATAGAGCGTGCTCTCTGCTCATCGGTCCGCGAAGTGAAAACATATTGGTCAATGTTAGCCGGGAATGTCGTGCCATTGGTACCGATAATTGAGGAATCGATGGCATGCTGGAGTGGGAGGAGATACAGCTGCGCCTCATTGTCGCTCTGGTCGACGAATATAGATGCACCAAAAGCGCCATCGGCCCGAACTGTATAGTTCCAGAATCCTGTACCCTCGCTTGGAGACCCATGGAAGACGACAGCACCATAGCAGATCGAAGCTCCACGTAGTGAGCTGCGGCAGACCTCTAGGAGGTCCGAGTTTGCTCCCACGACGGTAGCTTCTTTGCCATTCATTCGCACTTGATTTGCCACATCATTGATAACTCCTTCTATTTGACCTCCCGTGAAGCCATTATTGACAAATGCGACAGTGGTCCTACTGTCGCCAGCAGCGGCGAAGGCGTCCGGCAATGACCGAAGAGGTGACGGCGAGCCGACTCCAAACTCTGCTGGGGGTATGAAAAAGTTCTTTGAGTAACTAACGAAGAACATCTATGATTTATGAGCCATAATACTGAGTCGTCTATAACACAACTTACAAAAATGATAGGAGCTATGAATGCGCGAATGGGCGTAGTTAGCCATGCGCGCACCAGTACAATTAACAAGTTCTTGACCGTCAAGGTCCATACTTGACTGAAGAAACCAGCCATGATGGAATACAACGGATTTCGGTGACACCTGTCTACATCTGTACCAGGGAGGATAATATCAGGTCCGAGAGCGCGGCAAGACGTCAAACGGGACGACGACAAAGCATGAGGCAAAAGTTATACAAGATATGGCTATGAAAGAAATATATACAAGACATAACGCGCGGCTCACGTCACGACGAATGGCAAAAGCGCAGCAGAGATAGCGCAGGTAGGGCTCACTTGGCTTTGCCACAAGAGCGAGAGAGAGATGGGATTTGGATGGAGAATAGCAGAACTGGCCTAGAAAAACGCGTCTTGGAGTGTCTTGGGGGAGGGGAAGGTCCCGTCATAGACTTTAGAGTTCACCTCAGGCATGAATTGTTTAGATCCCTTCGGTTATCCCTAAACTCCGCCTCCGGTTCGCTTGCACTGGCCCCGGCCGTCCGATGTTTCCGCTACGAATTCGGGCTGTTCTTGCTGGTTCATTGTCTTCATGTCTACGTACATACTACTCAGTAGCACGTTTATAACCTCTTGATAGATTTACCTATTTGTGTTCTTCAACCGCTTCTCGAGGGCTTCATCATCGTAGTATACCATAATTACCATTTCCACCAAGTATACCATAAGCGAACGATGTCTTAGCGTCTCGGGAGCTTGTCCAGCCGTACTAATATCGATGCCTACGATTTGCCTTCACTGTAGTCAGATGCTCAGGCCGTTTCGTCTCCTGTCTATTTTGCTGTCAATCTCTACAGGCTCCTGTTGTGCGCTGTGGTGACCTTGATACCGAGGATGTCTGCCTTCAGTCTCGACAAGACTGCAATTCCCCAGCTCATGTCTTTCATAGTCTCCTAGCTCAACGACTCGTGAGTTCGAGGGTCTCCCAAGGCTGTCACTTCTGACTTGCGCCTTAGCCAGCTTGACGCGTCTTCGCGCATATAAGACGGCGAGCCCTGCTAACACCACAGCAGCAACGCACCCTGCAGCAATTCCAATAATTTTTCCTGTAGACAAGCCACTATGTTGTGATAGATCAAGGGATGACTCAGGTCCAGGTTGCGCAATACTGTCTGTTGCAGACGCTGGAAAAGATGTCGTGTGTCCTGTCGCCACTGGCATCTACGCAAGTCAGATTTGCATAGCATGTTCAATCTCAACGACGTACATTCGTGATTGGGGTTTGATAAACTCTATCATCAATATTCGCGACCGACTTGAACTGCCAATGCTGTCCAGGCCGATCCGTTCCCTGTCCAGTGGCAGCTTCCTCAAAATAAACCGGATTGCCAACATGCACATCCACATTGAACCTCGATCCATTCAACACATTCTGGATTTTATAGTCATTCCCACCATCCCATTTCTCGATCATCCATTTCTGTTCATCGCTTCCATTTGCTTCGCTCAAGCACGGCTGCGACGGAAGATTCTGCTTGTCTCTGGGAAACCAGCATGTGCTAAGCTGTTTATTTAACGTCGTCGCGCGGTACCGAATCTGAAATTTCCCATCGTCAAGGCGGAGGAATTGCCAATGTTCGTGTCTATCCTTGTGATACGGCCACACTTTGACAGGATGCGCATTGACGGCTTGCAAGGACGAATTGAAGTTCACGCGCCGTTCCGTGAGATGGTACCACACGTTGGGATCGAGGTCCGCCATCTGACCACGGTAGCAAAAGACCTTCGTGTAGAAGTTCCATCGAACTGGAGCAGCATGATGACGGTTGAGTTATTTGTAGCTTGTCCAACAGGCAATTAAGTGGTCCTGCATATGATCCACTGCTAAATCATGCAATCAGAAGCCCAGATACACCACCTCTGAGACGCTTCGGCCCTTTTCGGTTGATCTTGGCTTGTGCTCCATGGTTCGTTCATGGATGATGAACCAGCGCTTCCTATGGCGACTTGTCTCGTCTCTTCGAATTGTCATTGTTACCTTCATCTCAAGAGATGTCTTCCTTTGCTTCAAATATGCTCATCCAATCTATCACCATGTAAGAACCTGAGATCCATCCGGATGCCCATTTCGACTGGTAATATAGTCACACATGCCGACGAAACACAATCTCAAAGCCATGGATACCCTTCCAAGTGGTATTAGACCCTGCACCCCGTCTTCCCTACTGGGCATACATAGATGCACGAGGCTGAGGAACCTCTAGTTCCGTATTACGCTTAGTCTCATGTTCTATTTCCACGTCGCACTTTCGTCTGTCAAACCTTGACAAGCTAGTGTAATGACATACACAATATAGGGCTGAACCTTTGGGTAGTAGAGGAAGAGATTCGAGGTGGAATCTCCTGCTCAATCGTACCTTTGTGCTAACAATCCCATTCTGCTGTTTTACCGTGGTACAATTCCGTCTGACGTGCGTTGTGGATGCGTGATGATGCCTCAGGCCACAATGCTAAACACACCCGCACAGCCTTCTTCCAAAGAATGCTGCTGCCTAAATCCATGACACCCTTCTCACCCTACAGCTATTGTTTCATCATCTCGCCACCCATAAAGCGTCGACCTATGACTTCAGGAAACAAGGCAGAAGGTGACGTCAAATTGCTGAATGCACTGCGGAATCACGATCCATACAGTATCTCATGACATTGCGTGGGCCCTGCCTGTAATGCTCGTTTCATCGTCACGCGCAGTTTCAGAAGTCTTCCGATGCTCTCTAAAACGGTCTTCATGGTGTATCTATTGAGCTTCGAGCCACAAGCATCATCACCCTGTTCATGAACTCAGTCGGAAAGGGTTTATAACGAGGCATTGTATGCTGACATAGAGGGCTCTTGCCAAGGGAGGCCTGCAGAAGCTGGCATGCCACGTCAGACAGTTGACCAATTGAGTCTCGCACTTCAGCTCTCATCAAGTCAGCTATTCCTTTTTTGCTGTGTTGAATCGCCCTGTTACTCCACACCTTCTCTCAGTACCATCTGTACAAGTCTGACAATGTCCACTATCCATCATACTTTCCCTCTCACAAGCTGCTCGCGGATTGGTCAACTGCCCTGCTCTACCAGAATTTTCCCACCATTGTCCATTAGTGAATCTCGCTCTACTTATCAGAGATCATCCAACGTTTATACTCTGCCTTAGCCTACTTGGCCTGGTCACTCCCAATTCTTTCTTTGTGTATTGCTGGTCGGACCCATGAAAGGTCAAGTATGAGTCAACAAGAACCACTCCTTTCGAATGTAGAGCATACCATGACGCCGGTTCTGGACGATGCTATGTGGCTGAACGAATACATTGTCGGTGGAAGCTATCACACCAGTGATTCAAATGTTCAGGGTGAGGTCAGGCACATTCTGGATTGGCATACAACATCGCCGCCTGCCATTGAAGAGAATTTGAACGCTGCTCAGAGCTCTGCCAACTGGTGTACAAATGTTTCAGAAGGCATTGTTACATCCACTGTTGCTTCAATGCCTGGTCTCGAAGGCGGTGCAGAACCTGCACCGAAGCACACCAAAGTCAAATCGGTGAAGAGATCCCGGAGACATAATAATCACAGCCCCCTGAGACTCACGAGCCCTTCAATCAGCTTGCGGCATGAACGCACGGTTCCATCGAAAAAGCGTCGATCTTCTTTCTTGCCAGCCCAAACAGCTGCTCTACAAGATTGGCTAAAGGCCCACAGAGAATGCCCGTACCCTACTGCTCAGGACAGACTTCGTTTAGCCAAGTCAACTTCTCTCAGTGTGGACCAAGTCAATCGATGGTTCACGAACAGGAGAGCTCGTCACACTGAGCCACATCGATTACTTTTACCGCAAGGTCAACAGCACTTGGAAAAGAGCCCCTTAGAAGCATATCTGTCGTCTCCGATGGAGAATGAAGCAGTGGAGGAGTCGACAATACGAAATGCTAGTCAAAGTCCTGAATACTACAGTCATTGCTTCCAAATGGGGCGATCCGATTCTTGTCTATCTGCAGGGGACGTATCATCATATCTTGACCCTTCCTCATCTTCCCACACACCGCAGAATACATTCTATAACATCCGCAAGCAAGGTCGGAAGCGACCAATCTGGAGTCCACCTACAATAACCGGAAGTGAATCCAAAAGAAACAAGCCTCCACCAACATCTGCGCCTTCGATGTCAGTTGAAAATGCAGAAGCAGTATTTTGGTGTACATTCGCTGGCTGCCATGTACGACTCACAAGCAAGACTTGGAAACGACACGAAGAGACTAAGCACGCCCCGCGACATCGCTGGACCTGCATGCTACAGGGATTCCGGGTGCAAAGTAGTTTGACAGGGTCAGCAATTTGTGCGTTTTGTGGTCTGACTGAACCTCAAGACACTCATGCATTTGCATGCAGTCGTATATCGGAATGTCAGAAACGGAAAAATTGCGAGAGGACTTTTGCACGGAAAGACCATCTGAAGCAGCACTTGAAGAACTTCCATCACTCCCGATTCGATAAGAGTATGGAGTGCTGGAAAATAGACGCTGACCCATCGGAGACCCATTGGACTTGTGGATTCTGTGGTGAGTTGTTATATGGATGGAATGCACGTGCCCTACATATCAGCAAGCATTTTCGCGATCAGAACTGCCACATTAAAGACTGGGACGTCGATCGCTTCAACAATCCCGAGTCCCAACACGCCTGTACAACCTCCTTTGTCGATGAAACATTCAAGTACCCATATCCTGCTTCAGTACCGTCCGGTTTCTCTTCCAAAACTGCACGCCCTGATCTCTTCCTCCATATACCGGATATGATCAACCCTACATCTCCTTCTCCCGTCGACGCCTACCCAGATACTATAATTACTCCGACCGATCCCATAACCTTACCTCCACCAGGTCTCCAGACTCCCCTCCGTGAACCTTCAGCCTTCAGCGACGGCATGCAGTCACCCAGCTCATATCCGCAACAATGGGCCACAACATCTCCAACCCCCTTCATAACTTTTACGTCCGACGATCCGTCTGGCCAGAACAAGCGCCCTCTTGCTCATGTCTCGCCTGTCGTTATCCCACCGCAAGGGCTTCAGTCACGCGACTACGCTCGTCTTGAACAACGCGTCTTCGCCCTTGAAGCTGAACTTCAGCTCGTGCGCCGCCAGCAGTCACAAACCCCTGAGCCCACTTTCGCAACACTGGCTGTACCACCTCCTACATATGGGCCTCGTCGGCGTAGGCATTCGAGATCTACGAGCCAGGAGGAGATTGGAGACGAGTTGAGAGTGTATAAATGTTCAGAGCCAAGCTGTCCAAGCCAGGCAGGGTTTCGATACCCGCTACAGTTGGTTAGACATGAGAGAGCTGCGCACCATGAGAGGCGGTGGCAGCACATAATGAGGATAGCGGAAGATGAGGTTCCGAGAGAGTAAATCCGGCATAAAGTAATGCGAGAAGTGCAGCAATGATATAATAGACATAGATTTCATAATTTCTAATCAATGTAACACAACAGACTTCCGGTATTGCAATTCGATTTCGCTACTGTCCCTTCATTAGTCCTTGCACACCGTCAGGGATTCCAATCCGCACTCACAACGAATACTAGATCCTCCACTCCCGTATAGCCCCTCGTTAGACCTCGAAGACGAGTCTTGTAACACATGGCAAGCTCTATGGCCTGTATTATAGGGAATCTTTCCGCTATCGTCTGGGAAGACCTAGTCACTTCACGTCAATATCTCGCAGCTGTGAGGCATCTGCCATAGACTGATTCTTCCACACTTAAGACCTACTAGCTATAGAGTCTATAATGTTATAATCTCGCCTTCTATTGTCATTCTATGTATTCAAGATAGTGAAGCTAAGCTATTTTGGGTGAGTACTTGAGAGCTAACATCTCCTAGTAAGAGAGTCGTCATGGGACTTGCGCCCCTCCACAGTGTTAGGAGTCTGTCGCATGAAAGACTATACTCACATGTCATCGGTCTATCTTGCTCTGTATGGGCCGTTCACACCAGAGTTTCAATGGTTTTGCCTTCACGCAAGGGAGCCTGAAGTGGGGCCAATGGTGTTGTCGCCGACCTCAAGAGGAAGCATGGCCACAGGGTTGGGCTTGGGTCATTCTAGCTTGGAAACATGTATCTGTAGATGATTGGCTATGTGATCTTGAGATTGGAAATAGTTATACCGTCGTCGAAGTTCTAGTGCGAAACAGGCACTGGAGAATTGTTGAGCCAGGCGCAAGGGCGGTAACAATAGATGCTGTGCACAGTTCGAGAAGACATATGCTGTCTTGTTCACTACCAATTTGTCGAACAGTACCTGAAATCGCACCTTGTGCTTTCAGTGCTGGTTCGCTTAGCAAAGCGGACGTGGACCCCGTATTTACGAGAAGTCTGTTGTTCCTACTCTTTCGGCCCAAGCAACTTACTTTTGGTAATGCCTCAAGATTTCGAATTCATACCACTCTATTCATCTTGATATGTGGAGAGCTCTCTTTTAATATTCGGCCTACGCAAATACATCTCGACGATCGAACGCGAATTCCAACCCCTATAAATCAGATCTTTCTCCAAAATACGAGACCTAGGACAATTCAGAACTTCACTGAGAGACACCGGCTTGTTTAGGGCTACTATCAGCAGCATCACAGGATCATCGGTTAGGAAAAGTCTAAATATCACTCCTGACGTCAAATTATAGTAAGAAATTTACTGATCGCCACTTCCAGCAGTTCCACTGTGCCTGAGCGTCGGCAGACTCATATCACACCACACCAAACATCTCACAACAGTCACCTACCGCATTGCTGACGCAGAACGAGTGCAACTACGTCTGTAGGAACGACGCAGAGCAAGTCGACAAATGAGCGATGAGGCACGCTGAACGGGATAGAGCGTTCGCAGAAGAAGGCATTGAGGCTAGGAGGGATGTATATGAGCAATGGGGCAGGCGAAGACGAGATATGAGGGGAAGGGAGTGACTCTATTGTAGGCTTTCTATGAGCACGAGGAGAGATTTTCCTGATCGGATACTACTATTTACAATCATTTTCGAGTAAAAACTTGCGAATAGAAATGAACTAGCCCTATTCAGAACTGAAACATTGTTAATAATTAGTGATGGTGTGTCTTTAAGCAATAGTGACACATCAGGGGACCTGTGTCTCGGGTTCCCGCACAACATAATTCGATTGATAAGACCTGACCTTTGATTTCCTAAGCTGGATTTTCCCTTGACCCATATTACAACATACTTCTTGACCTCGCCACGCACATGAGTCTCTGGAGCCTCTTATCGTAGCTTGATATACCCCTGAAAACTTTAGACCCTTTTTAGAAGCTATCCTCAAGACTTGCAAGATGGATGAGCTCCTGTCCCAATTTCCTATGCCACCACAGTCCATCCGTGTTGCGCCTCCTATTCCACCAAGCTTATCGAAAATCTCTGGAAATGGCGTTGGAAATAATGATCCGGCCACCACTAGTCACTCGACTCCACCATCTACCCCATCGCTGCCTTCGACTGCTGCAGTCGTCGAAAGTACCCTACTCGAGCAGTTCAGTTCGAAACACGAAGATGTCCCATTGGAGGTTTTCTTCCAGTTCTGTTACGGCCCACTTGATGGGCTAGCTGGTGAGGGTGCGAGATCACGCCATGGTATGTTTCTATGTTGATAGGATTGTCTCATGCACAAGATCTCAAGCTTACACTCACTTAGACGTTCTTGAACATTTATACCAACAGAGAAGCACCGGCAGTGGCTGGGAACAGCAATATCGCCTTGACATCGAGCGACTAACGAAGAAAGCTCTCATCATAGCTCTGAGCCTCCAACACCGCAAGATCCGAAAATACTTGAAGGACAAAGCGTTGTCTGCAAACGACACTCCCGACCCTCAAGTTATACTCATAAGTCGTACTCGCATTCTTTACAACGCCGAGCATGTCGTCGGCCTCGATGATACCTCTCCTATCTTCGTGGAGCTCGCGAGGCCGCACATTAGTGCAATGATCTTCGAGCTGTCCCTCAAGGACCGACATACAGTCAAGATGTTTGCCGGTCCGGATACATCTGCTCACCTGCTTTCCGAAGTGTTTTCAGGAGTTACTGATAAGCCAATCACCATATTCCCTGGTAGTGCACCTTCAGAGCGCGTGTACGCCGAGATGAACGCCAACGACGAGCTCCCTCTGCTCTGCCGCACCTTCGCAAATCTGGGCTATCCGTTCGAGTCGATCCATCAGATGATCTGGCTGGAGGCCACCGCGCTCATCAGTAAGTCTTTGACCTTCCTGAAATCTCCTGTATCATTGTATACACACTATCTCATCCCCCTCCTTACCCCCTATCATGACGTCCTCTATAGATTATAGCACCCTTATCGCCTTCCGCAACATCCTCGTTTCATATACCCAGCAGAGCCTCCTCCGCATTCTCTTCTCTCCTCAAACGTAATAGACCGCTAAGCTTCCTCTCCTCTGCAGAAGCCCTCGCAACCGCCCTCGCCATCCCAATCTCCGCCCTCCATCTCTCCAAATCGGCCAACCTCCCATGGGCACTCTCTGCATAGGTCTCCATGCGCGGCTTCGCCTCACCACCACTCGCCTCATTGACGATCCTGTGCCTCCTGCGCTCACTGCTGTACGAACAGATGTGCGAGGACGAGGATGAGGGTCCAGTAGAGGCGCTACTGCAACAGTGGAAGGACGTGCTATTCTGGTTCCGGGGCTGTGTGTTAGACAGAAAGAATAAAGCTGGGGAGAAAGATAACGAGGAGGAAGAGGCTCATTGGGTAGTGGTGAGGAATAGGGGGGTGTGGTTGGGGCGTGGGTTGATGGACGGGAGGTGAGGAAGTTCAATGGGGATTGAGGGGTCAGAGGTTGGATTGTGATGAGTGTCAAAAGAGACGTTGGATGAGGCTGAGGCCTTCTGCTGTTGAAGGTAACAGGAAAATTTTCGGATAGATGTTTCCTGCGCAAGAGCAGCTGTGTGTTATATAGCAAAGATATCATTGTCCATGATAGACATGTTACTTGCGACACATGACTCCTTTTTCGTGGTTTTATCTGCATATTAACAAAGAACTATCGCAATTGACGGCACACAGAAGCCCGGTGATAGAACATTCAAGGGGGTGTTAGCACCAATAACATTGCCATAGACACTATATGTTATTCCACTTTAGGAACAGTAGAACATGTATAAGAGTATTGAAGATAGCTGAACCTCTATAGCAATTAAATGGTTTTTCAAAGTCCCTCTCTATTTTATAATTAGAAAAGCAATAAGTTCGAACGAGCTTCTAGAATCAAGATATTTAGGTAGATGGTCGTGTCTCTGAAATGAGACCCTACAAACGTCTACATCCTCTTTAGTCATTTATTTCCTTGTAGCCAATATAGAAAATAGAAGCTCTTAACCTAGTAGTACACTACAATAATTGTATCTGTTTAGCAGTACTAGAACACAATAAGTGCCATAGATATAACAAGTATATAGGTAATAGAAGCCTGAAAGAATTTCTTCATGGCACCGAGATACCAGCCTTATGTCTATCTAATAATAGTCAACACCTAGAGAAGCTATAGATATGTATATCTTATAGCCATTAGGACATCTAGTTCATCCATTCGTGAGGTAGACTGAAGAAGATGTCTCTTATCATAGTATGATCGGATTACTCCTGTGTTGGGAGGCGGCTTCTACTTCCAATGTCGTAGCATCTTCTGGTACTAAGGAGCTATATACTTGGATTTCAATATATCTAACGACACTTCTTCTGGTTATTTTGTTCTAGATCTCAATATGTCCCTCTCACTACTGGTTCTTATCCATACTGACACGGCTAGAGCTGAAATTAGGAGCTACCAAGTTCAAGCAAATATTGAAATATGTCATCATGGTGTTGAAGTCATTGTACTCAAAATTTATTGTCATGATTGATTCATATACTCATGTCAAGCATTCAGCTTATATATGCAAAACCCCCGTTAGCTCTAACTGCGGTGATCATGACGACCATCATATCATTAATCGACATCACGATCTACTTGAGACTCATAAAGTACTTCAACATGGCGGGGTAATTGGGAGTCCCAAGTCCACTGACTGGGTCCCAGCCCTTGCTCGCACTGAATCCCTGCGTGTTACATCCAGGGTTGGTGCCGTTTGTTATATCGTGCAGCACCTCAGGGTGCGCATACAGAGCGGGATTGATGAACCCCACAGTATTCTTGCCAACAGCAATACGTTCCTCATTGATGCGGTTGACGACGGCCGCGAAGACAGGAGCTGAGGCGGAAGTACCGCCAATCAGAGTGGGAAGACCATTGAGTATGATAACTACATTGTCACCAACGGCGCTGATATCTGGGTAGCCACGGCCAGCCACGTTGTAGATGCCACCGTTAGTAACGGTCTCTGGCGGGTTGTTGGTGCCAGAGGTGCTGTAGGTCTTGTAGGGAGGCGTATGCTGGGTCAAGTACGTGTTGACAGCATCCTTTTGGTATGCGGGCTGAGGGTAGATGTTTGAAAAGCCACCGCCGGATGGGAAGCGGGTGGTGGAAATCTCCTCGTCCTTCTTCACGTCAGCACCAGCTGGAAGATAAGTAGACCCGGCCGCTGTGATGTACGGGCAACTTTACATTGTTAGCTACATAGTCGATTGGTCTAGTATCGAAACTCACCTGGCAGGGAAATCCGGATTGAATACCTCTCCGTTCCCGAGACAGCCATCATCATTACCGTCATCAGTTGATCGAGCCGCAACTCCAGAATCACCGGAAGCGATGACTGTAGTTACTCCTTGCATACCGAGTTTCATGAACTCACTGCACTGACGCTGTTGGTAGTTGGTTGGTAGATCATCCTCTTGCTCGCCATAGGAGATGGAGATGACATGGGTTGGCTTGTAGACACCGCACTGGAGCTTGCCTTGGTAGCCGAGGGGATTGGGGTTTGGATACACGGGGTCAATGTTGGAATTGCCGGTCAGTCCAAAGGCGGTGTAGTTGCAGTAAGATCCATCAATAGCGTCTAAGAACGTATTCAGGAAGCCACCTCCACCTTCCAGGCCCGAGGCGTAGAATATGTCGTCGGTTTGGAAGAGTACACTGTTCTGGGGATAGATGATAGGATAAGATATCTGGAAGTCCAAATTGGACTCGCCACCTGCAACAGCCATAGGAGCGAAACCACCGTCAATGCCTCGCAGGATTGGCTGCGTGAGAAGAGGGATATTTGGTGCGAACGTAGCGAAGAATTCGACGAGGTCGGTTTCGGAATAGTAGTCACCTTCCTCGAAGATACCGAGCTCGTTACCCTTGGCAGCCTTTGTAGCCTTGGTGATGTTGTACATAGTTGCAATACACTCAGGGGTGACCATAGAGTCACACATTGAAAGTGGGTTGCTGCTGTTCAGGCTGCTGAGCGACTCCTTCAGGACTTCGCCAATGACGGGCGTACCGAATTTAGACTGTCCGTTTGTGCGGAACCCACGCTTCTCCACGTCACGCTTGCGGGCATTCAAGTCCCGACCACTGGAGGCTTTACCACCAGCAAGGAGCTTGAGACCGAGAGTGACGTAGTCGACATGCTCACGGATGTGAGATGGAAGATGGTACTCGTCACAAGCAACGGTCTTAGCACCAGTCTTCTTGTGTTCATAGTTGTAGTACTTTGTCTTCAGAAGTTTCTCAGCCTCTTTGACATCGAGATCCATCTGCATCCACTGCTTGTTGATAGATTGGGAGATGCGATTCTTGGCGATACCAGCCTCGACCAGCCATTCACGCACAGCATCCACAGTGTCTTGAGATGGAGCGAAGATCTCGATGACCTCGTCTGCAGAGTAGATCTGACCGTAGCGCTCAGAATCAGGATGAGAGCTGATTACTATGTCAGCGTGGGATTATGATTGATAGAAGTAGAAATGCAATTACATCTCATGGAGAAGTCTATCACCCTCTCCGTTGAGAATGTTTCTTTGGGTAAGGCCGATACGCATTGGCAGCGTGGCAGTACTGTCAACCTCCGAAAGCTTGACCCATCTTCTCAAAGGACCGTTACGTTTCTCGTGTACTTCATACTGAGAAGGTGTTGTGAGAGTAAGGGCAGACCCCACAAGGGCACTCAATAGAGCCAACTGCTTGAATCGCATTGTGTAAATCTTTAGGAAAGCAGCACCTGTACGTTGTTTGGACCCACGGACTGAACAAGCACGCCATTATTTATATAGCATTAAGTCTGACCCGAGGCAGACGATCATCATGGATGGTATCGCTATGCTTTCGAGCTAAGGATACTTTTGTATACTAGTCACGGCAGTTTCGATGGTTAGTTTCTTGCAAGGGCAGCCATAATGCGGGGAACTATAAGTAGCATGTAGATCGTACCAAAATGAGTGTGTCTAGTGAAGTGAAAAACAACACTAGAGCGAAGATAAGCATGAACAAGCTCGCCGTGGCTTGTTGTTCAAGGGCGGAAGCCAAACTCCACCGGGCAGGAGGAGAATATTACCTGCCGAGGTCTCTTTTCAAGCTTCTTTAGTCTACTTCCAAGACCAAACAAGACCACTCCAAGATAAGCTTAATTTACGCCCTCGGTGTTACTTTCCACTCCAAGGTTGGGCCAATCGAGTTGGGCTCCCCACTGTTATCTGCTTTCTCATTAGTATTCGCGGTGTCTCATTTGCGGGGCAGCACAATGGATCTTTATCGTCGTAATCATCTCGGGCACAGACATCTCCGTGGAAATCACCGGAAGAGGCAGTATTCCGTCTACCTTCCAATGCAATTCTAGTGAAGCTTATTGGGCTCACGGAGCGGCACCAGAATATGTGGTGTAGATAAGGCCTAGTAATTAGATCTTGGTACAGATTTTACCCGCCTTAAATTCATGTACCTACCTCCGCAGCTATATGCCTCTGAGCTCATTGACAACAGCCATCTGCTCATCCCAGGTTATTTATGATAGACTACGTACCTACGAATAGAAACTAGATTTGAGGTTATGATCTGTGAATCAAATTTCTCCCTCAATGAATGTCTGTGAAACTAAGCCCTGCTAACGGATCTGTCATTGAGGGGAGGATCAACGAAGCGTTATGTCGTCTTTCAATATTGACCTTGTCAGGCTTACAAGGATACGGAAAGTGTCGATTGGGAGTCTAATGCATAAGTTTACACTTGTAACTCAGCTCCACCAATACAGGCTCGGAACAGAAAACCAGAAAGCTAGCGAATACTACTAGTCCAGTCTGTGATTGAGGCATTGACTCTAAGTCATTGTTTAGACTAGGATTTGGGTAGAGCATCTTGAATAGGGTGCGTATATCGCTGATAGTCTTGCATTTCTATACTCTTCAGACCCAACGCATCAAGGCACACTAGATATACCTTTGTTAGATATCTTTATTTACCCACTCTCTTTTAAATGCTTGTCGAGGTATCGTACACGTAACATAGTATCCATTTTAGGATCTGTTGTCTAATTATAACTATGCTCCCGATAAGGACTATTCGGTCACTGCGCTAAGATATGTACAATCGCTGAGTTAAGACGAACCAAATATAAACCGCCAACATTAAAAGGAAAAGGGTATCATCGTCTATTCACCGCTTTCTATAGTTCAAAGATCCTCTGACTGTCCAGCAGTCCATTTTTTAACATTGCTGTAGCTCTTGTGAGGGATAATCGCCTCACGCTTAGCGACAGTAGCACGCCGTTGTATAGTTTTAGTGCTCGTATCAAGTTCGTGACAGCCCTCGATAGGGTTGTTTTCGCACAGTGGATGCAGCGTTTTTGTCTCCATATCACAGAAGAAACCATTTGCCACAAAGTCCGGTCCCCAACTTGTTTTGGAATTGCAGAGTTCAGATGCATCATGCCCTGGCACATGCGAAACGACTAACCGGTCCTTCATCCAGCGCTTCCGCGGAGGCACGCCTCGAGGCTTGAGGCTCTTCGCGATTGCCACACCATCACGTTTCGTTTCTATGTTGCCACCAGAGGGTCCAGCAGGGCGACCGGGTATCTCATCATGATTTCCATATATCGCTGCGTCGCAGACAATACCGTCCAGCTTAGTCTTCGGCACGGAGGAGTTGCTGTAAGCCAAGACGTTGAATTTCATAGATTTGCTGACAATATCGTTCGTATGATCACCGTCGAGCCAGGTGCAGCGAGGTATAAAAAGGCCGTCTTTACAGTCATCGCAGCGTCCTGCAACTTCGTATTGGTGAAACCACGACTGGCCGCATGCAGCGCCTATTGAGCCATGTCAAACACTGGCTCCTACTGCACAACGAAAACATACATACCTATGTCGCCATTCCACGCTCCATCTGAATCAGAGCCATCTTTTTGCGTGACTCCAATCCACGCAATGCAAACAGCGTCATTCCCAGCCTTGACATTAACATAATTAGCGAGCTCACCCCAGACGGGTGACTCGATTGAGAAGTCATGGTAGTCTGCAGCACCTATATTCGATCCTTTTGCCGTGCCTCGCCGCTCGTCAAGTGCGTTGTATGTCCAAACACCATCTATACGCCCACCGAATGCTTCGCCTTCTCTTGGTTCCCCTCCCACTTTTATCCGGATAACAGGGCCGTGTGGACCCTCACGGGCGAGCTTACTGCGGTGGAAGTTCACCAAGCTCAACGAGCTGGAGGTCAGACTAACACTGCTGGAGGTAAGACTGTATCCGAGGGATGCTATACTCGCCGGTGCCATTCCAGCGAAGGGCGCCAACCCAGCGAGGAAGGCCATAATGAAGAATTGCTCAAGAGTATTGACAGGTCAAACGCGGAATCAGCTCAGTGATGCTACAAAGGCTCAGTCCGAGGAATGTATATGATGTGACTGTCTTAAGATGACCGACAAAAATTTGGCCATCTGTTTCACTTATGTACATAGCACTCTCGCGTAAAGTCTGTGCTGAAGATCTCGGACAGATCGCACTTATCACAATCGTTCCGTTGACCACATGGAAGACTTGTGACTTGAAATTCATTTTGCGGCACGTAGGTTACACACGCACACGAGGCAGAAGGACTGGTTGACGATTCAACGTGGGTGAGATCTGGACGATGGGGCAGGTGACATGCCAGTCTTTCAGGGATCTTACGATCCACATCGAGTCATGCTTTCCCTTCTTCCCATGTCAATTTGCACACACGAGGTCGAGAAGCTCTTCTGGATTGGCTACCGAGTCATAGGAGCCGAAGAGCCGCATGAATGACGAGAGACTTCCAGAAAATCTCCAGGGAGCACTCGCTGCGGTATTTACGTACAAGTATCCCATCATTTGAATAGGAAGTGCACATAAATCCTTCAAAATCCTACCATGAATTGGAATGGCTTCGCCTGTGGCAAGTTTGGATTCCAGTAAGGTAACCCAAATTTTGACTACAAATACCAAATGGAACATGAAAGCGTATTAAGAACGTACCGCCCAAAAGGATGGGAAGAAGAAGAGATAGTCGGCCCGAATGAATAAAAGCGCTAGAATAAAGTCTGCAGTTGGAACGGGCCACGGTCCATAAATAGGTCTTCGGAAATTTTCGGAAAACTAGCATCGTATCAACTCTACCTAGTAAAAATCTCTGCAGATAAACCCATCAAGACGGTGTCGAACTCTCTCATACACATGGTGAACAAAGGTCGGGAGGCTCAACCTTCCAATTCGCTCATGGTGACACACGTATCTCCGGAGGTGCCTAATCCAGGTCTAGTGTGTATGGATGAGAGGCTAGGCTACAATAGGTATTAGCACAGGGTCTGATCAAACAAAAAGTGTTCGCTTTCAAGATTTCAGGCGAGTCATGACAGACCTAAGGATAGAGGCTAGGGCCAGGAACGTGATGGATACCAGACTCCATGCAACTATACAGCATGTACCTTATCTATTTTCTAATCTAATATGACTATACTTCCGATTATTCCGAACCGCACACACGGTCATGCTCCCAAAACCAGGGAAGAGCCCAAACACGCCGAAGGGATGGAGGCCGATCGCCCTCCTCTCCTGCCTTGGCAAGGTACTAGAAGCCACGATTACTAAGAAGATAAGCATAGTAGCATAGGTACACGGCCTTCTCCTAGTAAACTAGAAGGCGAAGGTAGGAAGCTCCCTAATCATAGCTATTTAACACATCCTCAAGGTTATCTAGACTATATAGAAATAAGGACGAGTCGTCACGCTACTCTCCCTAGATATAGTAGGGGCGTTTAATAAGGTAAACCATATAAGACTCATCTATAACCTCCGGATGAGGCGAATACCTAAGTGGATTATACGATTTATATAGTCCTTCCTCGCGTAAAGGACTACTTAAATATATATCCCCGGATACCGAAGCGAATATAAGGAGACGGCATGCGGTATCCCGTAAGGGAGCACTATCTCCCCGATCCTCTTCCTCTTCTTTATAGTAGACCTCCTTTAGGGAATAGAATATATAGAGGTAGTCGGATACGCGGACGATATATACCTCCTCGCGGTCGATAGTAGTACTAGTAGAATATATACACGACTCGAACGAGACCACGAGAAATGCGTCTAGTGGGTAAAGCGCTACGGAGTAAAATTCGTATCTAAAAAATACTAGCTTATATACTTTATTAACCGCTATAGAGGATAGGCTACTAGGGAGAGGGCACGTCGCCCCTAAATCGATGCCTTTATAGAACTACTAGTATAGAGTATACGAGCACTCGGCGTCATGATCGATAATAAGCTAAAATAGGGACTATAGATGGTATACGCCGTCTCTAGAGCCCTCTAGGTAGAAACCGCTATATGCCGGATTACGGTATCCACGTGGGGAATAGCCCAGGATAAGGCGAGATAGCTATACGTCTCCCTAGCACGCCTAGTCTTTATATACGGACACGAGTACTAGTATACGGCCCTTATATAAGCTCGGCGGGTAAAGCTTAAGTCTATATAAAACCGTATACTCCGCCTTATCTCCGGCGTATATAAAGCTACTAATATAACGCTCCTCTAACGCGAGATAAACGTAACGAGTATATAGGACTTCTACTAGATATAGAGACTTATATACTTTACTAAATAATAAGTATAAGAACGTGGAGGAGATAGGGTATATACCTTCGCTATACTACGTACACGTATCCGCGCGTATTACTAGGCCCTCCCTACTATAGAATAAACTTAAGTATAATATAAATACTATATAGAGGCGGACTCGAGCTAGACCGTGTAGGAGGTTTAAAATAACCCGGATACTATCCCGAGCTAATAGAGCCCTAAGGAGCTTAGCCGCGTCATGCGGTTATAGATCTAGGATAAATAGAGGGAGGTACTTAAAGCCTAGTAGGCCTCCTAATAGGATAGGTATCTAGAATAGATCTAAGGGCCTTAGAAGGAACTAAGTAAATAGATGTATAAAGGGCTAACGAAGGCCTAAGTATCTATACTCCTCTAAGCCCGAATAGGCGCTATAGGTCTCCTATATTACCTCTACTAGAGAGGCGTCCTAGATATATCTCTCTAGTGCGAGGACTACGGCCGGAGAGATATAATACGCTACTACCTCGCGACGTGCTCTAGCCTCTATACCCTAAGATAAGCCCTCGTCCGTATGACGAGGACCTCCGATATCACGTAATAGCTTAATAAGTACCCTAAGGACGTCGCCCGATAGATGCTCGTACACCTTCCTCTCCCCTAGTTCTAGTGGACCCGTATATATATACTAGAAGAAGCCCGATATATGCCGGAAGAACCCCGGTATACGTCGGAAGAACCCCGGGAGAACCGCGATTATTAGTTAAGGGTAGCCCTTGACTAATAATCTCCGCACCTACATGTGCTGCCTAAGGGCAAACTATTATAATATAGGCTATAGGCCCATGGGTAGCCCCTAGGGCTATATATATATAAAGAACGAGAGGATAGATAGAGCGTAGTTATGGATATAAGGGAGTTTTTCCTATTCGTAGGTTTCTTCTTATATAGTAGCTTAGACTAGAGGAGGCATGCGCCTATAGAGTGGTACTCTACCTAGTTTACCAATATTATTATTATTATTATACTTCCGATTATCTTTGTATAAGCTTTATTTAAGTTTGTGTCCTAATTTACGTATAAGCCGTAGTTATACGGGTCTCAAGGATATCTTGATAAGTCCTAAAAGCATATAGGCCAAGGTCTAAGGATAAAGTCTATACCCTTAGTCGAAGAAGAATCCAGGAACACGTTCTAAGCACTGATACGAATAAATATAAGAACTTTAGTGACATTACCATGATTAGTAGAAGCGAGAATGGTTAGCTCGACGCTTTCAAGAAAGAAGGAAGTGGAAATGGATTCAAGCTTTGCAAGAATCCTGATTAGGCCAATGGACACATATGGAAAACAAGTGGGTGGTGCTAAGACAATTGACCTTACTACAGGTTTGAAGGGTGACTACGAACCATTATCCCCCAAGCCGGCGCAAGCTGCCCATCGGGAAGGTTTACAGCGAAGTCAGTAGGCGAAGGATTTGTGCAAGGTAATACTTATCTTGACATCTCTCACTCGCGGGATATGGGCCAGTCAAAGCAATAGTGCGTAAAGACGAGTTTGCACTGACTCTGTATAGTGGAGACTTTGAATAGTGGAGACTTTAATGTGAAACGAGTGATGACCATCCAAAGAACCTGAATAGTCATGCACTCTTACTTACGTGCAAGCTTTATCTAGAGTATGAACTAGATGTAATATCGTACATCAATGACGTGTAGCCGTCAGGGGGCATTTACTCTTCATCGTTGCCGTAGCACAAGTCTATCTTTAGGTGTTGACCTCATAAGAGCGTTTCAACTTTTCGGCCGGCTAGTATGAGGTGTCCTACGGCTCTACCCATGAGGAGCGAGACGTCGGCCTATCATCGATATAGATATTGTTAGGCCGCGCTAAAGCTGTGACAATCTCCAGGTAGTATTAATCGTCCGGCTATGAGGTCGATACACACAAGCAATTCGGTCTTAGAGTCTTTCCAAGGACACAAGTTTATCTAACAGGCCATCATTGCATAGGCCTCTCTGCGCTAGGACGTTTCCGAAATCATTGGACAATTTAGTAGCTCGGTGAATGTATGATCCATGGTTGGCACGCACCCTAAGTAATCAATATTCATCTAATCTCGACCACTGCTATTGTATGCTAGCCCTATATAAATGCTCCACTTAGTGAGTTCGAGAGAGATAGCCAGATAGTTGACGTAGGCACTGTGCTTTCTACAACTAAGATAAGAACGAGGCTAAGCCGCTGAAGCTGAAACAAGTCTGGCACAAAATTGCCACATTTTGTTTGTACTCAGCGGTAGTATCCACAATGTAGGAACATGTTAGGGAATACCAGTGGTTTGTTGGCCACACAGGGCTACGGAAACATAAATTCTAATCACTTACAATTCAGTCCTATTTGCCTCTAAAAGAGAGTAGTAAGTGTCTGCACGATGGTCTGCATTGTAATTCTGCTATATGTGTCAGCAGTCGTATACGAACACAGTTCCAAGCATAGGATCATAACTTGGGCTGCTCATGCACAGCCAAATCGTCCCTTGACAACTCTGCCAAGCTCGTCCTCCCCAGATTCCCTAGCTGGTTGTCTGTGTCGGCCTTGATGCACCGCAGTACATGCTCAACACCGGCTTGTCCGCCCATCGCCAAACCATACATATATGGCCTCCCAATCAGAACTGCTTTTGCACCAAGCGCGATCGCCTTCAGGACATCACTGCCCGTCCGAATCCCACTATCGAAAAGCACCGTTAAGCCAGATTGCTTCACACGATCATCAGCCCCGATTTCAGCCAGAGCATCCAGACTTGCAATAGCCCCGTCAAGCTGCCTTCCTCCATGGTTGCTGACGATGATGCCGGCCATACCGTAGTCGATAGCTCTGTGCGCATCCTCTATCGTCTGGATCCCCTTCAGCACAATCGGCCCATCCCAGTGCTTCTTCAGAATCTCCAGATGCTTCCATTCGCGATACGTCGCGCTATGCACCACATCCATCCACGCCCTACTCTTTTGAATCGATCTCGCATTGGCAAGTACTTTCAAACCCTGAACAACACTTCCCGGCCTCTTGACCAAATCATACAGTTCCCCCAATTTCTCAGCAATAGTCCGTTTATCCATCGCCTGCTGCTCCTCAAATACCGCATTGAACACGGGATCCGAAAACCCAATCTGACAACCCTCACCCAGTAAGAACGGCAAATACCCCTCGTCCAGATCCGTCGGCCGCCAGGCCAAATTCATGGTGTCGAGCGTGACAACGAGCGCCTTGAACCCCGCGGCCTTTGCACGACGGAGCAGACTCGCAGTCACATCGTCGTACTGCGGCCGCGGCCAGTACAGCTGGAACCACCGGAGCCCATCACCATTCGCATCCGCGACTTGCTCAATCGTCCGCGTGCCCGCCGTACTCAGCACCATGGGCACACCCGTCGCCCTGCAAGCGCGCGCCGTCGCTTCCTCGGCGTCCTTGTGCATGATACTCTGTACGCCTACGGGGCCGACCATGATCGGACTACTCAGTCTCTCGCCGAACAACTCAACGCTGACGTCGCGGCGCGTGGCGTTGACGAGCATACGTGGCTTGAGCCGGTAGCGGTCGAAGGCATCGGTGTTGGCCTTGTGCGTCTTTCCAGAGCCGGCGGCGCCGTATACGTAGCCGAAGTTCGGCTTTGGGACTTTCGTACGGGCTTGAGCCTCCCATTCCGAAGGTTTCGTGGAGAGCGCGGGCCGTCTGAAATGGGAGTAGATGTCACGTTGGTATGATGAAGGTGCGGCCGGGTCAGGGATATCGTAAGTGGGGCGTTTTTCGAGATCCCATTTTTGTGACATCTTGATCTTGAACGGTTAAAAACTGTGCGTAAAAGTTGATGAGTGAACTGATGGTGAGTGTGACATGCGAGGATCTGTGATGTTGATATTGTTACGTGTGATGTGATTAACAGTGGGGCATCACGCAGGACCTCGGTTGAGTATTAGTGATATTTGACCTCAAAGCATCGATTTGATTGCCGTCTTGACACCATCAGGAATATGTTGAGTCTTACCTAAGAGCTCGATGTCATGCTGGAAATATCCTCATGCAAATCTTCATGGTCTCGGAATCATTGGTTCGACCGAGCATAGTCTGTACAGAAACCGACAGTAGTGGGTACGGATGGAGATCATTGATATAGCTACGTGATGCGTTGATTTCTCATTAAAAGGGTATTCTCCATATGCCCTCACCCATCCATCATGCTTCACGTGATCAATAAAAGATGCGAGACTATAGGTGTTGCGGTTTCCGGATCCTGATGCGCCTGTACTGTGTCGTCCTATGTCCTTGCGTGTAGCCTGCCACGCTTACCCATCGTTGCGCTACGTTAAGATCTCTCCAGCTTAACACCATGAAGAAGAAACAAGAAGTATGCGCTCCAAACTTATGTTTACTAGGAAATTCGTTACGAAGAGGTCGCCGTCTGAGAGTATTGATCGGCGACCTCGGCCCCATCTGATGGGACTAAAGTGCTTTCGTCATCAGCATCGTCCGTGAAAGTCATTGTATCTGAATTTGGGCTTTCCGGGGCTGTTGACGGTTTCTCGTCCACTCCTTGCCGCCGACAGAGGGGACAGGAATTGCGACCATTAAGAAGCCACTAAAAAGGTGTCAGTGTAGATCATAGCGTAGCAATATCCTACTTACGTGATCAATACATTCACGGTGGAAGAAGTGACCGCATTGACTTAGTTTTCGAGCTTGTTCACCGACTTCGAACTCACTCAGACACACAAGACAACGCTGATCTTGCGCAATGGTTATGATTTCTGGCGAAGAGGCTTCTTTTAATTCGTCCTCTAGTTTCCCGGACAAGACATTGTTATCCTCTGTCGACGCTGTTTCACCTGTGACATTTTGCGTTTGAGGCACCGGCTCTGGCACAGCTATGATGGTACCATCCTCGCCGGCAATGATCGCGAATAAACCCGGTGCAGATGCTACATCAGCTTCCGATGCCACGGGAGGCTTTGCTGGGCCAAGCAGGGCCGAAAGCAGAACCATGTCTTCGTACGTAGGTGAATCAGTGAAAAGACTGGGAGTTGTGACTATAGGATGATTCTCCGGATAGCTGCCACCAAGGACGTAAATAATCCAGCTTCTTGAACCCTCTCCGGGATTATGATCTGGCTCTACCACGCCATTTCGGCGCGATGCCCCTGAGCCAAATCTAGTGAAATCTGATTCGCTTAGCCTCCGTGTTCTAGGTGTTCGCTGTTGTGTAGGCTCCTCGGCCGTCGGCTCGAGGCCTCCAGCCGTTCGTCGAACGAAGCTATCGCGTCGTGATGAGGCAGCAGACGCCGCAGCGGAATGCGGGGCAGTGGAGGAACTACGGGTAGGAGTTGTCTCGCCAGACGATACTGCAGAAAGGGCAGAGCTTGCAGGAGTAGATGGTGGAGGTCGCGGGTGGTGTCTTTGATTGTCGTACGTAGTAGGAAAGCCACCCACAGATGCACGCCTTCTGTGACTGAATCTGGTTGTGGGAGCTGGTCGGTGGAGGAGCCCATCTATAGCATTCCCGCCACTATTGTTGAGCGTACTAGGGAAAGTCGAAAGAGCGTCGAGGAAAGGAGGAATATTGTCATCATGTGAAGCACCTGGACCAGGATTTACAGATCTGATGCCGACGATGATTATCGGTACCATCCTGCCCTCATCCTCCCCATTCGGTTCATCGGTGCTATTGCTTGACGGTCGATTGTCCAGCCTGCGATTGCCGCTGTTTGAAGGGAATCTGAACATCCTGAAGAAGTTGAGTGGGGCAGGCATACCGCCTTGATGATCACCATTGATGTTTTCCCCACGTAGAGCTGACGCAATTCGACCGTTTTCGAGGGCCTCGAGGAAGCCATCGAATGTACTGTCTTCATTATGGCCACCTAGATGTCTCGTGTTTGTGATCGATCGGTGATCCTCGCCCACCAACGACGCAGCAGTAGTCGCTGCTGCTACGGATAGAAGTCGTGAAAGGAAAGCGGCTTGGTCTTCTTCGCGTCTCAACGGTGATCGACGGCGTCGAGGTCGAAGGCTGGTCATACGATCAAAATAAGAACGCCTATCTTCCCGTCTGCGGCTTGAAGTGTTTTGTCGCCTCGTAAATAAAACATCGTCACGAGTCTGAAGAGAGTCGAAGTCCAGGTCTAAGCTGTCACCTAGCTGAAGTCGGGGTATATGGAAATGGGAGGGGCCGTCGGCGACGGAGTGTGGACGAGGTCGTAACCTCCGCGAAGGTGAGGGAGCAGCAGCAGAGTTTGGACGCGGCTGAGAAGGAGCTGAAATGGTATCGCGAGGAGCTGTGCGGCGAGGACGGTAGAGAGAAGCCAAAGAGGTCGAGACTCGATGTAACCTTGAGCGTCGATGGGACTCTTCTGGGCGAGAAGAACCTTGGCCCATGGTCAGGAAGCAAGCGCGAACGAGACAAAGAGGGTCGAGAAAGAAGTATCAATGAGAAGAATGGGGGTGTATGGACAAAGGATGGACGTCCATAGGGACAAAGGAACCGGTCGAGTCAGTGAAGAGGATGTTGAGGTGTGGTGTATGTAATGAATGAAGGGCAGCGCTTGATACAACAAGACAGGACAGGCACAGGCTACGACACACCGAACCCAGAGTCAGCGGAGTGGGTCAGTGTTCCGTTGATGAGAGAGAGAACCCAGTCCCAGTTCCAGGAGTAGTTTAGCGTTAATATAAAAGGCTTGCCGCGTGCTCTGAATTTTGAAACGGGGCTTGGGCGTCAAGCGCGGACGTTCCGTGGCGTTGGCGCCTCAGGCATCTAGGACCTTAATATCCATACACTTATTCCATCTGTCTGCTACAACTGTAGCCAGTGAACAGTCTTCTTTTTCTTCTTGTTCTTTTCCTTCTTCTCAATATTTCATTCATATCTACCTGCTCCATTACTCTGATAGATGGTAGCATGAGCAGCCGCTGCTCAGTGCCACAACAAACTTCCAAGCAGTGATAGGATTATCAAAGCATGACACCAAACAAATGTTACGTTGAGCCTCAACCTGTATTCGCATACATACCAGCAAATATCTCGGACTATACTGTGCCACCACGTTGAAGTCGACTATGAGTCATCTATTCACTTCCCCAACTTCAGGATTCGGCCATACATTATCTTTTCGAGCAAGCCTGTACCACAAGCCATCAAATGATAGGAAGCAAGATACCGCTGAAGACGATGATACAGATGACCTCGACGAGAGCAGGTTAGACGACGACAAGGACGAACATGAAGACCAGCAGCATAGAAACACGCACACACAACGCCAGAGTGTTTCTGCCCCATCTAGCAAAAAAGTCCTATCAACATTAGAAGAAGAACAATATCGAACCGCAGGCCTTCACACAAACGATGAGATTCCTCCTGCCCCTTTCCCGCATCGACCCGTTAGAAAGACTGCACCCAGAATCACTGATCCATACCTGCAGAAACAACTCGCAGGACTGAACCCCCCAATCTTTGTCCCAGGCAGAGCCAGCATCGCAGACTATGCTCGCCATAACGGCGAGAAGCTGTCCACGAATCTCAAATCTCGCCATATCGGCGTCCTCAACGCAGCCCTGCATAAATGCCTATCAGAAGGCGATTACTCACGTGCCAGTCGTATTTGGGCCCTTCTCCTCCGCAGCACTGTCAACAGCCGACCTTTCGACATCCGTAGAGACGAAAACTGGCGCATAGGCGCGGAGATCTTGTTACAGCTGCATCCTTACATCGATCCATTCGATGAAAAGTATTCCCACCATCAGAATGCGGGCGAGGACGACGAGGAAGACGAAGACAATGGCAAACCTCTTTTCAGCGAAGAAGGATACCGACAGGCGCGACAGTACTATGAACGCCTCATCATTCAGTATCCCATCGCGAAGGTCTCCTATGACATCAACGCCCGCCGTGTCAACGCACTGACGTTCTACCCTACTATGTTCTCACTGTGGATCACACAGATCGTGGATAACAGTAAACGTATGCGATACGAGTTCTTACGCTCAACCTCGATTTCTAATGAGTCTACGCCGATAGAGCACTCCGACTCTGAAATATCGAGTTCCGATAGTCATAGCCGTGAAATGAAGCGTGAAGAAAAGAAAAAGCGAGAATTCCAACGCATCAAGGATTCGGAGCTTGCAGATGTTCGTAAACTTGCAGAACGGCTCGACCAGCTAGTGTTCTCACCTCCCACAGATCGCGACGTTACGCTTCTGTATATTCGTGGCATGGTGCATGTCTGGATGGGAGACCTTCTACTCATTGAAGAACCGGATAGCGACGCCGAGGCAGCTATGCACAGCAATCATCTCCAGAGTGTCAAGCTCCGTAAAGATGAGATTGCAGATGCTGTGGCTCGTTTCAGGGAGGTGATAAAACTAGGAGGGATGAGGTATCCTCAGCTGGAGATACTGGAGGCTGAGATTGAGGAGCGTGATGTAGATGAGAGTATTTGAATGGCTCACTACTTGCTGTCTAAACCTGATCGCAGGTTGTAGGCCAATGACTGGAGGATTAATTTCATGACGAAGATATATTATATATTGTCTTGTGGAAGGCCCGATAGGCCATCTTTACATCGAAGAAAGAATTGTGGAATATGGAACACTGCCGACCAAGCTGTCCAGGCCATCTGCAGATTGTGTTTACACCAGACCGTAGAGCGGTCGCGGAAGCTGCTCCTGCACCGCAAAATCGTGCCCAGTCTGCATGTCAAATCCCACATAAGCCTCACGCCTGGCTGGATTTCCCGTCGTAACGCTCCAGGTTTTGAGCCCATAATAGCAGCCAATCTGATGTACAAGGTACCGACTACAATTATCGTTAGCACTCGACGCGACAGTCCTCAAAGACCAAACTCACCAAAACGCTGCCCCCTGATCATCTGCCGCACTCTGAAATAACAGATATTCCCTTTCCAAGCTCCGCCACGTTCGATCCTGCATTTCCCCATCCCTACCAACGAACACAACTTCGTCCTCTTCACTGTCCGTCACAGCTTCCTCGTCATTCTCCTGGCACTTCGCCACGAATCCCCTCACCTCGGTTTCCAGGTCTTGCAATAGCCCCCTGGCGCCCTTGCTCTTCTTCATCTTCTCTTTGAACTCCTTCGGGACGCGGCTTGCGCCCTCGGGGACGCCTTTAACAGCCTGTTTGTGCTGGCTTGTACTCTTCACCTTACGCTCTCTGCGCGCTGCCGCGTGCGCGGCGAGGCCATTGTCCCATAGAGGCGCGAGGTAGTATGGTACCGGCGTGCGATGCGTGGGCGGGCGCACTTCCCAGTCAGCGGACGTCGGAGGCACGCGGTAGGGGTTTCCAAGGAGGCGGTCTATAAAGCGCGCCGTCAGTAATCTCCTGATATACCTAGATGGCATATAATCGGATAAGGGAGATGAATGCAGCTTACCATTTTCCCACCTCCTTCTCCGCCGACTGCCCTCCTTCCCTTTCAGCAGGGCCTCGCGGCGCTCCATGCTATCACGGCGCTGTGGCTCGCGACGCCTGTACGTCGAGTCGACGCGTGCATCTTGAGGCGTGTCGAGGGGGATGTCGAGGGCGATGGAGGTGCCGCGGACAGCTGGGGACGGGCCATGGCGCTCGGCATGGTGCGAGATAGGTTGCGCGACGAAGGTCGGAGCGGAGAGGTTGAGGTTTGAGAGGGATGCTGCGGCTTGTTCGGTCCAGGCTTGGATGTCGAGGGCGACGCCGCCAGACGGCGGAGACGAGGGTGTGGTATGGATTGCCATGGTGAGGGTTCCTAGGTATAGCTTAGGGAGCTGCGTAATCGATAAGGCTTTGGGAAGCTGGGGAGGCGTGCAGACGGGTTTGTAGGTTGCAGGTTGAGTTGCAGATGTCGATTTGATCTATATGCCTGGAGACAAGGGGTGAATGGGGCTGAGATGACAGGATAAAGGGTGTGATCGGGACAGTGAATGATGAGTATAGGTAAGTCATGGCGCAAGCCTTTGATAGGGGATCAGCCAATGGGAATCAAGATGATCGCCACCTGCTTGAGCGACGCACGTGTAGTACGTACGTCCGATAGAAGTGTCGTCTAAGTCCATCATCACGATCAGCTTGTCTCTGATACCTATTCAATTCTGTTGCATGTATAGCTTTGCTGTAGCGAGACAACACCGTTCAGGCAGGATACCACACGAAGACTCGCCGTTCCGTATGAATAATATATCTATCCTGCATCCGACCAAAGCCGCTAAGCTCGCATGGCTGTCTGGCTTTTGTTAGACCTGAATGAGCTGTTATCTCCGAGAAACGGTATGCTTGTGTCCGATCCACCAGGTACAATGTAAGATCTAATTCCAGATGATTCCCATCCAGTTGTCAGCAAACACGGCTCGGAAATAGATTGTGCCCTCGGGATCCTAGAATTACTCCTTTGAGCCTAGACTCACCGCCTAGCGTGCCCGTCTAGCGTGTTGATTATGTGTTATGCTTTATGTATAGGCACACACACATATATATATATTCGAAAAACTGGCTATGTAGGACTTCTTCATCAGATCATAGCATCATTAAAGTAGCTAAATAATGGCTTCTTACCTGATTACCGGAACCTCTCGTGGCCTCGGCCTGGAGCTTGTCTCGCAACTAGCAGCTCGCCCCGTTGAAGACGTCCGCCTCATCATTGCAACAGCCCGGAATACCGAGGCTGGAGCACTACAGACACTGGCTACAGAGCATAAGCATCGTATCGAGTTGCTGTCTCTTGATGTTACTTCTCAGGAAAGTATTTCTGCGGCTGTCAAGCAAGTCGAGACTCTCCTCGGCGGTAAGGGTCTGGACGTCCTGGTCAACAATGCTGGAGTCTGCACCTACATTACCGGAGCCATTGATCAAATTTATGTCGTCAACCGTCTTCATTGTCAGGATCTTTTGAATCTAACGTCTTTGTAGGAACAACTTAGACGACGTATTCCGATCGAATGTGACCTCTGTGCACATGATGACAACATCATTCATCCCTCTTCTGAGAGAAGGAGATTCAAAGACTGTCGTCAATCTGTACGCATTCCTCCACATGATGTTAGTGAGCACCAAGTTAACCGACGCCCTAGTTCCACGACAGTCGGTACGTTTGGAATGCAAGATTATTTTGCCGCAGTTCCTTGTCCGGCCTACAAGATCACCAAAGCCGCACTGAACATGCTCACAGTCCAGTATGCACAGGACTATAAGAAGGAGGGCTTTACCATAATTGCATTGACACCCGGCGTAAGTGGGCGCCTGCATGCCCTGCTTCTTGTCTCAGATGCACCTTGACTGACATGCAAATGACAGTGGCTTCGCACAGATCTTGGCGGCGAATATGCCGACCTCAGCGTCCGACAAGGTGCGACAGGTTCCTTGGAAATCATCGAAAGGGCGCGCAAAGACCGTTCGATGACTGGAAAACTCTGGAATGTCAAAGTTGAGGGCTACGAAAATCCAGAACCGGGGAAACAGGTATATGATGGTGGCAATCCAGTATGGTAGTGTTGTCAAAGGCCATGACCAATTGGTATGGGAAAGATTTATCTTGGGGAACTAGACCACGAGATGGTATCATGATGGGTGATTGGTCTGGCGACCGTTTAACAGCGAGGAGCAGCACGAGGCGGTGCTAGAGCGATGACATTCCATCGCATTACTTCGTAGAATGACATAATAAAAATGAGATGATGTCTTCTCAATCCTCCGAAATTAACTCAGTAGAGAACGTCCACATGTCAGTCAGGCTTGTCTCCCGCAAGTATAGTTGAACAACAGTCGGTGTTCTCCTGATTACGTCCAATGCAGTAGCGTGCGTGTGATCGAAGTTTGTAAGTCATATCTTTGTTAACATGATTGAGCAATATTATAATGTGTAAATGGCTCTTCTTTCCGGTAGAAAGTTCTAGATTTACTTAGACAGATTCATAAGATCACGAATCACTGCAGTATAAGACTCTTTATCATCCATCCATTGTATAAAGTTTAGATGTTAAAGTTACCATTATTTAATTAGGCATTACAATACCTATTAATACACTCATAACATCTTGAGATCTGGAATTCAGTAGACGTGAGCACGCTAGTTCCAGAACTAGCGGCACGTCGCGAGGTCTTTTCAGCAATGTACACAAAATTGCGTGAAATTCAAGAACTTTTTATGGGTACCATCAAACTTGGGAGTGCAAGGTCTTATATACATTCCAGCTATTCGTTGGCCTGCCTTTGACTCCGGATTAATCTCTCTTTTTAGAAACATGTGACACGCGCAGTGGCCAGGTGCACTATATACCAAGCCAGTGTAATTCGACGAATGACCAAAGGAGCACCGTTCCATGATCGATGCGCGATATGCGCTCCGACCATCAAAGCTGTTGTTGAGGGCGACCAGAGTACATAAGAAGCAATCCTTCCATCGTTCCGAATATGGGCCGTTGTTATCTCATAGCATATAAAGTCGCTTATATTATCTGATTGCATAACATTGCCCTTCTGAGAGACGGACAATAGCACGACAACTTGCATACTTCACCATGCGTCTTCCAAACATACTTCTCACTATACTCGCTACTACGAGTGCAGTCGTTGCCGTGCACGTCTGCAAAGAAACAGACAGTAAGCAGGCTTCCAAATAACGGATCATTTCTCACCATCATAAAGGTTGCAGAAATAAAAATAGTTTCAGGAAAGGCATTGAGGGATACTACGACTTGGATAACGTTACGGTTGCACTGCATAGTGGATACATCACATGCTTTACACATGAAACTGCACTCAACCGGACCGACTTGGAAGCTGCGAAGGCTTCACAGATGAAAACCTGCGACGGGCACAACACATATAGTGGAGCTTGGCAGATGTCCATCAGTGGCAAAGCTAGGACTTATGTTTGTAACGTTGGCAGTGAACAGACATGCCACCCGGAGGACCTCAAAGTGATGCACAAGAAGCTGGATGAACATTGCAAAGATTTCCCCGGAGTTTTTAGTATCAAGAAGTGGCGTGTGCGATACGGCCGAAACAACCTTGGAAAATTGCAATGCCCTGGGAAAGCTACTGAGTTCGACGATATTCCAGGGAATATCTAATGAGAATAACCGTAGCTATCGAACAGACCTTTCCCAACATATCAGTCAAGACCAAGCAACCAAAACGATGAGTAGCCTTTCCATGATCAAACAGCCCTCCCTGCCATGACAATGAGAGTTTGACACCACAAAGCTATGCGGCCTAGCGAAGAGACCAGACCGAGGACGCAACTCTGCAATACCCGAGAGAGAAACAGGAATTGGATGTGAAGGAGGAGGTGGTGGGACGTGCTATTCAGGCCAGTCATGAAGTATAGCAGCGGCATATCGTGTATGGAGGACGGACCAGCCGGTTGGGCGACCTGTATATATTATCACCTTCGTTATGCCATGTATCCAGACACAAAATACAACAGTTCATGAAAGAGCATGTGACATCGTGATATAGGGGATATGAAACCTTAGCCCCTCGTCTCGTCTAGTCCCGTCTTGTCCCGATCCAAGCTCGCTGGCAACAGCTGCAAGAAAAACAAGATATGAATTCACAGCAACCGCAGAAAAAAACGCGGGGGGTATACTGCACGCAGAAGCTACAGCGAAAGGCCCACAGGGCATCCAAAGCGAGCGCCAGAGATTATTCCAGAGTTCGCAGCGCAGGAGGGTCAACGCAAAACATCACGCCCCCCTAGCCCAATAAAAATAAAAATAAACGAAACACCCCCGCACGTATAGTACCGGCCGGCCCGTGTGTTGTATCCAGCATACGCTCGTCGGCCTCCATGCTCATAGATGGGAGGTACAGATATATTACAAAACGCACTCCTTCAGAATAACTTTCTACTAAGACTGTCCAAATGGTATGTGTCCACTGGCAGTAAAAGTTGGCAGCTCGGCCCCTTTGCTCGATGGCCGGGCGGTACTAGGCTCCGGTTGTGAAGGAGGAGCTGCGGCGTTTGTGGGAGTTGAGTTATTACTACTGGCGTTGATGCCCAGTCCGGGATCAGAGTTTGGAGGCATCCATTGCAAATTCATGTGGTGCTGTAGAGGTGGGATTGGGGAACCTCGAGGTGACGCAGCCGTGCTATTCGTTTCGGGCTGGTATTGGACGAATTCCAAGCCAGAAACAGTCTGTGGTGCAGGAGGTGCAGAGGGTACAGGAGGAGAGTCGATACCCTGCTCTGTCGGTACTGTAGATGCGTTTTGTTGCACATCGAGGGCCTGCGCAGGATTCTGCATCGGTTCGTAGGAAGATGTCGATGATTTGTCGGCCTTAAAGACAGGATGTGGAGGAGAGATTTGGAGAGTTGGGGTAGAGATAGGTTGGGTTATGCCGAAGCTCTGATCATTGCTGGGTACAGAAACCATCATCGAAGGAGGAGGCGGTGCGGAGCTTGCAGTAGCATCAGCAGTCTCAGTGACTGTCGGACCAGTAGCTGGAGGAGCTGGCGATTTTTTCTTCGTTGTTATAGTCTTCGCGCTGGGCTTCACTGAGTTTACTTTCTTAGTCGGTGGCCTACCAACAGGCCTCTTGGCCTTCTCTTTCTCGGCAGCGGCGGCTCCCTTCTCTCGCTGACGAGCTTCGTATTCCTCTTGCGTCGATGGAAGCTTTAGTGTGATCTTCTTTAGCCCAGAAGCGAGAGCCTCCATATCGGCATTTTCTTTGTTCGAAGACTTTGCCGCAGTAGGAAGTGACGAAGTAAGAACCTTTACCTTTGAGGAGTGCCCGGGAGCCACACGCGGCACAGGCGGGCGTGAAGCCGACGCTGTTTCCGGCTTCACTGCAGCTGTGGTTCGTTTCTTCACATTGACTGCTGCAATAGACGGGGCTCTTGAAGGCGGACCGCTGGTCGGACGGGTCGAAGCTGTGCTAGGCGCACGAGTCGAATGGTCTCCGTTGATGGAACCAATACTAGACGCCACACTAAGTCTCCTAGAAGTTCTTCTACCCTTGTCCCTGGGCGTCTCGGAAGGAAGTATGCCCACGGTCTTGCGTCGATCAGCCTCTGCAATGGCAGATATGGTAGAAGTAACGTCGTCATCAGAATCTGGGTCGGCATACCGACCCGGCTTTGTGGGCTTGCGTCCTCTGAGCTGTCTACCTAATGTGTCAACCGTAGGTATAGGGGCTGGGATGAGTTTCTCTTTCTTGACTCTTGGCTCATTCAACTCCTCTGGCTTACAGCTCCGTGTCTGGCGGTTGCTTGGGATTATGAGCTTGCTCAATTCGTGAGTTGCAATAGCCCAGTCGACTTCTGGGGGTGGTGGGGTCGGAGCTCTTGAGGGGCTTGCAGACATGCGATATGCGCCTGAAGCTGAACGGCGAACTTTCTCAGGATCAACAACTTTCGCTTGAAATGATGCAGTGGGAGCTGCAAATGTGGAAGGACCTCCAGTGCGCTTTTTAGGAGGTGCATTAACTGGGGGCGGGTCGACGAGGAGCTCTAGGTCAGCCATGTTGGCCTCACTCCACCACGACACGTCATATTGAGACTTGACGATCCTGTTTTCGGGCGTTTTGGATTCGTCGATGACCATATCACTCATGTGCTGACCGATATCATAGCCTAGTCGGGATTGTTCGTGGTCTTCATCTTTGATGGAGACTGCCTCTCCTTCACAGAGGCCGCTGATATGGCTGAGTACTCCGCTTGTCAGGGCACGATTGCTGTATCCGCCTTCGAGGACACTGATGACTCGACCACCGGCGCCGGTGCCTTCCTCTTGCGCAAGCTGGACAATATCTCGGGTGAAACGGGCATAAAACTCCGTTGGAACACTGACTTTGTGTCTCTGCATACCTGCACTTTCCCATTCACTCGCATCGAAGCCAGCCGAGATGAAGATTGCCGCCTTTGGCACAGGTTGATTGACACCACTTTTCAGCCGTTCCGTATGTGATCTGAGAAAAGCCCGCGTCTTATCAATCAATATCTTGTAGCGATTTTCGTATAAATCCCAGAATTCTTCTTCCCTCTTCCAGGGCTGCAAGTGAACATTCCAAATGGACTGCCCGTGAGCGTTCTCGATACACAAGCTAGCATTTTGCACCTTTTCGATCTCACCATATTCACAAGGATACGAATTGATATCATGCAAGCTGAAGTAGCCGATGGCTGTCTTTTTCGAGTTTGCCGTATTCTTGGGCATCTTGGCCACCTTTGCATTGTGGGCCCAAGTTATCGTTTGAGAACCGTCGCCGTGATGGAGATCAAAATCAATGATCGCAGCATGCGTTAGTCCATGGGATGCTGCAGCATGCTGTATGCCAACGTGTACATTGTTTATCCAGCAGAAGCCTGAGGGATAGTCTGCAGAGCAATGATGACCAGGCGGGCGGATACACACAAAGGCTCTCGAGGGTCCTCGTCTCGTTTTGGTACCGTCAAAAACTGCATCGACGCCATCTAGGACGCCACCAAGAGCTCCCTGGAAGGCGTTCAATGATTCCTGGCAGAGATATAGATCTCCTTCGTGCAGCTTTTCTTTCGGTGCTTGAGCTGGTGGTCCACTCGCTTCAATTCTACCTAATTCCTTCCCAGTCGTGGCCAACTTCTGCCCTGCATTGTCGCACATCATCTTCAGTTCTTCCATCCACTTCGTACCATGCACATTTGTTACTGCTGGGCTTGTAATGCTCACTGATCTTTGCGTTCTAACGATATTGAAGGGCACGTTCTTGTCCAATTCACGACTCGGATGCGGTGCTGCGCGTCCTCCCTCATGCCTTCCACCGAGCCTGACATATGCGGCAGAAATACCCAAAGCACCAGCAAGTATGCGCTCTGGTCTCTCCACTATCAGGCCGAGGGTGGACTTTGGAGTCTTTGGTCGCGAGAACCGATGGCCATAACATTGATCGTGAAGATAGACCACCGTCTCTGTCTTTGTAATTTGCTGCTCAGCATCGGTCTGTAACATTTCAAGTTCCCTCTTGAAATAATCTGTGGCCACATTTGTGGCTGTAATCTGTTCCTTCTCTTCAATTTGACCTAGACCGGGATTGTTTACTATAACGGGTGATGAGGCAAGCATGTAGGTCGAGCTGCGTCGCGAAGAAGAGCGCACTGGAGTCGCCGGTCCTTTCTCACTTCTAAGACTCTGGGTGGAACTTTTGCGCACAAGCGCGGGAGACGAGGAGCGCGAAGCATCCATGGTGCTAGACGCCCTGCGAAGAGGGCTCGGCGGAGGTCGCTGAGCAGTCCCAGGTGAGGAGGGAGCTCGATCGGAGATGCGCCGATGCGGAGAAGGTCGAGGTGAGGCTGGCAATGGGGTCTTGATCGCGGTTCCGATCGAAAGGCGTCCTAGAGCGCGTTGGAGTTCATTGTTTTGTTGACCTTGCCGAAGACCACTTGGGCCATAATTGTCGGAGGGCGAAGACATCGTTCGTGTTTCACTTCACATGCGTGTAGTGAACAGGTGGGGCTGTAGTAGACGTGGAGGTATAATCGTAAGGAAATCCTGTTAGTGAATCAAAAAAGGGATGGATACCTTGGTCTAACTGGCAAGCTGGTTGCTGGGTGACGCTAACTACTTCTACGCGTCGACTCACGTCAAATGGATCCACGCTCAGGTGTTTAAGGGCGAGCGCGTTTACAGGGACAGAATCCCTAAATTTACCGTATGTCACTAGAGCACCAGCAAGTGTATCCATTCAACACTGATTCATGGTGCGCAACTCCGGCGTAGTATCATCAGAGACAGTGGATACTGTTGGTATCTTAGGTACACCGCGCATATTGACTCGCTAGCGGCGGAACTTGTGGATTACAGACGCATACTAAAAACAAGGCGGGTACACGACTGCTTTGCTGTTTATATTTAGATATCTACCCTCAGCTCACATAATTGAGACGTGTATACAACAACTTGGTCAAGACCGCACCTTAGACGCATGGAACAGATACTCGAGATTCCGGAATATGCGAACACAGGTATTAGTTAATGCACCTTTGATATTTAATTAGAGGTGAATCCCTATGATAGTCCCGAGCGATGGAAACAATGGGCACCTCTTGAGGAAGATTGGCGGCAAAACGTTATAGGTACAGTGCCACGGCACGACGTTTTGTCTTTTTTTTTCAATCTGTGGCGTTCTTCTACAGAGTGTGCAAATCGCAACGAATTGAATCTAAGGCAGGGGCATGAGGCTTATATTAATGTTGGAGTCGGGATTTTCGTCGACTGCTACATGGTTAACATACAGTCCACTGTACCGTCTTGGTATCATGTCATTCTTCGCCAATGTAGCCTGACGATATTTGCATCGTCGTCATGTATCTCCGCCTGACATTATCTAAGCGCCACCCTCACGCTTAGCATATTCGTCCTCCATCCTCTCTCGATAGATCTTATCTGCTTCCTCTTCGGAAATGTCTTCGATCTTTCCCTGACCCCGAGTGGCGGTGTCGCCTACAAGCTGTCGTCCCTGGGCGTCATATTGCCGGGTCTCAGATACGGGTTTCTCGCCCAGATTTTGTGTTGTGGTGCGTACGGTGGTACCGTCCAAGTTGGAAGAAGATTCCTCGCGATATGCCTGACCAGTGGTTTGGCCGTTGGAGGTTGAGGTCGAGGAGGAGAAGGAGGAGCTGGAGTAGGAGTAGGAGGATGACATTTTCAAATGGGTTTGAGGTCGAGATTATGTGAGTATGTGTAGATGTGGAAATTAAAGGTAGTGGTTGGCGAGGGCAGCTGACGAGTGGCAATGAGACTGATGGACGAGGCGGCAAAGACAGCAGAATGAAGTATGACGTACTAGTTAGTCGAGCATGTTCTGGAAGGTACGCGCACGGGTAAGAAGACTTCCCCACAACGTCACTGGTCAAGATGTGTATACCCATGCCGTCTCTCAGGTCACTGTTTGCGTTTTTGACGTTTGATAGTTTGATGGTATTACTGTTAGTTGGTTCGCTACCGAAAACCGTCGCGATGATGGTGCGCCCTGATAGCTAATCGGACGTGGAGTAATGACGCGTCTTTTGTTGAGGCCCTGAATCCTCAAGCACGACGCACACGACGCCATAAATGAATGATAACATTCACTGCCTCCAGTGCTGCATGATCGCGCACACGTATGTATATGCTGTGGCAGCCTGATAAAAGTATCCTGGAAGACAATCTTCACGTGCTGCAAGGGACGGAAAACACCACGCGGAGTTGCATGGACAAGTCTAGCAACACAGCTGCAGGTGGCAACCTTGGATTGGCAGCTCATGTGCCAAGGGATCCGTATCGATAGCGGACGAAAAAAAAAAGTCGAAGATGCCAATAGGAATTACTACACCAGTGCCATTATGGATGCGAGCCCCACCAGCCTTAACCCCATATTGAACTCCATGGGGGCATTAAGAAGCCCCAGCATGGGATCAGTGGCGGCATCGAGCACTGCTGCAACATGGCGCGCCCTGTCTGACCTCGCTGTGGGTCTTGTGACCTCACTTGCCCCAACAATCGGGGGCACATACATCTCGAATGATATCTTTCTACTTATCCGGACTTTTCTTTCATGTCCATTTTCCCCAATGCACGATCTTAATTTGAGCCTCCTGTAATCAAGCGTTTCTTTCCGTCGCATATCTTTTATTGACCTTGCCGTTCGTTACCAATACACACCCAAGTTGCCAATATGGCACTCGGAACTCGTCAAAGTGATGGCGATGAGTTCTTGGACCTCATCGCCAACCCCTTCCAGTCAGACGTAATAACCCTGTATCTCCGTTCTCATGATCTTGGCTCATCTGTTGCTAGATTCAAGTCAACTCGATATATGCTTCGCTCGTGTGGGCCTTTGCCGTATCAGGCCTTCTCTTCGGTGCCTTTGTGTTATTCCGCCCAAAAAATTCTGCCATCTATGCTCCTCGAGCCAAGCATGCCGACTCCAAGCGTACTCCGCCCACCCTGGATCGGACTTACTTTTCATGGACTCGTGCGGTCGTAAAAGTGCAAGAGGAGGATCTCGTAGAGCGGATTGGTCTGGATGCTGTCGTCCTACTACGCTTTCTGCGCATGCTTCGGAATATATTCTTTTGCTTCACCGTCATCGGCTGTGCACTACTGATTCCTATTACCACTATTGGTGGTCAACATCCATATGATAGCTATGCCGATGTTGCCACGTTACTCAAACTTACGCCGCAGTACATTTTTGGAACAACGTTCTGGGCGTGGGTCGTCATTGCCTACCTTTTTGAAGCCATTGTCTGCGGCTTCATCTATCATAATTACAGAGCAGTACTTGGATTACGAAGAGCTTACTTCCGCACCAGCGAGTACCGCAACAGTCTACATTCACGTACCCTACTCGTGCGCCATCTTCCTCAAGCAACACGGACAGACGAAGGCGTAGCTCGTATTGCATCTTCTATCAAGGACACTGGCGAAATCCCTCGTGCTTCCGTCGCGAGGAACGTCAAAGAGCTTCCAACTCTGATCGACCAGCATGACAAGACAATCATTCGACTTGAGGCTGTTCTTGCTCGATACCTAAGGAATCCTGATCGACTGCCACCTTCCAGACCCATGATCAAGCCATACAAGGATGACCAACACGCATATCCAGCAAAGGTCGATGCAATTGACTATCTGTCAATCCGAGCCCGTCGCCTCGAGGTGCAGATAAAGCACGTTCGTGAAAGTCTAGAGAAGCGAAATTCAATGCCATATGGCTTCGCTAGCTATTCCCATATAGAGGATGCTCACGCCACTGCCTATGCCGCCCAACAAGCTGGCGGTGATGCAAAATCGATTACGTTGGCGCCAAAGCCTACTGACCTGTTGTGGCGTAACCTAGCTATGACAAAGTCGACGAGAAGAACGAGAATGTTTTGGGATGGCTTGTGGATGGTCCTCCTGACCGTTGCCTATATCCCCCTAAACATCCTGTCGTCGGTCTTCCTTTCCAATTTTTCACACATTGGCATTCTGTGGTCAGGTTTCCAAACGAATCTTTATGCGCATCCTGTTGCCTGGGGTATCGCTCAAGGTATCACCGCGCCTCTTTTCCAGTTTCTCATCTTCTTGGCTTTACCTACCCTCTTTCGTCGACTGTATAATCACTCTGGAGATATCTCCAAGACTTCCCGAGAGCGTCACGTGGCCAGTCGTCTGTACGCCTTCTTCGTATTCAACAGTTTATTTGTCTTCTCCGTTTTTGGATCGGCTTTTCAGTTTGTCGCTGCAGTCGTCCGGGCCCAGGATGCCAGTGTGTGGGACGCGATCAAGCATCAGCATCCGTTCACAAACTTTATGGCTGGTCTCTGTAACGTCTCTACTTTCTGGCTCACCTACCAGTTGCAGCAAAATTTAAGTGCAGCCATCGACATTGCCCAGCTTTGGCCTCTCATTGTTAGATGGTTTAGACGCAAATTTTCAGATCCAACACCGCGTCAGATGATCGCACTCTCTGCACCGCAACCTTTCGACTATGCCAGTTATTACAACACTTATATGTTCATTGGAACCGTTGGCATGGTATTTGGTGTACTGCAACCTCTAATATTTCCCATCACGGCATTTTACCTTGTAATTGAGCTTTACTTTAAGAGGTACATGCTTCAGTATATCTGTTTCACGAAGAACGAGTCAGGAGGCGTTTTTTGGCGTACGATTGTCAACCGCATGCTTTTTGCAATTCTCTTGGCCAACGCCGTCGTCGCTCTTATTGTCGGCTCGCAGGGTGTTGGTGCTCAAGCCTTCATATCCGATGCTGCCGCCAACGCCGGCATGCTCTACGCTATGATCCCGTTACCCTTCCTTCTCTTTGGTTTCAAGTGGTATTTGTCCCATACATTCGACAATAAGATGCGCTACGTTTCTATCGCCTCAATACACGACCTTGAGAAATCGACTGATGTCGAGCGACCCGGAGGACGAAAGGATCGCGTTGCAGTCAAATTTGGTCATCCAGCGTTGTACAAGAAACTCCTTGCGCCGATGGTGCATGCCAAATCAGAGCATATGCTGAAGGAGATTCTCAAGCATGAGGCGCACAGCTCTGCTTCTCGGCAAGGCTTCCTACACACCGATTCTTTCGGATACAGCGACGTCTACAATGGCGATGCAACCCAAGCACCGGAGAGGATACCCGTCGGTCCCAACTCCGTCCCGTTCGAATTTGTGCAAGAAGGCGACCTCGACTTCCAGAATTTCAAGCGCCGCGCAGAGTTCAGAGACCAGTTCGGTGGAGATGGCGAGCTATACGGTAGACCCGGCGATAGCATGACTGCGTCCCGCCCAGGCACACCGTCCACAATGGCAAACACTTTCATGGGCATCGACGAAGTGCCATACAAAGGCAGTCCTCGCCCCACGTCCACTGACAGCCGTCGTCCCAGCCAGACCATCCTCGCCCAGCATACTCCGCGCAAATCATCCGCCGCAGACATCGACGCGCCCCTGCTGAGCGGTCGAAACACGCCCGACCCCTATCCCCGTCCTTCAAGAGACGGTCGCGCTACCCCAGATTTAAATCCACACACTCGCAGCCCCATTACAACCTCCCTTGTCGCCGGAACATCCTCCCCCGAGCACTCGCCATACCGAACCCACCGTCCCACGCAAAGTGGCACGTACACGGCAGTGCGCAGCGAGAGTCCGCATGACACGGGCCGTAACGAGAGCTCACGCCTAAGCGCCATCGACGTGCCGACGCCGAGCCTAGAGCGCGACGATATCTTCCGCGCCGGCGAGAGAGCGGTGCGAAGGAAGCCGATCTGAGTAATGATAATGATCATAATTTTGTGTAAAGCAACAACTATAGTGTACTTATCGCGGTTAAAAGTTTAGCGCCTTTCTTCGAAATCATACCGGTATTGCGGACAAGAGCGACAAGACTCCGAACATAATGATCGAAACCAATAGCCCATAGATAAGATTTAGATTCCAAATGACACACGTCAGACAGATGTTAGCTCTGTGCGGTCACGGATACATATCCAGAACGTCCACGTATTTAATACTACTATGGCTTAATTTAGTAGATGATGTCGACGTAGCATTTATGTACACGTGCTGATACATGCACGGTAGTGAGACGGAATGAGCAGTTTGTGTGTATATATAATTAGGTGGAAGAATGATTAAGGTATTAGACAAGACTAGAAATAGCATAACCAATAGCGCCAATATGTGTCCGAGTTTTTTCAAATACCACCTAGCCCCTCCCCCCCTACGCACGCCCCGCCGCCGCATCATACAGCGCCCCAATATCCTTCTTCCACATCTCCACATCCGGCCTCAGCACCCGCCGATCATACGTCAACAAGCCATTAACCTCGCCCTCCACATCCGTAGTCTGGGTATACACCGCGCCCGAGCAAGCAAACAGCTCAGTCTGCTCACGCAGCTCATCCAGCAAGCGATGCGCGCGATAATTATACGTCTTCAGGTCCGCACTGATCTCGTACGTCTGGTTGATGGAGTTGACAGCCTGCGGGACGAGCCAGAGATGGTCAGCGGAGACGTTGTGGCCGAGCCCGCCGAACTCGCCCTGGAAGCCGATGCGCGAGGGGTCGAAGGGCGTGCTGAGGATGGAGTAGAAGGGCGTGCCGCATTGCGGGGCGGCGTAGTGGTGGTTGTCGTGGAAGTCGCCCGCGCCGTGGTCGCGCCAGCCGGAGGTGCTGTCGATGAGGCGGGTGGGATCGAGGGTGCGGATGACGGATGTGAGGTTGAATTCGGGGTTTGTGGTGGCGTAGAGCTGGCCCCAGCCCTCGTTGTAAATGACCCAGGTGACGATGGAGGGGAAGGATTTCTGCTGGTTGATCATGAGGACGAGTTGGCGCTCCCATTCGGATTGCTGGTCCGGGTTGGGGAGGAAGGAGTCGCCTTTTGGGGGGAGGGAGGGCATGTCTTGGATGACCATGAGGCCGAGCGCGTCGCAGGCTTGGTAGAAGAGGGCGGTTTCGATCTTGATGTGTTTGCGCACGGCGTTGAAGCCGAGGTCTTTGAGGGTTTGGAGGTCGAAGATCATGGCTTCGCGGTTGGGAGGTGTGTAGATGCCGTCGGGCCAGTATCCTTGGTCGAGGGTGGCGAAGAGGAATTCGAATTTGCCGTTCAGCAAGGGCCGCTGGACGCCGTTGACTTCGCCCTTTTCGATTGTACGAAATCCAGTGTAGCTGCTAATCTCGTCGTTGCCCATCTTGAGAGTGATGTCGTAGAGTGTGGGTGTGCTGGGCGACCATAGGTTTGGGCTGCTGACGGTGAAGGAGAACGGGGTGTTTGAGGTACCGCTTCCAGTGCCCACGACTTTGCCGGAGCCCTTGTCCTTGACTTCGACCTCGACGGCTTCAGCGCTTCCCTCGGGGATGCTGATGACATTTACGTCGACTTTGCCGTCCATGCCAGCTGCAACATCGAAGCGCGACACCCAGGTCGCAGGGGCGGATTCGATCCAGACCTGCTGCCAGATACCACTGCAGGGAGTGTAAAAGATGTGAGACGGCGACGTAGTCTGTTTTCCGACCGGAATGATAGCAGTATCGGTGGGATCATGCACAAATACAAGCCTGCGATGATCAGCCTATATTTCTGAGTTTCGGCAGTGCGACTTACAGTTCATGGGCCCCGTTCTGTCGGGTAGCAAAGGAACCGTTATTGCTGAGATATGGTGTGATATCAATCGTGAACGCAAAGTAGCCTCCGCGATGAAAGCCAGCTTGCTTGCCATCGATGAACACAGTCGCTTCATAGTCCACCGCTCCAAAGTTGAGCAATACCTTCTCACCGCTCCAGTCTGAAGGCACGTCGAAATTGGTTAGGAACCAGGACGCGAAGCTAGTGTTGCTCTGAATACCAGACAGCCCGCTCTCGAGGCACGACGGAATCATGACCTCGCTACCATTGTCGAGATCAGTCGGTGGTGAGTTTACGGCGTCTGGGCTGGAAGCATTTTCGTATTTCCAGATCCCATTGAGGCTCTTCCACTGGGAGCGTTCCAGCTGCGGGCGCGGATATTCCTGCCACGGATCGGTCCCGATCGTGTATGTCCAGTTGGTGGTCAAAGGAGGAGTCTTGACCTCGTACTTCGTAGCCTGAGATCAATTCAGCGATATGTGACCTAGAGAACGTGCGTGTCGCGCACGCGGTGTTTCATAGGATCAGCCACTCACGTTATTCCAGACTTGCCTTGGAGCAACATATACCTGACTATGACCAAAAGGGTTCGCGAACGCAATTGCTGCCAGTAAGGGCGCGAAAACGCCTATCTTCGGAAGCATGATGTTGGATCTCCTCTGAGGAGAAGTGCTTTTCCCTCGGAGAATTCGGTTTTATTTGTTCAGCCGTCGTATATGTATGCTTCAATACAAGGGGCTGGCAGGGGCTGGAGTTCGAGGCGTTAGCTGGCCATCATAAAAAAATCGAAGACCGGTGGGGATTCTATACCTTTCTCTACACAAGAGAGAATCCCGGAGTCAGAATATTTCCCTTGAGTCCTCGCAGTCGAAGGCATCTGTGCAGGTTTATATAATGCTACGACGGGGAATAATATCTGGCGCGAGTCCGTTCAGGCGACAGCAAGCCAAGGGTACCGCATCACGCAGCCCCGCATTTACCAGGTAGCGGGAGCATATTCGATGGAGAGAAGTGGATTATGCAGCAGCGGGATACCAAACAGGAAAACCTTGTGACGACTCAGGGGGGAATTGGTGATGAGTGATGTGCATGCAGCTTCAAGACCTGCTATACCCAGCTAGTACAACACCCGGTCGTGCATCATGAACCGGCCAGTCCATCAACCATCTACATAGTACCATCAGGCGCAAGATGGATGAAGCCCGGAGCGGCATGAGACATGCGGATCGCTGCCGTCACTAGACCAAGGCGAGAGTGTATTGTGGTGTTGTGAGCTGCTGTTGTGCCCACCAGTAGCTACTCAGCTGATGTTGAACTGCGGCGCTTGTCACCCATCGAGCTTCGACACACCCTTCTTCGACTGCATCGCCGTCATTGTAAGTCATCAGGTGCATCGTTCTTTGACGACTGGCAACGATATTGCGAAGTTGGATAAATGAAGACGGTTGGGAGTCCATAGATAGCAATACACAGACGGGATGAATCACGCTACCCCGCAGAATCAGCACTTGTCGCCCGGCCACCCACCCACGTCTTCTCCTGCGGCCCCATGCCAGCCTCGCTGTGCTACACTTATACTACAACGTGCCAAATCCTAGCATGAACTTTCCTACTTTCGACACTCGTCATCGCAGAATGAAATGAAGCAGATAACAGTAATCACACCTCTGCCAGCCGTAGCATGGTGTTGAGTCAGGTAAAGCCGTCTTTCATTTTACTAATGCGCTAAGAAGATGGCAGCACGAAGAGAGCCATTCATCGTTCAATCCATTGAGTCGTCCCAGCATCAAGCTCAAGACCGAAATGCAAACGAGACCGAAGTAGCCCATTTGACAATTTCAACCCCATCTTCGCCACTGTGGCTCTGCAGAATCATACTCTGGCACCGGCGGTCCTGGAAGAATCTCTCTTATCAGGTCGTTGACGTCTTTACCGCTTGCTTTGACCTGCTCCCATTGTCGAGGATACCCGAGACTGCACTCTTCGAATCTCACGCCTGATTTCCAGTCTGTCCTCGGAACGTGAAGATGTCCGGAAACGACTACCTTGGCGTTGAATCTGGTGTGCCAATTCTCTGTCTTGGTGGTGCCACACCATATTATAAATCGCGGCGCTCGAGGAATGTAAACAAGATCTTGTCTCAGGGGCCAGTGGTTGATGATGATCAGAGGAACGCCTTCTGCTGCAGCTTCTTCTAATTTGTCTTCGAACTTGGCCACAAGAGCTTCGCACCATGCATCTCGAGTCGGATGTGGATCTGGATGCAAAAGGAACTCATCCGTAGCCACAGTATCTGCTTCTTCTGCCCATTTGACTGCATTCTCTCTGCTAATATGGGCCGGTCTAAAGCTGTAGTCGTACAGGGTGAAAATAGGGCAAATGATGGCTGGCCCACCTTCGCCGTCCCAACGGTAAAAGTCGTCTTCGGGCGTCAGGATGCCATACTTACGCGCTATCCAGACACATTCTTTGTATTTTGCTTCTCCTCTTAGTTTGCTCGATGATGGTAGACTGTACAACTCATGATTTCCCGGCACCCAGAACACGAGCTTGAAATTCTGTGTCGCAGCTTTGAATGCTATCTCGAGATGCTCGGCACTCTCGCCTACATCACCACACAATATCATGGCGTCTTCGGGATGCGGCTCTAATTCCTGCAGGGCTTCTATGTTGGCCTTGTAGCTGAGATGTATATCTCCGAGAGCATAAAGCTTCATCTTGGACTTTGATACCGCGTAAAATGAATTGAACCAAGGCAAAGACCGAGCACGTCCGGTCCACTGTTCAGACAGCAGTTCTTTTGATCGTATGTTCACAAGTCGGAGACTAGTTTCAATAGATCTGACGATGACCGGTTTGATACACTGATGAATTTGTGTCAGGCAGAGCGAGAAAGTTCCGTTCCGTGTACAGCCGCCCGCCCGCTCACCAATCCATCTTATCTACCGCTAAACCTAAACAGGAACCAGCCTGACAGTGGCCAGTCTCGAGGCGTCCGAGATCCCTTCCACCATCAAGTCTTGTCCTTCGATAATACACTCGTTAATTTGTCATCAACCAGAGTGCTATTCGGAATACCTCAGAATTGCCAACAATGACCAAGTTCTCTGATTTGACTAGTAGATTTCGTGTTGCAGTTCCCAATCATGACCGCACGCGTGTCAGCAAAAGGAACCGGCTTGCGGTGTCATGTTCCAACTGTCGCACTCGGAGAACGAAATGTGATCGTAAGCAACCTTGTGATAGCTGCACGAAACGGAGTATGGATTCATCATGCAGCTTTACGCCCACAACGCCGAGAGACAAGCATGAAGCAACTCGGGCGGTCTCCCGCAAAAGTGAAGCTGCAAGAAGGCTACAGGAATTAGAGTGTATCGTCAGCAAGCTCATCCAACCCCGCTCGGAACCTCCAGATGATGATGCGAACAACACTAGTTCATCAGGATCCTCTCATATATCCTCAACACCAGTGTCCGAGGCTCATCTAATGGCAGGTCAGCAGGGGTCTGGTGCCGGAGGCGATATAGGATACGCAGGCTCTACAAATTGGAGATCAGTGTTGGAGAGTATTCAGGGGATACGCGCTTTTCTTGATGTGAATGACGGAGGGCTCAGTGAAGGCACTCCTGCTGTGTCTTTGTCTGATATACAAGAGCCAGCGTCCGACTTTACCGCAAGTCCAGCATCTTCAAGAATCGTTGACGAACTCCCGGATCGGCCCACCGTGGACACACTCCTGATGACATACTTCAATGCAAGATTTGTGACAGTTTCGTTTATCCATGCCAACCAGTTTCACAGAGAGTACGACGCGTTCTGGGAGAACCCATCTTCTACACCACATCTATGGATCAGCCTTCTATGTTCGATGTTGTGTCTTGGTTCTGTAGTTGCCCTTGCGAGAAAGGATCCGATTGCTACCCTACTGGACAAGACTGCACCAGCTATTTATGCAGATAAGGCGTGGAAATACTTGGTGTCAGGGCAATATCTCAAGCAGAAATCCTATGCTGTCGAAGCACTCCTGATTCACTCGTACTCGAAGTACTGGTTTACCACTGACCAGGATTCGGATATATGGACTAATCTTGGCCTTGTCACACGTCTCGCACAGAACATGGGCTATCACAGAGATCCCCGCTGGTTGGGAAGCAATCTGAGTCCTTTCCAGGGGGAGATGCGACGCAGAACGTGGAACTTCATTGAAGTCTTCGACCTACTAGCATCTCTCCAGCTCGGCATGCCACCGGTCATCCACGAAGGCGAATTCGATGCCGAGCCTCCTTCCAACCTTCACGACGATGACTTTGACGAGTTGAGTGCTACCCTACCGCCATCTCGCTCCTCGAGCGACTGTACCTACGTCGCATACATGATATGCAAGGCCAGGATATCTGCTGTCTTTCGCAAGATTCTCCGTGTCGTCCTCATGAGCGACCTCGAGCGTCTCGTACAGGTCGTCGAGTCACTAAACATGGAACTCGACCAAGTGCATGAGAGTTTTCCGCAGAGGTTTCGAATAAGGCCCATAAAATCATCTAGCTTCACGGATCAGCCCTTCATGATCGTCCAACGCTTGCTCCTTGAGCTCCTTTACTTGAAAGCCAAGTGTGTGCTGCATCGCGACTTCCTAAGTCTACCAGACGAATACCTTGAGTACAAAGGTCGTGCTCGAAATGCCGCTCTCCGCGTGCTAGAGCTTCAATATGAATACCACAATGAATCTCAGCTCGGCGGACGTCTCGAGCGCGAGGACTGGGTCTTGACAGGCCTAATACAGCACGACTTTCTTCTAGCTGCGATGTGAGCACTTTTCCTACTCCTGAGACGTTCCAATATTCCTGCTGATGATCAAATTAGGGTCGTATGTCTTGACGTATCAATGTCCCCCTCGCGAACGTACGTCTAACTTTCCCGCTATAGGCCCTCCAGTGTCACTAACATTGTTGAAATAGCATCGAAGAACTACGCCAGAAAATCCGCATGCTCCGCTCTAGTTACTTCATCTGGCACAACCGAGCCAAGTCTGACGCCAACTCCGGCAAGATTGCCACCCGAGGTGCACAGCGCGCCACCGAAGTCCTCGCCGCAATGCTGACCAAACTGTCCAACGAAGGCAATGCACGGTCAGGCGCTGGCATAGGCTCATTGTCTGCCGAGCGTTTACAGACGATCAATGCGGAGTTGGCAGAGACGCAGTGTCCGTCAGCGATGATGGAGCTGAGTATGGCAATGACAGATCATATGCTGAGGCATGACGAGGGTGATGATGGTGATATGCCGGTGCTTGATTGTAGTGTGCACCAGCCTGCTGATGCAGGAAGCCTGGATTATGTGTTGAGACTCGATGGGAATGAGCGACTTGACTGGGTGCGTATGGCAGGCCTTGGTAGTATTGTATGGGAACTGACACGACAAGAACTCGATCGATCAATACCTACTATCGCACAACATCAGCACCCCCAATCCGGTATCGTAATAGCCGCAAGACCTAAATGCAATCCCTATAATCTGACGAGTATACTCTACGGGTTACTAAATCAGCCACAGAGAGTACTCGAAAGGCCCGTATGTCAACGCATACTCTACCAATGTCTTCGGCCCACAACTCCCTGTGCCCAAGCCATGATGCGCCCAATCAAGCCTCACATTCAAATCCTGCGTGCGCTTCCTCTCCAGTTCCCACGGATGCTGCGCCTCGTCGACATCTTTCTCACGGTAGTAACACGCGCTAAAGTCTCCCGTCTGGCCTTCAAAGACCGCACGCAAAGATGTTGCCTTCGATACGAAGTCTACATATGAGACATCGGTGCGATTTCCGGATTCCTGGGGATATTCAAAGGGCACCCACAGATCCTTCGCCGCAAGTTGATGATATCCGATGGCTTGCGAGAGTTTCATGTCGCGGTAACTGGGACCCGAGCCACGGCCGAACCATTCGGTCTTGTCGAATTCGGGATATATGCTGAATGACAGCCCAATACGGGGTAGTGTGGCAGGAGGGTGTTCGCCGTGTGGCTCGGCTTTTACTCCGATTTTCAAGCCAGCTTCATCGTCGCCCTTTAGATTGACAATACTATACGTCGTAACAACAACAAACCCCCAAGCAAGCACCGGTGGCGCGACTCGGCTCTTGACCACGACTTCTGCTCCATCATCCGTTATTGTCCACGACACATCTGTCGTGCGCGCACGTAGTTGATGCACACGTTTATCGAGCCAGTGCCAGCCGTCCTGCGGCCTGTCATTGTCGGTCAGAGGTCGGTAGAATGTGAGTGCGGGTGGGGTGGCGAGAACATTCGTGTCATCTTTGGTTATTTGCGTAAGGAAACCCGTAGCAAGGGAAAATATGTATTTGCGGTCGGCACTAGCGGTGATGGTGAGGGAGCTGCCTATCTGGGTCATGTGAATGCCAGCGGATGAAAACGAGGGTTGAGGTGAGAAAGTAGGCAGAGACAGGGTGATCTGGAACCACGCAACGCGGTGCGTGGGTAATGGAGACCATGATGGTTGTGATTTGTGCAAAAAAGATATTTCGATCGCGAATGTGTCCTTCGGGGCCGCGGTTATGAGCGCCGCGAGGTGCAAGGAGGCGGACTTGCCGGGTCGGATGTCCTTCGGAATTTCGACTTCTCCGGCGACGATGTCTCCTCCGTGGACATTGTACTTCGCCTCCGCCTTCAGATGGTCTAGCGTCAGGAAGTCATACCGATTCAGAATCCGCACATCATCCGCCGTCGACCCCTCTACAAGCTGCACCGGCTCAATCGCCTTCGCATACTCGACCAGCCCGGGCGCAGGTGCGTGGTCTGAGAACAACACGCCATCCATGACGAAATTCGCATCATGTACGTCCTCGCCAAAATCACCTCCATAGCCATAATACTCCTCTCCAGCTTCGTTCTTCGTCACCATCCCGTGGTTCGCCCACTCCCATACAAACCCGCCCTGCAAGCGCGGATACGCATAGAACGCGTCGATGTACTCCTTGATATTTCCCGGTCCATTGCCCATAGCATGAATAAACTCGCACAGAACAAGCGGCTTGTCGAACGTCTCCGCGCGCCCGAAATCGCGGACTATGCTGTTCACAGAGGGATACATCTGACTATACACATCAACCGTCTGAGCATGCGTATCGCCTTCGTAGTGCACGACCCGTGTATCATCGTATGCGCGGATGAAGTCGTACATGGCCTGGAAGTTACGCCCGTAGAACGCCTCGTTGCCCAGACTCCACATCACCACGCACGGGTGGTTCTTGTCCCGCACAACCAACTGCCGGGCGCGATCTACGTAGCTATCCTCCCACAGCGGATTGTCGGACGTCCATTTCGCGGCCTCTGCATGTGCGATCTCCTTGCGCGCTTCGTAGCTCATGCTGCGTTGCTCGGGCGTGAATGCGTTCTCCGCGACGGATGCGAAGCCGTGGCATTCGAGGTCAGCTTCGTCCATGACCCAGAGGCCCAGCTCGTTGGCGAGCTCGTAGAGGCGCGGGTCGCTGGGCTGGTGGGATGTGCGCACGGCGTTGAGGTTGTGGCGCTTCATGATCAGGAGGTCTTGCTTCATGAAGTCATAGGGCACGGCGCGGCCGTGGATAGGGTGGTGCTCGTGGCGATTTGCGCCGCGGAAGACAATGCGGCGGCCGTTGACGGTAAAGATGCCATTCTGGATGGATGTGGTGCGGAAGCCGATTTGTTGGGTGAGGGTTTGGCCACCGAAGGAGGCGGCAAGGTAGTACAGGTGTGGTGTTTCGGCGGTCCACTTCTTCGGGTTTGATACTTTGAGAATCACCTCGGTGTCTGAAGATGCGTCGAGTGATTGCGAGTCTAGAGTTGCTTTGTTGGAGTCGAGAAATCGCACGGTCAGCTTTCCTGTACCGGTGAGCCTGAATGACGCCTTGAGCTCGGCATCGGTGTACTTGTCATCCAGGTCGGTGCGAATGTGGACGTCCTCGATGCGGTTCTGGGTGAAGCCGATCAGAAAGACATCACGGAAGATGCCCGAAGTGCGCCATTGGTCCTGATCCTCCAGATACGAGCCATCACAGAAGCGATACACTCGCACAGCCAACCTATTCATACCGCTCCGCACAAGCCCAGAAACATCAAACTCCGAAGGGTTGCGTGATCCCTGATGATACCCAGCCTCAGTGCCATTCACATAAACATGAAACGCCGCATCAACACCCTCAAAGCGCAGCCTCAACTGATACCCCCTCCAGCGCTCCGGAACCTCAAACCCCCTCACATAGCACCCGGTCTCGTTCCCTTGCACTGGCACATTCGGCGGATCGACCGGAAAATGGTAGTTTGTATTCGTGTAGTGCGGTCTGCCGAACCCCTGCAGCTGCCACATACCCGGCACCTGGATATCGCTCCACGCAGCCGTGTCAAAGTCCGGAGCTTCGAAGCCTGCGGGCGCCTCGTACGGGCTCGGGGCGTGGTGGAATTTCCATGTCCCGCTAAGGCTCAGCGCGTCTGACTGCGTTATTTCGCGGCTGAGCGCTGCGGCCTCGCTTGGGAAGGGGAAGAAGTAGGAGCGTGGCGGGAGCGTGTTGCGGTGCAGGACGCTCAGGTTGTTCCAGTCCGGGATACCGGGCGGGAAGTGGCCGGATTGAGATGACATGGCTGCGGAGATTGGGGTTGGTCTGTAAGGTATAGATTCTTGGCTGGGCTGGTGAGATGCGTGTGAGGGTGGCTTTTTGTACAAGCGCTTTCGAGTACGCTCGAGTCTCGAGGCCGGCGCGGGCTTCTTGCCGGATCAATAGACCCGCAGGGGCAGGTATACCGTGAAGAGCCAACACAACTTGCATACCCAGGTATGCACGATTGGAGTGCTCGGGGACAATTGCGCGCATGTACCGAGCTGGGCGCCGTGTACGTTCTGCTGGGATGCTAGGCCGATGCGACGTTCCGGGGTGTTTGCCGTTGATGTTGACTACTGACACGCAGTGAGTGGGGCAATTGGACGCCTGCTGTGACTCATGACTCAGGCATCACGCCTCAATACAGCGTCCCTCGCGTGTCAAGAGTGAGGGATCGAGTGGTAAACACATGTTCTGGAAGGTGGTGAATCTGGGGAAGTGTCACGTGGCCCAAACAAAGCGGAGTGTAAACCCCGCCTGCAAGGAGCTATCTCCGCTTCTCATACATGCTTCGCTTTCACCCTGTCCTGCCGGGTATATCGTGTGTGACTACGATACAAAACCTTCCACCTCGTCCAAGGCCATGCATGATATGAGGCGTAAGATGCTCCACAAACATCTGTAAGAGCGTGTTGCCCCTGACCTCCGACGTCGCTGCAAGAACGGACCCAGAACGCCAATCCGTTCATCCCAGCCGTAGGTCTTTATCCTCAGACCAACTGCAAGTCAGCAATAGGCTTTTTCCGCGGGTGACATATCCGCAACTGGTCGAACATCATGGGTATCACGACTGCCGCTGGCACCGCGCCCAGTATGTGTGACCCGAGGCGAGACTTGTCTGGGCGTGACTTGGCTCCTGTTTCCGTTACTCGTACGCATCCCGTGGCCATAGACCGCTTGAATGTCTTGGTGTAGTACAGCTGCGGGCTGCTATATGCCAAGCTTGAGTGTGTGGCCTGGATATATAGACTGGCCCGGTCGGCTCCTGAATGATCAAATCTGTGACTCTCGGTGTGTAATCATCGTCAGGGTTACCATAAGGCAGGTTCGGCAGTCATCAGGAATTCAGCATCACTTTCGAAAGACAGAGGCTCGCATCGTCAGCATGGCAGAGAAGGCATTCGAGGTCAATGAGCGTGTTGATGCCGAAGGTGATGGCCGAACCAAGGAGATCCAGGTGCACAGCGTTGCCCTGACCGCGGCCGTGGAGGCGCAACCGCCCAAGCTATTGTCCAAGGGCATGCTGAAGTTGTACTTTATCATGACAATTGGCTACCTCGTTTCGACGCTGAACGGGTTCGGTGAGTGCAAGAAGGATACCACGACACAACGCTTACAACGACCAGATTCCTCCCTGATGGGCTCCATCAACGCCATGGAGTCGTACCAAAAGACATTCGGTCTTAGCGGCGCAGGATCCTCGACGGGAATCATATTCATCGTCTACAATCTCGGCCAGATCGCCGCGTTCCCGTTCTGCGGCTTCTTCGCCGACGGATATGGTCGCCGCGTGTGCATCTTTGTCGGGTGCGCGCTTGTCCTCGTCGGCACGGCCGTTCAAGTTACAGCCCACGGAACCGGCCACTTCATCGCCGGCCGGTTCATCCTGGGCTTCGGCGCCTCCATCGCGTCTGCCGCCGGACCGACGTACACCGTCGAGCTCGCCCATCCCGCATACCGCGGCTTCATGGCCGGCATGTACAACAACTTCTGGTGCAAGTCATCCCCCCCCTTTCCCCTTTCCCTCCTTCCCCACTGACAAAAACACAGGGCTAGGCAACATCCTCGCCGGCTGGACGACCTACGGCACAAACCTGCACCTGGGCCACTCCTCCTGGGCATGGCGCCTCCCGACCCTCGTCCAATGCATCCTCCCCGGCATAACAATGAGCCTCGTCCTCTTCTTCCCCGAATCCCCCCGCTGGCTCATCATGCAAAACCGCCACGCCGAAGCCCTCGCCGTAATGGCCAAATACCACGCCCCGGACAACAACCCCTCCTCGCCCATCGTCCAGCTCCAATACCAAGAAATCACCGCCGACCTCACCGCCACCACCACCCACGACTCCTCCCCCTGGTACGACTTCTCCGCCCTCTACAACACCCGCCCCGCCCGCTACCGCCTCGCCCTCGTCATCGCAATGTCCTTCTTCGGCCAATGGAGCGGCAACAACGTGGTCTCCTACTTCCTCCCCCAAATGGTCCTCCAAGCCGGCATCCGCGATCCAAGCACCCAACTCCTCATCTCCGCCATCAACCCGCTCTTCAGCATGCTCGCCGCCATCCTCGGCGCCTCCCTGCTCGACCGCCTCGGCCGCCGCACAATGCTGCTCGGCGGCCTCGCCGGCGCCCTCGTCGCCTACATCCTCCTCACCGCCTTCACCGCCCGCACGCCACACAACCCGGACCTCGCCTACGGCACCATCGTCTCCATCTACGCCTTCGGCATCTTCTTCGCCTGGGGCTGGACGCCGCTGCAGACGCTCTACGCCGTCGAGTGTCTCGAGACGCGCACGCGCGCAAAAGGCTCCGGCCTCAATTTCCTCTTCTTGAATGTCGCTATGATGGTCAATACGTATGGGATTAGCGTGGGGATCGAGCGGATCGGCTGGCGGTTGTATCTGGTGTATATTGGGTGGATTGTGGTGGAGATGGGGGTTGTGTGGGGGTTTTTTGTCGAGACGGCGGGGCATACGCTTGAGGAGTTGGGGAGGGTGTTTGAGGCGAGGAGGCCGGTGGAGGCGAGTTTGCGGAAGGTGAGGGTGGAGGTCGGGGTTGAGGGGGGAGGGGTGGTGCGTGTGGAGGGGAGGGAGGAGGAGGGGTGAGGGGGGGTATCTTGGTCTGGGGTTGTGGAATGACATGTCCGATGGGAATATTAACATACTATTCTACGGCTCTTGTTGAAAAGCGAGCCGTGAGGCCGGGGTCTATAAATATATAAACATACATCCACACCCCCTCCCTCTATCGTGAACCTCCACCGTCCATAGCACATACAAACAAATACAAACACACACATATAATTCATACAGGCCGTCTCACCACACATCAAAACCGCCACACCGCATCCGCCATCCGCACCACCCGCGCCATCTCCCCCGTATCATGCACCCTAACCACATCCGCGCCCCCCGCCACACACGCACTCACCGCCGCCGCCGTCCCAAACTCACGCCTCGCCGCATCCCTCTCGCCCGTGACAACACCCACAAAGCCCTTCCGACTGGGCCCAACAAGCCACGGCAAGCCCTCGAGCCCAGGCCAGCGGCGCAGCTCCGGCAAGCGACGCAGGAGCTCGATGCTCTGGGCGGGCGTCTTCGCGAAGCCGAGCCCCGGGTCCAGCACGATGCGCCAGCGACGCACGCCTGCTGCTTCGGCGGCGGCGACGCGGGCGGCGAGTTCGGTGGCGACGCCGTGGACGACGCCGTGCGGGTAGGAGGTCAGTTTGGACATTGTGGCGGGGGAGCCGCGCATGTGCATGAGGATGAGGGTGCAGTGGCGGGAGGCGGCGAGGGGGAGCATGGCGGGGTCGAGGGAGGCGGCGGAGACGTCGTTGATGATGTGGATGCCGGCGTCGAGGGCGGCGGCGGCGACGGAGGCGTGGAAGGTGTCGATGCTGAGGGCGATGTTGGGGGGGAGGGCGGAGAGGGAGTCGAGGAAGGGGGAGAGGCGGGCGAGCTCGGCGTTTGCGAGGGCGAGTGGGTTGGTGAGGGCGGGGGGAGAAGGGCCGTTGGAGAAGGAGTCTGGGGTCAGGTTGAGGATGGACATGAGGAGGGTGTTGCGGTGGGTGTGGAGGGAGGCGATAGGGGGGATGCCGGGGGCTAGAGAGGTGATTGTGGATAGGGGCGTGGGCGAGGCCGGGAGAGCTGCGAGATGGTTGGATAGAGTGGTGCCGGATGGGGATCCAGGGAGGGTGGATGCTGGGATGAGCTCGCAGAGAGGACGGAGGACGAATTCGCGCTCGAGCATGAGCGCGTGCGGGACTTGGAGACGGGGGTGAGAGATGGTCCTGTCGTCGTAGAGGAGGATGTCGAGGTCGATATTGCGAGGGCCTTTGTCGATGACCTTGACGCGGCCCAGGTCGTTCTCGATGGACTGGAGACGGTCGAGCAGATGGATTGGGCCCAGTGAGGTTTCGATCTGGACGGGGTTAGTCACGTGGTGCGCAAAGGTGAGTGTGGTATGTTTTGATATGGCGCACCTCGCACGCTCCGTTCACAAAGTTCTCCTGGTCCAGCACGTACATGGCTGTCGTCTCCCACAGGCTACTCGTGCGTCGAATCTTGATGTCTGGAGTGCTCTCCATGGCATTGCACGCCTTTTCGATCCACGAGATGCGATCGCCCATATTGCTGCCGAGGGCAATGAATGCTCGATGAGGTCTGTGGGCGCTGCTGCGTGCCATGCTGGTGGCAGCAGCGCCTGCAGTCGAGATGGGACGTATCGATGTCTCCAGTCCCATGTTTCTGTGCGCAGTACGGAGATGGCGAGTTGGATATGGTGAGCTAGCCGATGGAAGTGGTGAAGACGTAGAAGACGGAGCGTGTAGGGCTGAGAAGCATCTCTTCGGAACCCGAGCGTGCAGCAGGCATTGGCCGAGTCGGAGCGATGGTGTCGAGGTGCTGGGTCTCATTCCGAAGGCATGCCTCATATGCTGACGGCGGCCAGTGGTTGATGGCCTATTCACTCTGAATGCATAGACGTACGTAGAGGAAGGGTTCCAGAAGATTTGTGCAGCGGCTCTAGTGAGAATCCGGAGTGACAGCCGCTCACTAAGCTGGTTCGGGCCATGTTCGGTTGTTCAGGTGTTCTACTATCACAGGCCTCTTTCTCGGGTTGAAGAGACGAGCGTCCAAGTAGTGGGATAGCCGTCATCATCTTCGCCATCATCATCATTGACTGAGTTATACAATAAATCACATCCGACGTCTCGCAAGCCATGCCGGACACGCAGTAGTCTCTGGGAGTTACACTGGCCGGAAGCGGTTAGTGGACCGAAGCGTGTGTTCCAGGCATTCTATTGGTCAGCAGGGTCAGTGAAGGCGTGTGCCTCGGCATCTCCGCCCGCTACCCCAGACTTCTTCCGCCTCAGCCAGAAACTCGCCCTCCGCTTCGGCAACGCAACGACTCCATCTCCGCCCCTTCGTCTCTACAAATTCTGCGGCGTCCTTCTTCTTCTTCTTCTTCATCTTCTCTTCTCCATCTAACTCTCAACACCACTCATCACCTCATCCTCATCTCCAACTACACACACACATACATCACCCATCATGGCCTCACCTCGTAAGTCGTCATCCACCCATCCATCACATGCCACTTTCCTCTGCCACGTTGCGCTGACCACCTGTCCACAGAGCAGCTCAAGACGACCGTGACGGATCTATTGAAGATCCAGCACCCCATCCTACTAGCCGGCATGAACGTCGCCGCAGGCCCCAAGCTCGCCGCCGCCGTCACAAACGCAGGCGGCCTCGGCGTCATCGGCGGCGTCGGCTACACCCCAGACATGCTCCGCGAACAGATTGCCGAGCTCAAGGGCTTCCTGACAGACAAGAACGCACCGTTTGGCGTCGACCTGCTGCTCCCCCAGGTCGGAGGCAGCGCCCGCAAGACCAAGTAAGCACTCTCCACTTTGTGCCACACATCCACCTATCAGCCCAGCGGCGTAGCACGACGACAACAACAAACTAACACCCCAAACAGCTACGACTACACCAAAGGCAAACTCAACGAACTAATCGACATCATCATCGACTCGGGCGCATCCCTCTTCGTCTCCGCCGTCGGCGTGCCCCCCAAATCCGTCGTCGACAAACTCCACGCCCACGGCATCCTCTACATGAACATGATCGGCCACCCCAAGCACGTCGCCAAATGCCTCGCCATCGGCGCCGACATCATCTGCGCCCAGGGCGGCGAAGGCGGCGGCCACACCGGCGACGTGCCCACCACCATCCTCATCCCCGAAGTCGTCCGCCTCGTCGCCGGCCACAAAAGCCCGATGACAGGCCAACCCGTCCAAGTCATCGCAGCAGGCGGCCTCTTCAACGGCCAGTCCGTCGCCGCAGCCCTCATGCTCGGCGCCTCAGCCGTCTGGATCGGCACCCGCTTCATCCTCACCGACGAGGCTGGCGCGCCAAAAGCCCACCAGGAAGCCGTCCGCACGGCCGGACACGACGACAACGTGCGCACAATCATCTTCACCGGCCGGCCCTTGCGCGTGCGCAATAACGCGTACATTGATAACTGGGAGACGAACCGCGCCGCAGAGATCAAGGAGTTGACGGGCCGGGGCAAGATCCCTGTCGAGCACGACTTTGAGACGATGGGCGACGAGATTGACGATGATACGATGGATAATGCGCGGCCGTTTCTGATGGGTAAAGCTGCGGCGGTGGTGAGTGAGAAGAAGTCGGCCAAGGCGGTGGTGGATGAGATGGTTGGGGATGCGGTGGCGTGGTTGGCGAAGGGGAATGCCATGGTTGTGTCGAAGGCGCGGTTGTGATTTTTTTTTTCTTTTTTTTCTTGGGGTTGTAGGTTCTGGGAAGGGGCATGCATGCATGTATGTATGGGGGGGAGGTGGATGGTGATGAAGATGAAGTTTGCAACATGATATTGGCGCTGGGCTTCGGGATGGAATGAGATTTTATTCTAGATTTTACTTTGTGTTTCTACCGTGTGACTGTCGTGCCTTGTGCGTGTGTGTTTGGGTGGATGTGGTTAAAGAACCGATTGAGTCCTCTTATCGTGGATCTGATCTATCTGAGGGATTTGAACGGGCAAGGCTGTCATAAGCACGAGGATAAGCATGAGTATAATAAGCACATACAACACAACACGTCACAGCACACACACACAAACACAACCACAAGCACACACACAACCACAAGCACAAGCACAAAACACAGCAATATACAAATCAAACGGGGCCTCCCTCCGTTTTTTCCTCTTCATTTCCTCGTTTTTCCTTCCCTTACATTCCCTCCCCGTTATTGTTATATACCACAATGTCATGTCTCGCCCCGCGCCATTGGACTAGCCAGTTAGCCAGTCAGCCAGTCAGCCTTTGCTTGCTTGTCCTTGTACTTGTCCCTGTACTTGGCTCTTGTTTGCGGGTCAAGTCAAGTCCAGTCTCGTCAAGTCAAGTCCAGTCTCGTCAAGTCAAGTCCAGTCTCGTCAAGTCAAGTCCAGTCTCGTCAAGCCAAGCACAGCAGGCGGAGGCGGGACAACCATTCCAGAAAAGAAGAAGAAGAGTATAATACAAAAAAGCCTCCAGGGGTTGTGTTTGTGTCATAAGTGTGTGATGAGTGAGAGTGTGGAAAAAAGGGGGGCTGGAGAGATGTGGTGGGGTATCCGTATGCTCAAGGGGCAGAACAAAGAAGAAGAAGATGATGATGATGAAGAAGTAAAGAAAAAAAGGGCAAGAGAGAGAGAGAGAGTGTGTGTGTCAGGTGAGGACGAGACCAGAAAAAGATGATCAAAGCCGTGAGCACAGACGCCACGCTCCTGTTGATGATGCCATGACATGATGCCGTCGTTTGCTTCCGCGTCCCGTTGCTCCCGTTGCTCCCATTGTCCTCATGCCCTCGTGCCCTCGTGCTCTCATGCCCCCATACCCAATACCATAAGTCCCCCGCGCCTCATGCCTTCATGTCGTCCGATGCCCAATGCTTTTTTTTTCTCTCTGACCGGATCCGAAACAGGAATCCGGGCCGTCACTCCGGTGCTATGCATCAAGAATCAAGAACAACGCTCAAACGCAGAGAAGGAAAGGTGTGTATGGGTGAAGAGGTAATCATGGCTCAGCTCAGCAGTGCTTCAACAACAAAACGCCGTAATGGATGTTGGAATGGGGTATGTATGAGAAGGCGAAATAGCGCAAAAGGGAAAACAAAAAATGTTGACATGAAAACCGAAAATGGTGGCGCTCTCATCTACACTCAAATATGCCAGGTTTGCTTTGAAGAAAAACGCCGGTGTGTGTGTGTGTGTATGTGCGCGCGCGTGAGATGGTTGGAATATCCCGGGGGCCGGCTAGATGCGAAGAAGACGTGTCTATGTGGTGCGTTGTTGACATGGTCGATGTGCGTACCTACTACTTCCTAGAGAGAGATGTAGCTGTTTTTATGCTGTTGCTGCAAAGATGTAGGCAAGACGGTGAAGAAGAAGAAGAAGAAGAAGAAGAAGATGATGATGATGATGATGATGGTGATGAGACAATAGATGGACATCAAGCCGGCATCAGTAGGCGTTGTGGACTTGCAGGTCAGGGTAGTATCCCCGGCTGGATTCCACACCGACGTATTTACCACAGCCTCCACCTTGCCAGTTGTTGTTCGTAGTAGTGGTAGCAAAGCTGTGCGTGTTATACTCTTCCTTGACTTTTCTTGCCTCGTCGTACTGATGCTGTGTCTGGGAGGGCGGCGGCGGCTTTGCTTGGGGGTCTTCTTGTAGGCCGGCATCGTACAGAGGACCAGGGTAGTACTGGTAGCCATCATAGCCGTCCGAGGGCTTGTTCTCGACGTCCTCCATGTGGTGGTCGACACCACCGTCGCCGGGCCCGGCACTGATGGAGCTCGCACTGCTCACGGAGTTGCTGCCAACCGGACTTGGGTTGTGCGAGGAGGCGTACTGGCCTGGTGCTCTGTAGGCGCCACCACCACCATACGTGCTGCCACCACCACCACCACCCAAAAGGTTTGCAAAACCAGTATTCAGCGATCGACCAAGGCCAAGACTTCCGCCGCCGCCGCCGCCGCCATAGCCTGCATAACCACCACCACCACCACCACCGGGAGCGCCACTGCTACCATGCCCTCCTTGACGTGAAGTGCCGCTGGTACTGGGTCCCTCATTCGAGTAGTGACTCGGAGAGCGACCACGCACGACGACGGCGGCAGAGACACGATGGGCAAGCTTCAGCCAGGTGGGCTTTTGCTCGCCCGTCCTCCGTACGTCGGCCCACAGTTCCACAATGAGGTGGTAGTATTGCTGCTGGGCCCTCCTCTTGCCGTTGTTGGCGGTGGCAGACTTGAACTGGATGCGCTCAAAGGTGTGGGCGTAGGCATTGTGTGAATGGCCAGACGAAGGCACCGAGGAGGAGTTGCTCGGATCGGCCTCTTGCTGCAGAGGCAGAAAGGGCGAGGCCATCGGGTTCGGGTTGTGAAAGGAGGTCAAGGGATAGCCGTGCGTCTCTCCCGGTATCTTGCCCGGCGGGGCCGGCAGAAGCTTCTCTTTTGCAATGGGCAGCTGCGGCCCCTTGTCCCGCTTTGGGGTATGCTGTATCAGCTCGATGATCTTGCCGGTGGGCCCGTCGACGGCGGCAGACAGAGACATTGCCAGGGCCTGTATTTGCTCCATCTTGCCGTTGCGCGAGATGTAGAGACGCTCGTTTGGGAGATGCGGGTTGAGGGAGTATGACGACTGCACGGAAAAGTAGTTGCGTCTGTAGCAGGTCCACACGCGATCGCCCGACATGAAGAAGCCCTTTTCGATCTTGGCGTCAATCTTTGCCGAGACAATTGCGTCGTTTTCGGTGCGAATGTCATGAAAGTTCTGCTGGTCTTCAAAGGGCGGCGTCTCATGTCGGTCATGCGGGTTGGTGTAAGCGAGCATGGCGTGGGTGGAGGTGTAATGGGAGGCAGACTGCGGGGAGAGAGGCATGGCGGCGGGCAGGACGCTTCGCGGGATATCCGGAATGGAATTGTTGTTGTTGTTGTTGTTGTTGTTGTTGTTGTTGGTGTTGTAGAGATGATGTGAGCGAGGAGAATGCGGATGGCGGTGAAGATAGGGTGGTGGTGCAGCAGTCGTGTAGTTGTCACGATGAGTAGTCGCACCAAAAGATGGCGATAGCTGATTGCCGATTCCAGGTGAGCGTGTCGGGGGCAGCATGGCAGTATTTGACGAATAGTCGGACCTGGAGGGCAGACGTGTCAGCAAAAAGAAGCATGTATGTACAGCGAGGTTGTGTGTGTATGTGTGCGTGTGTGTGTGTGCGTGTGTGTGAGAGCGTGCGGGATCAGTCTTTTCGCGGCAGGTCGGGGTTTGAGAGGGAGAGAGAGAGGGGGGGGGGCACGACAGTACAGGGCAGGTATGGCATGGCAGGGCAGGGCAGGGGAGGTCAGGATACGTACATGGAGGTAGTACCCCTCTGTCTGATAGTGGACATGCCCGCAAAGCCGGGGTGGTAGGCAGCAGCAGAGGAGGGGAAAAGCTGCGGCACCTGCGGAGTCGAGACTGACAGACCCTGGTGGTTTGCCTGCTGGTATAGAGAGGTGGAGGTGGTGGTCGGGTAGAGGGAGAGCAGGGAGGAGGAGGTGTTTGAGCTGGGGCTGGTCGAGATGGAAGCCGAGTTGTTGTTCGAGTCTGAGATGGGCGGCGGTGGTCCGGCGTGAAAGCTAGGCAGCAGCAAGCATGATCAGCAGCCATTATCCGCGCCCATGAGAGAAGCGTCTGTCTATGGAGAGAGAGAGAGAGAGAGAGAGAGAGGGTGAAGTAAAAGGTGTGTACAAGGCAAAAGTAAGAGGGTGGGACAGATTGCAAGCAAAGACAAGCAGACAAGCGCGAGCTTGGACGTCGTGTGATGATGATTGACAGCGCGCCAGCAGAGAGGGAGAGATACAGAGAGAGCCGCAGAGCGAGAGAGAGTGAGAGAGAAAGAGCAGAATGGGGATAGGCCAGCAGGGGCAGAAAGAGGCGCACAAAACACGCACGGCAACGCGGCAGAAATGAAAGCAGAGAGGGTTTGTTTGCGGTCGCCCAAGTGGAGGATGGATGGTGGATGGTACGGAAGATGATGCATGGAGGGGAAAAGACGAAGAGATTACAGCAGAAGTGACCAGGGGGGGGAGGGGGAGGAGGAGGAGGGGAACAGGCGCAAGATGGGAGAGGAAATGTGCTGGGATGACGAGGGGGGAGGGGGGAGGGGGGTAACACTGCACCAGCACTGCCAACCCAACCGCCACAGCGCGCAGAGTTGAACAGGGGCCCCACACCACGATGATGATGACGATGATGATGATGATGATGATGCATGACGTTCGGGACAGTATGGGGAGCAGGGAGAGACGATTGGATTGGAGAAGAGAAGGACGAGATGAAGGGAAATGAAAAGAGGAAGAGTAAAGGACTTACTGGCTGCCGTAATGTGTTGTCGGACGATGGATGGGCAAGTAGCGAGTAGTATGGGGAGGTAGAAAGGTCGAGGTAGAATGGTCTCGTCTCAGATGGTCGTTGTTGTTATTGTTGTATGAATTGTGGTGATGTTGTTGTTGTTGTTGTTGTTGTTGTTGTTGATGGTGATGATGGTGGTGGTGGTGCTGTTGCTGGTGTGAATTGATAGGATCAATGTACTCATTCTCATTCGACTGCTGCGAGTAGTCTTGTGGCAGAGGCAGCGGGGCACTCTGTTGTAAGACTGGGAGGAGGGATTAGTAACCAATGGCCAGGAAGTTGTGCGGGAGAGGCAGAGAGAGAAGGGGGAGCAGATCTGAGGTGGGACAAGAACGAAGAAGAGTCGGAGGAAGAGTCGGAGGAAGACGAAGAAAGAAGCAGAAGATGGAATAGTAGTAGTAGTAGTAGTAGTAGTAGTAGTAGTAGTATAGCAAAGCACGAATGAGAATCAACAAAGTACGAAGAAGACGGAGGAGGGGGGGCAGGGGGAGGGGGTGTGTGTGTTAGGCGAAGAGAGAGAGAGAGAGAGAGAGAGAGAGAGAGTGTGTGTGTGTGTGGTGGTCGAGTGCAGGAAAGATGCAGATTGGAAGAGAAGAGAGAAGAAAAAAGACAAGCAGCACGCACACACGCACCCACGCACACACACGCACACACAACCACACACAAGCAAGCAAGCAAGCAAGCAAGCACCAGGTGGAAGCGGGCGCTAAGACTCGGATGTGAGGCCTGCACAGTCGCACAGAGTCTCACCAAGCGCCGGCTGTCTGCGTTGGGTGCATGCAGAGCGAGGTGCAGCAGGTTTGCGAGAGAGAGAGAGTGTGTGTGTGTGTGGATGGTGCTGTTGTGTAGAGTTGGAGGTAGTGAGGGTGGGAGAGGGTGAGAGTAAATGGACTAGAGAGGGTAGAGAAGTGAAAGAGAGCAAGACGAGAAGAGAGAGAGGATGGGCCAAAAGCAACGAATAAGAAAGAAGGCAGCAGAAAAGTCGAAGAAAAAGAAGAAGAAGCAGAAGAAGAATGGGCGGGAGGAGAGGCAGCCGAATACGCAGCCAAGACTGGGTGCAGCAGGATGAATAAGGCTGGCGGTCAGGGAGAGGGAGGGTGAGAGAGAGAGTGTGTGTATGAGAAGAAGAAGAACAACAACAAGTACAAGTGAGTACAGCAACACCAAGTGCAACAAGAAGTACTACGACGACTACCACTACTACTACTACTACTACTACAACTACAACACCATGCACAGTTACAACAAACTACTAGAGATGCAAGTGAACGCTAAGAGTGGAGTGGACGGGAGTAGACTGGACTGACCGGAATTCATCATGATCGTCTCAGGCTTGTTGTTGTTGCCGTAGTGGTCGTTGTAGTAATTAGTCGAATTGTTGCTTGTCGACGAAACGGCAAGAAAAGGATGTGTTGGTTGGGTTGATGGATGGATCTAGAGTAGAAGAAGAGGATTGTCAAGCTTTGATTCAACCATTCTTTTTTTTGCTACCAAAATGTATGTAGGTAGCATGCATGATGATGGTCATTAAGTAGCAATTCAATTAGTAGTAGACAAGACAGGGCAGCGCAGGGCAGAGCAGGGGGCATGAATGCAAAGTGAAAGAAAAGACTGCGCCGCAACTCACCTTGTTGTGACCGATTCTCTCTCACTCTGTCTCTGACTATCCAGCAACTTGCTAGTGTGGTCGAGTAGTGCAGTCGGATATCGAACAGCTACTGGCTGGCTAGCTGCAGACTACTACTAATTACTACTACTAGTGGTAGTGGTAGACTAGTCGCAGCAGTATTCGAGTGCAATGTGTATATATATAAAAAGAGACAAACAAAATGGCCCTTTTAAGAATTCCCACCCACGCGCACGCAGCCTTGACTTGGTCAAGATGCCACGCGCCGTCTTCTTTTTTTTAGTCTTTGTTTTCTTTTCCTTTTTCTATACTATTTCCCCGAAGAGATGGTGCTAGTCGAGTGATGCGCGTCTGTGTGTGTGTGTGTGCGTGTGTGGGTAATTATGCGACTGTTCAGCCTAAGCGCGCCCCCCCCCGGGTTTTCTTGTTAGCTAGCTTGTTCGCCCACTACACACTACTACAGTATACGAAAAGTCAAACGAATAAATGAACGGCCGCCAGCCAGTTAGCCAGCCAAGTGCGCGCGCGCCTGCCTAGATTGGGGAATTGGTGGGGTTGCCTTGGCTGCATTCCTTCCCTCTAGCGGCCGCGGACTAGTTCTGTCATCACTCACCCTAATCGATTACTGCCAACCTCAACCTTCACTTTCCAATCACTCTTCTCCTCACTCGCAACTCAACTCGAATTCAATCGCCTGCTGCCTTTCGGTCGCAGACTGTATGCAGGTACACTGTCGCCCTGTCGTCTCTCGTCTTGTCGCCTTCGTCTCGTGTCGTTCGAATCGCCAAGCTTGATGGCGCTGTCGACGGGTGCAGACGTAGGTACGTGCATGCGCGGTTGGTGGTGTTGGTGGTGGTAATCGTAGTGATGTTGTTGTTGTTGGTGGTGGTGATGGTGATGGTCGTAGCCCATGTATGGATCCTGACTGACACTGATGGGATGCCCTATCTTGTTGCGCTGTCGTCACTTATACTCTTCGCCACAACACCTCCCTTTAATCGTCGTCGTATACACGCCGCACAGCCCTATACCCACCGCTCAATTCTACCACGACTGGGTCGTTCTTGATTTCTTGACTCGCCTTTCTCCTCGCGCCCTGGTCCAGGTGATCCACGGCTAACTAGCTAGCTAGCCAGGTAGCTGGTAGGTGGCTGAATAGGTCCACGAGTAGTAGTAGTGGTGGTGGTAGTAGTGGTAGTGGTAGTGGTAAGATGTAGGTAGGCAGGCAGCAGACAGACAGGCAGCCAGGCAGCCAGCTATTGATCAACAAGACCAGACTAATCTGTCTTGGTCGCCGACCTCACTTCGCACTGTGTCTACTGCGCAATTTCAAGTCTGTGCCTTTTGCTTTAATAAATTATCTCTCCGTCAACCTGTATTCTTTCTCTCGCTCTCTCTCTCTCTCTTTTTCGCAACCTAGTCACTCGTGCCCTGCTACTGACCAGCCGGTTTATCTATCGAGCTGATTGGTGCTTGCTCGTTGCGACCTGGTCGTGCCAGCCCTGCCTGTTTCGTCACCGTCTACCCTGGCTGAGTGGCCTGCGATGGGTGGATGGATGGCTGGATGTATGGATGTATGGATGGCTGGATGGGTGCTCCACTTCCTGGCCGTTCCAGTACCCTGGGTCACTGCAGTGCCGTGGCGCGCGACCGCCGGCAAGAAAAGAAGAAATAAAAAAGCAATTCGTTGTTCGGTCCCTTGCTGCTGCGGCTGCTGCTGCAAAACTATCAATCAAATGTCGACTGTCGCTTCGTTTTGCCCTGTTCGTCCAGTTTCAGATTTATTCCTGTCCTCGAAGAGCGGTCAATGCCACGCTTATATCTTCGTTCCTCGGCTTTTTGCCCACTGCTCCGTCGTCGTACAGACTGACTGGTCTGCGCTAGTTGATCACCACAAGGAACCGCACCATCCCATCAGATGATGCTTGAGATGAGAGGGGAGGGGGAGGCTAGGGGAGTCGGTAGGGGGAGAAAGAGTTATGTTCCAACAAAGACAACAAAAAGACTTCTTGTTGGAAACCTTGGGCGCGTTGTGGGTTATGACTGGGGAAGAAGTAAATAAAATAAGAAAAAGAGGTAGCAAGAGCGTTGTGGGCCACACTGCGGACCACCACGCCGTTATAGTAGCTGTCGAGAATGGAGATGTGTGTGTGGATGTGGATGTGTATTGTGTGGACGTGTAGTATGGGGACGTGAATGGGGACGTGGATGTGGAATCGGGAGAAGATTAGACGCAATTCCACCCTCCCCCCCTAAAAGAAAAACCGGGGATTCCGTGGGCTCCTCTTGTCCTTTTACAGCATCCTTCATCAAGATCGACTATGGCCAGACTGAGTTTGACCTGTCAGCCCCAAACACTACCACACCACACACACACACAGAACTCAGACCAGGTGCTATCAAAGCAAAATAATTAACCCCCTGCAGCCAATTCACTCTCTTTACTCTGCCCTCTTACCCTCTTACCCTCTGATCAAATCATTTGTCGAGAGAGCCGTCCACCATCCCTCATGCAGCTCGCCCTTCCTCGCGCCAGGTAAGCAATCATGCTGTCCACCTGCGACCCACCCCTTTCAGGAACCTCAATGGTAACGAGAAAGGCTGTTACCAGACTGCCGGGTCGCGGCTGGTGTTGCGTTCCGATGCAGAAAGAGGTTAAGCTCCTATGGTTTGCCCACGGAATAGCGTTCCCAGTAGTCACTACTATTGCTGCTGCTGCTGCTGCACATCAAGCAATGTACATAGGACATAATTCCCCTCCAAGGCCAAGGAACGGGGCTGACAGTGCCCATGCCCGTCCACTATAGGACGCCGGGCTCCCCGTTTACCCCCCTCCCCCTCCCCCGCAACTAGAGGGAAACTGCCAAAATGACAAATGTAAAGGCACGGTCATCATGACCCATACAGACGTCCTTGTTTCTCAAACACAAGGGGAGGGGGGAGGGGCCATAATAGCAGGTGGGGAACATGATCTCTCTCTCTCTCTCTCGTCCAAGCAATGTTCTCCGGATCAGCCATCAAATCGGGCGCGCCATGATCCTTGAATGGGCGTTGACGCCTCCACAATATGTGGAGAAAAAAAGAGAAAGAAGAAGAGAGCGAGACAGACAAGAGATAGAGGCAGGGAGGCTTAGCGGAACGGCTTCTGAAATGAAAGGAACAACAAGAGCTGAACAAGTAAGTGGAAGTGCAGGCGGTCAAGTCATCGGGCCCAGACGAAAGGGAGAATTCAGGCAGATTCAGAGAGTCTCTTGATCGGGACTCGGGACAGCAAGCTCGATGGCGCGGACTAGGGCCGACAGGGTCATGAAAAAAGAGTGGCTGCTGGCAGGATGTCCCTTGCAGCATATGAGCATGCTCGCCGTTCTGCCCTTCTGCTTGCAATGTGTTTTTACGGTTAATGCTGACGTTATTGATACCCATCCTGATGCCAAGTGAGTTGAGAGTGGGGTGTCCCGGGCAGAACGTCAACAGCTCAGGAGCTAAATTAACACGCCATCCGCTGGAGAACAGGCGGGGTTCACGGCAATTGGCTGCAGGCTGAACGGCGCTAATACATCTACGGACTAGTCCGGAGTTGCTTCCATCTAACCCTTTCTGGATGTTTACCTCGTCTTTCTTCTTTATTACGTCAATTATTAATTAATACCTCCATCTTCCTTCTCACTGCACTATCACTACGATAACTACGACTCTCACTACAACCACTACGACCACTACAACAACACCAACACCAACACCAGCTATACATCCGCTCGTTCTGCGGCTTCGTCCTCTTTTCCTTTCATCCTAGCAGTTCGTCCGGCTATAGGTCCCGTCCAGCCGCCGTGGCTCGCCTCGTCCTTCCCTTCTCACTCGCCTCCTCCACACTATTACACCTTTGGCTCACACTCACACACCCACCCATCCCTATACTCGGACGCCTCCAACCATCCGCTCCCGTGGCTTTCAAACGGGCCCTGTGTTGTACAACCTACGCGCACCTACGAGCCCTTGCGAATCCGCCCCACGGCTGACCGCCGCCGAGCACCGCCAGCCAGTCGAACTCACAAATTCCCCACGCTATCCTCAACCTCGCCGAACAGCTCGAGGGCTGCTCAGCACGTTTTCTGCCAGGACACTTGCCAAATGCCTATTATTACCTACCGACCAACAACCTACTAACTACTACCTACCGCCCTACCTACCTACAGCCCGGCACCGAGAGTCGGGGAATTGCGCGGGCGGGGGTGGAGAAGCTCTTCATAGCTTACCCAGACTCCAGGTAGGTAGGTAATTATTAGGTCGTGAGTGGATTGAGGCTCCCTTGCAGACTTGCAACCCACTCTCTCACACACTCGCACTCACTACTCACACTCTTACACTCTCACACATATACACACACACCTGATCTGACAGATTCTTCCTTGTCGCTCGTCACTCACTTCCCTCTTCCCAGCTGTCCGCACCGCTGGGCTCGTGGCTGAGACGAAGCCACGTCTGGACGTTTGCTCTCTTCAGTCTTCGCTGCAGTTGCGCTTGGGCTTCAAGGGCTGGGGACTAATTACATTACCCGCCCAGTCGACCTTCCTTACACCGTTTCTTTGACCGACAGGGCCCCAATTTTCAACTTTGCCATGCCCCAGTGCGGCCATCAAAAACACTTTTGCCGGCTACCGGTCCATCTTCAGGGCCCAGCTTGATGAGATGTGCAGCCAGCGTTCCGAGCACTAGCCTACATTGCATCGTGTTTCAGTCTTCGAGAACGACGGGCGCCTATAGCCTTGGTCTCACCGCAGCTTCATGCATGCCTACAAACTCCACCGCCACCTTTTCTACCCCCCCTCCCCCCTCCCCCCTACCCCGAGCCCTCTCTCTCTCTCTCACTCTCTCTCTCCGGGTCGCTGATTCCGCTTTCCACCTTAATTAGCCGCTGCTTGCCTGGGCCCACTCATCCGTCCATCATCTCTGCTACACGTCGCCTCGAACCAACGGTCCGGGCCGTCTGCAAGAATGCTGCCTGTCCCAATTCGACTTTCAAAGCGCATCATGGAACGGCCAGCAGTGCACCGACCGCCCGCTGCCAGCGCACAGTGCGCGAGCGTTGGGTGAGAGAGTAAGTGAGAGTGAGCGTGAGAGAACAGTGCGTGATTGTCTCACGTCCCCGACATTCATCAACTTTGAGATGCATAAGATCGTGCAGAGGCCTTTACTGGGCCCCGAACCTCTGTCGTCATCATCGCACTTTCCTCTCTCCCTCTCTCTCTCTCATGTGACCTGGCTCGCTGCACGCATCCGTCTGAGAAGACATTATCGGCGCGTGAAAACTCTTTTCTCATGCCACTATCCGTCTGGCTTTGCGCTCTCTTGACTCACAAACACTGTTTGCATGCCCGTAGTCGGCGAGTCCAGGAGCGGTCAAGGCTACTTGTGACTTGTAGGCTGTGCCGCTTTTCTCGACAGAGGGCCGTCTCAAATTTCCAATCCTTGTCGGTTCGCCACTACGACGAGCTGGCCTGCTGCTCGAATGTCGAATCGACTTGCACCCGCGAACCTGCCTCTGTCGTATGATTTTTCAGACTCAAATTCTCGTATCTAGCAGGCCTCCGCTTCTCTTTGATCGTCGTCCATGGCCGTAAACAAAGAGCTGACGGGGGCACTAGCATCTGCTAGTGCGAGAAATGGATCCTCCATGCAGGCTAGCCACTTTCCATGGATGGATCCTTATAGCGTCCTGCCACAAACAAAGACCAGAATAAACACTTTCTACTACAGCGCCCGTTCTATTGTCACGCTGACTGACTTCCGGCCCGCATCCTTGTCGATAATCTCGCGTCGTCTCTTCATCATTGGTCATTGGAATTCGATGTGGCCCATTGGCAAACCATTCTTCTCTTTCCGCGAACCATGCCATGATGAGCCGCCGACCCACTAACACATAATACACCACACTGCCTTGAACACACCACTTTGGGGGATAACAAGACAATGAACGAGATTAGTCCCCACCATCAGAGTCACCACCGTGATCTACCTGCAACGCTCCAAGCCTTCTCTCCACGTACATTCCAAAGATATGTCTTATGCGCCGTGTCTGTTTCTGATAAGCACAGACACGTTGCCGTGGCAGTTCTACAACATCCATTGATTTACATCGGCTTCTGTCCCACGCCCAAGCAATTTCAGCAGGATGAAATCTATGCCCGTCATGAGCACTTCATCACCCAGCCTTTCTAATTCGCCGATGCGCCGGCCAGTCCATGTCCCTGTACTACTCCGCAACGATCGAACTTGCGCTACTACTACACTTCGACACGGGGGTTTCGCGTATGACAGCCAGACAGTGATCTTCTAGAAGAAGTGCGCAATGTTGTAATCCACGTCTGTTATTGTCGAGCATCTGTACCGAAATCATGAACGTCGCGTGCACTTGACTCGTACAGACAGGCAAACCTCAAAGAGTCCACCGGGTTCGCGCTGTCATCCCGATGGTTGCTAGAGTCACGATGGCCAGCTTCGGTGGCAGCAAAACAAGCTAGTGTTGGATCATGATTTGATGTGTCTGCCTTTGTCTTCACTTTGCTCTAGAAAGACTGCTGGTAATGCCTATGCATCGCTACCCGGCTTGATCTCTCTCTCTGTCTGTTCCAGCCTGGTATAAGGTATGGCGCTGCAACATCTACCAATGTGGCTTGAAGATTTGCACGAGCACGGTTCCGAGCGACACAAAGTAGACTTGTGACGCGACCATCTCTGACAGGATAGAGATACTGACGGCAGTTGATAGGCGCATCGCAACACTGCTTGCGCCTATTGCAGACTTGATCACGTATCCTCATCATCATCATGGATCACCAGTGACCAGATGCCGTGCTCTTTCCCCCCTTTCACGTCGCCGCTAATTACACATCCTCACATTTGTCAACATGTCAATACCACCTGGCAAGCCGACGACATACATCCATCTACCAGGGAACAGCAAAGAGCCCTGACCGGAGGTGCGCGCGCGCGTTATCCGCGCAGATCGTAAATGAGCTCGTTTGTTCCTGCTTGTCTTGGCTCGGCGCCACTCTCGACGAGCCTTCGTTCTGAGCAGCATCATCTGCTTTCAGCGTCACAACATGTGCTAACGAACGCACACGCCAGGGCCCCATCAGCAAGTCGGAGCCGGCGCTCTACGAGGGGTCCCTATCTTTTGGCTCTCCATCAACTGCGTCCCAGGTCGCCGACCTCATGTTTCCGGATTCGCCAGCCAACTAACGGCCATCAGCATGACGCCTCGCCCTGCCCATCATGCACTCCTCGGAAGGCCAGGCTCGTCGCTCGGGTATTGTTTAGATGAACACCTCCCATCTCTCCCCTCCGTTCCATCTCCTAGTCTGACAAGGGAACATGTCAACACCGATCGGCATACTAGCTAGCAGCATACGCAGTCTTTCCGACGCCAGGGCAACACATTGACGACTGCCAGCTAACTCACGCCCGTTATAGCCCTCACCAAGCAGCTCATCGACTGGCCCTCGTGACGCACGCCTCAAATATCACCCTTGCCATTCAAACTATCGTTTTATCAATGGGCTGGCTGACTGACTGACTGGCCGGCTGGTTGGTAGGCCTCTAACTCATTCGTCGCCGCGGCCGCCGCGCCGCCAACATGAACAGTTCTGACGTGGTCCGGATCCATCAAAGCATCCGTCTTCCAGAGATATATCTCGTTGCTGTGCGTGTCTGCTGATAGTGTCCATGCAGTAGTGGTCATCATGATCTGACGAGCGCCTGTTTCTGGTTGACTTGGTCACATTCTTCTTGTCTCGCTTGATGGGAGGTCACGTTCGATCCATAGTCTGGATCTCACACCATGGCCCTTTGTCCATACGTCTCCTCTCTCTCTCTCTCTCTCTCTCTCTCTCTCTCTCTTTAGTTTCCTGTCGCTGACTCTCCCATTCTCTGCAAAGTCTCACTCTCTTGTGCCATCCGCTGCCATACACTCCGCTTTACTCTGTCCCGTCTCATCCCGTCTCATCCCATCCCATCTCATCTCTTCTCATCACATCTGCACGAACTCCCATGACACTCTGCTCTCTACACCTCTGCCCTACACGCCGTATAGCGGGACATCGCATTCATGGCAAACATAGCTCTGCTTACTTGCCTGCTTACTTATTTACTTCGTAGTCAGCCAGCAAGTACAACCTTGGAAGAAGAGGTGCTCAAGACTGGCAATACATATGTACTGTCGTCTTGCAGGGCTGAAGTCTCTGACTTGCCATGTTCTCGACTTGGCGGCAGTCGTGGTCGCGGACGTGGGCGTGTGTCCCTGACAGTCTTGACGAGACACCGTGGCATGCAAGCAATGTCCATCTATCTTGTTCGAATGAACGGTGAGGATATGAGGAGATGTCAACGTCTATACAGCAGTGGATCGGCCGTAGCCCTAACCGTCTGTCTCCACAGTTATGCCTTTTGACAGCTGAGCAGACCACTGGAGAACCGAGGCTCTAGCCCCTTTTGGTGATATGCCAAGCTTCTACGCCAAGAGCGGGTCGCAATCTTGGAAAAGGCGTCAATGCGATCAAGCAAATCCAACTCCATTGGCGCCAGGACAGGAGCGTTAGCTGCGTCAACGATTGAATCAACGGTCGATCGAAGCGCATCGAGACGTGGTCGAGTTGTTGTTGTTGTTGTTGCTATATGTTGGCATATACATCACTGCAGACTACGAATAACGACCCACACAATTGGTGCATCCCGGGGCTTTATGTTTGACCCGGGTATATTCCAGATAGGAGATATATGACCAGCTCGGCACACGGGAGGGGCCCTGCGAAACGGGGTTTCATGATCTCAGACCGGTAGATATTGCGGTGCGTTCGGGCGTATGTTGAGCGTTGTTGTAGAGCAGGAGACACTGCGGTGGTTGTGGTTTCATAGTCGCTGGTATCGTATACTCACATTCCCGCATGAATGGATGGAATATTGACATATATTGTAATTACTGGAATGCCAGAGAAATGCGCCAGATGCAAGCGAAGACTGGGCGGGGGGCGGCATATGAAGCTTGAAGCTTGACAACACGAGCCTGACTACCCCGACACGGACTAGCGGCGGGCGCGATTGGACCCACGATCATCTCCTTACGCCAACGCCAAACCTGCTTTAACTCTGAACAACAAAGTCCTTTAAGCCATGCACTTGCCGTCTCTTCACTCCTCCCCTTAGGCTTCGCCTTGTTCCTCTTCCTCTCCCTCCGCCCGCCCGCCCTCTTCACCGAACGACATCTCCATACCGCAAACGTCTTTAACCCGTCATTCTCGTTTCTGTTATATACCCAATTGTACCTGATTCGTTACTTTGGCCTCCTGCTGAAACCAAGCGCCTTTCCACCCACCCCCCTTCAATTTACGCCAACCACGCTTCTGCGCTTTTACACGTTGCATACTTCAAAAAACTTGCGCTTCTTCCTGTCTCCCTACGCGATATCCTCGACAACAACCATGAATCACCGTCGCTCTCGCGATGTGCCCCCGACGGGCTACGATGGCGCCGAGCCCAAGCACGATCCCTCTGTCCCGCCGCACTCGAGCAATGGCAAGCCGCACAAGAGTCGCTTTCTCCCCACATTCCACAAGGGCCAGCAGACGCCGGGCATTGCGCCCGATGGCGAGAGTGGCCGCAAGGGCTTCCATCCCCTCAAGTTTATGAGAATTTGTGCACGCAGCTCGAGCAAGATGTCCTCGGCTGTGAATGTGTTGTGGCCTGTTGTGCCTGCTGCGATTGCTATTGTAAGTTGATGCTTTGATGTTGTAGTATGAGGCATGAAGTGGTGCTTACCAATTCAGTATTTCGCCCGTCCTGAGTGGCATCTGACCATTTTCATTCTGAACTATATCGCCATGGTGCCATCGGCCAATCTGCTTGGATTTGCGGGTCAAGAGCTGGCTCGCAAGCTGCCGAAAGTTATGGGCATTATCATTGAGACGACTCTGGGCTCGCTGGTTGAGATTATCTTGTTTCTTGTCCTGATTGTGCGGTCGGTCGGCGACGAGAATGTCCAGGTCATCCGAGCCGCTATTCTTGGTTCTCTCCTTGCTAACCTGCTTCTCTGCTTGGGACTCTGCTTCATTGCTGGAGGTATCAAAAGAGACGAACAAACTTTCCATGAGGCTATCAGTGAGGTCGGCACAGGCTTGATGCTTGTGGCAGCAAGTAAGTTCTTGGTGATACTACGACATGGTCATGCAGCTGACGACATGTACAGTGGGTCTTATTATCCCCTCCGTATACGCCAACACCTTGGTTCAGGCCGAGCCGCTATTCCGAAACGAGGCACTCAGCATTTCGCGTGCCATTGCCATCATGTTTTTGGTCGCCTATGGTGTCTATCTCGTGTTTCAGACACACACCCACCATGGACTGTATGACGACATTCTCGAAGCCGACGAACTCAAGGACACCGACAGACATCGGGATCTCGCCAAGCAGAAGCTGACCTTCACCGAGGCCCTCATTGGTATCGCAATTGCCATTGCCTGTGTGGCGCTGATTGCCGTTGCTCTGATTGACCAGATCCACTACCTTGTGGTTGACCGTGGCATCTCAGATGCTTTTGTCGGTTTGATCCTGATTCCTCTGGTCGAGAAAGCTGCGGAGCATTTGACGGCCGTCGACGAAGCCTGGGACAACCAAGCAAACTTTGCCCTTGCTCATGTGCTTGGTGCTTCGATCCAGACTGCCCTCCTCAACACTCCTCTGGTCATCATTGTAGGATGGGGCCTGAACAAGGGCATGGATCTCAACTTTGAAATCTTCGACACTGTCGTGCTCATTCTTGCCGTCCTTGTGGTCGGAAACTTCCTCCGCGACGGCAAGAGCAACTATCTCGAGGGCACGCTGTGCGTGATTGTCTACATCATCATCGCGATATGCGCATTCTACTACCCGAACCCCCCAGAGGGCCACACCAGCTACACAACGACCGAGGCAGCCACTTTGGGCCTGCAGCCAGACCCGGCCGCCGAGGGCCATCACTAAGGGGTTGTTGCGCAAACAGGGACTCCTATTGATATGAGTGGTATATATACTTATTGGATCGCTGGGAGCGACATTTCCGCCTCGTATGGCTCTTTAATTTCTCTTTTGTTTACTTAGCGAGCGATAGGCGTTCGGATAACATCTCCTACCTTATCGTGCTAGCCAATGGAATCCGGTCTTGTCCTGTATTGTATGAACGGAAGCTGTCTTGTGCTCGTGATGCTTGAACTATTCTGCAGTGCAAAGGTCAACATTAGTTGATGAACAAGGATGTATCACCACGCGGCCTCTATTTCTGTTCCCGAGCTTAGACTTGACCGGGACTTTACGTTTCATGTGCCTCGGAACGGCCGAGCTCCCCGCGTGTTGCGGCCCGCTACGTGTGCCAAGCTCAAAGCGCGGTCGGTCACAGGCGTACGTGACCCACGACAATCAGCGAAACGGCACACGTCTTTTCCTTCGTTCTTCCACATACACCAGCTCAACAGTCTTCCGCGCCTCCTCAAACATTCCCTCCCGCATACAACCAGCCGTCGCTGTCCCATGAAGTCGTTATAACATCCATCAGGACCCTTACAGAGGACATGCGCTCGGCTATGGGCCGCCCTGTGCCTGTGGCACGCCAGGGTCTCGCACTGCTGCTGCTGTCAGGGTCTGCCACGCGCCAAACGCTCGGAAAAAGGGTCTGCTGCAGACTGTGTAGACGGTCGCTGTGCGAGTATAGCAGGGCGCGAGAGCCGGCGAGAGCTTGGAGAAGGGCTGCGACGAGCAATTACTGCGCGGCGCCCTGGGGAGTCGGCCGAGAAAGGGGTTTTGCTACTGTGTCTGGTATGCTGCTGGCTTTATGTTTGTGAAAATCGATGGGGGAATTTGGGCGGCTTATGAATGTTTTTTTTGCAGGTGATGCTTCGAGCCATGGTCCCATTGCGGAGTATGATGCGCGTGTTGCGAGTGGGCGGTTGCGCGACGACGAGCATCAGAGGTGTATGTTGGAAGTGCCCGCTCCTTGAGATGGTGGTTGAGTGCTGGCTGGCTGACTTGGGCGTGAAGCCATAATACAGAACCTCGAGAACCTGCACCGTGTGCTGGCGAGCTATACGCCGCCGAAGGTCGTCCATCCCTCCATCGAAGCGCTCACGCCCCCGAAGCCAGGCTTGTTTGGCTCTCTGTTTGGCGCGCCGAAGAAGAGTCAGAAGACGGGCCCGCCCATCCCATCGGACATGCCAAAGGGCCTATACATGTACGGCGATGTGGGCAGCGGCAAGACGATGCTCATGGATCTCTTCTACGAGACGCTCCCGCCGAACATCAAGGCCAAGAACCGCATCCACTTCCACAACTTCATGCAGGACGTCCACAAGCAGCTCCACAAGATGAAGATGCAGCACGGCAACGACTTTGACGCCATCCCCTTTGTCGCCGCCAGCTTTGCCGAGCGCGCGACGGTGCTCTGCTTCGACGAGTTCCAATGCACAGACGTCGCCGACGCCATGATCCTCCGCCGGTACAAACCCCTTTTCCCCCCCTTTCGCCTCGCCTCATACTCACATTTCTCCCTCTGTACATAGCTTAATCGAATCCCTCATGGCCCACGGCGTCGTCCTCGTCACAACCTCCAACCGCCACCCCGACGACCTCTACAAAAACGGCATCCAACGCACCTCCTTCATCCCCTGCATCACCCTCCTCAAGTCCCGCCTCGCCGTCATAACCCTCGACTCGCCCACCGACTACCGCAAAATCCCGCGTCCGCCCAGCGGCGTCTACCACCACCCCCTCCTCGACCCTGCCGCCACCGCCCACGCCGAGAAATGGTTCCGCTACCTCGGCGACTTTGAACACGACCCGCCGCACCCGGCCTGCCATGTGGTCTGGGGCCGCGAGATCCTGGTGCCGCGCGCGAGTGGCCGGGCGTGCTGGTTTACGTTTGAGGAGATTATCGGGCGGGCGACGGGCGCGGCGGATTATTTGGAGTTGGTGAGGTGTTATGAGGGGTTTGTGGTGACGGGGGTGCCGGGCATGGATTATCGGAGTAGGGATTTGGCGAGGCGGTTTATTACGTTTGTTGATGCGGTTTATGAGAGTCGGGTATGTTTTGGCTTTTCTGGCTTGTTTGTCCTGTTTTCCTTTTTTTGTATTCCCCGCCCGAAGCGTCGAGCATTGAGCATCAAGCGTAGCATGGTGGATTGCTGGTCTGGTGGTGTGTTGTGTGTTGTGTCATATCGACATGGATGCTGACCCGCAAACAAAAACAGGCCAAACTCGTCCTCACGTCCGCCGTCCCGCTCTCGCACCTCTTTGTCTCCCCCGCCGAACTCGACCAATCTGCCTCTGAATCCAGCACTACCTCCTCCTCCTCCTCATCCTCGGCCGAATCAACAACCACAACCACAACCACAACCACATCCGAAACCGCGATCCCGGACTCCATGCGCTCCCTCATGGACGACCTGGGGCTGAACATGCAGATGCTCAAGGCATCGAGTATTTTCAGTGGGGATGAGGAGCGCTTTGCGTTTGCGCGCGCGCTGAGCAGGTTGAGTGAGATGGGCGGTTTGGAGTGGGTTGAGAGGGGGGGGTTGGGGGGGAGGAGTGTTGAGGGTAGGGAGGGGAGGGGGTTGGAAGGTGGGGGGAAGGAGGGGAAGGATTTGGAGGAGGGGAATAGGGAAGTGAGGGATGGGAAGGAGGGGAATGGGAATGAGGGGAAGGAGAGGAAAAAAGAGAGGGAGAGGGAAAAGGAGAAGGAGGGGTGGAGAAAGGTGAGGGGGAGGTGGGGGGAGGATAGCTATTGATTGTGGGATTGAGAGAGGGTTAGAGGGTGGAGGGAAGGATGGGGATGGGGATGGGGATGGGGATGGGATGATGTTTGCATTGGCATTAGATTAAGCATACCTATATGGCATATATATCCTTCTTTCTTATATCTTATATCTTCGCTAGCTCTCTCTTTGCTAGCTCGCATCACATCCAACTACAAGCCAGTCCGTCACGGTAGATTTATGTCTTCTGGCTGTATACATGTATACATATATACACACTCTACACCCTTCACATACCACCACGTAATATCCTCCATCCCGTTCTATCCCGTCCCGTCATGCACTGCTAACCACTACTATACGCCGTTCTATATATACAAGGAGGAAAAATTAGATTAACGACATTATTTGCTCATTTCCATGCGTTTTCTAAACCCCGTTTCGAGAATCTCGTCTCGTCTCGTCCGGGTTGGGGGGGGGGGGGGGGGGGGGCGTATGGTCTCTTTCGGGGGTGTGGTCTGTGTTTGAATATAACGCTCTTCGAATACACGTTCTCTTTTATTATTCTAAGAGATATATCTCCGATACTATACTAGTAGACTTCCTTCTAGACCATCTTGACTTCCTTCTAGACTATTCAGACTACCTAATACACGCCTTGATAGATATCGTCGCTTCCCATTATTACAGAGGTGTTAAGTAGATTGGACTATATGTCTTGGACGATATACCTCTATACTACACGCTCTGGACTCTATGTACATAGGTATACCTAGACATAGACATAGACACAGGCATACTACATCTAGTTCTATCTAGGTTTAGGTTTTGAGATTTTCGGGTTCGGTTTACTTAATCAATTCCATGTGTACTTGTGTTATGGATATTTCTATAGGGATACTTGTGTATGGATACTTGTGTATGGATACTTGTGTATGGATACTTGTGTATGGATACTTGTGTATGGATACTTGTG